CCATTATCAAAATTTAAACATTCAAGTTTTCATCCAAAACATATTGCTGAAAAATTTGGTACTAGTGAAAATCCTTCAGGTTTTAGAAATGATGATACAGTTATTAATGTTACTCAACCAAATGGTGTTTCATTTAAATTAGATGGTAATGTTATGAGTTGGTCAAATTTTAAATTTCATATTGGTTTTAATTATCGTGAAGGTATTGTTTTAAGTGATATGTCATGGAATGGTCATGGTAAAACAAGATCATTATTTCATCGTATTTCATTATGTGAAATGGTTGTTCCTTATGGTTCACCAGATTTTCCTCATCAAAGAAAACATGCTTTAGATATTGGTGAATATGGTGCTGGTAATTGTACAAATCCTTTATCATTAGGTTGTGATTGTAAAGGTGTTATTCATTATATGGATGCTCATTTCCCAAATAAAGATGGTGATGCAACTACAGTTAAAAATGCTATATGTATTCATGAAGAAGATGATGGATTATTATTTAAACATTCAGATTTTAGAGATGATTTTCAAACAAATGTTACAACAAGAGGTAAAAAATTAATTATTTCTCAAATCTTTACTGCTGCAAATTATGAATATTGTTTATATTGGATTTTTAGACAAGATGGTACTATTAAATTAGAAGTTAGATTAACTGGTATATTAAATACTTATATTTGTACAGATGATGAAGATATTGGACCATGGGGTACAAAAGTTTATCCAAATGTTAATGCTCATAATCATCAACATTTATTTAGTTTAAGATTACATCCAAGAATTGATGGTGATAATAATTCAGCTGCAACAAGTGATGCAAAATCTTCACCTTATCCAACTGGTACAAAGCAAAACTTTTATGGTAATGGATTTTATTGTGAAAAAACTGTTTTTAAAACTATTAAAGATGGTATTACTGATGCTCAAAGTGCTACTGCAAGAACTTGGGATATTTTTAATCCAAATTCAATTCATCCATATTCTGGAAAACCTGCTACTTATAAATTAGTTTCAACTTTTACTTCACCATTATTAGCTCAAGAAGGTTCATTAGTTAGAAAAAGAGCTCCATGGGCGGCAAATACTACTCAAGTTATTCCTTATCATGATGATAAATATGGTTATGCATTATTATATCCATCAGGTGATCATGTTGCTCAATGGAGTGGAGATGGTGATAGAGGCATGAGACAATGGATTGGAGATGGTTCAAAAAATATTGAAAATACTGATATATTATTTTTCCATACTTTTGGTATTACTCATTTCCCATCACCAGAAGATTTCCCAGTTATGCCAACAGAAATTTTTGATTTAATGTTAAGACCAAGAAATATTCATTTAGAAAATCCTGTATTAGATGTTAAACCATCATTTGCTAAAACTACTTCTGAAGTTAAAGCTGGTTTAAAAGGTGTTGATACTTGTAGTTTAAATGTTGATAAATCTTCAAGATTAGCTACTGAATGTGTTAAAAGATAAATGAAAATTTTAAAATAAATAGTATGAATATATGTATAAATAGTTGTTAATTAGTTAATGTAAAAAGATAATTAAAAATTTAAATTCAACTTATTTCTTTCTCTTGATTATGATTTAGTAAATACAATGATATATCCAATTAGCAGCGATTTTGATAAATTAAATATACCTCAGTTAAAATATTCAATTTGTTTTTTCAAAAAATTAATCAACCTTAAAATTCGAGAGTTTCATTATATAGAGAACACACAAGGTACATATTTTTTTAGATCTTTCAATTCAATATATATATAACTTATTTAAAAATTTTAAAATGAAGTATTCACAACACCTATAATTTATCATAATATTCAGTATAATCTGGAACTTCTGGTTTTAAACCTTGTCTTTCTCTTTTTTCTTTAACAATTAAACCTGGTTTTGAAGCTGGATCTTTGACATCACCACTTAAGATTGACCAATGATCAAAGATTAATTGTGGGAAAGCTTGACCACCAGTAGCTTGTCTTAATTCACCAGTGAAACCAAATGATTCATTAACTGGTAAATAAGCTTTAACTGTGAATAATGGAGTACCTGGTCTTTGTTCTTCTGAAATAACTTGACCTCTTTTTTTATTTAATACTGAATAAATACCACCAATAGCATTTTCTGGACATTGAATTTCAACTAAGAAAATTGGTTCTTGAATAGCTGGTTCAGCTAATAACATAGATGCATAAGTAACTCTTCTCATAGTTGGAATGATTTGACCACCACCTCTATGAATAGCATCAGCATGTAAAGTAACATCTAAAATATTAACTCTAACTGATCTACAGTTTTCACCGAAAATTGGTCCTTCTTTAGTAGCCCATTGGAAAGCAGCAACAACTGAATCTTTAATTTCATTCAAGTATTGAACAGCTTTAGTTTGATCAACAACTAAATTTGGACCATTACCATCTGGACCGAAACACCAGATTTTTCTAGCATCAGTAACATCCCAACCATGTTTATCAGCTAAGATTCTTGCTCTTGCTTTGAAATCATCTCTTGGATTAATGACACCATTTTCAATATCTAATGAAACTTCTTCATCAATTGGTTGAGCTTTAACATAAATTCTGTTATGTTTATTTGGTGATTTTGATAAAGCAACCATCGATGATTCACCTTCAACAGTTTCTCTATATGCAACAACTGGTGGTGAAACTCTAATTGGAACACCAGCATGATCATTTTCTAAATCTGATAAACAAATTTCTAAATGTAATTCACCAGTAGCAGCAACAATATGTTCACCTGATTCTGACATTGAGGTTAAAACACATGGATCTGATTTTGATAATCTTTTTAAACCTTCAACTAATTTTGGTAAATCATTAGCATTTTTAACTTCAACAGCAACTTGAACAACCGGTGAAACTGAGAATTTCATGACTTTCAAATTGTGAGCAGCTTCATTAGTAGTAATAGTACCTGATTTTAATAAGAATTGATCAATACCAACTAAACCAACAATGTTACCAGCTGGACAATCATCAATTTGTTCAACATTTCTTCCCATCATTAAAACAGTTCTTTGAATTGATTTTAAGAATAAATCTTCTTTTTTACCAACTTGATAGTTTGGACCTTGAATTCTAACTTTTTGACCTGATTTAACAGTACCAGCGAAAACTCTACCAAAAGCATAGAATCTACCTTTATCAGATGTTGGAACCATTTTAGATACATACAACATTAAATCAGCTTTTGGATCACAATTTCTGATAGCATTACAGAAAGCATCATCTGATGGACCTTCATATAAAGTTTCAGCTCTATAGTTTTGAGCAGTAACTGGTGATGGTAAATGTAAAACAATCATTTCTAATAAAGCATCAGCAGCTGGTAAGAATTTTCTCATAACAACTTTTAATAAAGCTTTACCTTCTAATTCTTTTTCATCAGATTTCAAACTAATTTCTAATTTTTCTAATAAAGTTGGAATTTCATCTTTTTTGAAATTCATAATAGCAGCAAATAATCTGAAAATTGGATCTAAAACAAACATATTGAAAGCTCTTTCTAATGGTTTTCCATCAGCGTCTTTATCTTTATTAGTCCATTTTTTAGTTTTTGGATTAAAATATGAATCTCCCCATAATCTTTCCATCATTTTAGTTCTATCAACACCGAATTTTTTAGAATATTTAGTGGCAAATTGTCTAACAGTAAAAGCCCAACCATGTAAACCTGAACCGAAAGCAACAGTTCCTTTATCTGGGAAAACTTGACAATCACCTAAAACTGGATCAACATAAGTTGAAATAATAACATTGACTGATTCAACAGTTCTAGCAAATGATTGATATAAATCTTCTTTAGTAACTTGTAATTCTAATAAAGCTCTATCAACTTTATTAATGATAACAACTGGTTTAATTCTTTCACCTAAAGCTTGTCTTAAAACGGTTTCAGTTTGAACACAAACACCTTCAACAGTATCAACGACAACTAAAGCACCATCAGTAACTCTTAAAGCAGCGGTAACTTCTGATGAGAAATCAACGTGACCTGGTGAATCAATTAAATTAATTAAAAATGAATTACCATCAGTTTTTTGTTTAATATCTTTAACATCTTCATCTGACATTGAAGCATATAATGAAATGGCAGTAGATTTAATGGTAATACCTCTTTCTTGTTCATCTTTTCTAGTATCCATAAATCTAGCTTCACCAGCTTTACCAGCTGAAATAATACCAGCTTTTTGAACTAATGAATCAGTTAAAGTGGATTTACCATGATCGACGTGAGCAATGACGGACATGTTACGAACATTTGTAACTTTGTCCATCAAATCACGGATTTGTTCAATAGTGAAGGCAACTAAATTTTTATTGTTAGTATGTTGATCATTGAATTTTACAACCCTTGAGGAGATGATTTGTCATTGAAATGTGAAAAATTTTTCAATTCGAGTGGCACACGTTTTGATGATTTAAGGACCATTACTGAGCCATCAGTTTCCAATTCCGAACTTTCAATCACTTCCCCCAGTTAGGATGATAAATTATATTCCAAATAAACATACCCATCTTGTTGTTGTTGTTTTAAATTACTTGATTAAATCCAATGAAATGAAGGGAAAATTCAAAAAGGAAGAGGGAAAAAAATGAAAAAATTTTATCTAAATTCTTTATTAGGAACAAAAAAAAATTCCCGTACAAAATAGTAGAGTAATCATTTTACTACTAATATGAACTATTCGCAGTACATTAGTACGGATTACATTAACTATGAGAGATGTAGTGTAATTTGGTTAGAAAAAAAGAGTATTTAATAGTTAAGAGAGATGCAATAAAGGTAATCAGAATTAATATTCACACGACTCTTACTCTTTTGAGTATACTAAAGCCTCATGTCTTGATAGTTAATAACATAAAGTGATTCTTTGAGACACTCATTTCTCTACACAGAAGATATGAAAAATATTCAGAGACCAATTTTACAGCCAAATTCAAAACCAATAAAATACAAGTACCCATACAATGTCAATAGAAATCTCAGTTTTAATATCTGGATCAGGTACAAATCTACAAGCATTAATAGACGCACAGAATGAAGGAAAATTGAATGGTAAAATAACTCAAGTTATATCATCATCAGATACTGCATTTGGATTAACAAGAGCTTCCAAAAATAATATACCTACAAAAACTCATCTTCTAAAAAATTATTATAAAGGAACAACAAAAGATCAAATAGAAATAAGAAAAGAAAAAAGAGAACAATTTAATAAAGATTTAGCAAATTTAATAATAAATGGATCAATTGATTCTACCGTATCTAATTATAAATCACCAAATTTAATAGTTTGTGCAGGATGGATGTTAATTTTATCACCAACTGTTTTAGAACCTTTGGAAAAAGAAGGTATAACTATAATAAATTTACATCCTGCATTACCAGGAGCTTTTGATGGAACTCTTGCCATTGATCGTTGTTGGAAAGCAGGACAAGATGGTGAAATTACAAAAGGAGGAGTAATGATACATAAAGTTATAACTGAAGTAGATAGAGGTGAACCTATTTTAGTTAAAGAGTTAGATCTAAAAAAGGGTGAAACTTTAGAAGAATATGAAGATAGAGTACATAAAATTGAACATATTGCAATTGTTGAAGGTACAAATAAAATAATAAAAGAATTAACGAACAATATATGAATAAATTGTCTATAATTAAATTTGATTACTGTATATTATTTAATTGTATAATGTATATAATGAAATCATGTCTCTATATTTTTTACTTATAAATTTTTAATAACTTCTTCAGTAAAATGTTTTGTAGTTGAAGTACCTTTTAAATCACCAGTTCTATTTTCTGGACCTGATGCAATAGTTTTTAATACAGCATTTTCAATTCTATCAGCTTCTTCATTTAATGACATATGTCTTAACATCATACATGATGATAATAATAAAGCAGTTGGATTAGCTAAACCTTTACCAGCAATATCTGGTGCTGAACCATGAACAGCTTCAAAAATAGAAACTTTATTACCCATATTACCAGATGGAGTTAAACCTAAACCACCAATTAAACCTGAAGATAAATCTGACATAATATCACCATATAAATTAGGCATAACCATAACAACATCTTTATATTGTGAAGGATCAGCAGTTAATTTTAATGAAGTATTATCTAATAATTCGAAATCTAAAGTAACATCTGGATATTCTTTAGCAACTTCTTTAGCAGTATTAACAAATAAACCATCTGATAATTTCATAATTGAAGCTTTATGAACAACTAATACATGAGGTTTATTAATTGATTTTGCATATTCAAAAGCATATCTTATAACTTTTTCTGATGCTGGTTTTGTAATTAATTTTATAGATTGAACAACTCCAGGAACAATAGTATGTTCAATACCTGAATATTCACCTTCAGTATTTTCTCTAATTAATACTGTATCAACATTTTCATAAGGAGTTTTATAACCAACAATTGATTTACATGGTCTAACATTTGCAAATAAATTAAAAGTTCTTCTTAATGTTAAATTCATTGATGTATGACCTTTACCAACTGGTGTAGCTAATGGACCTTTTAAAGCAACTAAATTTTTATTTACAGAATCAACAGCTGGTTGAGGTAAAGTAGTTTTACCATCAATTAATAATGGAGTAACATCAACTGGTTCCCATTCAATTGGTACTTCAGCAGCTGCATAAATATCTTTTACAGCTTGTGAAATTTCTGGTCCAATACCATCACCTTCAATTAATGTTACAGTATATTTACCATCTGGTCCTTTAGTACCAGTGAATTGACCAGCAATATATGATCTAGTTAAAAATGGTGTTCTAGATGATTTGATTGGAACAGATCTGATTATTTGTTTGAACATTGTGTTAAGCGGAATATGTAATGATTGAAATGATAAGTTTAATGAGATGATATGATTAAATTGTAATTAATTGAAAATCAAAATTCTAATTATTTAATTTGATGAAAATAATTTTTTTTTTTTCTTTTCTTTTTTTATTAAGTACAATTCGATTAAGTTAGTAGTGGTACTTAGTACTTAGTACTGAAGTATTAAAATTATCGCATAAAATTAGTACAAAATCTGATACCGAAGACGTATTTACTACAGAGAAGAAAAAGAAGTTGGGCCATAATAGATCGAGGGTCTGCACATTCTTTACTATATTGCTTAAACTGTTCTCGTCCTTCAATCGCAAAAAACCAAACACTCAAAATAACTTATCTTCTTTCATGTATAAGTATGCTTGATATCGGTTTAATAATTTTGGTTTTGAAGTATTATTATCAATGAAATTTTTTTTTGACTTTGAGTTGATTCTTTACCTTAAAAAAATCTTAAACTATCGGAGTTATAATTTGTGTTACAAAATTTTTATTTTTTTTTTATTTTTTTAGTTGAAACATTTCATTTATCCAATCATTTTAACGTATTTCTTAATATAAAACAAATAATTTCGGTATCGAATTTAATATAGTAACAAGGTAGTAACAAAATAAAAAAAAGTCCGAAATATAATATTTCACTCTCAATGGTCTCTACTATGGTGAATATTGAACCATCGTCTTGATATCATTCGATATACAACTGTTAATTGGCAGAGTTTATCAAGTCAGAGTGGTTATAAGTAAAACTGGGCTCAATGGGACTTTTGAAGTGATCGTTCTTCCCCTCCTTTGGTATAACTTAGTTCGAAGAACTTTAAAGGTGAAAATTTCTAATGCTGACTAGATGACAATGAGTTAAAATGCTCTGAGATGATAGACTTACAAGCAAACAATTATTAAAATTCATATCAAATATTTATTGTCATTACTTATATATATGCTACTCTATTATAAACCCATTGAAACTTTTAAAGTAAAAGTAATTAAAAATGGTAATGAAAACCATAAAACTAAATATTGAAAAATTAAACAAATAGCTAAACAATCCATTTGTAAATGTTCTTCACTTTGAGGATCAGTATAAAAAGCAGTAAAATAAACTAATGAAGTAGCATTTGGTAAACCAAATTCTAAAACACTTACAAATCTTACTAATCTATCATGTCCATACCATCCACCTTTATACATTCCTGTTGTAACACCTACTCCAAATATTGGTAATATAATTAATCTCATTGCTGTTACTAATATTGCAGTTTTCCAAAATCCTGGTGCCATATTTTTAACTTTTAATCTTGCTAATGTTGCGCCTAATAATAATAAACCTAATGGAACTGATGCTGCTCCAATATATGAAGTTAAATCTATAATAAATGATAATGGTGGTTGTTCATCTGGTGCATTGGGCATATAAAATGTTGTTGGAACAAATAATGCTTTCAAAGGTGGTGACATACAAATCGCAATTGAACCTAATAAAGCTACTGAATTTGGAGAAGTAAGATTTTTAAACATAGTTTTAGCATATGATTTAAATTTTGATTCTTTTTTTTCAACTTCATCTACTACGTTGTGATCAGAATGATTTGAATTTGCTAAACTTTCTTGTCTTGATTTTTCTTTTTGAATTTCATTATTTCTTAAAGTATCAAATTCTGAATATTCATTTATAACATCATTAACATCTTGTGATTGTTGTCGCCTTATATCATTTCCTCTTGAAGGTACCATTTCTAATCCATATGGATTACTTGTTATAGAATTTATAGAATCTCGTCTACTTTTTGTGTCTGTTGGATTTATTGATGATCTTGTACTTCGAGTACTTCTTTTCCTACTTATTGAATTTGATAATCTATCTGATTTTTTTGATTGAGCTTTTAAAAACTCATTATGTTGATCATCATCATTCATAATTTTATTCCTCCTCCTTTCGGCTTCAGTTGTGTTACTATTTATTGATTCCAAATCTGAACTGATATCTGTTACATTTGAATCTGTAGGTCGTACAGGGCCCTCCTGCCTTTCATTTTTTACTGCTTCACTTTTATCCTTGTTTTCAGTGTCCAAGTTATTAGACGGTATAAGTTCACCTTCTTTTTCTCCATCTTCCTTATCATCACTACTACTACTACTATTTGATATCTGTCTATTCTTTTCCATATCATCTACCAATAATTCGTCTCTAAAATCCCATTCAATCAATCTATATAATCCAAAAGTAAATTGAAATAAAATCATTCCCATTAAAAAAATACAAACATATGCAACACCTTTACTTCCTTCTTCAGTAGTGAAAATCTTACCACCTTTTGCAAATGTTTGAATATAAGCAATAGGTAAATCACTAATATTTGGAAAAATCCCAACAGAAAGTAAACCACCAAGCCATCTTTTTGGTGATCCTGTAACTATATGATTTGCGAATGCCATTAATCCACCAGCTAAAAATAATAAAATACTTGTGAAAATAATAATCCCAACATTTTTAATATCTGATGATTTTAAATAACTTACCATATTTGTAAAAATCAAACATGGCATAATTGCTGTAACTACTGTATCTGATATATCTCTACATGTAGTAACTGTTAAAATATTTCTCTTTGCTAAAAAGAATCCTAATGCTATAATGAAATAAATTTTAAAAATTGGTTTAACTGATGAATAAATCACCAAACCAAGTGATAAACTCTCTGAAGATGAATCTGACATGATATGATTTTATAATAAATATGGAAAATATGCTATAATAAAATATGCAAAGCTACAATGTTTGTAGATTGTGTAAACTCCTTCTGTTTTTAACAATTTTTAAAAACACTTGAAACAAGTATCGTTGACATGAATGTATTATACAAGATCGTGGTTAGTCTATAATATCGTGAAAATGAACTTCAATAAAAAGTGGTCCCTTAATTAAATTTAAACTATGAGTTGGGGGATCTCTTCTTTCTAAATAAATCAATATTCTATTTTTTCCGTAAGTTAGGCCTAATTTTAATTCACAAAAAACTTAAAAAAGAATCAAACGGCTTGCATTTTTTCCGGCACGATTGATTAAATTATTTCTGACAATTGAAGCGACGTTTACCGATCTCAATTGAGTCAATATAATCGTCTGTTTAAACTCTTTTACTGCCGTACAAATTCTTTTGAGGCTGAAAAGTAAAAAAAATGCTTTTGAGGCTGAAAAGTAAAAAAAATGCTTTTATACTGCTCTTTACGTATTATTAGTAGGTGACAAATATGATAGGTCTGGTTGGTTAAAAGCATATTTTGTTAAAAGAGACAAAAGCGCAAAAACGAATTGTGCTGAAATAGAACCTATATTTGAACGTTAAAAACAAGTAATTCAGTTCCTTAGAGTAAATACCGATGTTAACCTTCAGCCCAAAGATTTTGTAAGAGACCAATATACTGGAAGACATTCGAAGAAACCGGAATTCTGATGATTACCTCCATATAAGTTAAAGGTTGTTTAGTATGTTTTACTCAATATAATTTGAGACGAAAAAATTGCACCCGTGCTGATGTTTTTTTACAGAAACTAGCGGATTTTAAAAATGTAATTAGAGGTATACATAAACAGTCTTGAAACCTTATTCAAACTCTAAACTGTTAAGTTTATTCTTTTACTGTTTAGCATGCTAGACTACTGATCTAATAAACAATTAATATTGAAAAAAAAAAAAAAAAAAAACTGTAATAGTATCACCATGATGCACAATTGAATAGTTTTTGAATGTGGTAGCAACTGAAATCATACCTTGGATCCCAGGAGCCAACACCAAAACCTGTTATTGCAAAATGCAAAAAAAAATATTAATCTATTAGAAACCAAGCTCAAATTAGTTTCTATCAAAAACTTAAAAAATTCTGAATGTGATTTGTATGTAAGGTTTAAAACGTAATTGTTAGTCTCAAGTCTTGTCAGTGCTTTTAAACTCTAGCATGTTGGGTACTGGTTGCTACCAATTATAGCTGATGTTTAAGGGTTAAAATTGATTTATATTTTTCAACGTATAATGGTTTATGATACACAACTAACTATACTACACTTGTCTAACATGTAGGTTACTAATCAACATTTTTTGGGTTATGAGACCTTCAAAGATTTCTGTCATTGTGGGTTCCAATGCTTTAAGGATGGCTGAATATATCAATAATTCGAATAATTGGGGTACCCCTTAATTGTATTCGACCATTCAGAAGGGAAATCGATTCACAGTAATTTAGTTATCTTATAACATGATTTGTGGGGCCAAACAGGTGCAACTCGGACAAGACCTTTGAATGTATTGCAAGTTTCATGGATCATTTACCTAATTGGTCGAAAGAAGGAGTTATCCAAATTGTCTATATTCTCAGCCAACTATACGGTATTGGAACTTACAAGTAGGAATGAAGAAAACTTTTCGACCTCTTAAATCTCGATATGGTTGATTAGTGACCTCCATGTGAGACTAGTTTATTGTAGTTAGTTGTATATTCGTAGGATATTTTTCCAAAGGTTTACAGTAGAATTATTAATGTGAAATTTCAAGTAACAATGACTAGTTTGAGAATCATAATTTTAAGAAACGCGGTTTAAGTCCGGCAATTTAGTTGAATTGAACCAATTACGTGTTGAACGCTATAAGGATCTGGAGTAGAAAAGTATTCTTATGAGTCCAGCAAAAAGTCTTTACAAATTTTTGGGACCAAGATCAAATACTTAATCATAAATCCATATTGTTACACAAAGTACTATGATTTATATATACGATCTGAATCACTGAACAACTACAAAAATAGTCCGATATGACTATAAACGTTATAGTAAGATCCTCTAGTTCCTATCCGTGGAGAGTCTATCGGCTCTAAATAATTCAGCTAATTATTGCCCTGGCATTTTTAAAAAAGAAACAAATTCTGTATGTTACATAGTTCATCTAAATTACCCGCCACTTAAAATTAAAATAAATTTTTACAAGCATCTCCAAATTATTTATTTTTTTTATTTCTTCTCTTCTTTTTTTTTTCAAGATTTGTCTCAAATCTTCAATATACAAACACAAACCTCACAAAGAAAATCACCTATAATATAGTCATTAATAAGAATGTGTGGTATACTAGGTATAGTTTTAGCAAACCAAGATGTTAATGTAGCTCCAGAATTATTTGAAGGAGCTATGTTTTTACAACATAGAGGTCAAGATGCAGCAGGTATTGTTACATGTGGATCAAAAGGTAGATTATATCAATGTAAAGGAAATGGTATGGCAAGAGATGTTTTTACTCAAAAAAGAATGTCAAATTTAATTGGAAATATTGGAATTTGTCATTTACGTTATCCAACTGCTGGATCAAGTGCAGGATCTGAAGCACAACCATTTTATGTAAATAGTCCTTATGGTATTTCAATGAGTCATAATGGTAATTTAGTTAATTCAAAAGAATTAAGAAGTTATTTAGATGAAGTTGTTCATCGTCATATAAATACTGATTCAGATTCAGAATTATTATTAAATGTATTTGCAAGTGAATTAGATAAATTTAATAAAAGTAGGGTTAATAATGGAGATTTATTTACTGCATTAACTGATACTATGGAAAGAATTAGAGGTGCTTATGCATGTGTTACATTATTAGCAGGTTATGGATTAATTGGATTTAGAGATCCAAATGGTATACGACCTTTATTAATTGGAGAAAGAATTAATAAAGATAATTCAAAAGATTTTATGATTGCATCAGAAAGTGTAGTATTAAAAGCTCATGGTTTTAAAAAATTTAGAGATGTTAATCCAGGTGAAGCTGTCATAATAAAAAAAACTGGAGAACCTGAATTTAAACAAGTTGTAAAGCCAAAAATTTTTTCACCAGATATTTTTGAATATGTTTATTTTGCAAGACCAGATTCAGTATTAGATGGTGTATCAGTATATAGATCAAGAATTGAAATGGGAATAAAATTAGCTTCAAAAATTAAAAAAATTATGAAAGAAAATGAAATAGATGTTGTAATACCAGTTCCAGATACTGCAAGAACAAGTGCTTTTCAATGTTCAGTAAGTTTAGGAGTTCCATATAGAGAAGGATTTGTTAAAAATAGATATATTGGAAGAACATTTATAATGCCTAATCAACAAGAAAGAAGATCATCAGTTAGAAGAAAATTAAATGCAATGGATTCAGAATTTGAAGGTAGAAATGTTTTATTAGTTGATGATTCAATTGTTAGAGGTACAACATCAAAAGAAATTGTAGCTATGGCAAGAGAAGCAGGAGCTAAAAAAGTATTTTTTGCATCATGTGCTCCACCAATTAGATTTAATCATATATATGGTATAGATTTAGCTGATACAAAAGCATTAGTTGGGTTTAATAGATCTGAAGAAGAAATATCAAAAGTTATTGGAGCAGATAAAGTAATATATCAAGATTTACAAGATTTAATTGAATGTTGTAAAACTTCAGAAATTAAAAATTTTGAAGTTGGTGTATTTACAGGTAATTATATAACAGGAGTTGAAGATAATTATTTACAAGAATTAGAAAAAATAAGAGCTCAAAATCAAAGATTACAAGAAAGACAAAATGGGGAATTACAAAATACTGGATTTAGTGTAGATGCATGTATCGATCAAGGTGATTTAATTGATGTCAAAGCTGAAGTTGATATTAGCATATACAACAGAGGTGATTATTAAAAAGGATTATTAATTACAGCAAATTAAAAGAAAAAGTTCAATTCTATGATTTAAATATATGTATGTATTTTGGTAACAATAAACTTTATAGACTTTAGGGAAAACGAAGTGAGAAGGAATTGTAGAAGGAAACGTAACACTTCCCAAATCGTAAAAAATCGTTCAAATCATAGGTCGTCAGTTTTTCCACTACGAATAAGAACCACAATTCATTGAATAATAGTCAAGCGAATGTAAATATTTGAGTTCATATGACTATTTATTCTCAGCTATATATTTACTTTCAATATGTAGGTAAGGATGTGTTTGTGTAGTCATTACTTACTCTATGTAGGTACGGATGTGTTTTGAGGAAATTGTCAAAAGCCTTTCAATTTCATATCTACTTCCAAACCAAAGCTCGTAGTCATATTGAGATATACCGCTGGAATATTTGGTCCATTGTATAACGTTCTACCTGGTGGGAAATAGTTAAAACAATGATATTCAAATTTCCTTGTTATTTCAGAGTTATATCAAATATCCAACATAAAAAAAAATTTAAAAGTTTGCTACTAAAATGTTGGAAGATTAACAAAGTCTAACTAACAAATTGGTAAGCTTTTCTTTCAAATGAATGAATTGAGAATGATTCCCCTAGTTTCACGTATTATGCAACTACAAACAGTTATAATAGAGGAATGGTAGTTAATTGTATCAAATATTATACAAAAATTAATCTCGTAAAAGCAATATCCTGAAAGAGACAAAATTTGATTATTTTTGGAATTTAAATTACGAATCCTTATCAAAGGTAAAATTCCACAATTTTAGTTTAAGAGAGCTATATTCAAATGTAATTGTGGGGCGATCTAAGATCTAATTCATTAATAGCTTCAAAGTTTTGCACTTGCCTCGATAGTGATAACCAATCATGTTTTAAAAGTTCGAAATACTTAACACATGCTACACATTTACAAATTAAGTAACATTATGGGCAATCTGAGTAATATAAGATTAGCATTTACGCTAAATTTAGTAGATCATTATCAAAAGATCTACCGTTGGAGAGAAAAGTATAACATCACTTATTTTCTACAAACCAATGAAACATTCAGTCAACAATAAACCATTTTTTTTGTAATTCCAACGCGTCCGAATGAAACGTTCTCACTAAGTTAGTTTCAAAGTGAATTATACAATAGAAATTATAGATTCTTTAAAAGCCTTGTCTAATAAAGAATTTCTTTCGAGGATTAATTATTTGTACCTTAAAATTTCTTAGAATTATTATTTTATCAAAGCCTAAAATAAACTATTACTAGTTACAAAACAATAAAGCTTGATGATTCTAACGAGACAGATTGATGCTATCAACAACTATGCTCTCTATTGCCTTAAAATCATTACAATTACTTATAAAATTCAGAATAAACACGTTATAAATTTAAGTTAAGTTATATTACATTCCATGTGTTTGTATTTATTATTAATAGTAATCACAATAACAATAACAATACAAATAAACAAAATAAAATAAACACGTATCAGAGCTACCATTTGCTAATGTTGGTGATTTTTTGATTATCAAAATTTTTTATTTTTTTACATTTCATTTTAATTTCGTAGTTTATTTCTCATTTCTTTTCTTAATAACTACAACTAAGTTATTTAGCAAATAATTCTTTTATCAATCAATATAGATTACAATAACAGGAAATAAACAAGTTTGCTTTTTTTTCACCGAGAGAGGAGCTAGTGTATGGGAATTATACTGTTTTATTTAATTGGACAATCTATATATTTAATTAAAAGGAAATTTTTCAACAACAACAATAACAATAACAACAACAACTACAACAACTATATAAATAAATATTCAAAAATGGAAAAAGGAAATACACCGGCTTCAAGTCATTCATTGGCTAATTCAATTTCAAATTCAGGACCAATATCAATAGTTGCATATTGTTTATCATCAATTTTAATGACAATTACAAATAAATATGTTGTTTCTGGTTTTAATTTTAATTTAAATTTTTTATTATTAGCTATTCAATCAATTGTTTGTATAATAACTATTGGAACTTTAAAAAGTTTAGGTATTATAAATTATAGACCTTTTAATAAAGATGAAGCTAAAAAATGGTCACCTATAGCATTTTTATTAGTTGGTATGATTTATACTTCATCAAAAGCTTTACAATTTTTATCAATTCCTGTTTATACAATTTTTAAAAATTTAACAATTATTTTAATTGCTTATGGTGAAGTTATTTGGTTTGGTGGTAAAGTTACTACAATGGCTTTAAGTTCATTTTTATTAATGGTTTTTTCATCAGTTATTGCTTATTATGGTGATAATGCTGATGTTAAAACTGCTGATGATGAATTTTCTTTATATTTAGGTTATTTTTGGATGTTAACAAATTGTTTTGCTTCTGCTGCTTTTGTTTTAATTATGAGAAAAAGAATTAAATTAACAAATTTTAAAGATTTTGATACAATGTATTATAATAATCTTTTATCAATTCCAATTTTATTAATTTTAACATTTGTTTTTGAAAATTGGTCACCAGAAAATTTAGAAAAAAATTTCCCTGCTGATAATAGAGCTGCTGTTATTATTGCAATGATTATTTCTGGTGCTTCATCTGTTGGTATTAGTTACTGTTCAGCTTGGTGTGTTAGAGTTACTTCATCAACTACTTATTCAATGGTTGGTGCATTAAATAAATTACCAATTGCTTTATCAGGATTAGTTTTCTTTGCTGCAGCTGTTAATTTTTGGTCAGTTTCTTCAATTTTTGTTGGGTTTATAGCTGGTTTAGTATATGCTGTTGCTAAACAAAAACAACAAAAAGAATCTCAAACTTTACCAACTACTAATAAGTAAAACCACGAAGGTATTGAGTGTTTAAAAAAAAGAGTAGAGATAGAGATTTGAAAAGTGAAAAAAGATAATTATTATTGTGTGACTTTTATAATAGTTTACAATATAGAAGGATCTTTTATTTATAGACTGTTATAAGTACTTTCTAATGATCTCTTCATGTTCAATTTGTTGACTTGTTGATGCCTAGTTTTAATAATTTTTGTATGGCGAAACCTTTGAAAAAAAAAGATCGAGATCAGATAAAAAAGAAAACAAACATCTTTTCATTTCATTCTTTTTTTTCAAATCGATTTTACAACCAAACTTTTACAACACAACAACAAACAACCTTCCACAACATGTCCAATTCATTGGAAGTAATACCAAAGATACTAGAACAATCATTAACACCACAATTCTCAAATCAAGCAGAAAAAGAATTAAGATCAATTGAAAATGAATCAGGATTTTCAATAAATTTATTACATATTATAGCATCAACTAATTTATCATTATCGATAAGATTAGCAGGAGCTCTTTATTTTAAAAATCTTATAAAAAGAAAATGGGTAAATGAAGATGGTAATTATTTATTACCAATTCAAGATGTTGAAAAAATTAAATATGAAATTATTGATATAATGATAAAATTACCAAATCAATTACAAATACAAATTGGAGAATCAATAACTTTAATTGCAGAAAGTGATTTCCCACATAAATGGCCTAATTTAATAGAAATTTTAGTTGGGAAATTATCATTAACTGATTTTATAAATAATAAAGCTATTTTATTAGTATCTCATTCAATTTTTAAAAAATGGAGACCATTATTTAGATCTGATGAATTATTTTTAGAAATTAAATCAGTATTAGAAGTATTTGTTGAACCATTTTTAAAATTATTTATTGAATTAGATCAATTAATTACCGATCTGAAAGATAATGAAGCTCAATTAATAATATATTTTGAAAATTTATTATTATTAATACAAATTTATTATGATTTTAATTGTCAAGATATTCCTGAATTTTTTGAAGATCATATGAATGAATTAATGGGTATTGTTCATAAATATTTAATTTATGACAATAAATTATTAATTAAAACAGGAGAAGATGAAGAAGTTGAAATATTAATAAAAGTTAAAACTTCAATAATTGAATTATTATCATTATATGTCACAAGATATGCAGATGTATTTGAACCATTAATACAAACATTTATAACATCAGTATGGGAATTAATAAATAATTTTGTAACAAAACAACCAAAATTTGATTTATTAGTAGTTAAAGCATTACAATTTTTAACATCAATTATAAAAATACCTACATATCAATCACTTTTCCAAAGTGAACAATCAGTTAATGAAATAATAGAGAAAATCATATTACCTAATATAAAATTAAGACAAATTGATGAAGAAACTTTTGAAGAAGAACCTATATTATTTGTTAGATCTGATTTAGAAGGATCAGATTTTGATTCAAGAAGGAAAAGTGCAACAGATTTTTTAAGAGAATTAAAAGAATTAAATAGTGAATTACTTACAACAACAGTAATGAAATATGTTAATGAATTTTTAAGTCATTCTAATAATGATTGGAAAAATAAAGATACTGCAATTTATTTATTTAGTTCATTAGCAACAAAAGGAAGTGTAACTAATGTTGGTGTTACATCAACAAATGTTTTAGTTGATGTTGTTAAATTTTTTTCAGATAATGTTGCTCATGATTTACAATCATCAGATGTTCATCCTATTTTACAAGTTGATTCAATAAAATATATTTTCACTTTTAGAAATCAATTAACAAAAGATCAATTGACAGCAACGATACCGTTATTAATAGATCATTTAAGTCCATCATCAAATGTTGTAGTTTATACATATTCAGCAATTACAATTGAAAAATTATTTTCAATGACTAATTTTAGTCAAGGTCATCAACCAGTTTTTAAAAAACAAGATATAGAACCATTTGTTACACCTTTATTAACAAATTTATTTAATTTAATTTTAAAAAATAGAGATTCACCAGAAAAATTAGCAGAAAATGAATTTCTTATAAAATGTATAATGAGAATTTTAAATACATGTGAAGATTTATTTACAGAAAGAATTACAATAATTGAACAATTATTACAAATTTTAAAAATTATAGCAAAAAATCCATCAAATCCTAAATTTTCTCATTATATATTTGAATCATTAGGTTTATTAATTAAATATGGAGTTATACAAGATCCAAAAAATATTAATATTTATATAGAACATATTATACCTGGATTATTAAATATTTTAAGTGAAGATGTTCAAGAATTTGTTCCTTATACATTTCAAATTTTAGCATTTTTATTAGAAAATTATCCAAAATCTCAAGGATTACCAGAAACTTATAAAACTTTAATTCAACCATTAATGTCACCTGCAGTTTGGCAATTTAGAGGTAATATTCCTGGTATAACAAGATTATTAATTTCAATATTAGAACATGATCCAAATTATTTTGTTGAATCAAATCATTTAACTCCAATTTTAGGAGTTTTTCAAAATCTTTTAGCAAGTAAAGCAAATGATTCTTATGGTTTTAATTTAATACAAAGTATATTATTAAATGTTCCATTACAATCATTACAACCATATTTAAATAATATTGCAAGAATAATTTTAACAAGATTACAAAAATCAAGAACTGATAAATTTGTTAAAAGATTTGTTGTATTTTTATTTATATTAACTACATCAAAATTAAGTAATAATAAATTTAATAATACTGATGCTGTTAGTGGAGGAGATTTTATAATCCAATTAATTGATTCAGTTCAACAAGGTTTATTTCAACAAATTTATACATCATTTATATTACCTACTTCATCAGTTTTAGCAAATTTACAAGATAAAAAAATTGTAAATATTGGAATAAGTTTATTATTAAAAAATCAAAATTTTATAAATCATTATTCAAATTTAATTAAACCAACAATTGAAACATTAGAAAAAAATTTACAATCATATGAAGGAATAGTTAAATCAACATCTTCAACTGCAGCAATAACATCTTCAAATTCATCATCATTAATGATTCAAACACATAATAATATTAATGAACTAGATTCAGACATTTCTTCATTTGGATCTCAATTTTCAAAAGTTATATCTATAACTCAACCTCCATTTGATCCAATTTCTCAAATTGATAATAATAATTTTGAAGCTATTAAATCAACTATTATATCAAACATTCCTCATTAATATTTTCTTTTATTACATGGTCTTTTACCGTGAGAAAAAAAAGAAATAAGTTAGCAATAATGTATTAAATTATAAGTCATTAAATTCATAACATTAAATTATTCTCTACATCAATTATGTATCACACAACAATTCATGTTTCAGCTTCAGATTTAGAACTTTGCTCTACAGGAATTATCTCCGGCAAATCAAATTTATTTAAATTTATTGATTGTTGATCATTCGATTGTTCAATTGAATTCCCATTGATTACTTCTCCGTTTTTAACTTCTTCTTCATTTGTCACTTCACTTATTCCATTAACAACATTGACATTCTCCGTATTACTATTATCAACATTACTTTCATTTTTATCATCATTACTCGTCCCCACTTTAGATTCATTTTCATTTTCATTTCCATTTCCATTTAATTTTTTAGCTACTTCTTCTTCTTTATTTTTCTTTTCTAATTCAGCAATTTCACTAGCAGTTAAAAATCTACCACCTTGACCTCTTGGTCTTCTCATTGCATGTTTATGTCTTGATTCATGTAAATAAGGTTTTCTAATTCTTGCAATTTTTAAATTTTCTTCAAGTTTTGCTCTTGCTATTCTTCTTTTTAATATTCGATGATATTGTTTAGCATTCACGTAAAAGGGTTGCTCTACCGGTCCTGCAGGATCTGTTGCTGTTGCTTGGTCCGTGCCATTAATAGAGTTTAGTTGATCATCTAATTGTGGCTGTTGTTGCTGCTGTTGTTGTTGTTGGTCTAGTATTCCATCATGTTGTTGATATTGAGGTGTGGCAGTCAATTGTCCATCTACTTCATGAGGTTGTTGTTGATGAAGATGATTAATATTAGTTGGTTCGTTTTGCAAATGAGATTCAGTGTCTTGTTGATTTATATTTATCTGATGAGTTTGCTGTTGTGGATCGAATTGTGAAGGTATATTGTTATTATTTTGTTGTTGACGTTGTTGATATTCCAAGTTGTCAAAATATGAAGACGTAGTACTTGAAGTGGGTGAATTGTCTATCGATTGATGATAAAAATTAGGTTGTGTTTGATGAGGTAGTTGAGGAACACGTTGTACCGTTACTTCTTGTTGCTGTTGTTGATTTGAGTTTGATTGATGGTTATTGTTATTCGTATCATAAAACGTTGAGGATTGTAACGACGTCATATTAATGATAGTTTGTTTGAGTAAAACAACTTTGCTTGAAACGGTTTATAATTTAAATATTAAGTAACTTGATAGTAAGTCTGATCTAGTAGCAGTACGATTCACGTCTTAAATAGAGTTTAAAATTTATTAATATTGAAAAATTTTTGTGACTTTAATGTTTCTATTATTTGAGTTTTTTTGTTACTTATTTAAAATCCCGTTATAATGCGAATCGGATATTTAATAATTTAGAGGGAAAAGTCTAGACAACAAATCCATGAATAAGAGAATTGTTTTTCTATAGTAACAAGCGCTCATAATGGTAAAACACACTTATGTGAGAATAGTTCAATTTGCTGGATGGTGTCTGAGAAGTTGAATGAAAAAGTGATTCTGAGACAAGATTTTAAAGATTAATTAGATAATTTTCTGGGGAAATTGGTAGCCAAACCCTTCAAAAGTTTCAAATTTGCAACCATAATTTGGAAGATGAATAATGGTCTTCACTTACTTCACTCACTACCACTGGAGGTCACAGCGTCATGAACCAATTAAAAATCCAGCTTTGCGACCAAAAGTTCTATTGAAATGACTCGACCATACCATGTCTTCAATCAAACAGATTTACAATTTCCATATGTTGGTTTACAACGTTGCATTTAAAGTAACTTCACCGACAGGCTCTAGCGGCTGTTAAGTCTCAAGAACCTTTAGTCTTATAGAGTTTTAAGTCTCTCGTAGTTTTCAAAATTTTGGTGTTAATGCTTATACATTTACATTTACATTATGTTTCATATTATTATGGAAAAAAAAATATTAGTAAAAAGCAATTACGCTTTTATCATATTTTGAAGCAGTCATCAATTAACAAACCAACGACGTATAATCATTATCAAATGTCAGCAGATTGTGAACAAGATCTATCCCAGACTTGTAAAGCTAAAGCATGTGCAATTCAAGATTGTTTACAAAGAAATGGATATAATGAATCAAAATGTACAAAATATATCGATGAATTGTACAAATGTTGTAAAGAATTTTATGAAGAAAATGGACCTGATGCCAAAAGTGTTTGTTGTCCGAAATTTCCATTATTACAACGAAAATTGGAGCAACGATCTTTAGGACGAATAGATGCAGAATTGATTAGACAAGGCAGAGGGTGACGTAAATACATCAAATTTCAATTTTAATATGACAAGTCCACACTGGAGTATCACGAACGTTCTCAGATTCCCCAAAAGAACCTCCACTGATTAAAGATGATGTTAACATTCAAAATGTATGTTTAGAACCGCGTAGTCAATTCATTACAATAGAATAAACACGACAAACAAAGGCTGGTAAAAACAGTCAATCTATGGCTATACCCGAGCACGAAATAATGATGATCTTATGCATCATTAAGTTGATATGTGGAAGAAATACATAAAAACCGTGACTCTAATGGGTGCCACTAATTAAAGACATTGTATATAGAGAAAAGAAAAGTATGTGAAAACCTGTTTTAAAATTTTTCAAATCAAATTGTAAAATTATTTTGCATCTCGTAATGTCGCATGGATTTGTGTCAAAAAAATAAACACGACATCTTCTATATACTTTGAGTGGCTATATGAACTTACTGGATTATATTGATCCTTCAATTACTTTTACGTATTTTATCATACTCCATAGCATCTGGAATATAAGGTTTATAGTCTATCATGTGTTAGTAAAGTTGTTTTAATTTAATTTTCAAAAATCTTTAAACATACCAGACGAATCGTCTAACCATAGATATTGACCACTTATATTTTTCATAGAATTATCAGCTTTTACGTTACTTTCAAATTCTTTCACAGCTTCATCCAATTCAACAGGTTTTACTCCGGAATCAAGTAATTGTTTTCTCAACATTGCAATATGTAAACCCATTTTAAAATTTCGTTTTGCTATCTCTTTCCTTTCTTGTAATAATGCTAAATCTTTTCTCTTTCTTTCCTTTTGATAATTCAATTGTTGAACTTGCAATGCTTTCAAATTTATTGCATTCGTTTCCGTATGTAGCTTTTCAATCTTAATTCTTTCTGTATAATTATCAATTGCTATGTATGCAAGGGCAAACATTGCAAGTAATGCCGTTATTTCTCGTATTGAACTTTCATGATGCGAGCCTTGGTGTTGCAGTGACGATGGTGGAGTAGATTGTTGTGATTGAGGTTGGTGTGTTTGAGGCTGATACTGTCGATAGTCACTCTGTTGATTATATGTTTGTGGTATCTCACCAGATCCAAAATGTGAGGGAGGGTTACTAGTATTCAAATATCGTCTTAGGTTCAACAACAATCTGTTTCTCATAGAATTATTGATTATCTTTGGTTGAATGATGTAGGGTCCAACTTGAGAGCGGAATAATTGTCTGGTCCATTAATAAATTGAGAGAACGCGCGCATTTTACGGACTTGTCACTAAACATAGAGCCAACTTAAAACATCAACAACTCACACACGTAGAAGTACATAGTTTTGAACATCATCAAACACCTATAATTAGATTATGTTATCATCATCTATATTAATCATTTCACTTTTGATAGTCAATTCCAATCAAAAGATGCGGAACCTTGACAGTTCTGTTTATTATTATTTATTATTATTTATTCGTACGTGATGGATCTTATAGTGAACTTGCTTATAAAATGGTAGCGTCACCATATTGTGATTGATTATCCAGTAGAAAATAAGAATTTAGAAATTTAATAGATCGCCAAATTCAACTTCAACAAAAACAGAAGATCCAGTTCAAAGGGATTTCAAGGAAATGAAAACTTTACTTCAACCTATGGTTATTGCTTTTGACTTTTAATCTGGAGTAATTCTTGTGACTTTAAAATGATGTCTTTGATAAAGATCAAAAAACAGATAATTGGTTGGAGATGAGAAATATCAAAAGGTTAAAGAGAATAATAAAAAGGAGGCACAGTTTTATCAGAATGCGTATATATTCAGTGGTGAACTAATTGGTCGATGCTTTTGATACTAGTGTCGTAAAGTTCCTTACTAAATATGTATGCATTATGATGATCAGATTCTACACCAAGAGTTAGATTGTTAATTTGTTTTACTAATATTGAGATTTCACGTGTATCGTATAGTAGCACGTAGAAGAAACTAGTATTTAAAAGTATTGGAGATTGTATTATTTCTTAAAAATTTCCACATTATTTACCTTCGTACCAAATATCAGGGACTTCCAATATATACCTCTCCATAGCTTCTCTAAATCTGATTCTATATTGTTTCGGAGTTACAATTGTTGGATCTTTACCTTTTTTATTACCTCCAACACCCAATAAATTATTACCCTTGACCCAATTCTCGACTTTTTTATCCCATGTAAAAGTTCTTAACCAGTCAATTATACCAATATACAATTTTTTCAGCATATCATCAATTCCAATAACTAACGAATAATCCATAACATCCATTGCTGAAAGAAACGAAGTATCATTAAACAAGCAACCACGTAATAATTTTTTCAGCTGTTCTTTTACAAATACAGGTGATTCGTAAATGTATTCAATCATATTTTCATCTAATAATACTTCATTTTCTTGACCAGTTTGTTGTACATGTCTATTTCTCATCGAACCTTTCAAATCGAATATTCTTGTAGTCTTATGATTATAAAATAAATTTTCCATGATCAAAAAATCCATTTTAAAAATTTTCCCATTGCTGGCCTTGATTTCAACTTGATAAAATCCGAATATTTTGGCTATAGCTGTCGTTAATGTATAAAACATCGATTGATTAATATATTTGAAATAAAATGGAGCTATCGATACAAATGATTCTAATTCGCTCTTGCTTAGCTCTTTGACGATATACCTATTATCCAAAGTTTTCAAAAAACTTGAACCACTTTTACCACCACTTGATTGCCATTTGATACATCTACTCAAAGATTGAATGAAATTATCGTTCACTCCACAAATCTCTCTCAAAGCTTCAAATTGTTCACTATAAAATATTTTGCATGATAAATTAGTTTGTCCGTCAAAAAATTGATATTTTAAATGATTGGATTTTTTCTTATTCAATATAAATTCAACTTGATTCTGTTTAGTACCATCTTTGTTGGAGCTTCTCTTGGTTTTGAATTTCCTTTCAATTTTACTAAATTGTTGAGCTTTTTTCTCATTGCTTGAACTTAAACCGAAAGAAAATTCTTTTCTAAGATTCTCTTGTTGTTTATCCTGATCTGATTTTGAGTTTCCAGCATCATCTGTTTTGTCGTCATCTTCATCTGTATCCTCAGTTTCTATTTCTTCAACTACTTGATTTAAGTTTCTTGAATTATTCTTCTTTAATGGTCCTGCACGTGTCGCATTAGCATCTGATTTGACTCTCGTAGACGAAGATGTGTATGTATTTTCCGATTCGTTCCCACTACCAGTAGTGGATGATAAGTCATTACTTTTAACAAATGAAGTTTTGATTTTTTGTTTATAATCGTTGGAACTTAAACAAAAAGCAACTAGTGAACTTGGTTCGTCTTCTCTAACTACAACGTCGGAATCTGCAAATGTGTGTTCGTGTGCTTCTAGTGGATAAGCTAATGGATCCCATAATGTAGCAGATCTGTCAGCCCAGAAGTTTGTTAACGATTTCAACAATGATTGTTTTTCAGGAATATCTAATTGCTTCGCAGTTCCAATATCGGAAACGTTCTTCTCTTCCAGCGGAGGTAAATCCCCTTCCATTGATTTCCTTGGTTCTACGTTGGTAGTACTCTTATTTTCCGTTTGAGGAATTTGTGATCCACCAACAACATCTTCAATTTTATTATAAATTTCAACAATCGGTTTACTATCAAGTATAGGTTGTGCTTTGAGTTTAGATTTCTTTTTCAATTCAAGCTCTCTCTGTTTTGAAAATTCTAATGAAATTTGATCATAGTACATCTTGTCAAAAAAGTTTGCTAAATGAATGACTTTGTTCTGAGACGGTATAACTGTATTTATTGACTTCAATGAACTATCTGATCCTCTATGACTCAATGGAATTATTTCCGTTGAAGAAGTGTTACCACTATGAGCAACATCATTAGCACTTTGTTCCCATTTATGAATTCTATCTGAAATTTTTGAATTTTGTTCGTACAATGAACTAGCTGGAAACATTTTTGACTCTACCGATGAATCAGAATGTCTTGCTTCTGACAGTTCCCTTGGTTTACGTGGAACAAATTCTGGAAGTTCGAGTAGTTTCTGATTTTCATTCGTCTCCGCTTCATCATCGTCTTTAGTTGCAGTTACATCTTCAGCAATCGGTCCATTTTGCTCTTCACCATTTTGCTCATCTATATTTTCCTCAGTGTCACATATGTCCTGATCTAATTTTTTCTCTTTGTGATCCTCCTCAGCTTCATCTGAGTTTTCCTTGTCATCAACATATTTGTCCATTAAAAACTTTCGTAAGTGGAATTGAGTAATTTTCTTCACTTCATTTTCACTTGGTAAATACTTTTTTTCAAATTCTTGAAACTCATTATCCCAAGATATTCCTAGCTTTTGCAAATCCTTGTACATCACATTCAAAGATAAGTAATTGGTAACTTTAGTATCCTCATAAATGCTTTGTAATTTTTGATGAATTTGTTTGGAGTCATTTTCTAATTTCTCTTTCAACTCTCCAATTCTTTTATTTCCGTCCTTTGCTTTGACAAAAGTATCTAATTTAACTCTATTTAATCTTTTCATAATTGAATTAAAAAATGATTGAGATTTTAGTTTGAGAGCTCTGAATGATTCTAATTTCAAATCAATGTCAATGTCAGAAATAAACTCTAATTGCTTCTTAGGTACTATAATTTCATAAGTATCAATTTTTGAATATTCCAATCTTATGACTAAATCATTAAATGCAAAACATTTGACATATGATTTGAAAAAATCATGCTGACAACCACCATGGGTATCTTGTCCATAAAAAATCAATTCAAAATATTTACCAATCGACATATAATAGGTATCATCACTCATAGCCATGATTGGGGTTATGTAATTACATTCTTTGCAATAACTCCACATTACTCTTTGATTTTTTCCCTGATATTCATCACCATGAGAACTATTAAATCTAATATCGTATTTTTCAGTTATTAAATCTACTTTAGCATTACCATGAACATAATTTTTATAATGATCCAATAATAATTCTCCACATTCATTACATGTTTTTTGACTATCATAAAATACTTGATCCAAAAATAGCCCCAAACATTTATCATTTTCGGTATAATAATCAACAACTACTATATTTGGTCCAGTACATGGTGTTGCATGTTTTATTGAAATAATTGAATGTAAAAGATGAATATTTCGATGAAAAATTGGGTATAATTGATATGAGGTGTATTTTAAACAATTGGACCAAATACGAGATCGTAGTTGAAAATCTGATAGTAGGAAATTTAAATAATTTGCACTTGAGCATTTCATTATTCTTAACAAATCAACTTCTTTTGATGGTAAATCATCCACTTCATAAGTTATTTTTAATTGATCTTTCCATGCGGGATTTAGTTTATCCACTGTAGAAACATTTCTAATGATTGAATTGATTTTGTAATAATTGAAATATTTGACGTATGCTTCAATGACATTCACTAAAGGAGTTGGAAGATTGAATTGAACACATGGAGATGAACTAATCTTTCTCGTGTTGAAAGAGTTCAAAAAATCAATAACTTCGTTGCGATCTAATTTTGGTTCTATCAATTGCCATTGATCATCACTTTGTATAGCCTCAGTTTTGTTATTGATTTCAACCAATTCTTTTCCTTTTGCTGCTTTTATTGATGTTAAAAGCATATTACTAAATAAACTTTTTTCAAATCTTGCATTTAAATATCCAGTCATTAATGTTTCCGCAGAATACTTAATACTTTCCAATAATTCTTCATTACCACCTCTTAAAGAAATTGTAAAACCCATTTGTTTATTTGTTCCAGTGAAGAAAGTAAAAGTTTTAATTTTATTTCCATATTTAAATCTTCTAACTTTAAATTCATCACATACACCTAAATTGCCTTTCTTGAAAAATAAATCATTAACAGATTGAAAAATATCGGCATTAGTATATCTCGATATACGTTCAATCACTTGAGGTTTAACATTGGAAATGGTAGCAATGCCGGCATCTTCTAATAATTTCTCAGCTAAACCACAAACAGTATCTCCTACAACAACAACGTCAGGTTCTAAAGAAACCAATTTCGATACCAAATTCGTGATATACACTGATTGTTGTGCATGGATGATTCTTAAGCTTATAAATTGTTCTTTTTGTTTCAAATATTCAATTGGAAACATAAGTAATGCAATTCTTGGAGTTTTTATTTCAGAAGCCATTTTTTTAGAGTCAACGTCATTCGTCATAAATAATCCATTAATTACTTCAGTTTGATCAATCGTACCACCTAAAATTTTCTTTATCTTCACATATTGACGAATGTCTAAAGTGTCAGTAACTTTTATATCATTAATTGATTGTAAAACATCTGTAAGTACATTCACCCAATCATCAAAATTTTCCGTTACATTACAATCATGCAAAGATTGTTTAAGCAAATCGTTGAAATGATCATTATAAAGATTATTTTGATTAGCCGCAGGTTTCACTAGATTTTCATCATATTTCACTAAACTGTTTGAGTGTTGGTAAGAAAAATAGTCCATATCATTGTCATTATTATTGCTTTGTTTAGCATCTAATGCAGTACTTGTAGATATCCTTGGTCCAATTGGTGACAATTCCGAATCTGATGGACCAGACTCTTCACTATTAATCTCTGAATCTATTTCAGCTTCATTTTTCGTAATAGCAGTTGTTAAATTTGATCTTGTTGGTCTTTCAGGTACAGGTGAAGAAGGTGATGAAATTGTTGATAAATTTGTGCCTATCGTATGATTTCTTGGAGTTGGTGATTCTAAACTAGGTAGTCTATAAATGTTTTGAGTTAATATCAGAACATTTCTAGTTGCTTTACTTTGTCTTCTAGACCTCATACGTTGTAAAGAAGCATTTGCTCTCGCTTTTGATCTTAATGTCTCCGGTCTTGCTGCTGAATTTGTAAAACCTACATTATTTCCCATAAACATATTTGGATTTTGAGTAGTTGCACCTCTAGAATCCAGAAATTTTGTTTTGATAGATGGAAATTCTCCTAATGTAGGAACTGTTAGTGTTGAATTATATAAACGACTTGCATTTGATCCAATTGGTGTTGATGAATAATAATTTTTATCATTAAGGGAAGAATATAATGACATCGCTCTTTCATCTTCTTCGTCACTTTGATCAAAATGTCTGCCTCTAGATTCATTGACATTTTCATTCTCACTATCTGTAGTTGAGCTTGAATCTTCAACATCAGCTTCGTCATCCTCGATTCCATGATTTGTAAATGGTTCGTTTTGACTTCGTCTTTTCTCCGACGCAGATCTTAATTTAAATGATGGCTTTCTAGACATATAATTATTGTAAAAGGAGTTTATATTTTCAAAACTATGATTAATTGTGAGATCTTGTTTGTTACCACCTGATGAACTAGTATTTAATTTTCTCGAGGATCCAAATGTATGAATTTGATTTAAATGATGATTAATTGGAGTCACAGGTACTACTGACCCATGATTAGATTGTGGCAAATTTCTATGTGCTAAAGTATCCACTTTAAAGCTTGAACTATATTTATTAATAGGATGTCTCATGAGATTACCATTACTTATTGAATTTCTAGTTATTGGGATTTCAACAGACTCACCAGCTCTAGTTGTTGGAATTGCCATACGAGGTGCTTGTTTTGGATTAGATTTAATTGATTCATCTGGATAAATAAAGTGTGTATTATCACGGGATGGTGAATCACTGATTGAACCATGCTCACTTGGTTTTGAATTTATTGATTCTGGGAGATTATTATTATTTGCATGAGAGCTAGTTGACATTGATCTAATTTTCGAAAGGGGATGATTGGGTACCAATAGATCTTCATTTTTGGATTTATCTTCAATTGCTTCTTCATTTTCATCATCTGATTCTGATCCTGAAGAATCATCACTTAAATAAATAATAACATCACTATAACATGGTTTACAAACTCTAAGTTTATCATTATAAGGCTTTTTAACAACAACATTATTTCTTTCATCTTGATGTTGAGTATATGAAATAAACATTGTACAATCTGAACAAAAAATCTGACCACAAAATCTACAATGATGTTTTCTTCTAAATGCAGTAAAAGGTTTAAAACAATTTAAACAATCTGAAACAAATGTATCATTCATCCAATATTTCTTGGGTATTCCACCATTTTTTAATGGATTCGCTGATATCTTTTTTGGTTTCTTTTTCTTTCGCCTAGTTCCAACAATTGATGATGCAGATGATGTTACGACATTGAGGTTTTGATTAATTATGGTTTTAGCATTATCCAAAAATAAGGTTGAAAAATTTGAAGATTTTTTTTTAATTGCATTATGGTCTTTATCTTGAATTGCTTGAAAAGATGATACAGTAGGTGATGCACCTAATGTGGAAGATATTATTGATTTTCTCTTGGAGCTGACTCGAATTGGTGATGGTCTAGATATTGATTCACCATAAAGCGATGCCAAATCATATTGTAGCTGATGAGTATTATTACCCTTCAAAGGTAAATCACCATCATCCTTGGATATTTGAGATGAAGCTTCTGTGTTAGTGTGATGTACTGTGTCCAGATCTGATGCTGAATCATCCGAAAGTTCAATATCATTCGGTAGATTATTGAAAATTGTTGAAATTTTGCTAGTTAAAGATTTACCTCTTTGTGGTTCAGTTTTCTTTTTATTTTGAGTTGAATTTTCACTTGTCAGTTCATATGGATCTACTGTAGCTTGTGCATTCACATTAATCACAGAACTTGTAGCACTTGGAATTGATGATTGAATTTTTGGAAATTGTAATGTAGACAATCTGAGAGATCTATGATCTGATGAAACTTTTGGTTGATCTTCTGATGTTGATTTTCGAACTTTATTCACACTCATAGATGACAGTACAACCAGTGAATTATCTTGATTTAATTTTGGTTGTTGTTCCAGGCTTTTTGATTTGTGAATTTCTGTAATGGGATCTATCTTATTTTGACTAGAAAATGAGTCCTTCTTTTGTTCAACATGATCATGATTAGCTAAACTTCTGACTGTTGATACAATTGACTTTTTATCACCTTCAAACTTTGATGCATTTAAGTGAATAGGTAATTCATGATTCCCTCCTTCTTCCAAATCATTTGTTATGTCTATATTATGATTAGATTTCACATCATCATCAGCATGAATAGATGATTGTTTAGGGGAATAATTTTGAACTAAATTAGTGGCATTTGTAGTGACTTTTCTTAAAGTTTTCGAAATTAAACCAGATATTGAATTATCATTATGATTTTCTGGGTCTGCTATAGTTGGAAATGATACAAAATCAGCATTATCACCCACTTTATTAGTAGTTGATTCATCATCACTATTATTTGAGCTTATCGGATGAATTTGAATTGATGGTGCTAATGTATTTGAATTATGCCTTAGACTAGTTGTAGACTTCTTTTTAGTTGCCATTGGAAGATATTGCAATTAGGACTATCAGCTATTCATCGATTTTGGTGAAAGTTGTTGATTTGTGTGGTTTTTCAATTAGATCCTAGATATTCACGTATTCCACACTAAATACTGATAATAATAACAAAAACAATATACTTTTGACGTGAGTGGCGCTACCAAAATAGCTTTTTTACCCCAGATCTATACAAAAAGAGATAAAAAATCAGCTTTTTCTAAGTGAATCTCAGTGTTGAGTTTAATTCACTAAATAAAAGCAAAACAGTCAGTATCAGGCCTTTAATGAGAGAAGTTGAGGAAATTGTTTCACTATCTTTGATAAGAATTTCTTCTGTGGCAGGTGGTAGCAGAATTTCAAGTCTATGAATTTCAAATCCGAGAAACTGAAATGGTCATCTTACGATTCGGAGCATCTTATAAAGTTCGGTTAAACTAAATCAAAACCACACCTAGCTTCAAATCAATCTTATCGAACAATTTATTCAAGCAATCAATTCGATATATACAAAGGGAACATCGAAATTGAAAGCTCACAATTTTGATAAGGAAACAAATTTATAGATATTCGGACTTTGATAAACATCAGACCAAAAAGTTTAAAAGGTCCAAATTTAAAGTAATGCAAATATAACAACTAACGTCATGAGTAAGTCAATTGAATCAACAACACCGGAGATACAACTGCAGTCCCACATAGAATCTAAAGCAACACATCACCCTACTCCACATCATCATCATCATCTACATCATATACATCATACTCAACATAAACATCCAACAACCCCACACCATCATCATCATATTGTACATCATCATCATCATCCTCCACATCAACATCACAATCATAATCATAATCATAACCATAACCACAAAGATGAATCAAAACCAAATGAAAATACCGAATCAATGGTAAATCATACCACAAAATTATCAAATACGCGACATATACCCAAGCTAAATATGGAACCAATAGAATCAATAATTAAAGAATTATTTCCTTATAGAAAGTTTTTAGGAACTATTATATATAATCCAACAACAACATGGGAAACATTACAAACATCATCATTATATGGAATAAGTAAACCATTACAACAAAGATTTAAAGAAATTAAAAAAAATTATAAAAAAAGATTAAGCTACAATAAAAGACGAAATTTAAATTTTACAACAAGATATATTCCAATTATACCACCATTACCAAAAGAATATATAAATAGTATAATAGAAATTAAAATTCCATTTAGATATATAATAGAATTTAAACAAGATTTATATAATGGTTTATTAAAAAGAGAAATTTGGGGAGGAGCAAGTGGTATATATACTGATGATTCAAATATTTTACAAGTTTTATTACATTTAGGATTTTTTAATGATACAATAGATTTAAGTACATGGAATAAAAAATGGCTGAAAAAGGATATTATTAAACCTATATATTTTGAAAATTTTGAAAACTTTAAAATTAAAAATCATAAAAGAAGAAAAATTAATGAAAATGATGGACGTAAAGATGAAATTAAAGAAAATACTGAAAATAGAGAAACAAAACATGATATTCAAAATATAGATGATAAAGTATATGGAGATTTATCAATTGAAATATTATTATTACCTCCATTACCTTCATATCATGGTTTTTTCAATAATGGTATAAATTCAAGATCTTGGAATTTAAATCAAAATTCAAATGATTTTCATAATGGTTTAAGTTTTGCCGTGTATAATATAAAATGGGATAAAAGAAATTCTTATTTACAAAATAAATTAATTTATAATCAAATACAAGCAGAAGATGAAGAAGACGAAGAAGAAGATGATGATGATGATGATGAATTTTGAATTTGAATCATGATGTATATAATGAGATGTTTGTAATTGATAGATTAATGAATGTGGAATGACCCTATGTTTGATAACCTGTGGTCATGGTTTAAAAACTATGAGATAATTTGAATATTTCGTTACGCAATTCTCAACCAACATAATGATTTATAATTCCATGGAATATGAGGTCAAATAAGGCTCGTACATAAACTTTCAAGTACAAGAACTTTAATTGCATCTAGCTGATGTTTATTCCAAACGTGAAAGTAAATTTTCCCGACCGATAATAGAGTTATGAAAAAAGGCAATTCACATTTCATAAAAAGTATGGTTTATTGTAAAAACTAAACATTCCAGAACAAAATTTTAAGCTTGAGGCAAAACTTCAAAAAAAAACGAGCATCATTTCAACTATTGAACACTTTTTCAAACTCACATTAATAATTATTTTAATTTAAAATCAGGGTCTATACCATGAAATGGCATAACACGTTTCTGATAAAGATACTTTAATTCTTCCATATTTAATTGTGAAACTATCAACCTTCCTTCATATAAATCAATACATATAGCTTTGCTTTCAATATCACTAACATTAAAGGTTACATTCATATCACTTAATTTGTTAATCATCTTGTTGTCAAAGAAGATACTATGTGAGTCCGATTACAATAAGTAAAACTAAAATTTTGGGATTATACTTTGTTTTTATATTCTACAAAATTTAAGGAAAGTTTACCTGTTAAACTTCTTCTTCCCTTATTTTACTTTTTTTTACCTAAACATGAAAAAAAAGTAGTTCAATACTAGAATAGATGATAGAGTTACTACAAAACACAATTCACATTTCATAAAAAAGTATGATTTATTGTTGAAACTAAACATTTGGAAATAAAATTTCTAGCCTGAAGTGAAGTATCAAAGAATTGTTATACCTATTATATCCTTTAATTAAGATATCAAAAACACATTAATAATCAATTTTGATTAAAATTGAGATCTCTTAGTTTACGAATCTGAATATCACCATCATAATAAAGATCCTTTAATTCATCAGCACTTAATTGTGTTATTATCAATTTTTCTTCAAATAATTCAATACATAATGCTTTGCTATTAAAACCACTAACTTTTAAATTAATATTCATATCACTTAATTTTTTATCCACTTTGTTATCCTCTTTGTTATCCACTTGATTAACCATTTTGTTCTATGATACACTTCCAGTACGATTACAACAAGTATAGTTGAGATTTAGAATTTTAGAATATACTCCTGCTTTTATATTAGACAAAGATTAAAAAAAGTTTATGTGTTGTGACTAACATGTCTTTTTGTTTTACTTTATTAAGAAATGGTATTGAATTGGACTTATTTCAAGCTTTTTCAAGTTGGCTGCAAAATTAAATTTTTGAAAACTTAAAACAAATTTAAATTGAGCTCAATTGGTAGACAAGTAAAATCTCAGTACTTTTCCTATATTTTCTTCGTTTCTGCATCTTAGCTTGTTAGTGTTTGGGGATGAATTGATTCGAATTTTGTATTACTGTAAAATATCTGATAAAACTAAATTGAATAACCACATAATCTAAAAATATTGTTCAAACATGTTGTTTCAAATCAAAAAAACACGAATTAGGAATACAAGTGCTCCATTTGTTGTTAAGTGAGTAGTCCCTTCAACTAACAACCATTTTTGAGGGTAAGAATGGTTTTGGCGTCAACTCTTTTAGTATCATATAACTTGTTGTAAAAGTTTCTCAATCAATATTTTGTTATAAAAATGTTTCACCCCACATTATTATTATTACTTAATTAAGATTATTAATTTTATTAAGTAGTCATACATTATTATTATTATTATAAAATATTATAAAATATTATAATAAGATCGAGACCAAATGAATCACGTGTAAAAGTATTATTGATTGATGGGTAAGAGGGGAATAGTAAATGTAAAGCTATCTGAATGCTACTCTATCAATAAGCTGGACCGTATTAAATGTCTAATCATATACGAATTTGTGTATTATGTATATTAATGTGAAATTAATTTAGAAATTATATCATCAAAAATTCACCATCTAATCAGATCCAATCAAATAAAACTTCAAAATATGTGTAATTGTAGATTTTGCTCCTATGGTTGTGAATGAATTTTCTAGGATCACACTGGCTATACTCATAAAAGGAAGATCAACCCAACTAAATTGTATTGATAAAACGGTTTGGATTATGAAACAATGTTCATAATTTCATATACCGCCTTATCCCTAAATTTTAAAAGTTTTGTTGGTTGGCTAGTTTTTAATTCGATTTCTCGTTTTACTCTCAAACGCTCTCGACCTAAAAGACAAAAGAATTGGAGCGAGAAATTGAGGAGAATTGATTAATTTCGTTGTAGATTAATACGATAACAGTAACAAAGAGATACAAAAAAAAAAGAAATTTAAATATGCATCACAAGACGATTATTTTAGTCTTTAGTTTTTAGTCTTAGTATCAGTAGTATATATATATAATCATATATTAATCACCTCTTTATTAATTTCAAATTTTTGGCAACCATCTTTTACAACCAGCATATCATATATCTTTCAGGTCTATATCGGATAATTAGTATAAAGATACAGATTATCATAATCATCATTTAGTTCTTTCAGTTAGTCTTTGATATACTAAAATAATATATCTTTTTTTCTTGACTTTTTAATAATAATATTAATAATAAGTTAGTTATTCATAATCTTGGGTTAATACGGAGGATAAGGAGAAATTTAAAATTAAAGACAAATTTAACTATTCAATTCATTTTCTAATTCATTTACTACACTTAAAGACCTACATCAGTCACTTTACTCATTAATCAACTAATTCATCAACTTAACTGACATTTTCATTCATTATTCATTCATTCTTAATATTTGTGTTATCATTACTACAATAAATTTTTTTTTTTTCTCAAATTAATATACATAATATCATTCAAATTTTTTACATTTTTACAATTTTTATTTAATCTATGTCAAGTGAAGTTCATAGTATAAACGAATATTATAAACCAAAATCAAATTCAAATTCAAATTCAAATTCAACTTTATCAAAATTAAGAAAAGCTCAATCAACTCCAAAACTACGATTAATAAATAATAATACAGCTAATACTACTACAAAGGAAATAAAGAGTAGTACTAGTAATAATAATCTACAATCTCACAATCATCATCATTTTAATCCATTAAAGAAGAAGAAAAGAAATACTCCAATAACTTCTTATCAAACAGTAATAGACTCACAAGTTTCTTCAACAAATTCAAAAAATTATTCAACTTCAAATAAACCATTACCTGCATCACCAACGTCACCAACTTCACCAACTACATCATCAAGTTTTTTCAAAAAAATATCAAACGAATGGAATTCATTTTTGAAAAAAATAAGATCAATATCAGAAGAAGTATTTGATGTTGATGATTTAATTGAAGAATTATTTGTTGATTCAGATTCTGATAATAATTTAAATTCTTCATATACTTCTATAGATAAATTTATGAAATCAACTAATAACAATAATAATTCAACAGAAGAAAGATTTTTACAAGATTATAAAAAATTTAAAAATTTAGATAATATGTATTCATATTACAATCAATCACCACCTTCTCAACAAGCTCAACAAACTAATCAACCACAAAGTGGATCAAATGATGTAGGCAGTTCAACCACAGTTGTATCTGATCAACAAAGTAGTTTCAATATAAGATCAACATTACAAGATGTAATACGACATCATCAAAATCAATTTAATTCAAATTATTTAAATTTAGATAGTATATCATCAGATTCAGATTCAATAAATGATTTAGAAAGAGAATCAGATGGAGAAGAAAATGATACTGGTGGTGAAGATGATGAAGATTTAATTACTGCAACTGGTTCATCTAATGATGATATACAATTCAATGATATTGATTTTACTATATTAAGAACAGAATTTGAAACAATGTTAGCATCACAATCATCATCAACTTCACAACAATCCCCATCACAAATTGATAAAAATTTCATATCAAATAATTCAATAAATCAAATAAACGTAGGAACAACATTATGGAATTATAGAAGATCAAAATGGTTAATTTCAAATAAATCCAACACAGAAATTAAAAAAAGAATTGTTAAAAATTCAATAAATAATAAAATTCCCAAGGATCAATATTATAAATTATATTTGTTGTTAATTGATAAAAATAAATCTTTAAAATCTAATAAATTTATTAATTTAAAAGAATTGATTAAATTAATTCATATTGGTTGGATTACTGAAAAAAGATGGGAACAATAAGTTTCAAAACTAATGTTTAATAAGTAATATTTTTGTAATTTTGGCATTTGATAATTATACATTTTGGTAATTATGTAGTTTAATGAAATAATGTTATGGGTCTGAATTATATTTTTGCAATTTTCTTCATGATCTCTATTTGGAAAATCTTCAACTTTGGTACTTTTCTAAATTCGCATCGTAGTAAACTTATTAATTTTATCAAAACCTAGTTAAATAATTCTCATTATGTGAAATTTTATACTTTATGAGTGAAAACTTTTGGGAAGTAGAGGATTTGACCTATTGAAACAGATCTCAACGATCGAATTGGTATAATCTTCGTTGTTCTAAAACACGTTATTGAAAAACTTTTTTCACAGTGGATTTTCCATTTCATCGATGTGACCACCTATATTTGTTTGACGATAAATTATAATCAAGACTCAATGGATGAATCAAAATGCACTAGATAAAAAACTAACAATTTCTTTTCCCAATGGTAGTTGTACCTTCACGCTCTGATTATAAATAAACTGATCCTTTTTAACATTAAATTTAAACAATTAGTGAAGTTAATGAAAATTTTAATTTATCAACTTTGAGCTCTACCCACTGATTTTCTTCCATCAATCAATTTTAAAGTATTTTCAAAAATTCTTAAATTTAAATCAATAATTTCACATCTTTTTTGTAAATTTAAATCTTCTTTTGAATCAATATTATCATTCTTTTTATCGATTGTTTCTTTCTCAAATTGATTATATTTTTTAAATTCAAAATCACAACGATTTATAAACTTCTCTAATTTATTTTTAACTTTAATTAATTCATAAAAATTTAAAGAAATATCATTATTTAATTGATTTAAAATTTGTTTATCTAATTGTAATATTGTTGTAAATTTATCAATTAAAGTTGATGATTCACTTGATGAATTTATTGTAAGGAATTGATTTAATAAAAAATTTAATATTTTTGTATATTCTTGGGATTTTCTAAGATTTTCTTGTTGATTTAGCTTAGCTTCATTTAATAATGTTGTATGTGATGGTTTGGTGTTTTGTTGTTGTGATGTTGACATTTTGATAACTATTTCGAGGTACTTGTTGTAAAACAAATCAAGAATTAGCTCCCATAAACGTTAATCAGACTAGATTTGAGTAGTTTTATGGAATTTGATAGATGATTAATTGATTGATTGATTGATTGATGTGTTGAGTATCGGGTATAAATGTAAAATCGTTATCAATTTGATCTCTAGATAACGAGCATGGAGAAATCGCGCGTTATCGCATCAATAATATAATCCAACGTAAAAATAACGAATAAGTAGTTATAGACCAATTTGGTTCTAAATATCTGTTATTTCAGATGGAGAAAGTTTAACTCTAATTAAACCTCAAGACTTCATACACGATTTTTCATGCACGATTCAAGCATGACAAACTTTAGAGTGAATTGGAATTTTTTTATTATCATAGAAGTAGACTGTCACAAAAAAGTGGTTTCAAAATGCTAACAAATTTGGTAGCGTATAATATAGTTGAAATTATACTTGTAACATTGGCTTGATCCCCTATAAATAAAAATTATAACAGAGGTGCTCCTAAGTTGCATTGTACTAATAGATTATTGCATTGTACTAATATATTATTGCATTCTAATGACTCGATCAGATTCTTGACTCAAAATCAAATCAAAGAAAAGATTGGTAAAAACATAATTTGTTTCATGAGCTCTGTTTCTTCCTAACCCCTAAACACATTATTTAGGACGAAGCAGATAAATGGCCAAATTATTCTTGTTAGTTAGTTGTTTAATTCTTCTGCATTAACTCGTCAACACACTCCAATTTATTGCATGTTGGGCTAGATCATTCTTGATGATATACATCACAATCACGTGCTAATCAAAATGTAGGTCTTTAAACCTAAGCAGCTTTTTGGCTGTGGCTACCAGCTGTTTGCGTGTTTTTGGAGCGTACCCTAAGAAATATGAAACAAGTTGTTTAGTTGGATATATGTTGCAGGTACAACAATAGTGATCATTGAAGTATCTGTTACAGTAAGCTGAGGATACTACAATTAGAAGGTCTGATGACCAAAGCATAGTATTCTATATGAGTTAAATGCTGGTACCTAAAATACGCACTGATTTAACTTTTGTGTCACCAATCTCATGATAATAATGAAAAAAAAAAAAATTATTCAAAGTTTTCAATATATAGAAGTTCAGCTAATCAACACTCACTAGCATATACATATAACTATACAAACATGGCTCCAACAAGTACAATCAGCAGGGAATATACCATCAACCTTCATAAAAGAGTATGTTATATTGCAAAATTAAATGGGAAATGTAAATGGGAACTATGCATGATTAGATATGAATAAAATAACACGGGAAGAGTAATTAAACGAATCAGTACTGAAAAAATAAATAGGATACAATTTGGGTCATCAATTTTCGATCCGTGTCAATATGACTTGTAGAGAAATTCAAAATGTCAAGTCCACTAGGATCAGTTATGTCTTGAGAAGACCATCTTATTTATAGGATTTCAATTTAAAGTGCATATCCATTCAGACACAATTTTTCCAAAACATAAGACATTTCAAATACTAACTATCTTCTCCTTTAGTTACACGGTGTTCATTTCAAAAAGAGAGCTCCAAAAGCTGTAAAAGAAATTAGAAAATTTGCTACTTTACATATGGGAACTACTGATGTTAGATTAGATCCAAAATTAAATGTTGCATTATGGAAAAGAGGTGTACAAGGTGTTGAACATAGAGTTAGATTAAGAATTTCAAGAAAAAGAAATGATGAAGAAAATTCAAAAGAAAAAATGTTTGCTTTTGTTGAACCTGTAATTGTACCAACTACTAAAGGATTACAAACTGTTGTTGTTGAAGAAGATTAAAGAGAGATTTTTTTAATTTAGGGTAGGTCTATAGTTAATGAAGTTAAAATAATAAAATTGGAGAAAATTTGTAGTTCAAGTGTTTTGGAGAGAAATTTGTCACAGCAAAGTCTTGATTGAATAAATCGCTCCTACTCAATTTACAGCTCTTACTTGAGATGCTCCATCTCAAAGATTGGGTTTTTGAGTTCCATAAGATGCAAAAATGTTGCAACTTATTCAGTAGCTCGGGTCTATTGATTATGGATTCTAGAGAGTTAGTTATAATCGAACAGCTTTGAGAGCTGAGGTGAAATTCTTCTTTTCAAGTATGGATCCCAATTCCAACACCGAAGAATTACTTCGAGCCCATTGTAAATTATGCCAATTCACTTCAGGTCTTTTTAAGTTTTAGCACGTTTTCGTAAAACATTTATACCGCATGTACACTATTGAAATTAAACTTGAATGCGAATGAGATTCTGCAAATTAAGACAGTCCATAAAAGACTAAATAATTTAATCTCTGAAAAGTCGAATCCGTATAATAATAGTGCTAGTGTCGGTGCTCTCTTACTGCGTTTAAAATTCGATGATGGGACAAACTGAAAATAATGAGTTAGTAAAACAATTCTAGAATCTAATTCCCATATTATCAATTCAAGTTTATATAAAAAATCAGTGTAACTATGACTATAATACCATATCATAGCCAGAAAATTTTGTATATCAAAGGAAATTAAATCAAAACGATAAAATAACACAATTAATTGATTAAAATTTTCCAATTATGGCTCTTAAATCGGTATGAAAAATTAAAAATAAATTATCATCATTTAAATAACATTGAATTAAAATATTAGAAAATCTAAGTTGGTAACATACTGTTCATATCGTGTGATGATTATGATATGTATTATATTCTTATTTTTTCATGTTTTGGTTCATCTTAGACTTTTTATTTTTTTACGAGAATAAAAATTTGTTAATATCCCGTACTCTACGAGCAGGGTAAATGATTCCATTGTGTACTGAGAATCAATTTGTTCGAAAATACGGAATGAAAGGACCAAGACCAAATAAACCCCGAGCTTTCCGTTTAAACACATTGACTGCAAGAATTGTGGTTATCAAACAATTGAGTTTTGTTTTATACTTGAGATTATCAAATATGTTATATCCAAATCAAATTGCAATTTTTGAATTGATTACAATTATTTTGTAACAAAATCAAACCAAATATATTTAAGATTTATTGCGGTACAGACGTTAAACCTTGTGTATTGCGGTACAGATGTTATTTACAATTATAAAGCCGATGATAAATTTAGAACACGGGGTCAATTTTTGTGTCAAAAATTTGCCATAATTTGTGTTTTTGTGTCAACGTTTCAGTATTTTCTTTTTTAATTGACCAGATCTCAAACGTGCCTACTTCCATAAATCACTAGTTAATCAATTCTTAATGTATATTTCTAAAATATCTATTTTCGGTATGAATCTACTTAAATTTTTTACCAAATACAATAACTTGTAATTGATCATATAATGAAATGACCAATGCACCAGCTATACCTCTCAAAATATTTGCACCACAACCTTTAAATAATGATGCAACACCTTCGGTTTTAACAACTTGGTTGAAAGCATCGAAAGCACTTTTATATTTAACAGCTTGTCCTGAAGTCATCATCATTCTTCTTCTAACAGTATCTAATGGATAAGAAGCAGTAGAAGCACCAGTGGTAACAACCCAACCTAATAAGAATGAAGCTAAGAATGAACCTTGTAATGGACCAACTAAAACAACTGGTTTTAATGAATCATATAAACCAAAATATAATCCTCTATAAACAATAATACCAACAACTGAAACACCAAAACCTCTATATAAACCAGCAATACCATCAGTTGCTAATGTTTTTTTATAAACATCAATTAAACCATTAAATTCTCTACCTTTACCATCTCCTTTTGAAGATTTAGCATCATTAGCTAATCTTGTTCTTGCATAATCTAATGAATAAACAAAAAGTAATGAAGTTGCACCAGCTAAACCACCAGAAGCTAAATTACCTCCGAACCATGCCCAATAATTTTTATCTTTATTAAAACCAAAAAGTGCTTTAAATTTATCTTTAAAAGCAAAATTTAAAGCTTGAGTTGGGAAATATCTAATAACATTAGCTGTATTACCTCTCCAAAATGAAGCTAAACCTTCATCTCTATAAGTTCTTCTAAAACAATCTAAAATACCAGTATATTTATGAGATAATCTACCTTGTTTAATCATTTCATCTTGATTTTGAATTAATAATTTAACTCTTTCAATTGGTGCAGCAGCAGTTTTAGAAATGGCGGCGGAAACACCTCCCATAAGAAAATCAATTAAGAATTTTGAATCCATTTTTAGTCTTTACTCGTGTGGGGCTTGTTGAATCTGATTTTAATTGAATAGATAGATTTGGAAATCAACAAAAGTGAAAAAAAAAAAGAGTTGTTCAATTGAATTTCGACAATTTTTTTTCTCCCTATTAACTAAGTTAAAGCAATAAATTTATCTTAATTTTAATTTGATCCCTTATCTATGTACTTTAACTTTATTATGTAGAACATGTTAAATAAATAACCACATTTTTTTAATTGGAATAAAAATAAAAATTGCAAAAAGCATTTGGTAGTTCTTCCCCACATTAATATTTTGTTTCGGATTATTTTGAATTCTCGCTTTCTCCAACTTTAACGCAGCTCCAGCGGTTGAAAAATTTAAAAATATAGATCACAACCAGAACCTCAACCATTAGAAGCATCACTTGCACAATATGCCATCAATAGCGAATGGTAATACTATAAATACACAGACTCAAAGCACTCCATCTTCGGCGATAGCGAATGTCAATATAATTAATGATCCTAAACTTAATCAATATGATATAGTTGAAATTTCAAAAGATATATTTCTGGGACTATTTCCTGATATTAATGAACAAGATTTGAATTATCCTATCCATACCCCTGAAAATACATTCATACTAGTCAAATTATTAGGTGCACCAGATTTTTTTAATAAGTTTCAAATTTTAAAAATTGATAGAGTACTATTCAAGCAAACAAATTCAATAAATTTCATAAATAATTCGAATTTAGTCAAATTTAATAGTGACTCATTAACGTTAAATAAGGCTATTGTAAAGCCTATCGACAGTACCAATATACCTAAATTAACACAAGTATTTGTATCTGCACCAAATGATATATATCATCTATTAAAAGATAAATCTCAACAATCCATTAAACAATTATTTGTTACTCAATTTTTAACTAGTAATGGAAATGTGGTTAATGAAGGAGATTGTATAAGAGAGATTAATGGGAAAGTTAAATTATGTGAACCATTAGCTCAAGGTTTGGTTGATTTTGATACAAACTTTGTTTTAATCAATCAAAATGAGGAATCAGTAAATATACTAGATAATTTGGAAACTGAAGAAATAGAGAATGATCCATTGGACTTATCTTCATATCTATCATCCAGTTTACAATTTGATAAAGTTACAATTCCATCACCGAAAAAATTCTTAGTCAAGCCATTACCTGAAAAAATGAATGTAAATGATTTACCAGAAGATTTGAAAAAAGAAGATAGTGAATTATTCGTATATATAAACAACTCGGATTTTATAAAATTAGGTTTTCCCATATATAATGGTGACCTTGTTAAAATCAAAACACCTTTAGAATCAATAATTGTGAGAATATTTAATTTTACCGAACCTCAAACATCATTTAAAAATGGTTCAGTTTATATATCACCAATACTATTGGTAAACTTAAATTTACAAAAAGACACTCAAGTTGAATTTGAAAGAGTTGAGGAAAGTACGACATTAACGTCATTAATTCCCATAGCAGAATCAGCAACAATTTCTAGAATAAGTTCACAAATTACAATGGACAAAACCTATCAAGCAAATTTTTTTTCAAGTTTAAAAACAAAACTCAGTGATCAATTGAAATGTGTCAAACAAGGAGATTATTTTCCTGTTGTTATTGACACTGTATTATCTAAAGTTATGTTTGATAATTCAAACGACGATAATCAAGAAAATGAAAGTACAAATGAACATAATAATGAAGTTATACCAGAAGGTAATCCAGACGCAGTTGCTTGGTTCAAGATTACTGAAGTGAAAGGTATAAATGAAATTGGAACAAATCAGTTTCTCATAGATCCAGCAAAGACATTACTTGTATCTTCAGGTGTTGAAAGTACAAAACTACCAATGAACACATATACTAGATGGTATCAATATTTGAATTTACCTCCTATTTTCAATTATTCGGGGAACATCAAAAATTTCAAATATGCTCAAGAATTTTCCAACATTCTCAAAACTTGTACAACCTCAAAACTTAATCTAAGAACAAGTATTTTACTAACGTCAATGAGTAGAGGTATTGGAAAGACTACCCTTGTAAGAAGCACATGTATAGACATGGGTTTAAATCTAATTGAACTTGATTGTTTTGACTTTATAAACCCTGGTCAAGAATTAAAAACCATTGGGTTATTGAGTGGGAAAATAGATAAATATATTTCAAATGTAGAATCAAATAATGCATTTCATGTCATTTATTTAAAACATATTGAAAATTTATGTCCCAAAACAGATGAAAATGATCAAAATTCAAGTATATTCACTTCATTATCTTTGAAAATAATTCAATTGATCAACGACTATTTAGAAAATTATTCAAATTTAGCATTTGTTATGAGTTGTAATGATTATGATAAATTAAATGATAATTTGAAATCAATTATAAAATTTAATATTGAATTCACTGTACCTACCGAAAATGAAAGATTAGATATTTTTAAATACCTTATAGAAAATGAGAAATTCAAAACACCATCAAATGAATGGACATCATATCCATTTGTGATAAGAAAAGACATCAATTATAAAACATTAGCATTACAATCAGCAGGTTTAACCCCGAGAGATTTAATATCAATAATTAAAAAGTCTAAAAAATTAGCAATAAAAAGGTTACTTAAATTATCTAAATCAATCAATATATCATTGGATAATTTAATCAACATTGGTAATGGAGGTATAATTACATGGATTCCTGAAGATTTTGAATTAGCAATTAATGAAGCAAGAAATCAATTCAGTGATTCAATAGGTGCACCAAGAATTCCAAATGTTAAATGGGAAGATATTGGTGGATTAGATTTAGTGAAAGATGAAATTTTAGATACAATAGATATGCCATTAAAACATCCAGAATTATTTAATAATGGTTTAAAAAAAAGAAGTGGTATTTTATTTTATGGACCTCCTGGTACAGGTAAAACATTATTAGCTAAAGCTATTGCAACAAATTTTTCATTGAATTTTTTTTCAGTTAAAGGTCCTGAATTATTAAATATGTATATTGGTGAATCTGAAGCTAATGTACGTAGAGTATTTCAAAGAGCTAGAGATGCTAAACCATGTGTTATATTTTTTGATGAATTAGATTCAGTTGCTCCAAAAAGAGGTAATCAAGGTGATTCAGGTGGTGTTATGGATAGAATTGTTTCACAATTATTAGCTGAATTAGATGGTATGAGTAGTGAAGGTGGTGATGGAGTTTTCGTTGTAGGTGCAACAAACAGACCTGATTTATTAGATGAAGCATTATTAAGACCTGGTAGATTTGATAAAATGTTATATTTAGGAATTTCAGATACAAATGAAAAACAAACTAAAATATTGGAAGCATTAACAAGAAAATTTAAATTAGATGATAATGTAAATTTGGAAGAAATTGCAGAAAGATGTACTTTTACATATACTGGTGCTGATTTTTATGCAATTTGTTCAGATTCAATGTTAAATGCAATGACAAGAGTTGCTAATGAAGTAGATGAAAAAATAAAGAAGTATAATGAACAAATGGTTCTTGAAGGCAAACAAAAAGTAAATTCAAGATGGTGGTTTGATAATGTAGCTACAAAAGATGATATAAATGTTTTAGTTAAAATGGAAGATTTTATAAAAGCTCAAACACAATTAAATCCATCTGTATCTGCTGAAGAATTACAACACTATTTAAGAGTTAGGGAAAATTTCGAAGGAGGTAAAGCTCAAGCTCAAGAAAAAAATAAAGAAGAATTGAATGGATTAGTCAATGGAAATGGTCATTAATCATTATAATTGATATTTTGGTCTATATACTTTTGGAATTTGTTCTAACTCCTTCCAATTTTGTTTTCTAGCTCCTCCTAATTTTTCATATCTTTTATGTATATCTTGTAAATTTTTGATAAATTTAGATTTATAAGTATTCGATTCATTAGGTGATATACCAGTTAATTGTTGTATAGGTAATTCAAAAACTTGTTCAAATTCTTCAATAGTTGGATTTTTTTGTCTCTTGATGTGATATTGTAAATTCCATGGTTGATTTATACTTGTTGGTAATTCCGAGTATGGTTTTAATTGACCATCAATATTACCATTACCCATGGATATAATATAAGAAAGTAATTGTTTATCTTTTAAAGTTTCAGAATTGAATTTTTTCAATTCTTTTGCATGTGCTTGTAAGTTGATATCTCTTTGTTCTGGTGTTAAATTTGATTTGAAATCCAGTGGGTATTTTTCATTAAACAGTTGAAATGTGTTTATCTCTTTTGGAGTGACAGGAATGACATATATTTTGAGTTGATTTTGTTTACCATATGGAGGTTTATAAGTTTGTGCAACGAGTCTAAATGCCGTATCTTTCGGTAAATCTTTCAAAATATGTTCAGTCAATAAAATTTCCCATATTTCCATTGAAAATTTAAATTGCATTTCTCCAACATAAGAAGGTAAATTATCATTTTGTAAAAACCTTTCAACTTCTTCGTCAGTTGCGTCTTCCATTAAAACATCATCATTTGATACACGAGAATAAAATATTTTATCAAGTTCTTCAACTGGTAAATATTGAAATCCAAAAATCGAATTAATATTATGATAAGCTATAAAAATCCCATCCATTTGACCAATTCTTGCTTGAAATAAATATTTTAATAAAGCACCTGTTCTAATTAAATCTTTAAATTCTTTTTCATAACTTTCATAATTACCTTTTAATTTAAAAATTTGATAATTAGTTTCACTTGAATTAGGATCATGAGAGTTATACCTAATATTTGTTGAAGCTCTTGTTTTTAAATCAAATGTTCCGTTATTTGGTAATCTTGGATCAAAACAATCTAATTGTGATCTCATTAAAAATTTTCCAAATCCTGCATAATTATATGAATTTTTAGGTTGTTCTGGTTCTGAATCTTCATGATCTTTTCGATATTTTACAAATTCATCTTCTGGATTAGTTAATAAACATTCCATACAAAGTCCCATTGCACTTAAAATAATTTCCGAATCACATGATTTATCAGCCTGTATTGAATAAACAGTTTCTTGTTTTCCTTCAATATCATACACTCCCTTTGGTTCAACAAATAAACTACTTGGTAATTTAGTTGCTAATCCAGTAAAAGGAATATCCCCAAATCTTTCAATTTTCCTTGGTGAATAATTATTTAAAACCATATAAAACTTACTCAACATTGATGTCATTGATGAAGTACTTGAATAAAATTGTTTTTTAAATTTTTTAGCATTTTCAAGTAATGTTTTATGTTTATCAACTGGTGTATAAGATCCAATTGCATCAAAATTAAAATCTTTATAACTAATAACTTTTTTTAAAAATGGTGAAAAATTATAAACTCTTGTTCTTGGATCTTGTAAAAAATGAATTCCTGGAGAAAATAATACTCTATCTAGATTATGTGCTAATTGTGGTATATCTTTAGTTTTTGGCGGTATACATTGTCTTAAAGGTTTTTTAGCCATATCCTTTGTAGTTTGATATGCTGAATTAATATCAAATGTTATTTTAGATGATTTTGATAGTTTTTTCAATCTTGCAGTTCTTTTGGACTCTTTGGGAGGTATTGATTCAGACGCGTCTTTGTTAGATTTTAATTTTTCCATTTTATCTACAACTTCCAATCGCTCAGGATTGTTTATCAATGTATCCATTTCATTCTTATATTCTGGTGAGAACTTGTCAACTTGTTGAAGTGGTTTGTCTTCATTTATTTCATTTGCATTTTTAAATTTTGCAGTTGCTTTGATAACAGTTTCAAAAGTAAGTTCATTGTGAGTATTGAGTTTAAAGCTGGTAGATGAGCAATGAATGCATCTTCTACATCGTAGTCTTATGAGTCTTTTGTATATGAATGATGAAAGTATGGACATTTTTTGTTGTGACGAACTGAGTTGATGATACATATCACTAAATGTGTTAATTCATGATGGAGATGTGTAAGATTATAATTACACAAATAAAAGGTTTAAGGAGTATCCTATTTTGGTAAAACATATATAGTTAGCAAGTTCACTCTTTTTCATATGCTACTGTTCTCTCTGTTCTCCATTTAATATTTGTATTTGTATTTGGAGAGAAATGTATGCATATACTGTTGATAGACCATGACATAAATGTTCCAGCGTATAAAACCAAGCCATCATTGAGTATAATTAGAAGAAATTTGAATTTGTAAAACCGCTTAAGAGGATCGATTAACTTGTCGCAAAAAAATGTCTAGTACAACACATATTTATGACGACTTCATCGAGGAGTATCTTAGTTATCTGAATGTATGTTGGGATACAAAAAAAAGTACTATATAAACACTGATGAGTCTAATCAAGTAGGGAATTCATTTTTTTGCCAATGAAAATTGAAGCAGTATAGTTTTTGTTCTCAACAAGATACAATGTACTACGCAAAAGAAATAATAGTCACAACAGTACTTCTGATTCGCGACACAGTCACCTCGTAAATTTGATTGATTGATTTGAATTTTAACAAGGACTTAGGGCTATAGCCACCGCGAAATGCGCTAAGTTAGAGCACACCTTTTAAACCGCATCAATTTTTCAGAAAAAATTTCGATCATCACTTCATTCAGAACTTCTTGAGTAAAGTTTCCAAATAGATCATTTTTATCAACTTTATTATCAACAATGGGTATGTCAAACACAACCATGGGAAGAGTCATTAGGAACCAAAGAAAATTAAAGAATAAGCAATACTAGATCAAAGACTAAATTTTTCATTCGTCATGGAGAAAATAGTAGAATGAATTCAATAAACCTCGAACTAGAATAAAAAGACTTAGGAGAAGTAAATGTAATGCAACATTGGAAAAAAGTGCACTTTTGGGAGACATAATTGTTTGGAGTCAATATTGGAGAAACATTTATTTGGAGAAATATTTCGGAGAAATTTTCATCTTGGAGAATTATGCATTTGAAGAATAGTTTATGAAAATACATATTGGGATCATTTGGAGTACTTATAAAATTAAAGACAATCAAAGTATAGCGTAGGGCGGGTCATGACGGTTATATAACTTTAAAAATTATAGTCTTTGCATAAAAATTTTGGGATTTATTGATTCAGGAATAATAATTTACAGAATTAATACTAACAATTTTCTAGGTAGGGTTATAAGAAACCAACGTAAGGGTGCTGGGTCGATTTTTACTTCCCACACCCGTTTACGTAAAGGAGCTGCTAAATTAAGAACTTTAGATTATGCTGAACGTCATGGTTACATTCGTGGGGTTGTTAAACAAATCATTCATGATCCAGGTAGAGGAGCTCCTTTAGCTAAAGTTGCTTTCAGAGATCCATACAGATACAAATTAAGAGAAGAAACTTTTATTGCTAATGAAGGTGTTTATACTGGTCAATTTATTTATGCCGGTAAAAAAGCTTCTTTAAACGTTGGTAACATTTTACCATTAGGTTCATGTCCAGAAGGTACCATTGTTTCAAATGTTGAAGAAAAAGTTGGTGACAGAGGTGCATTAGGTAGAACTTCAGGTAATTATGTTATCATTATCGGACACAATCCAGATGAAAACAAAACTAGAGTCAAATTACCATCAGGTGCTAAAAAAATCATTTCATCAGATGCTAGAGGTGTTATTGGTGTTGTTGCAGGTGGTGGTAGAATTGATAAACCATTATTAAAAGCTGGTAGAGCATTCCATAAATATAAAGTTAAAAGAAACTCATGGCCAAAAACTAGAGGTGTTGCTATGAACCCAGTTGATCACCCTCATGGTGGTGGTAACCATCAACATATTGGTAAAGCTTCTACTATTTCAAGAGGTGCAGTTTCAGGTCAAAAAGCAGGTTTAATTGCTGCTAGAAGAACTGGTTTATTACGTGGTACTCAAAAAACTTCTGATTAATAGGTTAATAATGAATATACATATAATTTGGTAAGTTTTTTTTAAATGTAGATTTTTATTACAGTAGCTATAGAGATAAGTAATTAAGAAGAAGTAATTGGTTCAGTAAAATTTGAACTCATTGTTAAATTTTCCGGAGTTGGATTTGGTGGTGGTGCAATATCAAAATTTGAACTTGGTGAAATATTAGCTTCATTGGTATCAGGTAAATCATTAGATTCAGTTGATTCTACTTCGGTAGTTCCATTACCAGATTCAATGATAAACTTTTCTTGATTTTCTTTTTTTGCAGCCAATTCTGCTTCTCTCTTGAATTCATCAATTTTATTTTGATCAATAGGTTTTAAATCAACTTTTCTACCATTAAGTTTTTGACTCTTTAAAGTGTGAATAATATCATTAATTTTGTTCTTTGAAGTATCAACAGTTGCCAAAACACTAACATGAGACCCAGTTAAATTAATTGGATTGATTTTAGATTTCTTTTTTAAAATAAGAATATTACTTGGATCATAATCTTTGAAAAATTCTTGAACTTTAGATTCAGTAATTTCTCCTCTTGCTTTAGGGATATAAATTGATACTTTGGAATTAAAAGTTGAGTTATTGTTAGTTTCAGAAGCAACATCAATTTCTTGTTTATTTTGTGATGCAACAGGTACTTCCCTTGCATCTTCTTCTTCATTACCTTCGTCATCATCATCTCCAGATCCTTTATTGGATTCAGTGGTATTGCGTTTTAAGTATCTTTTTGCAAATGTCATTCGTTTATAACTTGGTGTATATGGTGAATATGCCTTAACTATTAATTTTTTACCGTTAAAAATAGTTCCATCATATTCTTTAACAGCATCTTCTACTTGAGTAGGAGATTTAAATTCAACATAGGCAAATCCTAAAGGTTTGTGTTTACCAGTTCTACTAAACTTGACTGTATAACTTGGGACCAAAATGTTTACCCTAATTTTAGTTGTTAGTATTAAATCATTAACAATTTTTGAATGATGAAACATACGGATCATATTTTGCAAATAATGTATGTAAATCTTCTTCGGTGGTAAGATAATCTAGGTTTCTGATATATATTCGATAATGAGTATGAGTCGGTGGAGACATTTTATATTACTTGCTTGGTAGGTTTTAAAAAAACAAATTAATATTGAAATTGATATGTTATGTTTCTAAGATTGGTAGATTAGAAAATTTAAATGGCTGCAAAAATAACAAAATAAAAAAAAAAAATTATGAGACGGTATCTGCAAATAAAAATGATATAGGTCACCAAGGATTAGACGGGATATATATCAAACATGAAAGTTAAATCCGCTCAAACTCTCCTTTTTCCCATTTAAAAACAAACCAACAGAGTAGACTAAGGTAAGCAAGCATTGATTATATAAACTCAGCTAATTTTTGTTCTTACCCTAAAGTATTACACGTTTCGTATATTTCGAACATCGAAGAATTTGAAAAATATTGATACACTTACTCATTAGCAGAATTTCGAGTATTGGATTATCTCAAAGACACTGCTCATTAATAGCGTTGTCTTATGTACAAATTGGTAAGGGGTCAATAGTAACAAAAGTTGGATAAAAATTGTAGAAAAACTTATTGAATTAAATCGGAGATGAACATTTCAGCACGATTTTTCCTATCTGTTACTCAACAATTAACATATCAATGAATATTTCCTAAACTTCCAATATTTAAGCCCGTAGATAGGTTTGATACGAATTAGATGTTTTCCCCTGTTGCATTGTTCATAAGAGTTTCAGATGTTGAAGTAGTACACTTATGAGTCTTCAAGGTACACTCGAGATTAGGTTTCTACAAATCCTATTCTTGTGAGTAGCTACGTTAATAACTTCTACATGAAACACAATCCATCAAATGGGATATAATTAATGTATAAATGATTATAAATTAAAAGGTTGAAATCATTATAAAACTAAAGTATAAGGAATTCTCATTAAGCATCAATCTAAAAAATCTCCTTCAAAACCTATTCTCCTTTTTTCTCAGCAGCTAAAGCTTTTTGAGTACCATGTAAAGCATATCTGTGGTTTCTTCTGAATTTAGCATCAACACCTTTTAATGATGGATATTTATAAGTTTTTGGTTTTTTAATACCGTTTCTGTGTGCTTTTCTAGTTTGGTTATGATTGGTATGATTCTTTGATTTAGCCATCTAAAATTGCTTAGTTAGTATGTCATTAATGAAAGAATATGTTGTCTTGCAAAACTTTATGATATTTGAGTTTTTGATTTTTTGATTCTTTGATTTTTTGATTTTTTGATTTTTCGATTCTTGATTGTAGAAAATAATTGACGGCCAGTTAGGGATGCTGGTAAATTAAATTCATGTGGTATACCTTACCCCTAGTAATAAATTATAAAGTAATCAAATCACGTTGGCAGATAAATTTTCAGAATCGTTGATATTGGAAACTGTCTGTAATGAACATCTAGCGTGAATTCAATTATACCCAAGAAATTTGTGCTCACAATATATTTCAATAAAGTCCGTCGCGTATTTGACAACAATTATCTAATGGTGAACATACTTTTGTATATGATTGTTGATAGTATAAGTTGTAAAAAGACGATGGTGGTAAATTTCGTATGAAGAATTTTGTGAACTAGTGAAAAAAAACAGGTCCCATATAACGCGCAGTGGTTATAGCCCTAAACATCAAAGCGAAAACTATTAGAGTATCGACTCAATCTTAGAATAGACCACAAGATAGTTTTGAATTATCGGTATTTCATTAAGTAGAGTAGTACATGTTTAATCTAAACAGTTAAAACTACGCCTTTGCAGCATTAGCAATGGCTTTTTCCTTTTTAGCTATTTTATTATTAGCTTTTGAACCCATTATACCACCACCCCAATGTTTTTTATTTTCTTCATATTTTTCTAAATAATTTGCATTTATGGTTGAAATTAATTTAGATAATTCAGCTTCATCAGCTGATGAAACTTCAGTTAAAGCAGCAACAGCTGAAGTTTTTTGATGAACCAAAGTACCTAATCTAGCTTTACCTTTAACAACAGCATATGGTATACCCATTTTTTTACATAAAGCAGGTAAGAAAATAACCAATTCAATTGGATCAACGTCATTAGCTATTAAAACTAATTTAGCCTTTTTGTTTTCAATTAATGAAACAACATGGTTTAAACCATATTTGACAACCAAAGGTTTTTCACTTACATCTTTTGCTGTTTTGCCATTAGCAATAGCTGCTGCTTCTTTAATTAATCTTTCTTTTTTCTCAGAAGAAGTTTCTGGTCTATATTTATTAAATAATTTAAAAGTTTGAGCAGCAGTGTTTTTATCCAAAATATTGTTGAATTGAGCAATTGAAGGAGGAACTTTCAATCTTAAACTCAAAATTTTCTTTTGTCTTTGTAATCTAACATATTCTGGCCATTTTACAAATCTTGATAAATTCCTCTTTGGTTGAATTGATTGACCAATACCAAAATTTTTTGGAGAAGAACTTATCAATGGATTCTTTTGAATAGTGGAAGTTTTTGATTTTGAAGCAAATGGAGCTGGAGCAACTTTCTTAGAAGAAGGCTGTGTCATTGAATTAAAGTTAATAAGGTGTTCTCATATAAATTTTCAACAAACATATCCCTTATTAATTATAACTCTAAAGTATCTGACTGTATCAGTCAGATACTTAGCCGGGGCATCATAAGAAGTGATGACACATCTGAACAATTCATCACTCCTAGATGCACATAACTTAAAAAGTAAATTTGAATTTTAACAAATGATATTTGTAAAATTCGAATGACTTTGAGTTTTAAATTAAGTGTCACACAAGGATGATGTTGTTCCAGCTTGAAAACATACCATTTTTTTAGGTTGTTGTTGTAAAGAAAGTAGAAAGTGGTGATAAAATTTTTCAAAATATTCACGTCTCAATTCATCTCTCATTTTGTGTAATACACTACTTTAAAATTTGTATAAATAAATTCAAATTCCCATTAAACAATCTATTTTCAATACCTTCTTTTTTCTCCTTTCTTTTAATCAAATCTCTTTGCCATTTGGCTTAGATCCAGTGTAGTATCTGTTCTTTTCAGTGTAACAGCTGAAATGTCATCATTGATGACTTACTGTTTTATAAATTTATTTTTGGACATAAATCGTGAGTTGATTTTAAATGGGCTTGCTCATAATCAATTTGCAAAGTGTCGTTGCCATTATACTTTTACTCGGCTTCTGACGCATTCTTTTTAGATATGAATATTGTGATATCAATGGATTTTGATATCATAATATATATTTAAAAATCATCGTATTTACTTCTGTGATGTATATTGTTTTTTTTTAGATAACCGCCATTATCAATTATTACAAGTCACTAATGAAATGCCCCACGATATTGATTCAGAGGAATCTGACATATCATTCACAAATGGGTTATTCCCAAGTTTAAACAAAGGGAGGAAACAACTGGATGATGAAAGTATAGAGTCAGGTTCTATAAGTCATTTGAGGGATGTTTTCCGAAATCAAAGTGTAATTGAAACAGACTCATCAATAAAACCACAACAAAGTCTGGTGTCTTTATCCCCAACAACAACATCAAAAGATGACAACTATTCAATTCATTCAAGTATCATCGATGATATGGCAAAAAATTTAACATCTTTAGAAAATGATCGATTCAAATACATACGATCTTATGAAAAATTACTGAAATCGAAAAAGACTCATTTATCGAATCAAAAAATACTACATAATATGAAATCAAATACTGATATACCATTACAAACACTAAATTCAAATGGGTCATCAATTTTTGAACTTTCAAGGTTGAATGATTTCGATAAATTTGTTAAAGAGACATCTATTAATGATCAAATTCAAGGGAGACTATTGCATAAACTACCTAAACATGAACAAGAACAACAAATTTTAAACATAGTTCAAGAACAAGATTTAGGGCAGAGATTTTATGCTGGTAATGAAATCTCAATTGAAGGTAAAAGTAATAAATTAAAAACTCTTTTCAACAATAAATCATCAAAGAAGGAGAAAGAAGAACCTGAATTTGTCACTAATAGCGAAATTAGTGGATTATATTATCCATCAACTGATTCAACCATAAAGAATAATTCACAATATTTACATAGATCATTGAAAATACGACATCTTCAAATGATATCATTAGGTGGAACAATTGGTGTTGGATTGTTCTTAAATTCAGGTAAAGCTATAAATATTGCAGGAGGATTTGGAGCTGTTCTAGCATTTAGTATTGTGGGAGTTGTTGTTTTATTTACTATGATGTCCTTTTGTGAAATGGTGACGTTTGTTTCAGTTATAGATGGAGTTTCAGGATTAAGTTCAAGATTTGTAGATGATGCATTTGGTTTTGCCACTGGCTGGGTTTATTTCTTAAGTTTTGCATTTGGGGTAGCGGGAGAGATAGTGGCTGGAGTAATTATGTTATCATACTGGCCATATTTGAATACTACAACAAATAGAGGTTCAACAACAGGGTTTGTTACCTTATTTTTATCTTCAATTCTAGCGAGCAATTTGATTGATGTGAGAGTGTTTGGGGAGATAGAATATATTTCAAGTTTGATAAAACTACTCTGGGCAGTAGTTATGATGTTTTTTATGATTTTATTAAATAGAGGAGTAATTGGTGGTGGTCCAGTTCTAGGGTTTCGATATTGGGATAAACTGAAATCAGATTTTGAAAATAATATTATTTTTGGATTATTTAGACCTACTTTTAATTTATATGATAGTGGAACAAACCCACCAACTGAAGGGATTGGTGGTAATACAGGTCGATTTTTATCATTATTAACTGCAATTTTGGTGGTTTGCTATGCATATAGTGGTACAGAAATTGTATGTATCGCTGCATGTGAAGCTAAAAATCCAAGAAAAGCTTTACCATCAGCTACAAAAAGAGTATTTTGGAGAATTGTAATATTTTATTGTTTATCTGCATTTTTAGTAACATTAAATGTTTATGCTGGAGATCCAAGATTACTTAGATACTTACTGGGTAAAACTGGTATTGATAAATCTGAATTTGCTACTAATATTGCTATTCAATCAGTTGGTGGTGCACATTGCGCACAGGATTCAGAAGTATTTGCTGGTTATGGAAGTGGAGCTCAAAGTGCATGGATTGTAGCATTACAAAGTGCTGGATTATGCCGATTGAGTAATGCAACTAATGTATTTTTAGTATTTTTTGCAGTGAGTTGTGGTAATGCTCAATTATATGTCAGTTCAAGAACAGTTTATGCCTTGGCTTTACAAGGAAAAGCTCCTAAATTTTTAACTTATTGCAATAAACATGGTATACCATATAATGCAGTATTATTAGCTGGATCTTTTGGATTATTATCTTATACATGTGTTTCCGAATCAGCAACAGTTGTATTTCAAAATTTAAATAGTGTCATTGCATCATCAGGTATATTTGTTTGGTTTGCAATGTGTTTAACCTTTATTAGATTTTATTTTGGTTTGAAAAGAAGACCAGATATTTTAAAAAGAACAGATAAATCTTATCCTTACAAGTCATTTGGCCAACCCTATAGTGCAATTGTTGGAATGTTATTAACTGCATTCATAATGTTAAGTATGGGGTTTGTTGTATTTTTAAAACATGAATGGAATACTATGTTTTTCTTTTCTAGTTATGGACCACTAATGACATTTGCTGTTTTATATATAGGTTATAGAATGGTGAAGGGTTCAACCATACCAAGTTTGGATAAATTAGATTTTGATAGTGGAAGAACAGAGATGGATGCAGTTATATGGGACGGTGGAAACGAATATAATAGAAAGAGTTTGAAAGAGGTTCTTTGGAAATGGATTTCATTTTTGGCATGATTAATAGAATTTTTTAATATACTTGTAATATAAGTAAAACTTGTGTAGCCGTTTGAAAACGTTGATATAATAATAATAATTTTCGTCTAAAAATAAGATGTGTACCTGAATTTGTCCATTTTAGGAAATCTAATTAATTGAAAAATTTAGACGAGAAAATAAAAATAAATTGATCTAATCTTGATCTGAAACAAAATATTACAAGTTACAATTTTTCATTGATCAATCTCCAATTCAACAACAATGCCTTGGACTTCAACTGAATCATTTTTAAAAGGTAAAATTATCAAACCTTTCTTACCAAATGAGAAACATCCAAACTTGAGAAATCCTCATTTTCAACATTTATACCCAGGGGATCAAGTGTTAATTTTTGAAATTAAAGATTCAAAATGGGCAAGAGGTTATGTTTTTAAAAAACCCATGCCACATGATTATGTTGCTGCTTCTTTTAGTTTAAATGATTTACCAGTTCGAAAGGAAGAGATTTTAATTTTTCCATTAAAATATGTTAAAATCACCGATGAAATTCCATTTCCAAAATTACAGATTAATCAAGATTTCAACAACATTGTCGATTCTAATCAAATACCTTCAATCAAACAATCTGAATTGAATTATCAAGAAGCAACTGATGGAAATGCTCAAGGCAATACAGAAGTTACCTCATTACCAATTCCATCATTACCAATCAATTTAGATGAAAATGAAAATTTATATGATGAAATTAAATTTTCCTTAGAATTATTGACCTCACAAATTTTTGCATTGTATTCCATGGGTGAATTCAAATTATTCAATAAATTGTCATCCATTTACCTTGATTTATATGAAACTAGAACAAAATTAATGTATGATTTATTAACAAAAGAGGAAACTCAAATTGCAAGGGAAAGTGCCAACTTTTTATTAAATAAGATTTCCAAAAAATTGGCCTCAAAATCTGCTAGAATGAGTTCTGAATCTCATGATTTGGAAAATGAAGGTAATGATGTTGCTGGTTATAAATCTATCTTATCAAGAGATTCAAATACTGGTACATTATTAAATTTAAAGAATTCTACCCCATCAAGAATCGCTTTGAATAGTGAATGTGAAGCTTTGGTTCCAAAATTCCCGATTAATGCTCACAATAATGCATATTCATATTCATTAAAGCCACCACCAAACAAAAAATTTAATCATGAACCTCCGTCACATATTTTGGTTGATTTTAGATCTGTTTCAGGATCATCTGGTTATTCCCCTCCTGGATTTGCAGGTACAACTGCTTATATGTATTTGAGAAATTCTAAAAAGAGATTAACTGAAGCATTTGCCGTTCATACTGATTCAGTTGATGATTTAGTTCATGTTGAAAAAATTAGTGCTGCAATGTTTAGAAATGTTCCAGCAACTGAAATTATTAATAATAGAGTTTATTTAGTTGCAGTTCTAACGGAGGAAATTGATTTGAACTTGAAATCAAATAATCAAATACCAACTTTAAAAAGAGTTAAAAAAGGAATTGCAGCTGGTGTTGCTGATATTACTAGAATTTTTTCACAAAATGAAGGTTCATTAACCTCAGGAGAAGCTCATAATTTTTCAATTAAATTATTTGGATCGTATTTACCGAAAAAGGGAACAACAAGAGGGACTTCTGATAAAACTGCTGAAAATAATGGTTGGGGTGAATTAGTTGATAGAATTATTGCTGGTTCAAGTCATGGAGTTGCAATTAATCCAAGAGCAGAAAAATTAGTTGTTACAGTTAAAGAATTTAAACATCAATTTAATGGAACTTCGAGCGATCAAATTTCATTAACTGCTCCAATAGCAAGAATTAAACCAATATTTTATGATCCATTAGCAGAAAATTATGAAAGGATTTATTTGAAAATGGGGAAAGTTGTATTGTTAAACAATAATTTGAGGGAAGATTTATTAACATTTGAAGTCAGCACACCTAACAATGATTTGATTACATTTGCAAAAGCTTCAAATCAACAAGAAAAGAGGTATTGGCAATTTATTTCAGTTTTTCCAGGAGAAGTCATTGGAGAGATTATTAAAGTTAATAATGTTGCAATGAAAAATAAAAAAATAGCCGTGGAAGATCATATTATATTGAGTCTTTTCCTTAATGGTACATTAATTGGAGAAGGTAAATTATTGTACAAATCTGGAAATAGATTAGTTGAATTCAATAAAAGAAAAACTCATACAATTGAAATTAAATCATCTGGACAGAACATTCCAGTCGCACATATTGAGTTAAGCACAGAATATGTTGGTAAGATTTATAATTCTGATGTTTCTATTGATAATCTTTTTAAATATGAAAGTTTGTTTAATCAAGGTATAAATGGGGTAAACTCATTGTCGAATTCATTAAATGCTTTTACAAAATTGGATATATCACAATTAGTTAAATATTTTCCAGAATTATTAACTTCATTATATGGTATTGTTGACATTTCAAATCATGAAACTGGAAATGAAATTGAGATTTTGAAAGATAATACATTTAAAGCAATTATTCATTTATTAGATACATTGTTTGGAAAACAAGATCAATATTTACATTTAGTTGACGATTTTTTATCAAAATTTAAAAGACTGGACGTTGTTGGTATATTTTTATTAGACAAATTGACTGAAGTTTTCGCTAATGCCAATGTCAATTGGAATTCGTTATCTAGATCAGTCTGTAGAACTATGGCAATATTAATGAGATTGGCGATAGGATCAATAAACTCAAACAATCACAGAGATGCTTATTTCCAATCTTTGAATAGTTTGTTTAAAGCTGTTGCTTATTTCCTTTCAGTTGAATCTGTTGGATTAATTGATGATCAAGTTTTGATTTTAGATATTATTGACTATGTGTTTGCTTTCCGTACAAATATGGAGGATTCTAAAATTTTACAATTAATGATTACTTTTATAAATTCATTGGGAGTTAGAGGAACTGGTGCTGACGAATTGAATTATGATGGATCAGCTAAGAGTAAAAGTAAAGATCATAAATTAGTTATTAGCAAGTTGTTGTTGATATTAAGATTATTACATACATCATTAGTTGATAATAAGGAAACTAGAAGCATTTTAATTTCAATGTCAGTTCAATGGGTCATGGAAGTATTCTTGGGTCCAACAGATGTTGAAGCAACAAGATTGGGTTGTAGTATCATTAATTCAGTTTGTACAATCATGTGGGAAAGAATTATACCATATAAAGATGAAGACGAAATAGAATTATGTTATTCGTTGGCTAAATTCTTACCACCGCTCTCAAGAACTTTTATTAAATACAATAAATTCACAAGAGGTAATGAGTTTTTCAAACCAAAGAGAAATTTCACTCAATTGTTTCCTGTCACATATCCTTTCAACACTTTTACAATTGATCAAGTTGTTAATGATGAAGTTATGGTTGAAGTTTTGGTTGAATTAGCTGTTTGTTTTAGTTTTGTTGCAAGAGTTGGTAAAGAAGCTGCAGGTAATGAAGGATATGATAAAATTTTAAACACTACTTTGAAAAATGATTATTTTGATCCTGAAAAATATTTAGCTAATAATTTTCAAACAGAAGATTTATTAACAGTTATATCTGGTATTAAATATATAAGACAAGGTAAGTATTTCCCAGAAGATAAATGGTTGTCTTTATATTCGGTTATTATTGATGGATGTCTTTGTGCATTGGAATTAATTAGACCTTTGATTTTAACCTATCAATTACCTCCTATTGAGCAAGCAGAAGCTTTTGATAGAATACTTTGGGGAAATTATCTTAAAACTTTAATGAAGTTAGCAGTATTGCCTGTTGTTGCTGTTGAACATTTGTCTACTGTACCCAAAAAAGCATGTGCTGCTATCACTAATGATGTTAGAAATAGAGCAGCTTACTTAATCAACGAGGCTTGGGATTCATTAGCTTGGGAATCAACAGAAGAAGATGTTATTAGATTTAGTTTAAATAAATTTGGTGGATACCAAGTTGAATTTATTAATGAAGAGTTTGGTATAATTCCTGAATTAATGATATTTGGTTTACAAAGAAATGTTGAATGTCAATCTGTAGCTGTTAAAATATTATGGTCAATAATTATATCAGAATACATTTTGAGTGATAATCTTAAAGAAGTAGAGAAACAATGTTTACTTGGTCTTTATGATATTTATCAAAAAGTTGGTTATAATCCAAGTAAAGAAGATATGGATAATTTCCTTGAAAGATTAAAAGCAACGATAAGGTTAGATAGAGAGGATGAAGCTTTTAATGTCATATATGGATTTATCAAAAGTATTACTGCATTCTGTTCTACTTTATCTTATTATGCAAGTGTTCCAGTTGGACCAGAATTCGATGAAGATAGAGCCTTTCACAATGTTAAATTACGTGCTCAAATCAAAACAGCTGGTAAACCAGAATTGTTCAACTCATTTATCAATGCAATGTATGAGTATAACATTAGTAAAAATGATTTTGTTCAAGGTGCTTTGAGTTTAGAATTGATTGCTTCAACTTATGAATGGGATCATAATAAAATAGTACCTGCAAGTTATAAACCAAAATTCCCAGAACAAACATCATTCGAAAGAAAAGAAATTTTATATAAAATGATTGCAAATAATTTTGTAAAAGGTAATAGTTTGGAAAAAGCTGCTGATACATTCAATGAATTATTAGATTCATACAATGAACATACTTATGATTTGAAAAGTTTTGCTTATGTTCATAATAAATTATCTCAATTATATTTGGACTTAGAATCTTCAGATAAATTAGAACCTTCATATTTTAGGGTTGAAGCTATTGGTACAGGATTTCCAATGTATATGAGAGTAATTTCACAAATATATCAAGGATTACCATTTGAACATATTACTTCAGTTCATGAAAGATTATTAAAAGTATTTCCTGGTGCAATTATAGTTAGTGATGATAGTGAAGCTCAAAAATTAAAAGAAGAAGGTGGTATTGGAAGATTTCTTTATGTTAAAGCAGTTGAACCAGTTTTTGAATTTTCAGACAAATTATTTAATACAACTTTAGGTGTTCGTCAATATGCAAGAAATAAAGATTTAAGATTTTTTACAAGTTTGAAAAAAATCCCTGGATCAACATCAGTATTTGATTTATGGACAGAACAAACTACTTATGAAGCATGGTTGTCATTTCCAACTTTAATGAATAGATCTTTTATCAAAGGATCAACAACTATCAGATTATCACCAATAGACAATGCTATACGAACAGTTACAAAGAGAAATGATGATTTAATTACATTAGAGAATTTAATCAATGTTGCAATTAAAGATAAAACTGATTATTCTGAATACTTTAATGATTTATCTAGACAATTAAGTGGAACTGTTGATGCTCCAGTGAATGGTGGTGTAAATCAATATAGATTATTTTTTACAGATTCAAAATATCAAGATACCGAAGAAGATCACAATAAAGCCAAATTATTATCTAAAGCATTCAAGGATTTAGCAATTATTTTAAATCGTTGTTTGATATTACATGGTAAATTAGTTCCAACCCAAATGAAAGTAGCACATACAGCATTATTAGAATTGTTTCATAAAAATTTTGCAATTGAAATTGAATCTTTGAGATTAACAACTGAGGATGCTCCACCAAGTCAAGTAGCACCAGCTTCAAGAGTATCAATTTTCCAAGATAAAAGATCAAATTCTTCAATGTTTGATAAATCTTCAGCAAGTAATTACAATTATGCCCAATCTCAAAGAACCGCATCAATTAATGGTTCTTCAATTGCAGGTGGTATTGGTTCAACCATTTCTACAACAACAGCAAGATTATTTAGATCAAACACTAATTCATCAACAGGTTCAAATAAATCAAATAATGCAAGGTCAGAAAATGGAAATAGTAGTAGATTCACTTCGAGTGGATTTTCAAATGGTACTACCAACAATTATAACAACAATAGTAGTAACACTAGTGCTCATAATGGATCAATGCAATATAGTGTAGGTGGTAATTCTCAATTTACAAATTTGAACCATCAAAGAAGTATGCTTGAAGGTAGCAATGGACATAGCGGTAACAAAAAATCAAAACCCTCAGGTATTCTGAAATCTACTGCGGTAAACGGTACATGGTAGTTAAATAGATTTATATATAAAATGAACGTTTAGTAATTTTTAGACTCGAAAGTGAAACACTTCTAATTTGTATGATATTTAAATAGCACTTGGTAGTTTTGAATATTACGTAATATCCTATAGTATTACTCAAAATATTTGAGAAGTTGGTTTTTTTATGATAAATCCATCAAATATACATCTACATTGATACATTCAACTTGAAAAATGTTTAGATTCACAGCAAGACCATTGATTCGTTCAATTAAAATTTCACAACCTATAACAAGATCAATCACTCCAATACGTTTTTATGTATCACCACCAATCACAAGAGATGAAATAATTAATAGAGCTTTTGAAGCATTAAAAACAGTAGGTTCGATTCAAGAATCTAATATTACTTTAGATAGTTCATTTCAAAAGGATTTAGGATTAGATTCATTAGATACCGTTGAAGCCTTAGTTGCATTGGAAGAAGAATTTGATTTAGAAATTCCAGATAAAATTGCTGATGATATCAAAACTGTTGGTGAAGCTGTTGATTACATAGTAAAGGAAGAACAAAAAGAATAAATGTAAGACTATGAGAATGTTGAATGTTGGATGGAAGAAATCTCGACCGTCACTTGTCTAGACAATTATACGTTATCGCCGTCTTGTAATGTAAATATATAATATTATTATTCAAAGAAGTTTTAGAAGAGCCTTCCGGCTTATCTGTAGTTCTTTCACTCTTAATAATCTATCAGCAAACCTGAATGTGTACCGAATTTTAATGATTTTAGTTGTTATAAAGCATTAAGAATCTCACGGAATTATTTAAAATATCTGGGAATTATACTAGAGTAAAAGGCAAACTCTATACTTTATAGGAAATATAGAACAATGACAATTTCACAAGATCAAGAAAGTAAACCTGATGAGCTCAATCAGGTCGAGCCAGTTCATGATTCAAAGTTAGTGGATGACTCACACACTGAAGATGAGGAACAAGATGATGATGAGGAGGAACAAGAAGGCAATCAAGAGCAAGACAATGGTGCAATTCAATATCCAGGAACAGTTTTGCCAGATAATAATCAACAAGAAATTGACGCAGATGTGAATTTGATTGCCGATTTGGATCCTGATACCGAATACATTGATTTAGTACATTTGAAAATATCATCTTTAGAGGATTTAGATTTAGCAAGGTTTAAGAAATTAGAATCGTTGTGTTTGAGACAAAATTTAATCACATCTATGGTCGGTGTAAAAGACATTTCAAATACATTAGAGGAATTGGATTTCTATGATAATAGAATAAATCATATTTCAAGTTCTATTCAACATTTAGTCAACCTTACAAATCTTGATTTGTCATTTAATAAAATAAAAAATATTAAAAATTTAGAAACATTGACTAATTTAACTAATTTATATTTTGTAGCAAACAAAATCAAAGAAATCAAGAATTTGAATACCTTGACTAAAATCACAAATCTTGAGTTAGGTGGAAACAAAATTGAGAAAATTGAAAATCTAGATAATTTAATCAATATTACTCAACTTTGGTTAGGTAAAAATAGGATCTATAAATTAGAAAATTTAACTCCATTAGTTAATCTTAGGGTGTTATCAATTCAATCAAATAGAATTACTAAAATAGAAGGTTTAGAAAATTGTAAAAAATTGGAAGAATTATATTTATCACATAATGGGATCTCCAACATAGAAAATTTGAATGAAAATGTGAATTTGCAAGTTTTAGATCTAACTTCGAATAAGCTAACCAAATTATCAGATTTAAAACAATTAACTAAATTAACTGATTTTTGGTGTTCATATAATCAAATATCTAGTTTTGAAAATATTGGTGAACAATTGGGGAAATTACCTGATTTAGAATGTGTTTATTTTGAAGGTAACCCTGTTCAAACAGAAAATCCAAGTGCATACAGAAGAAAGTTAAAATTATATTTGGGTCCATCTTTAAATAAAATAGATGCAACTTATATTCACTCATGATCATGCATATCGAAAGAGTGGAGTTTTTTTTTAAATTGCATTTGACAGAAATTTGCATGTAAAAGCAATTCACCTTAAAATATATAAACCATTGAGTTTTACTATCACTTTTATCACACATACAGGTCATTAACGAAGCATACAAAAATGTTTTCACCATGGTACGAACCTTTTGATAATGATGAGGAGGATTTTTTTTCAAAACCAAGAAAATACACTAATTCATTGCCCCATAGAAGAACTCATCCAAAGTTTGGATACCAATTGAAGCGAGGCAATGAAGAAGAGCAAGAGCTGTTAGATGCTCAAGACAAAAGTTTAACTTCAAGACATCATCATCTTCCCGAATTTTGGAATAGAAAATTTCCATATGAAATGTGGGACCATCCATATAAATTTTGGAGTAATTGGGATAGATCAAAACCGGGACAATATTTTTTAGGATTTGATGATAGTTTACATAGTGTTGAGAAGAATGATAAATACTTGGTCAAATTTGAAGAAAAAGGTTTGGACGAAGATAATGTTAAAATTGACTTTAATGAAGAAAGAAATGAATTATTAATTAATGTTAATTTAGACGAATCAACTGATACTTCATCAAGTTTTAAAAATTATCAAAGTACTATAAAATTTAATAAACCTATTAATATAAATGAAATTGAAGCTGAAGTTGATGAAAATGGGGTTGAAATGATTTTGCCTAAAACTCATGCTGATGATGAAAATTATCATCATGTTGAAATTAAAAGAAAAGCAGGCGATGTTCAAAGTTTATAAAATTTTTATAGGATAATTTATGTGAATTGATAATGTCTTATAATACTATTACTGATTTATAGTTTGTGAATTTTTGGCTGCGAAAAAATAACAAATTTTGCAACCACGAAAATAACAAAATTTATGATTTTGCTTTCTCTAATGTATTTTCTATCTTACTACACCTAAGACTCATGTCAAGACGTTTAAGACGTTTCAAGAACAAACTTAATAGTCTTTTTAACAAAAAACATCATTTCAAAAACTATCATAAGCAATCGGGGCATCATTTTTTTAACTCAAAACATCAAAATGATTATTTTAAATCTTCAGAAACAGATCCAAATGAAATGAATGGATTTTTGAAAGATAAATCATTAATCCAATTTCATGAATCATCGGAAAATCAATCTTTTTTTGTTCAAAATAAGGAAAACAAACAATTGGAACCACATTGGGAGGAATTGATTAATCATGATTTAACAATCGATAAAATTTGTAATATTATTGACGAAGAAATTAAAGAAATTGATAAAAGATCATCAAAGAGAATGAAACGAAACTCAAAGTTCAAAGAAAATGTTCCACCAGATCATGGCAAATTTGATGATTCATTTAAAAAGAAGTTTGAAAAAGAAACTGGTCTTAGTTTCCTCAATAAATTGCCGAATGAAAATTCTTACTTCTCAAAATTTAATGATATAATTATCTCCAATCAAGAAAGAAACTCAATTGAGACAATTACAAAAAAGCTTAAACTAGAGCATAAAAAAACCCGCAAACATAGGACTATTAGTGATAATACATTTACACCAATAGAATTTGGTGATCATTGGGAACAATTTTATATTATCAACGATTATCCTTCTACTCCTCAAAGATATAGCTTTTATGAAAGAAGTTATGGTAATGTCAAATTATTGAACACATTAGAGAGAGCTAAAACGTGCAACTATGATCAAATCAGAATCAATTAGATAATTGCTTTAAATTGGCTATGTATTGTTTGTATAATGTATCATGTTTATGATTGGTTTGTTATTCTAGATTATTATCCTCTGTTTTATAATTATCCAAAACGATTCTATAAATAAAAGAAGGAGCAAAACCACCTACATTAGTAATAAAAATATCGATATGTTCAGGCGGTATATAATCATCTAAAGGATTCATTACAACTTCAACATTATCAACCAATTCATGTTCATTATAATTCAAAACTTTTCCTGAATTACCAACTTCAATCAAATCATTTCTTGTAAATGGATATAATGGTGATAATTTATATAATCCAGCTACTGCAAAAACAGGAGTTTTATGTTCTTTTGCACATTCAACAACACTTGCAACTCCACTTGATGATAAACATCCCCCATTTAAAAATACGGCATTAGTACCCAATATGACTTTCCCAACTCTTGACATAACAGCATAAGTAGTTGTATCTGGAATTAAAATAGTTTCAATATTATTTTCAGCTAATTTTTTTGCAAAATTTTGTGCTTGTTTTAAATTATTTGGATAATTTTCAGTAACTAATACAGTAAATTTTCTTTTTGATCTTGCTTTTAATAAAAAATGTAAAACTGTATCTGATGTTGGAGTTGGTGTTAATAATATTTCATTATCATGTATTAAATCCATACTCATTGTTTCTAAATTTTCATTTACTGTTGATATTTCATCAACTAAATCTTTTATACCTTGAATTAATATACTTCTTAATTCACTTGTTTGTTTTTTAGTTGATTGTGATGATGGGATATTTGTTGATTCATTATCTGTATTTGTAGTTAATAAACTAAACATTGAACTCATCATTGGTATATTTGTATAATTTAAATTTGTATTAGTGGTTGTTTGATTTTCTTCATTTGTAGTTTCAATTTCATCACGAATTAAAGCTAAAACTCTTCTTACTATATTTCCAGGTATTACATTTTTTGGATAAGCTTTATCTAGTATAACTCCTACTTTTCTTATAATTTTAATTAAATCATTAATATTTGACCATCTTGCAACTGCTATTACTTTCATCAATAATTGAGATATAGTTAATGCCATTTCTTTATCATCTTGGATTTGATGTCGTTTTAAGGTTGCTACTATTGGATCTAGTAGTACTTGTATCTCAGGCGTTATTATAGACATTGTTGTTCAAATAAGTTGGTGTTAATCAATATACATTTCATGAAAAAAAAATATTATTTGGTTATAAAAAAGTTGCAAAAGATCAAGAAACATTGACTCAGAATTTATCCATGTTTTCTACACTTTTATTAATTATAAATATATACAAAAGAAGTACTATCTAAAGCTTTATACCAATATGAATACTAGCTACACCAAATGTTAAATTTTCATAACCAGGTTCAGGAACATAAAATCCAGCTTTTTCAATCATATTTTTAAAATTTTCTTGATTTGGAAAATTTTGAATACTTTCAACTAAATATTGATAAGATTCTCTATCATTAGCAATTAATTGACCCATTAAAGGTAATAAACTAAACAGATATAATTGATAACCATAATCTAATATTGGATTTTCAACTTTTGAAAATTCTAAACATGCAAATATACCACCTGGTTTTAAAACTCTATAAGCTGTATTTAAACCTTCTTGAATATTTGTAAAATTTCTAATTCCAAAAGCAATAGTATATATATCTTTTGAATTATCTGGAATTTTATCCATAATTTCACCATTTTGAACTAAAAATTCAACTCTTGAAGGATTTTCTTTACTCCATTTAGTTTGTTTATATCTTTTTTCACCTTCTCTTAACATATCAGGATTTATATCAGCTATAGTCATTTTACTTTGAATATCTCCAAATTTTTGTTCCGCATGATCTAATAATCCAAATGCAATATCTCCTGTTCCTCCAGCAACATCTAAAAATTCTAAAGGTTCAGTAGAACTAGGTCTCATACCTGCATCTAATCTATTTATAAAATGTTGTTTCCATAATCTATGTACTCCCATTGACATAACATCATTCATAACATCATAATTTGAAGCAACTGATGAAAATACTCCTCCTACGAGGTTTTCTTTTTCTGATTTATTTACTGTTTTATAACCAAAATGTGTTGTATCTAAGTCTGGATTAGCTTTTGGTGGAGGTGGAGGAGGTGGTGGTGGTGTATGCAAATGTGATTGTTCATGATGTGGTGGTTGAGGTGGTGGTGGAGGAGGAGCAGCTGATGCTGAATAAGACTTAGATAGTATAACTTTGCTTGCAATTGGTTCAATTTGCCTCTTTACTGTTTGAAAAACAGTTTTGGAAATTGAATGATGAAGCATTGAAGGTTGAAGTATAGTTGATAAGATAGGTTATTCGAAAATTCGCAAGTTAATTTTTTTAAGGCACATTTCAATTTAGTTCGAATTTAATTCGAGTTTGTGGTACGCTCGTACAAAAATTTATACAATGAAACAGAGGTTTATATCTATTGTCTAAATGAGTGAATTACTCTTCTATTAAATATATTGATTTGTATACAAACATAAGCTCAGCTTCTGTTTATATATTTTTGCTTTTTTAAAAAATTGTATTCTATTTATTGGAACGTATTTTCTAAACCCAAGTTTTAAGCTTGAACAATTCTAACAGTATTTGAATGACCTGAACCTCTAGTCCAACCTTGTACAGTAACAATTGAATCACCTTTTGAAATAATACCTAAATCAATAGCTTCACTAACTGCCCATCTTAATCTATTTTCAACATCTTCTTGCCAATTAGCTGATTTTTCTTTTGTATAAACAAAAGGATAAACACCTCTATATAAATGAGAATATTTTGCACTTCTTTCATTTCTTGTAACCATTAAAATTGGAACATCTGGTTTATATTTTGAAACTAATCTTGCTGAAAGACCAGATGTTGATAAAACAACTATAGCTTTTGCATCTTGTTCATATGTGGCAGAAACTGCTGCAACAGCACAAGTTTCAGTAGTTGGAGTTGGTTTTTTAGCTAATGATCTTAATTCATTAAATAATTGAGGATAAGCTATAGCTTTTTCAGCAATAAGACAAGTATTATGCATCATTGAAACAGCTTCAAATGGATAATTACCCTTTGCTGTTTCTCCTGATAACATAACACAATCAGCACCATCTAAAATAGCATTACCAACATCTGAAACTTCAGCTCTTGTTGGTCTTGGGTTATAAGTCATTGATTCTAACATTTGAGTAGCACATATAACTGGTTTTGCAGCTAAATTACATTTAGCAATTAATTGTTTTTGAACAACAAATACTTGAGGAGCAGGGATTTCAATACCTAAATCACCTCTTGCAACCATAACACCATCAGTTTCTTGTAAAATTTCATCAAAATTATTTACACCTTGTTCATTTTCAATTTTTGAAATAATTTGAATATCTTTACCAGTTTCTCCTAATACTTTTCTAATATGTTTTATATCATCAGCTGATCTAATAAATGAAGCAAAAATCATATGAATACCATTTTTAACACCGAAATTAATATCATCAACATCCTTTTGTGATAAAGCAGGTAAATCAACATCAGTACCTGGTAAATTAACACCTTTATGAGAACAAATTTTACCAGCATTTAAAGATTTTACTTTCAAAGTACTATCATCTAAAACATCTAATACTTCAAATGATAAAACACCATCATCAACATAAATTAATTTACCTGGTGAAATAACTTTTGTAATATTTTTATAATCAATATACATAGTATCAGCATTTGACTTTAATTTATATGCATCATCAGTTGTAAAAATCATTTCATGATTTGCAGGAATTGGATAATCTTCATCATTAATAGTAGTACCAGTTCTAATTTCTGGACCTTTAGTATCTAAAGCAATAGCTAATGGTCTTCCTTTATAAACTTCTTCTGATTTTTTAGCATTATCAATAACTGATTGATGATATTCATGTGTACCATGACTAAAATTCATTCTAACAATATTTAAACCAGCTTTTCTTAATTTAACTAAAGTTTCAACACTATTAGTTTTTGGACCAATTGTTCCAATAATTGAAGATCTTCTTAAATATTTATGAGGAGTTTGTTTAATATTTAAATTTGATAACCAAGATAATGATGAATGAGACATTTTTGATATAGTTTTTGATTAGTGATTAGTTTGATATAGTAAGATGTTATAAAGTATACAATTGGAAGTTTCAATTGACTTATATGATGTTAAGTAATATATATATAAAATTTTTAATTTTGCTTTAAATTGATAAATTTAATTTTGATTGAAGAGAGTTACAAAACTGCAGATTGTATAGAAAAAAAAAACTCCGTAAAGGAGTGTTCCGTTCAATATTGGCATCGATTTTATAACATTAGAAGTAGAATTAGTTCTTATTATAGGCTTATTTGATTTCATTATCGTATCGACTTGAATAAAATGTCAATATTTGTTAAATGCAGTGAATACGAAATGTAATTTATTATGACTTTTGATTCAATATAATATTTTATTCTATTTACTAGGTTAATCTCATCTCTCTCGTTTTTTAACACGCAATTAAAATTGTTATCTAAATAGACTCAACAAAATATTTATTGAATTGAAGAATTGAAAATATAAATTGTAGAAACTGAAGTGAACTAAAGTATACAACAACTTTTGATCGATATTTGATACAAGTTACAACTTGGTGTAGTGAAAGGGTCCCGATTTAGAGATTTATTAAAGTGATTTATTCAACAGATATTCGGATCGATTCAATGAATTTATGTTTGATGAATTTGCAAGCGTCTCTAGCATGCATAAAACATCGAAGAAACGTGATCCATATCGAAACAAGAAATAGAAACAAATCCAAGTTATTGCATCATAACCATTTTATTCTTAATTTTGAAATCGGCTTTAAAACTTTCTCTCTATAAATTTACGATTTGTGACGGAAATCTGTAAAGACGCGAAAAGTCAAACAGATTTTGTGTCATTACCGCTTCCCCTCTTTTCATTATTTTGTTCATGAAGATTTGTTTCAACATGTCACCATGAACAACATTCAACAAAACTTGGGTTTTGGATTTTGAATGAGTAATAATAAGAATGTCAATCACCTCTTTCGTACGTATTTCCGGTCAATTTCACATTGTATGTGAATCAAAGGTATAATTGTATTTACACTTTGTATAAATCATCTAAACCTCCTCTAACTTCATCATTCCAATACCAGTGAATTATGGAAATTGAGTTTTAGAACAATAGATTAAAAACAAGGAGACTAAGACATATCTGGAGGAATCTAATCAGGTCAAATCACAACTTTGATCATTATGTTGATCTACACACATGATTAGTTTTTAACCATGAAATAAATCCACCTCAGTTCATAAGCATTCTAGTTCAAAGGACAACCCCATGTAACTTCTATCATTAATCATTAGTCTTACCTGTTCAATGTCTATCTGCAGTGTCTATCTGTACCAAAATCCAGGGTCTTTTTATGAGAAGTATTTAACAAAAGAATTTAAATTTGCATTAATTTTACGACTGCGAATTTGGCAACAATTTCGATTTACATTTGTAAACTCAACTAACTAGAGATGTATGAATTCATCATATAACAACTATTTAAACCAAAACATATTCAAGCAGAGAAAAGGAGATTCCAAAGGAGAAAAGTTTACTAAACTTGCAACTATTTCTCAAATCAAAAGACGTTAATACTTATTCCATAATTCATCGCATTTCATCAAGTCTTTTATATCGAAAATCATGGTATTACCAATAATACTAGGTATTGGAGTTACAGTTTTAGCATTAACAACAAAGGCAACAATTCAAGCATATAGACAATATCTTCATTTAACACCACAAATGATAGCAACATTAAATAATATAAAATTAATGAATCCCGACGACTCATCATCAAAATGGATTAAAAAATCAGATCCAAATTATAAACATTATCAATTCTTGAAACTGAAATATCCAAATAAAAATTTTAATTCGACAATGACTGAACAAGAAGCTTTATTTATTTTAGGAATTGAAGGTGATGATATATTAAATTTAAATAGAAATTTAATTAGATCAAGATATAGAAAATTAATGGGTGTAAATCATCCTGATAAAAATGGTAGTATTTATTTGAGTCAAAAAATTAATGAAGCAAAAGATATTTTAGATAAAAGTTATATGGTTAATAAATAGGGGAATTTTTGTGTGGATAAGATAGTTGATGCTAAAAAGTTATTCTTTGAATAGCTTTGATTAAGTTTGTTTTCAATTTTTCAAAATGAAACTTCAGGTGAAAAATCTGTTTCCAAAAGTCAATACTACGAATAATCGTTTTATTCAGAAATATGGGAACAGTAACATTACAGCTTTACCAAGGAGTTTTTAATGGAGTTTTTGAAGGATATTATGGTTGTTCGAATGATATATATAAAATAGTTTTGATCTGCTTCCCTTGAAGAACGTAGCACAACAATCGATTCGTCAAGCCTATGTCATCAACGATATCGATATTTGTTGTATTATTAATTAACGCTATTTATTGTTTTATTAATAAACGATGAACCAATACACCTTTCTTTAATAAATAAACCCTGGTGATTTCTTCCCCATGATCAACTTCAATTCTCAAAGTCTCTCATGAACAAATGCTCAATTCTATTGCCTAACCTATCTACTGTGAAACATCTACTACAAAGTCAAACGTTGGTAAATGTTGAACTATTTGCTTAAAATCAATACACGATAATATGAGTCTAACCATTTCATCATCATTCAAATGTACCAAATTTCAAACATCATCTAATCTTCTGACCAAGGTAACAATTTTCATATGAACTTTTTATATTTCATACCTATGGATTAATGGATGAAACTTATCTTTTTAAAAGCAATCAAATTTTGGATTGAATCATATTGCAATTAGATAATTAAGAGATTACTCAATATTCATCAATAGTTCCGTATATCCTATTCATTATTTATAATTCTTTCATATTCTTTTATGTAGTATAATCAATCTCCATACAACCGAAACATTAATTAATTGTGTAATCAAAAATAATTAATCCGAAATAATAATTACACTAAATGGGAAATTAAATCTATACAATTGCACAATAATAAAATAGCCTTATCATACTTCATTATCAAAGATCTAAGTAATTAAGACAAACCAATCAAGGATATAGAGATTGTAAGATTTGATTAAAAACTAAAATATGTGTTGTTAGATAATAAGAAAAGAAGTTAAGAATAAATTATTCTCTCTTTTAAGTACTCTATTTCAGAACTTATGAATCTGAAACGTGGTTATAAAATTTAAAATTCACTCTAATATTTAATTTCTCTTATCAGTAAAAAAACTACCAAAGAGAAGTGAGTAACCTATATACAAGAATGAACTAATAATTCTTAGTATTAACTACACTATAAAGATAATTTCACTACTTACTTAGCCTAAGTTACATATATACATATTTTTGTTGAGATTTCTAAAATTTAATAAAGGCGTTGAATTTAAGGAGTTGAAGTACAAATTTTCAACAATTATTTTTTTTTTAACATTAAATTAAAATGGAATTGTTCAATCCATATTCAAAAGACCATTTCTCTTGTATTTCTTAGGTACTCTACTTCTTCACTTCATTCATGTGATCTTAACTTGTCATATGTTTGCTTATCATCTTATCTTTATTATTTTACCTTCAAAATGGATGAACGTAAAACAACTTCCCGTTAGACCATCTGATTATAATAAATAATTCAATAGTACAGTAGATTTTGTGTCATCTTCGGATTAATTAATTTTATCTCTTTACTCTTTATAAAAAATGAATCATTTTTTTTTTTACTTAATTGTAAACAATTACATCAAATTAAATAAATATAAAACTAATTTCATCATCTTTTATCCAACTTTCTTCTTCATCAGTGAAATAACTAGTTCTTACTCAAATAGTTAGAGAATGTCAATATTTAACTTATACGAAGACGATACTATAATACAAAATCAATATAATTATAGTAACTCAGACAAATTACATTCAAATATGCAATTAATATCAACCATAAATCAAAAAAATGATAATAATAATAATAATCAACAATTAATATCTCAAAATTCATCATCTTCAATAAATTCAATATTTGATGAAATAAAAAATTTAAATTTACAAACTCAATCAAATACTTCTACAATAACTCCAATAATATCAAGAAATGGTTCTATAAAACAAAATAATAATTTTAAATTAACAAAAACTAAAACAAAAGATGAAGAATTTTTAAAAATTTTAAATTCAAAATTAAATAATTTATCAAATATACAAACACAATCAGAAGAAACTCAAATTAATCTTAATTCAAAACTTGTTGTATTATTAGTTGGATTACCAGCAAGTGGTAAATCAACAATTTGTAAACAATTTCAATCATATATAAATTTAAAAACAAACTATAAATCCAAGATATATAATGCAGGAAATATAAGAAGATTATCAAATAATTTTCAAAAAATAAATTCAAATTTTTTTAATCCTGAAAATAAAGAAAATTTAACTAAAAGAGAAGAATATGCATTTATTTGTATAAATAATTTAATTGAAGATTTATCAAACAATGAAATTAATATTGGATTTTTTGATGCAACAAATACAACAATTGAAAGAAGAAATAAATTAATTAATAAAATTCATTCAACTACTACAAACACTAAAATAATAATATTTGATATAAAATGTGAAAATCAAAATTTATTAGAATATAATATATTAAATGGAAAATTAAATAATTTAGATTATTGTTTTGAAAATGATAAAACAAAAGCTTTAAAAGATTTTAAAAAAAGAATTGATTATTATATGAAAGTTTATCAACCTATCACCACCAATGAAATTGAGAATTATAATGGTAAAATTAATGGTTATGTTTGTTTGATTAATGGTTGTGAAGAAGAAGAAAATAGTAATTCTTTTGAAATAACTGAACTTAAAGATGATGATAAAAATGATAATGATTGGTATTTTGATTTACTTTATGAGTTTAAGGAGAGTTATATGAAAAATTATGGTGATGATTATTTTAAAAATTATAATGAATGGAAACAAAAATATAATAAATAGGTTAACTTTTCAAGCTGGTCTTGAGAGTTTTTGACGGGTAAATATTTTATTTAAATCAAGTTGATCTTGATAGGGTACATTGGAGTTAACTTTAACTTAAAAAAGCTGGCTTTTTTGGTAGAATTTATATAGATAGAATTAATAGAATTAATAGAAGTATATAAGTTCTGTTTCAAATTACAAGTGTAGAAATCATTAATAATCATTATAATGCATATACAAATTATCCATGCTATAAACCTAATCCAGGTATAGATTGCTGTTGTTGTTGTTGAAATTGTTGTTGTTGTGAAGGTAGCGGTGTATTCAGTTGATTAAAATTATTATTACTTAATCCTGGAATATTTATACCTGGTATATTCATATTTCCACCATTATTAATAATACTTATATTAGGATTTGAATTTAATTCAATATTTCCAATATTATTCATTAATGGTTGTTGATTTTGTGCTGCAGCGTTGTCTGCTGCTATTTTTGTTGGATCTTCCATTACTGCATTTACATTATTATTTACAGTATAATACCAAGCACCAATTTTTTCATCAGTATAAACAGCATCTTTCCAAGCCATTGAATCATTTGGTCTACCTCTTGACCAAAATCTTGCGGTTTTATCTGATCCTGCTGAACACATTAAATGACCTAATGGATGATATTCTAATGAATGAACTGCTTTTTCATGTGCATAGGGGATTTTATGAACTGTATCAATTGAAGAAATTTGAGTTATATTTGAATTTATATTTTTTTTTGGTATAATTTCATTTGAATTGGGGATATAAGAATTTAATAAATAATGATTTATTGAACCATTGAATGCCGCTGTAGTTAACATTGATGCATGTATGGGATGCCATGAACAACATGATAAATCAGTTTCTGATTCTCTTATAATTAACATATCTTTCATTGTATTTAAATCAAATATTCTACATGATCTATCTCTTGATACTGAAGCTAATAATCTTTTTGTACCAGCAGGTTGAAATCTTGTTGTATTTACAGTATGTTTAAAACCATGCAATGTTGTAATACATTGTGAAACTCTTGGATCCCATAATTTTATTAAATTATCTTTTGAACCACTTACAATTAATCCTAATTCTTTATGCCAATCAGCACTTTTAACTTCCCAATTATGACCAGTTAGAGTTCTTTCTTCTTTCCCATTATTAAAATTCCATATTTTTATCATGGAATCATCACCACATGTTAAAAATTTAGAATCATTTGGTGAAAAAGCAATATCTCTTATACCATTAGAATGAGCATTTATATTATTTACATTATTAAAATTAGGTTGCCAATATTTTATAATACCATTTTGATCACCACTTAATAACCAATCATCATTATTTGAATATTTTAAACTTAATATAGGATTTTCATGAGCTTGCATAATAGTTTCAAAATTAAAAGTCATACCATTCCATAAAGTAAATTCACCGGAATGTGAAGCAACTAATAATCTTCGACCTTCAGGAGTCCATTTAACAGTATTTATTGAATGTTTTACTTTATTTGATGATAAATGAACAAATTTTGTTTCTAAATCTAATATACCTAAATTATTTTTATTATTTTTTCTATTTTTATTAAAACTTGATGAATATGCTAATGATGGTAATAAATCAATTAAATATGAACTTTCTGGTCTAATTTTACCAATTTGTTGTTGAGAACCAGTGTTTATTCCTAATGATTTTTCAATATACCATCTTGTCATATTATTTCCATAATCTGTTACTCTTCTATATGCTTGTTTTTTTTCTTGACTTGCTAATTGTTGATCTATGTTGTTATGATATGTTTGATACCTATTGTTACCATTATTATTATTTTGTTGATTGTTGGAGTAGTCATCATTTTGATTTTGTTGTTGATGATTGAATCTTGGTGTATAAGATGGTTTTTGAACCCTACCACCATTCTGTCGCTGATTGTTTTGATAAGACATATCACGGGTTATTCATAGGTTAAGTATTTTAGGAAATGGTTGTTGCAAATTTGAAAAGTATTGTAGGTAATTTACTTATTACATCAAATAAATTCGGCAGATAATACCCGCAGTCACGTGATTCAATTTCAAATATATTTTGTTTGAAACTTGGAGACTTCTATTTCGAAGTAAAATTAATATGAATGCTAACTAAATTTAATGTCTCACTTATTTTTTGATCAATAGGGACTAATTACAATTAATAAGCTCCTATTGTTGTTTGGTATTAAACTTTCTTAATTTCTTGAATCCACACTTTCTAATTTTGGTAAGCATATGCTACCAAGTTTTGGATTTTGCAATTAATAGACCTTGTGGTCTCCAGATATTAATCTGAATCACTTACATCAACATCTATATCTACAAATCTAACCAACTTAATTAACATAATTTCCTCAAAATGGTTGAAGTATACTATCACGATAACAACGATACTCCTGAAGATTTCACCGAATCACATAATTCAGGTATTCCTGTATCATTTGAAAAATTATCATCAATTGGAGTTATATATAAAAAAATAACATCACAAGAAGAACTAGATAAATTAGCAAAAGAAAGAGACTACAAGAATAGGGATGAAATTGATTTAAATTTAAAATCTTTTAATAATGATTTAGATGCATATAATTCAAAAATGACAACATTTTATAAAGAACATTATCATGAAGATGAAGAAATTAGATATATAATTGATGGAGAAGGATATTTTGATGTAAGAGATCCAAATGATAAATGGATAAGAACAAAATTAAATAAATTTGATTTATTAATTTTACCAGCTGGTATTTATCATAGATTTACTTTAACTAATGAATTAAAATCTATAAAAGCTGTTAGATTATTTAAAGATGAACCAAAATGGGAAGCTATTAATAGGGATTCTGGTAGAAATACTGAAGCAAGAACTAGTTATGCTCAAAGTATCGCTGTTTGATGAAATCTTTGGTAAGTTGATTCCCAGGAGGTCAACATGATCAATTAAAGTATTAATACCCTTAAATATTTATGTTTAATTTATTTCAATTCTTCACTATCTTAACTTTTTTCAGTTTAATCCAATTCTCTAATTTATCTTTATTAATTTTTAATTCTTTATCAATATTTGTTCTTTGTAATTGTAATTTTTTTAATTCATCATTTAATATAATTAAAACTTCATCTATGGTTTTTTCAATTAAAACACCTCCAATCATTTTAAAACATTTTCTATTTTTACGATTTTCTGGTGATATTGAAGTTAATGTATGATCTACTATTATGTGTTCTTGAATTTGTTGTTGAATTGTTTGTGATTGAGATTCTAATTCTTGAATTAAATTTTGATATCGATTATATTCTTGTTGTAATATTTGTGATTTTTTTTCATCTACTTCTGTGGATGAAGACATTGTATGAGTTAGTGTATATTGTATGAGTTTAAGTGGATGATATAAGAATGATTGATGTATGTGTGTTAAACATCAATTGTATAATTAGTTCAAATTTTGTGCGAAGTGTAGAAATTGAAATTTAAAGTCATTTTGCAACCAACTTGACAAAGTTAGACTCCATATAAGACAACGACAATAAATTATCAAACACCTACAGCCAGCTTTACAATTTATACTTGAGAGACTATTTTACAGTATACTCAACTAATTATATTGGATTACTCATTGGAACAAAATCAAACCCGTTTATCACTTGTGCAAATTCATGCAACATTAATCAATATCATAATTTTCAAGAAGCATGATCCAACAGTTAAACCCCCTTCTACTCATTCTAAGAACTATAAAATCAAATAGTCTTCTTAGTCTTTTTTCTTCATATATTATTCAGTTGTCTTTTTTAATTATTTTACACTTAATCAAATTAGTATAATTTTGCACCCAAACTTCAATAAAATGTCAATACGAAATCCAATTGCGTTTAATGCTGTTCCAACTAATCAATTATTAATAGCAGGTGGAATTGGTTTTGGTATTTATGCTATATTAATGTTTAAGTATTATCCATCAAGAGCAACAGTTAGAAAAGTATTTGAAGATAAAGATGAAAATTTTAAAAAAGTAACTGTTATGCAATTACCTCAATACGAAGGTAATAGAGAGAAGAAATAAGAATAAAATTGAAGTGAATAATTTCAAATTTTAATATATATATTTTTTATATTTTCTCAATTATTCATCATCTTCTTTTTCAACTTCTTTTGATACTTTATCTAAATTTGTTAATAAATCACTTAATTTTTTAGCACCAAATTCATAATATTCCTTTTGAGCTTGTACTAAAACTTTTAATAAATTAATATTTTTTGATGGATTAAGTATTTTTTTCATTTCAATTACAGCTAATTCAGTTGCACCAACTAATTCATCTTCTTTTGAAATTAATTCTTCATTTTCTGGATCAGAAGTTTCATATTTAAATCTTAATTGATCAAATTGTGATCTTGTTAAATATACTTTTTTTCTTAATTCATTAACTTTTATAAATTGTTTATTTAATATATCAACTAATTCATGATTTAAATTTTGTAATATTTTTTGATCTTGTTCTAATCTTGATGATCCAATTTCATGATAAGTTGAAGAAATTTGCATTAATATAAATGAAAGTTTACTTGAATTTACTTCATCTGATTGAGTTGATTGTTTAGTTAAATCTTGTGAATGTTTAGATAATATTTCACTTAAATGTCCAAATAAAGTCTTTGGTAAATCTGGTGATGTTGGTTGAATTGTTATATCAGCTTTAGGTTCTTCATTAGTTCCTAATAATACTTTTTCTAATTCTTGAGGTGATGAAACATTTTTCAATTGATTAAATTTTGAAGTAATTAAATCTCCAACATGAGCATCTTTTATTTTATTGATAGTATAATTACCTGGTGGATAATCATAACTAACATTATTATAAGTATCATTGGTAAAGGTAATTAAATCAGTATACAATTTTAATAATAAATCACAATTAATTTCTAATTGTAAATAATCTTGAGGTAATTCACTAACTTCAATATTATTATTATTTGTAGTTGCTAAATTTTGTACTTGTTTTAATTGATCATTTATTTTTGCAGTTGTGAGTTGTATAGATTCTTTGAATTGATCTATAGTTGCATTTGATGGTGTTACTTTTGAAAAAGTTTCCTTAAATTGATCAACTGTTGGTAAGGAATCTTGAATTGATTTTAAGTCAAATGATGGAAATTTAAAAGACATGTTTAGTGTTGTTTATCAATTGATATGCTGTGTAATTTGATGTTTGTTAAGTTATGTATTAAATGAGCAATTACAATTGAATTAATGGTCGAGATAAGAAATAGAATATGAATGTTTCACATTCCAATTTTTATTTTTTATCTGTTGTGTGTCCTTACGTCAACTTGTGATAATTTTAAGAATTATGTAACATGCAAACTGCTACCAAATCGACCAAACTTTGCTACAACGCTACATCGACCTGATAAATCTGCGTTATTCACATCCATTTCATTCTTCGTTCCCAATGATTCAAAATCATGTCAAGACATGATACTTCATCATCATATGTTCATCATAAGAAGCAAGCAAATTATCACGACAAGAGAAATGTTTTGAATAAATCAAATTTGGTGGAACCCATTATACGACATCGTATACAAGACTCATTATTTTATAAACAATATTTGTTCTTGACAAATGAATCAACTATATTACCTATAATTATTGAACATGTAAAATATGTATCTGGAGTTGATTCAATTGGAAGACCATCACCTTTTTTACAAGTACTATTGAGATTGCTAGAAATTGAACCACTGCCAGAGGTTATTAAAGTGTACTTAAATCAACTTGACTTTAATGAATTCAAATATCTCACATGCGTGACATTACTATATATCAGATTAGTTTATGAACTGGAACAAATATATAAGATATTTGATCAATATCTTAAAGATTATAGAAAGCTAAAAATCAAATCAAAAAATCCAGAGTTTAACGAATTTAAACAACCAATATTTTTCAAAATTATTTACATGGATGAATATATTGATGAAATTTTGAACAATGATAGAATTTTTGATATTATATTACCTAGATTGATACCCAGAATCCAATTGGTTGAAAGGGGATTAATTGGCCCAAGACAATACTTTATTGATGAAGAAGAAATCAAGAATGTTTTGCAAAATGGTAAAGATGAAGAGAAAGTAATTGAAGTACAGAACCAAGATAACGAAAGTGAGAGCTCTTATCAAAGCGATAGTGATTAGTATATATATTACTTTTACTGTCGTAAATATTAAGTGATGCAAAGTTATTTAACAATCGATTATCTCAAAATCCATGTTCTTTATTCCATTTTGCAGCTTCCACTTCAGCTTGATGAAGTTTATTTGATTCAACTGTGTGGATTTCTTCGGGAGTTGCCTCTGCTCCTAAAGTTTCCTCTTGTTTTAATTCTTTTTGATTGACTTTATGAGCAGGTAATTTTGCTATAGCAGGATCAACATCTTCGGCTTCTTGTAATAAAGTTTCTTTTGGATCTTTAAATCCATGTTGAGCGTTCCATTCTGAAGCTTTTTGTTCATCTAATGAAAAATCATTGTCTTCAACTGTGTCTACTTCCTTTGTAGTAGCATCCGGTCCCAAGGTTTCTTCTTTTTTTAATTCTTTCTTATTTGTTTTATGGGCTGGTAATTTTGCAATTGATGGGTCAACATCTTCTGCCTCTTGAAGTAAAGATTCTTTGGGGTCTTTGAATCCGTGTTCTTTATTCCATGTTTCTGCTTCATTTTCAGCATTTGTAAATAATTTATCATCATCAGTTTGAACAGTCTTTATTTCTTTTTCAGTAGCATCTGGAGCTAATGTTTCTTCCTTACGTAATTCTGCTTTGTTGACTTTATGAGCTGGTAATTTTGCAATTGCTGGATCAGCTAATTCAGCGTCGGCTATTAATGAATCTGGAAGTGGCATATTTTAAAAATTATTATTATAATATTAACTATTGGGTGCAAAATACCAAGGTAAATATAATTTTTTTGTAAAATTTGATTAAATCTTCAAAATTTAATTTAAGAAGTAATAAAAATTCCAATTGATCAAGACCAACTCCGCGTATATATATATTTATGCAAGTATATAATTATTTGCGACTAAAACTAAATTTATTGTGTTTTGTTATCTATTTGAGTTAATTTTTACATCCGGTTATTAATTACTTCGTGGAAAAAAAGGTTCCAAATGCTGAAAATTTAGAATAATATGGAACAAAGCCGAACGAACCAGGACCTTAATATTAGCTAAAATATACTAATTAATTGTACAGTTGTTTAACCTTATCAGTATTGTTGTGGTTAAATTTAGGTTGCATTACATGGCAAATACTATAGCATATAATTTTTAAACATGGCAGTTACGAATTTATTAGATCAATCAGAAAGACATTCTGAATCAAGTATTCATGAAATTTCAAAGACTAAAATAGGATTTATAGTAATACTATTTTTATTATCATTAACATCATTTGTATTACAAACAGAATTCACATCACAAGCATATAAATTGAAATTTAGTGAGCCAATATTATTATTAACTGTAACTCATGGATCATGGTGGATACTATGGCCATTACAAATTATATCAATAAGTTTATGGAGAACTATCAATAAAAAAATAAGAGATGACAAAATTGTAAAAAAAATTGGAGGTAGTGGTATTGATGTTGGATCTGGTCAATATCAGCGATTGAATTCAACTTCTGATTTACTACTGGATCAAGAGAATCATCAACAACAAGGTCAAGAAGTTCCTGTACAAAAAATTAGCATGTATTTATATTTCAAAAAGGCTATTATCAAACAATTTCACAATGTATACCACACAGCGATATTAATATATGAATCGAATGTAAACCATGATAGAACAACGAAACACTTAAACCAACTAATAGATTCAAATGTACATATATCAAACTCAACTTCAATAATAGATGTTTTGAATAGCTTTTTCAAAACTCCAGCAATCAAATATATTTGTTTCAAAACTTTTTTAATAACTTGTGTTTTAACAATTGCGGGATTCACTTGGTATGGAGCTATGTCAATGACTTATGCAGCTGACGTTACAGCTATTTATAATTGTTCAGCTTTCACTGCTTATGCATTTGCTATACCGTTGTTGAATGAAAAGTTTTCATGGTTGAAAGTTAATTCAGTTATAATTGCAATTATCGGAGTGTTTATAGTATCTTACTCATCCAGCTCAGATATTGGAGAAGGAAAAGATCAAAATACTGAAAATCCTTACCCTTATAGATTTTGGGGTAACATCATAATCTTTATTGGTGCAATATTATATGGATATTATGAAGTATTGTACAAGAAATATTTATGTATACCTGCTCATTTATCTAAAATAATAACACCTAGAAGACAACTGACATTTGCAAATTTTGTAATGGGGATAATAGGTGCATTCACATTGATTATATTAGTCACTTTAATAATATTTTTACAAGTCTTCCATATTCATAAGTTCAACTTTTTTGACTATGGAGATAATACCAAAACTATCTGGTTATACATTTCTGGTTCTATAGTAAGCAATTTATTATTCAGTGCATCTTTCTTATCACTTATGGCATTAACTTCACCTGTATTATCATCTGTCAGTTCATTATTAACCATATTTGTGATTGGAATAGTTGAGTGGGTCGTATTTGGTAACGCTTTGGATTTACAACAATTAATTGGTGATTTTTTTGTGATTATAGGATTTGTATTATTGACTATTGCTTCATGGAAAGAAATAAGTGAAGGTAACGAAGATGATGATGTTGAGGCTGTGAGTACTTATTCGTATGCTATGAGTACGGATGGAAATACTAATCATTAAATTTGCATTTAACATTAAGAGTAAACTCTGTAAAATATTTATTAGACATATTTTAATTTACATCATTTCTTACCCATTGGTGTTTATTTATTTTAATATTGTAGCATCTAGTGATCGAGCGTAAGAGGAAATTTAGTGTCAGACTAATTTGAATAAGAAATGCCTTTGTATATAAGTTGCAAAAAATTCTAAACACAATATTAAAATGCCACTTCTACGATATTAATATTGAAACTTGTTTTACAAATAATAAAACTAAACTACATTAACACCACCAAAATTCAATTCAACAGCAAATCAAATTCAATATGGCAGATTCAAAATCCAATGATGCAGGTTTTCAAGGTCTAATGAAATCATTAAATTTAGATCCACAACAATATAAATTATATAATTCGTCAGATTTCCCTCAAAAATCATTTCAAGAATTATCACAAATTAAAACGAATATAGAACAACAGCTAAATAATTTATTTGATTTATTAAAGCATCAACATAATGTTGATATGGATTCACCTCTTGTGACAAAAGATGGATTCCCGAGATCTGACATTGATGTTGTTTCGGTTAGATTAATACGTACTCATATTATTAAGTTGAAAAATGATTATAAGTCTTTACTAGATATTTTGGAGAGTAAGATGGAAGAAGAATTTGCGAAATTAAAGAAAGCTGATTGAAATTGAATGATATTTGGATCTAAATACTTTATAAGGTTTTTATCTACACATAATAATGACTAATGACTTACTTCCTTAAGAGTATATTTACCCAGTTATGGTTACGGCTTCTCTTACGCCTCCTCTGAAGTGCTCTGTTGTCCAAACTAAAATGCTCTTACCATGTGCTCGAAAGTAAAAAGTAACTGAGGTTATAATGCTTTAAATCGAGAAATTTTAACCACCATGTAAAGTACTTGTAAATGTCAAAACGTCACCACTTTCAATAACATAATCATCCGTTCCCTCAAGTTCCCAATCGGTATCATTTATAAGCACCAATATACCAGGTCTTATACTATCATCCTGGATGAAGACAGGTATATCTTTTGGATCAGTAATTATATTTTCACAGATATATTTTATTGCATCTTTCATCGTTGCTTCACCTTCCTCGTATGGTAAAACAGCTTTATGTTCTCTTTGTGATGACGATATTATATCTAGTCCTCCTAGGAATTCAACTTTGACTTTGATAGGCATTTTCGTTTCAATGAATTTAGTTGCAACTTTTAAGATGTGTTTGACTAGATCTGAAAATCTGTTTGTATCACAAAATAAAACGAGTAAAACGTTATCTGGTCAAAAGCAAGTTCGTGGTATTCACGCTCTCAACTTTCCTTAAGGTATTAATTCTCAGCTAGCAGCTGTTTTTTAAAAAGCTGATTTATTGCTCGCCAGGTAATTGATCATATTACCACAACAATGATCAAGTTTTACTATATTAAAACCTACTAATTCAACGGGTGTCTCAGAATTTACGAGGCTACCAAATTCTGATATTTTGTTTAAGTGTCATTTTGTTTTTCTTTGAAAAATTACAATTCATTCTGACAACCAACGAAATCAACATCAACTTAGGTCACCAATTTCACAAATGTATCAATTTATCTATTTTTTGATAAGTTGTTTATATCTAAATATAGCCAATGCCATATCTTCACAAGATGGAGAAAAACAATATGCATTGGTGCTATATGATCCAGAATTGGTACCACTAAATGAAACAGATTCTACAATATTAACATCAGAAACTCAACAATTCTTGAATTATCTCAAAACCAACTATGATTTAACAATTGCTGATTATAATGATGAAGAAGTCACATTATTTTATCAAGATTATTTAAGATTTGATAATTTAATATTATTACCATCACTGAAAAAAAATATTAAAAGTAAATCCAGTTTAGATCAAGAATCATTAAATAAATTTATTAATGAAGGTGGTAATATTTTTGCAGTAGGTGGATCTTCAAGTACATTACCTGATGGAGTAAGGTCATTTTTAAACGATATTGGAATATACCCAAGTCCTAAAAATTATAAATATATCGACCATTTTAATACTAAAAATAATAAAATTCAATTGAAAGAAGATAATTTAGTCCCTGGTAATAGAATCATTGAAAGCTTGAAAAGCAGTGAATATAGCGAGGGAAATTCAGTCTTAATTTCTAACAATGAATTAATTCAACCAATTATTAAATCATCTAAAACTGGATACACCAACAAAGTCGGGGATGCAATTCATAGTGAAACAACTTGGACGTTTGGGGAAGAAGGATATTTAGCAGTAGGATTCCAAGCTTTAAATAATGCAAGATTGGTATGGATTGGATCATTGGATTTACTCTCCGATGAATCGTTATATAAATGGTGTTTTCAAGAAACAGGAGTTATAAAATTAGATTTCGTTCAACATTCTAATGCTAATGAACCTACAAAATTAAATCCTCAGTTATATAGAATTAAAGATAATGCACTTTATACGATAGGAGTATCAGAATTAATTGATGGAAAATGGAATCCATTTGAAATTAAAAATCAAGAAGATATTTTACAATTATCTTTTAAAATGTTAGATCCTTATCAAAGATTAAATTTATCACCAATTGGACCAGTAAGTTCTAAAGAAAATTCATCCGAATTGGATAGTTTTGCTTATTTTGTAAATTTTACAGTCCCAGATCATCATGGTATGTTTACTTTTGAATTAGATTATAAAAGAAACGGATTGAGTTATATATCAGATAAAAAAGTTGTGACCGTAAGACACTTAGCAAATGATGAATTTAAAAGATCTTGGGATATTTCAAATTCCTGGTTATACATTGCTAGTACTGTTATAGTAATTTTGTCATGGATTCTATTTGTTGTAAATTATGTATATGTTATATAAACTTAATTGACAAACAAAAAATCAAAATTATAGAATTAAACTAATTCATCCTATAAGATGTATCTTCCTGCGATCTTTAATTTTAGTTAGTATTTCATATTCAAAATGATCTTAGTAAAACCATCTTAATTGACCAAAACGAACGAAATTAAATCAGATCTGTTTTTCTACTATCTTAATTAAACAACTATCTTCAACGTTTTGAAAACTCAGCTGTCCCTATCAATTTATTCATCATAAAGTTTGAATTTGGCCGATTGGTTTTTTTAATTTTGTTGATAAACATACTTCTGGTTTTCGTTAAAATGGGATATACATAGATTTTAATACCATTGGGAAGTGACGCATTTCCAACAATATTCAGGCCTATGTAAAACCATTGAAAGGAGTATGACTAGTTGTACTCCAATTCGAATGCGTTTGAAGAAGGAAAGATGTGATTAAAAAGTGAAAAAAAAAAAAAAATTTAAAATTTAAAACTTTACGAAGATTCGATTGTATTTATTATCTCTCTCACTTTGATAAATCAACATCAACAAATTTGACCAGGTTGAATTAACAACATTACCCAATATACAACTACAAGGCAAATTTCCTGCATTATCAACAACTTCAAAATATTAAAATATTCAATTCATTGATTAATATTCCGCAATTTTATGTTCCACCTCGCGTCATCATTATATACTCAGTATACAAAAAGAGAACAATATAACATACTAATATTAGGTTTAGATAATGCAGGTAAGACTACATTCCTAGAGCATATAAAATTACTATATCCATCATCAGCGGCTTCAAACTCAACCAAACCAGACTCTAATAAGAAATCAAACCCGTTAGCGTCCAATGTACAAAATGATACTTCATCAAATGGAACGTCTCATAATGAATTTGAGGAACATGATGAACCAAGACTGACAACATCCATATTGAAGTCTAAAAAAATACTACCGACAGTTGGACAAAACACAACTACGATAAAATTTGAAGCACTAGATAAATCAAATCCAATGGCTTCACAATTTAAAAATATTAATCTAAAATTCTGGGATCTTGGAGGACAAAAATCTTTGAGAAATATGTGGGCACGATATTTTAAACAATGTCATGGAATAATATTTGTAATTGATTCAACCGATACTGCTAGATTTCAAGAATGTTATGAAACTTTAATTGACATAGCGCATCATGATAGTTGGTTATTATCTGATGCTAACAATGGTGAAGATACAGAGAGGATGATTGGAGTGGATGGTACGGTGAATGTACCAATTCTTATGCTTGCTAATAAACAAGATTTACCACAGGCAGTTGATCTAGTTTCTTTAAAAACTGGTGTTTTCATTAAATTAGTAAGTGAGCTAGAAGCTACTGATTCAAAATTATTACCTGTTAGTGTATTGGAAAATCAAGGATTGCAAGAAAGTTTAGAGTGGTTAGTAACTAGGTTGATATATAATAAAGCCAATAAAAAACCTGAATATCGGTGATGAAATCTTTATAGAATAATTAATTATACTATAATAATGCATATTAATGAAATAATGCCTAATCTTGGTTCATTAAAATATGTCGACAGAGTCTTGGGGCGTCCTCGTTATCATCATTTTATGTATACCTTCTACAATTGTATACGCAAAGTTGAGATGATTGAATACATTGGATCGCTTTGATGGTCCAATTCTTTGACTAAGTGTAGGGTTTTAATTCCAGATACAAATATAATGTTATAATCTAGAGTATTGAAAGTATTTGCCTTTAAATTTTAGAGCTAATCGAGATTTAGGTCAATTAAGGTACGAATTTCGTAAAAACTTTATTTGTATGTAGAGGATGCTAGTAGTATAAATAAATTAATTCAATATGACGTAATTGGCGTTTCAGATTTAGTTTTGGGGTTTATATACTTGGTAGCGGTTAACTGCTTTAACTTTAATTTTGAAGAATTGCTAACATGTTAAAAGTTTAATATTTAAAAAGTCAAAGGTCAAACTGTTGAATTGATTATCTTTGTCATTTCAGTTTGATGACATTGGTGTATGTATCGAAAAATTTATTGTGTACTCAATACATATACAATTGAATAATAAAGTGTCAATTATGAAAAAACGAAAACCGTATTATTAACTCCGAAAAGTGACAATAAGTCTAGTTACTGTACAGAAATTATTTAACTTTTTCGAAACATGAGACATACCATCGAATTGTTCGATAATTTTTTTGGTCTTGGCTATACTTTTTCCACTCCTCTTTTCGAAAAAAGTAATAATTTATTCCTCGAGATTCAGATCGAAACTTTTGTGTATTCAACGACTAGATGAAAACTGTTCTAACAACTCACATTACATAAAATTGAATTTCTATTCTTTATTATAATTTGGATTGCTAAAATATTATTAGACTATAAAATTATAAAAATAAAAAATAAATTTAAAGGGGTTTTTTTTTTAGGTACATTTTAATTGGAATGGGGCTCTAAAATAGTCGATGTAAATAAGAAAGAGAAGACTATATCAACCATACCCTAACACATATCTCTCGCGATTGCAAACAACTAGTTTCAACTTATCAATTGAATCTTATTAACCAAAATAGAGTTGTATTTTTAAAATTTTTTGTTCATAACTGCTTTATTCTACTAATAAAATAATTTGAAAATAAAATGAACCCACAGTATTATACAAACTATGTATTACAATCTTGCTTTTGTATTGATCAATGCTTGAAATTTTGTTCAAAAATCAATGACTTGATTCAAAATTTCATAATGAATTCATTAAACTCATAACAAACTTGAAGGAGTAAGCATAAATAATTTTTTTTTAATAAGTATAAACATTTTAAAATAGCAAACAAAATTAGAATTTTATAAATTGTCATACATTAAAAACATACCCACACACACTTTCAAAATATTTCATAATAATATGTAATGAAACTAATTTTTAATTGAATAAAGATTCTTTATATATCTCATCAATTGCTTCCACAATTTATTCAATTTCATTTTAATTGAAACTTTTGATTATAGAATAATTAAATCAATTCAATTAACAACTTCAATTATATCATAAATCATACTATTCGATTCAATTCAACTTCAATTGTTTTATTTAACCCATATTTAGAAAAATTACAAATTAATCAACTTTAAGTTTTAGAATTTCACATATTTTGATCATTGAAAACATACGTTAAAATGAGTTCAGAAGGGAAATTTTTTAATAAAGTCAAAAATGCTTTTAAAAGTGAAAAAGGTGAAAAAAGTAGTGAATCTTCACCTCAAAATTCACCAAGAGCTTCAAGATCTTCAAAATCAGGTCCAACTACTTCAGATCCAAAACCCGTTTTAGCAGAAGCTAGAGAAGAAGGTGCAAAAACTGGAAAACATCATGAGCAGCAACAACATGGTGCTTCTACTACTGCAGCAGATTCAAATTATGGAGGATCAGGTGCTTATTCTCATTCTAAAACCGGAAATGATAAACATGATAATATTTTGAAAGAAGCTTATGAAGAAGGTAGAAAATTATTTCATCATCATTCTAAAACAGGTAATACAGGTGTTCAACATGGAGGAACTGCATCTGCCGGGGCAGCAGCCGGTGGAATTGGTGGTTATGCAGCAGGTTCATCTTACGACCATAAATCTACAGTACCAGATTATTCAAGTAAAGATGGTGATGTTGTTTCAAGTTCTTCAAAAGGTAGAGTTGTTTCATCTCCCCCAAAAAGATCAAGAGAACCATTAAAATATGAAACTCCAGGTGATTATTCAAATGCAAAAAATCCAACTGATTCAACTGTTATTGCTGGTGGTAATGGTGCAAATCAAGGTGATGGATTCCAAGATAAAGGAGTTTATGAAAATTCAAAACCAGCTTATAGTGATGGAGCAGAACCAGTCCAAGGTCATGGTAAATTCTTTGATCCTAGAGATACTCAAGGTGGTGTTTTAGGTGCAGCAGTAGGATCACAAGGAGCTACTAATGCTTATAATCAAGGTAAAATTGATTCATCACATCAAGAAGCCACAAAAGCTAGATATGTTGATGAAGATAAATTAAAAACTAAACCAGCAGCTTATGAACAAGAGGATAGACAAAAGGAAGAGTTAGAACAAATTAAACAAGAAGCTTATAAAGAAGGTAATAAAAAGGGTAGAAAAGATGTTCAAGAAGATCCTTCTTTATTAGGTTCAAGACAAATTGGTGGTTCAGGTTCTACAAATGATGATAAGGATATTAATAAGAAGGAAATTCATCAAGAAAATAAATCAGCTTATAATCCAGGTGGGGTTGCTGGTGTTTTAGAAAAAGAACATGGTCAATCACTTCCAGCAAATAAAAGAAATTTGGATCATGATAATGTTATCAAAACTGGTGGTGTTGTTTATGGAGGTCCTGGTGTTGCTTCTGCTTCAAAAGAAAATTATGATCCAGCAGCTACTGATAGAAAAATTTCAGATCTTGATGCTCAAATTAATCAAACTGATAGCAAGATTCAACAATTAAGACATGATCCAAGTAATGCTTCAACCTATGCTGTTCGTGATGAACCAATTCAAACTCCAAAATTATCAGATGTTCATGATGATGATTATGAGCATCTTGATTCTAAAGTTAATGAAACTGATAGAAACACTAATGATAATGCTGAAAAACCAGGAGTATTTGCAGGAGCTGGTGGTGCATTAGCTGCAGCTGCTGGTTATTTAGGATTTGGTGGATCTCAACAACCAGAAGATAAAGTTAAAGATGATACTTACCATCAAGGTGAATTTACAGCTATTAAAGAAGAAATTTATGGTGCTGGTTATAAACAAGGAAAAGATCTTTATGGTCCTACTTCTACTACTTCAACTACTGGTGGATCAAAAGGTGTTTCAGGTGTTGATGCAAAAGATGTTGAATCTAAAGCTTATGGTGAAGGTTATCATCAAGGTAAAAATGAACCAGGATTTGTTGATGAAGCTAAACAAACTGTTGAAGGTTTAGTATCAGCTACTGCAGGTTATTTAGGTTATGGTGCTACTCAAGGTGATTCTCATCCTGAAAATAAATCTTCAGCTACTTCCCCAGAACACAAACAAATTTTAGATTCATCATATGCAGCAGGTCAACAAAAATATGAAAATGAAAGAGCTGGTAAAACTACTGGTCAACCGGGTCAAGAAGGTTTTGTTGAAAGAGCTGAACATGCAATTGGTGGTGCAGCAGCAGCAGCAGCTACTTATCTTGGTTTAGATTCATCATCAACAGCTCATAATGCTACTGAAGGTCATCAACAATTATTGAAAGAATCATATGATGCTGGTAAAGCAAAAGGTGAAAAAGATTTAGCTTCAGGAGGTACAAATAATCAAACTGGTCAAAGTGGTTGGCAAGAAGCAAAAGAAGTTGTTGGTGGAACTGCATTAGCTGCAGCTGGGGCTGGTGTTGCTGCTACAACTTATGCTGCTGATAAATTAGGTTATAATGATTCAAATAAAACTCATAATAAATCAGTTGAAGAAGAAGGATCACATAGAACCACTAGTACTTTACCTAAAGATAATAAAGTTGAAAATGATAACAAAGGATCATCATCAAATCAAGGTTACTTGTCATCAGTTGGAGCTGCAGTTGGAAGTGCTGGTGCCGCTGTTGGAAATGCTGTTGGTTATAATCAAACTCCACAACAAAAGGAAGCAGATGTTGAGGATTCATTACTTGAAGATGCAGAAAAAGTTGATCCAGCTATTGAAAAATTACCAGCTCATAAAACCAATACAAAGGAACTTAAAAAAGAAGAAACTTTGGGACCACAAGCAACTCCAGAAGAAATTCATACAGTTGATTCAAATAAACTTAGTCAAGCAGAAAAAGATGTTGATGCATGGAATAAAAAACATGGTTTTACCAATCCAAAAGGTTCATTAATTGAAGCTGCTGAAGAAGCTGATCCTGCAATTGAAAAATTACCACCTCATAAAACTAATAAGAAGGAATTAAAGGAAGAAAAAACATTAAGTGCAGATGCTACTGAAGAAGAAAAAGAAGTTGTTGAAACTAATCAATTCAGAGATATGGAAGATGAAGTTGCAGCTTATAATAAAAAACATGGTTTCAAAAATCCAAAGGGTTCATTACTTGATGCTGCTGAAGAAGCTGATCCATCAATTGAAAAGTTACCAGCTCATAAAGGTCAATCTATTGATAAAGAATTAAATGATAAAGCTGAACCATCTGGTGCTGATGTGCAAGCTCTACCAGCAAATCATCCAACTGCGAGGCATTCCGAAATCAAAGAAAGTTTAGGTCTTGCAACTGGAGTACCTGCAGGAAGACAATCAATTGATAGTGGTAAAAAATCAGATGCTAGCGATTCTACAAAGTCTAAAGATAATTCATCAGATGCAACTAAATCTAAAGATGTTGATCATAAAAAATCTGGTGCTGGTTTAGGAGCAGCTGCTGTTGGTTCAAATTCAAATTCTAAATCATTAGATCATGATTTGAGAAAGGAATCTTATGATGAAGGATATAAAAAAGGTAAAACTGATTCATCTTCACATAATAGAAATGTATCTGGTGCAGCTTATAATACAACTAAACCAGTTGGTGATTCTTCAAATGAAAAATCTTTGGATCATGGTTTAAAGAAAGATTTGTATGAACATGGATTTAGAAAAGGTAAATCTGATCATGAATCAATTGGTGGAAAATTGGATGATTGGTTAAAGAAAGAATTATATGATCATGGTTATAGAAAAGGTTCATCTGAACATTCAAATCATACTGGTAGAAATATTGCAGGTGGTGCTTTAGCAGGTGGTTCAACTGGTGCAGCTTTAGATCATGGATTGAAGAAAGATTTATATGAACATGGTTACAAAAAAGGTAGATCTGATCATGAATCAGTTGGTCAAAAATTAGATGATTGGTTGAAAAAAGAATTGTATCATCATGGTCATAAAAAGGGAACTGAAGATCATTCTAAACATGGACTTTATGGTGGTATTGATGCTTTAGATCCAACTTTAAGACAACAATTATATGAACATGGTAAAGCTCATGGACATAGAGTTCATGGTGAAAAAGGTTCAACTTCAGGTGGTTATGGCTCAAATTTAGATTCTAAATTGAAACAAGAATTGTATGAACAAGGTTATGCTAAAGGTTCTTCAAATAAAGGAGCTACTGCTTTAGGTGCTGGTGCTGGTGCATTAGCTGGATCTGGTGCTTATGCTTCTCAAAATAGACATCAAAATGAATATGGTCAACCTTCAGAAAGAGCACAACTTGATCAAACTTCAGAATTAGTTGGTGAAAATACAGCTCATAAAAGAGGTCAAGATACTCAAGATAATTTAGTAGTTGAAGTAGTTGGTATTGAAGATAAAGAAGAAGCTTTAAGAACTGCTAGAAATGCTTCAAAAAAATTAGATGAAAGAGGAGTTGATTTAACAAGTGGTAAATTAATTATTGATGCAAATAATAGAGAAATTTATAAAGAAGAATATGTTTCAGAAAGAGAATTACCATCTCAAGGTTATGCTGCTTCATCTGCTCCAGGAACTTTAGGTCAATCAAGAGCTGCTGGTTTCACTGAAGGTGCTCAAGATACTTCTTATAGAGGTGATGGTGTTGGTAAAAGAACAGATGTTGTTTCTGAAACTATTGGACAAACTAGAGCTGCTGGTTATGCACAAGGTAGTACTCAACCAAATACTCATTATGAAGGTGAAGGTGTTGGTCAAAGAACTAATCCAACTGCTGGTCAAGGAGCTTATGGAAGTACTCATGGTCAAAATGCAACTGGTTATAATGATACTTCTTATAGAGGTGATGGAACTGGTAAAAGAACTGAAGTTGCTCCTGAAACATTAGGTCAAACTAGAGCTGCTGGTTTTACTCAAGGATCTCATCAATCACATCCAGATACTCAATATGAAGGTCAAGGTGTAGGTCAAAGAACTAATTTATCAGGAGATCATCAAGCTAATGAATCAGAAATTGCAAAACAAAGAATTCATGATGCTGCTAGAAGAAATGCTGGTTTAACTGCAGGTGCTTCAAATGTTAATCATGAAAATTCTACATCAAAATCTGCTCCAACTTCAAAAGATGATGAAATTTTTGTAAATGTTAAAGGTATTAAAGATAATAATTTGGCTACTAAAATTGCTAGAGCTGCAGTTGCAAGATTACAAAAAACACATGGTTCAGTAATTTCAAAAGTTAAAGAATTACAAGTTGATGCTAGTTCAGGAATAGTTAGAGATGAAAATGGAAATACTATTGCAAAATATACTGATTTAGCAGTTGAAGCTCAACAAGGTCCAAATACTACATTGCATGGTCAATCTGGTCATTCTGGTCAATCTACTCAATCTGGTCATTCTGGTCAACATGGTCAATCTGGTCAATATGGTCAATCTTCAACTTCAGCTACTTCTCAAGGTGCTGCAACTACTAGTGGTGCTCTTGCTGGTTCTGGTCTTGCTGCTCAAGCTGCTTCTGAAGCTTCTGCAAAACATCCAACTTCAAGTTTAACTGAACCAACTCATCATACAAGTGCTAATACAGGTAAATATGATTATGCTTCCAAATCATCTCAACCACCATATCCACAAGGAGTTCCAGCTACAAAAGAAGAATATGGTTCTAAATCAAATACTTATGATGATTCAAAGATTCATTCAACTGGTCATACTAATCAATCTTCAACTGGTTATGGTAATACTTCAAATACTGGTACTGGTAATTATTCAAGTTCATCTTCAACAAGTGGTTTACCATCTCATTCAAATTATGATAAAGGTACTACAACTACTGGTGATGTTCCACCATCAACTTCAAAAGCTTATGAAAGTCAACAACAAGGATCAACTTCAGAAGGTGGATTATCAGGTTTAGCTTCTTCAATTATTGGTGCTTCAGGTGTTGGTGGTGCATTAGAATCATTAGGTGTAACTAGTGGAAATCATAATAAACCTCATGATACTAAAACTCCATCAAATCATCATAATGATTCAGCTCATTCATCAACTTCTCAACCACATTTATCTGGTGCAAATGCTTATCCAAAACAAGCTGTTGATGCTTATTCATCTCAATCAAAAGATACAAGTTTAGATAAAAATATTAATGATGCTTCATCATCAAGTTTTATTCCTGAATCTGGTTTAAATTCAAAATCAATTCCAACTGAATATTCTTCTTCAAAATTAGATCCAAATACTTCAAATGTTACTGCTTCAGAATATTTAAATAAAGATTCATCAAATTATTCATCAGGAAATACCAATAATATTAATAGTAAATCTGCTGCTCATACTACTAATGCTGGTACTACTGGTTCTACTGGTATTGATTCAACCACATCTGCTGCCCGTGGTTCGAATACTAGTACTGGTTTTGATGAAGCTAATACATCTTCTGGTTCATTCTCAATGCCAGGTGCTTGGAGTTAGATTTTTTAAAGGGGAGATCAGTTTTATTAATTGGTCAAGAGGTACTGCTTGATTGATTAATTGATTTCAATCTTTTTCCATTTTCAATTTTTATTTTAAAGTCTTTATTATTAATTTTTTTTACCAATCGAATCGAATAGTTGTTTTTAAATTTATAATTTTATATAATCAATAAATAAATAATTTTTAAAAGTAATAAGTGTAGATGACTACTGTAAATTACCATATAATTCAAGACAGAATTAAAGAGTTGAAATACAAAAAAAAAGTATCATTATATCGTTTACTATTCTCATTAATTATAAACTCGTCTATCTAATTCTCTTAAAACATTAGCAACAGATTGAACTTCAACTTGCATACCTCTTGTTGTTAATTTTCCAACTAATGTACTAAAATCAACACTATTAAATTTTTTATGTCTTGATAATGTCTTATAAGCATCTGCACATGGTATAAACATACCTCCATTAGTTGTTGTAGTAGTACCACCTGGTGTTAATGGACCAGGACTTGAAACATTGTTATTGTTGTTATTTGATGATGATGATGATGCAATTAATGGTGGAGGAATTGGACTTGGTGCATTATTATTATTATTATTTGGAGTTGAAGGACCACCAAAATTTAAAGTTAATGAAGATTTTGAATTTCTTCTTGAAAGATTTGGTCTTATATTTGAATATTCATTTGATTTTGATGCAACTGTTGTACAAAATAATGTTGACATTGGATCCATTTGACATTGTTTACATGTACCTGGATTTCCTGTACATCCATCCTTTGAATTATCATTAGCGGCAATGGTTGCTTCTTCATTATTTTCTTCTTCTGATGAATCCATTTGTTGTTGTTGTTCATCTGATCTTCTTGGTATTACTGTAGGTACTGCGCCTGGTGTTAAATTTGTTATTTCTCGTATTTCAACTGATGGTCCTGGGTGCATTACTGGTAAAGACGATTTCATTATATTTGTATTTGATAAATTGTATTGTAATGGTGGTAAAGAAGTCTTATGATTATCATCATCATTATCATCATTATTATTATTTATATTGGTTTGTAAATCACCAAAGTCATCTTCATTTTCTTCAATAATTGTATTACTTTTTTGTTCATTAAGTGAAGCATTAATTCTTGCTGCTTCTTTTGCTGCTTCCCTACAAACACAAGGAGTATCATCTGAACAAAATCCACAATTTTCCATTGGTGAATTTTCATTAAATTCTGAATTTATTAAATTATCAGTTGAGGATGGTTTACTCTTTATAGGTGAAATTTTAATTGACAGTTTTCTTAATTTATTTAAATCAGGCATTGGTCTAGCTTTGGTTGCAAATTGTTTAGTAAAATCGATTTCTTTAATTTCTATATCTGAATTGGTTTGGGCTTTTCTTTTTCTTTTAAGTTGTACTGGCGGTTGAGTTTTAAATGAATTGATTTGTTCTTGTAATTGTATATCTATTTCATTGGATTTGGGTTTTGGATCTTTTAAACCAACCGATTCACATAAACATTCATCTTTTATACATATACCACAATCAAAATTTGAAGAATCTATTTCATTTGAGTTGGATGATGGTAATAATTTATCAGGTGTTGTGTTATTAGATAAAGGTGTCAATACACTATTAGATGAATTCGTATAACTTTGAGAAACAGAATCTCTTTGAATGCTATTGGTCATTGGCAGATCAGCAGATGGGGCAGGTGATATTTGTTGAAGTGAATATGATGATCCTGTAGGGGATAATGCAGTCGTTAATGGTGATGGTTGGTTATAATTATTGTTTTTATTAACAATCTGTTGTTGTTGTTGTTGCTGCTGCTGCTGTTGTGAGATAGGGTTTTGGTTTCTGATAGATTGTCTGTTCCTACTATGATTTGATTGTGCTGGCTGTATTTGTTGATATTGATTTTGGCTATGATGTTGCTGTTGTTGTTGTTGTTGTTGAGATGGCGATGATTGTTGATTTTGAAGTTGTTGTTGTTGTTGCATTTGTATTTTCATTTGATCTTGTGAAGCTTTAAACAGACTCATTTCTTGTCTTAATTGTTCCATATTTTTATTTAAGAAATTATTTTCAGCTTTTAATTTATTAATTGTATTAACTAAAGCCATTTCTTTTATATCTTTTTCTTTTTCAACTTCCATTAATTTTTGTTCTAATTCTTGAACTCTTGTTGCTCTTCTTTCTCTAAATGCTCTTTGTGCTGCTCTATTTTGTGCTTTCCTCTTAGATGCTGGAGTATCAACACTTGGTTTTCTACCTGGTTTTGGTCTTGGTGGTAAAACCCATTCTTTTGATGTCATAATTGAAGACACTCCTAATTTTATTGATGATGTAGATGTTAAAGAAGAAGAAGCTGATGTTGATGAAGTCGTTATTGAATTATGACGTGGTGGTGACATGGCTGAGTTATTATTTTGTGGTGGTGATTGTGGATTATTTGGACTTGCAATACTTCTTGGAGTTGAACCCGATGAAGATATTGAATTTGATGGTGAACCTGCATTAGCTATTGGTGATTGAGCAGTTGACTGTCTTGGAACTATGCTAGCTCCTCGAGAACTCATTAGTTATTGTGGGGTATTGGTCTTTAAACTTCCTTTTGAAGTAGTTGACTATTATTCAATATGTGTCTGGATCAGTGTTGTAAAATCAAATTTTGATTTAGCGCTTTTATTGTTTTATTATTTAGTAGAACTTTTTTTTTCAATTTAAGTTAAAATGTGTAACTAATTTTGATGAATGACTATGATTTTGGAATAGATATTGGGTGAATAAAACTCGGTAAAAGTGAATGGAAGTTGATAAGAAGTTGATGATAAGTTATGAATAGTAATTATTAAGGATATTTTACTATAATTATATTTATTTGTATTATGAATATATAAATTTGCTGATGAAATAGATAAAAATTTTTTGTACAACTATTGGTTTTGTGTAATAACTAATAAAGAATATTTAATTTTGTGAATATAAGAAATTTAAACAAATTTATGATTGGCTAAAGAATTTAATAAAGTAGTAATAACAGTTATAGTAGTAGATTCGAATTATTTAAGACGTGTTTGTTCAAGGCTTAAAGAAAAAGGTTATATCGTAGAATAAGCTTAGTCGGATTCTAATAATTTGAACCTATGAAGCGCTAACGTATTGAAATGTAAAGAGGTAATTCGTCCTATTATTTGATAAATTTCGTGGACCTTAGATTCAAAGTAATACAACCTCGAAACACGTGAATACTATCATCATCTTTACATATATAATATACCAAGACTCTATACGAGATGTAACAACTAAAAAATACTCCGCTTTTCAAGGAGCTCTCTAAACATTTTTAAATGTGTTTGATTTTTTTTAATATGAAACAAATAATAAAATCCGGTCTCGGATCAGATAAAAATTTACTTAGTATTGAAAAGGGAAAAATTAATCTTACTCAAATTTTGTATACAAGAACACTATCAGCACAATGAGAATTAGAAGGGGGCTGATGAATCCTTCTTATAGTTTTCTGAAACAATGTTACTACTTCAAAAGAGTTACTTCATTTTCTTTTTCCACTTCAATCAAATTAACATTGAATAAAATGTCAAATTTCTTTATCTTTCATTACTCCTTACAACAATTATTTATATATATACATGAGTGTTTAATCCAGTATGCTCAATCTTATCTGCTTTATATGATCTTAACCAGCATGATTATTACTGCCAGAGCTATTATATTGCAACAAATTGAACTACCTTCCATAAATCTTTTTCGCTAACTCTCCCAGTTCCCCTCAACTCAACTTCATCTATCCTTATTTCATCTGATCAACAGCTTTTTGTTTTTCAGCTTCTTCAGCAGCTCTTTGTTGTTGAACTTTAGCAATATCTTCAGGATTTGGAGCACCTTCAGTAATTAATTTATTTAAAGTTAATTTACCAAATTCATCTTTTAATTTTTGTTCTTCTTCTAAAAATTTTTTAGCATTTTCTTTTAAATATTTTTGAAAATGTTGATATTGTAATTGACCATGTTCTCTTATTATATCAAGGGGCATTTTTATATCATGTTGTGGTATACCTAATAATTTTGTTAAAAATTGAGTTGCATTTGGTTTATTTTGAGGATGATCTTTTAACCATTGATTTCTTAATATTGTTTCACGTTTTTGAAATTCTTCAACAATATTAGATTTATCATTAAAAGAATTTAATATTGGTCTAACATCTTTAACTGGTTGAGTTGCTAAATATTCTAAAAATGGTATTAAATTAATTAAATAATCATCTGGTTTACCATCCCATTTTTTAACAATAATTGAATTTTCAGGTTGTAAACTTGCTGAATCTTCATCAACATCAATCATAATAGTTTTACCTAAATCTCTATTTAATAAAGAAATATCTTTAATTAATTTTCCATCTTTATATCTACAACCTTCTCTAAATAATGCATATGAAATATAAGCATGATAAGGATCTAATTTACCAACTGCTTTTTCTGAATAAATTTGAGAATTTGTACAAAATAATACAATTTCATAATATTGTGATAAATAACCTAAAAAATAATCTAATCCTGGTCTTTTTGCAGTTCTCCAACCATTTTTTGAATCCCACTCAGAATGAATTAATAAATCATCTAATGTTAATACTAAAGTTAATGGTCTTCTATATTGTTCTGGTGCTGGTGGTGGTAATAAATTTTCAAATACAGGTTCTGAAAAAAATGTAAATAATGAACTTAATCTTTTATTTAATCTTTGATACATTAATTGTGGTGTATAACCATTATCTATTTTTAAACCATCCAATTGTTCTTGTTCCTTTGAAGAATCCCAATCTCTACTCATATAACCTAAACCTAAAATTGCTCCAATAAATGTTGATAAATAAAAATAATTTGCATATTTTTCACGTTTTATATCTTTTGAAGTTTGAGCTCTTTTTCTTCTACGTCTATTTGATTGTGATTCAGTAGATTCTGATTCATTTGTTTCTAATGGTTCAGATTCAGAATCTTTAGTATTATTGGTTTCAGATGAAGTTTTATTTTTTTCTTTTGATGGATCAATATCTTCAAATCCTGCTCTTGCTAACATATCATCATTTAATATAGATTGAGGTTTAGTTGGATCATTTTTGGAGTCTTTTTTATTCGATGATGATGGATCTTTTGATGAATAAAATTTAATTTGTTGTATATTTGATAGAAGTATACGACGAGATGTTGTATTTTGTATATTAATTATTGATTGAATTGGCTTGATTGATTTGATCAACTGTCTTGTCGTCAATCTAATCATTGTCTTGTATAATGATCTATTTGAAATATGCTACAAAAAAGTGGCAAAAAATATGATATAATATATACAGTGAATGAGTTGTAGATGTTGCAAAGTATTAAGAAAGAGAATGATTCTGAAAAATTAAAAATTTTTTATAAACCGTATTAAATGTTACACAAACATAAGATTTTATAAACTAATATCAATCGATCTAATACGAAAGAATCAATACATTCTACAACTACTTCACCTATAATTGACAAAAATATGTTAAGATCAACAACCGGAAGGCTAACCTTGTATAACACAGTAACACCTGCATCTAATAACATACTAAGAACCACACACCACACCAAACTAATAACCCCATATTTCCATCCAATCCGTCAAATATCTTTTAATCCATTAAATATAGTAAAAGCAATCCACAAAGCAAATGAAATAGATGAAAGATTTAAAAAATTAGATGAAAATACATCAACACAAGATAAAATAAAACAAATAATAGACGCAGTAAAAGATTCACCAGAATTATTATTTCAATTAAATTTTTTTTTTTATGAATGTAATAAAATAAATATTAATCATGATGATATAGAATCAAGAAAAAGATCTTTAAAATGGTGGTATATCTTTGTTTTCAAGTTGGTACCTTTAAATAATGCATTTTGGGATACTTGTTATACTTTAAATAAAGCTCAACATAAACATAAATTAAATTTTAAAAATTTAAATAATATTGGATTATTAGATCCAAAAAATTTTCCTGAGAATTTCATAAATGAATTAGGTACTGGAAAATATAATGGAATTGATTTTAGAAATGTTATAATTTTTTCATTTTCAAGACCAAAATTTAAAGAAATTAGTTTACCTAAAAAATATCAACATAAAATTATTGAGGACACAGCCAATTCTAAAGTTTGATAGAGAAAAATTCAATTTATTTTTGCATAAGTTTATTAATATATATATAAACACATTGATCATATATACATTCTCTCTTTAAAGCATAATTTTTCCATCTAATACAAAAGATCTATGGTTTTGGAATTTTTAAAGATTTTGAAATATTAGCAGAACCTTGTAAAACAAATCCAATACTAATTAAATGAAATTCAAAAGGAGTATCTTTAAATATTAAACCCAATGGTAAATTTTCATGAATCCAATTTTTATAAACTAAAAAAGCCATTATACCAACCCAAATTAAATTACTTGGTATTGGTAAACCTTCAAAATATTGAGATTTACCAGTTTTATCTTTTGGTATATTATTTACTGAAATATTAAATCTTGCTAATCTTGTTAAACCACATAATACCCAAAAAGTTAATAATAATACATCAATAGTTGTTTGAAAACCAATAGTAAAAGCTATAGTAGCTGGTGAAACACCAAAACTTATTAAATCAGCTAAAGAATCTAATTCTTGACCCATTAAACTTGATTTATTTCTTAATCTTGCAACTCTACCATCAAAAAAATCAAAAAATAAACCTAAAACAATAAAAAATTGAGATCTTGTTATATATTTTAAATCATTTGTTAAAGTATATCTTAAACATGATATAATTGAATAAAAACCACTAAATCCATTCATTAAAGTTATAAAATCAGCCATATGTAAATTTCTAATTAAACTAAAATGTCTTTGATCATTTATAAATTTTAAATATTCAACTTGTTCAGGTTTTGGAATATCTTCTTTTGAACTTAATGAAAATAATGATGAAGATCTTCTTAATCTTAATTGAGGATTTTTTGTAGAAGAATTTATTGATAATTCTTGTGAATCATTTAAATCTATATCTGAATCTGATATAATTGCTGATGATGAATTTTGTGATTGTGATGATGGAGGTGGTTGATTTGCATCAATTGATGCCAGTTTTGATGTTTTTGAATATCCTGTTGATGACATTTCTCTATTGTAGTGTTTGTAAATAAAAGAAAGTGGGGGCGGTCCAAATAAATATTAAATATAGAATAATTGATTCTTATCAACTTTTTTAAAAGTTTATTATGGAAATTCAAAGTAATATATTAATTTGTAAAATCAGCTATCAATTGATTGAATGAGACCAAAATTGTTGAGATATATATAGTTGATCAGCTGAAATTTGAAAACGTTGAAATTTCAATTGAGAATTCTTGAAGCTGTTCTTAATAAGTAAGTAAGTATGAACTCTTATATCTTTAATATTGCTATAATAATGACTGTTTAAATTTGTTAAGGCTGTAACAGCAGCAGAAAAAAATTCATTCGAGACTTACATGAAGTAATTGGTAGCCTTAGGCATAAGAATTTCACAAGGTAATGGATCTATTTGGCTTTATAATAATTAATGTATCAGATATAGACGAGATGATTGATGATTCATATTAAATTTTGGGACGATCTCGTTCAAGAAATTTCTTTTCAAACGGTCTAGATACCCATTTAAGAGTTTAAAACATTTTGATCAACGACAGCGAACCAGAGACTCTCAATTGCCTAAAAGTTGTAACTCCATCAATAGCTGGCTTCTAGGTCATTGACTAGTTAGTTACTCAATTCATAAATCAATATATTATTTGACACTCATACTGTTCTAATAAAATATGTTTGAAATACGTTTCAACATATAACACCAAAATTATAATAAATTACGATTGTGTAATATTTCATTTTATTTTTTTTGTTTACATTTTTTTGTAATTTATTTTTATTTCATGATCTTATAACATAACAGAATCAACAATTTACAACCACCAACAAACTTATCATATTTTGAGGCAACTGAACCATAAACGAGGTTGAGACACCTGAAATATTGTAGAATACCACAACTATCCAATAGAACATCATTTCAGCTCACTCGAACTGAGAAATATAAGCCTTGCATTATCAACAATAGTTTGGCAACCAAAAATAAATAAAGAGAAAGGCAACCACATAACTTCAAATAACACAACTTTCTCATCAATACCACTAAATTATCAACAAAAATGGTCATCGGAGAATCAAGAACAGAATTATTACAATGGTTAAATACCATATTAGATTTAAATTATACAAAAATAGAACAATGTGGAACAGGATCAGCATTTTGTCAATTAATGGATTCAATACATCAAACAGTACCAATAAATAAAATTAAATTTAATGCAACAACAGATTATGACTATAGACATAATTGGAAAATTTTACAATCTGAATTTAATAAACATAAAATTACAAAAAATATTGATGTTGAAAGATTAATTAAATGTAGATTACAAGATAATTTAGATTTATTACAATGGTTTAAAAGATATTGGAATGAAAATAATGATATTAATTCTAATTATGATGCTATATCAAAAAGAAAAATAAGTTCAAGTCCTCATAATAATTTAAAAAATGGTAATAATAATAATGGTACTGTGAATAACAATACAGTAACTCCAAATAGTAAAGCTAGGACATTACCATTAGGTTCAAAAGATCATCATCAATTAAATCAAAGTCATTATGTAAACAGCACTAATGGGAAATTAAATAATACACCAAGTGAATTAGAATCATCAAATTATACAAGTAGTAATATATCAAATAGAGTTAGACCAAGAAAATCTTTAACTCCTTCAACATCAAGAATTACAACACCTATACATCATAGAACTTCAACTTCACGAAAATCATCAAATAATAATTTAAATGTAGAAAAAAGAATAAATTCAAATTCAAATTCAAATCAGCAAGTGTATAATCAAAATGTTGTAAGCAATGGCTTTAATCATAACAATAATAATAGAAATACATTTATTGAATCTGATAATTCTAGAAGTACAACAATAAATGGATCTCATGTAAACAATCAAAATGGTTTTAATCATCAAACTTCAAATTATCAAAACCAACAACAACTACAACAACCTTCTCAAATTCAACAACAATTAATAGAACAAAACCAACAACATCAAAAAGAAATAGAATTATTATTAAATGATTATAATCAATTAAATAAAGAATATAATCAATTACAATTGAACCTAAAAGAAACAGAATTAAATAATGAAACATTACATATTCAAAAAAATTTTTATTTTAATAAATGTAGAGATATTGAAGTTTTAATTCAACATTTATCATCAACCACCACCAATGGAACAAATGATGAAATTTTAAATAAAATTGATTTATTTACTTTTATGAAAAAAATTGAAGAAATTTTATATGCTACTGAAGAAGGATTTGCTAGTAGTAGTAATGATGATGATGATGATGAATTACAATTAAATAATAATGGGACTAATAATGGGAATAATGTTAATGGATTTATTAATACTTCTAATGGTATAACTAATGGTTCAAATAGTGCAAATGGTATTAACAGTGCAAATGGTAATCATAGTAATAATCAATTTTTACAAAATGAAATTATAAGTACTAATGAAAGTAGTGATTTAAATCAATTTGAATCTGATAATATGTTAGATACAGAATCTTTTTAAAGTACTTGAAAAGATATACTTTTGGGATTTAGTTGTTAAGAAAGAACAAAAATAGGTTTAATTATCTTCATATGTAGTGGTTTTTGCTTCTATTAGTATTTCTAATAAATTCAATATACTTTCAGAATTACTTTTCTTCTATAGTAAGTGTCCCAATTCTTTTCTCCTTCGATCAAAGTCATTTATACCTGCTGCTTCATCCTAATAAAAGGAATTAGCCTATGCTGTTGTTTTGTAAAGGTTCTAGGCTCATTTAAATATAGGTCAGGATTAATATCATCAATAAATCATTTGCCAGAAGGTAATTTGATGGATATTTCTTGATGATTTCAACGGATTCAAAAAGGTCCCCTTCCATTTCTCATCATCTTTAGGATGAATAGGTTTTTATATCCTTTAACGAAAAATGAATTAACTTGAGTCAATGCATGCAACTTAAATAAATCCCTTAAGTTCTGTTCTTCAATAGTCAAATCATGGATCTACCTAGCCAGAATTGGAAGAATATGTCATGAGCTACAACGGCTGCGTCATGAGCTAATTGACGTTGTAGCTCATGATACATTCTTCGAATTCTGGCTAGGTAGATCCATGATTTGCCTACTAAAGAACGCAAAATCAATAACCTATATTATGATTATGAGAACATCCACTTTAATGATAGGTCTTGATTAGATTGTTCAATTTCTTGAGGTAATATAAGTTTCAACATCTTGAATAATGTTTGAAAATGTAAGGTAAATTGAGTTAGTTGGAACAAGTCGAAAAAAAAAATGTGTAATTTTATTTTCGGTCGGACTTTAAATTTATTTTTAATCCGATCAAAAAAAGTTTGTTCAAATTTATTATTTTATTAGATTATCTACTGATGATCTCATACTAAAAGTATATTAGAAACTGGCCCCTTTTAAAATTAAAAATATTTCCAACTGTTGCATTTTTTTTTCCCTCATATTTTATACATTTTTTAAGTTTAGGCTGAAGATAGTACTGAACTTTTGCCTTTGTTATACTATAGGAGTAATTATTCTCACTATTGATGGATAGTTTTGATGAAAATTTATTGCCTATATTTATGGGATAAAGTATTGTAATATTCAAACTTTCAAAAGGACAAGTAATGAATACCTTGAATTTTGAAACAAAATAGTCATAAGAAATGTTTAAATGTATCTTCAGTTAGTTTAATTTTATATCCCTCTCTCCTTGTTATGTTTATGATTTCCTAATTATTAATTGATTAATTATTTGAGATAATAAAAATTTAATAGACCTTTGTGTTAATACATATCTTCAATTAATCACTCTCAGTATGTAAATTTACAATTATTATACATATTTTCTAGATTCATATTAGGTCGATGGAATTAATGCAATTGGTATTAATTCATTCGAGAGTTATACGTACTAAACTATTCTACCAGCAGTAAGTAGAGTGTGTATATTTAATTAGTAGTAATGTAAGATTACTTAAAAAAATAATTTATTTTTAACAATAAAAAAAAACTTTTTATTACACAAAAGTAAAATTTATACTTAATTAATTATATTTAATTATTAACCATCTTAAAAATGATTATTATTATGAATTCTATAAATAAAGAATTGAGCCAAACAAAGGTACTTATGAGCAAAGGCAACTATTTCTATTTAAACTTTTACATTGGCTAGCAACACGTACTCCTTTCAATGTGGTATGCTCGTACGCTGGAGTAACTCATCTCTATTTTACCACTACCAGAACTGGTTTCAAAATTAATTTTTTTTTTTTTATTTTTATAAATTTTAATTTTTTAAACTTTAAATTTTTTTTAATTTTCTTTCTCCAACAAACAACAAAATTTTTTATTTTTTTTTTTCAATCAATTAGCAACACTTTTTTTAAAAATTGAATTATCACCACTTTTTTTTACTCATTAGTTTAATTTGGTTACTATTACTAATTTATGATATAAACTTTGAGATTCAGTAGACTAAAGTATACACAACAGAGAAAGAGAGAGAAAAAGAGACTTAAAATCACTAAGTTTTAGGAGTAGAAAAAATACAGAAAAATCTAAATTAATTAAAAGACAGATATCATAAATTATAGATACATCCTAGAAAAAGTAGAAGAAGACAAAAACTACAGAAAACCTAAATATACTGAGTCAATAAAAGGATATCCTATAATGACTGCAAAAACTCATCATCAATATAATTATAATAGAAGAAATTCAAATAGTATTCCATATCAAATGCCTATAAATTTAGATCATCATAATCATAATCATAATCAACAACAACATTCACCAATACTTCATCATCAATACTCTCCACATCATCATAATGTACATCCTCAATTACCACCAATTTCTCAATTACCTCATCAATTTCCTCATCCTCATCAAATACCAAATCATCAACATTCACACTCACACCCACATCATCATCATCAACAAAATTCTTCTATATCATCATTGAATTCAATTTCAAGTATAAAACAAAGTCCTCAAATGCTGCCTAATTTTTCAACTTTTTCAGTAAATAGTTCAATACAAACAACACCACAAGAACAACATTTTCCAATATCAACGAATCAAAATCATTTGAATTCTCCAATGTCTACGACAAGTACCTCACAATTTCAACAACAACAACCTCCACAACCACCACAACAACAACATAATTATTATCATAATAGTATGCAGAGTTCAAATAATGGAACTTCTTTACCTACAATTCAACAACAAGCACAACAACAACAACCAAATCCACAAGTATTAAATCTAAAAAAAGAAATCATTGATGAAGATAAAGATAATTCTTCAACTTCTCAAGATATATCATTATCATCAGCTATATCATCACCACCAACAACAGTAAATAATTCAAACACACCATTAACATCATCTTCTCAATCAATTCAACATAAACCTCATTCAAATTCAAATTCGACTCCTCAATCACAAACTCCTATTAATCAAATTCAACATCATGAAATATTACCAAAATTATCAAGAGAATTTGTAGTTAGAAGAATAAGTGAAGGAGAAACAGGTAGAGTTAAAGAAGATATAAGATGTGAAGCATGTGGAAAAGGTTATAAACATATATCATCATTAGCAAAACATTTATGGGAACATACTCCTGAATGGAATGTAACAAAAAAATTATTAATTTCAAAACATCAACAAGTACAATTATTAGAAGCTGCTTCTATATTAATTGGAATGAATGAAACTACTAGCTCAAAGAATAATAATGGAGATGTTTTAATGGATTCTTCTCCTGATTCTATTGATTCTCATTCTCCAAATTCTTTAAATTCTGAAGATATGGTTAATGTTGTTATCAATTCTATTACAAAGGATGATGAAAAAAATCATAAACGTGCAACAAGTGTTTGATTGATAGATAAGGGTATATCTCAATGGGTTTTTTTTCAAACTTATAATTTCATAATCATGATAAATCAAAGAATTTCATTTTCATTTCATTTCGCATATACCTTATATATAGATATATTTTATTATATATTATTTACCAAAAAAAAGATTATTTAAATACACACAAAAAAAAACTTTTTTTAATATTTTGATGAATAACTTGATCTTAGACTTTATTATTTATTGAACTTCTAATAGTATCCTATGCAAACAATCATCACAGGATTATTGTACTCTCATAGACAATTACAATAATTGTTTCTCGGAGTCGGATAAATATACACAGCAGCACATAAGCGCAAATTGGAGCTACCAAATACTTCTTCAAAAAAAAATCAAATCATCACCATTTGAAAACCAATTCACCTACAACTTCTTTCTCTTTTCTCTTTTCTCTTTTCTCTTTTCTCTTTTCTACAAACAATCAAATATTAGATTGAAAAGTTTCGATCAGATCATAAAAAGTAAATGTGTTATTTTTTAATCTTTACTTAATTAAGCAAATGATCAAATACCTTTTTTTTAGATTATCCGTGTTGGATTTAATCATTAAATGCGAAACTTTTAAATTTTTTTACATTTTTAAAAGGTGGATATTTGTAGAATAAATAGCTAAATTGTGCATCATAGTACATCAGAAATCGGTTTATTGAGATCATTGGTCTTAATTTCATTTAGGGATATCATAGATGTTCTTACTAATTTCTGGTGTCTCCAAGAACACATACATTTTTTATAACATTTCAAATTCATTTTAATATTAATTTTTTGATTTAATATCTTAATCGTTATTAGTCGTAGCTATTTACATTTTCTCATTAATTAATCTATTTACATGTCCCTTTTAATCATAATTCGTTAAACATTTCCACTTCCTCATCATTAACATCTACTTGTCTTAATTTCATTAACTCAACCATTATTAATAAAGCATTTCTCTCCAAAATTGTTTTGAAGAACCAATTTATCCTGTTTTCATTTCATTCATTTCTCATCATCCACACCACGAATAATTTCATCATTTAATGGTTGAACTTTCAAATATTTAGCTTTTAATTCATTTTGTTGTAATTGTTCCAATTCATTAGCTTTTTGTTTTGCTGATTTTTCTTGTTGTTCTTGTTTTTTAGCTAATTGTCTTGCTGCATCTTTTATTGGACCTTGTCTTAATGCTGCTCTTTCTGTTTGTTGTGAATAATTTATAAATATAAATGCTCCTGTTGCAAATAAGATTGATGCTCCTAGTGTTACTTTTGATGCTGTTGACATTAGACTCTTTTTTGGGGAAAAGTTTTTGATGATTCTAAAATTTGGAATGAGAATTGATAGTGATAGAGTTCATAGAATATGGATCGTATTTTCATTTTTCAGTTTTAAACTTCGTACAGGTTTACGTGCGAAAGTGTTAACTCTAGGACGAACAATTTTTTTTTTGATTTGAATGAAGTACGTGACAAATTGAGTCTCAATAACTGAACAACTATTCCATTTCCCTCAATCAGCAACACTATCCAGAACAAAAATGTAATATTAAGTACATTTAGTATTATGTAAATACAACTATCAATTTATTTGATTTAATTTTAGTTTAAGATTAAATATTTTTAACTTTTCTGGATGGCTCTTCCACCCAGGATGGGGATATCTTCGCTGAAAAAACTCAATGTTCTTATTTCGGCTTAAAGCAATAGTTGCATTGTAGAGCTTTATGGAAGTCAAAATTTTGAATGCGATTTGTATTAGGAACTTTTCGGTGAGTCTTGTTCCTGTTTAGTGATAATGAATTTTATCAATTCGAAAGAAGTCTGAGGATTAATTTTTGGATTGGAAAAATTTCGGAAGTACTAGAAAAGGAAACGTAATATCATAAAGTATAGTAAAAACAAAGGTGAGTATATAGTCCCGACTAAGTTTAGATTAATAATAGAGAATCATTATATGATGCCTCTAGTATGAAATCATGGGGATTAGTTTTAAAGGCAAAAACAAAAAACTGAATTCACATTCTTTATGTTGTTTCAGATGTCAAAAAAAAGAGAAAATCTTTTGTTGTGAAACACACAAAAATTTGAAAATTTGTAATCGATGATAATTGCAGCTAATTTGAATTAATTGGATATGGTGTCCAGATTTAATGACGTGCTCAGATACAAGCTGATTGTCTTTTCTCTACAATAATTAAAACTTAACATAGATGTCGAGGGTATCTAATTTTCAAAAATTTTGTGCTAAAACAAAGTTAAAAAATGTTGACCTTAATAACTGAATTAAATAAAGTAAAACCAAAAAACTACATCTTTTAATCCTCGTAATATATTTAATTTCAAGAATTTTGAAAAGATAATCATAATAAACTTCAAACTTCCTCAGTACATTCAACTCAGTGTTTCCTTCCATGTTGTTTCCTCCAAAGTTGTAAGTCGTAAAATTAACATCCATACCTCAATATGTATTTGAGCATACTTAAACTACTTACTATCATATTTGTTAAAAGTTGAATAGGTGAAAATTCAACACTACTGTACAAAGTATTTGTTTTAATGTTGATACAATCTTTGTGAAAGTATTGATAGTAAAATTTAAATCAAATTGATACTGGTATAATTTTACTAATATTTGTAAGTACTTAAAAATTAATTGAATCTCGGAGATAATCGTATTCTAACTAGAATCGGATTAAATAATATCTTCGTTATTATGTAAATCATCAATCAAATTCATCAATCAAATACATAATACAAAAACAACATATCACAAAAACTATCTTATAATAAAATATTTCTATAGTTTTATAACTCATGATTTGAAAAGATATAAAGAGTTGATGATCTAGAGAACTAATTTGATGAACTTTGGTATCTTGTAAAGCACTTTTACTTTTAATTGTTGAATACATACATACCATTGCTTTGTATATGACATTGTAAGTATAATATCCATGGTTAAATAAATTTGAAGTCAGGGACTTTCTTTTTTTTTTTATTTGGTTTGCTAGTTTAAATTTCCGGATGTTAACGAATTACAACTAATGTTGTATTACTATAATCTTTACAGTTGGTTCAGTTCCCATGAGCTAAGGTAACTTCTTGTCTTCTATTTCTACTTCAACATATCTCTCTTCTTCCCGCTATGCGCTCAATTACTTTTTCTAAATATTTTAATCCAATGATTTAAATGTTTATTTAAATTACAATTTTTTACAACCAAAAGTATCACTAATAAAATGGTAACACAAAATTATAAAAACTAATTTTGAATTGAAAGTCAACAAACCAAAAAAGTATTATTGAAACAAATCAATCAACTCATTCAAACAAAGCATAAGAGATATACATACCACTTGGTTCATACTTAAAACTATATGTACAAAATAGTAAGTTAAATTTGGAAAAATTGAAAAGAATTGCCTTTAACATCACAAGGTCAAGTCATTAAATTTTACATTCAATAAGTCAATTGAATCATCATACACTCAATTCGAATGTAAATGATAGAATGAGTTCAAATTTAACTGATCATGAAAGTTCGACAAATATTGAATCTAAAACTTTACCATCAATAAATCATTCATTTACAAATCATCAACAACAACAACAATTTCAAAATCAAAATCAAAAAAATGACAACAATATTAACAATGATAATTCATTTAACAAGCCACAAGTTTCAAATCTAACAAAGACATTGTTATCATCTACTACCACTCCTTCAGCAAGCGTTCCCACTACCACCACTGCTACTACTACAACTAGCGATAATTCAAATGACAACGTGGCGAATCATCTGACAACAGATTATATATCTGGTATACATTATGATGATAAAAATAACAACCAAAAATCTAATACAACTCCAAAATATAATGGATCATTTCCTCAAAATATTCCAAATTCAAATAACTCTTTTAATTATATACCATCATCACATAATACTCCAACAGTAGTTGGAACTTCATATACTTCAAATCATTCTTATAATGCTTCATTGCCATCAACTAATAATTTTATATCTCAACCAATACCTTCAAATTCTTCTTTTCATAATGATAATAATAATAATAATAATAATCAACACAATATAAATCCACCAAGTTCTGTATCATCAAGTTTTAAACCAAATTCTTTAACTCAACATGCATTACCTACAACAAATGTTTATACTGATACAGTTACTTCATCTTCTTCATCATCATTACAAAATAGAAATAATTTTCCTTCAATAACAAAATTTACTCCTTCACTGTTAAATCAAGGACAACAACCACAACAACAAACTTCTTCATTTTCTATCCCCAATACTTATCAACCCCCAATGGTTTATCATCCTACACAATTTGGAAGTAGTGCATCTTCATTACAACATACTCAACAACAAAGGATACCTAGTTCATTACCAACAAACCCATTATTTAGTCAACAATCTTCAGTATTAGATCAAAATCAAAACCAACCACATCAACAACAACAACAACAACAGCCGCAATATGTTAATCGACTTCAACAAATATTGTCTCACGATAAACAATCAAGTAATTCTTTACCAAGTTTGGGTACTATACCTATATCACAAGATAAGAACAATTTCTCACAACAATCATCACAATTTCAAAATCAAAACCAACAATTTTCAGAACAAAATAAACAAAATCAAAATAAATCACAACCATATATACGTCCAGAACCTGATCATTATCTTACATATAATGAATTTTTACAACAGCTTAATAAAAAAGATCAATTAGAAAATGGTACAAATTTTGAAGAACATTTAAATATAGTTGATTTCCCAGTAAATGATCTTATTATAATGTTATCATGTTTATTAACTAAAATAATTGAAGCAAATGATAAATTACATCCAAATCATTTTGAAAATACAATTGCAATAAGACAAAAGATAAAAGAAGAAAAAAAAATAAAAAAATTACAACGTAAAAATAAACAAAAAGAAATTAATCAAGGTTTTATAATTGATCAAGATAAAATTGAAGATGATTCACAAACGGCAAAAAATGAAAATTCAATGGATGAAGATATAAATAACGAAAAACAAAATTATAGAGTTGATGAAGATGAAATTGATGAAGATCATGAAGAAAATGATGCAAATCATGAAGATAATAATAATGAAGAAGAAGAAGATGAAGGAGATGAAGAAGATGATGAAATGAAAAATAAATATTTAGCTAATGTATTAGCATTTCATGGTACTAATGTTCCAGGTATATCATTACAAGCATATTTAGCAAGAGTTTTAAAATATTGTCCAGTTACAAATGAAGTATTTTTATCATTATTAGTTTATTTTGATAGAATTGCAAAAAAAGCCAATAATTTAAATCAAAAAAGAAAAAATCAAAATTATAATAATAATCACCAGCAAAATAGTAATTCAGAAGAAAATCAATCAAATTCATCAATTGAAGCAGAACAATTATTTGTAATGGATTCATATAATATTCATAGATTAATAATAAGTGGAATAACAGTAAGTTCAAAATTTTTTTCAGATATTTTTTATAAAAATTTAAGATATGCAAAAGTTGGAGGATTACCATTAGAAGAATTAAATTATTTAGAATTACAATTTTTATTATTATTAGATTTTAAATTAATGATTAGTGTTGAAGATTTACAAAATTATGGTGATTTATTATCAAGATTTTGGAAAAGAGAACAACAACAACAACAACAACAACAACAACTGCAGCTGCAACAACAGCAACAAGGTCAATCTACTCAGTTTAATCCTCAACAAACTAATCAAACTCCTACTGGTAATAGTGGTAATGGTGAAGAACAAAACATTCATCAAACAACAGGTGAAGTTCAAGGTTGAATGATCATTAAACAACTTGTTAAGTTCAAGGTTGAAGAATAAAATTCATATTTCAAAACTTTATATTTTGTTTCTAAATTGGTGTTATAATGAACTATATGTATCAATGTCCTTATTTGATCAATCTTGAACTAGTGTTCTATTATATATATTCGTTTTGTTTCCTGAAAAGTATTAATACATGAAAAATTTAATTTAATATTGATCAATAATATTAGTAATATGTAAATCAATTTCTTATAATTAATTCACAATAAATATATGTCTAAGAATAACCGTTTTCTTGAATTGGATATAAATCCGAGACCTAAGTTAAGACAAAAACAGTAAGAACAAAATGATGAGCTAGCCTATTAGCAGATCATTGAATAGTATTTATTTGTAACGATTACAATAGAAGAAGAAGTGGCTAACCGTTATGAGAACATTTTTGAAAATTACTTAAATAAGTAATGTTATTGTTGTTTTGTTTTGGTTATGTATAAAATTTAGTGGCTTAATTTTTATAATTGAAGTCTTTGTTTTTTTCCAGTTCTCTATCTACTTTTTTTTTTGCAACAACCATTATCATGAAGCATGGTTTGATCTATCAAATTGTGTTACCTCGTGGTCTCGATTGGATAAGACGGGACTATAGAGGAAATTCTACCAAAATTTTGAAATTTTCATTCATAACATAGAAGTGATGTTTTTACAACAAAAGAAAATTCAGTGGTTAATGTGATCAAACATTTTCCATCATTGCATTTCTAAAAGTCTTTTGACTTGAAATCAAGGAAGCTAAAAAAATCACATTATAAATTTAACTAGTGCATTGATCATGTTATCGGTTTTAAAAAATGATTGTTTTTTATTGAACAATAAACCGGTTATTCAATAATCATATTTGGATTTAAAATTAAAAATTAAAAGTTTTAGTAACTACCCCAATTAACCCAACTCAGAATGAATTAGACAAAGTTAGACAAATTAATCAACTTATATCCCATCACTCATGTTTGTACTGTATCAATCTAAGCTAGCTTAAATATCTTGATTGAATCACATTTACAAAGCCTTGTCTTTGATTTACCTATTCGTTTCTTATTATTCGAACTTATGACATATCATATCAATTACACAAAAGTAAGATTACTTAATATACATAATTTATTACCCCTTAAGGCATAAATTAAAATTTATACCGATCAATTGCAATATACTGTAAGTTAATTCATCTTTTGATGTGTTTAAGGGAGGCTTTAAATTTAAAGTTGAATGCAATGTAATTCTAAACAACCACTATTGATATCACTAATTTATATAAAATATTAATGAAATATTGTCTCCAACTTGAATCTAAAAAAGTTTATTTTCATAATTTCTTATCATACGAGCTTAAATTTCGCGAGTTTCATAATTTTATCATTACAATTGCAATCGAATATAATAGATCAAATTTCATCCTTATATATTTTTCAATTGGATTTTTCAATTTTTACTCAGTTTAATGCGTTAAGTCACTATTACCGGCAACTACTATCTTACATTCTTTCAATTTTACAGATTGCATTTCACATAATCAATAAAAGTTAATTCCTTCGTTAACGTTTGTTTGAAAATTTATACCCCCCTAGTTCATTACAGTTAGAAATGGATATTAATTCAATAATTGATCAGTATCTAACATCTTGGTATCCAACATCAATTCCAACAACAACTACATCAATAAGTTATATAAATCCAACATATATTGAAGGATTAAAAGCAACAGCATTACTGTTACAACAAGAATTAGCTACTCAAACTAATTCAATTTCATTATATTTTTTATCAAGAAATGCAAGAGCTGCAGCAGCTTCATATACAATATTAAGTAATCAACAAGTATTAAATAGTATAACACAAACTTACGATATTTCAACTACGACAACTGCAACAGAAACAATTTTTAATTCAGTTGTTACAGAAACTTTAACTCGTACATTTGAAGAAACTTCAACTTTATCAATAGATTTATCACAAATTACTGATGAATTGGTAAATTCAACTTTATTATTAAAAAAATTAGAATGGGATTCAAATTTATATGCTATAAATATTTCAATTCCTTTTAATTTGTTGTTCACTATACTATTTATCATTTTAATAATATCATATATATCAATAGGTATATTCAAAAAAGGTAAAACAAAATATTTTACAATTTGTATGATATTAGGTTGTATATTAGAATCAATTGGTTATATATGTAGAACAATAGCTCATTATAATTGGTCAAATCCTAATTTATTTGTATTACAAGCAATATGTTTAACAGTAGCACCAGCATTAATAATGGCATCAATTTATTATTTATTATCTCAATTAATTATAATTTATGGATATAATTATTCAATTATAAAACCAAATTATATTGCTTGGATATTTGTATGTTTTGATGTTGCAAGTTTATTTATTCAAAGTGGTGGTGGAATATTTGCAGGTATTGCTTTAAAAAATTTTGAAAATACAATTTATGGAACTCATATAATGGTTAGTGGAATGGCTTTTCAAGTTTTATCAATGAGTTTATTCTTGATTTTCTTATTTAATTTTTTGAAACGAATATATTTTAATTCAAGAAATGTATCATTTAATGTTTTGGAGTTTTTTCAATTATTGGGAAACACTTCCAATGGTGAAAGAATACGACAAGATTCCAAACTAGATAATAAATATGATTCAAATTATCAAAATTTAAGAAATAGGAAATATTTCAATTATTTACTTTTAATGATTTTAATTTCATCTTTATGCATTTATATTCGATGTATATATAGAGTAATTGAATTAGTTGAAGGTTGGAGAGGGTTTTTAATTACTCATGAACCATTTTTATTAACTTTAGATGCATTAATGGTATTTTTGGGTTGTGCTATATTTGTACCTTTCCATCCAAAACTTATAATGGGTAATGAATTTAATATATCAGTTAGAAAAAGTTTGAAATATATTAATGAAAAAATTAAAAAGGAAAGTATGATACAATTTTATAAAGAAGATAGTATTGATAGTGAAATTAGTTATTACAATAATTTTAAAAAGAAATCAAGTATTGATAAAGAAGTTCATTCAACAAGTACATTATCTTCGGGAACTACATTCAATAATATACTATCTACTCCCGAAAGAGCTCAAACCTCCAGAGATCACTTTAATCATAACCCATATGAACAATCAAATAATTATAGATACTACGAAACTAATAATCAACAACAAATTTATTCACCAAAAGAGAATTCAAACAATGTAAAAAATAATAAAAAAAGTGAACAATCATTTAATAGTAAATCAACAAACAATAAACAAACACGTCAAAATTATTTTAATCCATATTTAAATCCAACGAAATTTGCTCATTATAATTCATATAATAATTACAATTCACAATCAAATCAAAATATAAAAAAATATGAGAGTTGACATTGAATATAAATGTGAAAATTAATTATTTATTATTTATATAGCTTTATAGATTGTTTGATATACCCCAATTAAAAGTTCACCATTTTTTGACCCTTATTTTATCTTTATATCGATTTATTTTTTAGCTCTTGGGATCCAATCTGGTAAATTTTTAACACAATATTTACCACAACATCCACAATTTTGATAAGTATTTGAATCAGTTTGTTTATCTTGAACAATTAATGATGGATGATAATTTGTGGTTGATGATGTAGTTGATGTTGATGTTACATCATTGGCCGTTGAAAGTTGTGATTTTGTAAAAGTATATGAATGTAGATTTGATGTTAAATTTGACATTTTAATTGACATTTTTCTTATCTCTTATCTTATTATTTAAAACATTATATGGTGCAAGTAATGGAATGGAAATTTGAAAGAATTGAAGATTTGATTTATATTCTACATGAAAACGACAAAAAATTAGTCATTAAGTTTTAAAACGAGTTATTTATTAAGCTTTTATAGAAATTTGTTCTTATCTTGTTTTATAATCACAAGATCACTAAATATTTTATTGATAAGCAATATTATTATTAATTTATTCATTTTTAGTTATTGTTGCAAAATAAGAATACAAAAAGGAAATGTGAAACTTTATTAGTTACACAAAATCTATTTTTATCTGTTATCTTATCTATTCAAATTTTGTAGCCGATCAATCATAAGTAAAGGTTTGATTTTGATACAATTGAGTCATTTCAGAATCCAATGAACATAGCCAAGTCTTTTCATCTTTCATAATTTGTTGATTTCGTTATTTAATAAATTCACATCAAGTTTTTGTTCTGTTGCCAATTCTTTCCACATATCATTGAACTACATGTTGTTAGTAAATCAAATCAAAACGTGAAATATTCCATGATTCAAACATACTTGTCTCATTATTTTTTCATGTATAAATTTTGAAAAAACAATTCCATAAGCACACCATCTGATACCAGATTTTAAATCATTGCAATCACTGTCCAGAAGTTAGTATTCTTTTATCTCAAATTTATCAATTCAACCAATACATACATTAAAAATCTAACACCAAAATTCCATGATATACTTGCAAGCCATTCAATTTCAAATGTTGGTATATTAATTTCAGCAACATTTGATTTATATAATTTATAAAACTGACCAGCAATATTAATTGAATTTAATTTTGTAGAATCATTATCATCTAAATTTGTAAGTTCTAAACGAATTCTAATCCAAGTTATTAATGTAGGTAAAATTGATGAATCTCCTGATTCAAATGTATAATCTATAATTGAACTTAAAATATGTAATTTTGTATCTTTGTTTAATAATTTTCTTGAATAATTGACTAAATTTACATAAACATCAAATAAATTGAATTTAATTTTAGAATTTAATATTGAAGTTTTTTCAATTAATATTAATATTTGATCAATTGATCCAATCATCAATTCAGCTTGAAAAAAGTATGCATATAATTGTTGTTGACATTCAAACCATTCTTCATTATTGATTTCACTAATTGTAATTTCTTCAATAATTTTATCACCTTGACTTTTTATAAAATTCCAATCATTTTGATTATCATTTTCATTGGAATTTTGAATAATCATTGAAAACATCATTAAATTTGCTCTGACTTTCCAAATTAAAATATTATCATACCTTAATTTATCAACTTTTGGAGAAATCAATCTAGTAAATCCAATACATGTATGACATAATTGAATCACTCTTTCGGTTATTTTATTTTCCAAACATAATACAGCTAAATTATAAGCTTTACTTGCAAACCATTCCAAATCATTAGTTGAAAACATATTATTATTGACTTCAAGCATATCATTTGCAAATTTATAACAACTTTCTAACATTTCACAAACATCAGTTAATTCATTTAAATTCATATTAATATCTTTTTCAACAGAAGCAGAAAATAACAAGATAGCACATCTAAAACAAATTGGTAAAACAATACCAAATGAACCCAATTTTTCAATAAATTCAGTTGTTAAATCTTTCGACATAAGTAAATTTAATAATTGTAATAACGAATTTTTCATAAATTCATTTGATAAAATATCAGTACTTTCAATTATACATGCAGCTATTGTCAAAATAGTGGTAGAATTCAATTGATGTTGTGTAATTTTCAGGAAACAATCTAAAGCTTTCTTTTCTTCATTCAATTTTAAATATGCTCTGAATAAATTATATTGTGATAAAATATTGGATTTATCATCATCATCCATTAAGTTAGTTGATTTAATGACAGCATTAGCATCACCTTTCAAAAGTTGATTATTTTGAATAGCTCGAATGATTTTACCTCTATCTTGATTTTCATTATGCTCCATTTGAAAAACTCTAGAAAGTGATAACTGAAGCCATCCGGTACTTTCATCATAATTCGTTTTGTTATATGTAAGCATCCCTTGTTTCCATACTAAAGCACAAATACTAGTTTTAGTATTTGTACTCAATGGTTGTTGAATAGTCTTTTCAAGTAGTTGAATAAACATTACTAGTTCTCTAATTCTAACAAAAGGTTCTTTATTTTGGGCTAATTCAATATTAACCAAAAACTTTGCAACAATTAATGATTCAATTTGTACATGTTCAATACTTACATTGGTAATTAAATAATCCAAACAATTATTAACTCCCTTATAACAATTTTTTGAATTTTCTTCTAACAAACTTATTGTTTGATCGATTTTATTACTAATATCAACAGACATCACCATACGCATTAATATGTCACCAAATTTAGTTTCATCATGTGGTTGTTCCAAAGTTTCGAAATACAAAGGATAAACTTCAAATACATCTGAAAATTGATTTTGGATTTGTTCTAAAGCTGTAATAGCCTTTTGTTTTGAATCTTTTGTATCAATACTTTTATAACATTTGATTAATAAAATATATAAATTGAGATATCTATTTTTAACTAGCTCTGAACTTTGATCATTTAAATGAATTTCAATTAATTTGATAGATGTTGTGATTAAAAGTTTAGCGTTTTCAAATTTATTATCATTCAACTGATCTAAACCACAATTATACAAAATTCTTGTAGATTCTAACACAAAATCAAGTGATGGATTTGAAACATTTAAAATTTCACAAATTTTTGATTCATAATTTTTGAACATACGAAAATCTTTCGATAAAGCAGTGTAATTTAAACATAAAATCAAAAACTTCAGATAAGTTTCATCAAGCATTTGCAAATGAATTTTGTTAAATTTGTTTTCATTATTAGTAGTTATCAAATAGCTCAACATATTTTCAAGCAGTGTATGAGATTTTTTCGCAACCAAATTATCAATATTATCATTTTGAATCGATGCTGCAAATAATTTAATGAAACAATTAATTATTGTGAAAGATCTTTCAATACTTCTGTTTAACTTTTCATAAATGACTAACATTATGATTGCAAATAATTGAATTCCTTGGTTCGTATCAACATCAACCGTAACTGAACCACTAGTATTCCATAAATCAGTTGCAACCAATTCCAACAGCTCTTGTAAATTTTTAGGTAATTGAACTACCAAGGGGTCCAGTTCTATTACTCCACACACATTCTCTGCAATAGGTATGATCAAGTCAATCTTTTTTTGGATCAACAAATCTGTATTTCCCTCATAATGCTTTGAATTTAGTGTATTATAAATTTCTTTTGCAGTTTCTACTTGTATGTTAGTCTAACTTCTTCAAACTATATATCCGAGGTAGTTACTTACTTATCAAATTATTTACACTTCCTTGTATGTTTGATACCAAGTGTGTCATTGATTTCGTGAGGAAGAGAAAATAAGATTGTAATTTGAATTTGGTTGCCAAATTTAAATTATCTAAAAAATTGTAACAAAAAATAAATTTCAAATTTTTCTTTTAACGTAAAAATATTATTGTACATTTAAAGTCATGCTAACTATACTCCAACCAGAACATCAAACACCCACCTATTTTATTTCTCCAACTAATTCATTTATTTTTTACTAGTTTTTTTAGCTGAAGCTTTCTTTTCTTTTTCTTGGTGTTCTTTTAATACTCTTTTAACAATTTTTTGTTCTTCAATTAAGAAAGCTCTAACAATTCTTTCTTTAACACAGTTAGCACATCTTGAACCACCGTAAGCTCTTTGAACAGTTTTGTGAGTTTTTGAGACTTGAGCATATTCTCTTGGTCTTAAAGTTGAAATACCAGCTAAAGCTGAACCACAGTCACCACATTTGACTCTTGAAGCAGCTTTTTTAACATGTTGAGCAACTAATTTTCCACCTGGGGTTTTAACAACCTTGATTTTATTTGATCTGGTGTTGTCTATAATATTATTGTTAGTATTTCTGTTATATCCTTTTGAAATTTAAAGACTCCTGATGAAACTTTGACCGACGAACGCCGTTCACAGATAGTACTGCTACTGATTTGATAATAATTTTTTAAGTATGAGATGAATGGATTTGGGATGTATTTGACTTGAAGCATTTGAAATGATGAAATATGAATTCAAAATTGCTGGAATATGTTCAAAATATCCACTATTCAACTATATGAATTTTAGATAATGATCATAAAGTATGATGTATTGTTTTATAATGCATGGATGTAGGTCATATGTCTGTTGAAGGTATTTTGCATTCCATAATTAATAAATTATTCTACACTTTGACAGTCTGTGGTTACGTCTATTCCCGGTCTTAGTCTTTCTGTAATGGTAGTATTAAACATACATGGATTTCTTCTTCTATAAGTTACACGTTGAGCCATTGTTGATTATGTATATGTATAGTTGAGTTGTTGATGTAATAACGTGAAAAATTTACTATCAATATTTTTTCTAACTATACTGAAAATTTCCTCACTAATTATTTTTCTTCTTCTCTTTCTCAGTATAACTGTTTCATTTTTGTGTTCACTTTTAAGCTCTCATACAAAATATTTTGTATACTACAAATGCAACGCTACCAAAAAATAAAAAGAAAATAGCTGCTTTCATTGCTCACATGACTTGTTGTGACTGCTTTTTTTTACAAATCAAGACGTAAATTATATACACAACCCATTTATGTAACCAACTTAATGATTTCGTCCAAAAGGTATGTATTAGTGAAAACCAGAATTAGAATCATGATACTGAGATCTGTGATTCTGACCGCCATTTCTAACCTTTTCGCTTTCAAACAAGTTGGTGTAAGTTCAGCAGTCGATTTAGAACTTACTAGTTGAGAGATAGGTTATCAAAACTAGAGATTGGTAAGGAAAACTCGAGATTCGGTCCTTAAACCAAACTAAAGATCAATCATTGAATGAACTTCGAAATCGTCTATTTCTGATGGAGCAGACGTGAAAAACTAATCAATACAATATAATCCGATGGTTCATCGACACGTGTATTCAACTATCCCTTATTTATAATTTATTATCATCTCTTTCAATAGCAATAACTTCCATTTCTAATGGTACTCCTAAAGGTAATTCTTTAACAGCAACACAAGATCTAGCAGGTTTATGTTCATTAAAATATTTACCATAAACTTTATTAAATTCTCCAAATTGTGAAGACATATCAGTTAAAAATATATTTGCTTTTACTATATGATTTAATGACGAATTTGAAGCTTCTAAAATTGCTGAAACATTTTGTATTACTTGTTCAGCATGATCTTGAATTGTAGCTGATGATGATAATGGTTTATTATCTGGTGTATATGGGATTTGTCCTGATACATATATGAAACCTATAACATTATTAGTACTTTGCTTTCCTTTTGTCCATGATCTGGACATGATTTTTTTAAAACATACCATTTACTTTGATAGCTTGTGAGTATGACGCAGCTGGTGGTGGAGCTTGTTGGGTTCTTACCTATACGTCATAGTTAGTATACGAGATTTGACGAAAACGACCATCACAATATATCATTAGTTGTAATCACTCAATTGACTAACATACTGGATTAATTGATGAATTGAATCTTTTGGCAGACATGATTGTAGTTTTAAAAGATTGAGAACTCAATTTACTGAACATTTGATGGGGTAATATATTAATAAATTGTTCGTAAATATTAAACTTAACGGTTACAGATGTTTCCTTTTTATTTGATTGCCGACATATTTAATTTTTGACTTCAAATTTGTGTATGAAAAGTCTTTATGCAGCTACTGTTTCAAAAATGTCTTCAGTTTACACATTTTTCTACTGTTAGTCAAATAAATTTGTTAAAAATTAATAATTGTGGTTACTAACTTAAATTGAATAAAGCTAAATGTACTGGTATAAATCATTTTGGCTCGACTGAGGACAGATTTATAGCAGGCTTGATGGGTATCACTTTTCCTTTAATACAACTAAACAAAAGAGTTATGTTATTCAATTGAAAGATTTGACAAAAACAAGAGCATAGAGAAAGAATATAAACCGATGGAGAAATAATGTCAAGATCCAAAATAATTTTAAATGGCCCTTTTATCAAAATATTTTCATAGGTAAGTTTCCCCTGGATGGCTAGTTTATTATTTGAACGAAGTAATTTGGACGAGCGTTACGTTTAAAAACAACCAGCAAGCTACATGTATAATTCAGCATGTTATGATGATAATTTTGAAAAAAAGAAAAATATGTTTGTGGAATTTGACTTCTTGTTGTTTACTAAAAATTTCAAACTCAAGATACGACCAAATCTGAAATAGGACTATAATTGAGAAACATGTCCACAATTTATCATTCGGAAAACTTGCCCAACCTTTTTGCGAGTAAAGTTTGACCAAATCAATATAATGGATTCAGAATCAACACCACCTAGTCATACATCTATGGAGTACGAAAATAATTTGAATTCCAATGCTCAAAATCAAGAGGATCAACAAGAACGAAACAATCGAGATTCCGAGTCTATCTCTCAGTTAATTGAGATACCTAATTCTGTTCTGTTAATTCAAATTATTGATGATGATATAATTGAATTTTATGACATTTCACCTCATGTTGAATGCAATGAATCAATCATGTGTTTCAAAAGAAAAGCAGAGAACACTCACATTTTTAAAGACGGATTAAAAAAACCATGGTTACATTATGCGTGTGGTTTGTTCTTCTTCATGTGTACCACCTTCTCTTTCGGGTTTGGTATATGCATACGATTTTGAAAAACTTCAATATTAAATCAAATTTTCAAGCTCAAATCGAAACTCATCCTACCTGAAAATTTGTTCAAATTCGATTACGAATTCATTTCAGAAGATACACAGTTTCTTACGAAAACACACAGTTTCTTACGAAAACATTTATAAATCGATCATATATCTCAAAGGATTACCTAAACCTAAAAGAAAACGCGGTGTTCAGACTTTCTCGTGTGAAATAACAGAGGACCATGAACTTCATCATATAGGCACTGCGTTAATGATTGGATGCTCAGTTTGTACTCATATTTTTGGTTTGGTAATTGATTCAATATATCAGGCTGAGTTAGAGAAATCAAATTTATCAAATAAGGAAAAAATAAACAAATAAATTTGTGTGATAGATATTCATGAAAAAAAAGTTGTGTTTTTTTTTCTTATTATTTACTAAAAAGTCATCAAAACTTTGGAAGATTTTTGATATTAAAATGTTTGAACAACTCCATCTTCTTCAATTCTCCAAAGAATACATTCCTTGATAATTAAACAATCTTAAGAGTTATCAAACGATTTCAACATGGAGTTGGAAAATTTACCCCTTTATCATGAGCCTAGACAAACTAATTCTAATTCGGCTCTAGAAGAAAAAGAAATTGAAAATCAAAATCAACCTCAAGAAGGTAGAATTTTAAAAATCCCTGAAACAGTGGGTCATATAAAATTAATGAATGAAGATATTATTTATGAGAAGCTAGTTACTAATGATGAAAAAAAATTAATGATGGTTCTAAGATTGAAATATAGGAGGAAATCGGTTGATAAACCCTTAACATATGCTCAATTTATCAAAAAGCATCCTTTTAGTTTTACTTTTTTTACATTTTGGTGTTGTGCTTTCATTGGATCGATTATTTTTAATGTTTATTATGGTTAATATCTCTAACGAGAAATTGAAGAATTATAAACCTCAAAGACAAATTTATCATAACCCAGCCACTATAAAACAAGCAGGCCATGGTTGAACTGAGGAACCAGGAAATGGAGGACCATAAACTTAATAAATTTTAAAACAAGAACCTAACCTTTCCGTAAAACAATATTATGATAAATCTAATTCTTTACTTATAACACGTGTTGGAAATGTATTTCGAAATGTTACAGACAACAGGCGTCAACATTTTCATTAATCTTGAAGGAATTATGTTGTTTTCGTCAAGGAAATTCAATTACCTCCGGTAGAGAGAAATTACAGATTAGATTCGAAGAAAGTATCAAAAGTTTCAGAAGGGAAGAAAATTGACTTGGAGTAAGACTTTTCAAGGATAGCAGAATTACAATTCGAGTTAGTCAGTAGAGTCAAAAATAAATTATGTCAGAGATCACAATATCGAAACATTTTTTATTCAGTATGATTTCAAAACTTGATTCAAAAGAAAAGTTAAAAAAGAGTACATTCTGAGACAACATAAAATGAAACAAAAGCTGGAATCCAACAACACCAAATTCAAAACCAAAACCGATACACTAGCAAAGCCAATCCAGTCATACTCCCACCAAATTCCATTTTCACAATTAAAAATTCAATGATAGCAATAAAAACACAATGAAAATGTTATATATTTTTGAAAATTCTTTATTATTTTTAATTCTTAGCGATTATAGGGATTGCTATGCCCATGTTCTAAATTGGAAATAGTTTTCTGTTGATATGCAGCGAATGTGGGATAAATGCCCACACATAATCCAGTTGCTGTAAAAGCTGCACAGCAAACAACTAACCCCGTTGTGACTCTCTGCCAAATGACATGAATTTTTTTTATCTGATCTGTGATTTCTTTCGCTTCATTCTTTTCTTCGCTATTTTGATATTTTATTTTATAATGTTTTGTATAAATCCATCCTACGGGTATCAAACATAATAAGACAAAGGCAATAGTAAGGAATACCTCTGGAACAATTATTGTCACCTTTGGGTCAAGCTTTGTATGCATATATTGATAAAAATTTGTTGTTCTTTCTACTTTAGATGTAATTGATTTGAAAAAGGTCTTTTTCAGTATTTGGATAAACTTGCAATTTTCTCTTCATTTTGATATGAATTTAATAGGCAAATCTATATGTTGGATCTGAATGCTGTTATTTTGGGATTCTAAAAAAAAATAAGGTACCAAGTTATTCAACATTACACAAAAGGAAGTTTGATGTAAATAGTTACAAAGTCGTGGTAACGAGTGACAAGACTTATCAATAACATTACACCAACCTTATTAATTCACCTGTTCATATACCAAATTTGTGCTATGATGAATTAATATCTGGCAATTACACTATAGTTAGGTATAATCACATTCAAATAGGAAACTAGATCGACAATTTCTAGTCCATGGGGTCAGAGATAAGTTATGTGAGAGATCAAAAATCAACGAAACATTTCAGTATTATCACAAGAACTTATTTAAAAGAGAAGTTAAAAAAGAGTACATTTATGAAACGATATACGATGAACAACGGCTCCAATACAAAACACCAATACCAAAACCAAAACCACTTAAATTAAACAAAGCCAATTCAGTCATACTCCTAGCAAAACCCATTTTCACAAGTAAAAATTCAATTATAGCAATAAAAACACAACGACAATTTTATATAATCCTTGAACACTTATAATTATCTTTAACTTCCTAAGAAGTCAAGTGGAATTGGAATGTCCATGTTCTGATAGCTGGTGGACCAAAGCTTTTGATGATAAGCAGATCGCGGGATGAAAGAACACACAGTTTATTATTTTAACGAAGTGATTTGGACGAACATTACGTTTAAAAACAACCATATCCAGCAAGCTATATGTATAACTCAGCATGTTATTATGATTATTTTGAAAAAAAGAAAAATATTTTGTGAAATTTGACTTCTTGTTGTTTACTAAAAATTTTAAACTCAAGATATGACCAAATTTGAAACTGGACTATAATTGGGGAAAATGTCCACAATTTACCATTGAAAAACTTGCCGAACCTTTTTGCGAGTAAAGTTTGATCAAGTCATTATAATGGATTCAGAATCAGCACCACCTAGTTATGCTTCTCTGGAGCACGAAAATAATTTGAATTTCAACGCTCAAAATCAAGAAGATCAACAAGAACGAAACAATCGAAATTCCGAGTCTATACCTCAGTTAATTGAAATACCTAATTCTGTTCTGTTAATTCAGATTATTGATGATGATATAATTGAAGTTAATGACATTTCACATCATGTTGAATGCAATGAATCAATCATGTGTTTTAAGAAAAAAGTAAAGAACACTTGCAAACCTCACAGTTTTAAAGACAAATTAAAAGATTCATTTTTATACTATATGGGTGGTTTGTTGTTCTTCATGTGTACGACCTGCTCTTTCATGTTTGGTTTGTTTTTTTGGAATATTAAAGAAGTTCAATATTAAATCATATTTTCAAGCTCATATCGAAATTGATTCGACCTACAAATTTGTTCAATCCAATAACGAAAATTGTTTCAAAAGATACAGTTTTTTATGAAAACAATTATAAATCGATTATATATCTCATAGTGATACCTGAAAAAAAATTGGTGTTCATACTTTCCTGTTAAATACCCAGGACCATGAAGTTCATCATATAAGCACAGCCTTAATGAATGATTGGATGCTCAATTGTTATATCTTTTTTGGTTTGATAATTAGTTCAAAATATCAAGCCAAGATAAATGAATCAAATTTATCAAATAAGGAAATAATAAACAAACAAATTTATGTGATAGATATTTTGGTAACTGGTTTATGAAAACAAATGTGTTTTTTTTTCTTATTATTTACTAAAAAAAATTATCAAAATTTTGGGAGATTTTTGATATTAAAATGTTTGAACAATTCCATATGTTTCAGTTTCCAATGAACACATGCCTTAATTGATCAAACAATTTTAAGAGTTATCAAACGATTGTAACATGGAGTTGGAAAATCTACCCCTTTATCATGAGCCTAGACAAGCCAATTCAAACTCGGCTCAAGAAGAAGAAGAAATCGAAAATCAAAATCAACCTCAAGAAGGTAGAATCCTAAAAATTCCTGAAACAGTGGGTCATATAAAATTGATGAATGAAGATATTATTTATGATAAGCTAGTTACCAATAATGAAAAAAAACTAATGATGGTTCTAAGATTGAAATACAAAAGGAAATCGGTTGATAAACCCTTAACATATGCTCAGTTTATTAAAAAACATACTTTTGCTTTTACTATTTTTACATTTTGGTGTTGTGCCTTTATTGGATCGATTATTTTCAATGTTGTTATGGTTCAAGTCACTAACGAGAAATTGAAAAATCATAAACCTCAAAGACAAATTTATCATAACTCAGCCACTATAAAACAAGCAGGACATCGTTGAACTAAGGAACCAGGAAATGGAGGAACGAAAAATTCATAAGATAAAGAAACTAAAAAACCATAGAACATCCACGAAGAATAAAACTGATAAATTTTCGAAACAAAAACCATTCTTTTCACAAAACATGAATATATCATGAACCCTATTCCTTTACTTATAATGGTGTTGAAAATGTATTCTGGAATTTTACGGACGATATGCGTCAAAAATCCTGAATGAAATTTTTACGTTCGTCAAGGAAATTTAATTACCTCCGGTAGAGAGAAATTGCAGATTATATTCGAAGACATTATCAAAATTTTCAGAAGGGAAGAAAAATGACTTGCAGTAAGACTTTTCAAATGATAACAGAGCTACAATTCGAGTTAGTCAGTAGAGTCAAAAATAAATTATGTCAGAGATCATAATATCGAAACATTTTTAATTCAGTATGATTACAAAACTTGATTCAAAAGAAAAGTTAAAAAAGAGAATATTTGTGAGACAATATAAAATGAACAAAAGCTCCAATTCAACAACACCAACACCAATACCAAAACCAAAGATCAAAACCAAAATCGATACCACTCACATCAAACAAAGCCAATTCAGTCATACTCCAACCAAAACCCATTTTCACAATTAAAATATCAATTATAGCAATAAAAACACAATGAAAATGTTATATAGTCGTTGAACACTTATTATTATCTTTCATAAGCAGTCAGGTGCAACTGAAATGTCCATGTTCTGAATAGTTGGTGGACCAAAGCTTTTGATGATAAGCAGATATCGTTGGATGAAAGAACACACATAATCCAATTAGAATGAAAAATATACCGCAAGCAACTAACAACAATGTAGCCCTCTCATATTTAAAATAAGTCTCCCTTTTTTCATCTGTAATTTTTTCATCTTCTTGATTTTGTTGACTAGTTAGATATAATGCTTTATAATCGTTTGCCGAGTCCCAAATGGCAAGTGACCAAATGGCAAGTGATAAAAATAATAAAACGACCCCTAAACTGACCAATATCATTGAAACAATTGTTCTTGCCTTACAGGACATCATAGTATTTAAAAATTGATGAATAATTTGTGGTTTTTTTTATTTTTGGAAATTATAGTTGATATGAAAAAGATCTTTTTAAATATTTGAATTAATTTGCAAATTCTTACATTTTCATGAGATTTTAATATTCAAAAGATTGAGATTAGTGGTAAATCTAAATATTGGATCTGAAAGTTAATATTTCGGCATTCCAAAAAAAAAAAAAAGGTACCAAATATTGTTGTACAAAATACGAATGCCGACGTAATATGTCAAAGTAAAAAATAAAAATACAATGTTCCTATAATTATATACATGCTTTAAATCATAACTAATTTTACCTTCGTTTTGACTTAGTTTTCTTCTTGTGTTTGTTTTTACTCTTAGATGATTGTGATTTTTTATCTTTAAATTTACCTTCACCATTTAAAAAATCTGTATTAAATTCAGCTATTTCTTCATCATTTTTATCATTTTTATCATCTTTATTAATTTTTTTTTCATCATTATTATTTAAAATCTCAGGTTTTGAAATTTGACCAAATAATGAAACATTACCACTACTTATAACAGCTTCAGTAATTTCAAATAATTTTTCAGCTAATTCTTCAATTTTACATAAAGAATTAAAAAACATTATAAAAATTCTAAAATCTTGTTCAATTTCATCTAAATTTCTTGAATTGACGATTTCATCTTTAATATATATTGATTTTAAATCTTGTTCGATTTTTTTGGCAAAGTTCATTACAATTTTTTTATGAAATGGATTTTTAATTAAATCTTGATTTACTTCATTTGTAGTCATTTCATCATAATTCATAAATAATTCTAATTCATCCTTTGTTGTGGTTTGTACATCTTCTATTTCATTAGATATTTCTTCAATTTCTTCCTCTTTAATGTGATTCAATTTAAAATATAATTGTCTTGCTTCAGGTACTTTACCAATCCAATTAATTAATAAAATCAGTAATTCATTACTATAATCAAAAATATCATCTTTTTCACTAAATTTTTTATGAATTTTTATTACATTCAATTTAATTAATTGATTAATCATTAAACAAAGTATACTCATTAATTTCTTAGCAATTGATTCGGCTAAAACAACTTCATAACCTTCTTCAATTTCTAATCCATCATTTGCAGATAAATAAAATGCACTAGTTGTAAAAAATTCATGTAATAACATCAGTTGTTCTACATCACTTAATATAACTTTATCTCCCTTTCTAGTGAACATATATAATTTATTGAGTTCTTGTATACCTCTTAATCCAGCTGCTAATTGAAAAATATAATCAACTAAAACATTTGATAAATTAATATTATGAGTTAAATACCAAATAATTAATCTTCTTTTTCCAGGACACATTAATAATTCATCCATACTAGCTCTTGCTAATTCAGTATTATAATGTAAAAATAATTCAAATTTTGTGATATTAAAAATTGGAATAATAGATTTATTACTTTGTTGAACTTTCTTTATTTGATTTTCAGTAGCAGGAGATTTAAAATATTTAAAAATTTTATCAGCTGTAATTTCTGGTTTCTTGTTGTTTACTTCATCCTTTATAGCTTTTGAAATTGTATTTATTATAACTTGACCAATATTAGGATCATATGAAGGATCAGATTCAATATTTTTAATACATATATCATCTAAATAAGTTTGAAAACGATCCCAATTCATATATGCAACTCCTTCAGGATTTTTAATTGGAAATGTATCTACTATTTCAAAAAGTCTTGAAAATGCATCTTTCATTTGTGAATTTCCTCCTCTCGGTATATCTCTCCAATCTCTTCCATATTCATCGAATTGGATATTTATGTTTTCTAATTCTTGATTTTTCAGATGAGTTTCTTCATTATCTTCTTTGCTCTCACTTGTGCGTTGCAGTACATTCTTTTTTGCTCTATTCTCATCATTTTTAATTACGTCATAAATGCCTTCCATATCAATCCCATTAACATCCTCCATATCACTCTCATCGTCATCATCATCATCTTCATCCTCCTCATCATCATCATCATCATCAACACATTCATATTCTTCCAACATATATTTAATATCTTCATCAAATCTATCAGCATATTCCAAATCTATTAAAATATCACCAATTTCAGAAATATTATTACAACGATTTAATTTCCTACTTGCATGTTCTTTATTCTTTGATGGGGTATCATTATTTGTTAAATATTGTTCAGTTGTAAATGAAGTTCCAGAATATATAATAAGTAAAGCTATCATTACTAATCTCATATCTAATGATAAAGCACCACCATTTGCAATTGATCTTGCTAAAGGTTGAATAAAATTAAAAATTGGTTCATCATTTAAATCAATATAATCTTCAATATATGGTTTATTTGACCATATACTAAATAATTCATCATCATCAAATGACAGTGATGGATTCATATTTAATACATAAGCTAATACATATCTTATTGAACTTGAACCTTTTAAAACTTTTAATATTATGGGAGGTGTAATAATTTCTAAATTTTTATCTAAATTTTGAAATTCAATTCTTCTATCAATCTCAAGACCTAATAATATAATATTTGTATGACATTTCCATAATTTTAAAAAATAATGTAAATAAGGATTTTGCAGTAAATTAAAATTATCATTATCATTATAACATAATTTTTGAATTGACATTATTAAAACACAAGCTACTGAATAAATTAATTTTAAATTATAATCATTATTTACAAGTGCTGTTATGGGAGTCCATTTTGGTAATGAATTTTCCCAATTCAGTTTTGAATTATCAAGAAATCTTAAATTTAATTCATCATTTGCATTTAAAATTTCATGAATTTTTTGTAAAATTAAAAAAAATTTAGTTGTTATATCAAATTTTATTGAATTAAATTCTATTAAATCTGTTTCATATTCAGATTCATATTCATCATAAGCAAAAAAGATTAATAAATCAGATATACAATTAACTCCTAAAATATTATCTTCAGTTTCTTCTGGTTGTGTAAAAGGATCACATAATGCTATAACAGTTTTAAATATGAATCTTAAATAATGATCTTCTTGGGGAATTTTTAATAAATTTGCAAGTTCTTCATGTCGCTTTGTGAAATTTTTAACTGGTCCTTTTGGTGGGATTGCAAATTCATACTCAGAATGTTCTAATTCTTCATCCGTATTTTGATCCAGCATATCATCTCCATAACTAGTATGTGCTTCTTTATGATTGATTTGTAAAAGAATGTAACTGGAATCGTAGAATTTTGAAATTTAGAATTATCACTTCTCGCATATGAATTCGATTGAACGCAGATTTTACGCACCAACAAGTATAAACTCAATTCAAAGCTAACAATAAAATAAAAGTCGAAGTAAATTAAATTGTATAACAGTCTATATAGTGTCCTTGAAATAGTCTTTATAAATCTAATTATAAGTGTTTACATTAAATATTTGTTTTAACCCTTTCCCAAAAATACCTCTAACACTTGAAGATTTACTTCTTGAATATGCAACTAAAATAGCTAAACTTATTGAAAATACAATACTTTCAATTCTTAAATTTCTTTCTGAAGGTTCTGAAGATACTAAAGTTCCTAAACCTCTTGGTGCAACAAATAATGCTAATTCTTTTCTTCTTTGAGGAGTTTCAACAAATGATGAAAACCCACAAGCTAATGCTCCAGCAGCAGGACAAATTGTATCATCCCAACGAACTTTAGGTACTTTAGGGAATAAATATGGAAGTATTCTTGTTCTTGCTAAACAAACAGCATACCAATAAAATCCAATAAAAGCACCTAAAAAACACGAAGATCTAATTGAAGATTTTAAAGCACGAATCAATCTTGCTGACATTTTAATTTTCAGTGGGAATAATAACATTAATAAATTTAAAGGTAAATAAACAGTTGCAGCAAATTTAAAACCTCTCCAAAATCTCCATAAAGCATGTAATTCACAACTTTTTGTTTTAAAAGCATGTACAGCTTCACATTCAATAGGTTGATTAATTACAGTATTACCTCTTTTTGGATCTTTACCATATCTTTCAAAATAAGGACCTAAAAAATCTTCATATGGTCCATGTTGACCATAAATTAAATCTTTATTTCTAACTAATCTTAAAACTTCTATAAAATCAGGATCCATATTAGCAGCAGAAGTAATCCATTTTGAATAAGCAGGAGGTAATCTTTCTGGATAAAAAAACCAACAAAACATTATAGGAGTACAACTTAAAATAAATAATAAAGCATCACCATATTTTGATAAATTTGGATGAACAATTTTAGATAATGATGAAGAAAAAGCAGTATCTAATGCCCTTGTTGTAACTAATAAAGTTAAATCTAATGAATTATATCTACCAATTTGTACTACATGATTTTGATATAAAGGAAAAGTAATCAATGCTGAAATCAATGAAGAAATTAAAGTTGATATAAATAATTTACTTGATGGTGATTTAAATTTTTTATTATTTTTTAATAATCCATAAATTATTGGTTCTAAAATATTTATACCAGCAATTAAACTTGCAGAAAACATTGGAAATTTTCTAATATGTAAAGCTTTTATCATTGTCTTTTTAACTCTTGGATAAATTTTATTATATTTATGTTTTTTGATAGCACTTATAATTTGTCCTAAAACTTTTGGTAATACTAAATAAAGATAAGCATAAATAAAAGCTTTTAATGAAGGTTTTGCAACTCCATTTATTAAATATTTTATTAATAAATGTTTTTGTAAAGTTCGTCGATTTGTTGAATTAGTTTTAAGTTGAGTCAGCATTGATTACTTTTTATTTTTAATAGGTAGTTTGTACTTGTCTTTGGTTGGTGTAGTTTTATATATATTTCTCTGATATAAGATTGTTGATGTATGAAAAAAAAATAGAATGAACTTTTCTCAATAAAAAAGAAACAAAATCTTTAATTTACCACTTTACTTTTAAAATATTTTATAACCATAAATAGTAAACAAATTTAATTAACTAATATTCTAGACTATTGTATGATATTATGTACAATCGAATGATTAATTAATTAATTAATGCTTAATGCTATAGTAATTTTGAAGAGAATAGCGATAAACCGATTCATCGTACTAAGTCTATCCATAGGGTGATTATTCATATACAAATTCAATATTACCTCAATACTATATATCATTTGATTTTAAGCTAGACTTTATTCAATTGATCTCTTTGTTTTAATTATTACACAATAAACGCAACTTTTAACATGTGATAAACTAACAAACTTCAAAATATATCAATTTGGTAACTCCCAGCTAATAAAAAACAGAATACTCGGTGAGGCACAGATACTAAAAGTTCACAATATCTTTATTTTTGCGATTCTCAAATTCTACCTTGTTGTATAGTTCGATGGAATGTATGAAGATAAAATTTTCATACATATTAGTCTATTGATATAATCTTATCATAATTTTAGTCGACGCGTTTGTCAGAAGATTTAAAATCAAGACAACAATCTCTGTCACGACACACAAACATCTACGACAAGACAAACACAAAAAAGTCGCTGAAATTTTTGAATGTGTTGGTCAAATTCAATTTGATTTACGAATTAAACTTTAGGATCATAGTTTAAATTGGAAACTTTTACTTTCGACAAGATTGCAACAACAACCACTTAAATTTAAGTTTTAATCAATTGGATACTTAATACAACATTATACATAGTCAATTGGTTGTAAACTCAAAATAAAAAAGTAACTGTTCTCGAGATTTAAGGGTGAAAAATTAGTAAAAGCAATCAATTCATGGTATAATGGTTAAAATAAGTGAAATAAATAGAACTTCGACTTTTGTTTGGAGTCTGGATAGTCTTCCATTATTAGCTACAGGTACTGTTGCAGGAACTGTTGATATTGATTTTAATTCATCAGCAACTTTAGAAATATGGGATATTTTTTCACCTACAAATAATGATAAACCTATTTTTTCTACATCTGTTGAAAATAGATTTAATGCATTAGCTTGGTCAAAACCATTTGAAGGTAAACCTAAAGGATTATTAGCTGGTGCTTTTGAAAATGGAGATATTCAATTTTGGGATGCAGATATATTAATTAAAACAAAAGATGTTTCAAAAGCTTCTGTACATAAAATTGAAAAATCAAAAGGAGTAACAAAATCATTACAATTTAATCCAATTCAACCTCATATTTTAGTTACTGGTGGAACTAATGGATCAATTCTTATATGGGATACAAAGACATTTAAAGAACCTTTTGGACCTGGTCAAGCAATGACTCCAATGGATGAAATAAGTTGTGTTGCATGGAATAACTCAGTCAGTCATATTTTTGCAAGTACAGGTAATAGTGGTTATACATCAATATGGGATTTAAAAACTAAAAAAGAAGTTTTGCATTTATCATATAATAGTTCATCAGGTAGAGCCAATTTTTCACATGTTGCTTGGCATCCAACTAAATCTACTCAATTAGTAACTGCAAGTGATAATGATTCTAGTCCAGTAATTTTAACATGGGATTTAAGAAATTCAAATGCTCCAGAAAAAGTTTTGGAAGGTCATAAAAAGGGAGTATTATCATTAGATTGGTGCAAACAAGATCCAGATTTATTAATTTCAAGTGGTAAAGATAATTCTACTTTATTATGGAATCCAATAAAAGGTATAAAATTGGGAGAATATCCAACAACTGCTAATTGGGCTTTTAAAACTAGATTTGCTCCTTCAGCTCCCGATATTTTTGCAACTGCTTCTTTTGATGGGAAAATCATCATTCAAACTATTCAGGATACTTCACCACCAGTATCAACAAAAGTTAATGCATCTAATGATGATAATGAATTCTGGAGTGAATTATCTGTTACTGAAACCCAGCAACCTGTATTTGAAACACAACAAGCTCCAAAATGGTTGAAAAATCCTACTAATGTTTCATTCGGTTTTGGATCTAAATTAGTTATAGTGAAAAATAGTCCTAAACCTATCATTACCATCAACAAATTTTTAGTTAAAGGACATGAAAAATCAGATAAAATTTTTAAAGATTTGAAAGATGAAAATTATGAAGCAATAATAGATGTACATTTGAATGATGATAAAATTAATGATCTTGATAAAGCTGATTGGGAAGTTTTGAAAAACTTTTCAAAACATGGAAAGACAGATTTATTTGAGGAAGAAGATCAAGAAAATAATGATAACAATAAAAAAGATGAAAAGGAGGAGGAAAATAATGGAAAATCAGAACTTAAAGAAGATGGTGATGATGATTTTTTTTCACATCTCGGCAATGGTAATGCTTCTACTAAAAAGACTTTCACACCACTGGGTGACTTCACAATTTATAAATCAAGTTCTTCTGATGTTGATAAAAAATTGATCAATTTAATTTTAAAAAATAAAATTGAAGAGGCTGTAGAATCAAGTTTGAGTCAAGATAAATTAATTGATGCTTTAGTTTTAGCTTTGGATGCTCCATCAACAGTTAAGGAGAGTGTCAAAAATGCATATTTTGAAAAATATAAAACCAATAGTTTGTCAAGAGTTATTTACAATGTTTCATCAAAGAATGTCACTGATCTCGTTGCTAATGCAAATGTCAGCAACTTTAAAGAAATTGCTATTGGTATTCAATCATTTACTGCTGATACAGATGAATATAATAAGAAAATGACAGAATTAGGTGATAGACTTTTAGATGCTAATAAAGACAATAGAGATGATGCAATTACTTGCTACTTAGCTGGTTCTGCTTTAGATAAAATAGCTAATCTTTGGTTACAAGAATTACCAGCTTTAGAATCAGATCTATTAAAATCAAAATCAAAAGATATTTCTACACCTTCGGAAGCTCGTTTACAAGCATTAACAAATTTTATTGAAAAAATTGCAACCTACAGACATTATTCAAAGACAGAAAGTATTATATCTGGTCCATTAGTAGAACCAATTTCAAAAGCTATATTGGAGTTTGTAAATCTTGTAGCTGGCACTGGTGAATTCGATTTAGCTAGTAAATTTTTACAATTATTACCTAGTGAATTTGCAGGTGTTGAAAAAGAAAGAATTTTAAAAGCTACTGGTAAAGATGTTACCAAATCTACAGCTAAATCAAAAACAGAATCAAAAGCATTACCTAAAACATTACCAAAAAAGACAGCACATCCAAGTGGTTCAAATCCTTCTGTACCTCAAGCACAATATCAACAACCACAACAATACGCAACACAACAGCAGTATCAACAACCTCACCAATATCAACCACCACAACAATATCAACAACAACAACAACAATATAGTAGATCATCATCAATTCCTCAAATTCCACCTGTTGCTCAACAACCACCAATTTCACAGCCTATCAACAACTATCCAACTGCTGCCCCAAAATCTAATCCATACGCCAAATCAAATCCATATGCACCATCAAACATTTACAAAGCTGCATCACCAGTTGCTACACCAGCGGCTAGCCAATTAAATATCGGAGTTCCTCCTCCACCTCCAGGTGGATCTAAATCTAAACTGCAAACCGAGGGTTGGAACGATTTACCTGATTCATTCAAAACAAAAGCTAGTGCTCCACGTAGACCAGCTGCTGCTGTTGCAGGTGCTCCATCTACACCATCTCCAGCTCCAATATCTTCTCATCCTAGTCAAACTAACATCAACTCATTTGGTCCACCAAAAAGAAACATCTCAACAAACAATGTAGCTCCTCCACCACCAAAAACTGCAAGTCGTTCAGTATCAAAATCATCTATACCAACACAATCACAATCTGTTTCATCACCAAAGCCACAACCATCAAGTAAATATGCACCACCACCAGGAGCTGAACCATCTGTACCAACTCCTGGATTTACTGCACCACCAACAGCAACTGCATCACCTCGTGCAGCTAAGAAAAATCCATATGCTCCAACAACTGAAAATATACCATCTAAAGTTACTTACGCATCTCCACCAGCTCAACTGATTTCAAATGGACCTCCAAGTCATATAGCTATGCCACCAAAAAATCCTTATGCACCAGGACCAGCATTTACACCAACTAAAGGAATTGCATTACCAGAAAATAATTTTGGATCTGCACCACCACCTCAATTACCTTTTGGAACTTCCATGGCAACTCCGGTTCAACCAGCTTTCAGTGGTGTTCCTCCTCCACCTCCTCCAACTGGACCATCAATTAGAAACCAACCTCCTGCAACACCTACTGCACAAACCTCACAAACTCAAACACCAGCACCTGAACCAGTTAGCACCAAACATCCTAAAGGTGATAGATCTCATATCCCTGAAGATTCATTACCAATCTATCAATCATTAAGTAAAGTAGTTGAAGCAATTAAACCAAATATACCAGAAAAATATGCAAGACATGGAGCAGATATGGAACAAAGATTAAATATTTTATTTGATCATTTAAATAATGAAGAAATTAGTAAATCATTAATTACATCATTAACTCAAGTAAGTTCAAGTTTAGAACAAAAAGATTTTGATCAAGCAAAAGCTTTAAATGTTGAAGTTGCAACTAATTTTAGTGATGAATTAGGTAATTGGCATACAGGAATAAAACGTTTAATTACAATGGCTGAAGCAATGTATTAAAGAGAATTTTGAAAAAGTTTTAAGTAAGAAGTTTAAAAATTTACCATTATAAACTCTATAAGTTTTAATAAATAATATAAATTTTGTCTATTATTACAATAAATATAATTATAAATGTAAGAAATGTCTAATCTAAAAATATCGTTTTCTATTCGTTTCTTTTTAATAAAACACAATCTCAGCTAATTTTGCACCACCATAATCATCTTCAATTGGGATAGTATTATGAATATTTTCAACTTCAAGTAATAAAAATCTACTTTGAATTTCTAAATCTAATATAGTAACATTATGTCTAGTTGGTACCATAACTTCATTATTTTCTTGTTCAGAAAAAGGTTCACTTATACCAACATCATTAGAATGTATTTCTTCAAATATTTCACTTTGATTAAAAATTTTTTCATCTGGATTTGCAAATTTATAATTTTTATATAATTTATTACCAAAATCAACTTTTGATAAGAAATCAGTTACAGTATTAAATTTTGAACCAACATATTTTAATAATTTCATTGTTTTTGGTGGTCTATCACCCCAATTAAAAACAACACTTGAAATATTTTTAAAAGAATGAAGATCAATTAATACTTTTCCTACTGTATCATTATACCTTACTTGCCAACGAGTTGTATTGTCTCCATCATTCATTGAAAATGACGAATCACCTGGTGCTCCTTCAGTAATATTGTAAAAAGTAGCATCTTCACATTCAGATATACTATCAGGAAAGCTTTTTGAAGGTTGGAATAATGGAAATGTTAATGATTCATTATCTTTAAGGGTATAAGTTCCAGCTTTGGCGTTTCTATCAGCTATTGAGATTGTTATGTGATCGTTTGCATTGTTATTGATTTTACCATCATTTCGTATTATAAAATTAGTAGATGTTAAATTAAATGATAAAGTGTGATTGTCATAATGTATTGAGTTGTACCTTACTCCTTCACCTAAACATGGTACAGCAATTGGATCAAAATGCAAAATTCTTGAAATCTTGTTATCATTAACTTCGTATGTGTGTCTCATACCAGTCAAACCTTGTAATAAAGCTTGTAAAAAACCACCATGAGCAGTTAAGAATGGGAAAGCAGGATGAGTACCACCATTTTTATTATAATCATCATTATTTTGTTCTGAAAATTGGGCAAAAGGACCTCTCAAATATGGTTGTATAGCTTTATGCAAATAAGATTGTGATGCACATCCAGTATTTGCTAAATTTGAAGCAACTACTGAAAAAATTGAAAATGTCATTGCTGGTCCATAGCTCACTTGTTTTGTTGAATAAAATTCCATATTTACATATGCTTGCTCTGAATCTATAAGGTTGTTTTCCAATGGGTAAGTAAGCATAATTACATCAGCTTGTTTTATACCAACTGAAGAATTCATTCCTGAATATTCTAACGTTACATTTTGAGAATTGTCTGCTGTTGGTAAATACATTTTCTCTGAAATATCTTTATAAATATTAGGAACTTCTTCTCCTAAATGATCTGCTATAACGTTAACCCAATCCATCAATAATGAAATTCCAGAATTGGTATAAGCACCATTATCGACATGATTTGCATATTCATCAGGATCAGTAAGATTGTGAGTCACGTATTTATCTAATGTTTCATTATATTTTGTTAAATAACCCGAAAGAAATTTAGCAGCATCATTAACTATAGGAAATGCAACTTCTCTTAAATAATTATCATCTGCTGCCCCACTCAAGTACAATTGCCATGCCGCCAACGCTATGTTGTTATTGATATGATATTCGTAATCTAAACATGGTCCAGTAGCTGTACAATTACCAAATCTACCACTTGTCCATGGGTATACAGCACCATCATAACCTTCAGGTACATTTTTTATAGCTTGATCTCTAGTATGCATTCTATAATTCACTATACTTCTAGCATGATTTGGATTCATGGGTAAAATTGCTTTAAACATCCAAAGATCTGTATCCCAAAATACCATACCACCATAACTATCAGAACTGAGCCCTCCTACACCTAAAGCTCCAGTCAAACCCTCAGCATTAGGTCTTGAATTTGCTAATAAATGATATATAGAAGCTTTAGCACCAAGGTTAAGTAATGGATCTTCAGGAACTTCAATGATTGGATAATCACCTAATTTTTCATCCCAAGCACTAATATGCGAATTCAATAAATCATCTGGATCTTGTTGTGAGACCTTTTTGGCAAACCCTAAAACATCATCAACCCCTAAATCAGATGATACAATCCCAACTGTTTTGGAAACTTTAATATAACCTAAAGGATCAAGTTCTATGGAAGATATTTGCTGTGCTTTACTACTGGTTGTTTTGAAGTTATCAATATGCAATTTGGAATAAATGGCACCACGAACGTAGTCTAGGTTAATGGGCAGGAAAGTAATATAAATACCAGATTCATCATGTCCAATTGTATTTAATTCACACCTCTGAGCAGAGTCAAAGTCCAATTCGTCAATAATCAGTACCAGAACTGTATCATTTATTTTATTTTGTATAGCTACATCAACATAACCCAAATTTATTTCACTTCTATGAGCCAAAACTGTATATTTAACCTCCAATGTATCAAGCCAGGTGAATTGTGTTGTGACTATTCCATTTGACAAAGACATATTCTGTACATAATTTGTGATGTTTTGTTGTTGTTGGCTTGGATCTAAAGTATAATTCTTACCATCAACGTCTATCTGCAATCTCAAAGTTGTCCATTGAGGTATAGCTGATATTATACTTTCATATCCATTTTGTAAAAGTTCAGGAAAATTGGTCCCAGTTGTGTTTTCTTGAATATCATAAAATCCGGCAATGAATGCACCTGCGTATCTCTTATCGAATAATGGCCAACCATTATATAGATCTTCTTCGTTTGAATTTTTTCCCAATTGATCATAAGTAAAACCTTGTCCTAAATTGGGTATCCTACTTCCTATATAACCATTTGCAACATATGGTTGTTTTTGATACTGATTTGCTTCTGGAAACTCGATGGTTCCAACAACATTTAATTCTTTATCATAAAATGCATTTTCAGAATATTTCAATTGACTAAAAATTTGTTTATTTTCAAAACTATTCACGAGATCTCTTAAATTATTATGATAATTGGTATCTATTAATGAATTTTTTTCGATCTTGGATATTATAGAAGGATATGCTTCACAAAATTTTGAATTCAATAAATATAAATTATAAAATAAAATCAAATTTGCAATTATTGTCATTATTATTATAATAACTCTATTCTTAAAAAAATATTGAACTGAACTTTGTTGTTGTTTTTCATTAAAATTTATCACATTCTTGCCATAATTCATACTATTTTAATCATATATATATATATTATGTGTATTTGTGAAGGGAAAGTCTAAATTGGAAAATGTATGATGATGATGAATTTGGAACAATAACAATAGAAAATTGAAAAATAAAAAAAGCACTCTAAATTGTTCTAAAGTAAACTGAAGTCAGTCGTTGTAATAATGCAAGTGAATTAATGAATGAATTTTAGCAATTGAGCTTAAATAGTTTTAGCTTATTAAATTTAAGGTTGATATTTATTTGGGTCAATTGATATTTAAATTAGGCAACTCAAAGATCTCTGATGGATTTAATTTTGTAACCAAATTATACTAAAATCGTAATATTATTTTATGAATACATGGAGTAAGACAAATTCAAAGAGAAACACAATGTGCAGAGTACGTCAACCCCCACAGATGGTAACAGGATGGGGAAATCATAGACGAATTTGTACTCATGACCTTTGTGTATGTTGGATATAATAACCATTCAACTTTCTCCAATAGTTAATTAATAAACAAACACTTGAGTTTCAAGAAATTGCTATTAATACTTTTTGTGTGATGTTTATCATTCTTATACTAGGAACACAAAGAGACATCTGAAATCTATGCAATTAAAGTTTTGGTCAGAATTTTTACATGAGGAGTAACAATTGGTTAGAAACCAAATACTGTAAACGGGGACTAATAATATATCCGAAGAATTAAAAGAGATTTTGAAAGCTCCTACTGCGGAGTTGTAAGTCAATTACTCCGAAAGATATCATGTTTATTCAACCGTTAAACGTTTCATTAAAATTGTATTTCTATACTTCGTCTTTATCTAAATCTGTATGATAATCATCTTCATCATATTCACTTGGCTCTCTTATTACCAATGGAACAAATTCCTTTTTAGCTTCATCTTTTTCCATTCGGAATCTCTTACTGAAAAATATTAAACTTGTTACAAATAATGATGCAAATAAAGTAATTAAACCCCATCTTGATAAATACCACCTTAAACTTTCAATTTCAGATCTTATATGAGAATCTAATTCAGTTGTAATTTTATGATTTGTTTCTTGAATTCTTAAATATAATTTTTTAACATTTAAAGTATTATCAGATTTTTGTTCTTCAATTGCAACTTTTGAATCATTTTTCAACTTTAAATAATCATTATTTAGTTCATCTGTTATTATATTGAAATCTCTTTCCAAAATATTGACTAACGTAATCAACTCATTAACATGTTGTTCCCTACTTCTTGTTATATCTACACGTATTTCTTGTTGTGCACTCTCAAATAAATATTGTTCACTTTCCAATTCATATTTTTGAGCATAGATTGTTGATAGCTTGGATAATTTAGAATTTAATTGATAAATTAATAAATGTATTATTTGATCACTTTGTTCATCTGTAAATCCAGCTTCCTTTAATCTTGAATATACTTTGTAAGTATCCAAATATGGTTCTAAATTATCAAAAATTGTTGTCAAAAATTCATCTTGACTTGATCCTTCTGGTATTATTTTAGCATCACCTGGTTTTATCTTATCATTCAACTCGTTATGTATTATTTGTAAATGTGGTGTATCTTTAACCTTTCCAGAATCCGTAGTGCTTTGATGCTGATTGGTGTTTAGTGACTTGCTCTGATTGGAATCTTTCGGTGTCGGTGGTGATTTACCTCTGATTATTTCCTGATGTAACGTCAAGTGCTGAGAAAACCGTCGTATCGATGTCGTTTGATATGATATATGAGATATAGTTGTTGAGTTGCATAACCTTGAAGAATTGAAATATATGCTATACAACCTTGCTATGCATTGTTTCATTACTGACTATGTGCAGTTAGTTAAATCGTGTTTGATATTGAAGAAAAGGGACGTGTTTGATATTTGATACTGCTCTTGAAGATAATAAAAGAAAATAAAACTACAGATTATTTGACCTAAAGAATACAGCAATAAAATTTGTTTACGGCAATACTAAGCGAACTAAAATTAGAAAATATGAAACATTCTGAAAGAAGCTACCAACAGCCTCATTACTTTAGCCAGTGACTTGAGTTGTTTCATCAGCTGGTAAGTTGAAAGGGTATTCTAAAGCATAATGATATAAGCTTCTTGAAAAAAAATTGAATCCAAATTTTATATGTGAAAAATAAACAATAGTTGATGAATTTTGATGTTTGTATTCTTCGTCAATACAAGCAAATCCTTCTAATTGATTTTTCATACCACGATCATGATTTGCACCAATAAGCAAATCAGGAGTAGATGGAAATTCTGTTCCAAAAATTTCATCTTCAGGTTTCAAATCTGCTTTATTTGATATAATGTTAAATTTAACATCTCTGAGTCTAATATCACACAAATTAACGAACAAGGTTCTTTGATTTTCATAGCCACTTATAATGTCTGCCACAGTAACTTCATTATTAGGCTGATTGGGAACATAATCTTCTTCATAAACAACATATTTCATTTTAGTGATTGTATTAACTAAAACAATTTTAGGTAGTGTTTCTTTAAATTTTTTCAATTCTTGAGCATCAAAAGTATTTTTAATTGATACCAATTCAACTAAAATTGCATTTTTAATAGTATCTAAAAAACTAGTTTCTCCAGTTTGCCAACATTTTGCAGTCTTTTCATAAATTGTAATATTTAAAATAGAAGGAACCAAACAACACCATGTGATAAATTTTCCAATTTCTCTTAATAATCTAGTTCTTTCAGCATCATCATGAGACCTAACTTGTGTGAAATATTCATTTCTTATAGCTAAAGAATATTGAACTTTTTTTTTATCTGGAATTTTAATATTCCTATCTGAATCTAAAAATGGTTTAGGTAATTCAGGAGGAGGAGCAATCATAACATAATCTGAGTGTAAAATCAAACCTATTGACTTTGGAGTGTTAGTCTGAGGTATGTGTAGCATGCAATTTTTTAAACCAGATGGAGTACCTGATCTGGGGTAATAAATTTTCCACAACAAAGTTGGAATGGACCAAACCAATTCCCAGTAGTAAACAATTTGTGTAATGAAACTTTGAAAAAAACGTTGTTCTGGTTCCCTTTTGTAATCATGAACTCTATAATTAAAGTCGAAATTAAAAATTCTCAATAACTCCACAGAATTTACAACAAATTGATGTAACCAAAATAAAACAAAATAATAAAATATAATATAATTCAAAATAATTTTATGAAAATGAGCTCTGAATACGTCATATGTAGAATATATTTCTTTACCAGAATCTAAACCATGATTGTAAGCTGAAATAAAACCAAAATTTGTTGCTGGAATTGCGCTGAAATCTTGTACTCCAACTATGCTTTCGTGCAAGATCTTTTTTTCTTTTCTCTTTCTTAGCATCATCTTGAATGGATGGTTTAATGAGTGGTGAATATGGTCGTTTACTATCGATTGACGATGCTTTATGAAAGGAAGAAAAAGTGTTGCAAAAAAAATCAAATTAAATTTGTGTAGTACAATTAAGTATTAATTTTGTGTAACATTCCTATACATTTCAGGAAGTATGCTAAACGAGTTTTTATAAGGGAATAACCATAAACACTTACTTAGTTACGTTGGGTTTTGAATCTTTTGTACAGAACCAGGTGATCCTGCTTGATTTGAAGCAATTCCTCCCGTACTTGAGTTTAATCCAACTTCGGGTATCAATGAAGTATGAATATTCATGGCATATACAGTCATAAACATTACAATGATATGTAAACCCAAACAATATGCAAAGAAAATCATCCTTGTACCTCTCGTAGCAAGAACAGCCCTTGTCAATGAAATAAATAATCTTTCTAACGGAGATAATCTGGAACTTATTCTTTCTTGTTCTTTTTGTCTAAATTGTTCGATTGGATGTAACTTATTTTCATAATTCCTTTGATATTCGATTTGATGATTACTCTCTAAATCTATGTTATTATTTGGTTTAGGATTCAATAGCTTTCTACCTGATGAAGTTGTTGTTATATTTTTGAATCCTGGTGTTTGGAAAGATTGCAAGTATCTACTACGTTCATATAATTCTTCATTATCTTGTTTTAATGACTTAATTTGTCTTTTCATATCATTTACTTGATTTATTTGTTTCCTTAATTCATCTTCCAACTCATTATTTTTCTCCCTAAACCTATCTCTTTGTTTAGTAATAATTGGTAAGATAGATGATGATTCATCTAATGATGAAAAGGCTCCTTGACCAGATGAACCTGAAATTATACTGCCATTCCTTATGTTCGCTGGTCTCGTCATTCTACTTATTCCTGATATTAAACTCGAATTGTCATTGAATTTGTTTTGATTAGAATCTTGATAATCTGCTAAGTCATTTTCAAGTTTATTGTTTAATTCCTTTAATGAAGTAATAATTTGATTTGAAGAATTTAGTTGTTGTTCGAGATTGTCTATTCTGGTATGCAAGTCTACATGTTGAGACCTGTACTTGGCTAATTCATGAGTCATAGCTTTATTTCTTTCTATGACTATGGAGTCTATTTTCACATTATTCTCTTCAATTCCATCTCCTTGGTCTTCCTCGTGCCCGAACTCTATTTGTCTTAATAATTGTAATTCATGCTTGATTTCTTCATAGTCTGAAGTTTTATTTAGTTTATTTTTCAAATTGCTAATTTCTTGAACCATTTGTGAATTTTCTCGATTAATTAAATCTAGCTTTGATTCATTTAAATTTGAAGTTTCAGCCAATTGTTTTCTTAATTGTTCAACATTTGCAACAAGTAGGATATTTTCGCTTTCCATTTCATTAATCCTTTTATCACATTCACTCTTTATGATGTCAATATTACTATCAGTTTTTGATTTTGATATTTCCCTTCGTAATTCTTCATTCCTTTTTTCCAAATCAAAAATCCTTTTTTTAGACAGCTCCGCATCTCTTCTTACCATATCCAATTCTGCCATCACGGAAGCTGAACTATTTTCATTATTATCAGATTGACCCCTGTTCTGGTTATCCAATTGAAGCTCAGTTACTTCTTTAGATGCTCTCATTTCTTCAATTTGTTTTTGGGCTGTGCTCAATCTATCCTCGTATTGCTTACTTTTCTGCTGCCAGTTATTTTCTTTCTCTTCCATAATAGACTTGATCTCATTTTCTTTTGCTTTCAATTTTGAACTCAATAGTTCAGCCGATTTTTGTTCATTCAGTAGTAATCTTTGTTTCAATTGATCATAATCTGCCTTTTTGGCCAACTCTTCTTGTAATGAGGTTACCTCAGATCTTAGTTGTATAACATTTTTACTTTCTATTACCGAGTCTAATGACATTTCTAATAAAGGTTTTGGATCAGGTGCTTCTGATATTAATCTATATGTTCCAAAGAAATAATTCTCGACATTTTTGTTTTTATTGGTCAATGAATCAATTTCATTTTGATATAGCTTTAATAACGTCTTGAATTGGTCTAATTTTTCTGAGTCTTCTAGTTTTTTGAATTCCTTTGTCTTGTTGGCTAAGTGTTTCCTACTTACTAAACTCGATTTTTGAGATTCTTTGATTTCAAGCCCTTGTTCATCCATTCGTTTTTGTAATGTCGGTAAATCTATTTCAATCCACGTCTGTAAGGCATTTCCAAATACGTTTGACTTTGAATCATCGTGGTTGCTCTCTGGTTGCAGATTTGTGACCATTATTTGACATTAATCGAACTAATTTGATGTTACCTTTTTCGGTATTGTTTTAATTTTTCCTTGCACCAAATTAATACTTACTCGCATCAACTCAAAGAATTAGTATAAAGAGTGATGAATTAGACTACAAGATTAAAAAGCTCTACAATAATCTGACTATATGTTCTTCGTTTAAGTGTGCATTAACTTATACTGTAAAAAAAATTATTAACAAATAAGTGAAACAGTTGTTTTGGTTTGATATATACTTGTAAATGATGATAGTATGATATAGTTTAAATGAAAGTTTCATATGGAACTGGAGCTAAAGTTTGAGGAATGTTTTCAGTTGCAACAACAACTCTAGCTTCTCTTGGTTTAGCGGCAGCTCTTTTTAAGTTAACATGTTCACCGTTGGCTTTAGCTTCTCTTTTTTTAGCAGCATTTGATTTGACTCTGTTTAAAAATTCTTGACGACAAGCTGAGTGTTTAACATGTTCAACTCTTAAGTTTACTCTTTTTTCAATATATCTGTTTCCAACAACTTTGTTAATGATGACACCAACTGATGATTTGGTAACATTGTATACAATACCAGTTTTACCATGGTAGTATTTGTGTGGCATACCTTTTTGGATTGAACCATTGGCTTTTATATCAACTATATCACCGACTTTGTAAACTTTTAAGTAGGTTGATAATGGGATAGCACCATGTTTTTTGAAATCCCTTTGGAAAGCGTATCTTGTTCCTGATCTGTAACCACGACTATAATGAAAGTTAGTATTTGAAAGGACTTATAGGGTCTTGAGAGTGAAAAGTGATAGTAAACTCTTATTCCTTTTGAACTCGTCTCATTTGTAATGCTTGTAAATGTAGTCTGTATTTATTCTTGATGAAAGTCACACTCTTTCTTGAAAGTGATGGATTGATATGTTCATTTTAACATCTGAACTATCTGCTTCTCTTCATAAGGGTTGGTATATCAATGAGTTTGGTGGATTTCATGAAATTTTGTTGATCCAAACTTGACAGTGCAAAATGACTTCCTGCTGTTATAACAATGCCCGTCTTTCTTAATTATCCTCTATCCATTGTCTTAACTCTCTCATTTCACGATTCATATATTCACATACGATTTACCCATTTTTGTATATAGTTATTTAGTTGATAATGTATTGATTAACTTTTTTCAAAAAAAAAATTTCAATATTTTTTCAGTATGTGTAAGTGAGTTCCCATTTACCTAATAAAAATTTACTAGTGCGGTTTTTGTACTATTACAAATTTACTTGGGCGGAAAAAATCAATTTAGTACCAATATATGAGTTTTGTGCAACAATACACTTTTGGTAGCAAACAAAACTTATGTTTATAGCCCTATTCAAATTTAGTACACGTGAAACCCAATCAGAAATCAGAGTTGGATAACATCGTTAGTCATCAGTGAAGTCAATAGAGGATGTAGACCAAGTAGAGTCTAGTTGAAACCCAATTAAATGTATTCTTAATATATCCAATTTAATATATAAGCTATTAATTTACATGTAAAAATTTAAAATTATTAAAAAAAACCCAAAAAGGAAGATGAAAGAATGAAAGATTGATGACTCGACTAATCAATTTATTCTTCTTCTTCTCCGTCAGCACCTTCTTCAGAGCTTTTCTTTTGAGATTTTCTCTTATTTCTACCTGGTCTTCCACCACCGTATGGAGAAGTTGGAGCAAAATCAATATGTTTTTGTGAATCTAATCTAACGGTGAATGATGGAACATTGACAATTTGTCTTCCAACAGCAATGTGTCTTTGTGAAATTAAAACTCTAGCGTGATGGATTGATCTAGCTAAACCTAATTTGAAAACTTGAGTTTGTAATCTTCTTTCTAAGAAATCTTCAATTCTTAAAGCTAAGACATAATCTAATTTCATTTTATCTTCTGATAAAACACCAACTCTGACTAATCTTCTAATTAAAGCATTACCTTCGAATAATCTTTTGGTATCTTTTTCGTCTCTGGTTAATAAATCACGAGCAGCTCTTCTAATTTTTGATAATTGAAAACCAATTCTGTAGATTTCTCTTTTGTTTTTTAAACCGTATTCACCAGCTAATTTTAATTCAGCATCTAAACGAGCTGATTCGTATGGTCTAGCTGGGGTTGAGTAGGTTTTTGAGTAAGTTCTTGGAGCACCTGAAGAAAAATAAAGTTAGAATCAAAGTTTTAAAATAACTTAGATCATTAGAGTTGAATTAATGAATAGTCCTACACTTTCCGATATTCGATTAGTCAAAACTAAAATGCAATTACAAAACCTTTAATCATTAAAACAAATTGGTAAACTAGTAGTCAATGAATTAATTCGTGCTAGATGAATATTCCACTGTACATACCAATCAATCGTAAGCTTCTCAGCCCATTGAATAACTTGGTATGTCCAATTTTAACATCTTCTAGATCTGAATCAAAATAACTCATGATAAGTTCATCCATTATAGTTCATAATGTTCTTTCTGTAACTGAAGTGTCGGGAATTCAGAAACATCAAAAATTAAAAGGTTTTTAGCATTCTATGATTTCGATAAATGAATCAAAGAAAGGAGGACCCGAACCCCAACGATCAGGAAGCACTTTTTAAAATATTGAATATTTTGAAGTAAAATTTTCATATTCTCAAAGTTCTGAAATCGTTCAATATAAGGTTGTCATTAAAACAACTGGCTTTTGGATTAAGCCAACATGAAAGTTATTGCATATTAAACATACGTGGCATATTAAACTAAATAATGTGGTTGATGAGATGGATGTGTAAAAGAAGAAAGTGAAAATGGTGTAAACTATTTGAAAATTTAAAACAAAAAAAGATTAAGTGAAAAATTTTGTAAATGTTTGTATACAGGCTCAGCTTCAAATGGTAGCTTAAAATATTTCAACAAGTGAAATATGGATTCCTGACAAAAAACCTTTGTAATCAAGATTATCCTTCGAGGTGGGGCATTAGAATATTAAGGAGAGCACAAGATTTTCATTTGAACTCGACCTTAAAGATACGGGGTTGAATATACTTGTCTATTGAGCTTGCCTTTTACTATCAGGCTGAAGAAACGGTCGAGTTAGGATTGAGAGAGACCAATTCATATAGTAGATAAATATCTCGAATTTGAGAGGTATTTTAGAGCTGGTAGGAACAAAGTAATTTAAAGTAGAAATCAAACGAGTACGTTCAAAATTAGAATCATCATTACGACTTATCGATATGGACTTTGAATCTTCCAACAAAAGATCTAGGGAAGAATTTGAAGGACCCAATGATATTGGTCACAACTTTCAGCAGCCAAAATCTCACTCCGACTTTGATTCAAAAAGACAAAGAATTGATCCAGCTCAGGAATTAATAAATAATGTTTGTAAAGATATCAGAAGATTAGGTGAAAATCCAAGTGTTAGTACTCAAGTTGAAGATGTTAATTATATATCCAATCCAATAGTGGCCGAATTCGAAAAAATTGATAATTTGAGAAACTCGATTTTATCTACACTTTATGCATTAATCATTGAACAACCACATAAGATTAATGCAGTAGCAAATTTAGTATTTATATGTAATTCAAAAAATTTCGTAATAGCCAAATATGTTGTGGAGTATTTACACGGAAAAGTACAATTATTATTAGACTCAATTGGTGGAAATGATAATGTTATAAAAGAAAACGCTGGAGTTTTTAATAATATCAAGAGTATATTGAAATTTTTTGGTGCAATATCTCCTATAATTGATGACTATTCTACTATCAATATTTTCAAACAATTTTTACAATTTTCTATTGATTTACAGCAGAATTCAAAGAAGAGAAATGGAATAGCACAAGAAATTTTTTATAATGTGTTAATTGCAACACCTTATTTATTGAGTAATGACAAAAGCGAAGAATTACATGGATATTTGAATGATTTAATAGAGTTGGCAGATCAGTTTGTTATAATTGAGCCTGAAACAAACAAAATGCTTCAACCTTTTGACTCAAAAATGGATAATTTGGAAATTCCATACCAGCCAAAAAAGATGATTGATTTGATACTACCAGCATTGAAGAAGTTACAAAAAGAAGATTGGCAATTAAATCTCTTTTTGGACTTTGAACCATTTCTCGAACCAGTGATAAAGAATGCGTTAGAAACAAATTCTATCTCAAAAGATTTGATTAAACATAAATTACCACAATTTTCATTACCGACGATAGAGAAAATGAATGACTACAAACCTAGAAATGAGGAAAATATTGATCGTTTATGGCAACAAAATGTAAGGGTTTTATTTCAAGTTTATAATCAAAATACCGATTTCGAAACTGTACCACCTATTGAGTCGTATATGGGTTTATTTTTCAAAGACTTATCATTCGATATTTTAACTAATTTGTCTTTCAATAAAAATGAAGCTTCAATCCAATTATCCATCTTGGATTTATTTTTTAATAAAGATTTGTTTGCACCAATGGGTACTTCCATTGATCAATTATCAGTCATTTATGAAGATAACAAAACAGGACAGAACAACCCAACATTATCTACTTGGAAAATTGAGGATATAGCAGTTGAGAGTATATTAACAATGATTTTCCAATTGCCAAGAACGCTACATAGAGAAATTTATTATTATACAGTATTGATTGCATGTTGTAAAGAAAGTCCTGAATCGATGGCCCCAGTTTTTGGAAGAGCTATTAGATATTTTTATAATAATTTACAAACTTTAGATTATGAATTAAAAATCAGATTCTTGGATTGGATGACTACACAAATTTCTAATTTTGAGTTTAGTTGGAAATGGGATGAATGGGTCAAAGATTCACAAGAATTCTCACAATTAAAATATCATCCAAAAAAGAATTTTATTAAAAACTTGATAGCAAAAGAAATCAGATTATCAAACAAAAGAAAAATTAAAGATAGTTTCGTGGATGTAGTGGACGATGATGTAGTTAATTTTGATGAATTTTATCAATACTTGGATATCTCCATGTTCCCAAATGTTAAAGAATATATTATTGATTATGATTCAAATCTATACGGTAATTCTCCAGAGATTAGGGAGAAACTTTTAGAAATTTATGATCAAAAACAGCTAGCTTTACAGCAGAAAAGCTTGGTCAGTTTTCAAGAAGAATTATTTTATAATTTCACAAATCCAGAATTACCTTTGAGTGATGTTGGATCTAAAGTATATGAATTCATTGTATCTCATCACAAAACAGATAAAGAATTTAACGAATTGTTTAATTCAATAATAGAAAATATCAACACTTTCAATGAAAGTTCATCGACTCAAATACTGAATCCTTTGAAATTTGCCATAAACTTAGTTTTCCAAACATATGCATATATTGGTTCAAGATCAATTTATTCAGAGGTAAGTATTTTAAGTAGAGACGTGGAAAAATTGAAATTTTTAAGTGGTGCACCATTAAGTAATAAATCTAAAGAAGATTTTATGGATGTAGATTTATCAGAGAATGAAATCGCAGATAGGCAAAATTGGATTATTGATTCTATATTTAGAATTTGGATTCATCAACCTCAAGTAGTATTTATAATTTTGGAAAATTTAATTGAATTTGGAATAATAAAATCATCTTATGTTATAGCTAAGGCTTTCAAGTCGAATCTTATAATTGATAATGTATCATGTATGGAATCAATGAACAGAATATTGGAAAATTCACAATCATCATCTCCATCTGATATAAAAGATTTGATTCATCAATTGTTTTCAATAATAGTCACAAATTTGAACCAATTAGAATTGGGTGTAGACGATGTGGTCAAAATTGATGAATTAGAGGAAAGTAATGCAGCAGAAGTGGATAAACAATGGTTGTTTTATGAATATTTAGGTTTATTGAAAACATACTTTAGAAAATTTATAAAGAATGAAAATCTCGATGAAAAATATTTGGATGATATAAAAACAATTTTCAATGATTTGGAAAATATTCCTACTAGGATTGATATTTTGTCATGGTTCAATGAAATTAGCTAGATTGTAGCTGTTACTATAATGTTTGAGATTTTAAAAAAAAAGTATGAATGTATACTAGATGTAGTAATATATAAAAGTTTATCTTACGTTTAACAGCGGAATTTGATTTTGTTGACTTCAAGTTGAAATTCAAGATTTGTACAATGAAACTTGTTGATGAAATTTGAAACTTATGAGTGAAAGATGAAACAGAAGTTAAAATCAGAAAGTTACACAAAAACGAAATATATCGATTAATCAAATTTCACATTATCACACCACACAAATCACTATTTATGAAATTATTTGCATCTTCACTCCTTAATTCGTTGATCCAGGATTATGACTATCGAGAACCACAAGAATGATACATCATTGGCCATAGAGGTGAAAGACTTGACGTATGAATTTCCTCGAAGCAATTCCGCAACCAGTCCTAAGATAGGGTTACAAGATATAAATTTATCTATCAATTGGTCAAACAGCGTTTTATTGGTTGGGCCAAATGGTAGTGGGAAATCAACTTTACTACGTATACTAGCTGGTAAAACTCTTATTAAAAAAGGACAATTAAAATTAGGAGGGTTTGATCCATTTGAGTTTTCAACTAAAACAAAACATCATAATTCTGATATTAATAATTACATCACTTACTTGGGAACTGAATGGATTACTAATTCAGTCATTAAAAGAGATATACCAGTGAATCTTTTATTAAGTTCAATTGGTGGTGATTTATATTTAGCCAGAAGGAATTTATTAATTGAAATTCTAGATATTGATCCAAGCTGGTCAATGATAAATTTATCAGATGGAGAAAGAAGACGAGTTCAAATAGCAATGGGATTAATTAAACCTTGGAAATTATTATTATTGGACGAAGTGACGATAGATCTAGATGTAGTGGTGAGATCAAAACTATTAAATTATTTAAAAAACGAATGTAATGAAAGAAATTGTACAGTTGTATATGCTACTCATATCTTTGATGGATTAGGAAATGAATGGTGTGATCGATTGCTACATTTAAATTCTGGGCAGATTGTAAATGATGTCCAAATGAATAAAATCAAATTTGAATCTAATCTTGATAAAGATGTTGATGAGAAAGATGATAACGAAACGATAATCATAAAAAAATCAAGTACATTGCATCCATTGGCCTTGTATTGGCTTAATAAAGATTTGGAAGAAAGAGGACTGAGAGAAGATGAGAAATTGAAAATGGCTAAAAGACATAATGATTGGAAAAATTCAAGAGATGGACATTATTTTGATGCCAATGAAGATAAATTGAAAACATATTTCAAAAACACGAGGAGTGATAAATAACCTTTCAAGACTTTTCTAATGATATTTAATTCAGAATTTAGTCAAATAAGTAATTCGTTAGTTCTATAAGCCTGCCTCAATTTCAAATTTTCTTTCCATTATTAGAAACTCTGTTATTTCTTCCATATCACTCAATTTTTGTTGTGAAATATATAGTTCCATATTTTGTTTAGCTTCCCTTGACGTCAATGCGAACCACTCAGGTTTAGTCTGCTCCGTCATACTTATCAATTCCTCCTTGTTTTCTGACACCTTTTGTAATTTCAATCTTTCTCCTTTGTGTTTTATCGGTGATAAATCTGTTGCATTTAACTCTAACTTGGGTAAATCAAATCTACGTTTTGTATGTTGAGAAGCCAAAGCAATAGTTGGGGTATTAGGCGATCTTTTTTTTGAGTTATTATGATATATTGGTTTTATTGGAGATGTGAATGATTTGGATGATAGTAGGTTATTCGTTTTGAGTGTGTTGATTGATGATTCTTGTAACGGTATGTTTTTTCTATTGATTGAGTTTGATATTGAAGTGGTACTTTGCTTGATGTTGTGATTATCTAATGATTCAAATTCTTTATGTGTAAAAGGTTGAGTGTTTGATCTTTTATTTTGATAATAATTTTCTATGTCTTCCATTATTGATAACGTAGTATTCATTATTTTGTAATCATAATCAAAAAGTATAATATAGGATAGATTTGATATGCCGTTGATAAATGAAAACTAAATCAAATATTGGTTGTAAAATTCAAATTGAAAATAAAATGGTAAAATATTAATAAATGTAAACAAAGTACTTAGTGGTGATAAATCGTATTTTTTGTGTCATGAATAGAATGACATTTTTGTAGACCATATTTCGCGACTCAAATTCTGTCTATCACACTGACTTCAATTTGTAATCGAACTTAGCTAAGGAAACATGTTGAGTTTCCAATTACTAAAAGGGTTTCCTATCGTTATAAAGTATAGTATAGCGTGGAAAAGATGGGTCCAAATATAATAAAACCTTAAAACCCGAAATTTTGCATGATCATCAATATAAATTATTTAAATTTACGCCTCTTTATATATCAGTTTGAGTTACTTTGATTTTGTTTTAAACATGACTTTATAAACTTGTATTCTTATTTTAAAATACGTTGACGTGACATGTGGAATCAATTACTACAGTTTCATAAGTCTATTACGGTTGTATAACATTTATTTTAACTTTTTATTCTAATCAGTTTAATGCTAAATGATTTATCCGTATTCTACTTCGGTAACATTTCTTTTTATTTTTTTTTATCAATTAATTAGGAGGACGTATATTAATATTTCAATATTATCAATATATAATTTACAATTAGAATCAGGACTCACCCTTATTTATTCAACCAATTAACATCTAATACAATTTATACGATCAACAATTCATTCATTAAAGACGTTTTTTACCTCGAACTTCTCAATCTTTCCATACTCTCGAGGAAAGACGTTAATTCATACTTTATCAACAAATTAAATTGATATGTTTAAATTCAAAAATAAGTTGAAATTTGGAACATCAACTGAAAAACAACATCATTCATCAGATTCACAAAATGATTCAACTGGAGCAAACTCATCGACATATGAAGATCATAATGATACCACAGAATCATCAATTAGAGAGTCAAATAACTCAAGAAAAACAGTATCAATAGATAATTTAACTGATGAAGTTAATAAGTTATCGGTAGACAATAGCAATGGAAGACCAAATTCTTCTCAACATAGTAGGAAAAGTTCTGAAAGAAGTACTAAACAAGAAATAAATTCACATCATCAGCAAAATAATGGAAATACAAATAATATTTTACAACCGCCATCAACTGATTCCAATATCACCTCAAATTCATCACAATACAACAATTCACCAGCATCGTCTCAAGCAACCTCTTTAGGTCAAGCATCATCAGTATCAGGGATTGAGGATGTTTCAAATTCCACTTCAAATAGTTCCTCTCCAGGTTTATTGACTGTCAAAATATATGGTTCTCAAAATATTCAATTGCCTATAAAAATAAATAATAATAAACAAATATTACACGCATTAGCAATAAATTCAAATAACGAAAATATTGGACAACAATTGTTAAAAAATTTGGAGAATGTTGCAAAAGAGAATGATGCGGAATATTTACCTGGCGCTTTAGCCACAAAGCTTTTACCTTCAATTATAACTATACCAAATGCTGAAAATTTAGTAAAATCATTACTTTATTTGACTATAGAGTTTGATAATAATGTATTGGTAATTGAACCACAAAAGGGTACGGTCTATCAATCTACATGGAATCAAGTTGTATCATTTGATGTTACTAATAAATCATCAAATAGCAATATCGAATCACAATTTCTCAATTTGAATTTATTTATTAGATTACCAAACATGTTGATACCCGATAGTGAGAAATTGCGTAATAATCAACTATTCACAAATTATCAACAGGATTCAGCTAATCCTAATAGATCAATGTCATCTAATTCTTCAAATACATCTGCATCACCTGTCAATATTGGGGATTTATTAATTGGTACCATTAAATTACCATTAAATCCCAAGTCACACACTCAACAAGTAAGATTGATGCATCATGAATATTTAAATTTCACTAATTATAATGTGAATGGAAACAACAAGGATTCCCACTCAAAAGAAATGGGTGAAATAATGCTTACCATTGAGTTTAAACCACTTAGTAAAAAGCATTTATCAATTGAAGATTTTGACCTATTAAAAGTTATTGGTAAAGGTTCATTTGGTAAAGTTATGCAAGTTGTCAAAAAGGATACAAAACAAATTTATGCTTTAAAGACTTTACGAAAACAACACATTGTATCACGAATGGAAGTAACCCATACTTTGGCAGAACGAACTGTTTTGGCTAGAATCAACAATCCTTTTATTGTACCGTTAAAATTTTCATTCCAATCTCCTGAAAAATTATATTTGGTTTTATCATTCATAAACGGTGGGGAGTTATTTTGGCATCTACAAAGAGAAGGGAAATTTTCCATGGACAGATCAAGATTTTATATAGCTGAATTATTAACAGCATTGGAAAGTTTACATGATTTAAATGTTATCTATAGAGATTTAAAACCAGAAAATATTTTATTAGATTATCAAGGACATATTGCACTTTGTGATTTTGGATTATGTAAATTAAATATGAGTAATGAGGATAAAACGAATACATTTTGTGGGACTCCAGAATATTTAGCACCAGAATTATTATTGAATCAAGGTTATACAAGAAGTGTAGATTGGTGGACTTTAGGTACTTTATTATATGAAATGTTAACTGGATTACCACCATTTTATGATTCAGATTCTTCAACCATGTACAAAAAAATTTTACAAAATCCTTTAAGGTTCCCACCATTTTTAGAAGGAACAGACGCTCAAGATCTTTTAATTAAATTATTACAAAAAGATCCACTGCAAAGATTAGATGATGCACAAGAAATAAAAAATCATTCATTTTTTAAAGATATAGATTGGAATAAATTATTAAATAAAAGTTATTTACCTCCTTTTAAACCAAATGTTGAAAATTTATTAGATACTTCAAATTTTGATCAAGATTTTACAAATGAAAAACCTCAAGATTCTGTTGTTGATGATTTTTTAACTGAAAGTGTTCAAAAACAATTTGGAGGTTGGACTTATAATGGTGACAATATGCTTTAGACGCTTGCGGAAATCTGCGATTGTTGATTAGATGCTTTACATATTAATGAATAGGATAGACTCCTGAGCTTAGACAAATCATGTACTCTTTTTGTTAACCGCAAACATCCGTTGGCTGGAAATACCCGTCTCCGTCCGTATCACATCTGTTACAAGGATCCTTTAATCTCTAAATGGTTTCTCATTGAAAAGTCATTTTGTAGTTCAAGCAATTTTACATGTTGAGTCAATTCAATGATTATTAGCAGCATTATGATAAGTAGCACCGCTAGCTCCAGGAAAACTCAGTTGGATTTTAGTCTTTTGAGAAGTATGACCTTTATTTATATTCGGTTTTGAGTTGACTGCACTAAATTCACCACGTGCCATTTTGGCTTGTTGATTTTGTTTAAACTCTTGATATTGAGGATTTAAATGTTCTGGAGGTGAATAATTAATGTTTACTAAATCTGGTTGGATTTTGTAAACATTTGGATCTTGCATCGGATCTGGTTGGTAATGTTGTTGATTTGGTTGTGGAGGTGGATAGTTTTGACTCCCATATCCAAACTGATGCTGTGGTGGTTGCAGTTGTTGTTGTTGATAGCTATTTCCATAGGGATTTTGTTCCTGTTGTACATCGTCATACGCTGGTGGAGCATCAGGCAATTGTTTCAGCAGTGAAGAAGCTTCTTTGTCTTCTAGTTCATACTTCTGTCTCAACTTTTCCTTTTCGTCAGACATTTTGTATTTGGTGTTGTAGGAATGTTACTAATCTCAAATATGATGATAAAGAAAAGTTGTAAATTAATTCTATATTTAGCCCCATATGTTTGCTTCTCTCAGTAAATTTTGTGTCACGTTTCATGTGTTATTTCAGACTTATCTCTGTGAGGACGCAAAATTTGGTTTCGTGAAATTGAAAATCGTTTTAAAAAAATATTGAAAAATTTACATCAAGTTAGTAAGATACGAATTCAATACCTATCAACTATTTGCAAATTACACTATATGGATCATGTTATCACGCAATGTTGCTAAGAGCCTTCCATTGAATAGACCACAAAACACGATAAGTCTAACGCAAATAGTATTTCAAAGATTCAAAAGACAAGCAGCATCAAATCAATTGAATTCATCTACACAAAAAATCGTAAATCAACTATCAGTACTATCAGCGAGTAGAAAACAACCAAGATTAATACAGTTATGTAACGAAGATTTGATTAAACATAGAACAATAATGAATGCATGGAAGTTGGTTCAAAGGAAAAAACAACAAAGAAAAGATCATCAATTAAGTTTACAATACAAAAGTATACATAATGCAATGGAATCCCTAAAAAATGAAAGTTCAGAATTATTTGAAGCAGCTAATAAGAAATCAAAATTAAAATTTACTACTTTTCCTATTGAAATGAGGGTGCCAACTGACTATCCACCAAATAAGCCATGGGTTTATGCATATAGTCCAAAGAAATAGATCATTTTAGCTTGTATATATCCAAATCAAACGAATACTTTCACATTAACAATCCTCAATGGTTCTTGCTTTTCTTTTCCTTGAAGGAGTACTCGACGCACTATCACTTCTGCTATCATGTGGCGGTAGTGTAATTTTGATCCCACTATTTGCACCACTTGGATCAACTGAATCTTCATACTCTTCATAATCATCTTTCGAATTTATAATTGTTTGTAAAGTATTATTTAAACTGGTATCAGCAGAGCCATTATTTGAATTTCCATTTTCGAGATAACCGTTTCCATTCACAATAGAATAAGCTGTAGTACCTCCATTCTTTTTATGCAAGTTTTTAATAAACTTTACTGAACTTAAACTGAAAATGTGATCATCTTCGGTATACACAATTCGTCTTTTGTTTCCCATTAAACCAGTAGTAGCTAGACTACTTCCTCCACTTAATTTTGAGTAATTTTCAAATCCTTTAACTATATTACCAATTGTACTCTCTTCGAAGTAATCAGATTCTTTTTGATATATTGACTCTTCTAATTTCTGTAGTTTTTGAGTTATTTCTTGTTTCTTGAGTATTTGTTGCGTTAGTTTCTTTTTAAGGTCGTTATATTTCTCTACACTGGCTTTCGACGACTTGTGATTTGATGTAGTTGATGATTTATGTGAGTTATTGTTGTTACTATTACTGCCAGCCTTGTTATCGGATTTTGAAGGTGATTTTGATTCGCTGGAAACACTTTTTTTGCTTTCTATATTTCCGATTGCATCTTGTTTCTTCGATTCTTTTGAATTCTTAGTCTCGTCATTACCCATTAGAATAGTTTGTTGTATTAACTTCTTGAATGATGTACCAAAATAGAAAGTAAGTAGGTTTGTTTTTGAGTAACTAAAGTACGAAATTTTTGAAGCTACCAACATCTTAACTTTTTGCAACAACCTGATTAAGATGTGACGACGAAGTCAATTCAAAACGTTATAGTGTGAAACGTGATTATAAAATAGGGACATAACGTTTTATTTTGGTAGTTGCAAACTTATTAGAAAACGTGCAAGGATTTTTAGATACTTCTCTTGACAGAGTTTGGATTTTACAACAATTTCGTATTAATTTTAATTAAATTGCATATACCCCAAACAACTAATTAAAACCTGTCATCAGAAACTATCAAATTCAATTGCTATTTTAATCGTTTGATTTGAAGCGGCGTTAACAAAGATATGGATTGACATTCCCTCTCTTACTCGTTCTTACATTTTGAAAATGGTAAGGGTTATTAAAATCTAACTAAAAAGTCCAACTCCACAATTCAGGTTGACTCTATGCAATCCATCTCTCCAGACGACAACTTCCAATTCGGACATTAAAGAGGAATGACCCTTGCTGAATATATGATTTTTGAATATGTTTCATATTGCACTAAAACCACAACCCGGAGATTGGCTGCAAAAAACAATTCCGAGGTTCTACGAACAACAACCATTCAAGATCACAAAATAATAAGACTCATCTGTGACTACCGATGTTAAAAGCTCTGATCTTACCCAAATTGACTATAAACATTCAGTAACAATAATATGAGTCTTATTTGTTTTGTATTCGAAATATGGTTGGTATACTAATATTCTCGTGATACTGATCGTGTTCAAATTTTTTTTTTTTTGATTTGATCTGTTTCAAGTTTGATCCATTAAGCCGTAGATCTACCTTTGTAGTTAATGTGACTGACTCAGTGAAGTTTCAACAAGTTCAATTGAATGAGTCAAAACGATTAGTACCATTCAATAGCTTTGCCTGATGTTAGTCTAAGTGTGTGGTACAACTATGATACGTAATATTTGATTTTTTTAACTGTATGCGGATTTCTTTAAACCGTTCATACTATTTTTTTTTTGTTTGCGTAATTAATTATATACCACTAATAATTAAATATTTAATCCCACACATTCTTTTGTGCTGAATTTTTTTTCGTTGAATTTTATATATAAATTTATATATCCCACTTTTTATTAATAATTTCAACCAATTGACTCAATTGATCTTATTTATAATTCAATTTCAAAAACCTTAATTATTTCATAATGTCTATTACCAAAATTCATGCTAGATACGTCTATGACTCAAGAGGAAATCCAACTGTTGAAGTTGATTTAACAACTGACAAAGGTTTATTCAGATCAATTGTTCCATCTGGTGCCTCAACTGGTGTACATGAAGCTTTAGAATTAAGAGATGGTGATAAATCAAAATGGTTAGGTAAAGGTGTTTTAAAAGCTGTTGCCAATGTTAATGATCAAATTGCTCCTGAATTAATTAAAGCTAACATTGATGTTACTGATCAAGCTAAAATTGATGAATTTTTATTAAAATTAGATGGTACTCCAAATAAATCAAAATTAGGTGCCAATGCTATTTTAGGTGTTTCATTAGCTGCTGCTAAAGCTGGTGCTGCCCAAAAAGGTGTTCCATTATATCAACATATTGCTGATATTGCACATGCTAAAAAGGGTAAATATGTTTTACCAGTTCCATTCCAAAATGTTTTAAATGGTGGTTCACATGCTGGTGGTGATTTAGCTTTCCAAGAATTTATGATTGTTCCATCAAAAGCTCCATCATTCAGTGTAGCTTTAAGAATCGGTTCAGAAGTTTACCATCATTTAAAAACTTTAACCAAAAAGAAATATGGTCAATCAGCAGGTAATGTTGGTGATGAAGGTGGTGTTGCTCCAGATATCAAAACTGCTAAAGAAGCTTTAGATTTAATCGTATCAGCTATTGAAGCTGCAGGTCACAAAGGTAAAGTTGATATTGCCATGGATGTTGCTTCATCAGAATTCTACAAAGATGGTAAATATGATTTAGATTTCAAAAACCCAGATTCAGATAAATCACAATGGCTTACTGGTCCACAATTAGCTGAATTATACGGTGAATTAATTAAAGAATATCCAATTGTTTCAATTGAAGATCCATTTGCAGAAGATGATTGGGAAGCTTGGAGCCATTTCTTTGCTACTATTGATGGTAAAGTACAAATTGTTGGTGATGATTTAACAGTCACTAACCCAATCAGAATTAAAAAAGCTATTGAAACTAAAGCTGCTGATGCTTTATTATTAAAAGTTAACCAAATTGGTACTTTAACCGAATCAATTCAAGCTGCTAATGATTCATACGCTGCTGATTGGGGTGTAATGGTTTCACATAGATCAGGTGAAACTGAAGATACTTTCATTGCTGATTTATCAGTTGGTATTAGATCAGGTCAAATTAAAACTGGTGCCCCAGCTAGATCTGAAAGATTAGCTAAATTAAATCAAATCTTAAGAATTGAAGAAGAATTAGGTGATGATGCTATTTATGCTGGTGTAGATTTCCATAAAGCTCACACTTTATAAATTAGTTTTATAGCTTAACATGTATTTATTGATTAATACAAGTGAAAAATGTATTTCGTAAAAATCATATAAATCGTTTTAATCATAAACTGTCGTTAATTAATTGAATCGGTTCTATATCATCTATATATACAAGTTGACCATTTGTTTACACAGTCTCAATTATAGTCATTTTTAATACTTTCCAATGCTTCAAGTAGTATTTGCGAAGCAAAAAATGTTTCTTCAAATGTATTATACAATGGTACTGGGGCCAATCTAATAACATCTGGTCTTCTCTCATCACAAATAATAGCATGATTGTGTAAATACTTAAACACTCGTTCCATTACGTTTTTTTCTTTATTGTCTCTATGTGGTTGAAAATTTAAACTCAATTGACAACCTCTTTCATTTTGATTCAATGGAGTTAGTATTTTGAATCCAAATTTATTATCATCCAAAGAATCTTGTGGAATGTAAAATTCACTAGATTTCAAAATCTTTTCCAAAAATGAAGTCAATTCAATTGATTTTTTTCTTAATGGTTCAATTCCACCAACTTCTTTAAAAATTTCTAATGAAGATTTTAATGCAACACAATCAATAACACTAGGATTCAGTTGTCTATAACTTAATGCTGAAGCAATTGGATCAAATTTTTCTAACATCTTAAACCTTTCTTCACTATTATTACCCCACCATCCAGCTAATCTTGGTTTATAATTTAAATTAGAATTAGTTTTAGTATATTTTGAATTTACAAATATTCCAGCTATTGCACCTGGTCCTGAATTTAAATATTTATATGAACACCAAGTAGCAAAATCTACTTCCCAATCATGTAATTTTAAAGAGACATTACCTACTGCATGAGCTAAATCCCAACCTACGATGATTTCTGAACTTTTAAATTTAACATGTTTGGTGATACTTGCAATATCGAAAAATTGACCTGTATAATATTGTATCCCAGGTAGACATACTAATGCAAGGTTCTCAAGATTTTCATCAATAGTTGATAGTATGAGCTCTGTAGGCAAGTATGTGCTTCCCTTCGGAATTTCAATTTGTATCAAATGAGACTCGTCATATCCAAATAATTTTACTATATTTAAAAATGCATAATAATCTGAAGGAAATGCTTGTTTCTCAAACAAAATCTTTGTTCTTTTATTCTTAGGTTTGTAGAAATGTATTAATAATGAATTTAAATTTGAAGTTAATGATCCCATTACTGCAACTTCGTTATCTTGAGCTCCAACTAACGGACTTAATAATGGTATTAAAGGTAAATCTATATCAACCCATTCTGTTAGACTTTTATCTGGATGATTGAAATGAGACTCAACTCCCCTCGATGACCACGCATTAAGTTCATTATTTATTGCTGTTGCCGTATTTTTAGGCATTAATCCTAATGAATTACCACATAAATATATTGATTCGGTGTCTGGTTGAAATTTATCATTTTTGATTCCTAGAGACTGGAAGGTCGGTATATTGAATTTTGATTTGTAAACTGAATATATTTTATCTAGCTCTTTAGCCTCCTCTAGCGACATTGAACTTTAGGATTTTATAATGAATTTTCAGAATTGAATCGTTTGATGTGAAAGATCAAATTCTTGAAAAATTCGGAATTAATCACAAAGCAAAAGCCGTTTTATTATACTACGATTCTGCTGCAAACTAATTCAGAGAATACCAATAGACAAACACCAATATTATGATCCATTCAGTACTAATATGTAAGTAAGCTAATTGAAATTTAGAACTTATAACAGAGGTACTAACCTTAATTTCAGTCAATAATGATGGTGTGCCGAGACTAATGAAATTTTATACAAATGTTGATATACAAACTCAAAGACTACTATTACAACAAGTTCATCAATTAATATCCGTACGAACAGCTAACGAGTGCTCGTTTATAACACCACCGAAGTTATTGGAGGATCTCGATGATATTAAAGTGATTTATCGTCATTATGCAACTTTATATTTTGTTTTTATTGTAGATGATCAAGAATCAGAATTAGGTATATTAGATTTAATTCAAGTATTTGTTGAATGTTTAGATAAATGTTTTACAAATGTTTGTGAATTAGATTTAGTTTTTGGATGGCAAGTTTTACAAACAGTATTGGAAGAAATTGTACAAGGTGGAATGGTTATTGATACAAATATTGGAAGAATTGTTGCTGCTGTCGATGAGGCAAATATGCAAAAAAATGGTACAGGTGGAGCAAGTGGAAGTATAGGTAGTAATCCAACTTTAGGGCAGTCGATACTACTGTCATTATCACGAGATAGAGGTTTTTGGAGTCGATAGTGGAAATTTGAAAAATTGTACAAGTTAAAACTTTCATTTTGAAAAATCTATATAACAGGATCATACTTGATGATAATAAATAATTTAGAATCGTTGGAGGTCTTATTAAAATATCTTCCACCAAGGCTTTTTCAGATTCTTTTCTTTAATTAACCTTTCTAATTCCTTACTTTCCTCTACACTCCGACTAATTGCTTTCTTTTGTTCATCTTCAGCTTTAGTTTTATGAAATAATTCACGATCTACTAATTCCATACTTAGATTTCTTTGATCTTTTTCTAATGGTGATCCAATAGGTCCGGTTTTCCAAATAGGATCATTTGATTTTGATGTCTTTTTAACAATTTCCATTAATCTTTTTTGTTCTAGTTGCCTTAGTTCTTTATTCCTTTCATATTCTGCTCTTATTTCAGGTGAAAAGCTTGCTATCAATTGTTCATCTGATGGTCTTATCGTCATGTATAATACTACTCCTACCCCTGTTAAACATGCTCCTGCTAAATAAACTCTTGCCCAACGGTACCAAAGCGGTTTTGTGGACATGTCTGTGAGTACCTGTATCTATTTGATGAAATGAGTGAAGTAAATGCCAGATTATTGATGATGTGAATTCTTTCTAATTATTAATGGATATTCTGATATTGGCTGAGAAGAATATCAAGAGAAAGTGGTAGCATATTATGAATGGTGATAATGATTTTGCAGCCAAAGTTAGAGATTATTTTGACGGACTTTTTGCTGCTCGTGAACTCAACTTTATTAGTTTTACAAATAGAGAACAGCACTTTGATATTTGTCCAGTTGTAGCTAAAAATTCAAACCATCACTAGAAACTAGTGGATAACTATGAACGTAAAAAAATTCTTCATTACCTGCTTTTGAATCAGCTTTACCCACTTTTTGATTGATTTCATTTTCTTTATTTTCAAAATCAAATCTAAAATTTGGAGATTCAATAAATTTAGCTTCTTTAAATTGATGTAAATCTGAAATTTGATTGAATTTTGAAGGAACAAAATTATTTTCAAAATTATTCTTCTTATTGATATTTGTTTTCAATGGAGATGTTTTTATAGGTAAAAATTTATCTTTCATTTTTTTCGAAGTCCTTTCAACATATGGTAATTCCCAATTGAATCCATCATTTTGTTGATGAAAAACTCTTAATTGTGATGGTCTGGAACTTTGTAATTCATAAATTGGACTATAAGGATCAAAACCCGTGTCTATAATACCTTCGTCTTTTTTATTCACTTCGACTGGAACGTCCAATTTGACAGATTTGTTAATCATATCTGCTTTTAATAAGTCTGGATCAGCTGGTTCTATTTTATAATTTCGCCAACCTCGCCAGAAATTAAGGTTCGGAAATGTAAATACTTCCTTTTCGTTTTTACCAAGGCTTTTGGATTTAGTTGTATCCATTGGTAAATCCAAGTTCTCCTCAACGCTTTTTGAATTACATGAATTTGATGTTTGTAAAGGAGCGGGGTCAAAATATTCATTTCTCCAATGCTTCAATTTTACTAATTCTTTAAGCATTGATCTCCAAGATTTTGATGGTTTTTCACCACTGAAAATATCTGAACTTTCTTCGTTGAACTTGTGATTGATATCAGAATTTAATTTCTTTGAGTTACTAGATCCAAAAAAGGGTTTCCATGTTCTCCAAATACTATTACTTTTATCCTTAGTTTTAATAAGAATTTGATAATTAATTGGTTCTTGTATGTCGTCACAGATATCACTAGCTGTCAAAAATGCTTCCAGTGGGTCTGGTATTGTTTCAACTATTCCGCTTCTTCTAAACCTGAACTTTTGAAAAAAATCAATCAAAGTTTTGAAAGAAGTTTTTCCATCCAAGGGCCCTTGTTTCAGTTCCATTTTTATCAATTGATTTGATGAATCATTCGTAATTTGCAAAGGTTCTGATGACATTATGAGGTTGCTGATTAATATTAGGCCAATTCAATTGTATTTAATAACTATATTTCTATTTGTTTTGATTTAATGATATGACGTGAACTTATGTGAAACAATTTAATTATCATTTTTCGCAGCCAAAAAAAAAAGTAAAACAACCATATCAAAAAACAAAGAGAAATTCATTCTTAATCCGGAGTACCTTAGATAACACATTCTTCATTTCCATTGCTTATGCCGTCCATAGGTGATGTCATATCCAATTCGAAGGCTTTTACATTGGAAGTTCATAATCGAGCTTGAACTTAGACTGCTATTGTTAACAAAAGTTGAAAAGAAAATTTGATGCTTGTATAAATGCCACATACTCAACAATTTCCATCAATTAGGTCTTGACTAATGAATACGAAACCGTCGAGCATGCCATGAGCTAAAAAACAAATTGTTTTCGATTATCGGATATTATAGTTGAATGTCGGCTATTTCTTTATGATAAAATTAAAATATCATATGGTAGTTATGCTATGTTATCATCAAAGAAGTCAATAAAATTAACTTCTCGTCGTATAAAATTTACTAAACGACGAATCATAATAATGTTATTAAAATAATGTACTCAAGTAATACGTAATAATGTAAGTATAGTAGTCTATGTTTCACACTTTAAATTTGAATTTTAATATTACTTTCCTAACTTTATATATTATTACGCAATTGGTATTAATGAATGATCTAAATTGATATCCTCAAAGGTGAATCCATAGCCTCTTTTAATAGTATCAACGCTTTAGCATCTAGTTCTTTGATATTTATATAGCATTTCATACCTTTATAATAGTCTTCAAAGTTTTTTCTATTAACAATTTTTTGCAATTTTTCATAGACTATTTTATTAACTTTGAGTTTTATTATTTTTATTTTCATTATTTTTACAACCAAAATTTTTTATAAAATATTGACCAACACATTTTATTAATCACCAGAAAGATTATTTGAATTAAGGTTTTTCATAATAATAGAATAAGCAAATTTCATGCTTTAATTATTCAAGTCATAAATAAATAATTTTTAAAAACAAATTTCAACATATTGTTTTTTAATTAAATCAAATTGTATTCCACAAATTAAACAATTTCAAATCAAAGGTGTTCCTTCCTTTTACTTAACTTAATTCAACAATAAGTTCGACACAAATACAGAAGCATCAAGAATGGTGGAAGGAGAATCAAACTCAACATCATTAATAAATTCTGAGGAGAATAAACTCTTGAATGAAAAAGAAAACTTGTTTAATTCAAATTCAGACGCGTTACAAGCAACGAAAGAAGCTACAACAGAGAAAAAATCATCAAAATCTTCAACTGGAAAACGTAAATATCATCAAAAATCAAGATCAGGGTGTTCAACTTGTAAAAGAAGAAGAGTTAAATGTGATGAAAGAAAACCTAAATGTGGAAATTGTGATAAATTAAAATTAGAATGTGGTTATTTAAAAGAAGATGAAGAAGAACAAAATCCGACTAAAAGAATAAAGATTGAATCATCTGATAGCTCAGAGACTAAACCGAAAAAAGTCAAAGCTCCAAGAAAACTGAAAAAGTCAGAGAAGAATAACGCTCAATTAGACTCATCAGCACCATTAGATAATAATAACAATGATAGTTCAAGTGAATTGGAATCTTCAGAGCAACAGAGGCAACAGCAACACCAGCAACAACACCAGAAACAACAAGAAACACCTTCATTAACCCCAAGTCCCACTGCTCCTCCACAAGTCAACCTAAATAATCTTGCACAATTATTTGCAAATCCTTTAAATGCATTATCATCTGGTCTACTAAGTGCTGGAAATTTAAACAACTTAAATGTAGCTCATTTGGTTAATAATTTATCAGGTTTGGGAGATATGGGAATTAATTTAGCAAATTTGATTAATCCTGGAAATCTAGCGAGTTTATCCAACTTAGCTATGTTAGCTCAACTACCAATAGATTTAAGTAATATAAATGGACTAGGTAGTGGTGGTGGTGTCAATACTGCTGGAATGGGTGGGTTGATGGATCAAATATCAGCTACTCTAATGAATGGGAATACAAACACAGATCCGCTTTTGAATACTCAATCTGTTCCAATGCAACAACAAACCCAATCAGAAGAAACTCAGAACAATCTTATGAATGCTGCAATTGATCCATCTTTGAATTTTCAAACCTCTGATTCTTCAACTTCATCACAGTTTTCACTTCCTAATACAACTCCTGCATCCAATGTATCTCAACAACAGCAGCAACAACCAACATTACCGTCACAACAGCAACAGCAGCAGCAACAACAACAACAACAGCAAGATACACAACAACCAACTCCAAATTCACTTCCACATATTTCTGCCAATATATCGCTGTCTATACCATCGTCAGTACCAATGAATAACAAAACAATGGCACAAGCAATGAATTCAAGTAGTTTAAATATGCTTGATTTGAAATTAATGTTTCATTATACATCTCAAGTTGCAAATACAATAACTGGAGCTGGAATATCTGAAACAAATATATGGATTCATGATATCCCAATGTTAGCTTTTGAACATCCATTTTTAATGCATTCAATATTAGCATTTAGTGCTACACATTTATCAAGAACTGAAAAAGGGTTGGATCAATGTGTTACATGTCATAGAGGTGATGCATTAAGATTATTAAGAGAAGCTGTTTTAAATATTAATGCTGATAATACTGATGCTTTAGTTGCAAGTGCTTTAATTTTAATTATGGATTCATTAGCAAATGCTTCTTTTCCATCTTCAACTTCTCCTAAATCATTACCAGCATCAGCTTGGATTTTTCATGTTAAAGGTGCAGCAACAATTTTAACTGCAGTATGGCCATTAACAGAAGCATCAAGATTTTATAAATTTATAAGTGTTGATTTAGGAGATTTAGGAGATATTATAAATCAAAAAGTAAATTTAAATGGTCAATCAAATTTAACAAATAATAATATAAATGGTGATAATATTAAAAAATATTTTACAGATTTAGAATGTCATGATTCTGATATAGCAGATTTATTTCCTGTTGAAATTGATTCACCATATCTTATAACTTTAGCTTATTTAAATAAATTACATAAAGAAAGATATAAATCAGATTTTATATTAAGAATATTTGCATTTCCTGCTTTATTAGATAAACAATTTATGGGATTATTAATGAGTGGAGATATAAAATCAATGAGAATAATGAGATCTTATTATAAATTATTAAGATCTTTTACAATGGAAATGAAAGATAAAGTATGGTTTTTAGAAGGTGTTGCTCAAGTATTACCTTCAAATGTTGAAGAATATGCTGGTGGTGCTGGAGGTATGCATATGATGATGGATTTTTTGGGAGGTGGCCCAGAAATTATTGATGATGATGAATTTGATATAGAAATAAATGGTGATGGTTATGCTAATGGTAATAATGATAATAATAATAACAGTAATGATAATGATGGTGGTATCAATGATAATAGTACTAATAATAATAGTAATGATAATAATGATTTGACGAATATGGTATTTAATATTTAATGGGTAGGTATAATTAATAAACATGGTGTAAATATGCATATATAGCTTATTCCAATTATGGATGAGTTTAAAAAGAGTAGATTGTAGAGTATTTTATGGATGGTGATAGTTTCGTTGTGAAACAATTTTGATGTGTCTCCACAATATTTAAAGTCGAATAGGGGTAAAATACGTCAAATAAATTAAATTGATTTGAAAAAGACAACACTTGAGGTTTTATTCCTTTTATGAGACGCTGACAGGTATTAGTCTAGCTATGATCTCTAATTCCTAATTTCTAACTATATTATTAATCCATCTATTGAATCTAATGATAAATTCTTGTGCTATATTTAATTCACAAGACATTTAATTTTATTTAGGCTACCCTTTTTTATTTTTTCAATTTATTTTTTACGTGTCTGTCTGTCTATTTATTTTTTAAGTAGCCTAAATACATTATCACATTCCTTTGAAAGACAAACAATACTTGTTGAATTTGAAAGATCTATTGCACCCAAAAACTCTACTTAGGTAAGCAGTTGGTCTGTAGTATTGAACTTTTTAATCACCTTAAATTTACCCTGTAGAATTAATGTAAACTAACCATATTTGCATACTTGAGTTAAATTGATTAATAAAAAATTTGATAAAGAAAAAAAAGATTTCCATATCAAATCCAAATTTTAATTAATCCCAACAACAAAAACAATAACATTGATTAAATTCAAATTTATAACCTCCATATCTCAAACCACTAATATACCTTCATATTAGATAAAGATTATCTATCATACCATTCAGAACTCTATTTATATTCATTTGCACCAGCAAAATTTGATAGCATTTCCTCATTTAAAGACAATTCAATAGCTTTTTTACAAAATAATCATATAGTAAAGCATTCAAACTTTCGTTTCAAAAAAACTTCATTCATAGACCCACTATTTTTGACTACCTTCAATAATAAGTAATACCAGTCAACACATAATCACTACATTAAATCAAAATAAAAACCTATACAAGTTTTTCAATCCATATATAAATAAAAACCAAACAAATATATAAACAAAATGCAGACAATAAAATGTGTAGTAGTAGGAGATGGTGCAGTTGGTAAAACATGTTTATTAATATCATATACAACTTCAAAATTTCCAGCAGATTATGTACCAACAGTATTTGATAATTATGCAGTAACAGTAATGATTGGTGATGAACCATTTACATTAGGATTATTTGATACAGCAGGACAAGAAGATTATGATAGATTAAGACCATTATCATATCCATCAACTGATGTATTTTTAGTTTGTTTTTCAGTTATATCTCCTGCAAGTTTTGAAAATGTTAAAGAAAAATGGTTTCCTGAAGTACATCATCATTGTCCTGGAGTACCATGTTTAATAGTTGGTACACAAACAGATTTAAGAAATGATGATGTTATATTACAAAGATTACAAAGACAAAAATTATCTCCTATAACTCAAGAACAAGGTGAAAAATTAGCAAAAGAATTAAGAGCTGTTAAATATGTTGAATGTTCTGCTTTAACTCAAAGAGGTTTAAAAACTGTTTTTGATGAAGCTATTGTTGCAGCTTTAGAACCTCCTGTTATTAAAAAATCAAAAAAATGTATAATTTTATAATAAAGAAGAAAGCAAAACAATGAGCAAATTGACTTTATTTAATTTATATGTTATACAGGCTAATTAATAAGATAAAATTTTGAAAATATCAAATTCATACAAAACCAGGAGTAATATTGAATGTTTAGAGAGTTTGTGTTTGTTTCAATGTGTGATTTATGTGACCCATACAAGTCAATATTTGAATCGAATACAAACCCACAAACATTCGATGAAGAAACTAAGGTACGAGAATTGATCTCTTTTATTAATCGTGTTATTTGTATTCGAGATGGCTACGTTGTGGCGCGTATTGCAAATGAGTACATCAAATTTAAAGAAGGGTTTATTGCAAAAAGAAATGAAAAACATATGATCTAGTGATAATTTGCAATTCTATAAGGCACTAAAATTCTCTATGTTTCTTTACGTACTTTACTTAATTAAGTTTAAAAAATTTGCCAGAAACTACAAACCATGTCCCATTTTTCAAAATCAATTTGTATTAAATAGTATATCTTATATAGATTGTAGAAAAACATTTTGAAATAAATATATTAGTATTAAGTATTAAAAATTATAATTAAGTAAAGTAAATTTGAATTAAAAAAATTCAAATTAACAAATAACGTGAAAAACAGCAAAAAACATTCAAATAAAAACACGATAAAAGCAAATTCAAAAGCAAAACTCAAAATCAAAAGCGAAATTCAAAAATCAAAGCAACTCAAGAATCGAATGGTTAAACAGCCATTCTATATACAAATATTCTTTCTTCTTCTTCCTCTTATTCTCATTTTTTGATTAATCTTCTTCATACAACTTCTGTAGTAGAAGATTTATTTTTTAACCAATCTTTAAAAACAAATAAACTCATCATATAACTCATAAATAAAGTAATAAAACCTAATGTTACATTTAAAGTAAACATTGAAGTTAAACCATAATATTCAAAACTTAATATAATTGGATCAGTACTTTCCATAAATATTATTCCACCACATAATAAACAGAAAGAAACAATTAATTCTGTTATTGGTCTATTTGGTTTAATTAATTCGGTGGTTGAATTTTTTTTAATTAATAACATTAATATATATGTTAAAAATCTAAAACAACAGCCCATTATAAATAAATTACCCCATTGAACATGAATTTCTGTTGATAATTCTGATGCTTGTTGATGTTTTGACATTAATATACCTGTCCAATATATTGTTAAAATGGGGAAAGGATTTGGTGAAAAACCAGGACTTGCTTTTATAATTTCCACTTGATGATGTTGTGGATGATCTTCTTCGGTGGTTGTAATAAATTTTTGATAATTTGATTTAGCTTGTTCAAATCTCCAATCTTGTAATTTTAATTCAGTTATAACACCACATAATCCACAACCAATAAAAATAAAAGCTATTGAAACATGTTGTAAATCTTTTGGTGACCATTCTTCACCAGCATTAGATAAATGTTCTAAAAAAATATTTGTTGAGCCATAAAATAAAATTAATGAACTTTCAATCATTTCCATTGTCCATAAACCTTTATTTTGAAATTTTTCCCAATAATTCATTTGTGAATCATTTGTTATAAATTTATGATTCCATGACCAACCTTTTTGTGAAAAAGCTCCTGAATATCTTGCTAATGATAATACTCCATATGCGAAAAATACTCCACCTTTTATAAAATGAGCTAATAAATTAAAAACTGTTTGTTCTTTACCATATAAACAAAAAGTTGCAACTCCTGTGGGAACTAATACAAAAAAATAAAAAAAATGGCCCCAATTTAATAAGTTGAAGGCAATTTTAATTGCATAAAATACTTTCGTATTGGAAATCCATTCTCTTAATTTATTCAATTTCATTTTATTTTGTAATTTTGATAATTTTGATTCTTCTTTATTAAATACTTTTTCATAATTTGTTGGAGTTGAATCAATCAGTGATGATTCATCATCTGATGAACTAGTTGAAGTAGATAAATTAAAATATCTATTACTAGAATGTATAGTACTATTACTGTTGGTATTAGTTTCTAAATTTTTAATAAATGCTAAGATTAATTGTAAAATTGTTGAAATAAATACAATTATAATCATTTTATTATAAGCATTACCAGGATAAAGATCGGGTATTGAATTTATAAAAATTGAATAATTAAAAATTGAAAAAATCAAACAACTTGTATGAATAATTAATGAAACAAGATAAGTTTTTGATAAATTTAAATTATTAAAAATTAAAGTTAAAGGATATAATATAAAAATTGAAATTAATCCAAATATTATATGTAAATATAATGAAGGACGATGATTTGTTTTTATATTAAAATATGTTGTTGTATTATAATTTTCCCAAAATAATCTTTCTTCTGGTAATAAATGAGTTTGTAAAATTGGTAAACCATGTTGATGTTTCATTACATGAGGAGTTGGTTCTAATTGGTTGGATGTATCTGTTTTATTTGATTTGTCATCGGAGTAATGATTATGAGTATGTGAAGGTTCAATTGAGTCATGATTTGTTTCAGCGCTGCTCATATCCATATCCATATCCATATTCATCGCTATTGATGAAGTTATAAGTAAACATGATAGTAGTATAGTTGTTGATTTCATCTCGAAATATATGATGTCACGGAGTTTTCTTCTGTTTGTTTTAAATGACCTTTTTGTTTTTTTGAACTTTTGAAATGTCAACTAAAGGTTGATTGATCTATAGGTTCGGTATTGATGATGAAAGTAATGAATTGGCTTATGAGATTGAGATATTGTTGGTTGTAAAATAAATTAAATTAATTGGTTGTCAATATAAAATATGTACAATTATAATTAGTTTTATATAATGGAATAATTAATTAGTAATATAATAAAATAAAATTATCAATTAAATGATCATTTATTTTTTTAGTAGTACACTTTAATATGAAACATTGAAATATATCCGCATCTTACTATATAAGTAAATCAAACAATATACCATAACCAACTATTATTAGTTAATCTATAGTACAAATTTAGAGAAACGATTTTAGGATTCATCTTTTATTCTATAAATCTCGATTTATTCTTTATTTTAACTCAATATACATTACTGAATGTATATTAACTTATGTTTAATTTTCAGAATAAGATGATGTTTATAAAGTTAGAAAATTGACTCAACTTGGAATAGTAATTGAGCTTTAAAAGATTTCATTATTTATTCTTATTCTATCGATTACGTCAAGCTTGATTGAATATAAATGGAACAAAACCGGTCAAAGTCTAAAGATTCTTACGATATTATAACTCCAAGATTAATTCAAAAAGATATTTCTCAAAATTTTATTCTGAGCAACTGTATTTGATGTGGATAGTAACTCTCGTCAACCGAGTGGATTTCAATCTCTGTATTTGTTTAGCTAGATACAAAATTTTTTTTATGGACGAGTTCGGCTCCTACCAAATCTCAAATCAAACTATATCATCAATCTTTCAGATTAAAATTAATAACCAAACCTAATTCAATATAATGAAACATACGTTTGTGTAACTCTTTAACTACTTGACAGTTTTTATCACAACTTAAGAGCAATTTTAATGATTTATGCTTGGACCTTCTTTTCCAAGACTAAAAGTATCATACCACTTTATATATATTTATGAAGGAGTTTTGATATTTTTCAAGGTAGAGTATAAACAGCTTATAGTCGTTGTACTAATTTCATAACTCAATTTAATACGGATGTACCAAATTTTTTCGGATATTACTGAAACTTTACTCAAAAATCTTTGTACTATTGTTAAGATTAAAAGATTTTGTATCACATCAGTCTTAAAATGGAATTATAGTTAACAAAAATATAAAATTATCACCGATTACTTACCAAGCTAAGATTTTGTGTTTTGAAGATGAGAGCTTTTATTAAATTACTTGCATGGGTTTATAAAGAGATTGATTTTTTTATCTTGGACTCTATATTTAGGCTCATCCAGATTCATAAAATTGGCAATTTGAGCAATTTATATATTCAAAAGGGTTTTGTAAATCATTAACTTCTCTCGGCAATAGGGTCAATGTTGTTCTTCACTTGCTATCTTATGAGAATTCATTCCATAAAGATCTTAAAACTAGTCAACCGAATTTTTATTTTACTCGAGAGTCATTTTTATTACTTTTACGGATTTTACGGTTGAAATTTTTATTTATTTTGTCCTACATAATTCCATTTTTCATTTTTGTATTCTTATTTTTTTTATTGTCTTTGTTTTAAATTCATATACTTTCGACCAACTAAAGGACTACTAAATATGGTAAATTGGTATTATAGTTATGATATTTCAAATGCATTCAATTTACAACTCGAAATCAAGGAGTTGAGTCAATGGTCCTGAATTTAAGGTTAACATTAGACCATTTTTATAAAATTGAAAAGCCGCTTAAGGAACACATTCAAAATTATGTATAAAATTTAATAAGCCTAATTTGGATTCATTCAACACCTAATTAAGGTTTCATTCCACACAAATACTGAATTGACTAGTTGAATGCGTTCAATTGAGTTATTTGAGCCGAAACTAGTAAATTGAAAAAACAACCAAAAACTATGCACTCACGATTAACTTAATATAAACCGTCAAAAGAATGCAAAGGTTGATCCCTTTTTCTGTAAATTAAACAAGTGCCATCTGGTCCTCGACCTTTGCAGATCAAATAGATTTTATTACTCGATAAGTAGAGTTTCTTCAAGTGTATTCCTAAAAATTAAATTAATCTAACAATATGCAAGTAATTTAAAATTGCCTCTACCTAGTTTTATTTTTTTTTGCTTCATAGTTTTATTACCGATTTTTAACGGAAATATGAAATTACGAATATATACTTAAATGGATCTATTTAAAAACCGATGAATTTAAATTTCAATCGTCAAAGATTGAATAGAGGTTCGAATATTCTCAACTGTATTGTAACAGATTATGTTTTTTTCAGCCTTGTAAAAATTTCGGACTCTTCAAATCCCTTTATAGAGTATCTAAGCAATCTATTAATAAAATTAACCGCGATGTTAACGACCTCAAATCCTCAAAGTCACATTATTTATGATCTCACATTCAATATTCAAATTAAGTTTATTACTAAAAATATATTCTCTATAAAGCATTTTTTCTAGTTAAATAATCAAATCTTGAATAAGTATAACCAATAAATGGTAAATCTTCTTTTGGATTTTTTCTACCACCATTTTTAGCATCTAATTCTCTTTGTTCCATTGCTTTAATTAATACAGGATTATCTGGAATATTTTCTAATTCATCAGTTGGGAAAAATCTTGTATCAGTTATAGATCTTAATTTTGGTATAAAAGGAGCATCAACTTTTCTAATAGTATCCCAATCAACTCCTCTAAAAAATGGATGAGTTTTAATTTCTTCTGCTCCTCCATATCTACCTAATCTTTGATCAGATGATGTTAATAATTTCTTAATTAAATCTTCTGCTTCTGGTGATAAATGAACATCATCAGGAATTTGTAAAGTTTCTTGCCAATTTATAATTTTTCTATAAGTTTCATGAGGAGATTCTGCACAAAATGGTGGCCAACCAACTAAACATTCAAACATTATTGCACCTAATGACCACCAATCACATTCTTGTCCATAACCTTGATGAATAAAAATTTCAGGTGCAATATAATCTGGAGTTCCAACAGTTGAATAAGCCATTAATCTTCTTGATTTTCTCCAAGTTTGCATTTGTTGTCTATTTGACATTGTTAAATGTATTGCATCAACCATCATTGAATTTCTACCATTTACTGTACTATTCCCATTATAAGTTAATTGATTTGCTTGTAATGGATGATTTGGATTTTCTTCTAATAATTTTTTATAATAATTTGAATCATGAGTTTTATGGAAACCAGTAGATAAACCAAAATCACTTAATTTAATATGACCTCTTCTATCAATTAAAATATTATCAGGTTTAATATCACGATGAATAAAACCTAATTTATGTATAGCTTCTAAAGCTAAAACACATTCAGCCATATAAAATCTTGTTATATCTTCTGTAAAAATTTGCCATCTTATTAACATTGTCATTAAATCACCACCCGGTAAATATTCCATAATTAAATAAAGATATTGAGAATCTTGAAATGAATAAAATAATGAAACAACCCAAGGAGAATCACTATTTGCTAAAACATCTCTTTCTGCTCTAACATGAGCTAATTGATCTTTTTTATACATTTCAGATTTTAATAAAGTTTTCATTGCATAAATATGACCATTATCTTTTTTTTGAACTAATCTAACTTCACCAAATGCTCCTTTTCCAATAACTTTTATAGTATCAAAATCTTCTAAACATAATTTTGTTCTTCTTAATCTTAAAAATTGAGTTTCTTTTTTACTATAATTTTGTATATGACGATTTTTTCTTTCTTCTGATACTCCATTACCTTCTTCAATTAATTTTTGTTCCATATTCATTCTTCTTTGATTTCTTTCAATTGCATGATTTACTGACATTGTATAAAAATTTTCCATTCTTAATTTTATTGCTTTTCCACGATCTTGAATTTCAGTTGGTAATAAATGAGGTTGTCTTTGAAAGGTTGTAGTGTTTGTTGTTTGAAGTGGCTGTTGAAGGTGTTGTTGTTGAGGTTGTTGTGGTTGTTGTGGTTGAGATTGATATTGTTGTTGCGGTATTCCTCTTGAAGGTGGTGGTGTTGTATAACTTTGAGCAGATTGTTGCTGTTGTTGTTGTTGCTGCTGAGTAGAATGTAGTGATTGTACCTGAGCTTGAGGATGTTGTTGTTGTTGACTCATCGGTATATTAGTTGATGTAGGTGTATGTGGTGGAGGTGTGAGATCATGATTATTAGATGATAATTGAGTTTGCGATACAACTGAAGTACTACTACTTATCTCTGATAAATTTGTATTGGAATTATTATTAAGTTGAGTAAAATTATTATTTGGTGGTTGAAAATTCATTGAATCTATAGAATGAAATTGAACGTTTTTATTATAACCATTAGTTGAAGTATCAAATTGATTATTTTGTGCAAATCTTGGTGATGGAACTTGATTTTGAATAAAATTTGAATGATTTTGTTGTTGATTCAAATTTTGATTTCTTACAGGTGAATGCTCTTCCAACATTATTGGTGGTTCTTCTATAATTTGAGTTGAATCTTCGTCCATATAACTTTCATCTGCTATATTGTTGACATATTGATTCGTTTGATATTGTTGATGATGTGGTGGAAGTTGTGTCTGTTTAAAGGGCTCTCTTTGCTGTTGTTGAGAATATTGCTGCTGCTGTTGTTGTAGTTGTTGCTGTTGTAAGTGTTGCAAATATAGCTGTTGTTTTTGTTGATCTGTTAATTGATCGAAATCCATATTGACAACAGTCTTTATCGTGGACTGTCAATTTTTGATTCAAATGCAAATGAATAAGTTAACAATTCTCAAAGTTGTAATTGTAACAGTATTGTTGACTATTGTAAGAATGTATAAAGCAAAGTATGATGCAAATTATTAAATTGAATCAAGTCAAAATAAATTCTCGTTTCATGATTCAAATTTTTGTTTTGACTTTAAACGAATTTTTTTTTTATTGTTCTTTAAATTAATTAAATCTTATGCGATATGTTTAAGGCGTAAAAGGCGTAGTTTGATAAGAATTGTGCGAAATACTACATTGAACATTACGCGAATAATTCGATTAAAAGGGGTAACCTAACATTTGGAGAGTAATACTCTACAATTCAAATCTCATATTATTCAAAAATCGTTAATATTTTACATTAATATTTTTATAAGAAATCAACTATATGCAATATATCAAATATATAATTAATAACCTTAAAATTGTAAAGCTTGACCTTTTTGTTTTTTATCACCACCCAATTCGAAATGTTTACATCTTTTTAATGATAATTGAGCTTTAGTTTTACAAACAACACATTCTAATCTTAAAACAACTTTTTTAGTAGTTTTGGCTTTTTTATGGAAAACTGGTTTTGTTTGACCACCATAACCTTTTTGTTTCCTATCATATCTTCTTTTACCTTGAGCAAATAATGAAGCTTTACCAGCTTTATATTGGGTTACTTTGTGTTGAGTGTGTTTACGACATTCTTTACCTTTACAGTAGGTTTTTCTAGTTTTTGGAACGTTCACTATTTTATGTTAGTATTGATTATGATTTGAATATGATTCTGATAATTGATTGATCATCACTCTTTTTGAAATTATTAGTTTTATTTGTCAGTATATCCCCGAGATTCTAAGTCTCACATATTGATATGTATTTAGTTCATAAGGCAATAAAAATCTCCCTTCTTCTTGTCTTTGATTCGAAACATGTTTTATATTTGCCATTCAAGATTTATTGATTAAAATTTTCTTCCATCATTAGAGTTGATTAAATAGTTTGATATTCTCCAGTTATATTCTCTCCAAACTTTCTTTCCAAGAATATATTCATTCATGAGTGATTCCAACCTTTCATTATCTATCTTGTGGTTGTATCAAAGACATACCCATTGTATATAATGTTATTCAATATTGAAGGCTATCAAATTAATGAAAAATGGAATTTTCACTAAAATTGATTTTCTCTAACTAATTGATCGTTAACTATGTAACGCACTCAAAATATCATTACTTTTTTTCGGTCACGTGCATAAAAACATAAGTGGGTCTATAGCCCTAAAAATTTGAAACACGGAGTTTCATGTTATCAACATACCTTCTTCAGAGCTTAGAAAGGTTCTAACACTAATCATATGATCTGTATCAAAACATATGTTGCTGAATTATGAATTAATAGGCAAATTTTGTTTGTGTTTTGATTTGTACGCCATAATCTATATGACATGTAACCCGACGATGTAGAAGAATGGAATATATCAAGGTTACATGTGAGGCAGTTAGATCAACAAAAGATTGAGCCGTGTGATATGATCTACTGCTTTGTTACTGATTCTTTGATTTTTACAGTTATATAAGAGTAGTTCTTGAATTTCATGACTTTTATAAATTTTTGATAATTTTGCAACAAAATTAAACATCAACTCAAAATCAAAAAATGACACTTAGTGAATTAAATATCCACCCAGTCAAATATGTGAAATGAATCTATTGAATTAGTTCAACGAAACTTGCAATAAAACTTTATATTTTAAAACTACTTTTGATTATTGTGTTAAATCAGAATTGGAAGTACCTCAATACGTAATTTTGAGAAAAGAGGCCCCAGACTTCAGATCTTATCTACTTTTATATTCAATACCAAAATTATTAATTTGAACAAATATATTATCAGTATTAATAATATTTAATTGTCCCATTTACACTGTGTCTGATTTTATATCATCAACAAAAATTGGTTCCTAAAATTGGTTGCAAAAGAATAGATCGAAAACCTAAAAGACGGAACACAATTTAAAATACGCAAATACGGAAAGACTACAATACAATAATCGTGAATTAAATGATAAAATATTATTTTAAAATTTAAGTAATTACTGTCTCTAAAATAACCTATTTATCACTGTGTTATTTAATACTAATCAATAAACAAAACATGATTTAAAAAAAAAGAAATAAGTTATTCAAATCGCCTTTCACTGGTTCTTCTGTCTACAGACAATAGAAAATCATTGAATGGTATTATTGAAAAACTTATTAAAAAAAAAATATCTTGCCATGTTTTATTGATTAAGTATGGTAGTAGTAAAAATAAATTGATAAAACATTTATGGGATTATTGATCTCCTAACCCCTGTAGGAATTTAAATCCTTCGTTGAAGGCCATGTCTCAAATATGAGTTCAATGAGCTCATACATTGTAAAAATGTAAAAAAACAAATAATCATCAAAACATAAAAAATATAACACAATAATAAACATAATAATAATCATTAAACAAGACTATCATCATAAATAAAAACAATGAATGATAGTCACAGGATGGACATAAAAAATAAATGAAATTTCAAAAAATTTGTTGTGTGTTAAACCAGTAACAAAAACTAAAATAAACAAAAAGTAATAACTTGAAAAACATTTAGAATTAAAAAACATCATAAATGGTTATTGAAAGTGAGGGTTTAAGATTAAAAAATCTTAAAGTTCATGAATAAATGAATGAATAAAATGAGCGGAATATGAAGCATACTTCATCATCTATTGTTGTGATTGTTGTTTTTGTTGTGAGTTTAAAATTTGTTGAAATTGACTTGGAGGACCTTGCGCATGCCCTGGTTGAGTAAATTGAGGATATGTTGGAAATTGAGGATATGTTGGAAATTGAGGATATTGTGGATATTGTGGATAATGATTATAATGAGGTATATTATTATGTGGTTGTGGTGGAAATGAAGGTGGAGGAGGAGGTGGAGGTTGATTAAATTGCATTGGAATGGTTGATGGAATGTTTGATCCTGTAGATGGCATATAATAAGGATATGGTATATTATTTGGATTTGATTGAGGTGGCATTGGTAAAGATTGATGTTGATACATTGGATTTTGAAATTGTTGAGGTAATATCATATTATTTGATGATAAATTAGTTAAATTCTTTGGAGGAGTAGTTTGTTGAGAACTTGTACTTGATGTATCATCACTACTTGTTGAAATTGAAGAAAATTTATTTGATAAATCATTTAATTCATCATTTAAATTATTATTTTTTTCAATAATTTGTTTTGGTGATGATTTAAATTTTGGTTTTGGTAAAGCTAAAGCAGCTGGTGAAGAATGAAACGATGAACCAGCATATGAATCATCTTTTAATGTTACTGCAACAGCTGTTTTATCAAATTTTGTTAATTTCTTTAATTTGGATTGATCTTCGTTATTGAGCTTATTTCCAAAATTTGGTTTTTGACCATTTGGTAAACTTTGTTCAACATCTGTTTTTGATTGTCTTGAGGTGTTTGATTTTTTCTTGTTCTCTTTTGTTGTCAGGTTATTTGTTGATTTTGACTTGTTACTTGATTTGTTTGATTCCTCCTCTCTATTTTTATTCGATTTCCTTCTATTTTCTTTTTTATTATTATTATCATTATAAAAATCAGGTTTCTCGCCACTAGGTAAAGAAGGTAATGAAGATAATTTTATTGAAGTTTTTAATTTTTTAGAAGTTTGATTCTTATTATGTCCAAAATTTACAGGCATTCCACTAGGTAATAACCTTATTTCATCATCTTGATCAATATGTATCTTATCATTTTTCTTTGAATTCTTTTGAGTATTATTAGATGTATTATTAAATGTATCGTTTAATTCATTAGTATGTACTTTAATTGGTATTGGTAATTCATGAGCCATCATTTTCGTAATTCTATAAATTTGTGATTGTTCGTTTGTATATGTAGATATGTGTTTTGATTTGTTGTGATGTTTATTTATAATATTTACTATATCATTAAACTTAAAGATATTCTGTTGTTCTTTGTATTAAATTCTAAATTGGAGATGAATGATAACTATAATGACTAATGTATAAAACCACTATGAAAAATATTTCAATATTGTATATTTTATATTCTGATATGATAAGTAATATCTATTGTTGATTGTTTATTGATATATCCTAGTTTCTTGATAACTTGTATTCGTGTTGATAACTGATTGGCAAATTAATTTAAATTAAATTTATATGAGATTTGATTGTTGAACTCTCTGTCATTAGAAATAAATTTCTTTTTTTCTTTATTATGTATTTAGAATCCCTAATAGTTTTATTATTATGTAATTCTATACAGTTCTCTATTAAACAGATGGTAGTGTAACACGTCATAAAAAAGTATAGTAATAGATTACGTAATAAATTAATCAACGTTTATCTTTTTATTTTACAATCCCCACGACCTTTTATTGTTATGTGACTTGACTGTAACAAGTTGTGTCATAACTTGCATACTTACGATAAGAAATTCTTGATTTGGTAATTAGTTTACAATTATTGTTCAAAAGAAGAATTAATTTGTATCGTCAGCGTTTTGTGAAGAAGTAGGTTTTCAAAATTGAAATTTGATTAATGAACAACAAAGAATCAATGAATATTTTTTGGTGAGTATAGATTTAATGAGGATATACATTGATCAATGTCAAGATGTTCGTAGTTCAGGATTAGTTAATATTACCAGCATGATATTTTACAACTGGCTTTACAAAGGAAATTAGAATAATTCATCAGCACAATTCTAAACATCATCATTTTTGACAAGAATCATCCCTTTAATATAACGGAAAACTAAAACTAAAAACCACTATATAAGGGAATTTTGTTCATTCAATGGAGCCGACTTTCAGCATTTAACTTTTATGTATAGAAGTCATTTTCGATAAAGCTTCACATGACATTATCTGCTTAAGGCCATAAAGGATAATAGCTTTAAGTAGGATTAGAGCCTTCAGGAGATTATGTAATGTGAAAAACACTGAATTAAATTACCAGGAGATGCTGAAACTTTTACTAGCGAATACTTTGCATATAAGATTGGTGAAATTTTCGACGCAAGTGACGCAAGTGACTCAGATGATTCAAATAGTAAATCAAATACTATCTAACAATTTCTGTTCCGACAATTTGTTGATTGTTTTAGTCCGTATACGGATTGTTATAGTGCTTTAAAATTTGATACACCAAAATTATTTAACAATGCAGCTTTATTAACTAAAAAGATGGAGTGAGTCATGTTAAAACTTTTCTGCCAGTTATAAGGTCTGAATCTGTTAAAATATTTTTCAGTATCGCTGCTGGAACATGGAAATAGATTTGTCAAATGGTTGTATCAATTGCATTTTTAAATGGTATATTAAGCTAGGAGATATAGATGAAAGTTCTACCTGGAGTACATGTAAAAGAGAATCAGATTTTAAAGCTAAATAAATCCTTGTATGGATTGAAACAATCACCAAATTTTTGGAACAGAAATATCAATTATTTATTAACTAAGAATGAAATTAAAGCATTAAATTTGAAACTTATTTTCGATATTAAAGATAGGACATATTCAAGTATTTACGGTGATGACAATTTGATTGCAAGTGATACTGCAGAGCAAAAAGAGGAAATTAAAACTTTTATTGAAGAAGAATTACAGAATGAAAAACACGGGAGCACCTCAAAAATCTCATGGAATGAATGTTAATGTTGAATGAGAGAAGACTGTATTATTCAATGGAAGATTTTATAACTAAGATGTTAATTGATTTCAAGTTGGTGCATTGTAACGGAACAGTTATCCCAACGTTAATTGGTTTAATTTTAACTAGTATTGCAAAAGATCCAAATTACTGTACCCTACTGGTTATTGATTGACTTCAAGTTTATTCAATGTTCTTAATAAAATTTGGGAGTAATTATTTAAACAATGTCTAGTTCAGAAATTTCGTTCAACCTGTGCTAATGTTGAACGAAATTTCTGAAGTAGACACTGTTCAAAGTATTACTCTGAGCTAATGTTGTTATATATAAATATATAAATATAACAACATTAGCACAGAGTAGTACTAAAGCTTATATTGCGAGAGTGTTATCTAGATGGTTTCAAAAACCAGAAAAATATCATTTGGTGGCTGCTAAACATGTGGTCAGTCAACTTTTGGTTGTTGATCATGTTGATTTTTTCATTCTTTGACAATCCAGACAAGTGTTCAAGAGTTATGACTGTGTTCATTCGTGGTATTGTTGATAAAACATGTCTTCATGAATAATAATCAAAATCACGGAAGGGATTATTCAAGAGGTGACAACAAAATAGAAAACTCATATTAAATTGTAAAGAATTAAAATAAAATATTGATTATAACCAGTATAAATCTAATTTAATCTAACGAATCTATTAATTTAATATAATTTACATAATAATACAAGATTCATCATTTGAATTAGTTATAGTAGTATTATTTCTAGAATTATTAGAACGTTTATCATTATTAGTAGATGTTTCATTTTCTTCTTTTTCTTCATTAATTTGTTCTTCATGCTGATATTGATGATTATTAATTGATTTTCTTCCATTATTTGAATTATTTGAATTATTTGAATATATAGAAATATTTGAATTTAATTTTGATAAACTTAAATTAATTGATGATTTTTTCTTATTTAAAGTTTTTGAATTTGATGAATTAAAAGTTCCATTTGAAATAATAGAGGTCAAATCATTCTTATTATTATTTTCGGTTGACTTATCTTTTTTTTTGTTTTTATTCCAAAATTTTGAACTTTTATGTTTAAGCTTTTTTGAAGATTTTGAAGCTGATGTTGATGAAGAATTATAATAAATTGATTCATTATTATCAATAGTTGATAAACCAAAAGAATTTAAATAATCATAACTTGAATCTTCTTCTTCTTCATGTTGATATTCATTACTAATCTTTTCATCATCTAATGGATCAGATTCTTCTTTTTCATAAATTAATGTTGATATTGAATTTTTCGAAATTGTATTTATTGTAGATTCTTCTAATTCATCGATGGAACAATTGTCTATATTGTCTTCTTGATGTTGAATTTGATTAGATCTAAAAGGAGATTTTAAATTAATTGTTATTGATTCCATATCATTTGATAAATCTGAACAATCATCAAAATGATTTAATGATAAAATTGATGAACCTTCAGTTAAATTTGATTGTAATGAAGTAATACTTGATGTTGAATCTCTCGTTATTGTTGCTGCTGTAGACTTCGTAGTTGAAGTTGTGCTAGAATTATTTTGTTCACTCGCTAAAATATTAGGTGATGGAAATGATTCAGTTAAGCTAGAACTCGCTTTACTTGGTGATGAAGTAGTATCTATATTCAATTTCCTTATTGATGAAGAAGATGATGGTGATGATGGAGTTTTTGTATTCGATGATGATGATGATACTGTTGTTGTCGTCGAAGTTGGCGGTGTTTTCCTTGAATATGAATTATTTTTCAAAATTATATCATTATTATTACGTCTTGGAGATTTTGGTAATGAAGGAAGATCTTTTGTAATTGAATTTAATGATGAATCTGATAATAATTTCATTTTTTTATCTTTCCCATAATATATCAATATATTGAAAACTTGATTTATGAATTTTAAAAATACAAATTGTTTCATGAATATAGTTTCTTCATAGTTCTCTCTCCTTTGTTCTTCACCTATGCTATCATTACCTTCACTCCTTATCTCTTGATGTTTTTTATTTATTAAATATAAAATTGTAGATATAAAACATTCACCTAAAATTTGAAATTTTTTAAAATTTAAATCATATAATCTATTTAATAATTTCAGTTTTGATATTATAAAATCTTGAGGTTGATTATTTTGTTTATAACTTAAATGATAAATTATAACATTTAAAATTTCAATTATAATATCAATTTGAAATTTAAAAGTTATATCATTTTCAAAATTTAAAATTTTATTATTCTTACTAATTTTATAGTAGTACTCTGAAATTTGATAGTTTAAATATGATTTAAAAATTATATTATCATTTGTTTGATATTTAAATTTTGATATTATTATATTTGAATCTAATTTTGAATTTATTGTATTAAAATTTTCACATAAATTTAATGATTTCCATATTTCTTTTATAATTGAAATTTCAGTTTTTGAAAACATTAGTTTTGAATCTAAAGTTTTTGAACTTGACTGAGCTGATGGTTCAATATTTAAATTTGTTGAGTTCAGTCTATTTGATGTTGCAGGTTTGGATTGTTTTATCAGTGATATCTCTGATGATGAAAGTAATGATTGTTTTGAATCCTTTCTAGATAATGTCTTTGAATTCACAGGTGGTGATTGTATACTTGAACTGGAGGATTTAGCAACTGGCATTTATTAATGAATTACAATTGTATTTATATAAATCTGTATATGCAAAATAAAAATGTTATAATAATGATAAACCTTATTTCAAAAACTTAATATTGGATATTGATCAACTATTTAAAATGAAATAATAAAATTGAAGATCTAATGGAATTTTATTTTTTTAAAATTAATAAATTGTGGAAATATAAAAACGTATGAAATATTGGTGAGACTTAATGGTTATATATAAATAATAGAATTCATATGGTTAGATATGAAATGTAATGAAAGAAATTGCATATGTAAAGAATGTTGAGAAAATAGTACAATACAATCGAATATACACACGATAAACATAAATTAAATTTCTTCGACATATCTCAATTCAAACACAAATATTAAAATTTGTCTTAAACTTTTGAACAAGGGTTTCTTCTTAGGTACAAAGTTAGTTAAAGAAAGAATGAAAGAAAACCCTTTTAACTTAAAATTCAAAAAGTTACTTAAACGAAAAGTTTTGAGTAACTTTAAGCCTTGAAAAAAATAGTTTGTGTAATATTACTGAATTTGGGTTTATTAATTTAATAATTAACATGAAAAGGATTAGGTAGGGGTACACTATAACAGGTCTCAACAACAACATTGATGCTTGAAATAATAATATAAAATTAATCTCAGAGGAATCTACTGTCCTCATTGATGTGTACCGATACATTTACTGACAAAAATAGAAGATAGAGAGAAATTTTCTATTGTACAATCATGAATGTTTCATCATTAAAGACGCGTAAAAAAAGGAATGAAAAATACAAAAAAAACAATATTACGAAAAACAAATGTAATATAAATTATACGATAAGTTTTGATATAAACTGGTTGGATTTGCAATCAATTATTATGTGAAAGAATATTGACCACCATGTAGGATATATTGCATAAGATTTCATCTAGTTTGATCGTCTTTTTATTATTTTTCATACATAATCGGTGTTGGTCATCATGTTGAATTCATCCTAGTATTTCAGCATACAATTATACTTAATCGTTAAGTTTAAATTGAATTTATCACAGAAGACTAAAGCCCAAGAAAATATAAAGAAAGTATATATTAATATGTAGATCTCATTATCTCAAAATTACTTTTAAATTAAACGAATGAAAAGCCTTGAAAAATTATGGTTTTGTTAATTATTGAAGCAGTGTATTATTCTATACACTTCTTAGATCTAAATCGATGATGAGGGGGTTTTTGGTGTTAAAATTAGTGGAGTGGGTTTGAATAAAATTTCAAACGTTTTATGCTTGGCCTAAGAAATCTTTTTTTATGCAATTAATTAATGCACCTTTAGATTTAAATTTCATCAGGGCAATTAAACTAGACAATTAAAACGTTTTAATAACCCGATGACTTCCATATAAAGTTAAAGATATCGCTTGTTTTGACTTAAATTAAAAGTGAAAATAAATTTTATACTATTGATTTAATCCTTGTTGAAATATTTGATTTAACTTCTTTAAGATATGAAACAAATATTTATAACACACGCGTGTAAGAAAAATAAATTGTACCTTAAATTGTTTCACAAAAATATAAACTTACATGAAATTCTATTGTCTTTTTTTTAAATTGATAATACCTGCAAATCTTCTTAGTTTTGATGAATTTGTATTCCATATATTTTAGAAATAGTATCATTAGCTTTAACTTTAACTACGAAGAAGAGAAATCTAGAGTCAAATTATCTATCTTCTATTGTATTTTTAAAAATTGTGAATTGTATTATAATTACATTGTTTCAAAATAAATTCATTTACATTTCTTAGAATAAACCGATTTGAAAGAAAAACTTTAGCATTGTATATGTTAAGAATCAAAGTTTTCAAAATTCAATTTCATTCTTTATTGACTTGCTCAAATCATGGCAACATAAAAATTGGTTTGAAAAGAATGTGAGATGGACCAATTTTAATTTGGTGAAAAATCAAATTTTTATCAGTGAAATGTACAACCACTTATTTTTTTAGTCTGTAATTAGAAAAAAATAAATCCGGAAATTTTTAATACTTAACGAACCCTTTCAATTAAACTTATAAAATTTCAGGTTATTTCATAAGAAAAATAGGCAAAAACAAAACAAACAAATACAAGAATCATAATTTTACCTAAGGTATAGATTACTTAATGTCAGATAATGAAGGTAAGTTAAAAAATGCTGATACTTGCTCGGAAACAACAGGAAAGGTTGACAATTATAAAGAATTGAGGTATATCGCTGGTCCTCCAAAATTAAATCCAGATCGTCGACTACCCATTGAAATAGTTGATCAATTAATATCACTCAAATGTACTAATAAAATTTTGAATACTAATGAAGAGGTTCAAGACTTTCTCATAAATGTCCTCCTATATTGTCCTGCTTATTATGATTTAGGAAGAACTCATAACAGAAATACTCCTCGTAGGAACTACATTTTCTGTATATTTGAAGATTGTAAAGTAGATATGGAAATCAAAGCTCGAGAATTTGTTATTACCCGTATTGGTCAGTTGGAAGCAGGTAAAGGCCTAAAGTATAATCTTGAATTATTTTGTTTCGATGAAATTAAATTCATTGTCTTATACCTAGTTGGTATAGAAAAGTCTTGGTTGATTGAGTTTATTACGGACTACTTTAAAGTTGCTTCATGTGACTATATAATTTGCTCATCAAATCCTGATCTAGTTGAATTGGTTGAGGAAGTTGATCCGGATTTTATAATACTCGAAGGTTGTATCACAAGAGAAGTGAAACTTCAATTTGAAAAGTATATTACTATTACTCCATATGTAAGATTTGCAAAAAATAAGCGATCAATGCTAGATGGCATGTGGAGATCCATATTGATAGCTGATAAGAAACACTTAAGTCAAAAAGTTACTAAATTTCTAGACTTATATAGAGACTTCGGTCATGGAGAATTCAATGAGAAAATCAAAATTTTGCTAAGACTTAGAAAACGTTGGCACCAGCAATATTTCCATGGGCCCAGATGTGAAGTCGGATATGATTTTATCAAAGCAGCGATTCTGATCATTAAAGAGGATCTCACGTTTCAGCAAAAATTTTTAAAAATAGATCATTTATTTGAAATGGGGTTGTTTAATAACTTATCTTCCGAATTCAGCTTAGAGGTATCCGATTTTTTGGCAGGTTGAACTCTGTCGTGGTGTTTGCAGTATATCGATATGAAGTCAAACGTAAGATCTGATTTTGACTGCGTGCCAAAAAGAATGGCTAAGAGTATTTGACCTGTAAAAAATAATCATATTCCTCAGTTCATGTGTACTACTATCATAAGTCATTAATCATTTGTCGATTCTTGCTTTAAAAGCCCTTGCTAAAATAGTAAAGATCGTGTTAAACTCTGTTAAGAAAGCTGAGGGTAGCAAATTGAGAGTAACATGTTTTTGCTACACCCAACTTCCATAACAGATTGTAGGGTAAAGGTCTGTCATGGTTGAAGAAGAAATCTTATTTCCTATTGCTAGTAATAGTAATAAACCTTATCATGCTGTTAGACAATTATTTCTTGCCGACAGCAGATTTCAAATGAATTTGTACAAATTGTCCTAAAGTCTTGAAATTGATGATTGGAGGAACATAACAGATTCAATAATAAATTGGTTGAATTGCAATCAACAATTTGTGACAATTATTATCACCCATATTTGTTCAACAAGTGTCCATTGAGACAAATCTGATTGTGATAACAATCCTTCCAAGATTTCAAAGTTGTCAAAATTAAATTCTTTTGGTCTTTTTAGTATAATTGGTAGATCTAAGTAGAAGTATCTTTATTGCCTTCTGTTCATGATGAATATCATTAATTCCTTACACTCTTATTAGCATGAGGATTTGTTGATTGATCTACGTAACATTTAATTGATGTTTGTCTGTACCATGTGGATAGTTCATGTCCGACTCCTATATTTCTATGATAAATGAGCCTAAGCTGACATAAACTGTAATCACCAAAGTACAAATAGAACATGGGACACATGTTAGAAAATAGTCTGTCAACGTATCTTAGGTGTGGAACTAATGAAATTCGATTTGATACAACGGCAATTAAAATAATCTTAAGCAGTGCTTTTTCTCTCCCACCTTATTCCATACTTGTTTTTGATGACTTCTCAATTTTGATCTGATATGATTGTGATGAGCTTCTGATTTAGTAATTTGTCAAACTTTTTAGACATGTAATCAACAAATTTTTACTTGTTTCATAAACAATAAAAATTTTAAGCTTGTATCTTCTTTCATGACTTAGCTATCGTTTTTGTGTTTCTAGAGATTATTCTATTTTTACGCAGTTCAATTAATATACACAATGTACTATCAAATATGAATCCATTATCCAGCTGTCTAACCTCAGTATTCTAGAAAAATCCATAATAACATGAGATTAAAAGTAGCTATCGTTCAAATTGACTCTCTACTAGGTCAACCAAAACAAAATATATCAAAAATTCAAAATTTATTAACATCAAAATTATCATCATTTTCATCACCAAATCAAAAAAATTTAGATTTAATAGTACTTTCAGAATTAGCAATAACAGGTTATAATTTTAAATCATCAACTCATATAAAACCATATTTAGAAAGTGTTGATCAATTTGGTCCATCATTAAATTTTGGAAAACAATTAAGTTTAAAATATAATTGCTTTACAATAATTGGATATCCTGAAATTTTTAATAAAATAATATATAATTCAAGTGCTGTATTTAATAGAAAGGGGGAATTAATTTATAATTATAGAAAATCATTTTTATATGAAACTGATGAAGTATGGGGATGTTCAGAAAATCCAAATAAAAATTTTGAACCTATTATTTTAAATTTTGAAACAAATGAGAATAATTCTCAGGATAATGAAAGCAGTAAAGATAGTAAATCAATAATTACAAATATTGGAATATGTATGGATTTAAATCCTTATAAATTTGAAGCACCTTTCAATAAATTTGAATTTAGTTCAAAATGTTATTTAAATAAATCAAATTTAATAATATGTCCAATGGCATGGTTATCATCAAGTTCACCATCAATTAAAAAACAAGAAGATGAAATAAATCCAGAATTAAAGAGTCTATCACCAGAACAATACCAAAATTATCTCACCAAACAAGCTCAAAATATCACCTTATCAAATGAACCAAATTTTGAAACAATAAATTATTGGATATTAAGATTTTTCCCATTTTTAAATCATCCTTTTTCAATTTTGCCAAAATGGTGGTCAAACCAAAAAAAAATTAATATTTTAATTTGTAATAGAATTGGGAAAGAAAGTTCAATTATTTATGGTGGTAGTTCATGTATTTTACAATTTAATAATTCAACAGTAACAAATGATTCAATTGATATGAATAATCCAAGTGTTGATGTTTTGAATCCTTTATCTCAATCTGAAGAAGGTATAATAATCACTGAAATTGATGTATGAAGAATAAAAAAATAAGAAGTGAAAAAGAGTTTTAATTTAAGTGCTAAATAATGACTTGATTAGGGACTTGGATTTTTCATCCTTTTCTTCATCCTGTATAAGCAAGATTCAACATGAATGACGACACTCAAAATTGCAGCAATTAATACTAAGACAGTTGATTAAACATATCATTGAATTTAATTCGTTCATGTAATTAGCTATGAAAAAACACAATTCCAGAATTAAAGCATCAAGACAGAATCATATATTCTAGGTTTAAGACTCCACTAAATGGATCAAAATGGACTCAATTGAATTCGCATCACTCATTATATCTTAGAGAGTGTATCGATAAATTCTTAATTATTTATGAGTACGTTAAAAAGTGTTTTTTTAAAAGTATAGACCAGTTAAGTTACTTTTAATAAAATATGACAGAAGTTTAACTACTATTATTGGAATTCAAATATAACAATACTTTCGAATCCTTTACAGATAAGAAAAAAACTTGAGTCATGCTTAAAGGATCTTATCTCGATTTGAAGAAAATCTTTCCCAACATAGTCTTGATCCAGTACTTAACGGTCCATTTATGGATCCACAATTCTTAAACACTTCGAGGAATTTGATACAATTCCAAGATCAGTTGATTAAAAATATTATTCGAAATTTAATAATTTGCTATCCACCTTTTGTTCAATTGGCTCTGATTTTTAGGTCAAATACATACATATCTTAAAAGATTAGGAAATACGATCAAAGTATTCGGAAAGAAAAAAAAAGAAATTTTAAATTTAATCTAGATTTTATAATCTCTATTTCTTTATCTTTATCTTTTATAAGGCAAAATTCTGAATTTTACGATTAGGTTTTCATTGATTTGAAAGAAACGACTTAATCTCAAAAAAGTGAAAACAATTTACCTTGATTTAATCGATAGTTAGTTGTAAATGTAGCAAGCTAGACTACTGATCTAATAAACAATTAATAATGGGAAAAAAAAAAAAAAAATATGTGTCTGATATAACCATTGCTAGGGAATTCAATTATTACAAACCTCTTTTTCTTTCGCTAATCTGAATTATCTAATAACTTTTTAAATTAAAGTTTTTATGTCCAAATAGTTATGATCAACACAAATTTTGATACATTTGACGGGATGAGGGTTTTTATCACAGTATTTCTGTAGTTAGTTTTTATATGTAAATTGCAATTAGATAGTCTTTGTTAAATTTCGGTGATAAGAGAGTTTTAATTACATTCGGTGATAGATCCAAAAAAAGGCGAGAAGATTTACTTAGTAACAAAACCAAGTAATTTATATTTTGTGCCACTCGTCAATTAATGTGTACATATTAAAAGTTCCTAATCTTTTAACATAATTTGTATTGAGTGTCTCTATATCATGAAAAATTACAAACTTTGAACTTTGTATCAAGTAACAGTTTATGTCATATGTTTAACTAAACATATACGAAATTATTTATTTGAAGAACTAAGAAAACTAAATCTTAAATCTTAAACTTTAGATCTAAATTAAATCTGAAAAAAATACGAAATATTTTAATTTTTTTCGTTTCCCTTCAATTTAAAGTCGTGTGACTATTTTTAAATCTACTGATATTTTCTTGACTTTATTACTACTGTAGTACTTAGTAATTATAAAACGTATAATATAATAAAGTATTGATGATATTAACACAAAAATTTCAAATGAGTGGGGGGGGATGGGGATTATATTCAAAACACGTTAATTTACCAATAGATTGGTCTGTTTGATATTTAAATGAGTTCAAAAAGGATCAATCTTATTATCAATAGATGAGATTCAAAAAATGAAATATAAAAAGGTTTTCCTATCTTTGCTTCTTTTAATCAAATTTTTAATTCATTATGAATAATCTACATTACATAATTTTTTTTGATTAGGCCAACTGAAATTCTTATTATTATAAGAAAACAAAGAATAAGATCTAGTTTTCAATTCCATTTGAATACTACATTAGTTAAAAACAATTGGTTTTTCTTCCACTCATGATATGCAATAAACTTTCAAATTAAGCAGTTTAAACTACACATTTCTCTTACTGTTTGAATCATCATATCTGTTGGAATATGCCTCATATTATTTATTGATACATCTTAGATTCGATTCATTAAAATGATTATCTATCTTTTTTTTCTTAGTCCTTATTTTAAGTATTCCTACATATAAAATATAATAAAAAATTTAATGATAGTGTGACACTTAATATAAAATATTAATACTATACAATATACAATATACAAATTTATATTATTGGTTTCAAAAGATTTCTTAACTTTTATCAACTTCTTTTCTTTCTAAAAGTAGAGATTTTTCATAACCACTTTAATACCACAACCCTTTTTCATCAATCCAACTAGTTCTACTGTTTATACTCATTCATTCATTTATTTATTCAATTCATGAAACTTTATATTATATATTGAAAAATTACATATCATTTCATATCAGAAAAAATTATATATACACCAGAATTCCTTTCTTTTACAACGATCATATCAAATCACTTTTTCATCAACACTCAGATTTCTTCTTAGCATCTTCTACCTTAAAGGGAGACATATACTCAATATTTCATGTTTAATCCATAAGTTTCATATTATAATCAAATTGTTAGTGTTTCAAAATTTTTACAACCAAAAAATTATCAACTTACATTCCATAATCTACACACTTATTGCATAAAATAACTCAATAATAATGACAAAAATTTATACAAAACGACTAATATTAAAATTATTTTTATTATTTACAATATTTTTTACAATTTTAATATCATTAAAATCAATTATAGATCAACCTTCAATAAAACAAGTTCAAAAACAATTAAATGATCAAATAAAATTTAAATTTAATGAAATTTATTATACATTTTTAGAAAATAAAATTGATTTAAATAATGATAAAAAATTTAATGAAAATGTTAATAAAATTTTAAATAATTTATTGGAAAATGATAAAGAAAATAAATTTTGGGATATAAATCCAAATTTAAATAATAATAATGATTTACCATTAACAATACAAGTACCAAATTATGATTTACAAGATGATGAAAATTTTAAACCAAAAATTTCAAAATTTGATCCAAGATTAACTATTGGAATATATTATAATTTTATTATAAATTCAAATATACAAAATTTAATTGATATTTCAGTACCATTCCATTGGTCAGATTGGGTTGATTTATCAATTTTAAATAAATTTATAATGCCTGAAACTAATTTATTTGATAACTCAGATGTAAATCATGAAATAGATCAATGTAATGAATTATTTAATATATCAGGAGATTCCAAACTTATAAAAGATTCACATATAAAAAATATAAATAATTATTGTAAATATCAACCTTTTAATTTAATTGGATTTGAAATATTTGATGAACCAGGACCACAAACTGTTGAAAATAGAATTTTAATTGGTAAATCATATCTTTTACAAAATGCTCCATCACCAAATAAATTAATTTTTTTAACTAATAATAATTCATATCAAATAAATATAGAAGATAAAGATCATAATGATCTAAGTAATTCTTTATTAAATAATGGAATGATTGAATCTTTGGAGTTGACTTCAATTAATTTAATAGATACATATTCTAAATTTCAATCAATATCAGCCCCAACAGCTACACCATTAACAGATTCATTAATTCATATACCAGAAGAAAATTTCAACATAGATCCTTCCTCAGAAATAAATAAATTATTAAAACAAAATTCAGAAAATTTAATGGATAAACAATTCCTTCAATCATTACAATATAGTATAAATCAACAAGATCCAATAAAATATTTTTATGAATCAAAATTATTAAATTCAATTCCAGATTCATGGCAAGGTGAACATTATGATTGGAGATTTTTTAATGGTATAATATTAGGAAAAGATGAACAATCAATAATTCTACATAGATTAATTAAAAATTATTTAAATTTTGCAAGAAATCATGGTATTATTACATGGATTGCTCATGGTTCTTTATTAAGTTGGTATTGGAATGGTTTAGCATTTCCATGGGATGTTGATATTGATGTTCAAGTTCCAATATCTGAATTATATAAATTAGGTCAATATTATAATCAATCAATTATAATTGAAAATACATTTGATCAAAATGAAGAATTTGATGGATTTGGAAGATATTTTATTGATGTTGGTTCATCAATTACCCATAGAACAAAAGGGAATGGAAATAATGCAATAGATGCAAGATTTATTGATTTAGATACTGGATTATATATTGATATAACAGCATTAGCATTAACAGATTCAAATTCTCCAGAAAAATATAGAATTGAGGAGAATTATGTTGAAGATGAAGATAAATCTAAAGCTAGTTCATCATTTTTTAGATCATCTCCTATTCAAAAACCAATAAAAAATTTCCAAAAAGTAAATCAAGATTTAAAATTATATAATTGTAGAAATAATCATTTTACATCCCACCACGAAATTTCACCAATTCATATATCAATTATTGAAAATCAATTATCATACCTTCCCAAAAATTTTATAAATATATTGAATAATGAATATAATATTTTTGCAATTATAAAAAAATTTCATAGAAATTTTACATATTTAAAAACTTTAAAAATTTGGTGTAATACAAAAATTTTAAAACAAGTAAGTGGTATAAAAACAATTGATGATGAAAATTTAAAATTTAAAGAACTTATTAAATTAAATTCAATATCAAATTCAAAAATTTTAGAGTTATTTAAGTCATATCCTCAAATTTTAAAAGAATGGATAATAACTAAAAATTTTACAAATTTACATAATGATGAATTAAAAATATTAAAATCAAATTCAAATTATCTTATAGAAGATAAAAATGATTTAAATTTAAAAAAAATTGAAAAATTAATTGAATTAAATTTTAAAAGTATTGGTAGGAGTTTAAGACCTGATTATTTTATGAATAATTTAATGATGATGAATAATAAAAATGAAAATGAAATAATTTAATAATAATTTAATGTTTTAATGATTAATCGACTAGATTAACTTTACTATGAAAATATTCTATATCCTTGTATAATATCGGGGTAAATGAAAATAATATACGTAATGCTAAAGAATTTTTACTCTTAAGACACGAGTAAAGTAGAATATTTTATCATATCATACTATTAGCTATAACAATTAATTTGTGAAAACTATTCAATTTTTTATTTAGGTATGAGCTAAATTGAATAAAAATATTGAACGCAATCTTTAGGTAAGAGCTTAATTGAATAACAATATTGAACGAAATCTCAAAGAATCTAAGTCGAGACACGAATTTGTAGAATTTTTTAATCATAATCAAAAGAAATTGTTGCAAAATTTGAAAAGTTTGAAACATCGCCACAAATTCAAAAAATTCAAAATCAAAGCTCTTTAAAGATTAAAACACGCACAATCTGTTTTTTTTTTTTTTTTTTGCAAATCAATTATTATAAATTAAATTAATAGTCTAGCTTCCTAAACAGTAAAGAAATAGACTTAATCTATGGAGGAAAGATTTCTAAGTAATAATCTATATACTTTTTCATCTTTAATTCAGCTTTCAGAGCATCTAAAAACCTCTTTTTTTTTTTTTTTTCTTTTTCTTAAGAAGTGGTAAGAAATTATTCAGGAGTTCAATCTGAATAAAAACTTATTCAAATTATCCACCGCCTAATTTGTTCGTCGGGAAGCATAGTGCTCTACGATTGAGTTCGTCGATACCATTTAGACGAAGAAAGGCTTTGAAGCACCGGTTGATTTGAGTCATTCCATAACCATCAAGATTTGAGTTACATATTAGGATGTTTAATTGATACTTCGGTTTTTAAGTCCTAACAATTGCCAAAGAATTTTAGATTTGTTGCAGTGAAAAAATGGATGATTCCCAAGAATTCTAGAAGGAATTTCCAATTGTACACAAATGACAAACTTGCATCTGCTTATCTGTGTATCTTCATTACCCTAAATTGATTCGAAGAAAATAGTCAAGTTCATAAGGATTTGGTTTTGGCTCTATTGAGTAGTTTAAAGAATTTGTTCCATTCAGATTCCTCAAATTTTAACTCCCTGCTCCAACCGTCTGGGATTGCGACTCTTAAGTTGATGTTGTCTTGATTGTTGTCTAAAGCTTTAAGAGTCAATCAAACTTTCATTTGCTATTTCTTCCGCAGTTCGTCCTCTTTTCCTTGAAACTTTTGAGTCTTCCATTGATGTTGTTTCCGTGTAAAGTTCTCCTTTTCGATATGGTTTGGTCATTGTAAACCGCGTGATCAAACATTCTTGTTCGAAATGGTTTAAATGTGAAGATTTTTGAATCATTTTATTGATCTCAATTGATTGATCTGTTTCAATTGCCAAAGTAAAAAAGTTACACCAATATGGAGTTGTTTGTCTCTGAATCATAATTGTGAATCCAATTGTTTTCAACCAACTGGCTTGAAGTTTGTCCCTTCGTATAACGTTATGCCAATGGTCGTTGTCAAATAAGACTTGAAAAATAATCTTAGCATGAGAGCCAAGTAGTTGATGATTGATGAGTATGAGTATCACCAACATGAGGTGCCATATAATATTTCCAACCATCATTGTTGCAGAATAAAATCTTGAGTTTGAACTTCATAAGTAATATCATCATATTTTTCAGAATTATACCAATGATTAATTAAATTATAATTTCCGTTAACATAATTATAGCTTGCCCAATCTGCATTAAACTTATTAACTCTTTTATTTTTGAGGTTTAAAGGTTTTAATTGACCTTGAATTGTTGATCCAACACTATGTATAAAACTTTTTAAATGAAGAAGATTATCTGTAATAATTTCTGATCCATTACCATAAACCCATCTTAAACCAAAATTCAGATTAGAATCATTTGAATTTAATTTTGTTATAATAGCTCCATTTAAAACATAATTATCTAATAAATTTATTTTTCATTATAGTTGATTCCATTTCTTAAATTTATCATTTCACCCATGTTTTGAATTAATTAAATCACAATCATCTTGTAAACCATGATAAACAAAATCACTATGACCTGAACTTGATTTTTTATTTGTAACAGCTATAAAAAATGTAACTGCTGAAAAAAATGCACACTAATTTGAACTCCTCCACAAGTAGCTGCTGCAACTCCCATCCATGCAAAAGTGACAGTAACCATTACTGCATATCTTTGAATGTCCATCTTCATATAATCACCATGCTCTTTTATTACTGCTAATTAATAATGAATTTGAAATCTCATTTGACTTTTAATTAATTATTCATAAATTGTGTTTTAATTAAGATACACGCACTGGAGAACAATAGTATATGGAAAAAGGTTGAGAGCTAACTAATTAAGGGTCTGAAATATATATACGTGAAGTTTTCCATCTTCTTCAAGATATTGATATTTTTGTAACACCAACTAAGTACCTACAATTGATAGAATTATTTTAATAAAGGTTTTCCTTGCGTAACAATACTTAAATCCATTCATATTTAAAATAATGGAATTATCAAATGAAATAACATTAACAATTTTAACAGTTTCTTGGATAATAATAATACCCTTTTTAAAAGGTAATTTACAAATTTTTTCATTTTTTATATCATCTTTAATTTCAATTTTTTTATTTATTTTTATATATAAAAATAATTCACTAGGTAAAGATAAAAAAAATGAATTAAGATTAATTGATTATGATGATGATGAATTAAAGAATTAAATTGGGATTTGGGGATTACTTGGGGATTATGTATTATTGATTTATGGGTTTAATTCCCTTTATTCAATACCTGATCATGGCAAGGTGAAGAACATTATGATTGAAGATTTTTTAATGATATAATATTAGGAAAAGATGAGCAATCGATAATATTACATAGATTAATTAAAAACTGTTTGAATATGCAAAAAATCATGGTCTTATGACATTGATAGCTCATGGATCTATATCAAGTTGGTTTTGGAATGGTTTATCATCAATAAGTCATTGAACAAAAGGAAATGGAAATAATGCAATTAATGCAAGATTTGTTAATTTAGATATCGGATTAGCTTTAACTGATTCAAATTCACCAGACAAATATAGAATAGAAGAAAATTATGAGGAGGAGAAAATAATGATATGGAGGCAACAAAGAAAACAACAAAATCATCATTTTTATCCTTTTAAATCATCATCAACAATTTAGAAAACCAATAAAAAATTTGAAAAATGTGAATCAAGATTTATGTAACAAAATGAAGAATCAAAAATGTTAAAATCTGACACGAAGTATCTTATAGATGATAGAAAAGATTTAGATTTAAAAAAATTTGAAAAATTAATTGAATTAAATATAAGAAATATTGGTAGGAGTTTTAGACCTGATTATTTTATGAATAAAATAACGATACTGATGAATAATTAAAAGGAAATGAAGTAGTTTGATGATGATTTAATGTTTTAATGATTAATTAGCTAGATTAACTATAATGTGAAAATATTCTATGTCCTTGTATAGTATAGTGTATAAATGAAAATAATATACGTAATCTCAAAGAATCTAAGTCGAGACACGAATTTGTAGAATGTTTCATCATAAACCAAATAACAAATTGTTGCAAAAAAATTTGAAACACCGCCACAAAATCAAGAGCTCTGATGAATGGAATTTTACATACACACTAAGACTTTAATATCTTTAAAAAAGTCTTGATTTGTCTGAAGTCTTGCTAATGTTTCAATAGTAAGTAGTAAAGTAAAGTTTTCAACCCTGTAATTATACTTTATTATTATTATTTACACTGCCTCCTGATTTACAGTTTTTTCTAGCTGAAACATAAATTTTTGAAACAATTAATTACATCATTTTGCTTTATTATAACCCACATGGGGAACCACTTTAGTAAGTTATCAACGTTGTTTCATAGGAAACGTTGAGATCAGTTTTTATTGTGTTCATTTGTGTTTAGTGTGTATAGTATAAGTAATCTGATATTTGATTGTTGAAGTTAAGGTACAGATAATAAATTGAAATTTCATACACAAAATAAATATATGATTGCAAGGCTAACAATAATTTGTAATATTCACCATCAGATTCTACAGATTTTTAGTTTTCGTAGAGTTCACAATATAGTGTTAAAGGGCTGTATACTATGAAGTTTGATTTCGGACTTCAAAGAGGGGAACAAAATAGCAAATTGATCAATCGTAATCTCATAAAGTGAAAATGAAGAAAAGCAGAGTATCTTAAATTTAAAAAATCTCGAATCTCGAACGGCAGAACAGAATAAACAATTGTACAAGATTATAACGAGATTATAAAATTCAGTAATTTGTCACACTTTGATTCCTTTAGTCTAGACTAATACTAATAACTTTCACAATAATTGCTTATATGTTTGCTTTACTATTATTTTAATTATTAAGCAACGTATTATAGTTTTGTGTCACTTCGTACCAAATTTATGATCTCGGACTATTACTTTATTCAGACGTCTTTTGTAATTTAACCTCTTTTGATCATCCTTCGAGAACAAGTGTTGATCAATGATAATTCGCTTTTAGTAGAGTATTTGACAGCTTGATAAGCTTCGTTACTTGTTTTTCTTTTTTTGATCTTTTACGGGTCATTCGAAATAGTTTTCGCTTCATGTGTTAGACTTAAATCTAACGCAAAAAAGAAAGAAAATGAAATTGAAAAAGATTCGAGGACCGAACGGAGTTGAACGAGTAAAAAATAATAAACGACAAGCAATAATCATTAGTACTAAACATTTACTGCTTTCATCCAGAGGACTTGCGAAATCTGTTTCTATCTTCAAGCTAAACTTTACCTGATTTACAATATGATTCTCAATCATCTAAAAACTGAAATTTCATGAATTCTTATGGAAATAACAAAAAGTTACGACGATATGATTGATAACGGTCAGAAAAAAAATTAATTCAAAGCCATGATTCTAACATACTTTGAAGTATTTCAATATTAAACTCAAATCAAAATATTTCTAGCCCTGTTCTTTTATTTCTTCGAGCCCTTTATTTCTTTTGTAATTTAATTGTTTTTCTTACTTTAGATCTATTTATATGTCATTATAAATCAGAGTTTGATCTAGCTCAACGTTATTTCCTATAGGTTTTAATTGTCCGATACTTCCAGTTTTAAAATATTTTTCTTTCAACCGAACTTTTTTCAGTCTTACTTTTTCATTTGAACTTCTACACAAATAAATTTCAGAATTGTATGTTTTCTCCTATTTGAATAAGATTCCTAAGATCTACCAAAATGATGAAAAAGAGGATGAATCGACTTAATTCTTCATATATTATACTTTTTCATGCAATCAATTAACCTTGAATTTAAATTTATTTCAAAATGTTAGCTTTTAAATTTAAATTTAACCCCCTTGATACTAGAAGTAAATAAACTTCGATTTTTCTTACCAATCAATCAACACAATCTTTCAGTTCTTTTTTTTTTTTTTCACAATAACAATTCTTACTTTGCTTTTACGATTTCTTGCATCTTTTTATAATTATTAGATCTTTAGCATAATCATATATAACAGAAGTAATTAGAAGTAAGTAAGACTTAAAAGATGAAAAATTAAAAAATATACAAACCAAAACCAAGAGAATTTCTTCAACAACTATTCCAAGAAGATTAGCAAAAAGTTATTGTATAATTACACCAAGATTCAGAATTGTTTTGTTGGTATTATTTTATTCATGATGAAATTAGATTTTTCTTGTTGAAGTTGAAAGTTATTGATGGGGTTATGTTGATCAAAACTGTAATTTCTTTACTTAGTTATATGTGAATATTATATATTTACTGTATTATGTATGTTTTAAAATAAGTTACGTAATTGATTTTAATTGCTCTTATTTAATAATAAATTTAAAACAAATTTATTATATTCTCGATGATATATATAAAACTTAATACATTAGTATAAAGTAAAGTAAGTACATATATATATAATTGTATTTGCTTAAAGAAGTATGAATTAGTTAAATTTCATTATATTCATCAAATTAAAACCAATATCAAATCGTCTATCAAATTTTGGGTTAGTAATCTTCACTAATTTCATTCATATAACTTTTATCAGTATCAATCAAAAAAATTAAGGTTTTTTTTACCGTTTAGTTTTAATTAAGATAATACAATTGAAAAAATTCTTAATATTAATAATTTATTCATTAAATTTCATTAATTATAAAATCCCATATTTATATATTTTTACAACCACTTCTTTTTCTTAAAACTCAGTCATCATCATCTACTCATCCACCTAAGCCGAATCCATCATCATAAACTAATTCATCATGACAATAAGTAGTTTATTATCACCAAAGAAATTATTAAATAAAGATAAAACATCAAATTCATTTGCTACCAAAAAGCAAGGTCAATTTTTTACAACCGATATTAAGAATAATAAAGAATTGCCACAACCACCATTACAACAAAATGAATTACAACCACATCAACAAGTAAATAATAATTCATCACATAATGTTTCATCTTCAAATATAGCATCTTCAAATTCAAATTCAAATTACACATCATTAGCACCACCACCAGTAGATCAACCAGTAAATTTACAACCACAATCACAACCACAACAAAATTTTAATCAACAATTAGATTCTGCTTTTTCACCAAATATACTGCCACAACCATTACCATTAAATAGAGCTAGATCTCCCCTTGCACAACCACCAACAACTTCATTTGATGATTCAAATTATGGATTTAAACAACAATCTTCAATACAACAAAATCAATTTAAAAATTCACCATTATATTTTTTATCTCAAAGTGATAATAGTAGTTCAAGTGCAGATTCAACAACAAATAATAATAGTAGTAATATTGGTAACCACAATAATTTTAATAATTTTAACAATTCCAAAAATTTCAACTTACCTAAATTAAATTCAAGTGTTTCTGAAGTTTCTTCAGTAAATGATCAATATTCATTACAATCTCCTAAATTAAGACAACAAGCTCGTCAATCAGATGTATTTTCAGATAATGGAAGTTTTACAACAAATAATACTCCTAAACGAACTTTAAGTGATAGAGCTAAAAAGACACCATCATCATTTGTACGTCAATCTCGTTTATTTTCAAATGATTTAAGTGATATTGATTCTCAATCTTTAAATTCTTTAAATGGTAAATCATTATTATTACAAAATAAAATTCAAACTGAAAATTTAAGTCCTGAATTTCATCCTATAGTTACTTTATTAAATGCTCAAAAATTAAGAACTTATTGTATTGGTTCTTTTCAAATTTTAGGGTTTTGGAATTTAGAAAAAGTATTTTTTGAAGTTGATTCAAAATTAACTGGTAATGAATTAGCTATATGGAGACCATCAAATGATGAATATATAATAGATAATGGTCATGATGAATTTAAACCAAAATATATAAATTTAATTGATTCAAATTTTGAAATCTTGGGTGATTTACAAATTAAAATTTATCAAGATTATAGAGATGATTCAAATATTATTATTAGATTTCATAATAATAATGATTTTTATAAATGGGTTAGTGGTATAATATTAAGTAAATTTGAATATATTAAATTAAATGAAGCTTTTACTGCTGTTTTATTAAGTTCAAAAGGTTCAAAATTATCAGATATTCATGTTTTATTAAGTCATAAAAAAAGATTTATTGAATATGAATGGTGTAATATAAGATTACCTGAAATTTCATCAAAATGGTTAAAAATTTATATGGTTATATTACCAAGTGATAAACATCATTTAGGTAGAATTGAAATTTATCCAAGTGATAAAAAAATGCAAAAAAAACATTTAATTGCTTATATTAGTGATTTATCAAGTTTATTTAATGTTTATCCAGAACAATCAAATATGATTGATTTTAATTCAATAATGAGTGCTTCGGGTAATATTCATATAAATAGAAATTATGAATATTTATTTCCTTATAGTAATCCAGAACAAAATTCAACAGATCCAAGAAAATTAATTGCTAAAAATCATCATTCATCATCAGTTTCTCGTTCAGGTTCAAATAATTCATTATCATCACTAGCAAACAATTTACAACCACCTTCAACTCCTATGTCAAGATCAAGATCAGGTTCATTAAATTCTACAAATTCATTTTTTAATCATTCACCATCAAATACAAATTTAAATAATCTTACAAGAAATAGATCAATATCAAATGTTTCTGATTCTGAGAACAAGAAGTTTTATAAAAAATCACAAACTGAATTTGATTTAAACAAGACAAATTCAAATTTTTTTAAAAAACATGCAGAAGAATTTGTATCAACTAATATAATGTATATAATGCCAATACCACACCCGGGAGTAAGTGCAGTTGAAACAATGGTTCGTAATTTTATTCCAATTATAGATTCATTTAAATTATATGGTAGACCAAAACATTTATTAAGTGATAAAACTAATCCAAATTCAATGTTATTTGGTTTACCAAGTTTACCACATTATCAATATTTATCAACAAATGATTCATTTGATTCTTTTAAATCTTACTTTAATGACCACCAAAACCACCAAAATTTATCAATTTTTGAAATGGAAAATATTTTAAAATCTAAAATTATTAATTTACAACAAAGAAATAATAAACCTTTTAAAGGTCATGGAGATATTAATAAATTATATGATAATTTAGATTTAAGTTTTGATGAAATTCATTCACCTGTTTTAAATGGTATTGATGTTGATGGTAATAATAATGGTATTTCAAATATTACTAATAACAATAATAATAATAGTCCTAATAATTTACCGAGTTTAGGTGATCCAATTAATTTAAATTCTCCAAGAATTGCTAGTCCTTTAAGTGTTTAAATCAAGGAATTGATCAACTTTGCTTAAGTTCATAACAAATAACTAATCATCAACACACATTTTGTAAGGTCATTTTACAATAAAAAAAAGGTCATTTGCTTTTTACTTTTTTTAACTATTCATCTTTTATTTTGCTGTTTAGCTTTTTGATTCTAAATTTGGTTTTCTTATACATATGTAGCTTATAGATATTTCAATTAAAATAAATATGTTCATTTCAATTAAATTCCTATTCTTTTAAAAAATCGAATTCTCAACATTCTCAATGAGTTAAATTAATTGAAATCAATCTTGTAGTAGGAGGAAAAGATTTATCTAATGGAGTATATATTCTTAAAATTATCAAATCTAAACTCTTAAAATATTCCGAAGATCGGAAAGATAAGATAAGATAAACGATTGAAAGTAATATACGATAATGATCGAGAAAAGAAAAGAAAAGCAAATCAATCAATTATGAAAGTTTATTCTTTATAGCTGAAACTCGGAAAAGTCTTATACAAGGAAAGTAAACTTCTGAAGTCAAATACATCATTGAGTGTGGAAAAGAAAAATTTAGTTCACATTATATGTTTTTGTAACTTTGTTTTGTTAGTTTCTTCAGATTCACAATTTTGTGGTTATATAAGATACGCCTATAAAATTATAAAAATCGCGTCATAGACGTGTACGATTTAATTCCGCATCTTAAATTATTAATTGAAATTGAAATTATTATTAAGCTTAATAATGAATGTTTATTTGCAATTATTTAATTATGCTTGTGGTTGATTTGCAACAAGTTGGTTCAATTCAATTCAAAGGTAATGCCTTTAACACTCATATTTCTCTAAATTCTACAAAATGCCAATACACCATTATGAATATACACGTGTAATTTCAAGTACTACACGTTACACGTCTTCGTTTAACCTATTTAATTTCAATTTTAGTTACCTCTTGTGTAAAACTATTTCCATGTTTTCATCAATTAACTTACTTTAATTAGCCATAAACAAAACAAAACAAACAGATCAAACACGAAAAATCTTATGAAATTTATAAACCCGTATTGTACAAAATCCGTAATACAAAAAAAAGTAGTGTATATAGTTAAATATAATTTGCTATTCAAAACAAATGATACAAAAGTACACTACTTACTAATATGAAACTTAAAAATATTAATAGAATAGAACCTTTCATTCTACTATCAAAAGTATAAACAAATCTATACAGAGAAAATAATTAAATACTTCACAAAAATCACCACATTTCTTATTTTACAACATTTAGCATATATTATTTAAAAATACAATATCATCATAAACCTTTTGCATATATCGGACATCACTAATATAAAAAAATAAATCATATATCTATATAAACTATCCAACACGTCTTTGAAAATAAATTTTATAGTTTTTTATCATCATCATTAGATCTCATATTATCAGGCATAATAAGACTAATTACTTAAAAGTTTTACATTCATATTAACACGTTCATTTTATTCATTATTTCTTTTATCAATTTTAATAATTAATTTACAATTTTATATAATAAACAATTAGAAATGTCATCCATAATACCACAAGAGACTCCAACAAAAGGATTAACTGGAAGAATATCTGGATTAGATATGTCAAACGCGTCTGGAAAATCATTAACAGATAGATTAGCAGCTGAAGCTTTAGCAAAAGATGAAGCTCAAACTAATATACATGATGTCAAAGCATCTTTAAATAAACCAACCACAACCACCACCACAGAAGAAAACAAAAATGATAAAGTTGAAGCTGAATTAAAACAAATGGATGCTGAACATGAAAATTTTTTAAAAACTCATAAAGTCCATAGACATGAATTAAAAGAATTAGAAGCAGAAGAACCATTATTAAAAGAAAATAAACGTCGTTATGTTATGTTTCCAATTAGATATCATGAAATATGGCAAATGTATAAAAAAGCAGAAGCTTCATTTTGGACAGCAGAAGAAATTGATTTAGGAAAAGATTTACATGATTGGAAATTTAAATTAAATGAAAATGAAAGATATTTTATTTCAAGAATTTTAGCATTTTTTGCTGCTTCTGATGGTATTGTAAATGAAAATTTAGTTGAAAATTTTTCAGCAGAAGTTCAAATTCCTGAAGCAAAATCATTTTATGGTTTCCAAATTATGATGGAAAATATTCATTCTGAAACTTATTCTTTATTAATTGAAACTTATATAAAAGATCCAAAAGAAGCTGATTTTTTATTTAATGCAATTGATAATATTCCTCAAATTAAAAAAAAAGCAGATTGGGCTATAAGATGGATTCAAGATGATGATGCATTATTTGCTGAAAGATTAGTTGCATTTGCTGCTGTTGAAGGTATATTTTTTAGTGGTTCATTTGCTTCAATTTTTTGGTTAAAAAAAAGAGGTTTAATGCCTGGTTTAACTTTTTCAAATGAATTAATTTGTAGAGATGAAGGTTTACATACTGATTTTGCTTGTTTATTATTTGCTCATTTACAAAATAGACCAAAACCAGAAATTGTAGAAAGAATTATTACAGAAGCTGTAAAAATTGAAAAAGAATTTTTTACTGATGCTTTACCTGTAAGTTTATTAGGTATGAATTGTAAATTAATGTGTCAATATGTTGAATTTGTTGCCGATAGATTATTAATTGCCTTAGGTAATAAAAAAGTTTACAATGTTACTAATCCCTTTGATTTTATGGAGTCGATTTCCCTCGCGGGAAAGACGAACTTCTTTGAAAAAAGGGTATCAGATTATCAAAAATCTGGAGTTATGTCATCAGCTCAAGATAAAGAAGCTGATGTTTTTGCTTTCAACGAAGACTTCTGATAAGCAGAATTTATAGTATTGTAGTGGTAAAAGTACACTTGTCGTAAATATGGCGTCAGCTAGAAATTTCCTACCACAGTAATTATGGAAATTTCTATATTACAATGAAAATTTCAGTTATTGTTATTAAATTTTCACCATCAAATGAAATTCGTCTAAGGATTAAAGATTATCTTAAATATGGACGAATTTCCAATATTTTTACCTTTTTTATATATTTTATTAGTTAGTTTTTTCACCATAGATATTCTCTCTACAAAGAATATACATTTATTTACCAGTTTTTACATAAGTTTTACATTATCTCGTTAATAGAACAAAGTTCATGTCGTCACCTCCAAACTTATACAAGTATATAAATTTCATAGATTAAATAGGAATGAAAGATTATAATGATTAAATTTATTTTGTAGAATTTTGTCGTTTTTTTTTATAGTTAAGAGTGCGACAAAAAGTTGCGAATAAAAATTCGTTGTTGCGACAAAGAGAATTTCACGAAACGACATAAACTCCGTTTTTACTCTGCATTCTCATTTTAATTATATAAATTCTTCCAAACCGCAGGTGAATTATATGCGTTTATTTTGTAAGTTTAAATTGTATAGTTAAGTAACTTAATAAATCGCTAGAAAGAAAAAAAAAAAAAAAAAGTTCATAAGTCGATTATAACTCTCCAAAAATAAAGCACATATTAATAGTAAGTTATACCTTACTTGTTGATAAGTGAGGAACCGAAGCTTTGGTTCAAATCATTTTCACATCCTTACCGTATTCATTGAGCTTGTTATTTGGAGAAACTAATTTCTTCAATGGGGGAGGTATTTCGTTAAGAAATTTGTAAACATGATCAATTCTATAGGAAACGACTATTTTACACAAAATCGCAAACATGAAATAAAAAAAAAGTTAAGTGCTTCAAGCTATTTGCAACTCATCTAATCTAATCGATCTATTCCAATAAAATAAATGGGAAAAGGTAAAAACAAGACATCGGAAGATAAATCCAATAAAAGCCGGACCTCAAATGGTCATAAATCGAAACAACATCACATACGAAGAGGCAAACAAGAAACAGGGGCATCTTCATCTTCATCATTTATTAATCCAATTGATGGATCAAATACAACTACCACTACAACCATAAAAAAGTTTCCAACAAAATTAGCAATGTGGGATTTTGATCATTGTGATCCTAAACGATGTAGTGGTAAAAAATTAGAAAGATTAGGTTTAATTAAAAATTTAAGAATTGGTCAAAAATTTCAAGGTATAATTATAAGTCCAAATGGTAAAACTACTGTATGTCCAAATGATCTTGAATTAGTTGAAGCTCAAGGAGCAGCAGTTGTTGAATGTTCTTGGGCTAGATTAGATGAAATTCCATTTCAAAAATTAGGAGGTTCAACAAAAAATGAAAGATTATTACCTTATTTAGTTGCAGCTAATCCTGTAAATTATGGTAGACCTTGGAAATTAAATTGTGTTGAAGCATTAGCTGCATGTTTTGCAATTGTTGGACATTTAGATTGGGCGGAATTATTATTAGAAAATTTTTCATGGGGTTTAACTTTTTTAAAAATTAATAAAGAATTAATTGAAATTTATCAAAATTGTGATGATTCTGAATCTATTTTAAAAGCTCAAGATGATTGGTTGAAGAAAATTCAAATTGAAGCTAAAGAGAGGAAAGAACAGGCACATAATGGAGATATTTGGATGATGGGAAATGTAAATAGAAAAGATATTGATGATGAAGATGATGAGGAAGAGGAAGAAGAGGAAGAGGAAGAGGAATATATTAATGAAGATGATAGTGATGTAGAATACGATAATTTGGGTAATCTAATATCGAAAAAGAAATATGATAGTCTAGGGAATGAAATAATAGATGGTGATACTGAGGACAGTGAAACGGAAGATGAAGTAGATGAAGTTGTTTTTGATAAACTAGGAAACGTAGTTGAAAAAAACACATTAAGCGAAAAGCTAAAGACAGTTAGTATTTGAGTTCTAGGTATAAATATAAACATGAATAATGATTCTCAAAACGAAATGTGGACTGTAGTAGAGCGCTTTTAAAATTGTGTAATTATTTAATTATAGTTCAAATTTACGGCTTTGTTTCCAAATTAAGAAGTTAGCGCTTGATAAAGTTTTAAATACAAATTATACTCACATAATTTATTGATTTAAATCTAATGTCAAATAACCATTATGAATTTTCATTATCTAAGCGATTCTGAATTGCCAATTAACCGATTCAATTGATATTACTAAGCGATACAATCAAATCAAAGACACCGAATAATATAAGTACCTATTTAATTCCAATTTTCATGAGCCAACTAATATAATAATAATTACTCACTACAAAATAAATTTATTCAAACATGGTACAAGGTATTCAAATTTCAATTGATAGAGGTGGAACATTTTGTGATGTTATAGCAAAAATTCCAAATGAAAAAGATTATGTTTTTAAACTATTATCAGTTGATCCTCAAAATTATAAGGATGCTCCAACTGAAGGTATTAGAAGAATTTTAGAAAAAGTAAATTCAACCACAATTCCTAAAGATTCAAAGTTAAAATTAGATCAAATTCAAAGTATTAGAATGGGAACAACAGTTGCAACAAATGCATTATTAGAAAGAAAAGGAGCAAAAGTATTACTTATTACTACAAAGGGTTTCAAAGATGTATTAGTTATAGGAAATCAAACAAGACCAAATATTTTTGATTTAACTGCAAAAAAATTAGGACATTTATATCATAAAGTTTTGGAAATTGATGAAAGAGTAACTATAGCTGGATTTTCTGAAGGTGGTGGTGACAAATTAAAAATTGAAACTAAAGAAGATCCTGAATTGAAAGAAAGTGTAACTGGTGATATTGTACGAATTATAAAAAAACCTAATTATGATTTAATCAAAGAACAATTGCAAAACATATATGATGAAGGAGAAATTAAAACTATAGCATTGTCATTGTTGCATGCTTATGCTTATCCAGAACATGAAGCTAAAGTTGCCAAAATAGCCAAAGATATTGGATTTACAGTTTCTGTGTCTCATGAACTACAACCAATGATTGGATTTGTTAATAGAACATCATCAACAGTCGCAGATGCTTATTTATCACCAGTTATAGATGAATATATACAAAATTTTGGTGCTGGATTCGAAGGTGGTTTAAATGCTTTTGGTAATAAGTTGTTATTTATGCAATCAAATGGTGGGCTATGTCCTTGGTATAAATTTACTGGTTTGAAAGCTATCTTATCTGGCCCAGCTGGTGGTATGGTTGGATTTGGAGAAACTTGTTATGATGATATTACTGAAAGAGCCACGATTGGATTTGATGCTGGTGGTACATCAACTGATGTCTCGAGATTTGCAGGGTCATTTGAGCACATATACGAAACTGTTGTTAGTGAAATCAATTTGCAAACACCTCAATTGGATATATCAACTGTTGCTGCTGGTGGTGGTTCAATGTTATTTTGGAAAAACAATATGTTTGTCGTTGGACCCGAATCTGCTGGTTCTGATCCTGGTCCTGCTTGTTATAGAAAAGGTGGTCCATTAACAGTTACAGATGCAAACTTATTGTTGGGAAGATTACTTCCGGATCATTTTCCAAAAATATTTGGACCAAATCAAGACCAACCTTTAGATTATGATATTGTGAAAGAAAAATTTGAAAAATTAACTAGAGAAATCAATTTGGATCAAGCAACCACAGGAAACATTTTAAGTCCTGAACAAGTAGCTAGTGGGTTTTTAAAAGTTGCAGTTGAATCAATGGCTAGACCTATAAGAAATTTAACTGAAGCAAAAGGTCACGAATCGGCCTCTCATAATTTAGCATCTTTTGGTGGCTCTGGTGGTCAATTTGCAGTTCCTTTAGCTAAAAATTTAGGAATTACCAAAATTGCAGTTCATAAATATTCATCATTATTATCAGCATATGGAATTCATTTGGCAGATATTGTAATTGAGAAACAATCTCCAGCTTCTTTGGTATATGAGAAACTGAGCTTAAAAATTCTTTTTGACAAGATAAAGCAATTAATCATAGACGCTGAAAAGGATTATCATGATCAAAAATTAACTCAATTCAAAACAAGAACGGAAGTTTACTTAAATATGAGATATGTTGGAAGTGATACCCATTTGTTGATTCAATCAAATATTGATGAGATAGATGCTGATGAGAAATTTATTTCCAGACACAAATCAGAATTTGGATTTAATCTAGATCGAAAAGTTTTAGTTGATGATGTTCAAGTATTATTAATTGTTGAATCCGATGATAAAGAAAAACACAATCCGTATGAAGAGTTTAAAAATTTGACAACTTCGAGTGCACCTCCGGCAAATATAATTCAAAAAGTTTATTTTGAAATTCAAGGTTGGTTAGATACATCTGTTTATGCATTGTCAGAATTGAAAAAGGGTGCTATCATTCCTGGTCCTGCTATTATAATCGACGATACTCAAACCATTATTGTTGAACCAAGGTCAAAAGCTGCTATAATTTCGAATCATATTTTGATAGATGTTGAACAAGAAGAGAAACCACAGCTCTCAAAATTCAATGTAGATCCAGTTCAATTATCAGTTTTTGGTCATCGATTTATGTCAATTGCTGAGCAAATGGGTAGAACATTACAACAAACTGCTATATCAACGAATATAAAGGAGAGATTGGACTTCTCATGTGCAATCTTTGATCACAACGGAGATTTGATAGCTAATGCTCCACATATACCAATTCATTTAGGTTCAATGTCATATGCTGTTAAAGCTCAATTGGAGATTTGGAAAGGTAAATTAAAACCAGGAGATGTTTTAGTATCTAATCATCCAAAAGCTGGTGGATCTCATTTACCTGATATTACGGTCATAACCCCTGTTTTAAATGATAAAAATGAGCCAATATTCTGGACAGCGTCAAGAGGGCATCATGCTGATATCGGTTCAATTGCTGCTGGTTCAATGCCACCTAACTCAAAAACAATTTATGATGAAGGTGCTGCAGTTATTACTCATAAATTATGCTCGGAAGGAAAATTTGATGAGGAAGGAGTGATAAGAATATTGGTCGATGAACCTGCAAAACAACCAGGTGGATCAGGTACAAGAACATTAAGTGATAACATTTCCGATTTAAAAGCTCAAGTTGCTGCAAATTATAAAGGTATAGTTTTGTTGCAAAAATTAGTTGAAGATTTTACATATGATGTTATTAAACTTTATATGGGTGGTATTCAATCAACTGCTGAAATCGCAGTTAGGAATTTATTAAAATTAGCATATGCAAAATTTGGATCAAAAGAATTGAAAGGTATTGATTATATTGATGATGGTACAGCTATAGCTTTAACTGTTACTATTGATCCGGAAAGTGGATCCGCATTGTTTGATTTTACTGAGACTGGTGATGAAATTTATGGCAATTTAAATGCTCCGACTGCTATCTTGTACTCAGCCGTGTTATATGTTTTGAGATGTTTGATAAGTACAGATATACCGTTAAATAATGGCTGTTTGAGACCAATCAAATTCAAAACTAGAGATGGATCATTAGTAGCACCATCTTATGATGCAGCTGTTGTAGGTGGTAATGTTGAAACAACTCAAAGAATTGTTGATGTAATGTTGAAAACTTTTGAAGCAGCAGCTGGTTCACAAGGTACATGTAACAATCTAACATTTGGAGTGAGTGATAAAGAAAATGGAATTTCATTTGGTTATTACGAAACAATTTGTGGAGGTTCAGGAGCAGGCCCAACTTGGGATGGTCAATCAGTAGTTCAATGTCATACAACAAACACAAGAATGACAGATACTGAGATATTTGAAAAGAGATATCCTGTATTATTGCATGAATTCTCGGTAAGGAAAAATTCTGGAGGTGAAGGTTTACATAAAGGTGGTGATGGTGTCATTAGAGATATTGAATTTCTATACCCATTAGAGGTTTCATGTTTGATGGAAAGAAGAAGTTTGGCTCCATACGGATTATTAGGTGGTAAAGAAGGTAAAAGAGGTGTTAATTACTGGTATTATAATGATTCTAACGATGAAAACAAAGTACAGAAAAGAAAGTCAATAGGTGGAAAATGCACTGTTAAGGTACAAAAGGGAGACAGAATTGTAATTTGTACCCCTGGTGGTGGAGGATTTGGCGATAAGAGTGAGGAATTGAAAAAATCAGGTGCTACTAGATCTGTCAATTATCCAATAGAAAGTACCAAACCTTCGAAACTAACAGGTTCAGTCGGTATGAGATCGATTATACAAGACACCAATTAAATAACTTTTTCGTGTACAAATTGTAGTTTATTTCGTAAAATTTGTTGAGGGAATTAATAATTATTTGTAACAGATCGTGTCAAATCTTTTCAATCTACTTGTGTGAATGAAGTATAATGAATATGTATGAAATTTTCATCAAAAACTCCAAAGTATCTTTATTAATAATAGTGAAGAACGACCCTTTGACTCGGAGAAAAAGTATGTGTTTTGATAAGTAGAGTAGAAACCTTCCACAGTTTTTTAAATTTAAAATAAATTTAATTTTAAGCGGAATTGAATTTTGTGTCAGTATAATATTTCGAAACAAATCACAAAGCTAAATTTGGATTCATTTAATTTCTACATTATTTGATAATAGTCCGAATAATAATTGTTGAAAAATTTTTGGTATGCAGTTTTATCAGTTATAACCTAGTTCATTAAAGGATCTACAAACAGAAGTCGATGTTTTCGTTGGGAAAAAAGAGATTATTGAACCAGGCCAAGGTTCAGTTGAGATTCAAAAGTTCAACCAACACCAATTTTTCAAATCAAACTTTGATAAATTATGCAATACTTGGTTTTGGTTCACTAAGTGTTGGATTTTTAATTGGAAAATCATTGAACAAATCAAAGTCAACTAAGAAAGCGACACCAATTCCACCTACAACTTCTACCGCGTCAAATGCAGACTTAAATGACTCAACTGCCCCAGTATCAACATTACAACCTCCAAAGTATGCGAATGAAAAAGAATTCGAAGAGGGTTTAGACAAAATCATTAATATTGTTGGAAAGGATCATATAAGTTTTGAAAAAGAGGAATTAGATTCTCATAATGACTCATTTTTTTCAACCCATCATCCTCCAAACCCTGATAAACAAAGACCCAATGTGGTTATCTCACCAAATTCAACAGAGCAGGTTTCTGAAATTGTGAAAGTTGCTCATCATTACAGGATACCAATTGTTGCAAGTTCTGGTTTAACTTCATTGGAAGGTCAAAATATTCATACTAGAGGACCTTTCAGTATTGCATTGTCTTTTAGCGAAATGAATAAAATTTTAGCTTTTCATCCTGAAGATTTAGACATGGTAGTTCAACCAGGTGTTAGTTGGCTGGACATTGCGGATTACCTTGATAATAAAGGCAGCAATCTTTTGTTCGGACCAGATCCTGGTTTAGGAGCTTGTATTGGTGGAATGTCAGCCACGAGCTGTAGTGGTACAAATGCATTCAAATATGGTACAATGAAAGAAAATGTAGTTAACTTGACCGTGGTTTTGGCAGATGGAACTGTAATTAAAACAAGACAAAGACCAAGGAAATCAGCAGCTGGATATGATTTGACAAGATTTTTTATTGGAACTGAAGGTACTGCTGGTATAATTACTGAAGCCACCATCAAATTACATGTTAAACCGAAATTTGAACTCATCACTACAGTTGCTTTTCCTTCTATTAAAGATGCAGCTGCTACAGCACTGACAATTATTGAAAAAGGAATACAACCAAATGCAATGGAAATGGTGAATGATACTATGATGTCATTCGTGAACGAACAATCTGATGATAAAAAGTTGGAAAAGCCAACATTATTCTTTAAATTAGGGGGTCCTACGATTAAAGCAATCGATGAACAAAATAAGGTTATCACTGAAATTGCTAATAAACAGAATGCTATCAAGGTTGATAAGAGTTCTAATGCTGATCAAAATGAAGAACTATGGGCGGCAAGGAGAGCTGGATTATGGTCAACATTTCAATATGGAGAGAAATGTCTCAAAGATCCAAAAGATGTACAAGTCTGGACAACTGATATTGCAGTACCTATATCTAACGTTTCCAAAGTCATATCCGAAGTGAACGATGATTTGAATGAAGCAGGATTCAAAGATAAATTTTCTATCCTTTCTCATGTTGGCGATGGTAACTGTCACTTTATTATATTATATAACTCGCCTGATTACGCCAAAGTTCATAAAGCAGTTGATCGAATGGTTGATAAAGCTTTAAAATATGACGGTACATGTACTGGTGAACATGGGGTTGGTTTAGGTAAAAGAAAATATCTTGATGAAGAATTGGGTGAGGCAGCAATTGATACAATGAGAAAATTGAAATTAGCTTTAGATCCAAGAAGAATATTGAATCCTGATAAAATTTTCAAGATTGATCCAAATGATACTTTAGATGAACAATTAGAAGCTGGGCATGTTTTAGAAGAACACAAACCTATGCTCAATCATTAATATTTATAGAAATTTAGGCATTTAGAAGCTATAGTGATGAGCATGATACTTTAGTATCTTACGCATCACAAGACTGAAAAGTATTTATATAGTTAGACTGATTAATTTTTCTACCCCTTAATTATAACAAAAATTACCGCTTAAATATTTGGATCTAAAAAAACTACCCGAGATGTAAGTCCAAAAATAAACGATAACTCATTGGAGTCATTTAATGGCAAAACATTCTTGGTTCAGGGGTCCAATATGCGGTACAGATAACTGTAAGTCACGACTATATCGATCACAGGATGGTTTAAGTATTTGTCAATATGGACATGTTTTAGATGGAGCGATAGAATTTGATGATGAACAAGATACATTTTCAGTACTGACAAGAAGATTAAATGCTGTTGCAGTTGATGAAAGAGGAAATTTTGAGAGCCAATCGAGTCAAAGAACTGGCAATAAGGTTATGAAACAAAAGTTGACTGGAGATGAAGCAATGCCGATTTATTTTAAATGTTTGCAAATCTTGTTAAAAAATCAATTACAATCAATTATAAAATTGTATTTTAGTGATGGAGTTAAAAATGAATTAACATTGATTGTAAAGACTAATTGGTGTAAGACTTTAAACTATTACTATGGTGAATACAAACAAGATCAAATTACTTCAGATAGAGATAAACGATCAGTAGATGTTTTGGATTTACTTTGTATCATCTATATATCAAGTTTGCAATTAAAATCATATCCTTTTTATTTGACTGATTTATTAGAAATAATACTAGAAGACAAAGTTCCGTTTTTTAAAACGTTACATTTGCTTCCTGCTGATGAATTAAATAAATTGCATGGTACCTATTATGAAAGACTTCAAGCTCACGAGAAACCAACAAATGCATTGATTTATCGACGATTGTTTAATCTTAATCCTATCTTACTTGATAAAAATCTACCAATCTCAATTACATATTACTATTCTTACGTTTACAGAATATTGGCTGATTTGATATTACCAAATACACCTGACTTGTTTATAATGATTTACGAGTTCTTGAAAATTTTAAATAAGGATAATTTTGAAATTCCTCATAAGATTAAGACTCAAAAGCAATTGATTGACATATTCCCCGAGGTTTATTTAAGTCTGGTGATTGTGTTTACTATAAAATTATACTTCGAGCATCAACCTGTGGAGTATCATAACAGTTGGTTAATGCAAGTGAGAAATTTTGATAGGGAGTACGAATATAACCACAACTTGAATGATGAAATTCTTTTAAGTTGGTCTAAAGATAAAACCCAAAAGTATTGTGATTGGATCTATAACCATTTAATGCCTCATAAGTACAAAGATGATAGTAAAGACAGTGAAGAGCTAACGGTGATGGAAAAGAGGTTATTCCAAATTTTTTCAATGAATGAGCAGAAAGAAAAGCTTGATACTGATGAAATGAATGATAGTGATAATAACGACTTAATGAATGAAAGCGATTTAATGACAACCAAATTTGATATCTTAAAACAAATAACTGATACAAAGAATTACGAAAAGCATGATTCAACAAAGCAAGGTCTGAAATTTGTAGGTAATACTAAAGATTTAGATTTATTTCTTTTCAATAAATTATCCACCAATTTGAATTTGAATGTTGAATCTTTTCAAAAACATTATTTAACAATTAGTAAAACATTTAATACGGTGCATGTGGATAGTGCTGTCGACTTATATACATAGTAGTAAGACATTAAATAGCATTATTAAAATACTTGAATTTTCTCCTTATTTTCTTTGACATCATGCCTTCAATATTGTTAGTCTGACCCAACAAAAATAAGAAAACGCGGTAAAAAATTAAAGGAGTCGGGGATTACAAAACTTAAAGAACACAAAAAAAACTCCGAAGTGGTAATTTATACCGAATTAAGATAGTTTTTGCTTGCACCCCTTTTCACCAAGAAACATCGAACAAGGTATACATAAGATTGAATAGCATTTTAAAAAAATCAAATAAATGAAAGCCAAAGCTCTATTCAAAATCGATAATCAAAACCTTGAAAGAATTGAAGAAAGAATGTATAATTCAAACATAATTAGCATAAATTCATATTTGAAAATCATCTTAATTGTTCAGCAATTTTTATGATTAACTAATTAAATAAGTACACACTATGTCACAAAAACGTACTTTATTAATATCAAATTTTGTTAAAAGATTAATAATTCCATACAATAATTGATAGGATAAGTCAAAAAAGACAGGGGTAATACCAGGAAAGATCAACAAGGTTGAATGGAAGAATACAACTGTATAATGTTGAAGGATTTTAAAAATTTGAAACGTTCATATATTAACTTTTTTAAATTTATATATACCATGACCTGCATTTTTATTTATCCCCACAAAATCATTTAATAAATAAAAATATTTATAATATGAAAAAGTATATAAATTAAAGATATTCCTTTTAATTTTAATTTTTTCTTTTGCTCTTTTACCAGTAGTTACAATTGCTATATCTACATTATAAATTAAAAAACTAAATTAACATTAAGTATGGGAAACTTACCTTTAGAAGTCAAAGTTGAAATACCAAATGGTATATCATATACTCAACCAACTGGTTTATTCATAAATAATGAATTTGTTTATCCAAAAGATAAAAAGACATTTGAAGATATTTCACCAGCAACTGAAGAAGTGATTACTGAAGTTTATGAAGCAAAAGAAGAAGATATTGATATTGCAGTTGATGCAGCAATTGAAGCTTATAAAACTTGGTCGGTAAGCAAACCAGAATTAAGACAAAAGGTTTTATTAAAATTGGCTGATTTAATAGATGAGAATGCTGAATTATTATCAAGTATAGAAACTTATGATAATGGAAAATCTTTACAAAATTCAAAAGGAGATATTGCATTAGCTGCTGCTTATTTCAGATCTTGTGCTGGTTGGTGTGATAAAATTACTGGTAATGTAATTAATACAGGTGGTCAACATTTCAATTATACACAAAGAGTCCCATTAGTTTGTGGTCAAATTATCCCTTGGAATTTCCCAATTTTAATGTTATCATGGAAATTAGGTCCAGTTTTAGCTACTGGTTCTACTACTGTCTTAAAATCAGCTGAGCAAACTCCTTTGTCAGCATTATATATAGCAAAATTATTAGCAGAAGCTGGTATGCCAAAAGGTGTAGTCAATATTGTTTCTGGTTTTGGTAAAATTGCAGGTGCTGCAATTGCTAGTCATATGAAATTGGATAAAGTTGCTTTCACAGGTTCTACATTAGTTGGTAAAACTATTATGAAAGCTGCAGCTGAATCTAATTTGAAAAAAGTTACTTTGGAATTGGGTGGTAAATCTCCAAATATTGTTTTTGATGATGCAGATCTCGATGAATCTATCCAACATATCATTACTGGTATCTTTTATAATTCAGGTGAAGTCTGTTGTGCTGGTTCACGTGTTTTGATTCAATCTGGAATTTATGATAAAGTTGTAGCAAAATTAAAGAAAGCTGCTGAAGCCATTAAAGTTGGTAATCCTTTTGATCCAGATACTTTCATGGGAGCTCAAGTTTCAGAAGTACAAATGTCAAAAATCTTACAATACATTGAATCAGGTAAAGAACAAGGTGCAAAAGTCATTTCTGGAGGTAAAAGAGGAGATGCAAAAGGTTACTTTGTCCAACCAACTATCTTTGGTGATGTTGAAGGTCATATGAAGATAGCAAAAGAAGAAATTTTTGGACCGGTTGTAACATTGATCAAATTTGACACAGTTGAAGAGGCTATTGAATTAGCTAATGATACTGAGTATGGATTGGCTGCTGGTATTCATTCATCAGATGTCAATAAATGTATTGGAGTTGCTAACAAAATCAATGCTGGTACTATTTGGGTCAATACTTATAATGATTTCCACCCAATGGTTCCATTTGGTGGATTCCATTCTTCAGGTATTGGTAGAGAAATGGGTGAAGAAGTATTCAATGAGTATACACAAACCAAAGCTGTTAGAATCAAATTAAACACCTCAAGATTTTAAAAAGTTTGTAAGTATGTAATGAATAAATGATTTCAAAAAGTGATTTGAGTTTTTGATTGTGCTTACATATAGTTTGAAAGTAGTTTCTTAGAAAAGCCCGGCTCTCCATTCATAATTGTTCAAGATAGAGTATTATTGCTTGAACTTTCTTCTATGCAGCGATAATTTTCATAAGCCAGACTCACATTTATTAAACACGTTAAAGTTAGCTCAATAGCCAACGGTTTTCGGAATTTAAAGGTATGTTTTGAGTTCGTATAATGGGAAAGTAGCAGCTAATAAGCAGATACAAACACAAAACACCATAGGTACACCCCAACCCTTAGATTCTGTTTTGCGGCAACACCAACGCTTCAATTACCACTGTCTCACAGGTATTATGAATCAAACCTCTTCAAAACATCTTGTATAATTTTGGTACAAAAGCCGGTTTTTTCTTTTAGATGTGATGTATCGAAAATTCAAATGGGTCCATATGTGCGTTTAATTGTGTTTTCGTAATATAGCCTCGTAAGACTGCGGAAAAGATCTGTAAACTGCTTCAGTGTGAACTAAATTCAATAGTGCACACAGTTATAGTGGTCTGATAAATGTGATTGAAGTCGAAAATGATACACAAAACAATTGCACAAAATTGACTACCGCATCTGATCTCTTCTCGTATTTCAAACAATTCTTTTTAAGTGAAATATTTAGACAACTTGATCTGGAACTCAATAATGCCTTTAGCTCACAATTTAAACAAAGTCACAAAGAACTTATCAAAGTCAACGGGATCAATTCATATCAAGGGTCGCAAGTTCAAACAATTGAACAGAGCAACAGTACGAGATAAAAAACTACAAAAGCAAAAACTTAACTCAATAGAGAAGAAATCAAATGAATTATTAATTGTAACTTTCATACAGAATAAGATCAAGGATGAACCAAATGAGCTGTACAGTCTTGAAGAAATCAAGGACCTTATAAATGATTTCATTAATATAGATCGTGAGAGATTGAAAGATGCAGAAAAAGAACATAGAAAAGGAAGACCAATATCAACAAAACAAAAACTTTTATCTGAAAAAGTAAAACATGAAGAACATGTATTCGAAACTGGATATAAAGTCCCTGACATAAGTGATCCGGAAACAGTGACAAGATTGCGAAGTTGGAACGGAACAACTGGTGCTACAACTGGATTTAAATTCACTCATGTTTCAAAATCGCAGAAAAGCTTTCCTACAAAAGAAGTTGAAATGAGATAGTAAAAATTTATCAATACATTAAATTATACATTACATCATCAACAAATAACATCAAGTTTCAGTGAGATTTTCAACGTGATCTTTTATAGAAAAATTTTTCCTTATAGGTCACATCTCCAATATGTTCCCTTTTAACTTTCATTTCCAATGGATCAATAACTGGATTTAATTTACACCATTCATCTAACATTTTGGTAGATTGACAATGTAAATCCCAAACACTAGGTAAACAATTAACCAATCTAATAAATGGAAAGACATCAAAATCTTTTTTAAAAATGGTTTGCACTTTCCCATCTTCTTGATTAGATTCAATTACATCAATTAATTTATCTATTAAACAACCTGTTGTTATACCTGCATAGGGTTTATTTTCAAAATATTGTTTAACTGTTTTCAAATCACGAACGAAAAAATCAAATTGTACTCCGTTTGGAAGTTCATTATAATCTAATTCTTCACCAGTCCAATAAATAGATTCAGGAGAATTTGATAAACCTTGAGTTTTTTCAAATACATTATATACATCATCATCTATGATTTGTTTTGTTGTAAACATTTGCATGTCTCTTTCAAGTCTGGACGAGCTCAATTGGTTATAATTCTTAATATCTACTTGCGTAGCAAAATTCCTTAAAGCAATTGATTTAAACCTAATGATCGAAGCAGTAGTAACATGTTGTGAAATTTGATTAAATCTAAATTTGTTATAAAGTTGGGGCAATCTCATACCTGAAATTTGGAAAAGAGGTTTTAATGTAACTAAAAAGTCGTTGTTTGATAGAATTGAATGTGTTGATTGTGTATTTGATTATATACTTATTCTTCTTAAAGACTATAGATATAAATTATAATTATTTTTACCCCATATTTCGTACATGCAACTTCATGCATAGCTAACTCTAAATTCCTTAAAATTTCCTTAAATTGACCATTTTAATAGCGCAATACCAATTTTATCCACAACTATATTCAAAATTAATCAACAGATTAATGGTCAGGATGGATCAAAATCAAGCCCAGAATATTTTTCTCCAACTGGATCTGGTTTCTTTTGGTTTTTGAGCATGATCTTCCTCGTGAGTTATATACATATTCTCCCCCACATTAGGAACTATGGTATCATCAATTACTCTTAAAGGTTCATTCTGTTGATGTTGATTCTCTTTATAGTCCATTGGTTCTTCCCAATACATATTAAGTCCAATTAAACTTAACAATATGATTCCAACGACCGAAAATATATCTTTTACCTTACCAAATTTATTACTAGTAGTTGAATCTTTGCTCAAAATAAGATATTTTCTACCATCCATAATTTTATAACCAACAATTTTCCAATTTTTAAATTGCAAATTATTCAATTTTTCATTGATCATTAAAAGTTCTTCCTTGCTGAAATTTCTAAGTATTTGAAAAATATCTTCATCCGATTTTATATTTCCCAATAATGATTTAGATATTGGTATAGAATCCCCATTCAACGTTAAAAGCATGTATGAAGATGAATATCCTGGTAATTCTTCATATGGTTCTTCCCATCCAATATCCTTCTCTTCGCTTTCTTGAGGTTCCACTTTTTCATTTGCTAAATTCTCAATAGGTAATTGTGACTCTTTTAAGGAGTTCTTTTCTTCAACATCTTTGATTTCTTTTTCAAATTTAACAGGTTTTAACGGTTCTTTCATGTTCTCTTTCTCGTATACAAATGTTGCAAAGTCGTCTTCAGCAACTTGAAAAGTACCTGGAGCAAAATGTTCATCATTTATTTCAAAATCTGCAACAGTTTCTTCCTTTTTGTCCAAATCTGCAAAATATTTCTCAGAATCATGGTATTGATTATTTGTCTTTGTTGTTGTAATATTTTGTTTAAATTGATCCATATCGAATTTACTACTGACTGATGTACTACCATGAGCAACAGCTTCCTCAGCTTTTCCATCAAATGATTTCTTCAAATCATTATAAAATTCTTTAATAGTATCGGATGTCATTGGCCCTACAATACTTTTATTCATTGCAAAAAGGCAAGTAATGAATGCTGGGTAATGTTCAATCTCCAAGTTGTACTGTTTTAATTGATCAAGTACAGCCTTTTGAAACAAATACTCTGATGAAGAACTATCCAAACTGGATGCATATTTATTAATTAAGTCCTCAAATTTGGCTTTTGATACTAGATAAAGATCTGAATTCGATAACAACCTAGATTCGTTCAAAAATGATTCCAACACTTTGACTTCTGCTGCCTTGAAGAACTCAGTTTGTTGCTCAATTGCATTTTTTGCATTCTTTTTGAATATATTTTGAACATTCTTAAATACTTTTGCACTAGTCACAACATTATCTAAAGCAAACGAGCTATTATTATTATGTTTAAACAACATTGCCAAATTTCTGTATAATTTATTCCATATAATTTTCTTATCTTTGGTTGCATAACTAGCATCAGATAAATTCTTAACTTTTGCTAAAATATCAGCAGCATTAACATCTTCAAATTTTTCAATGTTCAAAGCATTCTTTAACTGCTCCAATTCAATGATATATTCTTCCAACTGAAAGTCATTTGGTATTTGTTTGTATTCTGGTTTGACTACTACTTCCTTACCCTTTTCAAACTCTTCAAAAACAGATTGAGAATTCAATAACACATCTAAAGCCATCGTATGATTTCCATTTAAATCAAATAATCGAGCCAATCTCCTTTTTAAGCGAATGCATTGAAAAATTTCTGAATTATTGGAAGCTAATAAATTCACACCATTATTTGATTCTGCAAAGTATTGATCAATTTGATAATTCAAAGTATTGATAATTTTTTCTCTATCATGCAGTTCAAATGGCTGACCACCTAAAGATTCTTTCAATTTAGTTAATTCATTAGTGAAGCTTGATAACTGTAAGTCATCTGGAATTTGAACATATGTAGTAGATGATTCTGTAGTAGGAGCTAATTTTGAATTCTTTGATTTTTCAAATTGAGCAAAAATATCATTATTTAAAACAACTGTGTTCAAAATTTCTAAACAATTTTTGGTATTGTTAATGCTGAACTCTCTCAATTTTCCAACCAATTTATTAAAACTTCCATGATTTATTTCAGGATACTTAGAATCATCATTCAAAATTTCCTCCAAAATTTGACCTGCCTTCTTCAAAACTTTGTCTTTTTCCTCAAAACTACCTAATGTTTCTTTCAAAAACTCAATTTCAGGTATATGATTTTCAAGTCTCAACCAATCTGGAAGTTGCTTATAACTTGATGATGTATGTTTGTCCAACTTCTCCTCATAATTTTCATTTGATAATGACTCAATTTCGTCCTCTTCTAACTCTTCGACTAAATCATCCAAAGCTTTCAAATTGTTTCCACAATAAATAGAAGTCTCCTCAATTGCCTTAATAAAGCCTATATCTGCATCGGTTTCCAGCGAAATGAAATCACAAAGTTCTCTAGTGCTAGCAAATAAATCAAATGAAATATCATATTTGTTTTTCAACAGCTTCAAATTTTTCAAGTATCTCATTATCATCGAATCCAATGGGAAACATCTAGCCAAAGATTGACCTTTTAGTTCAAGGTATTTGAGAAAGACCTCAGGAGTACTGATTAGATCATTGAGTTTATCAAAATTTAAATCGTGAAACAAAGCAAATATAAACCCTGGCACAATCTCACCATGTTTCCAAAGTTCTTGGGATGTATCAGCATCAAGTTTATTTTCGAAATTATAACCAATGCTGTATAAGAAATTTAACTTAAAATTATCTTCGAAATTCGAAGTAAACTTAATATTTAATAATTCCAAATCTTCCTCAACTAAAGTGGGTAAGATTTTACCAGCTTTTAATTGATCTTCCATCAAGGCATCAAATAAAATTTCTGCTTCCTCCTTAAATGGGTTTCCTTCATCCTGTGTGATGTTGTACAAAGATGTAGCTAACTTAAAAAAGTTTTTGGTTTTCGGAATTTGATTTGCAAAATATAATTTATTCCATATTAAAGCATATTGATCGTATGTAGTGAAATTGACATCTTTTTCACAATTTTCAAATGTCTTATACCACAAAGCATCTGAAAAATCATTCTTTGTGATAATTTTTTTTATTAATTTTAAAGGAGTTTTTGTAACTTCCAACATCAGTTTCAAAGTTTTATACCTAGCAACTTGTACAGATATTTTAAAAAACATTTCATCAACTTTGGAATTTGATTCAAGATATTCATCAAAATTTTTCAACATTTTTTCAATTTGAAGTAATAAATCTGTTTTTGATCTGATTTTTTTAAAATTAAATTCTTGATCTAATGATTTCAATTCTGGGATGTAAAAGTATAATCCATTTTCCAAAAAGTCCATTATTTCTTCACTTTTTTGAACTTGAGGTAATAAATCAGTCGAAAGGTTTTGTATGAATGACGGATCCTCTTTTACGAACTCAAGGAAAAACTTGGTCATGTCATTGTACTTTGCTTCGTTTGTATTGGTAACTTCATGAATTTCACCACGAGTATAATAATCCTTAAAAATATATAAAGCATTAATCACTTCAGTATTGGTTAAATCTGAAAATTGTTTAATTCTGTATTCGTAAGCTTCTTGTAAAAAGTGTTGAAAAACGAGTAATTCGGTGTAAAACTCTTTTGCAAAAGCTAAATCATCTAATTCACCTTCTTCATTTCTGACATTTCCCTCCCAATAATAAAAATCTAATAAAGGTTCACACAAAGGTTCGTTGTAATCAATCAATTTTTCAAAAGGATACCATAAACCACCTGGTGTTTCAAGATTTAATACAGGTTGTTTATTCACGTTCTTTTTAAAATCAGGCTTTTTGGCTCTCTTGGTTAAAGAAATGTAATCAATTTCAAATTCCTCAACATGAGTTGCTAATAACCTTAGTTGTTGATATGGTTGCAAAGTTAACTGTGGGTTATACTGATTTTTCAAATGGGGGGTAAGTGCTAACTGTGGTTGCAATGGAAGTTTGTTTTTCAAAAAATTCTTTGATATAATCCTTCTGCTGATCATAGTGCAATTAATCAAATACAAACGCGATAATAATTTGAAATTCAAGTCAAATGAATGAATTCTAAAGATCGTGATGATTTGTAGATCTGAAACCTAATAAATGCGTAGACGGAATTCAAATATTAAGTGGGTATTTCAAATGTATATGAGAGATTCTTTGTTTTAAAATAAAATTCCTTATGTGACTAATTGTGATGAAAACCAAAAATTGAATGTAATTGAATAAAATTGATATGAAAAGTTAATTGGTGATTCTGGAAAAAGTTAATGATAAAAAATGTTAGTATAGGCTATTAAGTCAATATAAAGTATAATAAAAAGAATATTAATATTTAGATAAGAAAAAATAAAAAAGGAGAATTAAAGCACAAAACAAAATTAAAGCGATAAGGGATATAATCTTAATACGGAAAGACTTGTGGCTCAAGCGTGTTTTTAGTTCGACCCCCATTTCAATTAATTTAGGATATTTTTAACTATAGCGGTACGGATAAACATACAAATTGTATAGTGGTACGGATGTCTAACTTGGGGCCCAATTGAAAGCTACGCTCAAGTACTTACCCAACATCATTTGATTCAGACCAACTCACAGAAATTTGTGAGTAAAGTAGGTGAAGCTATTTTTTCTCTTTTGATACTCAATTGACTGGATTGTTTGAGTTATGGAACTATGTTTGTTCTTTTACTGTGTAGCACACTAGACCATTGATTTAATAAACAATTAATAATGAGTCAAACAAACAAAAAAAAGATTAGACGCAAATATTTCAAAAATTTGAAGAATATTAAGTTATTCTTCAACTCAAACATAAATTTAAAATGTACTGTGAAATATTGTTATATCGTAAGCAGTTCAAGGCTTTTGCTATACCGTCTTGTAAAATAGGAAATTTTTAACTGGATTTGGTTTTTGTAAATACGATTTCATATCTGAGACGTAAGTGACCCAAAACAATTATCCTGCACGAACTCGATTTGATGCAATTTACATAATATTATGAAATCAAAAACTCGAGATATGAAGAGTATTCAGTATCGGAAAATACTTGACATTTTGAGCTAACTCAACACTGATGGACTTAAAGACAACACGTTTAATTACAACTACTTTGTTTTGATGGTAAATGTTATTCTTTCCCACCAAAACTTTATATCAAAACCATCAAAATTAAATCATTAAAGTTAAGCCAGGATATTCAAATTCTGTGGATAAATTTTCGAGTTGATTGAAATTAATCGTTTGAACAAACATTCAGGATTACCGAAAAAGTCAAACGAAGATTGTATCTACAGTGAGAGTGATAACTATCAACTACTTAGTATCCCAGAAGCTATCATAATTTATAATTTTCTATTATTACAATCGTTTTATTCCATCACTCGAGTTTACAGATTGAAAGTGAAAATGAATTAATTGCTTATTTATTTTCTTTAATATACCTCCTATTTATAAACTATAAAGGACTGTATGAATCAGCTTCGCTTTCAGATCTCGAATCTCGTGCATCAAGATGTTCAAATAATTGATTTGGTATTTCAACATCATTTTCGATCAAAAAATCATTATAATATTTATCAAAATATTTTAATTCATTAATTGTAAACAAAGTTATAGCAATCTGTCCTCCATTTTGTTTAAATTGATTCAACCGTTCAATGTAAGATTTAAATTTAGATGCTTTAAAGTCAATCAAAATTTGTTTTCCTTTAACGAAATCTAAATTATGAGTAACAACAACTGCATTCATTGACTCAACTACATACGAGAATTTTGGTTGTTCTTTAGATGACAATTTAAATCCTCGATAAAATGCGTCAATGGACTTCCACCTTAAGAATTCGGTGATCAGCATAGCGTCATCTTTATTTTGAACAAGAATAACAACATTTGATCCAAAACTTTGTCCCCTTTGTAAAAATGATTTTTTAATTCTTGCTATTTCATATAATTTTGCATCTATTGCTAATTTTTTGGACTCTTCTTTGATTTTGTTTAATTTGTTAGATGTTAATTGGTCTAATTCTTCTTCAGATAAGTAAAAAACATTTGAGCGGTCGTCCACATTAACAAAGTTTATTCTTTTGTCGATTGATGCATGAGGTAATTCAGGAGAATAATAAACAGTAATTAAATTTCCAAAGTTTTGTAAATAAGATGTCGTTTTTTTTGATGAAGTATTGGTGAAGTAAATGTAATTTGTCGAGTTGTAAAATTGAGATAAGGATGACTTGAAGTTGATATCATTATCTTTGATCATTTTGTGAACACCATCTATGATTAATAAATTGGTTGTATGTATATTGGAATTTGTTTCTTTAGCAGCACGATCAAATTCATCTGGGGTGAGTAATAAAATTTGTGGTAAATCCTGATCTGAACAATTAATTGATTTGCTAAATTCATTCAATGTATCGAGTTTTACTAACAAGTCCATTATATCACAAACAGCTTCGGTAACCACTACTACATTTGGTCCATCCCATCTTGAGGCTGTAGTTGAAACTGATTGGGTCATATAATCCATCACACTTACCCCAATACAATTCTGAACTTCCATTGGATTGCTAATACCAACATTTAAAATTGACCTATTACTTCTATAGCAAGGTATTGTGTACCCCATACTTTGATGAAACCCGATTCCATTTTGTTGCATAAGATTCGAGAGTTTTGCATGTAATAAATTATTTAAAGTTAATGTATCAAAAACTGGACTTGGTGGATTGTATCCTTCAATTTCAACACCGTAAATTAAATTGAATTTTTTGATTAATTTTGACACCGACTCTTTGTTTGAGCTAAACCTAGAATTTGCTTGATTGGTAGAATGAGATTTTGAGCTAAAATTTGATGTAGATTCCCAAATTTCATCATCTGATTGATATGGATTCAGAAACCTTTGTGCGTGTGAATTATACATTCTGTGATATATGATCAACCCAAATAGTTTGAATGGAAATGTATATTAAAGGCTGTTGAAATCTATTATATTGATGGTTATCCAATCTCCATTTTAAATTTCATAAAGTAGTAACAAATGACTGTATTTATAAAAAGTTATATCCCCACATTTACAAACAAATCTAGACGATGTATTAGATTTAATATGCATCTTTATTGTTGATTTTTCCTCTTTAAGCATTTTGATTGATCATTACTCTAAATAAATATGTTTCAGGTATATCATCACAAAACGTCACTTGACAACTAAGTATACTAATCTTAAACTTCAACTCTGAATCTAATACTTCGAGATCTTGTATTTTTAATTGATAAAAAATAATTTATTATTAGGTTAAATACACTACTTTTAATATTATCAAGTTATTTAGTGTAACCTTTTTATAAAGTATCTCGCGTAATTTATTTCAGATGTATTTTGCAAATAAACAAATTAATTGTCACTGAATGATCAAAACGAAATCTGAACCTATATCAGACAAAGTCCTTCTTATGCCAGTTTTTTAGATTAATACATTGAAGTTGATCTATGGTTTGGTGTTGGAGTAATTATATGTAAAATTTTTAGCTCAATGATTTATTGAGCTATATTCCCTCTTAAAAACACAATACCCCGTAAAATTCATTCTGAAACAAATCCAAATTTGTGAAATCAAAATCTATGCAAAAAAAGCTTATTACGTGTTTTTGGACGCATGCCTTTCTAATTGCCAACAATACTCTAACTTCATGTGAATTTTTCAACGAAGTTTCATAATTAGTGGTAACCTTCCGCCTGAGGCTAAACAGAACGAATTTTTGTAAAACGGAATTACGAACCTTAGTATATTTTCTAATTTATCAATAAAATTTAAATTCAACAATAGTCTATATCAAATGAGCCTACAAACAATGAGTATTCTATTTTAAATAAAAATTTCGACAACATATCTACTTACGTAAACAAATATTAAAAGAACAAGAATCTAGTTTAAGCCCAGACTTGAACTTGTTCATAAAAATCAACTCTTTTTCTCTCTTTATTACAGACATTTTTACTACAATAATAACGGATTTCATCAACCATTATAGGATGACCACAAGTGACAAATGCAACTGATCCACTGGATTCTTTTAATTCCTCGGGAATTAATGTCTCGATACATGGTCTACCTTCCTTGAAACTAATATGTGATAATTCTGATTTAATGGTATTTATTATATGACAAGGATCAAGATCTGTTTTTTCATCACATGAAGTTTCTTCTAATTTAGTGATTTCTTTAAATGAATCGTCTTTTTCCAAACTTAAACCCTCTGAATCTTCTGGTTTATCAATTGAAAGTCTTTCCAATCCTGTGAATCTATTATTGAATTCATCCATAAATATATGACTATTTGGTTGAGTAACATAAATTGTAGTTTCTATCTTGACTTTCTTCAAGCTCATTAACTCTTCGTAAAACCAATATAATGATCTCCATTCTCTAACAATCCACGTAAGTTTAACCCTATTTGAACCATCTTTACTATGAACAGCAACATCAACTGCTTCAGAATAAATCCCTGGAATACCATTTCCACCAGCAATAAATACAGCCGTATTAGCATATTTAGCAGCAGTTGATTCTCCATATGGTCCTTCAACACCAACTCTAACTTTGCATGTTCTACCAGGTTGTTGAGCCAAAGACTTGTATAAGTTTCTTGTGATACCTCCTTTAACTTTTGCATACAAGATTATTGAACTTCCTTGATCAACTGAATCAGTAAAAGTAAATGGATGTGATTGATAAAAATAAGTTGGTTTTAAAAAATGAATAAATGCATGTCCACCAGGGATAGATTTCCAATAACTAGGTTTAGGTACAACAACCTTTAATGTTTCATCAGATAATAAAGTTACATCAGCTTGAGGAAATCCAAATGCAATCAATCTACCAAGTCTGATTACTCTATCTAATCCCCATACACCAATCGTAGGATAGAAAACCCAAATAAAACCGAGTTCAACAACATGATACCAAGTTCCAACTACCCAAAAAACAGCTAAAGAAATATGTAAGAATAAAAATATTTCATACCATCTTCTTCTAAAAAATAGCATTGCTTGAATCATTATTATACCTCCACAAACTCCAGCGACAATACCCCATTTGAAGTAAGTTTCTTTAACTGATTCAGCATAATATGGAACAAACACAATAGTAAATGTAACAGCATGTATAACAACTAAAGCAAACATGACTCTAGCGGTATGTCTATGGTAAGTCATAAATGTACTATAATTCCAACCAACTATCCATTGTAAGAAGTTATTTCTACCGGCAAATAAGAATACCAAAGGCATCATTACTGTTGCAATAATACCAGTTCTATCAGCAACATATCTAATTTCACTCATGTATTTGGTTTCACCAATGTAATCTCCATCAACACCTTTCAAATTTATTGAATTTACTAAAATTGTGATGCAGTAAAATAAAAATAGAACAATTGATTCAAATCTTGAAGGTATTAAAAAATTGAAAAATTTTAAAAAACTCTGTTCTTGAACTCTTTTTTTACCAAAAGTAGCAGGCATTGAAACATTAGCTCTCCACCAATTGATTGCAGGATTTGTCAATTTCTTAGTGGTATTTGGAAAAAAAACTTTAAACCAATTTGTAAAAGCCCCTAAAAGTAAAACCAATAACCAATAACCTAAAATTCCTGAACCATAATCAATCGAATGACCATAATTGTTATAAAATCTAGTGTATGATGATTGCATATACTCAGTGTTTGTTCTATTAAGTATAAAGGGAATATCGATAGGAACACTCATGTTAAAATTTTCAATTTGATCAGCAGATTTAGCATCAGACAAGTAATACCCTATTGATTCTTGAAACCAATCATCATTAACTGTTGCATTATAATATGAACAAACCTCATTGAGATTCCTAGTGTATTGTGATTCAGTTTTGTTTATACCATATAAACATCCTGCAACTGTTGCAAGTGCATTTTTATTGGTACACAGGCAACCAATATCTTCTGTTGGACAAAATGATACTTCCCCAACCATTTGATAATAACAAGCATTCACAAACCTAGATTTTAATCCAGAATCGTATTTTGCTAGCTTTTCTCCATGGACAAGGTTGATAAGTGAAAAAAGTATGAAATAAATGATATCTAAGTTCTTGAATTTCATTGTCATTGGATGTTAGGTTGTAGTTGAAAAGATGTTGATCTAAATTAAAAAACCATAGGTAAGCTAGCAAAACATGGGAGAATAAGTAAATATTTATACTTTTGATCAACAGTGAAATATTTTTGATCAGATGTGTTTCATTGTGTAGCTATTTTTCATTAAACATATGCTGCAAAATTTCTAAATTCTTTTCATACGGTATCCTAAAAACTAAAAATCATTCCATACAAAAGTGTATTAATTGTTAATTACTCGTATGCAATATCTGATTTGAAAAGAGGAACATTATTCACATGACATGAAGAACCGCCCTGAAAGTGAGCACAAAACGTTCCAGACTAACTCAATCAGCAATTTTCTGTAACTCAAACCATTTTAAGCCAATCAGGAATAGGTTGTATGTGTTGAATCCAATCTAAAATTAAACCAAAATAGAACAATTGAATAAAATTTTTATACTGTAAATCGTTTAAATTGATTTTTTAGATAAATTGAAAAACATTATTTTTGAATTTCTGTACTGTATATAATTTGTTTCTTTCATTAGTAGATCTTTAAAGCAGCACAAAACTGTTATATTGAAATCTGTTCTTTTTTACATATCATTTTACCATAATTGATGAGCTAGAGTGAATTAAGGTAGATGAAAAAATATAAGATTTAAAATTAAAAATATTAAGTTCTTGTGGGTTCTGTTTTAACAAATCTGAATGCATTTCCAAAGATGCTTTTATTACTTTAAAAAAAGAGATGGGGTAACAAAGGCAATATTAAATTTTATAGATCTTTAAATAAAGGTTAAGAAACTTTAAAAAACAACCAAGATTAATTACGTTTGATCGATATAGTGTCATTTACGAATGTTTTGACGGAAATGTATATGTTGGTAAGGGCTCAAAAGCTTGAGCTTTCTGTGATATAGCCCTCAACCAAGTATTGAAGGCTCTTTAACTCTTTTGCTCTTCTTGGTTGATGCAATTTATTTATTCAATTTGAGCAATTTCTATTTATAATCTATGTAACATGAAAATCATGCATTAACTTTAATTTGATTTTTTAATTGACTTCTATTAGAGTAAAATTTACACGGACAAACGTAAGAACAACCTATCATTAATTACAGTAAAACCTAATTTTTAATCTCGAGCCAATTATCTTTTGAGCAAATCAACAAATGTTTTTAATTAGAAATTTGTAATCCAGATACAGCCTTTTGAAAAACATAAACGTTGGTTGGTTATACTTAAGTTCCAATTCGTAAAATACAATTCACCGTTGAAACCAGTAAAATTTTCTTGGTTTGAAAACCCCTGAACCAAGAAACAATAATAAACCCCAGTTTAACGTGCATACATCTTGGCATGGGAGTGAGACACAATTGACATTCTTTGGCTTAATTTGTAATACTGATGAAAAAAAAAACTACATTTGAATGACAGATTGTATTAATGGAGGTATTAAAACTTTCGGGTTTTGATGACAACATTTTATACCATTTCAACAAGGCAATTATGTAAGTTGTTTTAATTGATTTTTGAGATTAAATTTTTTTTTCCTTTTTAATTAAAATTAAATAATATTTTTAATTTCGACGCATATTGTGCTAAATCAATGTAGATTGTGACAATAAGAAATAATACTTGGGAGATCTATAGCTTTCATGAAACAAACATGACACCAGAATATTTTCAATCGAGATTTAACTCCTTGGTCAAATAGTAATATTAGTACCTGGGCAGAAAAAATCGTTTTCTGGCGACAAGTCTGACCCGAGTTGCAGATTTTGCTTCCGCCGCCCCATTTCTTACCTTCGTACCATAAGGAGGGGAATTTGTCTGATAAAACTAGTGATCACTAGAGAAACAAGGTTTTTAACACACCACTTCCGCATTAGACATGATCTAAATGGAAGAATCTAATATTCATAAAATTTTTGAAAGAGTATAATGTATAAAATTTCACTACAGAACCTGAGAATACAACAAGGCGCCATACTTAATTCAAATGACTATATAATTAAATAATTTTTTAATTTGAAACTCAATATCAATTTACATCTGTAACAATGTACTTGGGAACTCTAAGCCCAAACTTGGACTTGTTCATAAAATTCAACTCTTTTTCTCTCTTTATTACTGACATTTTTACTACAATAATAACGGATTTCATCTACCATAATAGGATGACCACAAGTAACAAATGCAGCAGATCCATTGGACTCGTGTATTTCTTCTGGAATCAATGTCTCAATACATGGTCTACCTTCCTTGAATCTAATATGTGATAATTCTGACTTAATTGTGTTTATTATATGAGAAGGATCAAGATTTGTTTTTTCATCACATGAGGTCTCTTCAGATTTAGTGAATTCTTTAAGTGAATCATCTTTTTCCAAACTCAAACCTTCTGAATCTTCTGCCTTGTCAATTGATAATCTTTCTAACCCTGTAAATCTATTATTGAATTCATCCATAAATATATGACTATTTGGTTGAGTAACATAAATGGTAGTATCAATCTTGGTATTTTTCAAACTCAATAATTCTTCATAAAACCAATATAATGATCTCCATTCTCTGACAATCCATGTAAGTTTAACTCTATTTGACCCATCTTTACTATTGACAGCAACATCAACTGCTTCAGAATAGATTCCAGGAATACCATTACCACCAGCAATGAATACAGCAGTATCAGCATATTTAGCAGCAGTTGATTCTCCATATGGACCTTCAACACCAACTCTAATTTTGCATGTTCTACCAGGTTGTTGTGCTAAAGATTTGTATAGGTTTCTTGTGATGCCTCCTTTAACTTTTGCATATAAAATTATTGAATTACCTTGATCAACAGAATCAGTAAAAGTGAATGGATGTGATTGATAAAAATATGCTGGTTTTAAAAAATGTATAAATGCATGTCCACCAGGGATTGATTTCCAATAAGTGGGTTTAGGTACAACAACTTTTAATGTTTCATCAGATAATAAAGTAACTTCAGCTAGTGGAAAACCAAAAACAATTAATCTACCAAATCTTATTACTCGATCAAGTGCCCATACACCAATTGTAGGATAAACAACCCAAATAAATCCAAGTTCAACAACATGATACCAAGTTCCAATTACCCAAAATGCTGCTAATACTATGTGCAAAATTAAAAAAATCTCATACCATCTCCTTCTTAAATACAACATTGCCTGAAACATCATTATCCCACCACATACAGTAGCAACTATACCCCAAATAAAGTAGTTATCTTTAACAGACTCAGCGTAGTATGGAACAAACACAATAGTAAATGTGACGGCATGTATAACAACTAAAGCAAACATGACTCTAGCAGTATGTCTATGGTAAGTCATGAATGTACTATAATTCCAACCAACTATCCATTGTAAAAAATTGTTTCTACCAGCAAATAGAAATACCAACGGCATCATTACAGTTGCAATTATACCAGTCCTATCAGCAACATATCTAATCTCACCCATATATTTTGTTTCTTCCAAGTAATCACTATTAGGAACTTTCAAATTTAATGCATTGACCAACACAGTTACGCAATAAAACAAAAAAATAACTATTGATTCAAATCTTGAAGGTATTAAATAATCAAAATATTTTAAGAAATTTTGTTCTTGAGCTCTCTTTTTACCAAAAGTAGCAGGCATTGAAATATATGTTCTCCACCAATTGATAATAGGATGTGTCATTTTTTTAGTGGTACTTGGAAACATTACTTTAAACCAATTTGTAAAAGCCCCTAAAAGTAAAACCAATAACCAATAACCTAACATACCTGCAGCATAATCCACACTATAACCATAATTATTATAAAATCGAGTATATGAACTCTGTATAATTTCAGTTCTTGTTTTATTAAGTATAAATGGAGTATCTATTGGTACACTCATGTTGAAGTTTTCAATTTGATCTGCAGATTTTGCGTCAGATAAATAATATCCAATTGATTCCTCATACCAATTACTTGGAACAACGACTTTATAATATGAGCAAACTTCAGTTAAGTAGTCAGTGTATTTAGAAGCTGTTTTATTTATACCATACAAACACCCAGCTACGGTTGCAAGTGAATTTTTATTCGTACACATGCAAGTTTTCTCTGTGGGAGGACAGAATGATACTTCCCCCACAGCTTGATAATAACAAGCATAGATGAATCTTGATGTCAAACCGTTATTATATTTTTCAAGTTTTTCACCATTAACAACTGTGAGTAATAAACAGTATAATGTGCAAAAAAGATTGATGTTCTTGACTTTCATTTTGGAGGATTGAAGTGAGTATAGTTGCTTTAAAATTGCAGGTATCACTTCATTATAGGATTAGTTAATTTTGGAAAATCAGTTTAAATTTATATCATTGATTTTGGGACTTATCTACATATCTCTGAACAATGATGAAAAATTTTTTATGGTTTAAATTTACTCTACATTAGTTGAAACTAAAATTTTGAACTCAACCTAAATTATAAAATTATAATTTATTTGGGGGATCTGTTCTTATTATTCACCTAATATAATTATAATGAATTAAATAAAAAAAAAGGGAACAGAGATTATTAAAACCCATTTTAGATCAAAATATTTCTTTAGCCAATCGAGTACTGGGTTTATGTACAAAGCATTAAAGAACAATCAGATTTAAAATCAATTACATTGTTGATCTCTAATTTGATTTTTTAGATAAAAAAGCCCTAAATGCACGAAATATACATACAAACTGAATTATAGCGAATTCGAATAGAGCAATTCCATATTGATTGATAACAAAACGCTTAGGAAATGTTTATACAAAATGGTCATAAGGCTATAGCATTATGTAATGCTGTACATTGAATTGCTTAAATACTGAGTCCCATGAAGAAGAAAAGGAGTGAAGTTAGTGAAAGGACTTAATTTGCAGTAAAAAGTAAGGTTTTAGATAAATTCATAAGTTCATAACGTAACTAATACGAGCATTGTCCAAAAGTAACCATTTTGGCTAAGCTTCGGCCTTTCATTATTTTTTAAACAAAGAGACCGAAAAATCAAGTTCAAGGTTTGTTCGGAATTGTTAAATCGTCTAAATAAATAAGCTTTTTATCATATACCACCTAAGATTTCTTACTTGAGATCTTATTCAGATTTTTGAAACTGAAGACTGCTTTATCTTGTTTCAGTTGGCAGTAGATGAAGAATGATGTTTTAATTATCATTGTGTAGATAGATAGATTTGTAGATGTCAAAAATCTGTCAAATCCATGACCAAGCTTTTTTCTACTTTAAAATACGATCCGATCTTTGAATTTTTCTTGAGTTGTAAAAGAATTTTAGTAAACAGCTATGTACCTATCAAATTGTGCTAAGGATCCTGTTCAAATATGCACCTCAATTCATAGTCAGTTTATTAAAGTTTGTATTATTCCTTCTCCAGTACATTTAGTTTCTGTCAATTTAAATATCGTTATGACTTTCAAACATTTACTGAGAAAGGCACCTTTGCAATAAAATTGATTTTTGTCAAGTAAGAGTTGCGAGTGATTAAGTCAATTACTCATGGTAAAACTATTTTGATATTAAAAAAATTCTATAAAATATAGATTTCAAGTACCGCCTTTTAATAAAAGTTATATGCATCAGGCGCAGCTTTTAGACAAGTATTTTGGGGTCAAGCTAAATTATTTTTAAACCTTAGCTCATTGGATGAAAATTAAATTTAATGCAAAGTTTGAGCCGAAATTAATTTGAAATCTGAAATTGTATATGCACAATATGCAATTTGATCTTTTAGATTAAAAATATTAGTAGTTTAAAATTTAAAAAATTACACAAAATGCACAATGTGTAAAATTAAAATTAATTCATGTTGAAATAGAAAGAGAATTTATTTTGATCAAAACGTTATACCTTTTACAAAATCTTTGAGGGATAAATTTACAAAAGCATATCAAGCATTCTTTCTTATCTATAGAAAATATCTAGCGCAGTAGTTTCACAAGTTATTGATGTTTCAATACTTGAACTAAACAAAAAAAAAAAACATAGACCAATTTAATACTCACATTGTTCCTGATTTCCTGATGTTTTCAAAGCCTTCGCTATTGTAATATGAAAGCCGAGATTCTTCAAAAATTTAGATTATTTAAAACATATAGAAGATTTTCTATTGTAGTTAGAATGAGCGATTGTTGAAGAGGAGGATCCCAATTATAACGTACCAGATTTTGTAATGTGTCTTAAGCTTATTTAATAAGATTAACGAATAATTAGTTTGTATTATAAAAATGTTTATAAATTTCTATTTAAAGTAGGAAAATTAAATATGGAAACTTGTAAAAGGATCCTTAAGCCCAGACTTGAATTTGTTCGTAGAAATCTACTCTCTTCTTTCCAGGATTTGAAATATTTTGAGTACAACAGTAACGAATATCATCAACCATCATTGGGTGACCACAAGTAACGAAAGCAACAGATCCATTAGATTCTTGAACATCATTGTCAATTATATTTTCAATGTCTGGTCTACCTTCTTTAAATTCAATATGAGATAATTCATCTTTGATTGTCGCTATAATACTATTACCATCCGATTTTTCATTGAATGATGCTGATTTTTCATCACATGAACTATTTTCTACTTCAATGTTGACTCTTTCCTTTACTGAATCATCTTTTTCTAATGATAAACCATCAGAGTCTTCTGGTTTATCAAGTGATAACCTTTCCAAACCGGAAAATCTATTATTGAATTCATCAATGAATATATGACTATTTGGTTGAGTAACATAAATGGTTGTTTCAATCTTTGTATTTTTCAAACTCAATAACTCTTCATAAAACCAATATAATGATCTCCATTCTCTAACAATCCATGTGAGTTTAACTCTGTTTGAACCATCTTTACTGTTGACAGCAACATCAATAGCTTCTGAAAATATACCTGGAATACCATTACCACCAGCAATAAATACAGCAGTATCAGCATATTTAGCAGCAGTTGATTCTCCATATGGTCCTTCAACACTAACTCTAATTTTACATGATCTACCAGGTTGTTTTGCAAGTGTTTGATATAAACTATGAGTAATACCACCTTTAACTTTGGCATATAAAATGATTGAATTACCTTGATCAACTGAATCTGTGAAAGTAAATGGATGTGATTGATAAAAATAAGTTGGTTTTAAAAAATGAATAAATGCATGTCCACCAGGGATCGATTTCCAATAACTAGGTTTAGGTACAACAACTTTTAATGTCTCATCAGATAATAAAGTAACATCAGCATGTGGGAAACCAAATGTAAATAATCTACCAATTCTAACAGCTCTATCAAAACACCAAACAGCTACTGCAGGATAGACCATCCAAATGAAACCAAAATCTATAACATGATACCAAGATCCAATGACCCAAAACACTGCCATAAGAATATGAAACAATAAAAATAATTCGTACCATCTTCTTCTTAAATATAACATACCTTGAATCATAATTGCACCACCACAAACAGTTGCCACTATACCCCAGTAAAAATATGGTCTAGATAAAGACATTGAATAACGACCATTCTGAACAAATAAAACAGTATAATTAACAGCATGAATGACAACCAAAATGAACATAATTCTAGCAGTGTGTCTATGATATGCCATAAATGTACTATAATTCCAACCAACAAGCCATTGTAAGAAATTATTTCTACCAGCAAATAAAAATATCAAAGGCATTATCATTGTAGCTGTAATACCAGTCCTATCAGCAACATATCTCATTTCAGCCTTATATTTTGAACCCATTAAAATTTCATCTTTTATAGCGGTTGAATTGACAGCATGAACAACTAATGTAAGAACATAAAACAAAAATATAACAAGTGATTCAAATCTTGAAGGTATTAAAAATCCAAAAAATTTTAAAAAATTTTGTTCTTGAGATTTCTTCTTTCTAAAAGTTGCAGGCATTGATATATTCTTTCTCCACCAATTGACAATTGGATTTGTCATTTTTTTAGTTAAACTTGGGCAAAGAAATTTTGACCAATTAGCAACAGCACCAAGCAAAAAGATAAGTAACCAATAACCATACATTCCAGCTCCATAATAAAGTGAATAATTATAATTATTGTAGAATCTTGCATATGATTCTTGATATAATGTAAGATTTGTCTTGTTTAATATAATTGGATAGTCAAGAACAACTCTTGGAGGTCCACCTTCACCACCTTTACCACCTCCATGACCACCTCCATGACCACCTCCATTACTTTGACCACTAGAAGTAGATGATTGTTGGCTTTGGCTTGAAGTTTGATTAGTCGAACCATGACCATTACCTCCACCTCCCATACCTCCTGAAGAACTTTTGGCTGGAGGATATTTAGCTTTTTCATTATATATTTGAATATATTTTGAATACCAGTCTTTATCAACAGTAGCATTTGGATATTGATGACATTGTCTTATTAAACCATAAGTGTATTTATGTTCTGTTTTCCCAATTTCATGAAGACAACCTGCTATACTTGCTTTTGCGTTATCATTAAAACATAAACAGTTTCTCTCTTTTGGTGAACAATATTTACCTTCGGCACTAACTTGAGCATTACAAGCATAAAAATATTTTAAATCAGATGTATCTTCATAAGCCTCATCTCCATGTGCATCGATGGTTGCAAAAAGGTATGCCAATGATAAAATTGAAAAACCCAAACCTTTAATTAACATGCTGTATCAAATGGTTATTTGAAATGTTGAATTATTGAATTGTGGTGAATGAAAAGATTTTTGAAACAAAGACTAAAAATATCTTGAGAATCATTTGCAACCATATTTGAATTTATTTATATAATCTTGACGCTGATGAAAAAGATAAAAAAGATTTCCTAAATTTTCCATTGTTCACTTCAAATTATTGATTCAGACATTCCGTTATTGGCTATCATTCAACTTGAGTACCGTTAATTAACAAATGTGTACGTTTTGTGCTTCTTATTTCAACAAATTTAGCTGCAAAACAAGTAAAAAAAGTTTTATTGTATACTTTCATGTTAGGTGGCTATTTTGACTCAACTACTTAAAATTTAAGCAAAAGCATTTGAAATTATATCAATAAAGGTTTGTGGTACTTCAAAAGGCAAATAAAAATCTAAGCAAACAATAGGGCTAGATTTTGAAAATAGTAACAAAATTTTATTCAAGAGAAAGATATGGAATGGAAAAGGAAGATGCAACATTTAAAAAAAAAATTCGTCTTAAAGTCTCAAATTTCAATAATTACATTTGTCCAAACAAAACTGAAAGTACATGTGATAGGTATGAGAATTGTTATACACGATAGGTATTAATTCCTTAAACTTGAAAATGTTGCATTTTCAACCCATGAAGTAGTTAAATCACATCATACCAGCAAATGTTTTAGGATTAGATTCATAAGAGCATTTAGTTAGTTCCATAACATTTAAGATGAATTGATTTGCTGCAGATTATCTTTTGAATTTATCTCAATTACCAAAAAGAATGAATATATTTTTAAATTAAAACTAGTTTCAACACAAAATTTGGTAGCCAAGAAAAAAATATATCATACTTTATAAAATTAAATTTCATGATACGAAATGAAAAATTTTTATCTATTTGATCAATTTATCATTTATAATTTGTTACATAAAAAATTGTCAATTATACTTTAACCAACATACCTAAACAGGAATAAGTCAAAAAAATCACAAGGAATACAGCTAAGATAAAATTACTAGTTTTTTAGAGATTTTAATCTTTTGTAGGAGTGTATTTGTTCACTCTGCTATGGATAGAATTCGACCTCTCTTCACACTTAGTAGTTAAAGTTTGTATCTTTGAACACTAATGAAAAATATAACTTTTCAGAAATTTTTGAAGGATTAGGGGTGTTTCTATGAATTCAAAAACTGCTGTTAATTTTAACTTTTCAATCCGTTATTTCTTGGAAGTTTCAATTAATCGCAATTAATGCGGTTCAATTATCCTCTAACTCTTGGCAATCGTTTAATTGTATACCCACTACTTAGAGCAAAGAAATCTAGCCATCGTAAATTGGTAATTCTTGACTGGCATATATGTTGATTCAGGGGTATTTTCTGAATTTCTATTCTATACCATCAATTCTACATTATGCGTTCAAATATTGGCTCAAATTGATAAGAACGAAGGTACTACTTACAAGTGAAATGACAATGAGATTATTAAATGTAATAAAATGTTTAGAACTAGACTTTAGATCCAATCAGGTAAATCATTTATTATTCTTTTTTTTGTGCTGTTTTACCTTATTATTATACTACTATACAATGCTAAGCGGTAATTCAAATTAAATTAACACTTTAATTTATAGTTTTTAAAGGCAGTTTAACTTGCATCAAGTAATAAATTGGATCCTTTAATTATTGAATGGTAGTATTTGGTTGCAATGTAGAGCATAGATAACGATTTTGTTTTTCTATAGCTGTTCTTCAATTGGCTGCAGTAGGATTTTAGATTCCTAATTGATTTTTAAAGTTTTATGGAAACAGTATAACCCTACAATTATAATTATTGTTCCTTCATTTACGATAAAAACTTTGATCTAAACTATTTGAGTAAATTTTAAAATAAAACTAAGCCAATAAATTAGATTCTTCAAGTTTTTCGTAAACTCTAGGAACCACAAATTGTATTTCTTTTTTGTTCAACTTTATTCAACACCTTATGCAACTTTCGAAATTATGCCCTGCGAAATGAAATCTCAGAGGATGCTCTTATAGTGAAGTATGAAACGCAGTGTCAGCAAAGCGGATAAGGAGAATGATATTGCTAACATATTAAATAGTCTCACTACTTTTGTAGCTATATATAATGGCAGTTTGACCTAAGACGTTTGATCTTGATATGTGGCCATTCTTTATCAATCCAATTTCGATGGAGCTCACCTAACTACATATTCAGAGTCAGTGGCTAAGCTCTAGGGTAATAAAATCCCAACTTTACAGACTCGTTTCGTTTTGTTTTAATGAGAATAAATATTCAAGCTCAAACTTAACCAATCACATAGATTGCCGATCAAATAAACAATTGGTAAAAATTGTCTAACCACAAAAACAAATTTACATGAAAATCTCTATAATTTTGCCATAAGTGCATTAATTCCAATAAGTTATTGTTCTTTAATTTTGATTAAATACATTTTTGAGTCAAACTTCAAGTTTTCATATTCAACACGTCAAACATCGTTTATTTAAAAATTTTTCAAGATTTTTTTCAGGATAATAATCAGAGAATTAATAATAAACAAGCAATTTTATCCATAAATTTGAAAGAATTATACGAATCAATTATCTTTCATTTTTGCTTGGAATACTTCGAAGTACTACGACTAAGACTTTTAAAAAAGTTTAAATACTTAACACACTCGTGGGAAAGTAAAAATAACTAAATTATTGAACTTCTAGTGGTAAGTTAGGAAATCAAAAATCGTTTAAACTTCAATCTTGAATTCAAATTTAACTTTCTTTGCATAAATTAAGTACTTTTCATTTCACTCCGAATAAAAAAGTCCACTTCATGTATGACAAATAAAATTATTCTTTTGTGAATGCAATATTGCTAAATTGATCAATCTGATAAAAATTCATAAAGATCTAAAAATACTCCCTAATAAAATATTGATTTTTTAGGATTAATTTCAATCAATAGCCAATGATCAAATTGATATTAAAATGTAACGAACAAAAGTCTAGGCAACTTTATTTACATCAATATCCAAGTATGTAATTCTAAAATTAGAAAATTTAATCTCTGATCTACAATATTCAAAATTCAATTAATCTTCGAAAATTTACAAATTGATTATACAGTCTTTTTTTTTCAAATACATTATAAGGTCAATCCACGAAAAACCAAAAACAAAAAAAGGTCATATCTCATTATTGTAACGGAGTTGAAGAGTTGATGGAATCAACACTTACCCTTGTAAGTCTTGGATCTGATTGATCATTAGGTAATTGTTGGTATAAATCAACTCTCTTTCGAATTCTTTTCATTTGCCAACTAATGGGGATAACTGGTAAGTATCCATATTTTTCTTCAAAAGTCAAAGATGTGAAAGCTATAATTATTACTACCCAATAAAGTATGTATCCAATAACACTTCCATATGTCGCTGAATTTGTCCATCCAAAAATAGCAGTAAAAATCATCCAAAAAGCTCCATCTTCTTGCATTTCACCATTACAACAATTGACGTGCCAAACGCTTTTTGCAATATCATAAGAGCCTGGTCCATGTCCTGTTTCACTTACATCCTGACCGCCACATTGATCAATAAAATGTTGTAACTCGAAATTCCAAATCCCTTTTGAAAATAATCCTGCTGCAACTAAATATAAGAAGCAAGTTGAAATTATTAAAAACCACTGTAAAGATAAAGTGTTACCAGAACGATACAAGGCTACACCAATTAATGAACCAATGATTAGAGCAGCTATAGCTGCGTTTACTATTGCCCAGATTGATGTATTTTCGTTTATACCAATTCCACCAATAAACACTATAGCTTCTAAACCTTCTCTTAAAGTAGTTACAAAAGGTAAAATAATCATACTATATTTTTCTGACCATAATTCAAATCGATTGAAAATACCACCATGAGGTTTGACAACAATATGCTCATCTGCATGTTCAATGGTGTTAAAAAATCTAGACAGCTTAATAAGTTTACCCAATTTTAATTTCCATTTATCTTGCATTTTACTTACTCTTAAAATTTTAATACCCATGACTGATATAATTATACTTGCAAGAATTGAAAAAGTTCCTTCCCAATAATGTTCAGTAACTGACCATAAGTCATTTCCAATAAAATAAAATACTGCTAAAATAACTGATCCAACCATTAAGCAGACTAATATACCCAATAATCCGCCAAACCAAATTTGTAATTTTAAGAAATTACATAATTTTTCATCATTTTGATTCTCCTCCAAACTTATAGACGTGGAGTTCGAAGTAGTCTGACTAACAGCATGATATTGTCCATTTGTAAGATTTGGAGGATTGTCATCCGTATTGTTTGATTCGTTTTGTTTTAAATCAATTCGGTTTGTGTTAAATGTTTGATGAACAAATGATAATAGAACACTAATTATTATAGCTGATTCCAAAGTTTCCCTCAATACGATGAAAAATGTTTGGATTGAGAAGTAAGCATCAACCAAAGACATTATTGGTATGTATTATTTTTTGATATAGGTAGTGTTGATCAAATGATGTGTAAATAGTGAGACACGTATCTTATGTGGACCTCCGATATTTTCTCACTGATGAAAAAGATAAAAATTATTTTTTTATCTAAAAGATCAGTTACTTAATTAGCATTATTACGTCACGTTTATTAAAAAGTGCGGAATTAACGCGGAATATAAGTTTTGTAAAACTTCAAAATTAGTTCAAATGAAATTAGTGCCACTCTTCAAAACGGACATAGTACATAATTTACATTGAATTTTGAAAGAGATTTTTATCTATGTTGATGTGCATTAATTCGTGATTGATATTTATTTTATAAAACTGAAGCATTTTTTCAAACTTTTCAAAAGGGCTTATCTTCTTCTAAAAATTTGGCATTTCTTTTATCATCTTTTTCCATATCAGAATGCAAATCACTCAATTCACTATCTGAAAATTCTTCATAACTAAATTTTATTTTCTTTAATGGCAGTGTAAAAGTTGGAGCAATAGATCTTTTTGGAGGCTTAGATTTGGTTGATGTTGAACTTTCTTTAGTGATTTTTTCAGGTTTAGTTTGGGTTCGTTTTGATTCTGGAGCAGCATCCTTCTGATCACTCTTTCTCTTCAGTTGTAACCTTTTTGATGAATCATTTACAGCGGACTGATTTGGTTGGATTGTTGACAGTTCAAGAGTTGAATTTCTTTTCAGTGACCGAGTTCTTAGGAGGATCCGCGGTACAATCAAACCTTTTGTATCTATTGGTTTTGATTTTTGTTTCTTTAAATTGATGTTAGACTTGGATGAATTAAGGGTATCAGTTTTACTTTTACTTGCACTTCGCGTTAATCGCCTATTCTCTGGGGCAATTTCATCTTTTTTAGTTTTGTCATCAATTGTTTGACTGGTAGAAGCTTTTCTACTTTCGCTTGCAGCATCTGCATCTTCTGTAGCAATTTTTGTATCTCCTTCAGTATTTTTAGCACCTCCATTAGTATCTATTGAGCCTTCCTCAGGAACTGTATTCTCGGTATTTTCTCTGATTACTTCAGAACTTGGTTCAGTTGCTTCTGCATCTTCTTTAGTAACTTCTTTACCTTCTTCAGTAGCTTCAGCATTTTCTTTAGTAGCTTCAATAACTTCTTTAGTAGCTTCAGCAACTTCTTTTGTAGCTTCAGAACCTTCTTCAATAGCTTCAGCACTTTCTTTTGTAAATTCAACACTTTTTTTAGTAACTTCAGCTCCATCTGCAACAACTCCTTCATTCTCTTGAACATCGACTGTACTATTTCCTACGATTTCTGAACCTTCTCCAGCACAAGTTAAGATCACACCCAGATTTTTGTCTAATGACTCCTTCATTTCCGAATCTTCCAAGCAGGATTCATTCAATTCTGTAGTTGTATTCAATTTCAGGGGTGAAGAAGGGGATGCATCAGTCTCTATTGTTTTGGACAAAGAAGTTTCAAGTTCTCCCGCAGCTTCTTCTGTAGTCTGATCATTTTGATTCAGATTTTCCTTTACCAGTTTTTTGTGCAATTCAATAGCCATAGCATCTGCATCGTTTATATCTCTCATCAAAGGTGAATTATGGGAAGCTTGTACTTGATCACCAGACGGTTGCTCCTTTACTTTTGACGTAGGGAGGACTCCCTTAAGCTGAACGTCTTTAGTTTCTCGAATGACTTCTCTGAGTGAATGATAATTTTCTGATTTGATTTGGTTGTTTGATGAATCTACAACAGCTTCGACTTCTCTGGGTGAGTGATCATTTCCTAATTTAGTTTGATTTTTTGATGAATCTACAACAGCTTCGTCATTCTTGTTCAATTCAACTTGTGCTTCCTTATTACTTTCTGGTTTGGGTGATTGTGTCTTCTTCAGACTTTCAGCTTGACCATTTCCCAGTTCTACGTTAATTGATGGTGGTTCAACTTTTGGTATTCTTTCATCCACTACATTTGGAATATTTACATCCTTCAAATTATCAGTTGCACCATTTGATATTTTCAAACTAATTGATGGGGCTCGAGTAGCTGCTGATGTTTTCAAGCTTACTTTGACATAATCTTCATTAACATTATCTTTTGGTGAGTTGAAATCATTTGAGTATCTAGATCTTCTTGCTGTGCTCCTTTCAGTTGGGATTTCTCTTTCGTGACGCGCGAAGTCATTTGCATTCGGAGTTTTAGCTGACTTGGACGAGAATGACCTAGGTGAGTTTCGTATATCACGAGATGATGTGTTTTGATTTTGATTTTTTCGAGGGATGTATGTATCACTTGATGGATATAGCAATGGTGCAGCCGAAGTTTTCTCTCTATCATGGTAATTTGCATTATCATATCCATCATTCAAAGCTGGTGTATTATGTCTAGATTCGTATTGTGATCTGCCACTTTTACCTCTATATGTAGATTTCGATTGATAATACCCTTCATCATCAGGGTATCTATTGTAATTATAAGTATCCTTATCAGTGTAATGATTATTATTTTGATGAAGTCGATTATTAGGTGGTCTTGCTAATGGTTTATAATGATATGGTGAAGCTGTATTATCTTTAGAATTATCCCAAGCATCCTCTTCTTTACGATATCGATCATCATAACGAGGAACTTCAACTCTAGCCCTATCATCATATTCATCCATGTTTTTTGATTCACTTCTATGATGATATTTATTGGATTCTCTAAGTTTTTTGAATTTTTCTTTATCAATTTCGTGACATTCTCCAAAACTGGGCATATCCTTAGGTCGTAAAGGTAATGGAGCTTCATTAAAAAATTCAGCTTGTAGGGCATCTAACGCATTCATTCTTTTGTAAGGATCAAGAGTCAATAAACCACTTAATAACTTTATTGCTGATTTAGGCATTTTATCTGCAAATCTTTGTTCCAAAGTTCTCTTTGCAGTTATTCCAATATTGTAATCTGTTTTATTTGGTAATTTCATAGCATCAGGCCATTGAGTACTCGGAGATCCAATTAATTCAAATATTATTTGTGCTTGATGAGCATCAGTTTTTCCAATTAATATAGGTTTTCTTGTGAATAATTCGGCAAACACACATCCAATACCCCAAAGATCAACTGCTGTTGTATATTTTCTTTCACCTAACAAAATTTCAGGTGGTCTATACCATCTAGTCACCACCAACGCTGTATATGCTTTTTCTCCACCTCCTGGTCCCATTCCCAATTTTGGACAATCTCCATGATACAATCTAGCTAACCCAAAATCTGCTATTTTCAAAATCCCATTCTGATCAACTAATAAGTTTGCTGCTTTAATATCTCGATGTAAATAATTTTGATCATGAATATATTGTATTCCTTCCAAGAGTTGTTTCATTAGACATTTAATTTCTTCTAATTTCAAAGTAATGCTTGGATTTTCCAATATTCCAACTAAATCACTACTCATATATGGTGATACTGTATAGAATGATCCTCTATTACTAATTAAATCAGCAGGATTTGTAACATTAGGCTCTTCAAATAATATTTCTTCAATACTTAGTATATTTTGATGATGCATTTGTTTTAGTATTGTGATTTCCCTGAGAGCGGTGATTGGAAATCCTTCTTTTGCTTGGTGATTTAGTAGTTGCTTTATTGCTACTGTGTGACCATTTGCTTTGCTTCTAGCTTTTTGAACCACTCCAAAGGTTCCTTGTCCTAATTTTTTGATTATCTCATATTCTTTCAATTTGGACATTTCTGGAATTGGATCAACGTAAGCATCTTCCACATATTGTTCCTCGTTAACAGCCTCATACTTCAGTCTATCAGTTACTTTGAGGTCGGACATATGAAGCTGATTTAGTAACTCATTTGTACTAATTAAGTGTTAAATGATTTAACAATTTAATTGTTTTTTGTATTTGTTTCAAGTTTATGCAATTTTTATCTATCTTTTGATTATCTGCGAGAATCAAAAAAAGAAACAAATATCGAGCTGCGCGTAAACTAGAGCATATGTAACAAGCCTCAACTACAATGAATTTCTCAAAAATAAGTATTACATGCATTAAAGTTATTTAAAATTTGAACTAAAAAGTATGAACATGACTCGTGAATTATGCAGGGTTTGTTTTTGCAAACTTAGAAACTCTCTTTCTTTGTTTGGATAAGGCAATCGATTGTTTAACATTAAACCCATTAGCTAAGAAATTAGTAGTTTCTTCTAACTCTAATCCAGCAGCATCAGGAAGTAAAAAGTAAACAAAAAAGAATGATATCAAACAAAGACCTGCAAAAAATGAAAATGTACCAGTTGGTGTTATTTTTTCTAACATTGTTAAGAAAGTAGATGCAATCACTAATGAACCAGCCCAATTTGTAGCAGCTGCATACATAGCTCCAATGGAACGAACATTGACATCTGAAAATAATTCAACACCGACCCAAGCAGAGTTACCAATACCAATAGCATATGAAGCAACATATAATATCATACCAATAATGACAACAATTCCCCAACCATTAATACCTCTAGTCGCTATTTCAATTCCAGTTGCGAAATTCACATCTAGGAAATGAAAAGCTATAGCACAAACTACTAATGATCCACACATACATGGTATACCAACTAATAAAATCTTTCTTCTTCCAACATGATCAATTATACAAAGTGCAATTGCAGTAAAAACAAAATTTGTAGCAGAAATGATAATTGACACAGCAGTAGGATTATGGAATCCAATAGTTTCAAAGATAGTAGCACTAAAATACATCAAAGAATTGAACCCAGTAAATTGTTGAATTCCTTGTAAACCACAAGCTAAAATTAATGCTCTGAAATTACCAGGTGTTGTATGAATAATTTTTATTGATTCCCAAGCTTTTTGTAATGGATTATGACCAGGAACTGTTGAATTTGAAATAATCATTTCATCTATAGTAGCATCTACAAAAGCATCTGATGGATGATTATACATTTTCCTAATAACCAGTTTAGCTTTTTCTATTTCTCCATTCATTACATAATATCTTGGAGTATCTGGTAAAAAGCAAAATAAAATAAATTGAAATACAGGAGGAACCATACATAATCCTACTGAAACTCTCCAACCATGAGCTACTCTTGTTAAACCCCAATTGATTAAATAAGCAATTAATTGACCACCTGTGATGAACATAACATTAGTAACAATCAATCTACCACGATATTTAGAAGGAGCCAATTCAGATAACATAAGTGGTGCTATCAATGATGCAATACCAACTCCCCAACCTAAGATGAATCTCCCAACAATCATTGTCCAAACAGTTTTAGCAACTAATTGAATAATTGTTCCAACAACAAAAATTACATTTGAACCTAATAAGACTTTTTTCCTACCTAATATATTTACTGATATTCCCCCTACTACGGCTCCAATTAATGCTCCCAAAGAAGTAGCAGATGTAATAAATTCTTTTTCTCCATTTGTTAAAATTTTATTTGATAAATCTGTACCTATTTGAACCAAAGCTGATGAAATATAACCTGTATCATAACCGAACATAAATCCAGATATGGATGAAGTTAATGTTAAAATAATTACTGTTTTTGAAGGTCGTGATTCAGAATTCGATATTTGTGTTGATGAACCTCCATAGATTGGGTCTTGTTCCGAATTTGTTAACAAAACTTTTGATGAATTGGATGATACAGCTGATGTAGACAGACTAGCTAATTCAGAAGCAGATATGGCAGCATCATTCCTCTCTTGACTTTTTTTAGAAAACATATTCTTGTGTATTTGCTAAATGAGTGGGGTAAACTGATGTAAACAATAGTTTGATGATATATAAATGAATGAAATGATGCAAATTAGTCAACTCTTCTGTTTAATATTACAACTTTGTAAAATGAATAGTAAAATAGATTAGAAATGAACAAATTTTTTAAATAAACCAGGTTATATAAATTAATAGAAAACTTTGCTAAATTTTTTTAAATTCTAAATATTTTTTTTATTTTAATGCAGAAATACCGGCGTAGTGGTAATTTACACAAAAACGTTAATTTTATACCGAAATTAAAAATTTATTTTTCCAGGTTATTGAAAACTTCAAAAGTATATTTTTTTGAAGCTTATTCTGGAATAAAAGCTTGTCTAGCTGACGTCAAGGAATGTTCATATGAACTTTCTGATTACGCTGTTCAAATACTGTAACTACAATGACGTTGTATATCAAATATATGAGAGTTGTTCTCCAGTTTTGATACAATTTTCTTCAATTACTAACATGCAATAATACCAACTGGCATCTGAGATTTGTATAATGGTAAGTCTTGTTTGACATTCTCAAAAGCAGGCTAGCAAATTCGAGGACTATTGTGTAAAGAAAACAAGCCAAAGCTTTTATTTCAATGCAATACAAAGAACTTTTGAAAGAGTTTATGGTTCATCAACTAAGCTAAACTGCTGTTTGTTGTGGGATATTCTCACTATAAAAAAGTTTAATATTAATTCTTTTTAAATTTGTACCAACTGCTATATTTCTATTCAACAGTAGTAGATTTGAATTCACATTCAATAGTAGTTAATGTAATAGTCAAGAAAGCATTTAGAAAAGAAATAATCAAAAGAAAGAAAAATATTATCAAAATAATTTTTCCGTTCTTAGTTAAAAAATATTTCAAATTAAGTAAGATACGAGAAATAATAAAAAGAAAACTAAGGTAGATTAGATCAGGACAAAGCAGTCCTTACCAAAAGAAAGAACGACCTGTTCAGTTCTAATGCCAGGAAATGACAGATTATGTTGTTCAAAGGTCTTTCGTCTCTCGCATAGACCTTATCACTTAAAGAATAAACTCTATTAGCCATGGCTTCATTAGTGTATTCGTAACCATTCAAAATGAGTTCAATAAAGAGATATCTTAATAAAATTATGATTAAATTAATAATTTTAATGTTTTTATATATATTTATAATATATATTATATATATGAAATGTGTTTTTTGAAGTACCAAATAAATAATTAATTATTTCTCAATTTATTCCTTTTTTGGTGGATCAAATCTGAATTTCCTATTTTTAATTGGTGTCCATTTAAATCTTTTAACCCAAATCGATAATAAATATAATGAAGATAATACTATTAAAGCTTTCAAACCCCATCTTTTTCTTTCATCATGTTCTGGTTCTGAAGCCCAATTTAAGAAAGTTGTTACATCTTTTGCCATTTGTGAAGTTGTTGCAGGAGTACCATCTTCATATTCAACTAAATCATCAAACAATACTCTACCCATAGCAATTGCACCACCTGGGAAATATGGATTATAATTTGAACCTTCTGGTAATACAACACCTGCTGGTGGTTCTTCTGGATAACCAGTTAATAAAGAAAATATATAATCACAACCTCCATGTCTTGCTTTAACAATTAATGATAAATCTGGTGGTAAAGCACCTTGATTAGCAGCTCTAGCAGCTTGTTCATTTTCATATGGACCTGGAATATAATCTGCTAATTTACCTGGTCTTTTTCTTGGTTTACCTTCATCATCAGGTTCATCATCATATTCAACTTCTTCCGCCATAGCTTTAGCTTCAGAAGTTGTATGAGAACTTCCTACTAAATTTCTCCAAGCAATTCTTTCGATTGAATGACATGCTGCACAAACTTCTTTATAAACTTGAAAACCTCTTCTTATTGATGCATGATCAAATGTTTCAAACATACCATTATGTGGCCAATTATAAGCTGGTGGATGTAAACCATGTTCTGCAGCTGTCATTGCATCAGCTGACATTGAATCTTGATATAAAAGATATGATGCGGTTAATCCAGTAACACCTACACCACCTGCAATAAATTTTTGAATCAAAGGTTGATTTATTGTTTTAAAAGCAGATTTGAACATTGTGAAATTTTTTTGATTCTGATGTTAGATGCAAAATAGTATTAATTGATATATGATTGAAAAGAATGATCGTTATTTTTGAATGGTGTTATTGTCTAATCTTCAAACTGTTGTACGAATGAAAAAGTATGTGGGTTTTGATGAATCTTTTTTTCAAGTAGATGATGGATGAAATACAATACAATACAGTAAGTTATTTGTGATTGAGGTTGAAAGAACTGTTATTCAAAATCCTTTAATATAGAATAATTGATTGAACTTTTATTGAACTCAAGGTATATTATGAACCTTATGTAATTAGTCTTTGTATTTCCTACTTTTTCTATTGGTGTATATACTTAATTTTTTCATTTCTTTAGCTACTTTTTCAAAATCTATGGAGTACTGCATATAATTCTGTTTTTGTTTAGTATGATGATTATATATTTATAGAGTACAATTTATAAAACGAGAATTGTTATTGGTTAAATTTATATGTATTAAGAGTGTCTGGAAATATTTATTGTCGTTAAACTTCAGTTTCAGTCATTAGAAGACTCTGTTTGATTTCATATTTTTCGGTCGCTAACTTGGCACAGTCGAGTCAAACTTTTTCGGCTTGTCTAGAGCCAGGAACATAATAACTAAATATCATTCATTAAATCATGTATCTTAACTTCCCAGTTGTACATATTTACCATTTTTCTTCAGGATTTGATTTAAATTCTTCATAAGCATCCCAATTGAATAAACTTATCTCAGTTTCGTTTTGAACACCCAAATCCCACAAGGATTTATTTTTAATTTCATTATTTCGTTTTAAAATTGTCCAATTGTCATCATTTTCAAAATTTATAACTAAATTCATTGATTTTGATCCATGAGCTTTTGTATATATTTTTAATGAATCGTAATTTACATTTCTAAATGGTCTTAAACTTCCATTTGAATTTATATTGTTGATAACTAATTCTAATAATTGTTTTGAAGTTGTTGCTTTTAAATCTATATCTTTTAATACCAAATTTTTCACGTTACGATAAGGAAAAGATTTTATTATTCGAATTGTTATTAAAGCATCTGTTGCAGGTCTAACGTTTGACGTCAAAGGTTCATCTTCATTCATTATAACTGAAATATTTTTGATGAGCTATGGAACCAACTACTGCGCGTTCTCAACTTCTTTAAATATTTAAATCGAGATTTGAATGATGAGTTTTAGTCATATTATAAATAATTGATTAAGTCATAATAGACAGCAAACAGAGAAGGTCTTTCAAAATCAGAAGCTTTTTCATCTTATCATATATAATCTATAAAATAGAGCTTAGTCAATTAAATCTTCAAGATACATCGAAGGTATAGTTTTTCTACCGTTAGGTTGACCTCTTTGTTGTGATTGTGATTGTGATTGTAGTGGTTGTTGATTCAAGTGTAGGTTACTTTGTGAACTTTGTTCAGTTTGTGGCTGTTGTTGTTGTTGATTAATTGAGTACTCACTATTATTAATTTCATTATTAATATATAAATTTGGAACTAATTGTGAATGTCTATTTGATGCTGGTGATGGATTAACTAGATTTGAATTTGATCCACCAAATGGTAAATTTGTTAATGAAGATGTATTAAAAGATCTAACTCTTTTGTGTTGCATAACTTCTGCGGTAGGAGAAATAAACATTTTGGTAAGATCATGTTTCGTTGTTGCATTGTTATCAGATTGATATATAGTTGAATTATCTCCATACTGTGATCCTCCTCCTAAATTATTATATGATCTATTATTTAACAAAGGAAGTTTTGAAATTGAAGCTCCATGGTGATTAGTATATTCATTTGTAAAATTATTCAAAGTTGATTGAGGAGTCATATTTGCAAAACCGTATGCATTGTTATTATTAGTTTGATATTTTTCATACATTCCTCTATCATAAGCACTTGTCTTTTTAGCTAATCTTGATGCACTACATGAAACAATTAAATGATATAATATAAAACCCAATAATATTGCTCCAACAATAGCACCAACTGCAATGAAAACTGTTCCTGAAGGATTCAGTTGTCTTATGATAAATGGATTATTCCCATTTGCTGGTACAGATATTGCTGGTGTTGTAAATGCATTAGGATCTGATAATGTTGGCATAGCCGGCATATCAGTAGTTGTTTCATCATCCCTTGCAATTAAGGTCTTGGTTGCATCAAGCACCGTCGTTAATAAAGTATCCCTCTTCATTTTCTTACTTAATGATATATGCGAGTTGACTTTGGCTGATGAAAAAATTTAAGTTGTGTTGATCTGAAACTGATTGATTTGATTTGAATTGGTCTTGTTACAATATAATTTTTTTCTCTGTTTATTTTTAATTTTTTTTTTCTTTCGTAAATTAATTTCTTTGTTCTAAATTTGGTAACAATTTAACTAGTTTCGATCAAAGAAGAAACCTTAATTATTCCAAATATCTAATAAATTAAACTCTATATGCACCTACTTACATTAATATACTTTGCAAAACTAATTGGTCTTTGCTATTGAATCTGCTTCATCAACCTGCAAACCATAAACCTTTTCTATTTTCTTCAAATTGATCTCGAAGCCAATACCAAATTTTAACACTCTCACAATCATCAATTAATCTTGGTTTAAAAAATGGATATTTTTCTTCATATTCCGTCATATTACCAAACTTACAAAATATCTTTTTGTTATTATAAGGTAACTCGTTATTATTATCTTCCCAAGGTTTAGGAATGGGATTATCTGAAAAATGAATTAATTTTAACTTTGAAAGAAACTTTTTAGGATTCCAGCCATTATTTGATTTTTTTACAATAAATGGTAAATATTGTGGTTCTACTACAAATCTTTCATGCCATTCTTCTCCAAATTCTCCTGTTAAAACTCCATAGACTCTATGAGGTAGTATTCCTACATTCACTTTACCCTTATGCAATTCATTATCCAAATATTTATTCAATACTTCCATATCATAATCTGAAGACTTTCTAAGATTTTTTCTATTTGTGAAAGACCAATAAAATGGATTGTTTATATATTTCATTAATTTGTTAAAAGTCTCTTTCGAAGGTTTTATAACCATTATATGATTTGCAAAAAAATTATCAACATTATCAAATTTGTGTTTTTCATAAATTAACAGTGGTAATTTTCTCCAATCTTTTGTAATTGAGATATCGTTTACTAACTTTTTAATTCTCAAAGCTTGTCGTTTATCATTTGGAATTTCTATTTTTTTATATTTTAATGGTGATTTACCTTCAACTACGTTATTCAACCAGTATGCTTGAGGTAAAGCAAATTCTAATTCACTAGGTATTTTGAAGAATTCATCAATATTTACAAATCCATTTTCAATTTCACCCTTATCATTCCAATTAGCGTTGATAAACATTGAATCAGAATCAAAATATACTATTCTATCGAATTCATCTTGATTGAAAATATGAAATTTAGTAAATGAAGCACTCCATGGAGTATTATCAATATAATTTGCCTTTATTAATGAAGTAGCTTTTAAAGTAATATTATAATGATTTGCAACTTGATATAAATTATTCCATCTATCACTAGCATAAAACAGTAGAATCTCATCATATAATATTACTAAGTTTGGAATTTTAGTATTTGATTTTCGTAATTGAATAAAATTCAAAATTGCAAGATTTAAATAATCATAATTTGTTGCATATTGCATATAAGCTAGTTTATCTATATTTTGTAATTCAATTGTTTTGTCATAATAAGATATTATCTCTTCAGGTATTACTTTTAAATGATTTTTTAAACCTTTTTCTTTAACTTTATTTGTATTCTCTAGGACTACATGTGAAAATAAGAAATAAAGGAAAACAAAGATTGCTATCTTGAATTCCCAATTCTTGAGATAATGTTTCCAATTTTTTGGTAGTTGATTATTTTGTTGAGATTCTGACATTAATGTCAAGCGTCAAATGCAGAAAAATAAAACTTAAAGGGTCGGAATTGTACTCGCGATTTTTTTGTTGAAGAAATAGTAATTTTACGCAATTCCTATGACCCTAAAAAGACTAGATTATCTTCATTACCAAAATCATTGCTTGGAGTGAACTTTCACTTTGGTTCAAGTACTAATACTGTACAAAAAAAATTACCAATCTGGTTGTGTAAAGATTGATCATTCTTTGATTGATATGCGCAAACCCGGAATCGAACCGGGGGCCCAACGATGGCAACGTTGGATTTTACCACTAAACCATTTGCGCTGTTTCTTTGAAATTTTTGCTTTATGTAATAACTAACTCCATTGTTTTTGACCGACTCCTACGCCTAATTTTAGTGAAAATCAGCTCAATGAGCACACGAACTCGACCAATTTTGATAGTCATGTTCTGTGCAGAAGCTCGATCAAATGCTTACCGTCTATACCACCATGTTTTACAACTTGAGAAGAAAAAAGGGTTGAGAAATCAGAAATGCTGGATTACTGTAATTGTTGTTTGCTAAGTTTTGCTAAGTTTTCATTCATTAAATCGTCTATTTGTAGATATTTTATATAGGTGATGATTAACAATAAATTCGTAATCATTACAGTATTTCGAGCTAATTGAAGCAACAATTTATCATTCCAAATTAGTTATTGTTCACCATGATGAATACTTAATCTCACAAAAACGATGATTTCATCAACTTATTTCATTATATACATAAATTTCATCATTCAAATTTTTAATTAGTTGGTTTTTGAGATTTTAAAATTTCTTCTTTTAATTTTTGAGAAAATTGATCTTGATTATCATCATCATCCCAATCTTGTTCCCAAAGATTTTCTTCTTTTAATTTTGAATCTTGCTTATTATTATTATTATTCCATTGAGTATCATCATCTGGAAAATCTTCAAATTCATCATCTTCTTCTAATGATTTTACTATTTTTTGTTCTTCTTCTGTTTGTTTTGGTTCTGATGTATTTGTACTTGATTGATTTGTTGTGGACATTATTAATTGATGTTTGTTGGGGTGAATAAAATGATTTGATTGAAGTAATTGAATGGCGATAATTGTAATGTTCCTAGTTTCAAATGTATTAATTTAGTGAAATTTGTCGCTACCAAAGTTGAATTTATTCAATTTGATTTTCAATTTTTTTTTTCAAATCAGTTTAGGCTAATAAGTGAATTATCAGATTCAACCTACACTTCATGTTCAAACACTCATCCTTCATAGATGTTTTAACATCGAATACAAACAAATTAAGTCTATATCCAATACGAACGCTCAGAACTCAAACTAATTTAGGTTCATTATCACCCAATGAAGGATCAACACAAGGTTATAAAAGATTAGGTAGAGGACCATCATCAAATAAAGGTAAAACATCAGGAAGAGGTCAAAAAGGTCAAAAAGCAAGAGGTAAAGTTCCAATATGGATGGAAGGTGGTCAAACTCCATATTTTAAACAAATGCCAATGGTTGGATTTAAAAATCATCATAATGCTAAACAATTTCATGAATTAAATTTAAGTAAAATTCAAGATTTTTGGGAAAATAATAGAATTCCTTTACAAAGAGGTGAAACATTAACAATAAAGATTATGAAAGATTGTGGACTTATAACAGGTACTTTAAAAGATGGTGTAAAAATTTTAGGAAATAATTTATTAAATAAAAAATATAATGTACCATTAAATATTGAAGCATCAAAAGCTACTGAACAAGCAATTATCAAAATTGAAAAAGATGCAAAAATGTCATTTACTGCAAGATATTTTTCAAAATTAGGTTTAAGAGCTTTTGTAAATCCTTCGTATTTTTTATTAAGAAAAGGTTATGTACCATTACAAGCAAGACCAATAAGTCAAAAAGATATCACATTTTATTCTAATCAGAAAAATAGAGGATATTTAGAAAAAGATTCATCAATATTATTAGATCACCTAGCAAAAGCAAAAGAGGAATTAAAAACAACAAAGCCTAAAAAGAAATCTACATCAAAATTCAAATCATTAACTGAACAATTAAAAGAAGCATCATCAATAAATTTCAAACCTACAAATAATACAATAAGTGTAAAAGAATTAACAATATAATTTCCCCATGTATATATAATCATTCAACATCAACAAATAAATGTAATAAATTTTCAATAATTTCTTGTACATCATTAAATTTAATTTGTAAATTATTTTTTTTATTATTACTATTAGTATAATTATATTTTTTTAAAGCAAAAATTGCAGATTTATAAGTCATTTGATGAATTTCTTTAATTTTCAAAATTTCATTTATTGAATTTGTTTGATTTTTTGATAATCCTCTTATTCTTAATCCTGAAAATATTAATTTATTAATTGCATTATTTATTTGTTCTTGATTTGTTAAAATCAGTAATGAAGATGTAGAGTTTTGTTGTATATCATTTTGATTAGACAATAAGAATGGATTATTATCTTGTTTTTGTTTTAAAACTTTATCGAATACTTGAGTATTTGGTATGGTTCTATTTTTCTTCTTAGTTATAAACGAATTATTATCTATTTTATTATTATGATCGAGTTCATTCAATTTGTTTATAACACTAAAATCTACTATCAAACAATCTATGCTGTTATTATCATTATTGAAATAAAATACAAAATATTGGTCACTATCTATCTTATCCTTGATTTTAGTTAATATACCATAATTTAACAATTTATTTGAATTTGGTATAGTCAAAATTTTATGTTTAAAATAAAATTCACTTTCTTCATCATTTGTAAAAATTTGGAAGGAATGACCATTTATTAAATAAATTGGTAATTTGGTACATTCAATGTGTGTTATAAATTCCAATGAAGTTGAATTTAATTTAATTGATAAATCATCTATATAATCGTCTGTCTCCTTTATTGACCAAAATTGAACATCTTTTATCGTCTGACCCTCATCATATAAAGCAGTTGAAAATTTGTAGTTCATTAATCATTTAGTTGAATCGATTATGTTTTATTGTCTGCTTAGTTTTAGTTGTAACTTAGCGAATGTAATAATGCATTCGAATAAAAAGTTGGTATCGGAATAGTAGTGTAGATCTCGTTAAAAAATAAATCCGTGGACCGAAACATCTGTAACTCAATATTAACAGAGATTAACAGAGAATTACAACAAACAAATGTATCGAAGATACCTATTACCTAAAAAAGGGTTGTCAAAAACATTTCCAACTCTTCTTCTTTATCATCCTAAAACGATCTTTGAGATTCTATCAACCGGTGGCAAATTTAATTTTTATTCGTTTAAAGTATCACCTGTTGATTTTTTTTTTGCCTAAAAATTGTGATTAAATCTCGTTGATCATGTTTGAGGTCTTAATTAGAGTATTGAACCAATTTATACTGCAAAAGTAAATGCACCTGGAATTTCGGAAGATAATGTTTCAGAATTTACGTTCCTAAACTCGATTATTCTGTTCTAATTTATTATGAAGCTAAGTATATCCTTTCAACTACAACCCACCATGCTCTATAACGTAATAATAAATTATTCAATGATTTACGTTTTTGAGTGATGTCTCACCTGTAAGATTTATAAAATTTGTATTGTTTTAATACATAAAAATACTACACTTGGTAGATACCAGCACATACTTAGGCTAACAAAAAGAATTGTGTAAAATTGTACAAAGATTAGAAAAGAGAAATATTATTAGACTATTGATAAAATAATAGTAATGATAAATTATTAACCATCTTAATTTAAAACACTTTTTATTTAAACAACTGGATCTCAATAGAAGAGAAGTCATTATAGATATAAATAAGTTTTATTTCTACAACATATTTAATATATACATTTTGGAAAAAATTTTTTCATCTTTCATCAATAGATCAAAAAGAATTTGTTTGCTCCTACAAGAGACGAGTTATTAATATCAAATAATAGACGGGCAAAATATTCAATCAATCAATTTACAGTTAGTTCACACCCGATTACAACAAACAAATAAGCAACAGATAAACCCCCTGCACCCGACAATACAAGAAACCACGAAAATCATTTAAAATCATTACCCATAACTTCCTTCCAAACATATAACAAACACGATGACCACAAGAACAAGAGTTTATTCAATATCAAAAATATATTCAGATGTAAATAATAATAAACCATCAGAATATTGGGATTATGAAAATCATAAAATACAATGGGGAGATATAAAAAATTATGAAATAGTAAGTAAAATAGGAAGAGGTAAATATTCAGAAGTTTTTCAAGGTATAAATATATTAAATGATGAACCATGTGTTATAAAAGTTTTAAAACCTGTTAAATTAAAAAAAATTTATAGAGAAGTTAAAATTTTACAAAATTTAACTGGTGGACCAAATATTATTGGTTTATTAGATGTTGTAAGAGATGATCAATCAAAAATACCTGCTTTAATATTTGAAAAAATTAATAATGTTGATTTTAGAGTATTATATCCAAAATTTACAATAAAAGATATTCAATATTATTTTATGCAATTATTAATTGCATTAGATTATTCTCATTCAATGGGTATAATACATAGAGATGTTAAACCTCAAAATATAATGATTGATCCAATGAATAAAAAATTAAGATTAATAGATTGGGGATTAGCTGAATTTTATCATTCAGGTATGGATTATAATGTAAGAGTTGCATCAAGATATCATAAAGGACCAGAATTATTAATAAATTTACAACAATATGATTATTCATTAGACTTATGGTCAGTTGGTTGTATGTTAGGAGCAATAATTTTTAAAAAAGAACCATTATTTAGAGGTGATTCAAATAATGATCAATTAATTCAAATTGCAAAAATTTTAGGAACAGAAGAATTACTAGGATATATAAATAAATATGGTATAAAATTAAGTTCAGATTATGATGATATATTAGGAAATTATTCCAAAAAGCCATGGAAATCTTTTATAAATAATGATAATAAACATTTAATTAATGAAGATGTTTTGGATCTTATAAGTAAATTATTACAATATGATCATCAAAAAAGACCAACTGCAAAAGAAGCAATGAATCATCCATTTTTTAAGAATACATATAACTAATTAATGGAGGGAAAACCTAATGTTTTTAATTTTTTAATTATAATTTAGAAAGAAAATACACGTTTCAAATATTGGGTTGAAGTTAATAAATAATAACCTTAAATCAGTATGATTGAAAAAAATGTTCTCTTTCGATAACAAACTTTTCGTAAATAAACCCCAAGACTTTAATTAAACTTTTATAGATAAGTTTCATCACACGACTTGGTATTTTATTAATATTTCGTCTTCCTTAATAGTCCAAGTAAATATTTGTTAAACGATAGAAAATTAATTTAAACGGTTTTTTTTTCTCATCATTAGACTATCTAATACAATAAGATCCTTTTTCTATCTACTATTTACTTAATTAGACCTCTTTTATTGTTTGTAAGAGCAGATATTGAAACATTAATGTATACTATTTATGATGTCCATGCATTAATACTACTATATTGAGTAATAAATTCACTATCTACATATTGGATTTAAATTATAAACACGTAGTCTAATCAGGCTAATTATAATAATTTATTATATTTTTTCAAGGGCTCCGTTTTGATAAATATCAACACTTTACTTTACAACCAAAAATACTTTTAATTTGAAACAATATTTCATAAGATAGATCATTATATTTCATTTTTGTTTTAATATACTTCATTACATTATCACAGGATTCTTATAACTATCCCTAAGCTATATATAATTCCAACATATTTTAGTTTAAATCATATTTAATATTAAATTTAAATCTGTAACAAAATTTAGCCGTGTTTTTTTTTTTTCAATAATCACAACAACAACAACAATATTTGTTCACTAATCAACACAACAATAATCACAACAACAATAAACACACCCATACAAACACAGACACATTCTCCAAACAATGCCTCTTTGTGGAAGTAAACCAAAAACAAGTATGTGATCTAATCAAACATCATTAAAGTATTAAATCAAACATCAAATACTAACAATCATATATTCTAGTACAAAGGAAAATAGTGATATTAGGAGATGGTGCTTGTGGAAAAACTTCATTATTAAATGTTTTTACAAGAGGTTATTTTCCACAAGTTTATGAACCAACAGTATTTGAAAATTATGTTCATGATATATTTATAGATGGTCAATCAGTACAATTAAGTTTATGGGATACAGCAGGACAAGAAGAATTTGATAGATTAAGAAGTTTATCATATTCTGATACTCATTGTATAATGTTATGTTTTTCTGTTGATTCAATAGATTCTTTAGAAAATGTTCAACATAAATGGGTTGGAGAAATTGCTGATCATTGTGAAGGTGTTAAATTAGTTTTAGTTGCTTTAAAATGTGATCTAAGAAGTGATGAAGATCTAGAAAATCAAGAACTACAACAACAACAAAATAATCTATATAACAACAATAACCCATATTCTTCAAATTCACAATCAAATAAAAAATTAATAACTTATGATGAAGGATTAGCAGTGGCGAAAAGAGTTGGTGCATTAAGATATTTAGAATGTTCAGCTAAAAAAAACAGAGGAGTTAATGAAGCATTTTCCGAAGCTGCAAGATGTGCTTTAAATGCAAAACCAAAAGGAGCTAATGATAATGAACCAGAAAAGAAAAGTTGTATAATAATGTAGAGTTTGAATTTATGATTTTTTAAAATTTAGCATATATTACAATCAAAATTATTGAAAAATTTACAATTTGTATTAACAAGATTTCTCTTTAACTCTCTATATATTTCATAACTCATTAAAAATGTTGGTGAAACAAAAATATCAATCTATTTCGTTTCAAAAGGATATTCTTGTAATTTATTCCTTGCATCCCAAATATCTTCAGAACTTCCCTTTAATTTATCATTCATTAATCTTTTCTTGAAAAATTCTTGTATCTTAGCTCTATTTTCCAATTCTTTATCATTTAATTTTTCCAAAGGCTTGGTTTCATTTTTAGAACTTTCCACTAAAGTTCCATGTTTTATAGCAAACCAAAATTTAGATCTTTGTAATTGACAGTTATCATATGTACCATATCTATAATAATGTTTAAATTGTCCACCTAATGCAAAACATCCTATTAATTCATCTAAACTTGTCATTATTGATAATTGATTTGGATATTCATTTAAATATGTATTTTTTTCAATATTTGATATTAGTTGTTGTCTTTTTGCTTGTATTTCTGGTGATGAGTCTTGAAACTCACTTAGTATTTCGTTTAATTCTTGATTTTCTTTAGACATAGTTGGTGGTTTCGTATATTTAAGTTTTAAACTGTATTAAAAGACGATATATGTACTGTACAGTATAATTTTTCAAATCTGGTCTTGTCTCGTTTTTTTTTTTGTTTCAGAATCGTATTTCAAAACATTTTAATTTGAAACAATAATAAAAGTTAAACCTTACGTTATTTTCCACTTGGTTTTAAACTTTGAAAAATATTCAAGTGCTGATGCTCACATTTTGTAATTGAAAGCAATGAGAAGTTAGGGTAGTGAAGAAAAGTAAGCAACACAAGAATGACAACTCAAATAGATTCACCAAATGAATCTGGGGTTAATAACCAACTACACAATTATCAATCTCCAACCAATATTACACAACCATCAACCAAGAATGAAACAAAAGAACTAAAAAGTTGGTTATCGAAATCAAATTGTCAACATTTATTACAAAAATTCATAGATCATGGAATAACATTAGATTTAATATCAGAATTAGATTCATATAGTTTAAAAGAAATTGGAATTTTAAAAGTTGGAGATAGACTTAGGTTAGAAATTGCAATAAATAATTTAAAAAATGAAAAATTGAAAAATTTAATTGATATTGAAACATTATATAAAAAACTTGAATTAGAATTTACACCAAATGAACCTTTCAATAATCAAAATCCAAGTTTAAACAATTTATTAAATCCAAGTGAAGCTTCTTTATTGACTCAAATAAATAATGGAAGTAACGTTAATTTAAGACAGCTGCAATTACAAGATCAATCACAACAACTGTTACAATTACCACAACAAAACGCGTCTTCATCAACTACAAAAAGTTCTAGTAAAAATATATCATTTATTTTACAAGATGGTAGTATAAAAAGAGTAAATGTAACTGGATGTTTTAATGCACAAGCAATAAAAAGAAAAATTCTTAAAAAATTAGGTTTTAAACCTCAAGAATCTACACAATTTGATACATATATTCATTCAACGAATATAAATGATTATAGAAATTTAATGGATAATTTTGAACCACAAGTTATAATGCTTTATGATGTTGAATTAGTTACAATATGTTATTCACCAGAAAGATTAGAAAAACATAGAATTATGTTAGTACCAAAAAATGAAAATCCTACAGAATCAGCAATTGAAACTTCAAAATTAGTTATGCATAAATATAATAAAACTTTAAAAGCACAAATTAAAAATGAATTAAATTTTCCAGATAGATCAACAACAACAAATCACAATCATGCTGATGATATTAAAATGAGTAAAAAAGATAATCAATTTTCAAGATCTACAATGAGAAATTTTTTTGGTCAAAGACCGCCAAGTGAATTAATTTCATCAAATCTTGCTGAATATTTTCCAGAAACTAAACAGAAGGATCTTGAACAAACTGTAAGAAATTCAGTTCGATTTAGTGTTAGATTAAGTAAGAGGATGAATTTTCCAACTAGTGGTGGATTTTCATCAAGTTCAATTGCACTTCATAATAATCATAATATGAGATCATCAATAATGAGTAATAATGCCACTGGATTACCTTATCAAAGAGCAATGTCTATATCATCTAATGAATATGGAGTTGGTGGTGGTTTAAGAAAAAGTAATAGAACAATTGGTGAAGTAATGATGAATAATATTACATCAATTGATGAAGCAGTTACTAATAATGATACATCAAGTAAGTTTAGTAAACCATCACTAATTAATCAAGAAATTCAAGAAAATCAAGAAAGTCCAAAATTTAACCATGGTAAATTTCCTAATAATACTGACGTGAGATCTATAATTAGTTCACGAAGTATAAGTGAAGGAAAAGCATTACATCGAATTTCAATAGTTGCAAGTCATGATCCAAATGATGAAGCATCTAATGACAGATTGTCAAAAATAGAATTATTAAATCCAAGTGATAGTGAAGAAAATGATGATGAAGAAAATTATGATGATTATATAGATAATTGGGGAGATGATAATAGTTTTGAAAATAATGAATGTAATGTACCTGATAACTGGTTAAAAGGTTCTAAAATTGGATCAGGAAGTTTTGGTACTGTTTATTTAGGTATGAATCCTTTTACTGGTGAATTAATGGCTGTTAAACAAATACCTTTAAATAATAATAATATACAACTGCAAATTCAACAATCACAACAACAGCAACAAGCACAGGATCAAGCACAGACCGAACAACAACAACAACAAAAACCACAAGAATTAAATTTACCAACACCAACATCAGTTAAAGATAACAATGAAGATCAACCACCTGAATTACCACAAAAATCTCCATTAAAATCACAACCATTTTTTGATTTATTAGAAGATCAAAAAAGAGAAATGATGTTATTAAAAGAATTAAGTCATGAAAATATTGTAAGATATTTTGGTAGTTCAACTGATGAAAATTATTTAAATATTTTTTTAGAATATGTTCCTGGAGGTTCAGTTCAAACAATGTTAAATTCTTATGGACCATTTGAAGAACCATTAATTAGAAATTTTATAAGACAAGTTTTAATTGGTTTAAATTATTTACATAATGAAGATATAATTCATAGAGATATTAAGGGAGCAAATATATTAATTGATATAAAGGGAACAGTTAAAATTGGAGATTTTGGAATTTCAAAAAAAGTAAGTACAATAGATGAAGAAGATGATAATTTTAAAAAAACTGGTAAAAGAGTTGGATTACAAGGGTCAGTATTTTGGATGGCTCCAGAAGTTGTTAAAAAATTAATTTATACAAAAAAGGCAGATATTTGGTCAGTTGGTGCATTAATTATTGAAATGTTTACTGGTAGACATCCATTTCCTGAATTAAGTCAAATGCAAGCATTATTTAAAATTGGTAACCACATACATCCAAAAATTCCTGAATGGTGTACAATAGATGCAAAAAATTTTTTAAATAAAACTTTTGAATTAAATTTTGAAAAAAGACCAAATGCTTTTGATTTATTATCTGATGAATTTTTAAATACTTTAATTGCATCAAAACAATAATCTTTGCTATATATGAACTTACATAGATTATGTTACAATTGTATTATGAACTTTTATTGAATAACTCTGTAGATTTACAGTATATATTTGAATATGTCACATAAATTTGAGTGTAGAGTTACGGAGTTTAGTCCAAATTCGAAAATTATGATCTGATGATATGCAAAAGAAAAAAGAAAGAAAAACATACAGAGTGAGTAAGAACAGAATGTGGGGATAACTTAAATTTAACTTAACTTAAATCCTTAATAGCTAAATTATACTCTATCAATATGACTCCCTTATTCTTCTTGAAATTTAAAGGTCATTGATTAAGAAAATTATTTCGACGTTTTAATCATTTAATTTTAATTTGGTTCCTATTTTTGAATTTTTATGAATTATTGATTACACCACGTTCATAGTAATATGAAATTGCTGAGTGTAAGAAATTATTGAAAACTTCGACTTCTTCATAATTTTTAATAAACTGCTTGTACTATAACCTAGATTATATGTAACTTGTAAATGCTAAGCTTACTTTCTATGTTTTCTCTGCTTCTTTTTCAATATTACTTCAGTATCACTTCTTCTGATAAAGACTAATATCGACCACAAAAATTGAGAAACATAATTTTTTTTATTTTTTAAATTGAATGCAACTAACAAGGTTCATCATAAGACTCATTCATTAATCACCACTAATAGTTCAAACCATTATAAATCTTAAAACTAGAATACAAAAAACCAGCAATTACTGCTTTGATTGGAATTCTTTCTATATTGTAATTTTTACAAACAATTTTATTAGGTTAATGCAGTTTGATGAATATACCTTTAAAATCACAACCAAAAGTTTCAACGGTTAATTTAATTGATAATTCCAATTTCAAGACTGCCAATACCATTCATGACAATAATGACAATAACGATGATAGTTTAGATGACATTGACAAAGACAAACCATATCAAAACTTAAACTCAAAAAATCAAAAATTAAGAAATAAATCAATTGCAACTACAAATCCATTTGATAAACCTGAACATTCAAATTATGATGATTATAGAAGAAGTAGAAGATTTTCAGAAACAGAAAAGAATAATTTTGATCAAATAACTGGACATAGAATACATGAAGATGGTAAGATACGACCTCAAACCGTAAGACATGAAACTCAGAATGATTATTTCTCCTTCAATAATTATAATCATCAAGATCAAAGTGGAACAAGTCCAAACAAATTGTACTCAAGATCCCATGATAGTAATGTAGACGTTGGTATCAATTTTACTCAAGGTCTAGAAGATGAATATATTCCTGGCCTTGATTTTAGTGATATGGTATATAAATGGAATAATTCAAGTAATTCGGAATTGGATATGACTAGAACAAACACAAGAACCAATCCCAATAGTGCATATACAAGTAACTCGAACACTCCAAGAAGTAATAATGCATCTTATCTAGACTTAAACTTATTACATGCTCAAGTAGCTCCACAACCTATAAGATCTAACACACAACATCCTTCAAAATTATCATACTCAAAATTACATGATTATATGAAACTACGGAATCCTAATGAACAAAATAATGAAACATCTTCTAAATTATTAAATAATATAACAGATCCAGATGAAACTCCTTCACCACATGATACAACCAAAAGAGATCATTTTGATCCAGACAATGAAAGAAAATCAAAGAAACCAAAATCAGCGGTAGACCCCAAAACAGGAAATATAAATTATGAATTAATTTTGAATAGTTTACCTCCAAATTTTAATGATTTACCATATTCACAAAGAAAAAAATTAGTATGTAATTTTTCAGAAAGTATTGATTATTCACAATTCTCATTGTTTGCAAAGAATTATTTCGGTAGTGTTGGTGGTAGTTCTTTAGGCAAGACTCCTAAAACAAGTGCTGGTAGTACTATGGGTGGTTTTAGTTCCAATGAAAATAGTTTATCCAGAAAACAAAGAGTAGGAAGTGCAAATACATTAGCTGGTAGATTATTAGCTAGAACATCAACCACTGATGTAAGAAAATTTGGTGAACCTAAACAAAAAGTTAATGTTGACGAAAGAGGAGCATTAGTTTTAGATCATGAAATTGGTAAAATCATTGGATTTGGTGCATGGGGCACAATAAGAGAATGCATAGATAAAAAAGGTAATGTTAGAGCTATGAAAATTGTAAAATCTTCAAGAGATTTTAGCAGACCATCAAGTAGATCGAATTCTAAAACCGATTTAATTGATATGACTCATTGTCCAAAAGTTTTAGATGTGTTTAGAAAAGAAATTTCAATTTGGAAACAATTAGATCATCCAAATATTTTGCCATTGATTGATAGCTATGAAACAGATGATGCTATATTTTGTATTATGAATAGAATCAATGGAGGAACATTGTTTGAATTGGTATCTGAATGGGGTCAATTTAATACTGGTATTAATAATAATTCAGGTCCATTGAAATTCCTGATTGATAATCAACGAGAAAGATTAAGAAAAGTCACAGAATGTACAAAACAGATAGTTGATGCTTTGCTTTATATGCATGAAGAAAAAGGAATAGTCCACGGAGATTTGAAGTTGGAAAACGTTTTAGTTGAAAATGAGAATAATAATCATTATAAAATGATTTTATGTGATTTTGGAATGTCTCGAATCTATAGCATGAGATTAAGTAGAAAATCTTCCATTCGAAATGTACCAAAAACAGGAGATGGCAATCATTTACGTCCAACAACAATGGATGATGATTCAAATATTAGAAGTAAATCATCAAATACAGAATCAAGAAAACCTTACACAGGAGGTGATACGCCAAAAACCAGATTTTTAGATTTCAATGTCAATGATGATTCAAGAGTTGGATTATCCAATTTTTTTAAAATGCATGGTCCATCAATGCAATCAGTTCATTTAACACCAATTGCCTCTGAAACTCAATCACCAACTGCATCTTCACCAGCTGATTTTTTTGAATTTAGTAAAAAATTTTTAAATAAAGAACCAGAACAAAATGGTATTGATTCTGAATTACCTCATTCACATATTGGTTCATTGCCATATGCATCACCGGAATTGTTACAACCTGCACCTCCACCTTTGGGCCCACTGGCAGACGTTTGGGCTTTAGGAGTTTTAATTTATGCAATGTGTTGTGGGAAATTACCATTCCAACATCAATATGAACCAAGATTAAGGGCTATGATCACAGCAGGACAATACAATAAATGTGATTTGAAAAAAGCTTGTTTGTTAGAATGGATATTAAAGGATTGTTCCAGAAAGAGTAAAGAGGAAGATGGAAATGATGAAGAAAGTGTATCTAATGCATTATCATCAGTGGTTGACTTACAAAGGAAAGAAGAAATTAGTAAATTACATAAACAATGGATGAATGAAAAATCAACTTTAATTCAAGAATTTCAATTTCTATTTGATATTGTCGAAGGATGTTTAGAGCCTAATATAACTAAAAGATTTGATATGCAGTTGGTATACGATCATTTAAATCCCTAATTAGATTTTCAAACCTGTACTATATTTTAAACTCAATTGGTGTGTATATTTTTTATATGTATGTATGACGAATTACGATTAAACAACGACCCTAACTGTAGATACTACAAGATATTAAGAATTCAATTAATAAATACCTATATTACATACACAAACTAAAAACCAGAAGCCATTTCTCATATTAAAACAACCTAAGCAACTGGTTTATCAACTTCAATTAGAATCTTACCGTCAGCTTTACCACTTTCTAATTTTGCAACAGCATCTTTCAAATCTTCAAATGGATATATACTATCAATAAAAATTTTAACTTTATCTTCTTGAATTAAATCTCTTGCACCATAAATCCAACCTCCATTATTATCTAATAAAGATATTTGATAATGATAATCAATTAAACCTAAGTTTGAAGAAATCATTCTTAAACTTGATTTAATAGATCCAACTAATGCTGCAAATCCATGTCCACCAGCATCACCAACAATTGTATGATATGCACCACCTTTTTTCAAAATGTGATTTATTTCAGGAAATAATTGTGTACCACCATAACAATCAATTATATAATCAAATTCTCCAGTCTCTTTAACACTTTCTAAGAATTGTGGTAAGAAATTTGGATGTTTCCTGTAATCAATTTGATGAGTAGCACCCAATTCCGTTAATAATTCAGCATTCTTTGGTGAATTCGTAGTAACTATTTCTCTAGCTCCTCCATTATGAGCCAATTGAATAACATATCTACCCACTGAGGTAGCCCCACCTAATACTGCAACTTTTGAATCTTTTAAAGGAAGGTCTTTTAATAATCCAATTGCTGTTCCCAAAACTAATGGCCATGATGCAGCTTTAGCTAAATCTATATTTGTTGGTTTAGTTGTTATTGGTGAATTTTTAGGATCTAATAAAAGATATTGTGAACATGATCCACTTGCTAATATTGGAGTATATATTCCTTGAACAAAATCTCCAACTTTAACTTCAGTATCAGTATTTGAACCAATTGAAATGACTTGACCGCTGAAATCTCTACCAAATCCTTGTTTATCATTTATAAATTTTAAAAATGCAGGTTTTACATGATATAACTTATAATCAACTGGATTTATTGATGCATAATTGATTTTTAATAATATTTTACCTTTTGGTGCAACATATTCTCCATTTGATCCTTTTACTAAATTTATTGTTTCATCAATTATTTCAAGTGGATAATTTTTGTTTTTATAGGCATAAGCTTTATAATTTAATTGCGGAGTTTTAAGACCCATTTTTGCTATCGAACTAAAATATATCTCGTTGTTTATATTTATGATAAATGATTGTAACAATTAAGATTTATGAAAAATTTGATTTAAGATGGAATTGCCACACTTTATAAACTTTTGAAACTGAAAGAAATATTGGAAATGGAAAAGTAAAATAAGAAATTTCGAAATTCATATGAGATGTAAATGTTAGCAAACGGATAAATTCATGTTTTTATAACAAGTAACAATTTTGTGTAAGATTGCGGATAGAATTTATTTATAAAAAAAAAAATAAAAAAATTTTAAAAACTTCGATTTTGCATCATCTGTTCATATCAATTTCCATTCTTTCTTTTACCGGTTCGATGATTATTAATAATGTTCAGATTATTAATTCAAAACCAGAAAATAAATTGTAGACCTTTATGGATTTAACGGAAAATTTGAAGTACTGATCCAATTAGTGGTTGAGTAAATCTAGTTGTATTATGAACGGCAGAACAGCAAGGAAATATAATTATGCATGAATTTTCATATTTTTCCACTCACGGCTGATAACTTGAATATTTAGATTAAATACGATAAGTAGACTAATAGTAATATGTCACGAAATTTTATTAATCAAGCTTAAACCGGGCACTACCAAATGCCTATAAGCTAATTTATAATGCTGATCCATGACTATAACTAAGATAACAGATTAAATAGACAACTAATCTTCACCATATGCGGATCATACATTTGATAGACATCATACATATTATTGGAACGCACAAATTTATAAATTATTTTACACAGATTTTAGAACTATATAAAATGATTAAAATGAACAAAATAAACTAAAGTTTTAAACAAAAGGAAACAGAATCTTGAAACAATTACCCCCTAAGAAAATATATGAAAAAAATTCACGAATATTATATTATTAATTATTTTGCAACTAGTTTTGCAATATCGACACATAATTTGAATCTACACAAAGTTGGCTTGTCCTGAATTGTTTATTGTTGAACTTTCACAACAATTTTACCATTATATTTACCGCTATCTAATTTCTTGATTGCTTGATTCAATTGATCAAAAGGATATACACTATCAATGAAAATTTCAACTTCGTTCTTCTCAATCAATTTTTTAGCTTCATCCATCCATTTACCTGTTTGGTCTACTTCTTTAAAATTATATTCATAATTTAATAAACCTAAATTTGAAGCAATTACTTTTTTGAATGTTGTCAAAATTCCAAAAAATAAGTTCCAGCCTGATCCACCAGTATTACCTACACTTGTATTGTACACACCACCCTTCTTCAAAATATGATTTATATCAGAAAACAATTGATCGCCTCCATAAGTATCAATAATGTAATCAAACTCACCTGTTTTCTGAACACTATTTAAAAATTGATTTACTACAAATTTGGGATTCTTAGAATAATCAATTTGAGTAGTTGCTCCCAATTTTGTTAATAAATCTTCATTTCTCTTTGAATTGGTTGTAACTATCTCTTTGACGCCTCTTTTTTTAGCTATTTGTATAACGTATTTTCCTACTGAAGTATTACCACCCAAAATCCCAATTTTTGCACCTTCCAATTTTAAGTCTTTTAGTAAACTAAAAGCCGAACCTAAAACAACCGGAAATGAAGCTGCTTGAGCCAAATCGATATTTGATGGTTTTGTTCCTACTGCTGAATTTGAAAGATCAATTAATAAATATTCAGCCAAGGTACCTTTTCCTGCCATGGGACCATAAATACCTTGTACTTGATCACCAACTTTGACATTTGTTTTCGTTTCATCACCAATCGAAATAACTTGACCACTATAGTCTTTCCCAAAACCCTGTTTACTGTTTATATATTTCAAAAATGCAGGTTTCAAGTGATAAAGTTTTTGGTCAAATGGGTTCAAAGCAGCATACTCGATCTTTACCAAGACTGTACCTTTAGGAGCTATGAATGATCCAGTCAGTGTTTTACTTAATTTAATTTCTTCATCTATAAGTTCAATTGGATAATTTCCATTCTTATAAGCATATGCTTTATACGTTAAAGTTGGTTTTGATAATGACATATTTCTGTTAACTAATAGCTGTTTCTAAATATAGGATATCCAGAAAGATTAAGTAGATTATTGTTATTTCTTGAAAAACTTGAAAATAATTGATTAGGATTTGCCAATTTATACATACTTCTATTTCAGTTTCAATTACTCATCATGGAATTAAAGTGTTGAAGTTCGCTATTTCATAATCGCAAATCTGCCTCTAGTATTTCACATTTCACAGTAATGTGTTGGTGAAAGCATATTGATATCCTTATCATTTCGTTGAAACTAATGTTATTTATCTCCTTACTATTATTAGTAATCCACAGTTATTGATCGGGTAGAACAAAAAACATAACCTATAACTTACCCGTTATAAGGATTACTAATTGGTAGTAATTTAAAGTGTTGATGAATTATAAAATTGTGTACCTTGAGGCTTATGTTCGTAAATACTGCGGAGTTTTTAGCCATGCATGACTATCGGATGCCGAAACTACAAGGAAGGTTCAGTATCAACAACCTAAATCAGTATACTTAGAAATAAATTTTGATTTTGACGTTTCAGCCTTGAGTGCAATAGAAGCTGTCATGTGTTCGTAAAGTAAGCTATCATTTGTTTAGTAATAGAAGATCTTTTCGGACATAATTTATGAAATTTCGGTGTTAAATTGAATGGCTCATAGAAATCAATATTTATCAATTCAATCATTTTGACGTATGACAATAAGAGGTTTGAAATTTCCAAGTCTTGACTTAACTTAAAGCTGATAATTATAAACAGACCTCACCTTTCACATTTCACGTCGCTTGTGTGCGCAACTTTACGGTGCAAGTAATCCAATTTTAAAGCCCTTACGAATTAGTCTTTCCTCTTTGTCTCATTCAAACTAGATGTTGCCTTTGCCCAACAACACGCCAAGTCATTTTCACTCCGTACGTAGTTCCTTAGTTGTTCATGTCAAAAGCTTCTGCTTGGACAGGGATGATGAAGTTTTAATGCTTAAAATTAAACTAAATACACCTCGCAAATCTTGCACATTTAAGTTGTTACTTTTACTTACTAACTTCATCGTCGATCTAAATTAGAACGGCTCTATCAATTCGTCAAATATATGCAATCTTGATTTAATACACGTTTCTGAGGTACTTCACCAAATGAAGATTGTAAAAACGAACAAAGATGCTAATGACAAGCGATGAGATCAATGCCATCACACAATTCATAATCTGCCCTTGAAACAAAGAACAATAAGTGATTATTTTGAGCAAAATGTCTTGTATGCTCTCTGACAAATCGTTATTGAACTATAATACTTTAACTGGACTATGTTAAACAATTTCTCGTAAATTTAAGCCTTTATTTTTGTTTTTGGAATCAATCTATTTTTATCTATAAATTTCAATATAAATTACTTAGATTAAACTCGATAAGTACAGAAGTCAACGCTTGTTCGAATACAAACGTTGTAGGGCCCAACACATATTCACCAAATACATGAAAATTGATAAAGCCCAATAAGAAATTTAGAAGAAACAATAGACAATCACATTTTAACAATTACAAAAGACAATAATCCTCATGACTCAAGAATCAACAATCCAACTATCACTACCCGAAGGTTATACATTCAGAAAATTAAAATTAACAGACTATTCAAACAATTACATAGAAACGTTGAAAGTGCTAACAACTGTTGGTAATATATCGGAAGAAAATTTTAATAAACTATTTCAAGAATGGAGTCAAAATTCCCATATCTATCAACCTCATGTTATATTAAATAAAGAAGGTGTAGTGGTCTCAACAGGGATGCTATTGCTAGAATCAAAGTTAATACATGAATGTGGTAAAATTGGACACATTGAGGATATATCAGTTGCAAAAGAAGAGCAAGGTAAAAAATTAGGTAATTACATGGTTAAAAGTCTAGCATCTTTAGCTGAACAAGCCGGTTGCTATAAAGTGATTTTAGATTGCCTGGATCATAATGTTGGGTTTTATGAGAAATGTGGATTTGAAGTGGGAGGTGTAGAAATGGTTCATAGATTTTTTAGATATTAGATTAACATTCATTAAATTCATAACAGGTTCTATTCGTACAATGTTTCACTTATCTTACAATTAACAGGTTCTATATTTTATCCAATGCCTAATTCAATACTAGTTAGTATCTTCTAATTTCAGATGAACATTTGATTTGCTAAATACCAGCAGATATATACGTACTTCAACTGATATTATGGAATTGCCCCGTATAACCTATATATTCCGAGTTAGTAATTCGTTCAAAGTCTGTCAAACGTGCATTTCACATACCGTTATACCAAGATTTAACTTCTCCCCATCAGGTTTTTCTTCTAAAGCATCCGAGATCGTAACATTTAAAAATATCTAAATTCCACTAGTTAGTATTTCGTTCTTGATCATGTAAATTTGAATTTTAAACATACATCATAACCTCTCAATATACCTATTACTTTTCTTGATCCATTTAGTTGCACTGATACCTTTTTATCCATATACTAAAGTTTGATGTGTTAGTAATTTGTTTACCTCCAGAAAATAACAATAGACTATGCACTACATACGGTTTTTAATTCAGGTTCGGTGATTACAGCCATTGGTGTTATAAGGTATAAGTCTGGCTTTTGAAAGGTGAAAATCCGTTTTAGCTTATGACAAAGTACTTGGTGTATCAGACTTGTTTTCTCAACTTCACGGTAGAAAAAAAGACGCGTGACTACCACATGATGTCATATATTTCAAAGGGAAAGAGAGCTTACTGTCGATGAATTTTTGTAAACCCTATGATATATATTAAGTGATTTACGGAAATTCAACTATTACTTCATACAATTGATGAATTCAATTCAAATTTTCATTGTTTCATTATTCAAGTCAAATGAAATATTGCTTCTGGGAATTATATTCTTACCATCATCCAAATTTGATTCTAATTTACTCATGAAATATTCATTTGCAAAATTTATCATTTGAAGTAAAAAAGAATGCTTTTCATTAATTCTATCGTAATCTCCCATAGATAAATAATTGAAAAGAACATCATTTTCATTCAAAGATGAGACAGATTCGTCGATCTTCTTGTCATTGCTTTCTTCTTCAGTAGAATCTTCCGATTTAATTAATAATTTGTCAAGATTCAAAGACTTACCAAGATTTTCATAAAAATAACTCTCATACCCATTCATCAAATCATATCTAATATCTTCCCATTCCAATCCAGCCAATTTATTTCCAATTGATTTTTTATATTTGAAATAACGATATATCCAGTTTCCTAAAATCGTGATCTTCTTGTTAAATGAAGCAGTACTAGCTTTGGATGACGTTCTAACTTCTTGAACCATAGGGTTGGATTGCTCTAACAAATCACATCTGAAACTTATGGACTCTTCTTCTTTTGGATGTGAAGGAACAAATTTTGGAGTTTTATACTGTGAAATATTTATGACATCTTTCAATGGGAATTGTGGATTATTATTTGTTTTAAAACCATACAGACTCAAGTTCAAGATTTCGTCCTTGGAAGTGGACAAAGCCAATGTGGTTGTTGATGATTCTAGTTGCTCTTGCTCTGTAGTTGCTGTTTTTGATTTTTTTTTACTTGGTTGAGACTTGTCAGATTTCTTTTCGTTTCCTTGACCATCTTCATGTTCCCTTTTCTTGCTTGCACTCAGTTTGGACAATTCTTTGTGAGATCTATGCCCAGTGTCATTTGTATGATCTTCGCTCAAATATTGCATTCTTGCTTGATACATTTCAGTTGCGTAATCAATTTCATATTGAGGATTAATATCAAAAGTCGCTTCTTCTTGCTCAGTGATGCTTACAGCTGGAGGTATAGTTGCACCACCATAAGGATTTTGAGACATTTCCTCCTCAGTGAAATTTGTTTCAAGATAAGTGTAAATTAACCACAAAAATCTTTGAGCTCTACTTGTCGGACTTAAACTGGTGTTAACAAAAAAATCCAACAAGTGAATCGATGGGTCTTCTAAAAATGGTATCCCGTTATTAGCATTGCCTAGTAAAAATAGTAGCTGTACAACATTGGTATTTGGTTTAACAGTTGATGAGTTCTCAATTAAATCTGAAAGTTGACCAAATTTCTTGTCAGCATCAGAGACTGCTTTAATTATTGACTTTAACCTTGGAGTATCTTGTAGTTGTTTAGTAGTACCCCCTTCAGGACCAGTCTGTAAACATGGAATTGAATGAAACGTTCTCAAAGTTGATTTCATGTCATGAACAAAATTAATTGTAGTGTTCATTCTTCCAGAATTTACCAAAACACAAACTTTACATACTGCTTTGGCCAATTCAATATCTTTCAATAATTTTTCTTTCAACACTTTAGAACTTTTGTTGGATTCAGCCAAGGATCTTATGTACAATTCAGCAAACGTTATTTTAGGATTATTATTTGCACCTTCGACTGATGAATATTCAAAGGTATTTGTAAATACAGGTTTATCATCGTCAAATATCGCAGTTAACAAGTCATATTGTATATCTTTCCTCCAAAATGGTTCACCATCTTGTTTTTTCAAAGATAGTTTCGAGTTTGTGATGCTGCTGTTTTTCTTTTTCTTCTTAGTTGCCGATTTCTTTTTTGGATGTGGAGCATTCGGAGCTATATAATCATCGTCATCCATCACAGTTGAATTTACATCTGTTTCATCATAGTCTTCATCATTGTCCTGATCTTCAAGTTGTGGCGTTGGCGCATCAATCAAACTCGAGACGTTTTGTATTCTTGTAATTTGAGGTGAAATTCTACTTGGATGCTCCAATTTATCGATTGAATTAGGTTGATTGTCGTTGTCAATTTGATCTTCAGATACTAAGTTCGATATTGATAATGGACCTGACCGTATTTCTGATCTAGTAGTTGGTGATGCTTGATTTTGCTGTGATTCATTTACGGGTTTTGTGGGGGTATAAGTATCATGAATTGGATCGTAACTCATAATTACTTTAGTTACTTCGAAGTGATTGTATTTTTAGTGTGAATTATTTATTTGTACATTTTTATTACGCGATAAAATTTGGTTACTATTTTTGCAACAACTTTTATTTCTGATTCTATTCAAAGTAGTAAAAAACAAAAAACAAAAAATCTATAAATTAAATAAAAGATGACTGATTGGTTTTATATCAACCGTACCATACTAATAAATTCTCTATCACTTTTCCTTGAATTACAACTCTACTTTCGCTGGTAACTCTAACAGCACCTTTATCTTCCGGATTTGGGGCAAAAGGTAAAGTCCAAATTACTGAGCCATACTTTAAAGGCACACCATTAATTTTCTTTATCCTCAAAATCGAATCTTTCTTTTTATATTTAACTTCTTCTTCATCTTCATCTTCATCACTTTGAATCATCAGAATATAGTCAGATGTTATCAACTCATTTCTTGAATCGACTAAACCTAGTGCCAATTCCTCGAAAGTAATTCTCAAGCCTTGCAAAGTTGGAACCCACAAATCATTCTGTAGTATAATAGATTCTGTGATATTTGGTTGTAGGTGTACGATCTGTGAGACTTCAGTTTTTCCACATAATTTTATATCGCCCCAAAATATTTCATAAATTTGAGTATTGTGCACTCTAGGACACATTAAAGGAGTATCGAATGATGTAAATTTGTCATAAAAGTCTTTTGTCAATTCGATATAACTTCCGTCAAGATTTGACTTATCAATATGGGGCGGCTTTTTCAAAGATTTGGAAAATGAATGATCAGAATTAAACAAATAAGGCCAACCATAATAGCTAGATTCTAACAATGAGTTAAAAGATTTTTTTAACGGGTTCAATTCACAAATTTTAAATCGATCTGAGAATGGATCTTTTTTACCAATGTGAGAAATAACACCATTTTCATCTGGAATATTGAAAATAAAAGGAGTTGGAATAGTTAAATTCTTGATAACTGCAGGTGTGAATTTCGAACTCTCATTAATTAAACTACTCAAGTTTTGAGCGCCAAAATTATATCTTTTCTCAGATAAACCCTTGTGAAACCATAGTGGGTGAGCTTCAGTTGAAAAAATCCAATTTTTGGAGTTCATCTCCGAACTGTGTAAAAATACCTCGTCATTGGTATCAAATAATAAATATAAATACTTCAATGTCTCACCCATAACAAATGTCTCCATTCTATTTTGTTTTTCACCAGTATTGATATCTTGTATACCGCTAAAACCGCATGGAGCCTTGAATCTGTCTTGAAATAAGTTCAATACCCTCTCCCCAATTTGAAGATACATAGGATCTTTTGTAGCTCGATACAAATAGTAACTACTTTCAATAAATTCGGGTCGTAAAGGGTACCATTCCAATTCAATTGAATCCTCAGCTCTATATTTCTTCTTTTTGTTTTTTTTATTATGATGTGCATAGATCCATCTTTCAGGTATCAGATCAAAATAATTCCAAATCTTCATGTACACAACATGTGTTTTTATTGCATCAGTCAATTGACCTGTTAAAACCTGCAATCCTGACCAAAAAGCTCCTAACGAATCTATCCAATCGCTGAAAACTACTCCGTCTTGTGTTCCTACGTTTGGGAATATCATAGCTCCTTCACCTCCCTGAGCCAGATGCGTTAGCAATGCTTGATATGAAGTTGTAAAAACTGACCACATGTATTTATCATCAAATAAAATTGAAGATTTGGCTGCGTATTCATAAAATGAGTCGATTGATGCTCCAATTCCAGTTATAGAGTCTTTCCATTGATTTGATACAGGATCAATCGTCATTGGCATTAAATTTAATGGCAGTTTTGATGACCAAAGCTTCCAAAACGACATTTGTGAAAAATATTCGAATTGATAATCACCTGTTAATTTAGATAATAAAGTAAATTCTAAAACTGGTGTGGTAACTCCTGAAGTACATGCATCTTTTTGCAAAGCCGGTGGAACTGACTTTAATCCATTAGCTAAATTAATACGTGGAACAGGAATATTTGTGGATGTTCTATACGAAGTTATTAGTCTTAAACCTAAATCATGAGCCATCTTTAGTAGAAATCCATCATAATTTTTCAAAATTTTCATGAACTTCGTATTATTAGTCTGACGAGGTTTGAATTTGACATCGGTCAAGATTAAATGAGCACTCATGAGTCCACCCAAAAAACGAATAGTTGTCTCAAACACCTGAACAATGGAGTTCTTGTCAAAGAAGTTATTTTGATTAGTATTCAAGTATTCCAAAACATAATCTAACTCATTCCATTGCTCCATAATGATTAATGTGTCTAAATTATCTAAAATTGTCAGTGAGATATTAGCCATAGCATCATTTCTTACAGTATTTGAATAATCCTTATAATCTGGCCCATAAGGTTCGCAAGTCAACGGTCGAACTTCGTCAAAGGGAAAGCCAAACTCCATGTATGAGTTCCAAGCATGCTTAAATAACTCCTTGGTTTCATTTTTAAGGTATCTTAAATGTTCAGGAGTAAATGATGAATTGTAAGGTGATTTTGCAGTTGTAAGTTTGACGCATAGTATATACACGATAACTATTATGTGATACAGTATGATCTTGAATAACATATAATTCGAACCAAATCTTTCAAAAGAAGGCTATTGATTGTGATTTTTAACTAGAAAGCATAAATACTTTGTTAAGCCTGTTAAAATAATTTGCACCAAACTCACACGAGAATTATAATCTTGATTTATTGTGTTTCATCTTAGAGGTAGAGTTACAGTTATTACCTATCTTATGTCAATGACTGAATAAATAAATTAAATTCTATATCTAAATGACTATTTACCAAAGATTCTATTAACTTGTTTTAAAATTTTCCCAGAACCCCATAATGTTATAATTATACTACATAAATTTACTAAAATGATCAACATTCCACTTAGCATAAATCTTGGAGCAAAAACTTTCCACACCATTAAATGTCTTCTGAAATGAGCTGCAAAAATTAAAGAGCTCAACCCAGTAAATAAAAAATAAGTGATCAAAGTGGTGATATTTGTGATTATTTGAGATAAAACCGTGATAGGTTTAGATGAAGGATTGACTTTCCAAATGGTTATTAAGGGAACGGACAAGGTTATGATTAGAAATGGCCCAAATGTGTTTAAAATGATGTTTAAATGGGTGAAAGGGAACAAAATAGTTTCCGTTGTCATAAATCCCAATTCCCATTGTATTGAAGGTAACGTAGCTTGATGACCAGTGCTAAAGAAATGTTGAAATCCTAATATACCAAAGATAATTGGTGAAATTAAATTCTTCCTCATCCCTAAAAGATCTATGATTTCCAAAAGTGACAATATCTGAATAATCAACATACTAATAGAAATTGCACCTAATGGTTTAGTTGTTAGCATGATTGCGATTGTGAAGTTGAGAACTAGTAAGAAGTATGACGATCCATATACATTCCCATATCCCAAAATTGTGGCAGACTCTTGGCTCATCAATTCATCGCTTGAATCAGATACGTCAATGTCAATTCGTTCTACTTCCAATTTGACGCAAAGTGGACCTCTTGCCCAACTGAAATTAGCCAAAACTAATGTAAAAAATAAAACCAATCTCGCAATGGCAATTTTTAAAGACTTTATTAATGGAGCCCCAATTATCATGTGAGCGTTTTTGAAGTACTCGTTTGTCAGAACGTATTCAAAAGTCCAATATATAGCATTCATGAACAACAAAAATTTCAAACCAGTACCAATCCATAATGGGGCTGCCGAATGATAAGAATCTGATAACTTGTAAAAGGATTTGATGGATGCCGGTAATAAGTAAGAAATTATATGTAATAATAAAATAGACCACCAGGAATTGGTAAATGTTGTAGTGCAATATGGTCTTTGCTCTTCCCTACAAGCAGTTATCATAGATGTTAGTCTTGTTAGCACCAAAAATGTGACCGCATGACTTACTCCTAATATTTTTTGTTCTTTTGAGATATTTGATTTGACTAATATCGCATGAATGCAACAACCACCAAATGAAACTAGAAAATAAGAAATCATTTTGTCCTCCCAAACAACATATGAGTTCGATGCAAACATTAAGCAATGTAGGGCTACGAAAATAATCCCCATAAACGACCAGCTATTAAAATTAAACATGAAAAAATCAACTGTCTGATGCCATAAATATCCAACACTGAATCTATCCATTATTGGTGCCCAAAAACCAATCACCATTCCTAAGGCAGCTCCAATAAATAAACAAATTTTCAAAGTGAAATCACCAGGTTTTAATACAATAAAGATTGAAAAGCTTAATACAACTCCCATTATTGACATCGCAACAACTGATCCAATAAATTCAAATGACATCGTTGAAACTCTTACAGCAGGAATTGATCTTGCATAAGTTACCATGAATGTTAATGACAAAAATAAAATTCCAAGACCAATGCCAATAAATCTTAAATCAAATTTTGCCCATAAAGACTTACATTGATCGAGGGAAAGTGATTGATATTCCTTAATTTTTGAAAGAGTTTCTGATTTTGAAATTGGTGAATCGTCTAATAATCCATCATAATGTTCAATCAAAGTGTCCGCTAAACTTGGCGTGAAATCTCTGAAATTTTTAATTTGTTCAATTGATTTGATTCCTGCAGATATAACTTCGTTTAAATTCCCAAAAGCTTCATCAATAGGGAAGCCTAAATTATTGAATGGTATGGGTAAACCTAGTAACAATGACATTGTAGGAACTAAATCGATTTGATTCACTTGTCTGTAGTCTGAACCTTTATTCGAGATATTATAAGAACCAGACGGTTGTTTATAAAACTTTTTGTTTTTTGAATACATAAACAAGGTACTCTCCAATTCATCTGGTGCGTCACCCCCATGGTTTCCTGTATAGTCCATACCATGATCACCCATTACGACCAATAATGTATCATCTTGTAATTCTTCAATCACTTTCTTAATTACTTCATTCATTTGATTCAATTTCTCTTTCATCGTATAATGCTCAGGGCCATATCTATGTCCAACATGATCAACCCCCAAAAAATGGCCAATTAAAAGGTCCCATTGAGTGTGATTTTTGAGTAATGGGAATAAGTGTTCTATGACCCCATTATCAACTGTATGTAAATCCCAAACATTTAATGAATCATAAGGGAAGTTGAAATCCGGATGTATATATTCACTAAACAACGCAGTCCAAGTATCATCACCCATGAATGCTATAGTTTTATTTATTTTATGAAATTGCAATAACCAATTATCTTCATCAATCGCATCTCCATTAAAATTCGATCCCGCGTCTAGAATTGTAGGTAATGAGCCCGTGGTCAATCCTTTTAATCTTTGTAAGGTAGTAGTGGGAGGATCAGCCATAAACTTTAGTAGAAATCCATTTTCTTTTTGACCTAGATCATATAGTATTGGAAATTGATTATGATAATTTTTCGTGGAACCTTCAATTGGTATTGCAAAATCAAATCTTAATGCATCTATGACTAAAACAACTGCTTTTGAAAATTTTGGTGGTAGACAAGTGTTGTTATCGCAACTTGAAATATTAGGAAGTACAGTTCTTGATAATAAGAATCCCAGGGTAAAGAACCCTACTCCAATAAATTGTGTAATAGCTAGAAATATTAAGACAACAACATAACCTATAAAAGTATACTTTAACTTTTGGTGCCTTATTCTGGTTCGAGTTGGAGGTGGGGAAGCAGTTGTGGTTGGTTGTAAAATCGGAGGCGGCTGGGACTTCGAGGGTATAGGAGATGAGGATCTGGAATTATCCATGATCCGATTTATTTGAATGATTAGGTGGTATGAAGTAAAATTGTCCTTTCTATATTATAATGGTATGAGTCAGGTAATATTCATGTGTCCTATACTATTTACTTGGCGAGTCCAAGACCTTTATTCTTTTATAAGTCCCCGATCGAGTGATTTGAAGTCAACCTATTATTTGATGCCAATTAGTTCACTTTTTAAATTTTTTGTTGATAGTATAGATCGGGATTAACAAAATTTCAATTTTGTGTATCACCATTCTAATGAATATCTTAATTCAAAGTTATTAAGAAAAAAACCTTGAAACTTAATTAAGAGATGTCGAGTAAGAATAATTAATATAGACGAGTATGAAATTAACCTATAATCTAGTTTCAATCAATATTATTGATTTGATTCAAAAAGTCCTGCTCGAATGCTGAATCTCCACCCATTATATCATCGTTCCCATCAAAGTCATAAAGATCACCCAATTCATCATTCACTATCGCCAGGTGATCATTCAAATCCGCATCCACATCTATTTCCATATTCAAAGGGATATCATCCTCACCATTTTCATTATGTTTATCATTTCCATCATGCATGTCTTTTCCGTTATCACCAATATTATTGTCATCACCGTCCTCGAATAAGTTTTCTACATCTTGATTTGTTACTTGATGATCATTTATATTGTCTTGATTTTCTGAATGCTGATAAGGCGGGTATTGCTTAGATGATTCCTCTTGATCAAATCCATTTTCTTCATGATCCTTTGAGTTGTCTTTCATATTGATGTCTTCGTCTTCTTTCTCTTCATTTGCATTCGTAGCTACGATTTCTTGTACTGGTTTGTGTGGTTCTGATTGTGGTTGATTTACTTGTATTGCTGCACCTCCATTTGACCTACTATCTTCAGGCACTAATGTCGAACTTGCTTCACTAGGTTCATTCATAGGTAATGTAAAATCCCCATTATTATTTCGGTTGATTTGATGGTTCGAATTTTGAAATGAATTTGGATCGTTAAAGTTGGTATATTCATTTTGCTGTTGTTGCTGAGATTTCAAATTCTGATCCAGTAATGACAGCAGATGTTGCTGACTGTTTTGTTCTTCTTGTAGATTGCTTACTGTATCTTTCATCATGAGTCTAGGATTGTAGTCCTTGGGAGCTTCTTTTACATCAATTCCCGGAGCCAATTTCACCGTTGGTATAGAGTACTGTTCCATATGAGGTAAAATCACGTATTCTCTATCAAATTTCTTTTTGTACTCCTCTAGTATTGATTCATAAGCATTTTCCAAATTTTTTAAGGAGGATATGTTATGTAGCTCTCTCTCTAGTTTCTCCAATTCATTATTCCTTTTTTGTTGAACTTTATATTGTGGACAATTGAATAAATAACGAGTAAAACCAGGATCGTCATCTGATTTCATCGTTTTCAAGTCCCTTATTAAATTATCATTGACATATTTCATATATTCCAAATCACCATAATATAATTCTTCTGGATTCATTGGTTTTGAACAATCCTCTTTGCTACGTTTGGGCAAATTTGGATATAGCGAAGGCGGGATAATTTTTGTTGAGTGTATAACCTTTGCTGTCACGTTCTCTATATATTCATGATTTGAAACATATCGAATTAATGCATCATTTCTATAAGATATTAAATCTGCTTCATCATGTAATGTTATTCCCCCATCCTCTTTTATAGCTGAATTATGTCGAGAAGGATGCTGTTGCTGATGATGAGGGTGTTGATTATGTTGAGCAGCTCTATGTGCTTGCTTACTCTGCTGCTGTGCTGCTTGTGCTCTTGCCAATGCTTCTTGTTGCAATTGTTGGGTTTTTTTATTCATTCGACCCTTTGGTCTTCCAGGATGTGGCATTTTTTGATGAAGTTAATATTGACTGTTTAGTATAGGTTGCTGAAAATTGGTATATGTTGGTTTATGTATCGATCGTATCCACTTTGTTCTTGAACGGTATTTGTAAAACTAATTCCTCTTGAATATAATTTTTGTTTATAGTTTTATCACCGACTTAATTTTTTTTTCAGCCTCATACCAAACATGCGCAAAATTAGATTTGAGTTTCAATAGATAATCAAGAAAGAAATTAATTTAGTCTATACAGAATTGCTTAAATAAACTTATACAAATTACAAATGTTTAATAATAATGCAAAATAAATTAAAAATTATAGCTAATGCTTTATTCATCATCAGCGAAATAAATAACGTCTTATTTATACTTAAATTTGTTTTAATGAAATCCGATTCCCATTCTATATTCTATAAATCGAATCTTCCATTAACAAATTCATAATCCATTTGGTGATCTTCATCTACTTCCATCTCGTCCTCTTCGTCAATTTGATCATCATCCACTGCGTCTTCTGCAGGTGGTAAATTTGGATCTCCAGGTATAAAAGAACCTGAATTTTTAAAAGTATTCATTCTATAAGATCTTCCAAAATGATCATCCATTGCTGAATCATCAACATATGTAAAACCTTTAAAATTCGCTTGTACACCTGGTGATAATGGTGTTGATGCTAATTCCATTTGTTTTTTCAATGCAGAAGTAGATTCTGATGTGAATTCTGGATCAAAATTTGAAGTGTCTGTTTCTGATGTAATATGAGGTTTGAATGGCGGTGGTAAGGTTTTAGCTTTTAAAAGATTCCAATCTATATCTGCAAAAAAAGGATGTGCTTTTAACTCCCTAGCATCATTGATTGCACCCAATCTATGTTTGGGATTTCTATTAAGTAAACCTTTGACAAATGATCTGCCTTCGGGACTTAAAATTTCCTTCGGAAATCTGACTTTACCAAATGCTATGTTTTTATACATTTGTTGAGTATTATCAGCATAAAAAGGTGACCAACCACAACACATTTCAAATATCAAAACACCCAATGACCAGAAATCAACCATTTTAGTATACCCAGACTCATCCAATAAAATCTCCGGAGCTAAGTATTCAGTAGTTCCACAGAATGTATTTGTAGTACCATCATTATTCAAGTTTGCTTTTGATAAACCAAAATCACATAATGCTATATGTCCATTGGCATCTAATAATATATTCTCTGGTTTTAAATCACGATAAACAATATCATTATCATGTAAATGTTCCAATGCTAGAACTAGTTCAGCAATGTAAAATTTTGCTCGTTCTTCTGTGAATCTACCATCTTTCTGCAAATGCCAAAACAATTCTCCTCCGGACATGTAGTCAGTGACTAAGAATAAATCAGTTGGTGTTTGGAAGGAAAATTTAAGCCCAACAATAAAAGGTGATGCAGCTGCCGATGTACGAACTAAAATATTTCTTTCACCAATTGTATGAGCAATTTCTTTCTTTTTCACAATCACTTTTTTAGATAAAATTTTCATTGCATATATTCTAGCCGTGTCCTTTTTCTTAACTTGAAATACCTGTCCAAAAGTTCCTTTACCTAATAACCTTAAAAATTCAAAATCATCGGGACCATATGCTTTTCTATTATCTAATGATGTATATTCCCATTTTATTTGTATTGATCCCGATGATACTCTTTCTCCAACTATTCTTGCACCTAATTGCAACCATTCACTGGGACTCTTCTTATTTTTAACTGTAGAAGGAAATATTCGAATATGTCCCAAAAATGCATCATCTCTTGCTGCATCATAAACTGAGATATCCAATTCAGATTTTGAACCTACAACATCAAATGTGGCTTCATGATTCCAAATTGGATTTGATGTATCACCAGATAAATTCAATTGTGGAGTTGACAATTGCCTTTGATACAATGATGGTCTTTGATTGTTCTTCATTGGTAAAGCTCTTGGTCCATGATTTGCATTATATAAATTTTTTGGACCAGAAGAACCACTACCTGGATTCATAGGAGATTTACCAAAGGAATCAGGGCCATTTGTGACAAATTCTGAACTCTCAAATGTACATACCGCATATGGTTGGGTAGCTTGAATATCTCTTGCTTCTATTATCGTTACTTTTAATTTACCCTTTGGTTGTGAATTTTGAGTGCCATAATTTATAGTTTGACCTGATTCGTCCGTAGTTATTATCATTGGGTCTTTCTGATAATGAGTTTGATTAGGTTCATGTAATTGGGTTTGTTGAACTTGCTGCTGGTGGTGCTGTTGTTGTTGTTGATCCTGTGGATGTTGGTTTGGTGGCTGATGAAAATATTGATGATTAGCACCGAAATTTTGTTGAGTTTGTAAATCATTTGATTTGAAAGTTTGATTCAAATAAGCCCCAGAATCATTGTTTGTGCTTATTGAAGTTGTTCCATATACTGCAGAATTATTTGAGGCAGCAGTGGCTGTTGTTGGAGTCACATTTACTAATCCCTTTGGTATAAATTTATTTCCACCTAGAATATGTTCATCATAGTGGTGTGGTAGATGTTGTTGTTGAATGCTCAGGGCATCGTCTTGTTGTGACGATTGTTGTGAGGATTGTTGAGAGTTTGGTTGAATTTGTCTTTGATGATCTTGAAAGTATTGTTGAGATTTTTGTTGATCTTGTGCATGATCATGGATCGACATATTCGTATGAGATGAGGAAGTCGTTGGTGGAGTAGGTGGTTGGTTATTGTTGTCTCTTTTATTATGATTTCCAAAGCCAAATATTGATTTAGCGAAATCTGCCATGATTATTAATTCTATCTATATTTAAATGATGTTAATCGAAAATTCTAATGAAAATGCCACGAATAAAGTATATTGTTAAATCTGTATAGGTATATGCTGTAACTGGTAGTAGAAAATGCAATAATCCAAGTTTGATGCTTTTAATATTTGTCAATTATGTAGTCAACTTTAATATCAAAAAATCAATCGATAATGGGAGTGAATTTGAATTCGATTAATAGAATCAATTTGATGATTGAATAAATACTTTCTTATGTATTCTAGAATTGTTGTATATCGAGACAATTTAACAATACTGTTCTTGATATTCGACCCTTTATCTACTTGATTTTAGGAATTAATTATTGAATATTAATTGAATGGAATTTGATATTAAAAAGTAGTTCAATTTTTATTTAATATGTTAGAATAATAATCTTTTTTTTTTTTACTAAAGTTAACTTTCTATTAATTAATTTAATAGCAGAGAATTTAAAGACAAATAAAACAAAAGTAAATAATAAAGGACAGAATAATGTACAATTCTTATTTAGTCTAATGAATCTAAATATGAGATATATGACAAGATTAAGTCCATTACCGTAAAGAACTTTATTTAATGTATCAACCAACTCCATTGATTTGACAGACACAAAATTGATACTGGAAAGCAAAAGTTTCAAAGAATTTTAAAAGATGGGAGAAGAATTCCACTATTTATATTGCATTGCAATGAAACAATTTAAAATAAGTAGTTATTAAGAGTAAGATATCATTAGATTACTTTAGTGAATTTCATAAATAAGTCAAGTACATCTTGCTGATGATCAATTTCTATAATTTTACTTTTCATCAATTAGTTTTCTTTATCTTGCTATCTGTTCAAAAATATAAAATGTCAAACTCAAACTTTAATTCTAAATCGAAAGATAGTTATCGAACTTTGTTATCAAAGTAATAAACTATCTTTTCTCTTCGTCGATCATTTCACCATTCTTTCTCATAGCATTTGTTTTCTGGCGGATGACTTACAGTCCAATATTGACCTTATCCGGAAAGAAGGTTGCAATTTACTTGAGAGGACGAATCAACGAATGAAAATACTACATTAACTAGTTTTTGAGTCTATAGAAAGTTTAAAAATATTAAGTAAATAAATGATATTCCTTATAAATTTATTTATTCATTTACCCCCAAAAAACGTCCATCTTGTGACGATTGCACGACTCATTGAATTCTCTTATCAGCATCGTATCACTATTCACCCGTTTCGAATATTAAGTGACACAAAAACTGGTGAATGATTTTACTTTGGCTGATACATTTAATTGAAATTCAAGGAGTTGTTGCAACATCATACATTTAGCTGATGGCAAATTTGGTCATTAATGTTATTAATATTGAAAAAGAGGAAACATAAATGTGTTTGAACGTGGTCACGGAGTCTAAAAATCCATAGGCTCTGACCGTGGAATATTTAAGACCAACAATCAATTGAATGATATATAAAAACATTTCTTCGACAATATCGGACCAAAGTAACCTATCGAATGCAATTCATAGAGTAGCCATATTCTACTCACGGATGGCGATGATTTAGATCAATTTTTGAAGCAACGTGTCAGAAAATTATGTGTCAAGCTTTTAAACACGACACTCGAAAAAAAATGGTTCACGAGTAAAGTAAAACTACTTGATCTCATAGATTCCATCATATAGAGTTGTTATTGAAGTTGATTTAATTTCACAAATGAATTCTATAAGGTCGATAAGTAATGTACATCTAACGCGATCCTGGGGTTTGATATCAAAGAATTTTGCATCATCCTTACAATCATTCCATAGACCAATTTCAACAACAAGTCCCATTTTATCATCGACATCAAAAACCAAAAATTATGATAAATATTATAAAATCTTAAAATATACAAAACCAATAGATAAAACCATATATGAAGTAGGTCAATCACATCCATCTGGATTAAGAATTCCCAAATCCATACCCGAGTTTCCTAAATATGAATATGAAACAAGATTTTTTAAAAGACAAAATAGAGGATTATATGGTGGATTACAACGTAAAAGATCAAAAACATGTTCTGAATATTTTAATAAAAATTTAAGAAGTCATGTTCCAAATATAAGAAGAGCTAAATTATGGTCTGAAATTTTAAATACCAAGATTAATACAAAGGTATCAACAAGAGTTTTAAGAACTTTGACTAAAGAAGGTGGATTAGATGAATATTTATTGAAATCAACACCTGGTAGAATTAAAATTATGGGTTTACAAGGCTGGAAATTAAGATATAAACTATTAAATCAACTCGAGCAAAATCAAAGAGGATACATTGAAGACGAAGTAAGTCAATCTAAAAGACCAGTTACGTTTATTCATAATGATGGTCGTAAATTTCTTGCCACAAAAGAAGAATTGTTAAACACATTGTACGATTATATTCAAAAAGATAGTTATTACCCAGTTCCACCAAAGATCTTTGATAAAGAGTATGGACACTATTCTATCAAAGATATTGTAAATAAATTGGATTCATATAATCATGATTTCACTGGTTCAATATTGTAAATAGATTTAATACATTGTACCAGAGTTACGTCGGTAACCCTAAATGTAGATTTATACACGTGACTTTGTTTTAATGAGAATAGATTTTTGATTTAGTCGCACGATTAGTTTTAAGTAGCGTAAATTTGAAAAGTTAGGTCGAAATGTTTGCTACCAAATAGAATGAAAGCTCATTGTTACACAGAACGAGCATCAAACAAAATTTATTTTTTCTTCACAAACAGAGATTAATATTGAAAATTTTTTGAGTTTCTTAACGACAGTTCAAACTAAATCATATACATATATACATATCATCAAAAATGGCTAAGTCAGGTATGTGGGAAAACTGATAGAAGTAAAAGTAGAATGGGATGAATGAAGATGCATCGATTCATCGTGCTGAATTAAACTCATTACTGTGTGACAATCAATTAATAGACAGCCAAGTAAAGATCAACTCAGGAACATAAATACAACGACTGAAACAATCATGTTTGAAATGATCATACTACAACGTACTGTACCGGAGTGTCAAGTCAGGCAAGAAGGAAGATGACTATTGCACGTTTGATTAGTATATTATAAATCAAAAATCCAAATCAACGTATCACATATAATGTTGTATTAATTATAAGGACATGATTTCTATCTTCAAGTTGATAATAGTCAATGTCAATGTCATAAAGCTAATTGTCTTGATTAAAATCTGGAATTTTACATCATTTCGAGTCGATCATTTAAACATACTATTTTACAATTACATTCATTTTTTGGGAATCACATTACTAACTATTCAACTAGGAATTGCTGTAGGTTTAAACAAAGGTCACAAAGTCACTTCAAAAGAAGTTGCTCCAAAAATTTCATATAGAAAAGGTGCTTTATCACAAAGAACAGTATTTGTTAGATCAATTGTTAAAGAAGTTTCAGGATTAGCTCCATATGAAAGAAGATTAATTGAATTAATTAGAAATGCTGGTGAAAAAAGAGCTAAAAAATTAGCTAAAAAAAGATTAGGTACTCATAAAAGAGCTTTAAGAAAAGTTGAAGAAATGAATAAAATCATAGCTGAATCAAGAAGACATTAAAACTTAAGTTAATAATTAATAATCATCTTATCAAATTTTTAATTAACTTAAATTTGTACATTAATTCATAATCATCATCTAAATACACGAAAAATATTAAAAAATAAGAAATTTGCTACTTCTAACTTGTAATTGTAAAACGAAAAACTGACAAAGACTATCTTCTTTTCTACTAATGATTATGAGATTGTGCAAATTCCTGAAAAGATATGTTCAGTCTTGGATTTCAAATCTTCAAAATATTCTGGAAAAGTTTGTTTTACATTAGTTTCAAAATTGCTGCAAAATTTTGAAGAAAGATGTGATTATATTTTTACCAGAGACAAACATCACATTTCAAGTCAAAAATCAAGAGAAGAATGCCCGTTCCACTTCATTTGTGACAGAACAAATTGATCATCGATTATCAATTTAATAATATTCATGATAGATGATATACATCTGATAATCTACTAACCACATTGGTAATGCGGCGCTACTCTCTTGCAGCCTTGCTACCAAATAAAATTTGTATCAAAATTCTGAATGTGGTAATACACAATTGTCTGTCAATAAGTTTAAAGATGTAAATCTTTAGCTTTCACATTTTATTGGAAACTTTAGTTTATTGATTGACTTATATTTTTGCCAGATCTTTTCATCATCCAATGTTTCAAACGAGTCAAAATTGAGAGACTAAATTTTTAAGATAGTTAGCGGAAAACGTGAAGCGCGTAAAAATTATAGGTTCTCGATTTCCTAAAACACAGATATCTGTAACATATAATGATGCATATTAATAAATCTAAATAATGTTATATATATTATGAAAATAAAATTTTGAAACAAGTTTTCATCTTTTTCTTTTTCACTCATCACCATTTGAATCATTCAAAGATGCTTAAAGCATTTAAAAAATTACCAAAAGTATCAGTTAGATATAATTCCACATCAATCACATCTAGATATTTTCCCAATGAACCAAAACAACCCATAATTGAAACTAAATCAATACCAGGTCCAAAATCTATAGAATTAAATAAAGAATTAGGTAAAGTTTATGATAATGGAGCTACTTATTTTGTTGCAAATTATTATAATTCTTTAGGGAATTATATAAGTGATGCAGATGGTAATAAATTATTGGATGTTTATTGTCAAATTTCTTCAATTGCATTAGGTTATAATAATCCAAAATTAATTGAAGCTGCAAAATCAGATGAAATGATTTCTGCTATAGTGAATAGACCTGCTTTAGCTTGTTTTCCATCAAATGATTATAAAGATATTTTAGAAGATGGGTTATTAAAAGCTGCACCACCAGGAATGGATAAAATATGGACTTCATTAAGTGGATCAGATGCTAATGAAACTGCTTATAAAGCTGCATTTATGTATCAAAGTGCTAAAAAGAGACAGAATAATGAATTCACCGAGGAAGAACTTGCAAGTGTTATGAATAACGAAGGTCCAGGTGCTTCAGATATGGTAATTTTATCTTTTGATAAAGCATTTCATGGAAGATTATTCGGATCATTATCAACCACTAGATCAAAAGCTATTCATAAGTTAGATATTCCAGCATTTCCATGGCCAAAAGCTCCTTTCCCACAATTAAAATATCCATTAGAAGAATTTGAAACAGAAAATAGAAAAGAAGAACAAAATTGTTTAGATCAATTAGAATCAATAATTGAAAAATCACCTAAAAAAGTTGCTGCTATAATCGTTGAACCAGTTCAATCAGAAGGTGGTGATAATCATGCAACGAGCTATTTTTTCCAAGGATTAAGAGATATTACAACAAAACATGATGTCTTATTCATAGTTGATGAAGTTCAAACAGGTGTTGGAGCTACAGGTAAATTTTGGGCTCATGAACATTGGAATTTAACAAATCCACCAGATATGGTTACTTTTTCTAAAAAATTTCAAGCTGCTGGATTTTATTTTGCAAATCCTGATTTACAACCTACTCAACCATATAGACAATTTAATACCTGGTGTGGAGATCCATCAAAAGCAATATTAGCTAAAGCTATTTATACAGAAATTGAATCATCAGATTTAGTTAATGCAACCGCTGAAGTTGGTGATTATTTGTACAAAGGTTTGAAAACTATAATTAATAAAAATTCAAATATATTTAGTAATTTGAGAGGTGAGAATTTTGGTACTTTTATAGCATGGGATTGTATAAATGCTGATGTTAGAAATAAAATATTATTAGGTTGTAGAGAAAAAGGTGTTAATATGGGAGGTTGTGGTGATGTTTCAATTAGATTAAGACCAACATTATTATTTGAAAAAACTCATGCTGATATCTTTTTGAATACATTGGAAGATGTTGCTAATATATGATTATGATTGAATTGGAAAACTATGACTCCTCTACATGCTCTAACTCTACAGTCTTCAAGATTTCATCCGTGTAATTTTAAACTATGTAGGCTTCAAACCATCGGAATCCCGAAATCACGATCATCACCTCGATCACTCAAGTTGTTAGCGCCTTGAGCGGCAAAATCTCATGTATCATTAATCAAAATAGAACCCACCATTCGTCATTTTTCATGAAAAGTCAGTCTCTATTGATTTAGTAATTTGTAAGAACCAATCAGAAAATCATTTATTAATTCAACAAAATGAAAGAAATAATTTTGATGATAGGCGCAATTTCAAATACCGATTGGTAATCAGTCGGCTTAAAAAATGTGTAAGAAGATGCAAGATATTATTTTAATTCTTCTGTTGTAAGTTTCATGTTTAAGATGAACAATTGTATAACTGTAACTCTCCTTACAGTCATATCAATTTATAATTCTAAAACCGCTTTAGGCTTAATAAAATATTATTTTTTTTAAAAATGATTCGAAAGTAAATTTAAGCCATAAATATTTTGAAACACCGATCGTTTTTCGATTCGAACTTTGGTCGATGCTAGAAAATCATCGTGAACTATATATACAATCTTTGAGTAAATTTTAAGTCATTAGTGACATCAACATCACGATCATCTGGTTACATTTAAAAGTAGCTTTCATTAAAGTATTTGATTAGATGTTGTATGGTTATTAACTTTTTATTTTTTAGTTGTTTTAGATTTAGATGAGCGATTTTATTTTATTTTATTATTACTCTGTTAAAATAAATAATTATTATTTTATTATCATTACAACTTAAGGAAGTTGATACAACAACCAATACCAATTTTAAATATAAACAACATATAATTATCCCTTTAAACCATTGTCAGATCATATGATCACCTGTGTTTGTTGTTTGATATACTAAATCAATATATTATAACAGCTTTTTTATTTTACAAATATTATCACATTTCCTTGTCAATTATAGCATATTAAAGAGAGCTATGAGTATAATTATAAATAATTGTTCATACTAAAACCAATATAAACCATGTTAGGTAGATTATTTAAATCAAACAATACTGGTCAAATAAATAACAATAATAATGGTATTAATAGTTCAGGTCATAATCATCCAGCATCAGTAGTACCATCAGTAAATTCTCAACCATTAGTAGCAACATTTGAGGATTCTTATTCTAGAGAAATACTTTATGGAACTCATAATGCAAATCTGTTAAAACCATTTCATTTTAATAATAAATATTTTAGAATCATAGTATCACAAGATGGTGGGAATTTAAGATCAAAACAAGTATTATTTGACACTTCACATGATCAACAACAACAATCTCCTGTATCATCAACTAACTCATCATTAAGTCATTCACCAATACAAACTTCAAAATATCCATTTTCATATCAACAACAACCATCTCAATCTCAACAAACAAGAAGATCTTTACCTAAAAATTTTACTAATCTGAGAATATATCATAGTGTTTCTGATTTAAATGATTTATTATTTGGTTGTGGTCTACCGACAAATGAAATTCAAACTGTTACAAAATTACATACATTACCTTCATTAACTAATAGTTCAAGTCCTTATAATTCAATCCTAATCACTAGATTATTTTCAATAACTGATCTAGAAGAAAACGAATCATCACCATTGTATCAAAAAGATGATTCCAATGATTGGAATCCAACTTCAGCCATAAATATGAAAGAGTCAAGGTTAAAACTCAATGATTTAAGGATAAACAGTAGATTTGCCATTGGTATTGTAATACCTTTAGAGGCAAATTGTTTTATTAATGAAACAGTATTAAACAATTGGAACGAAATATCACATTTTTTAACAATTTTGCAAAAGATTGTTTATAAAAAATTAATTGCACAATTGTATTCTGGATTTGATGATGGATTTGGTTATGAATATATAGTTAAGAAAAGGTTACAATTTCCAAGTCATATTTTACAAAATGATTTTGAATTACATACATATTTGACAAAATTAGTGAAATTAATACATTATGATAATAATACTCCTAGATTAATCAATACAAACTTTTTAATGAAACAAAATAAAGAAGAATATTATCCCACACTTTTAAACTGGGTTCTTGAAATTGTAAATTGGTTAGAATTTAAAGATGGTAAGAACATAAACAATATGCCAAATCATAATGAATCTATTCCATCCTTTCTAGCAACATTATTTTCAATACTTATACAATACAAAACTTCTTTAGGACAAAAACCATATTATAATTGCATTAACAACACAAGAGAAATCACAAGAGTAGTTGTATCGACGGGCAATCCAGCTGTTGCAAAAAGACTTGTATTTATTTTGAATGGATTAATAAATCATGATACATCTGATTGTCATCAAGAAATTTCAGCTTTGACTGCACCAACTACAGTGGCTCGAGAAATAAGGGTTAAACCACCTACAATAAGCATACCGATAAATACTAAAAATCATAATAAACACCCACCTATTCCAATAAAAGCACCAACTACATCACAAGCTTCTTCATCATTATCAAAATCAGCATCTACAGCTTGTCTATCAACATCAATGAATTCATCTTATTCATCTTTACAATCAAATTATTCATTATCAAAATTTGGGAGTTCAGGTTCATTTATGGATAAGTGGAAAAGTTCATTTAATAATAATCAAATTAATAACCCAATGATGTCTTATTTTGATGATCCACCAAGTTTGAATTCTAAAAAATCTTTTCAATCATTAAGAACTCCATCACCAAGTATAGAATACGATGAATATAATTGGAATCATATTCAAAATTCATCTACAACTTCACCAATGTCAATGACTCCAAGTAAATTATCAAGAACTCATTCTTTACATGATTTGTTTAATAACAATAATACCAATCATAATAATGGTAATAGTTTGAATTCTATGAGTGAAGAAAATGCATCACATATGCAAAATTCATTATCAAGATCATCATCGGAGTCAGACTCTGTTTTATCTGACACGTCTACTACTTTAGCATCTAATTTAAATAACCCCAACTCTTTTGAAGTGAAAAGGTCAAAAACAAGTGTTTATACTCCTTATATCAGTGACAAACTAGTTAAAAATGTTGGAGAATATAATAAATCAACAATTAGAGATAAATGTAAACAAATAATGGATATTAATCCTAAATATCAAGTAATAAGTAATAATACAATTGAATTAAAAAATATATCATTAACAAATTCCGATTTATTAACTGATAATTCATCAGCATCAACTTCAAATCCAATAATTTTTAAACAAAATGTATTACCACCATCAGTTGGATATTGTGAAGAATATAGACCAGAATTTATTATACAATCATGTTCAAATAATTCAAAACTAGAAACTCAAATTATGAATTCAATGAAAAATGATTTAATTTATTATCAAAATAATTATAAATATGACAAAATTATAACAAGAACTATATTTATAAATTTAAGAAATAGAGAAATTAAATCAATTGAAATGAATATTAATAATTTAAAATATTTTGAAAATGAAAATGATCAAAATAATGAAAATAATAATGAGAACAATGATGAATCATTTTCAACAACTTCGGTTAAAAATAATACTTATAAAACAAAAATTCAAAAAATTTATTCTCCAATAAAGTTTTTTGGTGATAGATCAAATATATTAAAAATTGAAGAACAACTTTATGAAATTAATAAATTTTTAAAAGAACAACATGATTTACAACAACAGCAGCAACAACAATCACAACAACAGCATCAACAACAACATCATCAACAGCTGAATCAACAACGACAACAGGAACAACAAAAATCTTCAACGGATTCAAAAGTATTTAGTAGAAAACAATTTTATAATCATTTATTAGATTTAGTTGATGATTTTATAAATTAAGGTAATAATTAATATAAGTAATGAGTAATGATATATTAAAATATTTAATTTTTACTCTATGAGCTTCGAACTCTTAAATCCTACTCATGAGAAGAACTTAAAAACGCATTGATATCTTAACTTGAAATTATCAACAGTAAATTGTCTTTACTCCATTTAGTTATTTTCTCGGAAGAGGATTTGATTAATCTGTCAACCTTGTTCCTTCATTTATCTTATTTTAATTCTTTCAAATTTAGCAAACTAGATGAATAATCAGAAAGAGTATAAAACATTATATTAAGTTAAAAAATAAAGTAGTAGGAACTGGTGGTTAAAACACTGGTACTTTTCCGGTAAAATTTAAACTTGTGGCGAATGATTCAATAATTATATGGTGTTGTATTTTCACATAATACACACTCAAATTAAAGCTTTTATCCTCAACAACTTAAACTTTTATGGAATACTCACTTGTTGAACAATTGAACCTAACTCACTTGTTTGTTTTGGTAAACCTTTTTTAAAATTTTAAACTACATTCCAAGAACTGATGAAATTTAAAAGTACTCTACATAAAATTTTGTTTAGCGATTGACATCATAAACTTTACATTAAAGTTTAGTGAAATTAACCATAACATTAAATCATAAATTATGTAGAAAACTAGACTTTTGAAGTTTTAGTTTGAAATCAGTGACGAATATTTTGGCTTAAAATTTAAGGTTTAGTTCCCTCATGTACCCTAAGATCACTAGCTACGACATTTTTGATAAAATTGAATTCATTAGTTTGTTCAACATATTGATACAGCTCTAGCCACCGGAAATGTTAGATCGACTCAAAGCAGTAAACTACTTCTTTAAAAAAGTTGTATTTACATACTAAGAATTAGTGAAAAGCACCATATTTCAGTTATAAAATGATTTCGTGAAGTTGATGAACTACAAATTTCGGCTTCATCTGCATGAACTTACTTGATCTATAAAGGATCCTTTTACCAATTTAAGATTGAGGCAATTTTTTTTTTGTTGAAAAAAAATACCTGCTAATTCTAATGAAGTAAGCGTTTCAAAATAATAAATCGATAAACTTTTAGATTGTTGATGAGATCATAAACCTTAATTTTCAAATCTTAAACTTTTTAAACTTTTTAAAACTTCAAAAATGACATCACAATTAAGGTTTTTTAAATTTATTTGATTATTACATAGATTTCGAATCTTAAAATTGAATCCCTATTTCCATTATTTTTGAATCGAATCATAACCCAAGATTGTAATAACATATTTCCGGTTAAACTAAGATTTAAATCCAAAGATTAAAATTCTCCTAAATCATGATATTCAACGATTCTTTCAAGATCTTTAAACAGTCCACAAAATCTCAACTTTTAGACTTTGTTTAACACAATCCATATCTTTTTGTTTTGATTATTGATATTTTGTTCTGATTAATACACGGGAGAAGGGTAACCAAATTTAATTCATTAACAAAATCGTTAGAAAATTTCAATTTAAATGCGAACATATAGACGTCATTGATACCAAACTTTAAATTATAATGTATTTACCAAGAACGATTTAAATTCACTAATGCAATCATTAGATCATTGACGAATTTTAAAAAGTTATGGTTAGATAGAATTACCATCCTTATTTCCGACTTAGAAGAAATTCAATAAAAAAGATCTTTGATCAGATTGTTATAAAAATACCTGTTGAACCGAAAAGAATACAACTTGAGAATTATAAAGTTTCGAACCGAATTATATAAACTTACTTACCCCTGAAATTTTTTTTTTTTTTTTTTCGATTTGAAAAATTGAGTTTTGTGTTGAATTAATTTAAAATAGGGTTTTTCAAAACAAAACGGACTTCCTTGAATTTAAAGTTTAAACTTTTTTAGCTTTTGACACAAAAACAATACAATTTTAAAAAAATTTAAACTTTTTAAATTCCGTTTAATTTGTGGCAAATGGAATACAATAATTCGAGAAGTTTTAAAAGTTATACAAATACAAGTTTTTAGCTTTAAAATGATAAAACGTGATTTTGAATATTAGCATTCTTGAAAACTAAGGAATACAATAAATCACTCCAGGTTATTTAAACACAAAATACTCGTTTTTTTTGTCTAGGTATTAAACTTTTTGAAATCAAAATTGTATCCGAAATTCAAAACTAATTTTATACTAAAGTTGAATATTCAACAGTGGACAAGAATCAATGGAAAACCCTTTATGCAATATGATTAGATCCACGATGGACAAATCTAACGAATTTTTCTAATCATTTTACATCATATTCAATTTCTGTGGAATGCTAATAATCCTAAATCCCTTTCTATTTTTACTTATGACGTATATGAATCTCGTAAAATCATTCAAATAGAAAAATCTGTGTTGAAAAAAGAAATTATTACGATTTTTTGAAATAAGTATAAGTTTCGTACTGAGAACGTGAAGGTTTAGGAGAAATGCTACTACTATTCTGCTGCATTAATGTATATTTTTGATATTTGTAATTAAAACATTTTTAGTAAGTAAAATTAAAGTTTTGTGTAATAAAATGTGTTATAACCATTACATTTGATATCATGTCATATTAAGTCATATGAAGTAATACCACATACTAACTGATGATAGAATAATTCAACATATCATTCAATGATATAGTCATCAAACAAATGTTCGAGTTAAATCATATTAACTTTGTCTATATTATAAGAGTTTCATGTGTTTGAAACGTTTTATTTGTTTAGTTCGAATCATTCACTTTCCACTAATTTTCGCACATTTTTATATTGAAATCTTAATTGGTAATTTCTAATTTCAGAATTTTAATAAACATATTTCCATTCGGTTACATTTCCTTTAAATTATAGTTTTTTAATCTTACATAGCCACAAGCTACGTCATTTTCTATTCATTTGTAATTTCAATGATGGAAATGTGATTGATCAATGAATAGAATAGAAGCTATTGAAATGTTAAGAGAATTTGATAATTGTTGATTCTTTCGTCAAAATTAATGCTCCACGATGTTTAACGAAATGGAATTGAATTTAAATTTTCACATAATAAATTATTCTTTATTATAAAAATCGTTTAAATGTAATTCCGATAATAGACTAGAAGAATAATTTATTTTACAATTCTAACGTCTATGCTGAATCATAGAAAGATTAAAATCTATACATGATTTTGAAACATTTGAATTCAAATCGGACTTGATGAAAAGATCAAGGGATGAAATTCATGATTAAAACGGATCATTTAAAATCAAAAAAATCTCTCGAAATTTATTCAAAAGTGATGTAACTTATGCATTATAATGCTCCTCAATATTTTGATTGAAATGGAATTCATAATTCTTTTAAATTTTAATAATAGAATGAGAGAAAAGATTCTTTTCATGCAATCTTTCTACGTAATTACGCACATAAACTAAAATATGATAATTAAAAACTAAATAAACCGGACTTCGAGAAAGAAGAATAGACTAAAAACTTTCGAGAATTTTTTTAAGACATGATGCTTATTGAAATCAAAGATAGTAAAAGAAAACGAATTGATTCTCTGATGGCTGGGTTCCAATAATTCTGCATGTATACCCATTCTGCATCAACATGCCTTCCGTTAAACCAAATTGATAATTGGAAGAAAAAGAACAAACAAGGAGTTTTTTTATCCTCATTTTATCGAATTTCATAATATTGGAAAAGAAGTTATAGAATTTTGTAGTGATTATCTTATCCCTTGAAATATTTTTATAATAATTCTTATTCAATTGATAATTGTATTGTCCTTTCGATTGAGAAATTTTGTTTACGCTTGTATTGATGGTAGATCTTTGAATCTGAGTTAGGATATGTTATAAACATTCAAAGTCCACAACATTGATTTATAGAAAAATAAAATGTGTGAATAATTTAACCCCTTTACGGCTAACACACTTTTTTTTTTCTTTAGTGTATTATATTAGGTCAAACCATTTTTCTCCGATATCTCTAATTTATGCAAAGAGTATGATGATTTTTTGATTCGAGATGGTATGATGATTTCTTCCAAAATACATCTGATAGCTCTAAGTTACTATGTACTAATTCAAAATTTATATCTAATTGAAAACAAATTAATTAGGAATAATTCAGTTCAAATTTACTTGAACTGAAAATTAGGGGATAATTATTAATAATAGAAATATCAAATCTAGCCTCCGATCTAAGAATATATCTTTCTTCCAAGTATTCTTTTTCAACACATTTTAAACCTTAAAATAAGATTCTCCTTCAAGACTTTTAAAATAGTCCATTTCTTCGGAGTTCATTAATTTAGACAATTTTGTTTTCGAGAATAAGTAATTATTTAGTTGTAGAAGTTATTACTCCGAGAATTATACTTTCGATTATACTTTCTTAACTCATTTACTTATCCCCTCTCTCTAGTATTCTTTAAAAGAGTCATACGTTTGAAGAAGTCCCCCTTCTTCGAGTTTCATATAATGCATACATTTTTAGCTTACCACTAAATGTATGAAAGGGTACTCTTTTACTCCAACTCTGTATTCCATAGTCATTCATTATGCTTAGTCTTAAGTTTGAAATCTCCATGAAATTACTTAACAATACATTTTCCCCAATTTCCGGTTATTATTACACTTCAAAAGAAGATTTATAATGTAAATAAAAGTGCTTAAATGTATACGAATGTATGAGGGATCTGAATTGATCCTCGAGGAATAGTAAAAAGAAAAGAAGGAAAGAAAGAATGTAAAAGAAAAGTAGGCAAAATGTGGTAATAATTTAGTGAAATAATCTTACTAACTTTTCAATTTAACCCTTAATTAATTGAGCCAATGCTAAATCTCATAGATGACAGTATTGATAATGGAATCTATTAGATTTTACTGAGCATTTGATGATTTTTTAATGAATCTTGAGAGATTTTAATAGCAGTTAATTTGATTTATTCTTAGTACATTTTCACTCCTCATGATTATATCTCACTAAATAATTTAACATTACGAGATCTCTTGAAAATATTTCATCACTGAGCACATGCCCATAATTACTTACACATTTCTATTTTGTAATTCTCTACAAGAGTATCAAATTTCTTTAAAAATTTATAATTTATATTATTAAGGTATAAAAAGACAATAAGTATAAAATTATAAAGGTAAAATTTTTAATTTTAGTTAGTTATTAAGTAAATATGTAAAAAAAAAGATCTATAATCCAATACTTGTAGCTAATTGAGGATTCATTGCAAAAAAACTAGTTGTATCATTAAAAAAAATATCGTCATTATTTGTAGTATTATTAGCTGCGCCAGCGCTGAAATTTAAATTATTTTGATTTTGATTTTGGTTGTTGTTCTGATTATTGTTTATATTTAAATTATTATAATATGGTGTTGTTATTGATAATAAACTTTCATCAAAATTTGATGGTAAAAATTCTAATTCATCATAATTTATATTTGAAAAATTTAAATTTTTTAAAGATTCATTATTGTTGAAGTCGATGATGTTGTTGTTGATGTTATTTTGATTATTATTATTTAAATTTGTTGATGATGGATTTGTAAAATTATCTTGATCAAATTCAAATTCATCAAAAGTCGAAGATGATGTTGATGTTGATGATATTGGTAAATTCATAATTGATTGATTATTATTAGTATTTTGATTTTGATTTTGATTTATTAAATCACCAAATTCAATTGATGAATCATGATTAAATTGTTGTGGTTGTTCATTATATTGTTGTTGTTGTTGATTATTTTGTGGAAAATTATATTGTAATTTTTGTGAATGATTAAATAATGAATCAGCTCTAAATTTTGATAAATCAGGATATGAAAAAGCTTTCATATTTAAACAATTATTATCATCATCTTTCATTATTGGTAATTCTTGTAAATTATCATCAAATGTTGGAACTTGTTGATAAAATGAATCTGGCATTTCTGATTTTATAGTATTTAAATGATTGAATGATGTAGATATATCTTGATTTGGTGGTGTAATTGGTTGTTGTTGTTGGAATTGTTGTTGATTTTGTGGTTGTGGTGGTTGTGGATAATGTTGTAAGTTAAAATTAGATTGTGGTGGTGTTATTGATTGATCTGATAATTTTTTAGCATCTGATTGAGTTGTAAATAATGATGGTGATGATTCTTGTTTAATTTTAATTTTCTTTTGTCGTGGTTGTCTTGTTATTGTTTGAATATTATTTTCATTACTAGTTATATCAGTTGGAGATTTTGGTGATAAAGAATTTGAATTTTTTGGGGATTTTATATTTGCTGTAGTATAATTTTCAAATGAAGTATATTCACCACTTTCTTTAATTTTTTTAATAAATTCCCAACATTTATCACCATAAGTTTTTGGAGTTAAACCAGTAACAGATTTAAAAACTCTATGAAAATGCCAAGCACTTAATTTTGATTTTGCTGCTAATTCTTTAAAACCTAATACACCACCTCTTCTTCTTCTCTTTTTTGAACCATTGGGATTTGTACCTAAAGAATTATTTTCTTCTGGAGTTATAGTAATTGGTTTTGGTTGGAAAACATTTACAGCGGCGGCTAAAGCTAAATGACGACAAGCTAAATCAACTAATCTATAATGATCTGAATCATTTTTTGATATAGAAGTATTTTCTAAATCTTTCGATACTTTTTCTTGAAAATTAAAAACTGGAGCAGAATTTCTATGTTCATTTGATAATTTTATTGAATTTTCATCACCTTCATCTGTGGTGTTATTATTATTTATATTACCATTTATAGTTTTTAAAATTTGTTCTTCATTTGCTCTTTTACTTTCCAAAATATTTTCTTTAATTTTTCTTGAATTTAATTCTTCATTTTCATCTAATAAAGGAGGCATAAATCCAATTTTTGTATTAACTGTAGAAACACATTTAATTAATAAATTAACATCAATTATTGTACTATTCATTGGATCACAAGATTCACAAGGTATAAACCCATTATTTATAGCTTCATCTGTTTGATTTAAAAATTTAATTTCTGATTTTAAATTAGTTCTTGGTCTTGCATCACAATCTGGACGACAAAACATTCTATTTAATTTATTACAAACATAAAATGAACCAGCTGCAAAAGGATCACTAAATTGATAAGCTTTCCATTTAGATGCTTCTGAACGATAAACCATTGTTGTGTGTGAGTGTTTTGTAGTTGTATGTGAGTGTGAATGTGAAAGTAGTAACAAGTGTGGATTGAATTGGTTGGTTGGTTGATTAGTTCTGTTTAATATGAAATTTTATTCTTTATTATTCTTTTGATAATAATAAATAATTTAAACACAAACTTTAATTTTTTTTATTTCGCCTTGATTACCCTTGAAAAATTAAATATTAAGGGGGGGATTAAAAAAGACTTGAGTATGTAGTTATTACGAACACCAAGGTTGTATACTATAGTTGAAGTATTATTGTAGATTGAGTGTTTGTTTGAATAGTATTAATACAGTTTTCAATTCTTACCCAGAAGGATTGAAGTAATAGTTGTAGTTGTTGAAATAATATTAAATTAGTCTTATAATAAATTGAATTGATAGACTAAGTTTAAAAAATAAAATTTGAAATATTATATATATCTTTTCTTGAAAGGTGATGTGATGATATATATATATTAAATAAAAATAAATGTTAAGAATTTAATCAAAAGTGGCAATGTGGGTTATTCCGTTTCGATATATATATAGTAGTGGATATATAATATGGGATGATAAATAGTGTTTAAGACTAAAACTTATGTTCTTACTTTAAGTACTATGTATGGTTGACTAAAACTAAAAGTAATTGTATGTAAAATTATTCTTTGTCTCTCTCGAAAGTAAATGAATAAATTAGGACTTCCGTTTGGAATAAATATAATATATAGGAGATATATATATATGTATTAAGTATATGTATGATTTAGTAGTTTGTAAATGAATTGTTCAAGTGATCTATTGACACTTTGTATGTTATTGAAATTAAAGTTGATGTTGGAGAATAAATCTTTAACAAATAATAGGATATGAGAGTAGGTATATATATAAGTCTCAAAAAAATTGGGAAATCAATTGAGATATATTTATAATAATTAATAATAAATTATTTTAATGTTAATGGAATTACGTTATTATAATTTTTAAAATTAAAGTTAATCCTTCTATTATTATTATGAATTTTCCACTAATATTATTTAAAGATTGTATTACAAAGATAATATATGGTTACTATATTGTATTATTAAATTTACCACATTTACTTCCTTCCATTACAATAATAAATGCTTAGATTTCTAGTTTTTGTACTGAAATTGTTTAAAATTTTAAGTTAAAGTTAAAGTTTTTAAGTTAATTCAATTTACATCATCAAAATACACACAAAAGTATAAATTTCAGATAATATCGAGGAATTTAGAGTAACAAAAGTATAAAATTTCAAGTATATATACATTACATAACTCATTCAACATATTAATTCATTATACATTGTTTAGAACGGATTTCAATTTTTTATCATTTAAACATCATTTAAAGATTTATATTGGTCTATTTTTAATTTTTTTGGTTAGGTAAGAAGTAATGTTTAAAATTTTCCTTCTCGAATAATGAAACAACATCAGAAATTTATGATGTAATTGTTTTACTTGTACATTCTTTTAAAGGAAACAATTGACAGGAAAACCCTAATTCAATTAATTGTGTTTCTCGTTATACTTATCCTCTCCGATATCTATTCAAAATACCTTTTATTCCAATCTAAGGATTAATAAAAATGCGCTTTTCCAATCCTTTAGTGTTACCCTACTATTTTCTTAGTGGAATTCAATGTTAAACTAAATAAGGATCTAGAATCTCATTATTCCCTTAATACTTTAAAGTATAACTTTAAATTTTTACTCCTCCTCTAATTATCATCCATTTCAAGATTTTGTATTCTATTATTATAACGCAGGGCTAAGTATGTATGACGACATTTAGTGACATTTTGTGCATAGTTGATTTTGAATACAATTTAAATAAATAATGTTCTAGACTCTTAGAAAACTACATATCAAAAGTTTACAAAATATATCATTAACATGCTGTAAATTACTTATTTATTGGATCTAAATCAGTGATGGGGATCTTTCTCCACATTCTAATCATTTATATAGTGTCCGGATCATTGAAGCTTAGATACGAAAATAAAGAATTAAATGGAGTTTGTATTCTGTTTTGTTGAAATTATTGATTTCAAGAAATAGTCAATCTGTATCACTCATCATATGATAAACATTGTAATGAATGGATTAATTTGAAATTTGATAATTTTTTACATGATTACATCAATTATTAAACATATTCGAAATCAAATAAACAATTGAAAAATTTTGTACAAATGACGTCATAAACTTCACTCTAAATATATATACATTTTTAAACATGTTGACTTCGCAGATTTCAAAATGATTATTGACACATACGTAAGATAGCATTAACCTGATCAAAACTCAGATAATCAATCAACATGAAGAAGAAACTACCATAACTTTCATGAATTGTGATTTTTTAGCTTCTTGAAGAACATGAAGTGTCATTTTTCCGCTTTTAAAGTTTTTAGAAGTATTGACTAAACCTCAAGACTAAAATTTTAGAGACTGACTATATATAACGGATAAAGAGGCATTGAAAGAATCAGGCATCTAAAAAGTGAAAAGAAGAGTCGGTCAAATTGAAAGAAAGCTTGATGATGATGTAACAGATCAGATCAAAAATATCAAAATTTGAGCGTTATGAATCCAATGTTCTAGACATTGTCTTTGGGACATGAATAAAATTTATTACTTAATTTCTGAAAAAGAAATGACTTCGTGCAAAGGCCCTTCTTATTGTTAAATGCAGTTTAATGTGCCACATCATAATATTCTTTCAGAATACTTTATGAATTAGGGAGAATGTAGGATAAATATACCTTGATTCGGATAGTCTGCCAATTCTGACCGAGAATAAATTCTTGTAATACTTTGTTTGAAGGGCAGTAAGTACTTAGTTGAATTTTATATATATACTTTTATACCTGTTCCATATCGACGGTAATTTTAATTAGATGACATGTTTTACTTGACAATAAACTTAAGTCAGAATTGACTTGACTTTGTTCAATTTTCCTAATGACATACGGCTTCATTTATGATTCTTTAATTGATGTTCTATATTTTATTACCCAAAAACAATCTCTCTTTTAATCAATTCAATTCTTTTGTACTTTAATATATGACTTCATTATCTGGACCAAAAAATAAAAAAATTTCGTATAATTTTACTTACATCTTTATGGTAAAACCTGAAAATGTATTATGATGTAATATTATCAAATGTAGGTAAACTTCAAATACGACATTCTCGAGATAAATATTTCTTATTATAGATTTTATTTAATCTTCATCCAACTTAATTCTAGAGAAATCTATAAACCTAAAGTTCACAAATTCATCATCAAAAGTTTATTCTATTCATCATTAACCACATGTGGCGGATAATATTCGATAAAAAAAAAAGACTAAATTTAACTAAACAACTAAGTTTTCATATATCCATTGAGATGGATATCTAAATTCCAGATCGAACTGAAAGGATTTGAACTAAATTCTCCACTTCTCCAAATTCTTTAGATTCAGTTCATGACAAGTGGGTTAAAATTTGAAGTAAAATGAGTTGATTATGAGACATAGAAAATCATCAATTATGCAATAAAATTAAAGTATTGTCCTTTAAAATAAAATTAAAGTATAAGAAAGGGATAAATAATTTACCACCTTCCCACAAAATCGTATGATGGAATGATCTTTTTGTTTTACTTTGCAAACAAACGTGTATGAAAAAAAAAACTTTATCAAAAAAGGGGAGTAGCCTAAGTAAATATTAAAGTTTTGAGGAAAATGTCTAATCTACTTAACTTAATGATTATAAAATAAATGCATATACGTAATTCCTTTATATATTCTTGAAAACTTTAAATACTTTAAATCGAAATTCAATTTATTGTTGTGGTTAGTAAAATCTTGAAAAAAAATATTATTAGGTTATAATTTTCGCTTATAATCAACCTAATAAATATTTTTTATATTTTGTATGATTTAATAATATGTCTCGGGTTTCACATCCATATAGAACTTCCTAGTGATGGTCGTTATAGTATACATCCCTAGATCTTGTGGGATATTTAAATGAATCAAGCCAGCTCTCAATGAATAAGGATTTCCATAAATTTACCAAAACTTTGAACTCAACTATTGGTATAAATACATCATTCAAAGAAGTTACTAAATACGATTCCATATATAATTTAAAGTTTAAATTTTATTTTCATTCATTATTAATTTTCCACAATTTTTAAAATTTCAGTTGTTTACATTTCTATTTTCTTTTATATCTTTTTTGTTCTACATTCTAACCCTCGAAAAGGTAAAAAAGTTTTATAGGGAATCCGTAAAAAGTTAATGTAAGTATTGATGTAATAATTACATCATGCAGAAATGTAAAAATGATTATAAAATTTGGGTAATAGTTTTACCAATGTACATATTTTGCTTTTATGTCCCGGAATTCGGAACTTGTTTTAGATTCTAATGAATTCCATACATTTAGTAAGATAAATTCCATTTTGAAATTAAATATAATTCACATGAATTTAGGGGATTACGCATATTAGAGATACACTATTCATGGTATTGGGACACGATGCAATAAATCTTATGAGGCAGTATCCGTAAAATTGTGTGAAGGAAAGAGATAACTAACTTTGAAGATTAGAGTTAAAGTCATAGATAATAGTTGTGCCAAGTTACATGCATTGGAGAACAATTGTATACTAAAAAGAGTGAGCTTGATAGCTAAAGTCTAATATCATATAGTGTAAAGTTCTCCCTCTTACCCAAAAATAAATATCTTGGAGAGGAATCTAAGTAATGAAATATATAGACCATTTTTTCCTTATACGCAAATAATATTAAAGTCGCGAATATCTAACCATAATATTCCAGATCTCGTATTTTTCAAATCTAAAGTTTTTTTTTTTTATTTTTGTTTTTATTTTTTTTTTTTTTCTTTCTATTACAAAACCTTAAAATTGTCCCGGTTTTCCGTTTTGTTTACAAAGAGAAACTTCAAAATTTACAAAATAGGACTTAGGAAAAATTTTGATTTGTGGATAATTAAAATAAAGAATAAATTGAAGAAAACTTACGACGATAATTGAATTATTCTTGAGAATCTAATTTGATTTCATTTCTTACGTAATTGAAGTCCCTTTTGTCTACTGCTGAACAATAGCCACTCTTCTATAATAGTCTAGAATATTAATGAAGTTAGAATTGATTCTCAATTTATCTACGCTCTCGAATTTCTAATCCAATGTAATATTGTTTTTTTATTGATTTACTAATCGATACCTCAAGATTTTGTGAGATCCTCTAGGGGGTGAGCACCAATATTTTTGATAATATGTTATGAATGCTATGCTTCTTTTACAATTATTTCTTTTAATTTTCATTTGAAAATTTTCAGAATCTTCTAAGATTATTTGATTGCAAAAAATCTTAAACTATTTACTTATGTTATTTTATTCGTCATTTTTGATTTGTTAACTTCGTATTTATCAATAAAATTTTAGCTTCCTTACTATTTGATGCCGTTTTTCAAATTTGGTTTATTTCATCTTTTCGTATCACGTACTCAATTCAACAATTTACGCTCATGTATCTCTAAAATTCAAATAATTTTTTAAAATTTCATCTTTCTAATTTTTTTTGCATCAATTTTTCGTCAATTCATTTATTTGTAGATGAATTTCTTTATTCAATCTAAGTTAAATAAATTGATTTTTGGCAAAAATTCCGTTTTAAAAATGATTACATTTGAATTATTATTCGGATCGTCCAATCATAATTGTATTGTCCTATTTTTTTGATTATCAGCTCATTATGTCAAATGCTAAAACTTTCATAATTTGATTATTCAAAATTGTTCAATTAGTAACTCAATATGTCGATCTTCAAAAAGACTACGTCAACATAATAAAAGTTTGAAAAAAATTTCAAGCATGCAAGTAAGTATCGTTCCTCCGTAAAAATTTTTACTAAAATTACCGATTTGAAAAATCGTTAATTGAGGGTGAAAATGTTTTGTTGATTGATAATTTTATTTTTACGAATTTACACAATTTACGCATTGGCCACTATATTTAGTATAGATAAATGTCTATTTTGGGCCTAAGATAAGTAAGATGTACAAAGTATTAAAATTTTTTCGTATTTTCAAAAAATTGGATGTTAAAATTAAGCCTACATTTTGAACTATTTTTGATACGAACTAAATGTTCAAAGGTCTAGATTGAAAGATAAGGAAACACTTTTATGAGCGTTACCTAAGTAACCTATTGTTTAGTTATCTTAACTTCCTCTTCAAGGTTTGTATAAATACAATTGTTCAACTTACTTTCATATCACAAAAGTTGAGGTAGAAATTTTTTTAATTTATTTTTGAACAATTTACATCTTATTAGGCCTAGGGGTATCTAAATTCAATTTATCCGTATTACAAATTACTTTTTTCCCTACTTATTCATGGAGATCCATTTTTTTTGTTAAAAATAAGTTCTAATTTTAGATTCAACCTGACACAATAATTTGAAGTTCATATATTAGTTCAAGTTACGGAACAAATTTTTATAATAGTAATTAGATAGGTATGGATTTCAAACGAGTAGATTTGTTTTCCGTAAAAATGTTCAATTGTTATGGTATTCCTTTTCGATAACCCGTTATTTAAAGGGAAATACTAGTACAATTCAAACTTCTACCGGTTTATCAAACCATTTAATCTCGTAAAAATAATATACTTTACGAGTTGAGATCTAAATTTTTGATCTAAAAACTTTAAATAAAACTCTCTTTAATATGTAGAGTTTTACGATAAACAAAATATCTTCTCAAATTTTGATAACATTTGATATAATTCTTTGAATTATGCTAAGGTCAAAAGTATCCTTTGGGATATAATAGTTTAAAAATTACATTTTGATATGAATTGATAGATTGAATAGAGGTACTATCATAAAATTAAAGTTTTGTGTCATTTTTGGCTCAATTGTTTTTAATCGACTTTATATTATTTTTGCATCTAATTTGACACAAGAAGATACATTGGTGTTGAAACAAAAGCTGTATCTTTTATCCTTCCCATAGGAATTACATTCACAAGAGTTATTCAGCATTAGATAAACATTCGTCACCGACGTAATTCTCAGATTCAAGTTACACTTAGATTCTTCTTATCTCGTCTAACTATAAATACAATCTTTTAGAGACACTCTTAATACACTTATTTTTTGTCAATATTTCATTTATTCATGCAATTATTAATGCTAATATATAAGTAGGTATTGTATGCTTTATCATCATGTCATCATTCAATCATTATTTTAATTTTCAGGTATTTGGCAACATTTAATTTTTAGTTATTAATTGGTATAAATTTTATACTTCTAAATGATAAATCATAACTTGTACTCTTCTTACCAGATTTTTCAACTTGACTTGAATTACATTTTTTTTTTAATCTTGCATCTTGAAGTTTTATAACCTTATTTGGACCAAGTTTATCAGATATTTGATTCATAACTCCATCAATTAATGAACGTAATTGCAAACAATTTGATTTATAATTTTTTGACTGGAATAAATCACGTGCTTCGTCTAATTTTCCAAGTTCTAATAATTCATTTATCTTTTTACTATACTCTTCCAATTCAATTATAAGTTTTGGACTATCCATTTCAACTATTCCATAACTGATATTATAAAATTCTTTCATTAAATTTATTTCTTTAGTTGTATATTCAAATTTATTTGCACAAACTGTTAAAATATATTGACGATGAAAAAGAATTTCATTGGCATGAGGTTTTGTTTGATTTTTTGAAACGTTGAGTATATTTTGATTATGTAGGGACTTCTTGTAATTATTCTCGTCTGTACTTATTGTTGATTTGAATTTTGTTCCCATATTGTACTTATCGTGTTTCAGGTTCAATATACTTGTTTATATTATCTTATCGGTAGTTTTTAAACGTTATTTGGGATAGATTTTGATATGATCAAATCATAAAAACAAACAGAAAATGTTAAGAAGAAAAAATTGAAAGAAATCTTGAAGTATTTATTAAATTATGATGATGTGTTTCAAGTGTTTCAGGTTTATGAATTACGAGTAATATTATATTTACAAAAACCCCAATTTGGTATAACTTAGACGCATAATTCTCACTACCAAGTGGTTAATCCTGCTACCAAATACAAAAGAAGATAAATCGCTAGATTCATGACATAATCAAATATTGTTTTAACCGATTATCATAAATATCATTCTAACCTACAGTAAATTCATGATTGAAATTGAACCAAGGCATGGTGATCATCATTTTATAAATATCAAATATGGATATTATACATTGGCTTTTTCAGCCTTGTTAATTGTTTATTTATCATTTACTAAATACATTTACATTCAACAGTGGAAAAGAAAAGGATATTTAAGTAAAATTTTGAGAAATTTACAACATCCATCAACTTGGATTATACTATTGATCTGGATTATAATTTGTTGTTCTATGTCTCAGATTGGAATTCATCATTTTAGTGAAGAATATATCACAATTTGTAAACGATTAGGAAGAATTGGATATAGTTTAATCCCATTAAATATTTATTTAATTTTAAGAGTTCAAAACTCATCACTGTTGAACATTGGTTACTATTTACAAAATTTGAATTTACATAAATGGATATCGAGATTAATATTTTTTTTGTGTTTATTGCATGCAATTGGTTTTACATTCAAATGGATTAAAGGTAAAACAATTTCGAAATTTTTTGGAATATGGAATTTTTTAGGGTTAATAGTATTAATTCCATTCATCGTGTTGATATTTGTTTCAATAAGAATAATGGGAAGAAAAAACTATACATTATTTTATGTAATTCATAATGTCACAGCTTGGTTAATGGTATTATTAATTACTTTACATGCTAGACCAGGTGTATTACCAATTGCCGGCATAAATATAATTCTTTTAATTTATCAATTATATTTGAGATTTTTAGGTGGATACAAAATAGATTCTATCAAAATTATGGACACTCCCAATTCAACATTACAAATTATAAGAGTTGCATTACCAATAAACTTCCCCGTTTGGTCACCAGGTAGTCACATTAGGCTCAATTATCCTGTATCATCATTCAAAAGCTGGATTGGACCAACTCACCCATTTACAATAGCATCAATATATGAAGATAATCATCAATCTTTTGATTTAATTATTAAAAAGACACAAACATTTTATATTAATTCACATTTATCATATTACTTAACAGGACCATACCTAGCGTTACCACAACCTTTTTTCAACACTTCAGAAATTGTGAATATAATTTGTGGTGGATCAGGTATTTCTTTTGGTTTACCAATACTACAATATTTTAAAATTAATAGTCCAAATACGATAATAAATTTAATATGGTGTGTGAAAAACGAAAGGGATCTATTCATTGTTGAGAAATTGAATTTATCAGATGTTCAAATATTTGTTACAACATTAGATAATACAGAAGAATCATCTTCATCAACAGATTCAGTGAATAATAACAATAGAGAACCACCTAAATTTGTTATTGAAGATGAAGGAGAAGATCATGAATTATTACATCAAGAAGAAGAAATAGAATTACAAAGTATAAAAGCAAAAGAAGAAATTGAATCAAAACAAAACATTTTTAAATTAGGTAGACCTAAATTAGATGAAGTATTTGCAATAAACAATCCAACTATAACTTATGATCCAAAATGTAGTTGGGTACTAGCTTGTGGTCCAGATTCTTTAATTGATGAATCTAGAAAATGGTCAAAAGATCATAATTATCAATTTTTTAGTGAAAAATATGAAATGTGAAGTTTGTATTGTATTTATGGCATTATTTATTAATTAAAAGTGTACTTTAAAATATGACAATATGTATTATTTATTTAATCGATTATCAGCTCAGTGATGATAAACATTAGAGTTGTTACACCCCTCTTTAGAGCTCATTTTTGCCATTTACTTTTATTTGTATAGGATCAGTTTAAATTGGTATATATTCAATGTCGGAGATAATTTTCCGTAAATTTGAAACATGCAGCTTATCATACATTTGTTACACAAAATGCAATACATTTATAATACATCTCACTTTATACGATAAAGTTTAAAATTCACGTACTTCTTTAAACCACGTCTTTGAGTTTCATCAACGAATAAAGATGTCTGTAAAGGCACCAAGACCTATAGATAGACCTCAAATTACTACCACTCCACTACCGAAATCTCAGTTTACATTCAAAAATTTACTTGATATTAATAATCCTCAATTATCATACTTACTGCCTTTATCAGTTATATCTTTAGTTGATTTAAACGCGTTTTATGCACAAGTTGAAACTGTAAGATTAGGTTTAACTGATAAAGATCCAGTTGTTTGTCAACAATGGCAATCTTTAATAGCAGTGAGTTATGCTGCAAGAAAATATGGAATAAGTAGATTAGATACAGTTCATTCAGCATTAGCTAAATGTCCAGATTTAATTTGTGCACATGCTGGAGTTTATAAAAAAGGAGATAGTCATTGGGCATATGTTGAAGGATGGCCAAGCCCTGTTGATCATAAAGTCAGTTTGGACACTTATAGAAGAGAAAGTAGAAAAATTTTAAGAATTATTCAACAATATTTTGATTTAGTTGATAAAGCAAGTGTTGATGAAAGTTATATTGATTTAGGTCGACTGATTTACGAAATACTAATGGATAAATTTCCACAATTAAATGTGAAACTAAGTAAAGAAGAACAGGATCAACCATTACCAAATATACCAAAAATTTTACCAATAGATTTGCAATGGGAAGGATATATATATGAATCTCAAGCTGAAATGCCAAACACAGAAGATCCAAACGATATTAATAAAAAACCATTACCACCAGCCATCCAAGATTGGGATGATATAACATTATTAATTGGTTCACAATTACTTTTCAAACTACGACAAACAATTTATGAAAATTTAGGTTACACAACATCAGCAGGATTAGCAAGAAATAAATTAGTTGCAAAATTAAGTGGTGGTTTTAAAAAACCAGATGATCAAACTATCATTAGAAATTGTGCAATTAATCGATTTTTAAGCAATTTTGAATTAAATGATATAACTGGTTTAGGTGGGAAATTAGGTGAATCATTAGTTAAAAGATTTGATGTACCACCAGATCAAAATTCAATAGCATATATTAGAGAAAATTATGATTTAAAAGCAACTAAAGCACAATTAAAAGACGATTTAGAATTAGCAAATAAACTTTATAATATAGTTAGAGGACTTCATCCATCAGAATTAAGTTATAAAGTAGAAGTAAAATCAATGACTTCAACTAAAAATTTTAGAGATAATTCTCCTTGGACTTTAGAAGATGCATATGGATGGTTAATTGTATATGCAGGTGATTTAACTAATAGAATAATGGATTTAGATAATGAATCAATGGAATTATCACAAACAAAATTTTCTACAAGAGATAAAGGAATATTAAAACGACCTAAAACAGTAACAATAGGAATAAGATCAATGGCATTTGTAAGACAAACTAGACAAATGCCATTACCTTTTCATAAAGATTTAAATAAAATGAGACAACTGATACAAGATTGTGCATATCAATTAATACGTGAATATATGGAAAATAATACAAATTTATTAAAATTAAATCCAAATTATAAATCAGTTAGAGATTTATATAATGATCATCCTAAAAATTGTAGAATTATGAAAATGCAAAATATGTCATTAACAGTTTCTAATTTTGTTGCATTAAATGATAATTCATTAATTGAAACTTTTACTAAAAGTAATAATAAAGATGATAATGATGAATTAATTAAAATTAATAATCAAATGAAGAATAAAAGAAAAATGGAAAATGATTCAATTGTTGTGCCTCCTAAAAAGACATTAACTGATAAAGATAAACAAGCCATTACCAATTTATTCAAGGAATATGAAAAAGGAAACACCAAGACTAATAATAAACCCAATAATATCAACAAAAGCAATGGTCACCAAAGTAATGGTCAACAAAGCAAAATCACATCGCATCCTTCAACATCAGCATCAACATCATCTAAAATCAAACATTCTTTGAAAAAATCATCACCATCTTCAGCAATAGACATATTTAAAACATTAAGTAAACCAAAAACAATTGATCTTTTAGATGAATTAAAAAGAACAAACAAATGTCCTAAATGTAACTACATCACAATTAATGATCCAATAGAACATAATGATTATCATATAGCTATAGATTTATCACTGAAATGGAATAATTAATAGATGCATAATTAATTTAAACAATTAATTAATCATAATCTTTATTTGCTAAAAGCATAATTCTTTCTCTATCTTTTCTTCTATTTTCTTTTTCTTTTAATACTGATTCTGCAAATTGATTATTTTGAGGTAAATTTAATGGTTTAATTTGATTTATTTTACCATCTTTTTTACTTAAAAATTTAAATTTTACTTTACCTTCAGTTTCCAAAGAATTTTCATCATCATTTTCGGCAGTAAGTAATTTTTCAGGAACTGGTAAAATTCTTCTTGATAATCCAGATGAAAGTCTTTGACTACCACCATGTTGTATAGATGTTGAATGTTGTGATGCTGATCCATATGATTCATTCATAATTTTTTGAAATTCTTTATCTAAATCTTCTTGAAATTTTTTATCAGCTTCAATTCTAATTCTTTCTAAATCATTTATTATTTGATCTTCTTCTGAAATAATACTATCATTATCTTCAACTTCTTCTTCTTCATTTTCTTCAGATTCTTCACCTGAATTGTTATCGTCATTCTCATCATCAGAACCTTCGTCCGATTGATTGTCTGCCAAATCAACTTCGTCCTCTTCTTCATCTGAAAATTCATTTCCTCCTCTTCTTGACTCAACTTCTTCTTCCTCTTCTTCTTCCTCATCTAATTCAGATTCGGCAGTCTGTTTAGTAGTAACCGATTCAGATAATCTTTTCACAACTTCTTGTATTGTATCATATCTTTTAACAGTAGGAATACTTTTAAATTTATTAAAAACATCATTTAATTTAAAATTTACTTCAACTGGATATGGTAAATCTTTACAATATAAATAATATTGTAAAAAAGTTATAAATACACCTAAAAGATCTTTATTTAGATTATTTCGTTTTTTAATCAACGCTGCTCTATTTGATGCTTTCTTTTTTGTTATATCTGTATCAATGAAAATTGAATCTAATGATAATAATAATAAACAACATAATTGAATTCTAAAAAAATTATTTGGTAAATCAATATAAATATCCCAATTATTAGGTAATGGTTGATTATTTGGATGTCCAAAACATAATATTCTATATAAAATATCATTAATTAATTTAAAATTTATAACTTTTGAATTATATAAATCTGCAATGTATTTAACTTGTGACATTCTTGATCTATTCATTCTAAAATCATTTAATTCTAAACCTCTTATAATATTTTCAATTATTGAATCAATTGTTATAACTACTAATTTTTTATGTTTATCTGAAAAAAAATTTAATAATTTAGCTAATGCAGGAATATTATCATAATTAATTAAATCTGGACGTGAAAAACAATTTAATAAAGTTTGAATTTCTTCTTCAGTAAATTCAGCAAGTCCCTTTTTCAAAAGTTTAGCAACTATAGGTAATGACTTTATATTTAATTCTGATTGTATAATCTTTATTATAAATTGTTGTTTTTGAGATAATTTTGAATTTTCTCTTAAACTTAAAACTCTTGTTGCTGGTGGTTCAACAGTAATTAATAAATTATTTATTGCTAATTTTTCATTTACTGTTAATGATGATTGTTTCAGTTTTTCTTTTAATAATTCCATCATTTCTTTCATTAATGATTTATATTCTGAATCATTTAATAAAAATCTACCAACATTTTCATAAAATACTGATAATATTTCAATATTATTTGTTGATGTAATATTTAAAGTTAAATTTCTAATCTTATGAAAAATTGTATGAATTGGTATCATTTTAAATTTAATCATTTCAACAAAAAATAAAATATTTTTAACATTTAATTTATTATGATGTAATTGAGATCTGAACCCTTTATCTAAATAATTAATTAATTCTTCAATTAAATCACTTAAATTTAATTCATTAATTTTTAAAAATCTAGTATAATATTTTAAATTATTTAAAGTTGAAGTTTCAATGAAAAATCTCATAATTCTATTTTTTGTTGCCTTATTATTTAAATTTAAATTATTAAATTCAACAACTAATTGTTCTAAATTATTTGATCTTACATCTTCTAATTTATCTAAAAATTCTTGAATTTTTTCACCATCTTTAAAAGCTTGAGATGTATCACCTTTATTATCTTGATAAGCATCTAATAATTCTCCCAACAGTGGAATCACTGTATAAAAATTTTTTTCTTTGGTATCTTCCCAAACACCATTTAATTCTTCTTCATTTATGGTATTTTGTTTCACTAATTCAATACCACTGTCTTCTTCTTCATCTTGTTCATAGATTATATTCTCTGGGATTGGTACATTTACAAGTGGTGATAAAAATTCTGCTGCAACTTTAAAAGAATCAAGTAAAGATTGAGTTGAAATTAATTCTTGTTGTTGATCTTCTAATATTCTACCTGTTCTAATAGATGCTTTTCTATTCCTTACTTCAAGTCTATGTACTTGCTTCTTAAGATTACCCAAAACATTCATTACTGCTTCAGTATAAATAATAAAAATTTGTTTTAAAACATGTTTAGTATCTGATTTAATTAAATCATTATTATCATTAAATATTAAATGATTAAATCTTTTTAAAAAAGATTGAACCATTGATAAAGTTCTTCCTTTTTCAAGATTAAAATTTAATAAATATTTTAAATTTAATGTTAATATAGGTTCATTTCTTCTTTTATCTAAATTATAAATTTTAATAAATTTTGGTTCAATTTCATTTAAAAAATCACTTGAAGTTCTAAAGATACCAATTATATAAAATTCTCCAATTAATTTTAATAAATTTTTTTGTCTAATTAATCTTGAATTTTCAAATTTTTCATCCATTTCATCTCCATCTTGAGGATTTAAAATATATATTAAAATTTGATCAAATAATTCACTTGTGAAAACTTTTCCAAATCTTTGATGTAAAGCAGATACAATTTCCATTGATGCTAAAATTTCATCATTTTTAGAAACTTTACATAAACCTTCAACTAATGAAGTTATAACTTCAGATAAATATTTTTCAATTGTTATTGTTTTAATATCTTTTAAAATTTGATCATATGATTCCTGATTTAAACTTATTTTAATTTTTTTAATAAATGTTGTATTTTTCTTTAATGAAGAATCTAATTTATGTTCAATTGGATAATGATATTCACCATCCCATGATTTTAAATTTAATTCTAATAAAGTTTTACGTCGACCATCTAATTCAACTGTCATTAAAATGCTAATTTTTAGTTATGATTTTATTTGATGAAGTTCATGTGGATATTGGTTGTTGTCGTTAATAGTCTATACTAGATTTTGAATACTAATAGGACTATAAGTGGTAAGACTAAGTGGAAAAAGAAAATTTGTTTACTAAAATTTGGTTGTAAATATTTTTTCTGTTTCTACATAATAAAATATTATCATCAAATTTCTTGCTTAACAAAGGGCAAAATATGGAATCAGGTGAAGCAGGTACAAATTAGAACTAAAAGGCCAGTATATAGAGATTGTAAAGTTTGAAACAGAGTAAATCTTCATATTAATGTATTATTAATTCTATAAATTTCAGTGTGTTATAAATCACTATTTGATATTAACTTTTTAAATTTCTCTATCATTACTGATTCTATGACCAGCATAGTCAGAATTATCATGATCAATGACATAATATGCACTAGTATCATTATCACTGTCATCCTCATTGTCATCAAAAAACTCGTTAACGTGTTCATTATCATAAATTTCGTAATCATCATCATCGTAATTATCATGACCAGCATGAATATTATTATTATTGTCGTTTTTGTCATTAAAATCGTTCAATTCGTTATTGTCATTATTGTCATTATCGCTACTGCTGTTCAGATTGCCATTATTGTCGTCATCATTGTTATTATCGTTGTTATAGGCATCTTCATCAAGTGTAGTAGTAGCAGCATTAGTTCTATTAATATTTTCTGTAGTTGTATTATCATTACCTAAGTTTGTATTAGTAGTTATTGTTCTTTCAAAAGAATTACTTGATGAAGTGAAAAACTCCTTCAAACTATCTTCATCTTCAATTTCTCTTATATTATTATTTGTTTTAAATTTATACAAGAACCAATTAGATAATTTTTCCATAAAAGTACTTGATTTTGATTTATTTGGTGAATTTTTAAAACTAACAACATCTTCATAACTTATTCTTCTTCCTAATACATTCATTAATTCATATCTTTTTTCTAATATCCAAATATTATAAATCCATTCCCATATTACTGTTAATAATATAATTTCAATCAAGTAAGGTATTAAAATTAACCAAGTTCTAACTAACCATTTATCAATAAATAATGAAACATTTAAAATAGTTAAAACAATATCTAATAAAAATAAAAACCAAACAAATAAAGCTAATGGAAATAATTTTCTATTATAACATATTTTCCTTGGATTTTTTATAAATATTGTATAATAAGTTATAATTCCTAAAAACCAAAATACAACAATTAATCTTGTTATAGCTCTTACAATATTCCATCTATTATAATCAGTTAAATCTGGATATTGTTGATGAATAAAAGGTAAAGTATTATATATCACTTGATAATAAGTGAAAACAGCAAGATATAAACCCATAAAAAAGAAATTTAACAAACTAGTATAAATTTTAAATTTCAGTTTAATTAATTTTTGAATAATTTGAAACCATGAACTCATTGTTAAAACTTGAGTTAAAACCATTAAAATTTTATAAACATTTGAATTATATAATTTTTGATGTAATTTTATAATATCTAAATTATCATTATAATATTCTTGTTCTGAAGATTTTGTTAAAATATTTAATAAAATACTTGTTACTATAGAATAAAATATAGTTGTAAATTGAGTTAACCAAGGTTTTCTTTTATGTTTTGGAGTTAAATATAATAATAAACTTAACATCCAACATGAAACACATGAACCACATAAAGTAAATAATATAGCAACAAAAGTATCACCATTATCTCTTTGATTATAAGGACTTTGATCAAAATTTGTATTCTTTTTTGTTAGGTTGTTATTATCATATTCTTGTTCTAAAACTAAATTAATTAATTTTGGTATTGAACAATTTGTTATATAATAAGCTGGTAAAAATTCATGTAAATTTGTTGCATTATTCCAAGTTTGATTATAATGATCTAATAATTTTATAGTACCATTTGTTAATGAATATACTGAACAATTTATTGATATATTATTATTTTGTAAATAAATTAATGAATTATTACCCATATTTGAATCTAATGGTGGTACATGTAAATTATGATGATGATGTAGTACCATTTTTAAATATTTTAAGAAATTTGAGTGCTATTTATAATATTATTTTCAGATTGTCATGTATGTAAGTTTAATTATAATTAGTAACTATGTACTCCCTTTGTTTTATAATAATGGTAATTTTTCTTGGTATATGGATTGGATAAAATTATGTATAATATTTTATTATGAAGTTGATATTTTTTATTCTTAATTAGCCTAATTTAATTTTCTTGGTTTAAGTAAAGTAAGTCACATGATGTATCACATGACTGACAAATTTAGTCACATGACACAAAAGGTGACTTACAAAGTCAAAGTCAATTTCCAAAACGGCTTTCTATTTTGATTTTAATTTTGATCTCTCTTAGCCTAATAGAATTACTGTACAGTATAAAAATATTTTCTATATATAATTAAGGTTAATAAAACATAAGTTTTTGCAACCAACCAAAAAACCATGTCCATTATAAATAATGGTAATATAAATGGTAATGGTCAAAATAATGATGATATTGCATCAAATCTACAAGCATTAGATTTAAATAATAAACAACAACAACAACCACCACCATCTAAACTGAAAAGATCAAGAAGAGCTTTTCATACTGAATTTAATTCACCAACTTCAAATACTCCATTAAATAGTCAATCACCTTTAATACCTCAACAACAACAATTTCAACAACAATTTCAACATCCTAATACTCAAAATAATCAACATTTCCAACAATCACCGATACATTCAAATACCCACACCCTTCCAAATGATCTACAACAAAATAATATTTCTCAATCAACTTCAACTGTACCTTCATTACTGGATCATAGATATTCAGAACAATTAATATATTCAATTCCAGATGATCAAGGAAATTATAAATCATTTGAAACATTTTCTCAAACTGTACCACCAGATTCAACAATACAATTTCATTCAACAGATCAAGGTACTGCTTCATCAAAATTTATAAGATCAACAATGTATTATGTACCAGAAACTGAAAAATTAAGACTGACAACAAAATTACCAATGGCAGTTACTATAAGACCTTTTGCACCTCAATTATCTTCAGAAAGACCAATTGAAACTGTAGAATTTCAAAATGATTCACCTTCGGTAAATGATAAAGATTCTTTAGATAATGGTCCTTTAAGATGTAATAGATGTAGAGCATATATTAATCCATCTATGCAATTCACTCATAACCAAAGATTTATATGTAATATTTGTCAATTTTCAAATAATTCAGTACCCAATACATACGCATCACTTTTAGATGCTCGTGGATATAGAGTAGATAAATTTATTAGACCAGAACTACATCATAGTGTTTATGATATAAAAGTACCAAAAGAATATAATTTTGGTGGAAATGAAAAAGTTCCTGAACCATTACATGTTGTTTATTTAATTGATATAACTGAAAATAGTATAAAACAAAATTTACCAACTTTAGTATCAGAATCAATAAAATCTTCAATTTTTGATTCACAAATTCAATCTCCTATTAAAATATCAATAATAGCATTTGATAAAAAATTACATTTTTTTAATTTATCTTCAAAATTAGATAAAACTCAAATTAGTATTTTATCAGATTTAGATGATCCATTTATTCCATTTGATGAAGGATTATTTGCAGATCCTATAGAAAGTCAATTTGTAATAGAAGATGTTTTAAATTATATTGAAAATTTATCAAATTCACCTGTAAAAGTATTTGATTTAGAACCTTGTTTTGCAGTTGCTTGTAAAACTGCTGGATTAGCTTTAGAAATGCATGGAGGTGGTAAAATAATTTCAGTATTAAGTAATTTACCATCTTGGGGTCCAGGTGGGTTAAAATATAAGGACAACAAGGCTATTGGAAGAACTCCAACTCCAGAAGTTGAAAAAAAAATATTTTTACCAGATAATGAATATTATAAAAATTTGACAAAAAATTTTGTTGAAAAAAGTATTGGAATTGATTTACATATTGTTTCTCATACACCAGTTGATTTATCAAATTTAGGTTATTTTGTTTCAACTACTGGTGGTGATATAACAAGATGGACTAATTTAAATTATGAAAGAGATGGTCGTTTTTTTATTTCAAAATTTAAAAATTCTTTAATTAATACAACTGGATATCAAGGACAATTAAAATTACGTAGTTCAAATGGTTTACAAGTTGCTCAATATTATGGTACATCTTCATCAAATAAAGAAACTACTATTGGAGGAACTATACAAGATCCTATAATACCAATATTAAATAAAGATCAAACTTTTACAATTTTATTAAGTTATGATGGAACTTTAAGTCGTAAATTAGATTGTCATTTTCAAGTTGCATTATTATATACTGATATAACAGGTGAAAGAAAAGTTCGAGTTATAAATTTAGTATTAGCAGTTACAAATAAATTAGAAGAAGTATTTCATTTTACTGATGAAAATGCAATAGTTACAACTATTGTTAGAGATACTTTATCATTTTTAGGTAATCAAACATTAAATGAATTAAGAGAATCTTTAAATAATAAATTAGTTGATGTTTTTACAAGATATAGAATAATGAATGAATATGGTCATAATAAATCATCAACATTTACTAACAAGCTATTATTTCCAGAATCTTTAAAACATTTACCTATATATATATTAAGTTTTTTAAAAACTAATGCTATTAGAAGTTCAACTAATTTAAGTGCTGATTCAAGATTAGTTGATTTATTTAATATGTTAAATATGCCAATTGAAAGATTAATGTATCATTTATATCCAAGTTTAATTGAAATACATTCTTTAAAACCAGAAGAAGGTATTGTGGATGATGTAACTGGGTTTACAAGTTTACCACTATTTAAAGATTTGACAATTTCAAATTTAGATCGTGGTGTATATATATTATGTGATGGTATAAGAGTTTATATATGGATTGATCCTCAATCAAATATAATGTTAATTAAAGATTTATTTGGTGAACAATATGAAAATATTGATGAAATTGATCCATTTTTAGATGAATTACCGGATTTATCATCTGAAATTTCTCAACAAACAAGAACTTTAGTTGCATTTTTAAATATATTTATAATTGGAGTTGATACATCATCAATTTTAATAGTAAGAAAAGGAATAGATGGATTTGAAAATTCATTTAAAGAATTATTAAAAAATGATAGTCTTGGTGGTGCCCTCAAAGCATCTAATGGTCCAAATTTTAATGAATATTTAAGTAGTTTACATAAAGCTATTAAAGTTCAATTAGATAGTGATAAGTCATCACAAGTTATAAGACAATCTATATCAAATGTTGAACATGATACAGAAACTTTAGCTCAACGATTTATTAATTTTTAATAGACTCATACAAACATTTATCCATTATTCTTAGTATTAATTATTATTGCATAATTCAAGAACATTTTTTATAGCTTCTTTACTTTCATTATTCCCATTCTTTAATACGTTATTACAACCGATTCTAAATTTTTCAGATTTTAATATTGATAATTTATTTTGATTAGCTAATGCATAAGCTAAATTGACTAATATATATGATACGGGTGTGATTAAATCTTGATCCTTCGATTGAGTTGTAATAATTTGTAGAATATTTTCAAATAATTCATCAAATATATCTTTATTATCAATTAAAACATCATTAATCATATCAAAATTAGTAGAATTAACCAAGAATTTAGCAATTATAATTTGTAAATTTAAATTTTCAGAGCCTAACAACTTCAAAGTAATAATCAATCTTTGCTTGTTTGAATTTGACTGTAGATTGTAAAATTTTGATAATAATATAGGTTCAGATATTAAATTATTTAATAATTCATAAATTGAAATTTGAATTATATCATTTAATAAAATTAATGAATCAATAAATGGTAAAATTTCATATATAATAAATATTTTTAAATCTGATTTATCTATACTTGCAATATTTGTTAATGATAATAATGATTCATATTTATCTAACGTGGTTAAATCATCTTCTGAATAAAAAATTGAATCTTTTTCCGTAGCATTATTAGAACCTAAAAGTTCAATTAAAAATGGTATACATGTCTTTATATCAAAATGTTCAAAAGCTAATTCTGGATTTATACAAATTAACATCCTTGATAAACTTCTAATAGCTTTTAATCGTATTTCAGGAATTATATCATCTTTTGATGGATTAGATATAACTCTATTCTCTACTCTTTTAATAACACTATTTTTAACTAAGTAACTGATTACTACTTTTAATGCTCCTTGTTTTACTAATTCCACTCTTGTCAGTTTAGATTGATCAAAAGATAAATTATAAATTATATTTATTACTTCATTTAAATTATTATTACTTGAAGATTGATAAGTCTTTAATGTAGTTAAAATTGAAATTATATGATCATCAATAAGTAAGTCTTTATTGAATAATTTAATATTTTCTTGATTTTCTTCTTGACTTTGAGAACCAGTTTGTGGAGTTGTTACATTTTTTAATTTTGATTTTGGATTTTGTTGTTCAGGTTCTTTTAATTTTGTTATATTTGATAATATTGATAATATACCATATTGAATAGATGAATTAACATTATTGGCACTTGATACATTTTTTAAAATTTTAATTAAATTCTCAATAAATGTAACATCAACTCTCATCAATTCCCGAACTTCCCAAAATAAACTTAAATAAATTAATCCTTCAATTGAATATTCTAAAATTTCAAAATCATTATTATTATCATCAATATATAATAAAAAATCCTCAGCTAAATCTGTAATTTTAATTTGTGATTTTTGTTCAACTTGAATAAATGTCCATAATTTTACCAAAACTAAACTTGCTAATATTTTTTTTTCAACCTCTTTGGATTTAAAACAATTTAATAAAAATTGAAAGTAATTGTTTACAGTGAATGTTCTACAATTTTCAACTAATGATGAATTTGAAAATAATTTTAGTATGAGTATATCATTTGTTGAATTTAAATGTTGAGCAATATGCGTTTTGGTATTATCATCCATATAAATCTTTGAGCAAAGTTCTGGAACAATTGGAAAACATAATGACAAAGTAGATACTAGATTTTTAAACTGAGTACTTGATAAATTCAAATCTTCAGCTAATAACTCCAAATATCCTTGAATAGTCTCTTCTGTATCTTTTTTATACAATTGCAAATCTTGTATTATAATTACCAAAATCAAATTCTCTAATTCTTTATCATTTCCTACATATTTTAAAAATAAATCTAGGTGTTGAGGATTGGTATATTTGAAATTAGTAATGATATTACTGTATAAACCCAAATAATATTTAACATCCTTATTTTGACTTATTTCACTTCTAATCAAACTTAATAAATTTTGAATTTGACTTTCATCTATATGGCTTTTGTGTGCTATATCAACTAATATGGATCCCAGATCATTGATATTTTGAAGCAAATGTAAGAATTGTTGTGAATTATTCTTGAAAAGATTTAATAATGCTTTTGATTTTTCTTTTACAATTGATTTATGAATAGCATCTCTCACTTTAATTTGTTCTGAACTTTCAAGTTTTGAACTAAGAGCTTTCCGAAGAAGATTGTTTATTTCATCGTCATCATCATCGAGGTTTAATGATTGTATTGTTTCAGACAATTCTTTTGAATCAGACATTTTGAATTGGAAAAAGATTGCAACAAAAATGATTCCCGATATCAGAAAAAAAATGTGACAAAAGAAAAAGTTAATCACCACAACAAAGTTAATCAAACACCACCAAAGAATATCCAAATGGATACATCTACTGTTCTTGAAAAATATACTCAAGACTTATCAAATTTACCATTAGAAGTAAGACATCTACTAGAAGAAATTAAAAATAAAGATATACAAGTAGTTGATCTTCGAAGACAATGTCAATTAAAAGATACTCAAATTCATAAATTTGTAAGGGCAAACGGGACTTTAACAAAACATCCAAAAGAACAACAATTATATAGTAAGATTGAAGAAGATATGAAAAAGATGAAAAAGCTACAAAAAGAGAAAATTCTATTATCAAATACTGCTTTATTTTTAGTATCAAAACATTTATTTAATTTTGAAACAGATATATCAAAACTAGAAAGAGATGAATTATTACCACCATTAGAAGCTCCAATAGATTTGGATAATTTAGTAAAAGATGATCTAATAAGTTCATTAAATGGTTTATCTGATAGTTTATCAGCAACTCCTACTCCTAGAAATCCATTATCAATGACACCAATAGAAACAATTACAAACTCTTCATCATCTGCAGTTAAAAAGGGACAAAAGAGGAAACAAACTACAAAAGGAATGTCATCATCAGGTTCAACTCCTGGTTCAACTATTGCTTTACCTTCATCATCATCATCATCATCAAATAAACAGAAAAAATTAAAATCAGAAGAAATAGAAGATGTACCAGCTTATGAAACAGGTTCATTAGCAATGGATGCAGGTGGATCAATGGATATTCAACAGGGGGAAGATGCAGATAATAATTTATATTGTTTTTGTCAAAGAGTTTCATTTGGTGAAATGATTGGTTGTGATAATGATGATTGTAAATATGAATGGTTTCATTGGAGTTGTGTTGGTATTACTTCACCACCTCGAGATGATGAAATATGGTATTGTCCTGATTGTAGAACGAAAAAGAAGAAAAGAAGAAATTAAATTTGATTATGAGTAATTGCATCGCTATGAAACACCAAATTGCAATAAAAATTGATATATACTATTTAATGAATGACGATTTTACGATTTAAATTTATTTTTGAGCTTACAACAGAAGGTGTTCTGATTGTCTACATATGCCAGTGAGTAATGAAACCGAAGTACTCAGCATCACCCTGAGTTGGCAACAAGTCGCTTCTATTCGCCGATAATCAAGTTCAAAGATGGACTTCATATTCAAGCTTACACCGCTTTATCGGTAAAAATTTCTTTTGTTAATGATAGGTAATTTTGATTGTCTTTAGTAATTACGGCAATGAACATTTACCCAATACGGTATCATTATTACACAACCAATTCTTTTAAAAATATATCATTACGATTCATGATTAATATTACTACTTATATATCATTGGTATTGATATAACCATTTATCATGTTATATTTATAGTAAATATAATTTGGTACGGTATTTATTAATATTGTTACTTATTATAAGTCAGTGCGATTTATATTTTTTAAATTTGGTTGTAAAATTAATTTAATTTTTTTATAACACTTTTTATATTCTATATCAACAAAAATGTCATCAAAAGACGAGGGCAAAACCCGTAATATTGATACTCAGAATAGTGATGATAATAGTTCAAATGAATATATTAAGACGAGATTTAAATTCTCAAATAATATTGTGCAGTTGAATTTTAAGGATTATGAAGTAATTTTAAAAAATGTTGATTTAAATGTCATTATAACACCCGAAAGAATGATAACTCATGCAACACGAGCAAAGAATCCATCTGAACTTACTCACACAATTACGTTCAGTACAGAAAGAGCACAAAATTTAACTAAGGATGATCAAGAAAAGAACTCAATTCCTTCATCAGGTTCAACACCTGAATTAACTACTGCTTTACCTTCTTCATTATCATCATCGGCTCAGGAACAGAAAAAGCGTAAATTAAGAAAAACAGAAGATGTCTCAGTTAATGAAACTGGCTCTTTGGCAACCGATACAAGCAAATCTAAAGAAGTTGAAAGTAAAAGAAAGAAAAAGAAAAGAAGTAATTAAGTTATAAAATTCTAAATATATAATTATATACTATTTATACTATTAAATGAATGACGACCTAATGAAGATATCGATCACTTTTTAATTGAACATCTCTTACAAGATAAGCTCAAGATAAAGAGACTTAAAAATACTTACTGTTTGATACTTAGTGATTGTAAAAACGCGATTTAAGACACAAAGTCTACCCCTTACTATTTTTGTACTACTCGTAATTTTCTTTATTTATTTATTTTTCTCTTTGTTCTCGAAAATCAATATCAAAAGTGATTTCAAAATTTTTTTCACCTAGATATCGAAACAGGATCACACGGAAAAGTTCCACCTTACTTCATTCATCGTTTCATAAAGTCATTCGTTCACTTAACAAAATTCATTTACTCGATACTCAAAACAATCAAAATCTCCGTATAAAGTTCTGTCAATATAACCTAAATATAATATAATATTATTTTACAAATGAAACAAGCTTTTTATATAACTTTATTATTGATATTTGCAACACATAGTTTGGCAGCTGATCCAGTTCCAGCTGCAGCAAATACGCAAACAACTGGGACCACTAATACCCTTGCTGGAGGGGTAGCTAATACACCTGTTGGAGCTGTAGCTAATACTGCAACTACAAATACTCCTGCTGCAGGTGTAGCTAATACAGCAACTACAAATACTCCTGCTGCAGGTGTAGCTAATACTGCGACTACAAATACCATCGCTGGAGGTGCTGCCACTACAACGCCTGCAACTACTTTACCAGCAGCTGGTGCAACAACTCAAACAACAGGTACAGGTACTACGACAACGCCTACAACGATCCCACCAGCTGCCGGTGCAACTACTCAAACTACAGGTACAACAGGTACAACAGGTAAGACTGGTACAACTGGCACTACTGGTACAACTGGTACAACTGGTACTACTAAGACAACTCCTACAACAACATTACCAGCTGGTGCCACGACTCAAACAATAGGTACTTCTACAACAGGTACAGGTACTGGTACTGGTACTGTGAATCCTGATAACACATCCACAATGAATCCAGACCAATTGATTGCATGGAAAGCCACTCATACATTGACTCAAAAAACAGGAACGGGTACTGGTACATTAACTGGTACTGCCAAAACATCCACAGGTACAGGTACAGCAGAAACCGATGCTGAAACGGATCTAACTGAAGCTCCACCAGCCAACACAGTAGCACCAGCTGCTCAAGATCAATTTCCATCAACTCTTTCTGCTGTCACTACAAGAATAATGAGACTGACTTCTGAACCAGCTAATAATGATGCTCAAACTAGTGGAGGAAGTGTTTCCAGCCAATCCAAAGCTGGTGCAATTAGTAAGTTTGCTTCTACTAACTCATTATTTATACTTTGCATTTATTTAGGTTCGTTATTTTAATTCTATTTTAAAGACATTTGGGTTTAACTTGTGGTATTTGAGTATTTTGAATATTTTAACTCTAGCATGTCATGATTGAAAACATGCTTATCTATTCTGCGCTTGATGACGTTTTCTCAGTCTCTCCACGTTGTGTACAATTTATTCAATAAATCAATTATATAGATTACTCAAATAAGCAGGTCGGCTTTAAAACAAAAAAAAAAATCATGATCACCATATTTTATCTTTGTTTAGGCTAAACTATCTTTTTCAACATTTTTATTTTGAAGTTGAAGCTTCTAATTTTCCATTATCAACAATAATGCCATCAGATGAAAATTTCGATGAATCAAATTGCTATATAATTGAATATGGTTGGTTCAAATGTCATATTGATAAACCAAGTTTACCAAGAGGTATTATTGTTATTAGTTCAGGGATATTGACTGCTTATTTGATTCAATGGTACAAAGACTACTATTGCATAGGGTAGACATGAATAATTGGTTGAATCATGAAATTACCGAGCAATAATGTATAATAATTTGCAATATAGTAGTACATTGAAGTGGATCGAGTCTATTAGCATTTTGAAAATGATGTATGGATCTGACAAAATATAAGATACGCAAAAGTAAGAGCAATATAATTGGTGAAAGCTCAAGCAAATTGACGAAATTAATTTTTCACACAAGGGGAATTAAATCATGAGTCACTTTTAAATCGTATGATAAAGAAGACCATAGGAGGAAAGGTGTAGTTTGAATAAAAGAAATTGCTGAGCAGGGAGAGATAAATAAGTTTTCGGATATCAGTATAGAAGTTTGCAATTTGATGGAACTTAATTTGAGTTTTTTCATGTAAATGTTTTCTAAAATCTGGTGTCGGTAAAGACAGGGGAAAATCCAAAGGAAGGTGTTTTTTGGATGGATTCAACGTTAAATTGCTTCAAATATATCATCAAAGTTTGGATTTCGAATTTAGAAAGCATTTGCATGAAAAAACTAGAGGTAAATAACCAAAAATTGCAACACTTTTGGAGTCAAATGAAATTGAGGAGATGATGAATTTTAAACTGGTATTTCAAATGAAGCAGTGAAATAATTTCGATTGATTGAAATCTAATGGTTGTAGGACTTATGATGCTAAATTGGAATCTAAGTGTTCTAGCTGTGTTAAGACATACATTCAGGGGTTGTTATATATTCAGGGATTTTATTTGAGACAAATTGATTCAATTGAAAAATGGGAAATATTTTTACATAAAAGTGATAAAAAAGCTGGTGCAACTGTCGGAAACTTGTAAACTCATCAATCGAATACCAACGCGTATAAAACAAACTTTGTTTAAATCCCATTATAATGCTTAATTTGAATCTTAATTATTATAAGATGAAAAACAAAAGAGCACTTGAAATTTAATTAGTTTAGGTTCAAATTAAAACTCAATTTTTATTTATCAGTGGCCAATAATATAAAGTAAAGCAGTAAAATAAATCAAGATTTTGAAATTAAGTTTTAAATCCGAACAAGAAGTTTAATAATTCAACAAACTTAAGATATGGTCAAAAGATTAATTTAATGAGAATTTCTGTTGTTTATATTCTTTCAATAATTTTGAAATAATGCAATGTACAAAGTACAAGAAAAGTTTAATTATCAATCTTGTGCATTTTTAAGTTTTCAATATACCAATTGCGAAAACTTAATAATTCTCAATTCAAGGAGTTAAAATGTTAATTATAAAAAGGGATAGGATTTTTTGATATTTATTGTCTCACATACGCAATAAAAGAATTTCTGGAATCTTTTGCTGTGAATATCATTAAATCCAATTTGTATACACTCAATTCATTGAATTTAAAATGGTAGTTGAGGTGTCTGAAATTAGTCTCCAACAATCCAATGTTGCTGAATTCACTGCAAGTACTGACTTTGAAAGAATCTTGAAATGCATTGAGACAAAGTCCAATACCAATGGTGTCTTTGATGAATTTAAATTCGTTCTTGATGGCTCTTCATCTATTGATTTAAGCAACACGTACGTAGAGATTAGTCTGTGCAATTCAAGGACAGCTTTGGCAGCTTCTTTGAGGAATGGTATGCAAAATAACAGATATCATCGACAGGAATGCTCAAAGTATAGAAGTTTTAAAAATATTCATCTTGCAGCTGTATATTTAACATGGTCAAAAACTCAAAGAAACGAATTTGGTTCTTATTATGCAGCCAAGAAAGTACAGATAGATAACCTCGCTACACTTGGATATGATGGTCGAGGCAAACCTATCGAAAGAAAGTTAACATTCACAAATATTCCTTGTGGATTGTCAGAAAAAAGTTTTAAAAACTATATCGGGTATTACAACACTGAAAGATTTAAATTAAATGTATCATTCATGTCTGTGGTTTTACAAGCTATATCAGAGAAGGTTTCGTTTGCTGAATATGAAGCTCGGGCCAGAAATGAGAAAACTGTGCAAAGATTTTAATAATATAAGAAGATTCTCAACCAGAAGTCTATAGCAAGAACAATGTCAATGATGAACTAGATAAGAATGTTGAATTTGAAAGAAAAACTGACATTTGGGTTTAGTTTAGTATCCTTAATATTTCAACTCTAGTATGTAATGTTTATGAAAATATAAGTATTTGGTGTTTAATTTTAGTATTAGCCTGTTGATTCCTGAAAACTAGTTGGTAGCATACGTCGATTCCAATTTTTATCAAAGCGATATGAGGTTCATATGTAAATCTGATATTTACTATTCATTACCATTCATCTAACATTTCCTCCACTGTCTATGCTCAAGTTGGGATTCAACGGGCTAACCAAGCCAAAAATAATTAGTCAAATACTACTACGATCAAATTTGTCAACAATAAATTCATCATATACATATATCAAAGATTATCCAGAATTATTTGCAAAGATCAAATCAAATATTACACCAAATTCAAATAATCAAGAAATAATAGAAGCAACAAAAAGTATAAAATTTTTACAAAAAAATTTCCCCATACATGATCAACTTGATAGTGATTCAAAATTAAGTATATATTCAATAAATTTAATAAATTTAATTTTTCAAAATCATAAATCTTTAAATTTAAATTTACTCAAGGAACTATTTACATTAAATTTACCAAGTTTAATTAATCTTAAATTGATCAATATATATTATGAATTAAATCCAAGCCCGAATTTCATAATTCCAAAGGAGATAGCTTTAATAGCGTTAAGAAATTCAATTTTTAATGCTGATTTTGAAAGATCTATAAAAATTACAGATACTACTGTTGGTCATCCAAATTATATCGCTGAAAAGGGTAAAATAATGAAAAAAAATATAATTAAATTTGCATCAGCTATACTTGGTTTCACAATTTTCACTAAATTTGGAGTTAATACATTAATTGATTCAGGAGTATTATCACCTGCTTGGAATCATTTAGGTGCATTAAATTCTATATTATTAACATATATAATAAATACTACATTTTTCATAAGTATTGTTAAATTTGGTAGAACTTTAATTAGTTCAGGAGGTGATTATTTAACATGGCAACATGGTACATTTTATTCACATTGGTTTAAACATTCAGATGAAATGTTATTTAATTCAAAAATTATAGAAAGTGATAGAGATTTAAATAATGGAGAATCATCACCTGGTCTAGTAGAAGAAATTTGTAGAGAAGCACCAGAAACAAGATCAAATAGAAATATACTTCATTCAGGATATGATAAATATGGAAATAAAATAAGATTAATGCAATTAAAAGATGATTTAGAAAAAATTAAATTTCAAGCTTATTGGATGACTGGTGGTGATGGATTTGAATGGGTTGAACCTGATCAAGATCCTGCTGAAATTATTTGGAGAAATCATTTATCTAAATATAATAAACCTGCATTAGAAAAAAGTGAAATTGGTGAATTAGGTTGGGCTGATGAATTAATAGATGGGAAACGTTAGTTTAAATATCTTGTATAAAGTGAATGATAAATAAATATTTATGTTAAAAATTTGATGCTATAAATTACTATATATAACTTACTTATTTATGGTTCAATGACTTCAATTTTTTCAATCTCTTCTGGTTGTTTTTGCACTTTTGAATCATCTTTTTCTTCCTCATCAACAACTTGTGCATATCTAGGTATCAATCTTATATCATAATCAGTTTCTAATTTTAATTCATCCCAAGGTTCAAAATTTAACCAAACCATTTCAAAATCATCATCATTATTCATTGTATGAGTTCCTAATTGAATACTTGGTTTTGTGAATTCTTCATTTATTAATTCACTTTTACCTTCTAATATTAAATCTAATCTTTCTGCTTTATTTAATTCATTTACTTCCCTAAGTTCTTCATTTAAAATATGATGAAATCTTTCTTTATTTGCTTCTTTTAACTTGTTATATAATTCATTATAATTACCCTTTTTATTTAACTTATATAAGATGTTATTTGTTTTTGAATTACCTTGATTTAATTCATTAGGTAAATCACCAAATATACTTGATTTTTGATCAATTTCTTTACTTGCATTATCAAACCAAACACCTAATTTATCAGTCCAAGTTTTTAAATCCATTGGTTTATAATATTTATAAGCACCAAACCAAAAATTAGGTTTATCACCATTTTTAGTTGCAACTTTTCTATAATGTTTTGATTCTTCATACCATGGATCATAAGGTAATAACATTCTACTTATTTCTAATCCACTTCCAAATATTATTATTGATCCAATTCCGATTGCAATAATCAGTTTCCATATGGACCCATTTCTTATGAATTTTGGAGGTTGATTAGGTATAATTACTGGATGCTTTCTTAATTGATTTCTTGCATATCTAAAACATCCTGTCCCTAGTAAAAATTGTAATCCAATCATTGTAGCTAAAGCCGGTCGATTATCTGAAGAAGGAGTTAATGGACCCCATATTAATCCAATACTTGGATTTCTGGGTATTAATGATGCTGGATTAGGTATTACTATAGTTGTTGTATCTATATCTGAAGATGAAGAAGGATTAGTTATAGGATTAGTTGGTTGATTTTTATTCGAATTTTTGTTGGTCGTAGAGTCATTATTATTATTCTTTCTATCATTATTGTTTTTGTTGTTTTTGTCATTATCATTAGGAGGCGGTATATATACACCCATGCTTTAGTTAAATGTTTGAGTAATCACCAATTTTATTTGGTTCTATAAATCATAAATGATATGTTTGATTTAAGATAGAAGTAAACTCCGTTCTATCTTTTTCTTCTTGCTAAATCAAGAATTGTCTAAAATATGGAGAGAGTCGGATTGGTAGCATAATCCAAGCAAGACCAACAGAGTCTAATCAAGAGACTACTTATTGAAATAAATGATGTTAAATTATAATGCTTGCAATACAAAATATACTTATAAAAAGAGAAAGTCAGTATACGGTCACAAGGTAATTATAGACCAATTTTCTTTCAATCAATATTAGCATGTCTTTTTGAATGTTTTTTTTTTCAACTTTTTTTATCATATTATATTATACTTAGTTACTAGATCCATATAAATCTTCTTTTAAATCAATTCCTAATTCTTTTCTAATATCTTTTAATTCTTCCAAATAAGCAGAATATTGTTCAGGAGTTTCAACTTTATGTTTTAAAGCTTCAAAAGTTCTTACGGCAGTTGGATAATCATTTACTCTTCTACAAGCTTGTAAAGCTTTTTCAATTACAGCTGGAGCTGGTACTAAATCATATGAAAATACATTATTTAAAATTCTTTGAACTTCAAATAAATCATAAGCTTCTTCAAATTCTTTTTCATATCTATTTGTTTATGTTAGTATTTCCTGTTTTGGTGTAGGTCATTATTCCTTTCAAAATTTTGAAAATTACATACCTTGCTGTAAATTCTTCAAAAGTTTCATCTTTATGCTCAGCTGATGAATAAGTTCTATGTTGAATGAAACTTGATTTAATTATTGAATTTTTCATTACATTTGAAATTCTTGGTGTTTGAACAGCCAATCTTGATCTTAAAGCTAAACGAACAGTTGATGATATCATTTTCTTAGTGTATTAAAGTGTAATAAGTGTAATTGTTTATGAGATTTTGATCAATTGTTGATAAATAAATAACGAGATGAAGATGATCGCAATTGAATTGAAATTTGTAGATTTTTCAATGAGTCTTTGTGAATGATGAGTCTTGAATTATGAAGATGTGTTTAATTCAACTATTAATTTGATTTTTAAACCAACAAGAAGTTTTGTCTATTGAAGGTATAGTTGATAAGAATTGGTCTTGTTATTTTAATATTATTTAAACTTCTATAATTTTTTTTCAGTGTATTGGTTGTAAAAAAAATCATTGAGTGAGAGTTGAGATTTTAATAAGTAGAAACTATAATAGAAGTTATTGGTAGCATCTCACTCACTATATTATGTATGTACTATACTAATAAATATTAATGTATTATGTATTATTATTAAATATTTATAACAATAATAATTGGATAAAATTTACACATTTAAAAAAGACTGGCTACCATGTGCTTTATAATTTGTTCAGTTTGAGACTCATTAACACTAAATATCCACTCGATCGTATGATTTTCAAAAGCATTAGAATTAGTAAGTCAATTCATTAAAAACTAAAAACAGTGTAATCTAAACTAATCTCTCATGCATAAGCTGAAACATGTGTTTAAAATGGGAAACTTCAACTTCTCCATCGCTTATACTTTTGAAACGACTGACCTTTATATCAAGATTTCTTACAGATTTAACTCATTTGATATGAATTGCATGAAACTATAAGAATCTAGCACGTACTTTTTGATGAGGAGGGCCAGCGGTAGTAACTTTAAGACGATAAGTCCATATTCATGTCAAACTTATGGTTACATGGTTTTTGTAAAATTTACACTACCATTGGATGATTATCATAAAAAGATTCAAAACAAAAAATATTTATGTTGTGCTTTGGATTAAGTAATCAATTTGTAATCCTACTAGTATTGTATTACATACAATATTATTAATCGAGTATCATCAACTCAACCTATTTTGCAACCATTTAATGATATATACTAAAGAAGAAAATATACATGATAAAGAAGGTATGAATTATTCTAGTTGGCAAAATAGTAAAGATGATATTCATCAACAACATCATCAACAACCACAGCAACAACAACAGCATCAAAATCAACAACGGAACCAACATGTACAGAATCTAGCTTTCAGAGCGGGACAACAACAACAACAACAAACAGTAAATGATAAATCCTCAATATTAGATACAAATTCACCAATAGATGCTTCAAATACTGATCCTGCATTAACTTCAACTATATCTTCATCTACATCTTCATCAACATCAACAAAATATAATCCAAAACCAATATCAGTAACAAAAAGAGCAGAACAAAATCGTAATGCTCAAAGAGCATTTAGACAAAGAAGAGAAAAATATATGCAAGATTTAGAATTAAAAGTTCAAGAATTAGAAGAAATGAAATTAAAATATCAAAATTTAAGTAATGAAAATATTCAATTAAAAGATTATGTTATGATTTTACAAAGAAAAATTATTGAATTAACTCAAGATAAAGATAATGATCATCTGCTGCAACAAAAACAACATCATGATACTATATCAAATCCTTTTATTCCTAAATAATTGAGAAATTTGTTGTTATGCTATACGATTTTTTTTCTAGTTTGTATTAATTATAAAAATTTCATATGTTCATATATTTTCTCTAATTTCAGCTTCTATTTGAATTTATCTCGACGACATACTAAATCAACCTTCAACTTGAGATTTAATAGCTTTTAGTCTCATTACTTACTGAATCATCAATTTCAAGGAATTAATGTCAACTCAAGTGTCGGAAAAAAAATAATTTTCAAGACAAAATAATCTCTACTTTATTAAAAATTTTCAGATATTTAAGATCAATTTTCATACAATTCAGCCAACATTACCATGATAAGAAGTTCACTTCGAGTGTTTAAAAGAAGTCAGAGCTCCTCAACTTTTGGTATATGGTCAAACTTCACAAACAGATCGCCCAGATTGCAACTACAAGATGAATCAATCAAAAAGGATTTATTTAATGAATTACCAAAAGATCAAAAACCTGCATCAATACTAACTTATGACGAAAAACAACAATATCACTCACCAATAGATATAGATGAAACTTTTTCTATGGCTTATAAAATACTAGAGAAAGAAGCAGAATCAAAATATAAATATATAAATCGAATAAAGTTAGCTATTGACTCTAAACAAGTTTCAAATGAAGAACTAACAGAATTAAAAGATCAACTTGATAAAATTTTAATTGATGCAGAAATTGAAAATCCTGAAGTATTATATAATTTTGAATTTTTAAATTCCGAAGATCTTGATAAATCTCAACCAGTATATAGAGCTTTATTAAAACAAAAATGGGAAAATTATGATTTATTAGTTACAATGCAAAGATTAGAACAACTTCATGTTATACCAGATACTTTACCTACTTTAAACCCTAAAGCTGATGTTAAAGTTAAATTTACTCATAATATTGATACAGAATTTCAAAATTGGATAACTCCAGGAACTTTATTACCAGCTTTTGCAGTTTCAAAACCTCCAACTATACATATTCAAGAATTTGAAAGAAAAGATGGTAATGAAAATTTATATACTGTGTTATTAGTTAATCCAGATACACCAGACTTAGAAACAAATTCTTTTAAAACAACTTTACATTATGGATTAAAAAATGTTTCATTAACAAATAATGATAATACTATTGATGTTTCAAGAATCATGAAAAATGGTCCAAAAATAACTTTTCATGAATATTTACCATTAACTCCAGAAAAAAATGCTGGGGTTCAAAGAGCTTGTTTATGGGTTTTTAGACAAGATTCAAATATTGATAAAATTAATGAAATTAAAAATGATGAAAATTTTAATATAAGAAAATTTGTTGATGAATATAAAATAACTCCTATTGGTGCTCATGTTTGGAGACAAAAATTTGATAGAAGTGTTCCAAATGTAAGAAATGAATATGGATTAGGTAAAGGTAGAGTTTTTGAAAAAATTAGAGGAACAGAACCTTTGAATTTATAATCTTGTAAATATACGTTGTTAGACTACATAATCGAATTGAAAAGGTCATTTTGTTCTTTGCGCAATTTCCTTTCTAAGAAGGTTTTTTAAAATTGCCAATATGATTCACTTTCATTTCTTGAAAGATCGAAATCCTCCATCACATTTTGTATGGATTTTGATTAAAAGACATATTTTTTCATTCTTAGTCGCGACACTTAAATTTGAAACATGAATCGATTATACAGTACTATCATCCACAAATCTAAGTAAAAAAGAAATTCTTTATCTATTTGGTCTTTACTTTGAAACAAATGACCCAAAATTAAAGCAATGATGGCAAATTACGTTACACCCACCACATATTGCATTTGGCTTTCTCAATCTTCACGTTTAATTTTAGTCCCTTTCATTTACAATCATTGAACAAACTCCAGTTTTTTCTAGAAATATCTTTTAATAAATCATACATTTTTGATAACCACTGAAATGTATCACAAAATTAAGTGTCAGATATCCTTCCTACATTTTCGATTTATAAAACAACCTTGCTATCCAAAAGATCTTTAATTTTTCAATTTCAATTCTTTTAATGATTCATTTAATTGCATAAAAGTTTATTCAAGCAGAAAGATGTTGACATCTAAAGTTGCAAGAAATAAAACGATAAATACGTTTTTAAAAAATGATAGATATATAATTAAAACTAGTACACCGATATCGAATAACTATGTTCAAAATTATCAATATAGACAATTTTCAACAAAACCACAACAGTATACTGTTCACCCTATCCATTCAAATTCATCTTTAAATTATCAATCTTACAAATATGGTCAAATAACACCTAAACCACTTAATCAATTTCAAACCAGACTTTTCCATTCATCACACAAAAGACAATTACAAATGCAAAAAGAAGAAGAAGATAATAGACCTGCTTTAGAAAAATATGGAACTGATATAACTCAATTAGCTAAAGATGGTAAATTAGATCCAGTAATAGGTCGTGATGAAGAAGTTAAAAGAACAATACAAATATTATCAAGAAAAACTAAAAATAATGCTTGTTTAGTTGGTAAACCTGGTGTTGGTAAATCAGCTATATTAGAATCATTAGCTCAAAGAATAGTGAATGGTGAAGTACCAGATTCAATGAAAGGTAAAAGAGTCATTTCATTAGATTTAGCTGGAATTGTAAGTGGATCTAAATATAGAGGTGATTTTGAAAGTAAATTTAGAGAAATAATGAAAGGAATTGAAGATGCTAATGGTGAAATTATTCCATTTGTTGATGAATTTCATACTATTTTATCATTAGGTAAAAGTGAAGGTAGTATGGATGCAAGTAATATGTTAAAACCTGCATTAGCTAGAGGTCAATTATCAATGATTGGGGCTACTACTACTGATGAATATAGAAAATATATTGAAAAAGATCAAGCTTTAGCTAGAAGATTTTCAGCTGTTTTAGTGACTGAACCAACTGTTGAAGATACAATTTCAATTTTGAGAGGATTAAAAGAAAAATATGAAGTTCATCATGGTGTAAGAATATTAGATTCTGCATTAGTTTCAGCTGCAACTTTATCTAATAGATATATTACAGAAAGATTTTTACCAGATAAAGCAATTGATTTAGTTGATGAAGCAAGTTCAACTTTAAGATTACAACATGAATCAAAACCTGATGCTATATCTACTTTAGATCGTCAAATTATGACAACAGAAATTGAACTAGAATCTTTAAAAAAAGAAGATGATCCTATTTCAAAAGATAGAAAAGAAAAATTAGAAGAACAATTAACTATAAAGAAAAAAGATCTTCAAGATTTAACTGATAAATGGAATACTGAAAAAAAAGCAATTGATGATGTAAAAGCTGCAAAAGCAAAATTAGAACAAGCTAAATATGAATTAGAAACAGCTCAAAGAGAAGGTGATTATGCAAAAGCTTCAAGAATACAATATGCAGAAATACCAGAATTACAAACAAAAGTTATAGAATTTACAAAATCAGAAGAAGCTGTAAAATCATCAAATTTATTACATGATTCAGTAACATCAGATGATATTGCATCAGTTATTTCAAAAATGACTGGAATTCCATTGAATAGTTTATTAAAAGGTGAAAAAGATAAATTATTAGATATGGAAGCTACTTTAGAAGCAGAAGTTGTTGGACAACAAGAAGCTATACATGCAGTTTCAGATGCTGTAAGATTACATCGTGCTGGATTAACTGATCAAAATAAACCAATTGCTTCATTTGTATTTTTAGGAAGTACAGGTACTGGTAAAACTCTTTTAACAAAAGCTTTAGCTAAATGGTTATTTAATGATCCAAATTCAGTTATTAGATTTGATATGAGTGAATTTCAAGAAAAACATTCAGTTTCAAGATTGATATCTGCACCTCCTGGATATGTTGGATATGAAGAAGGTGGAGAATTAACAGAAGCAGTTAGAAGAAGACCTTATAGTATTGTTTTATTTGATGAAGTTGAAAAAGCTCATCCAGATATTGTTAAAATTTTATTACAAGTTTTAGATGAAGGGTCTTTAACTGATACTCATGGTGTTAAAGTTAGTTTTAAAAATACTATAATTGTTATGACATCAAATTTAGGTCAAGAAATTTTATTAGCTGATTCAAGTGCAAAAGATGATGGTAAAATAAGTCCAGTTGTTAAAACTGAAGTTATTGATGCATTAAAACGTCATTATCCACCTGAATTTTTAAATAGAATTGAAGATATAATTGTTTTTAATAGATTATCAAAAAAATCATTAAGAGAAATATTAGAAATAAGATTAAATGAAATTGATGATAGATTATTAGATAAAAGAATTGAATTAAAATTAACTCAACCAGCAAAAGATTTATTAATTGAACAAGGTTATAGTCCTGTTTATGGTGCAAGACCTCTTAATAGAGTTTTACAAAAAAATTTATTAAATCCTTTAGCAAGATTAGTGTTATCTGGACAAATTCAAAATAATGAAATTGCAAAAGTTGAAGTTAGAAATAAAGAAATTTATGTTGTACCAAATCATTCTGAAGAATCAGTTGTAAAAGAAGAAGAAGAATATTGGCAAAAAAAAGATAAAGAAGATGAAGATAAAAAGAAAAAGTAGGTTTGTAATGCATATAGAAATTTAAGAGGAAATTGATGAAATTTAAAACCTTTCTCGAAATAATATTATTATGAATATTACTATAAAAAAAATATTTTCTACGAACCTCTGTTTCGATTTCAGAACACAAAATTGAATCATATTGTTGTTGAACTTTGTCATCTACAAATTTTTAATCAGCAATGAATGATCCTTTGAATTGCGACGTTATGGGATTTAACGTAATTAAGGTCAACCTCGTGTGGTTTTCAGAATATTCATTGTCCCTGAACGTTCTAATTCTTGTTATTTGAGAGTTCTTTGAAAACAATAATTCCCTAGAAGTCTTACTTCCGCGTGCCTCAAAAACTGAGGTAGGTGTAGATAAGGCTATTTCGATTCTTTTTACTTGTAATTTATGAATATCAACTAGATATGTTGGTAATTTACAAACGAGATGAAAAGGGCAAAAGTGATACAACTTACTTCTTTACTGTTTAGCATACTAGACTACTAATTTAATAAATAATTGATTTTGAAAAAGAAAAAAAACTTATTAATGTAGAAATAGACACCTATACTACATTGGATCACTTTTCGAACCTAATAATTGTATAAAGATGTTAAAGTAAAATTTTAGCATTTTTACTGCCTTGCATAGTGTGTGAGCTTCAAAGACTGCGATTAAATCCAGCTATGCTTACGGTATGGATAGTTTTCAAACTCAAATTCTTACTTCCATGAAGATCAATAAATGATTGGTAGTCACACTACCATACTTGTTTTCAAAATGTTTCAGATTTTTAGGCAACCATTTTTTAAATTTGAGATATCAATTTGTGGGAGACAAATCTTGAGTTCTATTAATCTCCTATTTCAGAAGTTTTTTAGAGCTTGAGTAACTTCATATCTCAAATTAATTTCCACAACTATGTATCATGGCTCCTTTAGACACCACGACTACCACATCAAGTTACACGTACCAGAAATTAAGTTCCTTTATCAAAGACACAACGAACAACACTAACAGGACTACGTTGACTAAGCGAAGTGTTTGTCCTTTATTTTATGAAGTAGACAAAGAAAATCTTGGTTCTTCCACCTTCATATACAGCAAGAATGTTGGTAAGTCAACACTCCTTAATTACACCTTAATAATTGAAAGTCATTATGTAACAATGCTTCAGGAAATGGATGCAACAACAACTAACTTCATTCAATCTTTGACAGAAAACAAGCCAAATTTCATTCTAATTAAAAGTGGTAAGACTTGTATCATCATAAATACCGACCATGGATCTAATTTCACAGCAAATGAGAACAAAATTTCAGGTCTGTTAAAAAATGAAATTTCAAAGAGTAGGACCTCAGATGTGGTGATTATGTTCTTGGGATCAAAAATTCAATTAATTAATTTTTATTTAGACGACAGACAATCGCCTCAAAAGTTGGAGCACTTAAGAGATTTGGTAGAAATAATAGGTAAAGTAAAATTACCCTTGATTATATGTGCAGATGCAAATGTCAATTTAGATACAAGATCAGTTCATTATCAAGAACACGTAGAGTTGCTCAATAAAATTTTAAAAGAATATGACATGGTCATGATTGTTGATATGGTTATATACGATGTCTTCACTAATATTGGAGTTTCAACTTCTTGTCCAGATTTTTTTTTTATATCAAAAGTTCTTTTGAAGTTTTTGGTGTTAATACTAATAATATTTGATCATCATTCTACTCACTCAGCTTCACTCGTTGGATTTAATGAAAACTCCTCAGGAGTTTTGCAGGATCATGGTAGAAATATAGCCGCTCTTCATCTTTGGCATGAAAAAAATTTGGTCGTTCACTTCATGGGTTTTTTGAGAAAAAAAATCAACTCAAAAAATAGATTGATACCAGTAGCTCCAGGTGAAATCAAGATCAAACTAATTGAAGAACTAGATCATCATGTTGAAGCATTACAATCAATGAAATCAAGAAAAAATGAAATTTGTTCATTATTAAGTAAAACCAATTATTCAAAAGTTCATTCAGATTATCAAGAATTTTATAATTTGGAATCCATCCAACCTAACAGCCCGGATGTTCAGCAAAACTATAAACAAAGTATTACGAATTTGAATCTAGAATATGAATTACTCACTAAAATGCATGAAGATGCTCATCATAATCAAAATGAGGATGAGAATTTCATTGATGGCATGAATGAAAATGAAGAAGATGATGATGAGGATGAAGATGAGGACGAAGATGAGGACGAAGATGAGGACGAAGATGAGAACGAAGATGATGAAGAGGAATTTGATCTTGACAATACATCTAACGTTGGGGTTGGTGATTACATTGATGGGTCGGATAATAACTCAGATTCTGTTCAAAAATTGATTATTACCCCTATTTATATAATAATCTTTCTACTCAAACTTTACAACAAAGAGCACAATGAATTTGGTAAGCACAAAACTGCTAGGATGCACTCAGAATTGCTTAAACTTGAGCCAGAGTTATACGATGAGCTAGGATTAACTTTAAAAAAATTTAGAAAAAGATTCATTGTGATTATTAAATCACCAAATACTGTAAAAAATAGGGATGGTGAATTAGAATTGTCGCAAAGCTATATCAATGATCATTTAGTTATAAAAAGTCCAAATGATATATACAAAGAAGGTTGGCCAAGATATGTTTTGGTAAAATTATTGATCAAATACAATCAGCTTGGAAAATCCTATAAAGCCATAGCCTATGATTTGAACATAGAGTTCGGTACAACATATTTTGACAAAGATAAAATTTTTTATGCTCTCAGAAATTTAAACACATATGGTCATATTGTACTAACTGATGTAAAAAATGGTGGTCAAATATACACTTTTACAAGAATGTTCATAAAAAACTGCATTTTCAACCTTGACAAGGATGCTCCCGATCATAAAGACTACAAATCAGTTTTCAACTTGAAGAGTATCAAATGCACTGAGATATATCCTGCAAAATTTAACAGACTAAGAGAAAAATTGGACGTCTTCGATGGTTTAGATAAATCACATTTGTATTTAGCATCTAATCGTCAATACCTTCTACCAAAACTTACGAATGTTAGCTGCAAAGAAGAATCTAAATATTATGATGAAAAAAAAGCAAAAGAATTCAAATGGGATCCATTTGTAGAACAAAAATTCATTACATTATGTGTTGGTCAGTTGAACAACGGTATAGTTGATTTCAAATCCATTCAACAATTTGTTCCCGCCACTTGTGCCAGGCTAATTAGGAAATACAAAGGTTTCACGTATCAAAAAGGCTCACTAAGTGTTGATGAACAAAAGATGATACTCAAGACTATGATTGTGTATCTAAAAGCTCCAAATGATTATTACTTCAAGTACTCTAACTCCATCAGTTCTGAAATCACTTTCATGATTGAAGATGAGTTTGGTTTTCGTCGTGATAAGAGACAAGTCTTGAGATGGTGGAAAAAAGTTGGATCTATAATATATAATTACAATAGAAAATTGGGTAAATGAAATGTTATATCATGAAATGGACGAGATGATTCGGAATTAGTTGAAAACTATTTTTGTAATCACAAGTAGAGTTGATCTCTTGATATCCTCTGTCTGTTTGAAAGCTTACGAGATGATTCGGAATTAGTTGAAAATTATTTTCGTAATCACATGTAGAGTTGATCTCTTGATATCCTCTGTCTGTTTGAAAGCTCATATACATTCTTCATTCCTCGTTCGTGATAACTTATTGTCTTCAACCTCCGTGGCTGTATCGTTACACGTTAAAAGAGTAGCATACGTTCCAACATAACATACTAGCAATTTATATTAAGGATAAGCAAATTATACACCAAAACATTATAGCCTGAACTAGAACTAAAATTGCTTGCAAAATTAAGCACCCCAGTCTTCGCCATCACTATCGCTTGATTCATCATCATCATTAACAGGAGTGACATTATTAGGAGTGACATTATCAGGAGTGACATTATTAGGAGTGACATTATTTTCTCTACTGAATCTTGGATCAAGAAGAAACCCAGAAACTGACTCTTTCAAAATATTGCGACAGCACCCATCTATGATTTCCCATGTATTATTATCAATAGGTGAATTGTAAATACGTTTTAAAGTGTTTTTGTTAACTTCTTCAATTATGCCTAAATGATCAAAAACATTGTTCCATCTAGGTTTTCCATCTTCTATAAAATTAACATCTCTCAACGTCAAATACAAAACTTTTGATATTGCATGTAGGTGTTGAAACCTTGGGTATTCAACTAACAAATCTCTAGTTAAACCTTCACTTAATTCCAAATATCCTCTCTTGATTAACCCTTTCGATACATCATTTATGGCATCTTCATTTATTGATCCAGAGGCACTTAATTTTTTTTCTTGAAAGATATAATGATCAGCTTCATATACCCAGTTGAATCTAATATGGTAAACAAATGCTCTTCTCAATTGAGCTTCAACTTCATAAGATGGATTGCCAAATGCTTTTAACACTTTCCTCCATTTAATCTTTCCGTCCTTGTTTGTAAAGCTTTTATTTTTGAGCATCAAGTAAAACTTTTTGACAACATCATTTATTGATTCAAAGTGTATTGTTTCAAGGACTGACATTGCAGATTTTGCAACTTCTTCATCTAAATCAATTTCCGTATTATCTTCATCGTCTTCTTCCTCCTTTTCTGCAACATTATATATGTATCTACCATTCATTTCAATGAGTGTGTTCCTCCGTAAATGTGTCTTGAAACAACTTTTCAAGTCCTTTTGAAGACCAGCGTCACTAACGTTCATATCAGCATATATACTGTCCCATAATGGACCTGTATCATCATTAAATTGTGGTAATCTCAATCTTTTATAAAGCTCTTGGGACTCTTTAAAAGTATTTAAAAAATTGGGATATTCATAGCATATTTGAGCTAATTCCTCGGTGGATATAACTTTTTCTCGAATATTTACTGCTTCTTGATTTCTTTTTTCTATCTTTTTTGGATTAAAAATATATCTGTCATTTTGAAGAATCCAATTGTGCTGTCTAGCGGTATTGCGCAGGAAACCATCTCTTAAAGACTCCTTTTCTTTCTTGTCATTAGGACCATAACCAAGATGATCAAAAATTTTGGTAAAATTAGGTTTATGTCCAATCAAAAATGCACTATCTCTAACACATTGGTATAATTTCTTGTATTGATCCGTGTAAAATGGAAACTGAGGATTTTCTGTTAAAATTTCTCTTTCCAATTCAGTTAATTGAGTTAAATCTTTTATTCTAATACAACCATTGATTTCATGCCATGATTTTGATTGCCTAATTCTATTTCTCTTAAAATTTTTCAAATTGTTTTGATTTTTTGCATCGGTGACTCCAATTGCTTCAAAAATTAATGAATACTTTGGTACACCTTTATGAAAGTTTACAGGATTTCTAAGTTGTAGATAAAATTGTTGTTCAATAGGCTTTAATTTAAAGTACTCAAGAGTGTTTAAATCATCATCATTTGAATCCATTTCATCATTTGAAGTATTGTTCAATTCATTAATTCTATACCCCTTACCAGAAACAAAAACAAATTTGCCATGAAGTTTGTATGTTCTGAATGATTTTTTTGAATTTTCTTTGTCAGCTGTATTTTGACAATTCATTGCAACAAATATGTCATCCCACAAAGGTTTGTCATTGTCAAGAAATCTAAGCTGTCTAATTAATTTATAAAGTTCTTGATTACGAGGACATAAGGATGAAAAAAGTTTGGTCTTGAGATCTTCATTACCATCAGCATGCGATGATTGATCATTAACATTGGTTTCAGATGATTGATCATTATTATTGGTTTCAGCAGCTGTAGTCTGATTCTGAACTTCTTGTGATTGTAAAGCTGGATTTTTTCCAAATGATTGATTTTGATCAGCATCAATCGCAACAACATCTGTTGATGCATCATTTTCTACACCAACATCTTTAGATCTTGATACTTTTTCAGCATTTGATTTATTGCGTTTATGAGTAGAATTAAGTTGATTGGGTGTAACTGTTGCTAAAATTTTTCTTTTCTTCATTTTACGGACTTCAAAAATTATTATATCACTAATGCTTGGTTATGATATGTAGTATTACTTAAACTTGTTACAGTGCTCTTGATCTTTATGTAATTGAGTACCTGGAAATGGTTGTAGAAGTTAGTTTAAAAGTGGTTGTAGATGTTGGTTATAAAAGTTGAATAAAAGTGGTTGTAAGAAAAGGTGATACATATAATATTTTTGATAATTTAATATTATCTCAAAAACGTAAAAAAATATGGGGATAAATATCGATAAGGTTTATTATAGGTAAATGGTAGCATTTATTTTTACTTCATTCCTTAAGTTACTTGAAGTCTTTCTTTTCTAAATTTATATCTTATTAAATCAGTAATCTTCTAGCTTGCCTAACGGCTGAAATTAAAAAGGAAAGATCTATACCTTCATTAACAATATACGAGTAATCTTCAATTGTTACATTCACCATGGATACCAACATGACTTAGTTTCATGTTAGATGCGAAATCCAATCCTGTATAATGAATTCTGTATTCTTTTATAACTTCCATTTTTATGTATAAGCTCTTAAAATATAAATTTCTCGAGAATTGAAATTTCAGTTACCAACTTTCAATTTGAAGTTATCTTTCAATTCATATTCTTTTAATTCATATTCTTTTGGTATTGGGTCTCAATTCATTTTGGAGAAAGCGATAGCTGCACACATTTGCTATCGAATAATTATCACTCGAACCACTTCAAAAACCTAAATTGCAATTTAAGCAAGTAATTTACGAGAATGGTCAACTTAAATAGATGGATTAATGAAGTATCGGACGATACAAGAGTATCGAAGTTGTCAATCCCAGCCAGTCACCAATCTTTTTGCTACCATACTGCGTTACCTAGTGTGCAATGTCAAGGTGCAAGTGTAACCAAACAATTGGAACATGGAATTAGGTTTCTTGATGTAAGATTGGGAAGATTATTTACAGGTGAAACCAAAACAGATGGATTACAAGTTGTTCATTCAAAGTTTCCAGTAAAAATTCCATTTCCATTGAAATTTAAAGATGCATTGGATGACGTTTATGAATTTCTTTCCAAAAATCCTAGCGAAACTGTTATTGTTTCAATTAAACAAGAAGGAAGTGATGATTGGGATAATAAAAATGATGAATTTGGTAAAGTGATTTGGGATCAATATGTTAATCCAAATAAGGATAAATGGTATTTGGGCACAGATATACCAAGAGTTGGAGATGCTAGAGGTAAAATCATTTTATTTAGAAGATTTGGAGTTCAAGATGAAAATTTAAGAAATCAATTTGGTTTTGATGCTCCTTTTTGGCAATATAATACTACTGCAGATGATAGAGGACATGTTGTAGCTCAAGATTTTTGTGAAATAACCTCTGAAAATTTAAATGATAAGGTTAGATATGTTAAAGATTTCGCTAAAAAGGCTCAAGAATATAATAGTACAAATGATGATAAATTATTTGTTAATTTCACATCAGGATCTAATTTTTTTGATAAGAATTGTTGGCCAGAACCTGTTTCAAAGGCAATGGTAGAAGGAAAAATTGATGAATCGTTCCATAAAGGTTGTGGTATCATTGTTTTGGATTATGCTGAAGCTAACGACTGGAAATTAGTAAAAGAATTGGTGAATTCAAATTTTTGATAAACATATTTGGTGTGGACCAAGTTATCTCGATGTCGGCTTTATATAGTAATTTTGTGTAAGTATTTTGTATTTTATGTTTGATTGAATAAAAGAACTTTTGAATTTTCAGATAAGCATCAAAGTAAACAATCAATTGATATGTTCTGTTTCAGAGCCACTACAAGAGTAATACGACGTCCTTTACTACTCAATCGCATACGTTTCCAATCCAAAAAACCGGAATTTACAAACATAAATGATGCAAAACTACGGAAAATCATAGAAGGTACGAATTTTGGATCTAAAGCATTAGATAAAAAACAAAAGCAAATAGAAGAAGAACGTAAAAAACTAGAACAAGAAAGAGAAGCTACAAGAAAACTTAAAGAGAAACAAGAAGAGGAGAAAGAAAAAGCAGAAAAGGAAGAGAGACAAGCTAACATCGCAAAAGCCAATGATAATAATGAAGCAAATTTCACAACAACAGATAGTGGTAAATTAAAGGGAACCGCTAAAGAAACTCATAGTGCCACAATAAAGAATGAAGGTGATAATGAAATAAAATTGAGAGTTGAAGATAAGATTATAGCAACTACTGAAGATTCAATTGATGATTCTGAGATTCCAAATCTAGCTAAAGAAATCAATGAAACAATTCAGAAAGAGATAGTTGGACTACCATCACAAAAGGCCAAAAATCAAAGTCAATTGACAAAAAAAGTTTCAAAATATTTAGATTCAGCACATGATACGATTTTAACTGTCACAAGAGCTTTGAATGATGTCACAGGTTATTCAGCCATTGAGAAATTAAAAAAGTCAATCAATGATCAAGAAGATGAATTAAGAAAAGCTAAAGATAATGTTAAAAAATGTAAAATTGAATATGGAGTAGCAATTCAAAAAAGATCTCATTCTCAAAGAGAAGTAAATGAATTATTAACAAGAAAACATAATTGGTCTCCACAAGATTTAGAAAGATTTACTGAATTATATAGAAATGATCATGAAAATGAAAATCAAGAACAAGAATGTGAAAAAAATTTACAAGATGCTGAACTGAAAGTTGATGGTATACAATTAAAATTAACTCAACTGATTTTAACTAGATATCATGAAGAACAAATTTGGTCTGATAAAATAAGAAGATCTTCTACATGGGGTACTTGGGTTTTAATGGGTTTAAATGTTTTATTATTTGTTTTTGCAAGTTTTATTGTTGAACCTTGGAAAAGGAAAAAATTGGTATTAGGTTTTGAAGAAAAAGTTAAGAATGTTTTAGTTGGAATTAGTCAACAAAATGAAGCTATATTAGATCCTATCATTAGTCAACTAGAACCAAATGATGGGAAAGTTGATATTGTAGGGGAAGAACAAATCAAGGATCCAAAAGTTGAAGAAGAACAAATCAAGGATTCAAATGAGGATAAATATTATGTTCAAATGTTCACAAACAATTGGACAAGTTTAAAAGATTCAAGTATTAAGCATTATCGAGCATTGATCTCACCAAATATTCATTATTTTGAATTTAATAAATTAGAATTTGGAATGTTCACATTAATGGTAAGTTTATTATCATGTGGTTTAGGTAGTATTATTACATTACTTTGTAAATAGTCTAGCATAGAGATATTAGAATTAATAAAAGTTCATCAAACATGATAAGGCATTGAATAATATTTTAGTAGCCGTACATTCAAATACAAAACTTTGCTTAAAGGGACGGTTAATCTTGAACAAAAGTGATCTATTATTCAGTGTCCAAATGAGTGTGTGTAGCATGAGTCCATCATGGCCTTTCGAGTCTCTCTTCCAATGTTGGTAATGTTTACTTACCATCTAATCCGAAATCTATTGCTTGTAGGAATAAATGTGTACACAAAAAGTTTGCTCTTAACAAAATTCAAATTGAAACATCAACACTTTTTTTTTCAATCAGAATCAATAAGTAGACAATACATTTTGCCACCACTAATAATAATATCGATACAATCTTTATCACCACATAACCACCACTAAAGTATGTCAACGGCAGCTACGGAGTCTAGTTCAGATATATTTTTACATCATAAAAATTTATTAAAAGAATTAAATATTTTAAAGATTCAAGAAGAATATATCAAAGATGAACAACGTCATTTAAAAAGAGAATTAATAAGAGCTCAAGAAGAAGTTAAAAGAATTAAATCTGTACCTTTAGTTATTGGTCAATTTTTAGAACCAATTGATGAAAATACAGGAATAGTATCATCAACAACAGGATCAAATTATGTTGTTCGTATATTATCAACATTAGATCGTGAATTATTAAAACCATCATCATCAGTTGCATTACATCGTCATTCAAATGCATTAGTAGATATTTTACCACCAGAAGCTGATTCTTCAATTTCTATTGTTGGAGATAATGAGAAACCAGATGTAACATATGCAGATATTGGAGGTCTAGATATGCAAAAACAAGAAATTATTGAATCAGTTGAATTACCATTAGAACAAAGTCATTTATATAGTCAAATTGGTATTGATCCACCAAGAGGTGTTTTATTATATGGTCCACCAGGTACTGGGAAAACAATGTTAGTTAAAGCAGTAGCAAATGCAACAAAGGCATCATTTATAAGAATAAATGGTTCAGAATTTGTACAAAAATATTTAGGTGAAGGTCCAAGAATGGTAAGAGATGTATTTAGATTAGCAAGAGAAAATTCACCTGCAATAATTTTTATTGATGAAATTGATGCAATTGCAACAAAAAGATTTGATGCTCAAACTGGTGCAGATCGTGAAGTTCAAAGAATTTTATTAGAATTATTAAATCAAATGGATGGATTTGATCAAACATCAAATGTTAAAGTTATAATGGCTACTAATAGAGCAGATACTTTAGATCCAGCATTATTAAGACCTGGTAGATTGGATAGAAAAATTGAATTTCCAAATTTAAAAGATAGAAGAGAAAGAAGATTAATTTTTACAACTATTGCTTCAAAAATGTCATTAGCTCCAGAATGTGATTTAGATTCATTAATTATAAGAAATGATCCATTAAGTGGTGCTGTTATTGCTGCTATAATGCAAGAAGCTGGTTTAAGAGCTGTAAGGAAAAATAGATATATGATTTTACAAAACGATCTAGAAGAAGCTTATAGTTCACAAGTTAAAACAGGTACAGAACATGATAAATTTGAATTCTATAAATAGATTTATTAATGTATATTGTATACATGAAGAGAAAAAGTTTATCTCTCAAATCATTTGATATATACCTAATCCTAGTTGAAAATTATCTAAATGATCAAGTTCTATATGAAATGTTGTATTCCATAAGGGTTTAAAATGAGAACCATAAGTATAAGATGCAAGTGGTGTAATTAAATACGTTGGCCTATCGTCATTTAATTCCTTTATAACGTCATTAATTGAAGATCCCATTGCATCAATAATTGTAAATTCTTTCGAATTATTTAAACTTTGTCCTATTAAAACAGTCTCAACAGAATCACTACCTAATAACCAAGATGGAGGTGAATAAGTATTTTTCCAAATATGTATTCCTTTTAAATCATTTTCTCTAATATATTCTAAAGCAGGGATTATACCACCTTGATGAAATATTCCCATAAGTAAACTCATAACTACATTAAAAACATACCATATATAAATCATCCAGGGTTTGACAAACTTTTGAGTCAAATCAAAGCAACAACAACATAATGGTAATAATGGAATCAAAAATCTTAATTCTTGATGTGGAAAAATTGAAAGGAAAAATAAACCACTTAATATTGTTAAAAATGGAGTTGTTCTTATATAATTTTTAGAAATCATGAATATTAAACCAGGACCTAATAATTGTGGTACATTAACTAATACATGTGTATAGTAAGGATGAATACCATGATTTGATAAATTTTCAAATTTTGAATTATATAGTAAATTATTTAATGGAGCTATAACAAATGAATTTGAATTGTATAAATAAGTATCCAAATAAATAAAAGATATTGTTGGTATGATAAATCCAAAAGTTAATGGTATTATTGATTTTAAATTAGAATAAATATATGTTAATAAATACCAACTTGGTAAAATTATAAATGCTGGAAATGTAATTCTATTAAATATACCAAATGAAATTAAAGCACCTAAAGTTAATAAAGATTTAGTTTTATTCATACTCTTCAACTCTTTATTTTCCTGAATATATCTTAAATCATCAATAATATATATTACAAAAATCAATAAACAAGTTTCAATACTATTTGAAAATAAATGATTTTGAAAAACAAGGGAAACAAAAGAAGTCAGTGTAAAAAATAAAGCTTTTATTCTTTCATGTTTTGTAGGTAACATCCAATATAAACAAAAATCAATAATCACCCAATTAATTAAACAAATTTGTAATCTTAATAAATACCATATTTGTATGGGAGTTAAATTTAAATTTAAAAATTTTATAACATAAAGTAATGGACCATAAATAAAATACAATGGAACAAATGATCTTGCTGGGAAATCATTATTAAATTCCCATGATATATTTGTAGAATAACCTAAGATTTTATTACTAATTATTTCAATTGATTGAAAATGTTCATCTGGATGAATATATGAATTAGATAATGTTAATATAATTCGAATTGGAATTGTTAATAAATATACATTTCTCCAATTTAGTAATTTTAACATTTATGATAGTAAAATCATATAGACTATCTATGTGTTTGTTTGAACGAGATGGACTAAATGTATCAGTATTAATCAATTGTTGGAAAGACTGAAGTTTAATTACTTAGTTGAGATTGAATCACCGTTTGAAAAATCAAAGCGGCTTTTCAATTTTTTTTTTTTTGATTTTCTTTTTGCAGTTTCATCTTAATGACATTTACATGCATCTTAAATCAACTTCAACTATAACAACAACTTCATTTTCTAAATTCATAAGAACCATAAGAACCATGTCATCTTATCCACAGCCGACAGAAGAAAGAGCACAAGAACTAATTTCCAACTATAACAAAATATATGAAAAAGTACAATCACTAAATCCCAAAACAAAATTAATAGCAGTATCAAAATTTAAACCATCATCAGATATAATGGCATTATATTCACAGGGAATACGACACTTTGGTGAAAATTATGTACAAGAATTGATTCAAAAATCAAAAGAATTACCTCAGGATATAAATTGGCATTTTATTGGAGGATTACAACTGGGTAAAACAAAAGATTTAAGTAATAAAATTCAAAATTTATATAGTGTTGAAACTATTGATTCTTTGAAAAAATGTAAACAATTAAATAATGCTAGGGAAAGAAAGGAGGGGGATATTATTAATGTTTTTTTACAAATTAATACATCTGGTGAAGAACAAAAATCTGGGTTCTTGGAAATTAATGATATTTATGAAGTTATTGAATATTTAAAAAGTGAAGAATGTAAAAAATTAAATTTGTTAGGATTAATGACTATAGGATCATTTAATGAATCAACTTCCCAAAATGAAGAAAATCAAGATTTTAAAAAATTAGTTGATTTAAAAAACCAATTAGATGAAAAATTTAATTTAAATTTACAATTAAATATGGGTATGAGTAATGATTTTGGACAAGCTATCAAACAAGGAAGTAATTGGGTAAGAGTTGGATCTTCAATTTTTGGAGCAAGACCTACAAAAGAAGAAATTTGATTTTACAAACTGTATAAAGAACAATTTAAAATAACAAAAGTTAACAATTTGTGTATTAGTGATACAATATTCGAAAAAGTTATTAAATTATATTTTGTTGAATAATTTTTTTAATCCACTTTTCTTATGTTTTGATTCTTTATCTGTTTCATTAGCTAATTTCTTATATTCTTTTTCATCATCAACCACATTAACTTGATCTTTATTTCTTGAATTATTGGAATTTGAATTTGAATTTGAATTTGTTGAAGGTGTAGAAGTTGAATCACTCGATGATTTATTATCCTTTTTCGAATTATTTGAATTAGAATTATTTCCATCTTTTTCTGATTTCTTTGGTGCACCTGCTGCAGTAGTTAAACCAGCAGCTCCTGGAGCAGCAGCAGCAGCTTTAGCTGATGGAGTAGTATCAGTTGTATATTTATCAGTTGGTACTTCACCAAATTTATCATTTGGTGATGGTGGTAATACTGAAGCACCTTGAATATTATCACTACGATGTTTATTATTATCAATTGTACTATATTTTTTCTGACCTTTTGGTTCTGATTTTGATTCAATTATTGAATCACCTTCATCTTTCGATTTATTTAAATTATCATAATCAGAAGCACTGACAGCATCAGGTCCATATTTTTTTTCTTTTTCTAATCTTTGTAATTCAGCTTGTCTTTCTCTTAATAATTTTTCTTTTTCAGCAATTAATTTTGCTTGTTCAGAACGTGAATGAACAGTTGTTTCTGAAGATTCTAATGATGTAGTAAAACCTTGCTTTTTTAAAGGGATTTTTTCAACATCTAATGATTCATCAGTTGGTACAGCAACTGGAGGTCTAAATTGTAAAGTATTTTCAGGATTAAATTGTTCCCAAGCTTTTATATCTCTTACTTTTATAGTTGGTTTAACACTATTTGAATAATAATCATGTCTTAATTTCATATCGTTATCAACAAAATCATTTTCCCATTCAATATCACTTTTAAATAAATTACCTAATTTATATAAAATATAACTCAAGATTAAAAAACCATGTTCTGTAAATAAAATTAATAAAGTAAAATAAACTGATGATGAAACATGAACACTTGCTTTATCGAAAGCAAATTGACCCATTGATTTTGGTGGTGCAGTACCATGACGATAAAATGCAGTAACAACAGGTTGAACAACTGAACCAATCCAAGTTAATAAAAATAAAGCCCAATTCCAAGGATGAATAGAATCAACTCTTTTTGGAATTGGAGGTTTAAAATATCTACCACTTTGTAATTTAAAATTATCTAATTTATAAAATAAAATATCAAATATTACTGAAATTAATGGAGCTAATGGCCATACAGAACCAAACATAATTAAATAACCATATTGAATAATTAAACTTCTCATATCTGAATCAACATCATATTCTGGTAAACTTAAAGAATTACGAACATTATGTAACCATATAGCTTCATGAGAATTATCATCTTTAGTTTGTAATTGAGGTTTTTTTTGAATTTTTAATTGATAAAATCTAATAGCTTTTGATAAAACTAATGGTACCACATATTTTAAAATTGCTTGAATAATTTGATTTGTAAAAATAAAATAAAAAAATTGAGAATCTAATCTACCTTGATTTATTTGAAATTCCTTTTGAGATTTTAATTTTGTTAAATATTTTGTATAAAATCTATTTTCTCCAACATATGTTGAAATTGTTGATTTTATATCTCCTAAATGAGGACCAACTAAATGAGCAAATGGTAAATATAAAAATGAAGTAATTAATAATGGTGCATAACTAACCAAAAAATTTAAAATAAATTGTTTAACAATAATTGAATTATTTTTACTACTATGATTATCATGATTTTCTAATTTTATAAAAAATTCAGCAACTAAATTATACACAATTGTTAAAATTGGTATAAAAACTGATATTAAAATAGTTGGTAATAAAGTTAATAAAGATTTTCCTGGACCATCATATAAATCAGTTAAAAAAATTTCAATAAAAAAGCAACCTAATTGATAACTTACTAAAATTCCAACAAATCCAAGGGCAATTGGTATAAAAAATAATTGCTTGAGAAATCTATAACCATTTACATTATTTTGATGAACATAAGTTGATTTTTCTTCATATTTTTCATTTAATTTAGCTAATTCGGATTTATGTTCTTGAATTAAATGACTATTTTGAACTCCCCATAAATTAACTAAATATTGTTCTTTTCTATGCCAATAATTTATAAAAAAAGTACCCCAAATTAAATTTATAAATGAATAAGTTAAAGAATAAGTTTTTGATTTTTTAAAAAATTGGAAAATTCCTAAAACACTTAAACCAATTAACCAATATATATAATATTTAAAAAATTCAAAATATAAAGCAATTTGAACACCATAAATTTTTTTAATTTGATTTGTTGATAAATCATGATTTGTAAAATTTGATTTTAATTCTTCAATTAAAAAAGTTTCATCAAATGCTGTTGTAATGGGGACAATATCTAAAACATTTTCCCATGGTTTTTCTCTTGGAGTTATACCACAACCACCAATTTTTTCATTAGTTGTTAAATACAGAAATATAATTCTAAATCTTGAACTTAATTGATCATCTTTTGATGTTACACCAAATTCATAATTTTTTATTAAATCTTTTTCTGCTTCTTCAATAAATTTATAAGGAGCTAATCTTATAAAAATTAATAAAATATTTGGTTCTCCTGGTCTTATAGTTGCTGAAAATCCTTTTTCATATAATAATTCAATTAATTTATATAATGATTTATCAGTTGTTGAATTAACTTTTTTAGTTTCTTCATCAATTGGATAATTGAAAGATATATAAAAATCAGGATCTAATTCTTGAAGTGGTAAAGGCATTTTCTGTAGTGGCAATTGACTTATTTGAACAGTTGTATAAATAAAATTGTATAATTAATAGATTTATTGATCAATTAAGTCTTTAATATTACTCAATTGTAGTATTGAAGGGTAATTGAGTAGGGATAAGCCTGTTTCAATCAATTGAGGGTCCAAATTGTAAATTTGTAAATATATAACAAAAATTAAAAACGATTTAAGTTCAATTGTATCAAATATATACGTTTGAATAAAAAGCAATAAGTAAAGGAGAAATTTATATATCTTTAAGAAATGATGATTCTTAATATAATAATAGTTTAGAATTTCAGGTTCCAAAATTTTAACTACAATACTTACAATACGAAAATATGGAGCAAACTTAAAATAATTATTTTATATGATCAGATAAGTTACATCATACGTTTTAGAATGAAGAACAAGCTCTTTATCATACAATCTGATCATTCTTTCATCTAATGTAGGTTCTCTTACTTATTTACATGTTTCAAAACTTCAAGTTAGTTTATCCTCATATTGATAATACTACATATTCGAGATAATCTAGTGCTAAGTTGATAAACTTTGATTGTAGGCAGTTTCAATATTTAGCAATTGTGTAATTCTATATAATAAATTTAGTTACCGAGAAATTGTGTTGAAATATGCACTTGGTAGTCATATTGTAATAATCCAATCTAACTACAGCATGCTATATGCAGTACTGGGATGCGACTTAATAATATATTTGAAGAGTTTTCACTATCTGATTCTGGTGACTAGAAGGCTAACTATTCTACTCATCAAAGGTTCCTCTTAATGTCACAAGAGAAATCACAATCAGATACAACTAAGGTTGACATAAATCAACAGGTTATGAGCCCTGTCAACCTTACAAATGAATCCAATTTTTCTTTTTCCTGAAGACGAAAAACTCACCTCGAGTGTCACTTACGGAATTTGGAAAGATCGATTGATGTTAGTTGCGGAACTGGTTACTGGATTACAAAGCTACATTAAAAAGGGTTTGGCTCTGGCTGCAGGGGAATATACGAGAGATCCAAACTTAGATAACATAGCTTCAAATAACAAAAATATAAATAGCTTCACTATACCACCATTGAAATAGTATATAAAGATACAAAAAATATGTTAGCTGATTTGCTCAATAAACCAATCGAGACAAACCAATTCAAATTTTTGAGGGAGTGCGGTGGATTGGTTCTTCTCGATTGAGGGGAAATGGTGGTATAGTGAAGCTATTTATATTTTTGTTATTTGAAGCTATGGAAATATTAAAGTTCTTTTATTTATATTGAAGCTATGAAGCTATTTATTTATCTTGAAGCTATGAAGCTATTTATCTATATTGAAGCTGTGGATATTTGAAAGCTATTTATTTATATTGAAGCTATTTATATTATATTGAAGCTATTTATATTTGTTGTTAAATACATATATTGTTTATTTATGGAAGCTGTCTTGAGAAGCTATGTCTTGTTGATGATCGATGTACTTTGTAGTTGAGAAGTATTTCTTGAAGATCAATTCACCTGATGTGATATCTTATGTTTATGAAGCTTTTTAATATGGTGTGCTATGAGGTCTGGGGAACGCCTCATTGCATTTGGGACTATCTTTACTGTTTTGGTCACTTCAGGTCGATAGTGATAATATGGACTTGGGTTGTAGTTAGAAGAATTGGATTAAGGGGAAATGTTGAAATATGCACTTGGTAGTCATATTGTAATAATCCAATCTAACTACAGCATGCTATATGCAGTACTGGGATGCGACTTAATAATATATTTGAAGAGTTTTCACTATCTGATTCTGGTGACTAGAAGGCTAACTATTCTACTCATCAAAGGTTCCTCTTAATGTCACAAGAGAAATCACAATCAGATACAACTAAGGTTGACATAAATCAACAAATTGGTTTTGTATTTTGCATCAATAGAAATTTAATACATTGCATTAGATAACATATAACACCATACATACACACTTCATTTCTTTGTATGTTTGTGGGTTGCATCATAGGAAATAGAATGATTGATGGAGATTAGATCGCTTTAAGCTATGAGTCTCAAAATTAGAAATTAGAACTATGTGTGGGTTTCCTTCGAGAGACCAAAAACTAGTCGAATTAATAGGGGGTATTTCTTTGTCGTGAGAACAAACGGCATGAAATTTGGTCTTGAGCGTCTTAGTTTTACTTCTAGTAGGTTATTTTTCAGATGATGTGAATGTGACAGATCAATCCACTCATTCAAAAAACTAAAATGTGAGCTTGTTTCTTTTACCTTATTTAAGGTTGTTGATGAGTAAAGTTATAGTACCACTCTAGTAAGTTGTAATCAATATCCAATTAAAGGATCAGATAGAAGACCTGGACGGAACTGTATTGATTAAGAGTGAAATTATAATACTTTCAAACTTACTAGTGATTGGAACACTACAATCCTATACCTTAGAAAAGGTACTCTTTCTGAAATAAATATTATTGTACATGTATTAAACTCGTTACTTGATTCTATTCATCATTACTATTACCATTACTTATACTTTGTTTACTATTATTTATAGGTGTAAAAGCTCCTGATACAGTATCATAAGCAATAAAAGGAGCTCTAATAGGCCAAGATAATATCTGCCAAAAAGTTTCAAATCCATTTGAAGTAGAAGTACCTAATTTTATATCTTTTGGTAAATTTTGATTTTTATTTAACCATTCTTGAGCAGATTTTCTAAATTCTAAATCTGATTTAGGATTCATTCTATTTTCTTCTGCCCATTTATATTTTAATGGTGATTTGATTGCTACATACAATATTACAACTGATGACATTGTTGCAATTGCTGCTCCACTTAATTTATGACCAGCCATTATGATGATTTATGTTATGTTTTATATGATTGTATGAAAAATGATGAAGAAATTGAATATATAATTAGGTTTAAGTTTTAAAATTGAAAAAGTCTGAATTTTGCAGTGACAGGTGGAAGTTATCGTTGTGAAAAATGTATGTTTGTGTGTATTTTAATGTCTGAATCAAGTTATTATGTATGTTTATCTTGATCTTAACTATAGTTTGGTAATGATTTTCTATTAAGATTTGGTTGGTTGATTAAAACAGAAAAAAAAAAATTAATTACGAGACAGAATTAGGTCTAACTTGCACGACCTGATAATTTTGCAGCCAAAGATGAATCCAAGAGTATAGTATAGTATTGAAGACCAAGAAACGTCACTTGGAGAAGTAGAAAGGGTTTTGTTTACTGGTACAGTCTGATCTATTCCCAATTACACTGTCTAGAGGAGTCGGTGGATAATCTAAACTAAAATGAATCTTTATTTTACCACACTTCTTTATTATACAATACTCTCCTTCAAGAATCCAACACAACTAGGTTTAGCTCTCACATGAACTAGCGAATTCTGATGAATGGTTTATTAGCAAGCAATGGCGGGGTCTCTTATACAGTTTTCTTCAATGAATTGGTTGCAAATAATTTCAATTATGCTACCAGTTCTGACCTTAGTTTTGTACTGTCTAAAAAAATTTTCAAACATGTAGAAATCAAGAGTAGAAAACAAGTGAGATCAAATCTACTTTAATTCAAAAGTAGATCAGAAATATCATGTTCAGATACGTTAAATGTACTCATAATGTTAATCATAACTCAAGTGTACTACTAAGTTCTATACGTTGTCTACATAAATCAACTAGAATAAAGCAATCATCCGCATCAACCACAAATATTGAATCAAACAACAGCAGTATAAAAGATGAAAAATCTTCACGAACTAATCTTTTCAATTCATCTATAAATAACAATAACAACAACAACAATAATAATATATTTATACATAGATTACCTGAATCAACTGCTGAACAATCTCCATTATTAGTATCATTACATTCAAGATTAAATTTAAGTTCAAAATTTAAATTATCGACATTATCACAATGTTTAAATTTATTAAAACCCAATACTAAAGAAAGTGAAGGATTAGCAAATAATTATGGATTAAATATCTTGGGAAAGACATTATTAAGTTATTATGTTTCTGAATATTTATTAATTAATTATCCAAGATTACCAATGACTATACATAATCATTCAATTGATGCATATATGGGAACAAAAACATTATCTGAAATTGGTCGTAGTTGGGGGATTGAAGTTGATTCAATAAGTAAAATTGATAAATTTTTAGGTCAAGAATCTGAATTTATAAAATATGGTAGATTAAGATATTTAAATAATGAAAATAAAGAGGTGAATAAAAATTTTCAAGTTTCTGGAATTGAAGAAATTATTGATCCCGTTACAAAGTTAAATAAAGAAGATATAGCATATGCAAGTGCTGTAAGATCAATAATTGGAGGTATATATACTCATTGTGGAGAAGACGTTGCAAAACAATTTATAAAAGATCACATCTTATCAAGATATATAAATTTTGAAAAAATGTTTGAATTTAATAAACCAATATCGGAATTAATTAGATTATGTGATAAATTACAATTTAAAGAACCTTTAACAATAAGATTAATAGCAGAAACTGGTAGATTATCAGCTCATCCTCAATATTTAGCTGGATGTTTTATTGGTAATGAAAAATTAGGTGAAGGTATTGGATCAAGTTTAAAAGAAGCTCAAATTAGATCAAGTATTAATCTGTTATTAAGTTATTATTTATATTCTCCTATAAATCAGGAAGGTGATAAAATTAAATTACCAAGTGATGAAAATTATAAATTTGAAGGTATTATTGATATTGGTGATGTTGCTATTTAAATGATGAGATACCCTATGATAAGATATAAATTGTACATAGACTTTAATTCATAGATTATTTGACCTACTTAAATACAAATTATTTCAATATACAAGGAATACATTAATGGAAATTTAAAAGATATATTACTACAGAAATTAAAAAATGTTTTCAAATAACCATACAACAACGTTTATTATATTTATATATTATTGAAAAAGCAAATTAAAACTATCAAGTAAACTAAAAAAGAATTTTTAAAACTTAGACTAAGTTTATTTCTTTCTTTAATCAGCACAAGCACCACCAACAACTTCATTAGATTGAGCTAAAGATAATTTATGATAACATCTAACTTGAGCAGGAACATCATCCATATCTTTTAATTTTAAAGTAGCATCTTGTTGTTTCATAACATCTAAAACACATGAATATTTTGTTGATTTGGTGGTATCACAATTTGTTGCATCATCATATCCAATAAATTTAAAACCACATTGAGAAGTTTCCAACTCAAAATCTTTATTAAAACATTGTTTTAAATCTGAATCTTCAATTGTTCTTTTTTCAGCAGTTTCACTCTCTGAAGTGTTATCATTATAAATTGAATTATCATAATCATATTTATATTTACCAGTTTGTTTTATATCATGAGAATGTAAATTTATATGAATAATTTCTCCATTTTTATGAATTGTTGTTAAAACATCATAATGATTTGTTGAATCTTTTTTACCAGATTCTTTTAATTCTTTTAATACAACATCTGTTGGTGGTAAAATTGCATATCCTTCTTTATCATAAATTAATTGGAATGATAATATTGATGATGATAATGTTAAAAATATTGGTAAAATTGTATTTAATGAAACCATTTTTTTGAGAAATAAAGGTGGATATAGAAATGAAGATTGGATTTGATTAAAATGAAAAATGAAGAAAATTTCAATACGTAAAAAGAAGATAGATAGTTGGTTATATATTTAAATTAATTACATCCTATTATATTTTAAATAGACGTATATAAATTAATTGTATTGAATCTATTGTTCTTATACTAATTCATAATTTGATGAAAAAGATAAAAAAATTAAAAAAAGCCCATTAAATGTAAAACGTATTAAAAATTTAACCAATAAGTGAAAAGTTTTAAAATAAATAGAAATAGTTTCATAATAATAAATGAGCTTTTAAGAGAAATTTTTTAAGTGTTCATAACTTTAATTGTTTTTTGATTGAATAAAATATTTTAGTGTTTTAATAGTTTTGAACAATAGATTAATTTGTATCCGACATATTAAAAGTTATAGACTATTGAAATTTAAAAATTTTTCAAAAGTCGGCTTTGTTGAAAATTTTATTTCATTTGTCCACTACCTTCAGTACACTAGATATGATGTACTTCTTGTATTATTCAATCGTATCGTATATCTTGTTACAATTCAACAATTAACTACTCAGGTTATCTTAAATTTGTGGGAAAATAAACTCTACGATTTAGTTTGGTTTTTTCTACTTAGTTGATCCTTCAAAATTAATATTCTTAGACTAATATTCTTGAGCGGTCCCGTTTTAACATATAAATTTTATCAAGGGTTTTCTTTAGTTTCGCTACTTCACAACAATTGCTCAATAACTTATTTAAATAAAGTCTTTAAACAAATTCAGTTATTCAAGTTCAAGAGTCAAGTATATCATGTGATAAGATTAGTCTGATCGATTCTTGAGCCGTATTATGAAATTTTATTGTTCACCCCTTCTTTATTATTTTCATAAAAAAATATAAACTTAAAATTAGTGAACTCCAATTTAATTAGAGCTATTTTTAGACTAATCACTTTACCAACAATCAGAAAAAGATGGGTCAGAACTTGATAATGCTTTTTCTGTTCCGATCTGTTGATAGAAAAACCAGATAGAATATTCAAATTTGACAAAAGATGGAATGTTATAAAGTATTGTTAATAAGTTTTGTGTTGCAGATCGCTTACAAATTTTTTTACTGATCAATCTGATAATATTTATTACACAAAAGAATATGATTTTGATTTACTATATACTGTATGTTTTAATAACCCTTAATTGTGATTTAAATCGATACACAGTATATCTAAGCTAGAACGTTGTTTGTTGTTCGTCCATGAGTATTTCTATATTATAGAAGAAAATAAAAAGTAAAATAAAGTTGCTTTATAGAATATCCATCTAAGTATGCTGATTATCAACGATTATGGATGTTTCGTCGACTTAAAAGTCGTGAGAATCTATTATCATACTCACTGTTCATCTGCTACACAAATTTCAAAATCAACTAGCTAAAGAATTTCAAAAAAAGGTTAATATGATTTTTTCAGGGTTTAGTTTGTATGAGACGATATTTTTGAATGGACGCCATTGGCAAGGATCGAGACTTACATAATGATTTAAAAAGAAAAAAAATGGCGATAAGAAATGCATTGAAAACCAAATCGTACACCCGCTAAGCTCGCTTAAGGCCAATGGGTATGAACAAGACGGAGGTGTCAAAAACTTAGCCAGATTATGCCAAATTCAAACCCTTTGTGGATATCATTCCAACAATCTGATAAGAAAAAAATATCATATTGAGCTTTCACATTAATGTTATTGATATTCCGTAAATTTAAATCCTCTCTAGCACCATTGTTCGATCATTCGGTGCTTAGACTATGACTGATTTGTCTCCATCTACCATGTTTTTGAGTTTATCGGTATAATAAAATTTCAACTTAAATGATTATTCTGTATGTCGGGTACAATACGACTCCATCTTTTCTTGATACCCATGGTCCTTTTGAGAACTTAGCTGGCATACAATTTGGTTTGTTTAAACCTTTCCTTATCGTCATTCGTTTTCGTTTCAAGTATTTACGTAAGTCTCTATTCTTGTGGATAGTATCTAGTTCAAACAATCTGATATAGACTAAACCTTGAGCTTACACATTGGGCTCCTTTTGAAATTATCCAGCAAGTTGATTTTTGAATTCAATTTGTATATAGTATGAACTTTGAGCAAGATAATAATGTTGAAAACTGTTTCAAGTGCCACCGTGTGATGCTAAGTTCGTATTTATATTGTAACACTTTACAGATTCATTAAAATGTTATTAAAGTACTACAATACAAGTACGAACTTTTTATCACTAGGTGGCACTTGAAGTCAAAAAGTATAACCAGATTGTTTAATTTTAAAATTTTGACCAACTTCAATTTTCTCCATCAATAAAGTCGTGCAAATTTAACCAAAAACAATATATATTCTGACATAAATGAACTTTCCGTACTTACAGATGTAATTTAATCATCTTAATCGTCAACTCCATTTGATGAGATAGTTATATTTTGATACAGTGAGCAATGATTATAAACTTTTCAAGTCATACTGAATTGTATTAAAGAGTAATGTAGAGTTGTTTGTGAAGTCTAAAATCGAATAAAATCTGAGAATTTTGCAACATTTTTCGAAACATTTTTTTTTGTCGAACTTTTTATAACACCATAAATTATCGAGGAAATGATTAGATTGAAATGTCAGTGTTACACGCTTTGACACATTACATGAGTACAAGCACTTTAAAGAACAAAAGATGTCTTGAGTTTATAGTGCAAAACCGATTCAAGAGTATTAGGCTTAAAACAAAAGTGATTAATTACGGATTGGGTTATAATACAAGTTCACACCTATTGCAATTTTGTGTTTTCGAAAACATCCGGCTATTTCTCCTCCCTTTTCATTATTGAAGTCATATTTCGAATACTTAATGGTTTGGAGTTTGTTATGTCATAGAATATCACTTTTAAAAAAAATACTACATTTGTATTGAAGTTTAAAATTAATGTCATTAGTTAATCTTTCACCCATAGACAACAAATTGGTCGAGGTTCTTGAATGATTTGATGTTATTCATACTATAGGTGACCGATCGACTAATGACATTTGTTTCGATCAATACAAATGAGTCTACTAACACCTGCTCAAAAGCAATATTGTTCATTCACCTTCGCTCAAACGGATACATTGTGTTATAATATGAAGAAATTGATGAGTCAAAAATTTCGCAATCAAAGTTGTTAATGCTTTGAACAATAGGAAGTTCTTCTTCATTATTTGGAATTTATGATTATGTTTTTAAATTGATGCTTGTATGAGACAATAAAGCTAGAAAGAAATCAATTGTGTCTTTAATTAGTAATAAAGACCATTCCTTAAAACATTTGAGAATTGTTAAATCTATTTTGGCTCTCCTGTCGTTAATTCAAAGTTACATTAGAAAATATATATGAATTTTATCAACACAGGCAAACAGGAAGAAATTCTATAAAATATGGGTATTCAGGAACAAAGAAGTAAGATATCTACGTTTTTCAACAAATTTTCAAAAAAATATTGAATAAGAAAAGATCACTGTTATGATCTAAACCAAAATCAAATAATCATTAAAAAACGGTAATTGGTTAGCTGATGATGTATCTTGAAAAGAATAGATATATCATATTGAAATAACCCAGCAACCTTGCAGAAAAGCCTATAAATGAAAATAAGCAACTTGTTGTTAGTATTAGAATATGAAATATTGATACTCAATAATAATAATAGTATTATTGTCAAAAATTACTTTTTCAATGTTTTCTTCTAATCAACATAGCTTCCTTTCCTTCATTCATCTACTCATCAACAAGGTTACTAAATGATTTTAATATGATATTGAGCTGATCTATGTTACTCATTAACTTCAAAAATTTGTCAACAATTTGCAAAATCTATATTTATTGTCTTTGCATAAAGCGCAGAATAGTCATCGAGTGATTAACTCATCGCAGTTTCAGCTTATAAATTTGTATAAATGGATTTTTATTGTAAATCTTGTAAACTTGTCTAAATGCATTTTTATTGTAACAAGAGTCAGATGTCTTAATAAAATAAAATTAATTTACTTACTATGATTCTCATCTCCATCTTAACGTTCATGTATAAAATTTTTTATATACACTACTGGGATTTTGTAACCATTTGTATTAAAAAAATTTATACAACCAAAACCTATCTAATCTTAAACTTACCCATCTTCAATTCAATAACCTAACTCACTTTCACGAATTTTCAAATAATTCTTTACTAATCCTAAGTAGCCTACACTCATTTAAATTTACAAATTTTCCGCACACAACACAAACTCCTCAAAAAGAATGTCTTTAAATATTTTAGTTATTGGAAATGGAGGTAGAGAACATGCAATAATTTGGAAATTATTACAATCACCAACTGTTAATCATATATATGTAGCACCAGGTAACGGAGGTACTTCAACACAATCCAACAAAGTTACAAATATAAATATAGGTTCTTCATCAAAAGAGTTTCCTCAATTACAAAAATTTGCAATTGAAAATAAAATTAATTTAGTTATTCCAGGACCAGAACAACCATTAGTTGATGGAATAAGTCAAATATTTCATAATATTGGTATACCTGTATTTGGTCCATCACCCCTGGCAGCAAAATTAGAAGGTTCAAAAGCATTTTCAAAAAATTTTATGGAAAAACATAATATACCAACTGCTAAATTTCAAAATTTTAATGATTTTACAAAAGCGAAAAATTATATTGAAAATGAAGTAGATTATAAATTAGTTTTAAAAGCTGATGGAATTGCAGCTGGAAAAGGTGTATTAATTCCAGAAACAAAAGAAGAAGCCCTTAAAGGATTAAATGAAATTATGATTGATAAAAATTTTGGAGATGCAGGTAATGAAATTGTTATTGAAGAATATTTAGAAGGTGATGAATTAAGTATATTAACTATTACTGATGGTTATTCATTTTATAATTTACCTGCTGCTCAAGATCATAAGAGAATTAATGATGGTGATAAAGGTTTAAATACTGGAGGTATGGGTGCATATGCACCAGCTCCTATAGCAACAAAAGACATATTAGATAAAATTAATTCTAAAATTATAAAACCAACTATTGATGGAATGAGAAAAGATGGATTTCCAATGTGTGGTATTTTATTTACTGGTATAATGTTAACTCCAAAGAAGGAACCAAAAGTTTTAGAATATAATGTTAGATTTGGAGATCCAGAAACTCAAACTGTTTTACCATTATTGAGTAAAGATACTGATCTAGCTCAAATCATGTTAGCTGCTGCTGAACATAGATTAGATTCAGTTAAAATTGAAATAGATCCATTTTTTTCAACAACAGTTGTTATGTCTGCTGGAGGATATCCTGAATCTTATAAAAAAGGAGATGAAATAACTATAAAGGAACCATTACCTGAAAATACATATATTTTCCATGCTGGTACTTCTTTAAACGACCAAAATAAAATCGTAACTAATGGTGGTAGAGTTATTGCATCAACTGCTATTGCATCAACATTAAGAGAATCAGTAGATAAAGCATATGAAGGAGTTGAATATGTTAAATTTGATGGGAAATATAATCGTAAAGATATAGCACATAGAGCTTTTAGAGATGCAGATAAATTTTTAAAAGATGGTAATAGTGGTGGAGTTACTTATGCAGAAGCAGGAGTATCAGTTGATAATGGGAATTTATTAGTTGAAACTATAAAATCAAAAGTTAAATCTACTTCAAGACCAGGAGCTGATTCAGATATTGGTGGATTTGGAGGATTATTTGATTTAAAAAAAGCTGGTTATAATACTGATGAAACTTTATTAGTTGCAGCAACAGATGGTGTTGGAACAAAATTAAGAATTGCACAAATTATGAATATTCATAATACTGTTGGAATAGATTTAGTTGCAATGAATGTAAATGATTTAATTGTTCAAGGTGCTGAACCTTTAATGTTTTTAGATTATTTTGCAACTGGGAAATTAAATGTTGAAATTGCTGCATCATTTGTTGAAGGTGTTGCAAATGGTTGTATTGAAGCTGGTTGTGCATTAGTTGGTGGAGAAACTTCAGAAATGCCAGGAATGTATGAAGAAGGTCATTATGATACAAATGGTACAGCTGTTGGAGCAGTAAATAAGAACAAGATATTACCAAAATTAAATGAAATGAAATCAGGTAATAAAATAATTGGTTTAAAATCAAATGGTATTCATTCAAATGGTTTTTCATTAGTTCGTAAAATTATAGAAATAAGTGAATTCGATTATACATCAAAAGCTCCATGGAATACCTCAAAAACAATTGGAGAAGAAGTATTAGTTCCAACAAAGATTTATGTTAAACAATTATTATCAAGTATAAATCAAGATCTCCTTTTGGGATTAGCTCATATAACAGGAGGAGGATTAATTGAAAATATTCCAAGAGCATTACCAAAAAATTTACAAGCTAAAATAAATGCACAAAATTGGGAAATACCAGAAATTTTTAAATGGTTTGGTAAGCAGGGAAAAGTTCCTTATAGTGATATTTTAAAAACTTTTAATTTAGGTATTGGAATGATTTTAATAGTTGAAAAAGACAAAGTTAATAAAGTTTTAGAAAATTTAAAAAATTCTGGAGAAAAAGATGCTGTTATTATTGGTGAATTAATTGATTTACCAGAAGGAGAAAAAGAAAGATGTATAGTTGAAAATATAGATGGTATATATTAAGAGAAATAATGTTAAAGTATAATATATGAAGTTTTTGAGATGATTATATTTTATATTTCCGTATAGAAAGAAATTTTACCGCGCTTAATGTTAGCCCTTCTATCGTAAATTTCTCTCGTACTATTTTTAAAATTATTCTAGAAAACGAATACGTTCTATACTTTAAAGATACTAAACTTTATTCTCTCTATCTCTCTCTGTTCCTTAGATGGAAAAACTGTGGAGTCAATCTTAAATCGACTGAAAAATTTCAACAAAACTTTAAGTAAAAAAAACGAACAGGTTATTTGAAAACTCTAAAATGTTCTTCTTCTTCTCATACGAGTCAGTCTTTAATGCAAATTTAAACTTGGAATTCCTTTTACATACATAGTCTACTTTATAAGCTTTAGTAGATTAACATACGATTTTGTGATCAATTTTGATTAGTAATTATTGATCTTGAGTCGAAAAAAAAAAAATAAAAAAATCATCGCAAGTTTAACTTTAAGTTGGAATAGGTTTGAAAAGTAGTATTAGTAGTAGTAGTAAAAGTAGGAGAAAAAGAGCGAACAAAGTAAAGAAGGATTCTCGTAGCTAGATTTTGTTGATAAGGTAGATTGTATCCATCTTGTTTGAGTGAAACATTGGTTCAATTTATAAATAAAATTGCTTATTGTTTTAAAATCATATCGGATAAGTTTTAAATTTTTTTTATTTTTAAATTTCTATTGATAAATTTTTTTTTTTGTTTTGCAATATTCTATTGATAAAAATACTTTCAATTTACAATCAAATAACAACTACTACGATTACAGCAGCAGTCGAGTTAACTTACTACGAAAGGAATTAGCACATCCCTACAATCAACTAATTAACTCGTGCCATTACTCAAATTCAAAAGTGTGGTTAAAGAACCAATACTTAACTGTTTTACTTATATTTCAGGATATTTGCTACATTCTCAAAACTTACAGACTTAAAGACTTTTCAATTCATTTTACAACCATAACTCATTCATAGCATAGTATAAATTATCATCTTTACTTCAATTCATTTTACAACCATAACTCATTCATAGCATAGTATAAATTATCATCTTTACTTCAATTCATTTTACAACCATAACTCATTCATAGCATAGTATAAATTATCATCTTTACTTCAATTCATTTTACAACCATAACTCATTCATAGCATAGTATAAATTATCATCTTTACTTCAATTCATTTTACAACCATAACTCATTCATAGCATAGTATAAATTATCATCTTTACTTCAATTCTTTAATAATAGACTTTTCATTTCATAAACACGCAAATTATTTATTTATTTTTCATTCTTAAATGGGTTTGCTATCATTAGGTACACCTTTAGATTGGCATGAATCAAAAAAATATAATGAACATGTTAGAGAAAATGGTACAATACAATTAATAAATATTTTTAATCAACATTTTAATAGAAATAATGATAAATTTTTATGGGGTGATGAAGTTGAATATATGTTAATAGATTTAAATGAAACAAACCACACAGCAAAATTATCAATTGATAAAGATTATATATTAAATGATTTAAATGATGAATCAAAATTATTAAAAACCACTATTAATAATAATATTTCATTTCATCCTGAATATGGTAGATTTATGTTAGAAGGTACTCCTTTAAAACCTTATGATGGTTCAAATTTAAAAGATTATATATATGTTGAAGAAAATATGATAAAAAGAAGAAAAATTAGTGAAATAAATTTACCTTTAAATATAAAACCATTAACTTTAACAAGTTATCCAAGAATGGGATGTAATAATTTTACTTCTCCTCCAGCAAAACCTATTGGACCAGCATCACAATCATTATTTTTACCTGATGAAATTATAAATCGTCATGCAAGATTTCCAACATTAACTGCAAATATAAGAAAAAGAAAAGGTCATAAAGTTTCAATAAATTTACCTATATATCCTGATATAAATACAAAATTATTAGATGATTCAATACCAACCAATAGACAATTATTTAAAAGTGATAAAGAACCAGAATTAGGTGCTTCAAAACCAGGATATGTGTATATGGATTCAATGGGATTTGGAATGGGTTCAAGTTGTTTACAAATTACAATGCAATGTTCAAATATAAACGAAGCAAGATATTTATATGATTCATTAATTCCAATAGCTCCAATAATGTTAAGTTTAAGTGCTGCAGCTCCCATATTTAAAGGTTTTTTGGTAAATCAAGATGTTAGATGGAATGTAATATGTGGAGCAGTTGATGATCGTACATTTATTGAAAAAAATGAAGAACCTTATGAAAATTATAATTTATTTGGAGGTTTAAATATTGATACCACTAAAAAAAGGGATTCACAATATAATAATCATAGTATAAATAAAAATGGTGAATTTCAAAATCTTTTTACAAAAGATGGTAAACCAATACAAAAAATCCCTAAATCAAGATATGATTCAGTTGATAATTATTTAAATGATTTTAAATATGATACAAATTATTTTAAAGATGAATATAATGATTTAAATTCTCCAATAAATGACAAAGTTTATAATACTTTAATTAATGATAAACTGCAAAATTTTGATAAATATTTAGCAAATCATTTTGCTCATTTATTTATAAGAGATCCATTAGTTATATTTAATGAAAGAATAAATCAAGATAATTCCAAAAGTAATGATCATTTTGAAAATATTCAAAGTACAAATTGGCAAACTTTAAGATTTAAACCTCCTGCATTATATGAACAAAAAGATAATGGAATAATAGATTATTCAAATAGACCAGGATGGAGAGTTGAATTTAGACCAATGGAAATTCAAATTACAGATTTTGAAAATTCTGCATATTCAAATTTTATAATATTATTATCAAAAGCAATATTAAAATTTAAACCAAATTTTTATATTCAATTACTGAAAATTGAGAAAAATATGCAAACAGCTCATAAAGTAAATTCAACCACCACAAAAAAATTTTGGTTTAAATCTTTTGAATTATGGAATTTAGATTACAAAGAATTTATTGGTTATGATTTTTCATGGTTTGATAGATATATTTTTGAAGGTAATGATTGTTTAAATAATAATAATGTTTATTTAAAAGGTTATAGATCATCTTCTTCAAGTTCAAGTTTAGCTGGATTAAATAACAACAGTAATTCAAATTCTACAACAACTACGTCATCATCATCAACATCACCACCAAATGGTAAATTGAATGGAAGTATAAATAATGGAACTTCATTAAAATCTAATAGCTCATCAGAAAATGAACCAAGTAATGAATCACATAATACCCCAACAAACAATGGTTCTAATGGCAAACCAATTGAAGAAATAAATGATATAGATGATAATGGAAATGATCAAAGATACACAATAAATGAAATAATAAATGGTAATTTAAAATTTCCAGGTTTTATAAAAATTATAATAAAATTAATCGCTTTGGAGTTAGTACCTCAAAATTGTGCACATTGTCCCAACAACGAAATAGCGATACAATTAATAAGAATTAAAAATTATTTATTATTTGTATCCAAGAGAGCATCAGGAGAAATCCCAACTACTGCAAATTGGATAAGAAATTCAATCTTGAATGATCCTAATTACAAAAAAGATTCAAAAGTTAATGAAATTTTAAATTTTAATTTAATTGAAAAAATTAATAAATTAACTCAATTTAATGATCCTTCTTTAGTATTGGATTTTTTTGGTAATGAAATTGGTGAATATTTATTAAATAATGAACTTAATCCTGAGATTAAATAATACAAAAGTTTGATAATAGTTTGTTAAAAGTATTGTTAAAAAAATAATTGCATCAACTAAGGTCTGAGATTTAACAGTTTATTATTCTAATCTGGACTATTTTGTACTTGGTATCATAGAGTAAAAATAAATTTAGGTCAATTTATCTCATGATTTACTTTCGCAAACTGGAAGAACCATATAAATAGATATAGAGTAAGCATTAATAATATGTAGGTTGAAAATTGTATTTTTGGCAATTTGACAGAATTACAAAAATGTAAAACTATACCAATGAATACTTGAAATACTCTACAAATAACTACAGAACTTTTAAATAGATGCTAGATCAGGATTGTTAGTATTCAAAAGGTCCCAATACAAATCTGTATTTCTTCTTCCTACTTATTTTTTGAGTTGCATTGTTCAATTTAATTGCATCTTCCTATGTCCAGTAAAGCTGCGAAAAATTGGCCTTCAGATGAAGATCGAGGAGGAATTTAAATAATTAAGTCAAGCCGTCGGTAAAGCTGTAAAAAGTTAGCCTTCAGATGAAGCTCTAGGAGGAATTCGTACCATCTGAAGGCCAACTTATTCCGCTTTACTGACAGATTGACTCAATTATTTTTCTTTCTCAGTTATTTGCGATCTATTCTGGCAATTATGTCCTCTAGTAAACTGAATTCATGCTTCAGAGTTTTATAATTTTGACTTAAATTCCTATAAAGCAACCTTGACTTCATTGCCCTTAGCTTGGGTCAACAATCGAAGAATTTCTGATTGCTTCTTTGGTGAAATTGTAAACAAGGTCATCCTCATCTAATGATGCTATTTCTGTAGTCACCAATTCCAATTGTTATGGCAAGCCACTGAAACATCTTCATCGTCAAGGTGTCGCACTTGTAACTCACATGTTTTGACCTTTAGCTCGATCCCACTTTCATCAAAATTGAAAATTCGATCGTCCAATCTACGAAATAATCTCCAGCATACCTATTGAACCATGTGACAAGGAAGGCCTCTATCCTATAACTTTAGGTGGTCTTAAAATGATTTTGGGGTTGCGTTTCAAAAAAAGATGTCACCCGTTTTCTATTACTTGTAAACAATAAATATCGTCATAATACGTCATAATGAATTTTAATTTATTAGCAAAGGCGGTTAAAAGTAGTTCTTGCTACCACTTGAGCAATTTAATTACATACAAGTAAAGACGTGACTTTCGGAATGTTAATTATATGCAGTACTCAGTACGGGTAGTACGAGCCAGGCATTACTCTCGTACAAAGCAGCCATCTGGTTTACGTCGAATGACTCAAATATTGTACCAACTGCAGTGGGAAGAGAAAACTTTTTTTTTTGTATCATTCTCCACTAATTTAAATTTTTTTTCTGTTTAAACAAATTTCATATTTACAACAACAACAGAGATATTAATAATAGTAATTTCCTTATACATTTTTACAACCAATATATACATCGTCAAGATTCACACGTTTAAACATACAACTCATAGAGATAATTAGACAATTAGATTGAGCAACAACCAGATCTTGGGCATCTAAAAACTTTGAGTCAAATTATTACACATCACATTCTTTTTTGTTATACTATCGTTAATATCTCAAGACATACTCATAACTATTTAAAGAAACCGTATCAAACTACAATTACTCATAAGTAACAGTCGTTAGGATGGGATTACTCGATAACTTTAAAGCATTTGTTCATTCAATTACAACAGATGATCATTATGCATCATATGATTCACCATATAAAACAAAAAATAATGATGAATTAAATGATAATCAATCAAATAATCCTTATGGAAATGAATCAAGTTTAAATTTAAATACAGATTTAAATGCATCAACTCATTCTTTAAATAATAATTCAACAACATCATTTTATAGACCAGGAATGAAATCTTCACAAAGTAAAATTAATATAATAACAAATCAACAAGATGTTCCATTACAAAATTTCGATTCAAATGGTTTACCACCATTACCATCAATTGATTCATTATGGGATAGAATTGAAACATGGATAGAAGAAGAATATCCAGAATTAGAAGATAATTTAAATGATGGAGTTACAACAGCCGATTTAAATGAATTTTTACAAGATTTAAAATGTGGTTCAAATAAATTACCAAATGAGTTTAGACAATTTTATAAAAGACATGATGGACAATTAAGAGGTGGAAAACCAACTGGTTTAATTATGGGATTAGTATTGTTGGATTTAGAATCTATAATTGAAGAAAATATTTTATGGAATAAAGTTGCAGAAAGAATTGAAAAACAATATTATATGATGCAACATCAACAACAACAGAGAAATTCATCAGATTTGGATTCTAAAGAAGGAAATAGTAGTAGTAGTCATACCCACAAATCACAACATAAAAATAATTCATTCATAACGAATCAAAGATCAATTCCTCCAAATTCAATACAACCATATTATTATCATAAAAGTTGGATTATATTATTAAAAGATAATATAGGAAATCAAATAGCAATGGATTTAAGTCCTGGTCCAAATGGTAAATGGGGACAGATTATATTATTTGGTAGAGATTTTGATACAAAATTAGTTATTTCAAATTCTTTACAAGAATTTATATTTGAATTTGTAACTGATTTAGAACAAGGTAAATATATGATTGATTCAAGTGAATTTCAAGAACAATTAGGTTATTTATCTCATGATAGAGATGGTGATTATATAATTGGAGATGAAGATGAAAATCAAGGAGAATTAAATTTTTTTGATAAAGATGGTAAAGAATTTGGATTAGGAAATTTAAAAGGAAGAATTAATTATATTGAAATTTTAAAAAGAAGAGCATTAAAAAAATATGGATTAAATGATAATTTTCAAACTATTTATCAATCTCCGAAATTTAATAATAATTCAAATAATATCAAGAAGCAACAACAACAACAAATTTCATCATCAAATTTAAATTCTACAAGAAATAGTCCTTATCAATCAAAAAACAATTCTTCAATTAATTTATCAAATTCAAGTTTAAATAATAATAATCATAACAAAAAAGTAAATGGATCAAGTCCTTTAATTAATGTTGATAATAATTCAAATTTTTCAATACCGAAAGAAACTATAATTAATAAAAATAATAAAGAGAAAAGTGAATCTAAAGAGAAAACACAACCAGAAGAGAAAATTGAACACACAGAGAAAACTGAACCAAAATCTGTTATTGTTGTAAATGAAGAGGAAAAGAAAACTTCGGGCTCTGATGATAAGGATAAAGGATTAAATGAATTAACTGAAGATTTAGAAGATATGAAAGTTGATGAACCTGAATTAAAAAATGAAACTAAAGACAAAGTAATAGAGGAGGAGGATAAAGCAAAAGAAACAAATATCAAATTAGACGATGAGGAAGAAGTAGAAGAAAAACAACAGGAAGAAGAAGAAGAAGAAGAAGAAGAAACAGGATTAGAAGATGAACAAAACAATAAAGAAGAGGATTCAACATCTGATACCAAACCTTTATCAAAATCTCAAAAGAAAAATCAAAAAAAGAAAGCTAAAAAGCAACAACAACAACAACAACAAAGCTAGTTGGACTAAATTGAGTAGTTAACTCACAAAGAGGATGAAGAATCACAAAATTTTTGGTAAGATAATAGATGAACGGCCTTTTACTTTTTGTTCCATGTGTAATAATGTATTCATTTAAAATTTTTATTTATTGATATTTTTTTTGCATAGATTGAATTTTATAAAATTTATAAAAAATAAACAATTCAATTAATCTTAATAACTTGTATTATAAGGTCTAAAATTAATCTCTTTTATATGACTTTACTAAGTCCTAACTCATCATCAACTCATCATCCTTAATGTATGTTGTATTATCATAACCGTTTTTTGTAAATCTTTACACTACAGTAGTAATAAAAAATTAATAATCTAAAAAAATAATAATAAGGACCAAATTAATAAACTTAATTTAATTTATCATAAAAAGTTTAGTTTCAATACAACATTAATTAATAGTTAAAAGTATTCAAATACAACTTAACTTTAATTAAGAACTGACTCTGGTTCATCTAGATTATTATAGATTATACTATCATTTTCATCACATTAGATTTTTATCATACAAGTTTTAAATTTTTCAAAGTGTACACCAACCATACACAATCTTTATTGGTTGCATTTTAAAATCTTAGTACTAAATTTACATTAAATTCATCAGCTAACCAAAATAAAACATACCCCACAATTAGGTCCAATAGATAGATCATCAATTTTAACCCATATATCAAATCCACATATCATATCATATCATAATGAATAATAAAGAAATTAGAATAGGTGCTCTATTAGTATTAGATACTATATTCTTTTTATTAGAAGCAATAATTGGTTATTCAGTTCAATCATTAGCTTTAATAGCAGATTCTTTTCATATGTTAAATGATATAATTTCATTAATTATTGCATTATGGGCAGTTAGAGTTAAAAATTTAAAACCAGCAGATGCAAAATATACTTATGGATGGCAAAGAGCTGAAATTTTAGGTGCTTTAATTAATGCTGTTTTTTTAATAGCTTTATGTTTTACTATAATAATGGATGCTATACAAAGATTTTTCCTGCCTACTGAAATCTCAAATCCAAAATTAATTTTAGTTGTTGGTATTGCAGGATTATTAAGTAATGGAATTGGATTAGTTTTATTTCATGAACATGGACATTCTCATCTGCATGGTGGAAGTAGTAGTGTTGGAGGACAATCACATTCTCATGCTACTATTGATGAAGCAAATATTGGAATTGATGATAATGAAGAAACTCCATTGATAAAAAATGGTAACAATCAAAATATTCATAACACTTTAAGATCTAGTCCTTCTGAAGTATTTGATTATTTTCCAGATAATGTAGTTGAAAGATATAATTCAGCATCAATAAGTGTAAATAATGAATCAAATCATTCACATTCTCATGATATAAAAACTACTAATCAACACACAAAACAAGACAACACTAAAAAAAGAAAATCTATGAATATGGAAGGTGTATTTTTACATGTATTAGGTGATGCATTAGGTAATGTAGGAGTTATAATAACAGCATTAATAATATGGAAAACTAATTATTGGTGGAAATTTTATTCAGATCCAATAACATCATTAGTTATAACATTAATTATTTTCAATTCAGCATTACCATTATGTATAAAATCTTCAAAAATTTTATTACAAGCAACACCACCATATATAAATTCAGATGAAATTGTTAAAGAAATTAAAGATTTACCATTAGTTAAAAATATTCATGATTTTCATGTTTGGAATTTAAATGAAGATATATTAATTGCTTCATTACATATTGAATTAACAGCAAATTGTGAAATTAATTTACCAAATAATAATACTACCAACACTACCAAAGATAGTAATAATAATCAATCAATAAATAATCAAAATGATTCACAAGAAAGTATAGATTCTTCAAATGATGAAACAACTATGCAAATAGATAGAAAATTATTTTTAATAGTTGTATCACAAGTAAGAGATATATTACATAAATTTGGAGTTCATTCAGTTACAATACAACCTGAATTTCCAAGTACTAAAAAATCAAATAATCAATCAAATAAAAAGAATAAAAAAGATAAACATACCAACAATAATAGTAACGATGAATCAAATACTTTTGGTAATACTTCTAAATCCATATGTTTAGTTGATGGATATACTAATTGTGATACAGAAAGCTGTCATTAAGACTAGCCTTGATAAGAAAGTATAAAAATAATATAACCAAATAGAAAATTAAAAAAAAAGAGTAAGTTTCAATTCAAGTAGATAGAGATAAAAATTTTTCATGAAATGTCATTTAATTCATTAATTATGTTTTTTTTTTCCCAGTGTATTATTTTTGATCACTTAATCAACTATGTAGTCTTCTCTTTTTTAAAGAATCAGAATTATTCCCACTATTAATTTTATAATCATCATTTTCATCAATTTTATTACTATCCCTTTTTAAATTTAATTTTTTTGGTAAAAATTCAGGTTTTGTTGGTTTCGGACTTTCAGTAAAATAATCATGTAATAAAGCTTGAGTAGAATTACATCTTCTACTTGGATCTAATTGAGTTAATAAAATTAAGAAATCTATTGCTTTTTCTGTAGCTGCACTAAATCTTGATCTAATTTCTTGTCTTGATGGTGGTGGATATATATGTAAAGAATTATATAATGGTAAACTTGAAACATTTGGCCAAATTTGTTCTGTTGGAGTACCATAAGCTCTAAATGTTACATCTAATTGATCAATATCATCTTTTCCTGGTAAATAGGGAATTCTTAACATTAATTCAGCAAATATTATACCAATTGACCAAATATCTATTGATTCAGTATAATGTTTTGCACCAAATAATAATTCTGGAGCTCTATACCATCTTGTTACAACATTCGAACTTAATTCTTCATTGGGGTTACCTAAACTTCTTGCTAAACCAAAATCTGCAATTTTTAAAACTCCTTGGGGTGAAATTAATAAATTATTTGGTTTTAAATCTCTATGTAATATAAAATTTCTATGACAATGATGAATACCTCTTAAAGTCATTAATATCCAAGATTTTATATCTGAACTTTTAAAAACAATAGATTTATCTTTAATTAAAACTTCTAAATCAGTTGGTAAAAATTCTAATACTAAATTAAGGTTATTATTTGATGATGCAAAAACATCAATTAATTCAATAATATTTTGATGTTTTAATTCTTGTAAATATTTAACTTCTCTTATTGCTGACATATCTAATCCATCTTTAAATAATCCTGTTTTAATTTCTTTTATTGCTATTGATCTTTTTGTTTGAATTTGTTTACCTAAATATACTACAGCATATGTACCTTCACCAACTTTTCTTTCTTTTGTATAATTTTTATTCAAAGTTGATGTTATAGTAGGATTTGGTTCATATTTTGGTGGATCAGGTTTATTTTGAACTTCAGCAGTTGACATCTAGAATGTGATTTAGGAGTGATTTAAATTTTGAGACCTTTTGGTGCATAAAAGACGTTACTTAAATATATCTATTGCAACAAAATTATGCTACCATTTTTTTGATCAGATTTGATAGACTTGATTAATGTGAACTTCTAGCCAAGTTACATCCTGTTAAAATAGGAATTTTATCATATGCTATTCTACATAGAACATTTCATCTGTACTCTTAGACTATAACAACTCAACAGATAAATTTTTCGTCTATTGGGTTAACTTATTCGATGTAGTAAAATATATCTAATTTTATTGCCATTACGATACGAAACAGATTCATATGATATACCAAATCTTTCAAAAAATCAAAGAAATTGGACAGTTTAGCATAGAACTAAGCAAGAAAGCATGATTTATTCGGTAGTCTACCTTTGAATTTTCCAAATTAATTATATTGAAAGGTTCAACCGTGAAATTGTCGGTTTTAAGCAAACTATTCCTCGTGCTCGAAAAAATTGGAATCAGAATTGTCCCAGAGGTGAAGGAGAAAGACTACAGAATACATGTTTTTTAAAATCATTTTATACTTTAAACCAATTTACAATTCAAATTACTTAATTAATTTTGAATGTTATTTGTATGATACGCTCTACTTTTTAATTAAGTTTTTGACTTATATTTCGTACTTCGTAATAAATAAACGTTAAACTAAAGAGGAAATACCGAACTTATAAAACTCAGCTATTTTAATGGTTGCAACTTTATAACACTTTTAAATAGCCTAATCAAACCACAAACTGGTCAATAAAAAGTATTTCGATTGAGGATTTAGGTAATAAGTTCGAAGAATAATTTTGTATTAGATAATTGATAAAATTTTGTACCTAAATATGTCGAATTGTTACAAAATGAAAAAACCTAGCTACATACAAAATCGAAGTGAATCTATGATACAGAATTAAAGTTACGAGTAAGAAACCTATTTTTGTTTATTTTTGAGATATCAAAACGCTTATTCATGACGTTATAAAGTTCTCACATCATGTTTAGAAATTACTAGTAATTGATTAGTAACCAGAAATACTTCACCAGACAATTTATAACCACCAGACAATTTATAACTGCAAAAGAAAATTTTCTGATCAAAGGTTTATTTTTATATCCCCTGTTTTTCGGTTTGTTTATCAGTGTGGAGATTGTACAATTGGGAAATGGGCAAATATTTCAACATGAATTGCTTAATTACCTTGGCATAGAAAAGTTTTTAGAACTCATATATTTCAAAATTGACTACCCTTTTCAATTATAGATTGCAATTTGTAACCAAATATTATCAATTATACTTCGCAAGTTTAACCATTTTTACTGATTATAGGATTCAATAGATTGACTATAGCCACATATTTTGAAATATTTAGAGCTACCAAATTTAATCCAATTTTTCACAATCCAGAAATCAAAAATAAATCTTTTTTTTCGATTAAAACAACCACACTTTCATTTCCTATTATTATTCATTAAATCCTATTAGATTACTCACATTATTAATGAATTTAATACATAATGACTAAAAAGATAAGAAAATAAACTTTTTTGTTAAATCTTAACTCCTTATGCAAGATAATGACAAATCAACTATTCAGTGGAAAGTGTAGCTACTGATCGGTTCAGAATTATTGTCAACCGTGAATTTATCATTTTAAAACACACCAACAGTTGGTGAAAGTTAGAAGTATTCAGGGTCCATTGTATAATACAAACGATATCTCAATTTACACACCTGATATGTTGATAAGTTGTTGGTGGGCCATTTGAATTGATTCAGCAAACGTATGTAAATAATCATAGCAGATCAAATCAATTCTAAACAAAGTGATTTGGCAACTATTCATAACATGCATAGACGACTTGATCAATTGAGGGTGAGCATATGTTAGTTCGGTTCGCTCAAATCTTGTGCCACAACGACTTACCACAACCTGAAACTTTTTTCATCCCGAACCGTATCACAAAAACGTAATATGAAACAACAAAGACAATGCACAAAAAATTAATTAATATCACATAAATTAAATTTTCAAATTATTTAAACAATAAGATATCTTCTAGATCTTCAAATAGAATCTCAATTACTAGCAATTGTTGTATCAAATTTTTGTAAATATTTATCGAAATAATATTGCAGGCAATATACAGAAAAAGATAAATCATACGATGTCTGAAGTTTCAACAGTTCATTTATTAGATCAAGGTGCCGGTTATGGGATCTTAGTAGGAGTTGGTTTTGCATTTGCAGCAGGAATGATATTAGTTACATATTTATTAAAAAGATATTTAAAAGAAGATAATAATTCTACTGAAAGTTTTTCAGTTGCGAATAGATCTGTTGGTACATTTTTAACAGCTTCTGCTGTTTATAGGTATGTTTTTGGAATCTTTTAACCCTTTAATATTTATGTTCTTATACTAACATCAATTAGTTCATGGAGGTATGTTTAATTTTTTTTTTTTTCAACGTTTAATCAATTGTTCACCAATTGTTCATCAAGAAGGGTTTTAATACTAACAATTCCATTATAGTTGGGCTACTGAGTTATTATGGTGTAGTACAATGGTTTATTCTTATGGTATACAAGCATCCTATTTTTATGCTGCAGGTCTTGCTGTACAAATTGCAGTAATGTCAATGATTGGTGCAAATTCTAAAAAGAAAGTTCCTCAAGCTCATACAGCTTTTGAAATTATTGAGTTAAGATATGGTAATGCAACTCATATTTTATATGTATTTTTGGGTTTAACAAATAATTTATTATCATGTTCAAGTATGATTTTAGGAGCTTCTGGAGCTATATCTATAATTGCTGGTAATTTACATATAGTTGCTTCAACCATTTTAACAATTTTTTCAGTTTTATGTTATTCAATGTATGGAGGATTAAAAGCAACATTTTTAACAGATTTTGTTCATACATTAATTTTATTAATTATTTTATGTTATTTAAATACTGCTGTTTTAACAAATATTGGAGGATTAGATGCATTATATGATGGATTATATAATTTTACTGGAACAAAAGAAATTCCTGGTAATTATGATAATAGTGTTTTAACAGGAAAATCACAAGGTGCTATAATTTTTGGATTAATTTTAACTTTTGGTAATTTTGGTTTATCAGTTATGGATAGTTCATTTTGGCAAAAAACCTTTTCAGCAACTCCAAGAGCTACAGTTCCTGCTTATTTAACCGCAGCTGTATTAATTGTTTCAAATGTTTGGCCTTTAGGTGCTATTCTTGGTGGTTCAGCTATCATATTGGAAAGAACTCCTCAATTTCCAACTTATCCAAGATTAATGACTCAATATGAAGTTGATTCAGGTTTTGCTTTACCATATGCTTTGATGGCTACTTTGGGAAAGGGAGCAGTTGGTGCATTATTATTAATCATATATTTAGCTGTTACTTCAACTGTTAGTGCTCAAATGGTATCAGTTTCATCGATTTTATCTTTTGATATCTACAAGAAATATATTAATCCAAAAGCTGGAAATAAATCAATGATTAGAGTTTCTCATTTAGGTTGTATTATTTTCACATTTGGTGCAGCTGGTTTTTCAATTATGTTACATTATGTTGGTGTTAATATGACTTGGTATGGATATTTTTATCCTTTAATTATTTGTACAGGTGTTATTCCATTAATTTTATCAATTACTTGGAGTGGTCAAACTGTTTATGCTGCATTTATTTCACCAATTTTAGGTATAATATTTGGTTTTACAGTTTGGACTACAACAGCTTACAAATTTTATGGTGCTGTAAACATTACAACTTTAGGTGGTCAATTACCAGCATTATATGGTGCATTAATTTCATTATTTTTACCAGGTGTTGCAAGTTTAATTATTTCATTTGCTTTTCCAAAGAAATTTGATTGGGCTGTATTACAAAAAGCTCATTTATTAATTAAACCAGATAACGAAACAAATTCAACTTCAACTGCATCTTCAGATGATTCAATAGAAGAATCAAGTCAAGAAAAACAAATCAATGAAGAGAAAAATGAAGATGTTGATGTTAATGTTGATTCTGATCAATCTTCTAGTTCATTAGAAGCTCAAGAAGTATTTGATAAAAAGGATCAATTAACTCCGAAACAATTAGATTTTTGGATTAAGGTTTCAACTGGTGCTTCTATTTTCATATTATTAATTATGTGGGTATTATGGCCATTACCATTATATCGAGATTGGATTTTTACAAGAGCTTATTTTAAAGGGTATGTTACTGTTGGTTTAATATGGTTATATGTTACGTTATTAATTATTGGAATTGCACCATTAATTTCAGGTAGAAAAACTATTGCTTTTATTGTTAGAAGTACTTATAATGAATTTATTAGAAGAAAGAAATGAGTAGAGAGTGATTTAAATAGAGGATAGAATTTTTAGTTCATTATTTATATTTAATTTAATTAATTTAATATTTAATCACGTATTTATGAATTGTATCGTCTAATGGAGTGTTGATGATGTTACAAACGTATACCACGAGTGTTAGTTGCAAATTTAAATGTACTACCACTATCAATTTTCCTTGGAAGTATAAAATTTGAAGAACTAAACTAAGACTTGCTCTGTATTCGACCTATTGTCGTATAAAAATTTTAGACGATTTGGTCGATTCATTTACCGCGATTAAAACGTATAGCAAGTCTATCATTTTGTGTAATAAATTAAGAATAATAATCGACACTATAAATCAATTTAAAATAATAAAATTAAATTAACTTAAGCACAATATTAAAATTAAAATAACTTAAAAATACAAGTAAGGAGAATGTTTTAAAATATGAACAAGATTTATTCTGGGGTGGCAATCTCATAGAGATTTAATAAATAAAAAGGTACAATCAGGCACTGATTTTTAACAAAAGTTCAAATTTGACAATAAAAGATCACTACATTGCAAAATAACTCAACAACTTCAAAATTTCAATACTCAATTTTAAATATCTTCCCGCCATTGAATAAAATTCAATTAAACATGTTTTCACAAAGTGGTACATCAACGCCAGTCCCAACTTCTTCATCATCACAAAATANATTGCAAAATAACTCAACAACTTCAAAATTTCAATACTCAATTTTAAATATCTTCCCGCCATTGAATAAAATTCAATTAAACATATTTTCACAAAGTGGTACATCAACGCCAGTCCCAACTTCTTCATCATCACAAAATAAAAATGTTATTCCAATTCATGATCAAATAAATGATTCAATAACTTGGGTATATGATTGGTATTCACCAAATTTCAATAATAATTCATTTGATAATACAAAGAATAATGGATATAATATAGATATAAATAATGGAGGAGAATCAACACAATCTGATAACTTACAAAATTTTAATTCATTAAAATTAAAAGGTTGGTTTAAAACAAATTATAATCATAAATTAAATACTTTTAAACAAAATAATAATAATTCTTTTATTGATTTAAATTTAAATAAATGGAAATATTTAAAAGATAATTCAATAACTCCTCCATTAGAAGAAGAAGATGTTACTTTGAAAGATCAAAGTTCAGCACCAGCTACTGGTGTTGATGGAGTTGAACAAACTGAAGAATTGAAATTGAAAAGTGACATACCAGAAGCAAATAAACAATTTGAATCTGCTATATGAATCAGGAAATGTGGAAAGGATTTAAAATTTAAAGCTACAATGTTTTGTATCTGATATACGAACATTTGCCCAAGTATGTGGAAAAGAATTGAAAAGTTAAAACTACAGTAAGTATATATCATCATTAGTTGTATTTATCATGAGTTTTCATTTTCTGTTTTAACATTCATAAACAATAAAGATTCTCTAGCAAGACTAGTAGCATTATATAATTCATCAGCTTTATCTTGATCCCATATTTCTTCTTTTGATAATTTTTCCAAATCTAATTTATCATTTCTTTCTAAATATTGAAACTTGTTTTTAATTTTTTGCAAATTATTCATTCGAGTTGGATCTTTCAGTTGAGAAAAAACTAAAAATAAAGTATTTGTTGGTAATCGTTCATATATATTAGCGAGTTTTGAATTTATTCTTTTTTTGGATTCATTTATATCATAATCTAATTCTCCATTGTAATTTTTTGAAGGTATTGACCATTTTAAATTATATTCTAAATCTTTTAATTGAATTACTAAAAACTCAGGAATTTTTAATAAACATTCATTATAATATTGTATTAATTTTTCATCATCATTTACATCATATTTTATGACATAATCCGATGTCGTACAGGATTCTAAAGTTTTATCATGAGCTAGGATGATGGACTGAAACGTATTTTGAAGGAAATAATCTTGATTGTGAAGAATATTTTTCGTTTTATGAAGTTTTTCAAATATTGACATTTCATTTAAATTTGTACCAAAACGTTTACCTTCTATAATTTTCAATTTTACTAAATCTAAACAAGTGATTGAATCTTCAATTGATGAATGACCTTTTCCATTATCTTCACCTAATTGAATGTCTCTTGCTAAGAAATTACTAGCTAACCATCTTAATGAAGGTTTTGATGGTGGTCCTCTATTATGTTCATAAATTACTGCAGTATCAACAATATTTTTATGAATAATTTTCATTACTTTTAAATCAGATTCTAAAGAATGACCAACTAATATATCATATTTAAAAACTGTTGATAAAAATAATAACTGAATATCTTGTATAGTCGCAGTAACATCTTTTAATAATTCTTCTGTTATACCTGAATATTTTGTAACATAATCAGTTATTTCTTGTTCAGGTTTAACTAATTTATCAAATACAACTTGACCTTCAAAATCAATTAATGAAATTCTTGTTAAAACTTGAAGATTTCCTGCTTTACAAAATTCACAATCTAATGCAAATATTTTAGAATCTCTTGTTTCATCAATTGGTGTTATAGTTTCTGACCAACTATCATCTTCTTTTGTTATAGGATAATCATATAATTTTAATTGACTTTCATCCAATAATAAATCTTTTATTGTGATTTTTTCCCTTTTCAGTTGTTCTAAAATGACTTTTCTCTCATTCTTTGATAAAGGTATGTTACATATAGAATCCAATGTTTGATAGATTGAATCTTTCCCACCAGGAGACATACATTGTATAGCTTCTGCAAAGGTTTCTTTAAAAAATGATAATTCCTCATTTAAATTTAAATTTTGTATTGGTACTTTTTGGATTGTATTTTTTGAATTTGTTTCATTTATATCAGTTGGTTCTATATCTAATCCATTAACAGAAACAATTACCACATTTTTAATTTTTTCAATATTTTGAGTTTTACACCATTTAATTCCTTGTCCCGTCGGTACATTAAAAATATGTAAAATTAATGATCTTATATTTCTTAATGGAAATCTTTTTGAATTTTCATTATTAATGTGTTCTTTAGTAGGTTGAAATTCAATACTTGGTATTCCCCATTGTTTCTTTAGTTTCTTTTTATGTAATTTTTTTTCCTTTTTAACTGGTGGTGTATTTGAATTTAAAGATTGATTTGATGATCTTCTTCTCTTTTGTTTTAAGATTTTTTTGGGACTCAGTTTGGAATCATTTTTTGAATTTAAAGTATTTTCATCATCTTCTGCTACTGATTCTAATGATATTGCTGAACTTATCCTTTCTAAAGGATATGTTTCATTATTTGTTAATAATTCTTTAACTCTTGACCTTGGATTTTCTTCTTCTACATCAATTTGTGAAATGGATAATCTTGCAGTATTATTTGATAAAGGATCATCTACAACAGGATATGACATAATACATTGGTAGATGGATTCAACTTGAGAAAGAAATGGTTGTCATTAGATAAGACGTTTTTTAAGATTTTATATTTGAACATTCCTAAGTCCGAAAGAAGAGAACAGTGCGGCTTATTTGTTTACAAAATTTCAGTTATCAATTTCATCTCAGTTAGCTCAACCAATCTTTATTTGGGTCATCATTAGTTAAATAATCTTCATATTTCTCATCTATATTGCGTAGATCTTGTTCGTTTCGTATGATTCCATCATTATTTTCATCATCACCCAAAATTGTTGAATTACCATGAAGAATAATTTTATTCCAAGAATCCCAAGTACTAGGAATATAAAGTAATAAATCATCTTCATTTATTGATAAATCTTCAAAATTAGGTTTGACATCTTGCTTTTCCAATTTAATTAGTTTATCGATATTCTTAATATCCGTGACATTATTTAAATTTTTGATGGAAATAATGGAACATCCATGCTTTAAGCTGATTATTCTTAATATTTGTATTAATTTAGTGGAATCAACAGACAACTCAGACAATTGTTCTGGATCGACTACTATTGTTATCGAGTGACCTAGTGAGAAATTGTCTTCTTCAGAAGGGGATGTCTGAAAAAATGAATGAAATAGCTCTGAAATTGCTTTTATTGACTTATACTGTATGACAATAGTGCTTGAATGTTTTTGTAGTAGTTTACTTATGAACGGTTTAAAATGTAACGGACTCTTTATAATATATAAATCACTTGATTCATCCCCCTCACAATTTATAGACGGTATACCTGCATTGAGCAATGCTATTAGTTGTTTCCTTGGTTCTGGATCATATTCATTACCCATATCTTTTTCACTATTTGATCATTCTTGTATGATTGAAATAAAACACACACAAAAAAAAATAAAACAAATTATTTTGAAACTATACAACCACTATCAAATCAACACACAAACACAGTTGTAGGAGTTGTTTGTAGATCAAAACGTATCATATATATGATCATGGGTCATAGCGTTAAAGAGAATGATCAGATTGAGGATAACACGTACAATCAATATATAGGAAATACAGATATACCTGATGATCAAGTAATAGAATCAATCTTTTTAGAAAAGAAAACACTACATGCAGATGATGCAGTTGATTATGAAGACATAGATGAATTGGCCGAGGATGAATTACCTGAGGAAGAGGAACCAACAAATCAGATAGATGATGAAGAATTTGATCAATTATTGTATGATGGACCTATTGATTCTACGGGAACAGATGCCAACAATCTACTAGATACCAGAGAAGAAACTAAGGCTCAGGAATTTGCAGATGATCAATTTGATGAAATGTTTGGCGTTGAATATCAAGATGATAATGAACATTTTAACAATTTGGAGTCTAATAATCAATATGCTGAAGATGAACAAGACTTGGGAGATATATTTCTTGATGATGAAGAGAGTAAAAGACAAAAGGAAGAATTAGAGTTAAAACAAAAACAAGCAACAGAAAAATTGAAGAGTGTTATTGCCAAATTAGAGGAACGACGGAACAAAAGAAATTTAAAACATTATTTCCCATCATTTTCAAGGGACCAACCGTTGGATTTTCATAAATTATTAGCAACTGCCCCCAAATATTATAGATATAATAAACCATATTTAGCCTCACATAAAGTAATCAAACCTTTAGTTCCCACAAAAGTCAATTTAGAAATTGATGTTGATCAAAGAAAATTATATAAACAACCTTTAACTCCATATAATCCATTAAAAAATACAACTAGTATAACACAGAACGATCTAGATTTCATTAAAAACTTACAAATAAAAAGCTCATCGATTGACTCTTTCATAAAACAACTTGATTACGTAAAACGAGATTGGCTGAACGATGATAAGTTTCAAAACTATTCCAAAGATTTAATATTGTCAACTACTGATTGGGATGATGAAGCCATTTTGAATGCAGGAGATACGAATTATACAATCAAACCAATTAAGGAGCTTGATTTCAAAGTATCACTGGATGATGAACTAGATGAAGATATATTTGATGGTCAAATTAAACTTGATAAATTAAAACTTGATATGAATGATCCAAATCTACTATTTGTTCCAACTAAACCCAAAAAGGAAATGAAAAATTTACCACATACTTCAATCGAACGAAGATTCAATTTATCTAATGATAATGATTATGAAATTTTACGAAGAAATTACAACACAAAACAAAGATCACAATTAAGTAATTTAAATATTGAACATTCTGTACCTGCTATGAGATTACAAACTCCATTTTATAAAGTCAGGTTGTCGAAAATTGAGGCAAGATCTCATCATAGACCTTTGTTTTACGTAAGACCTGGTACCTTAATGAGTTTTTCAAAATTGAAATTAAGGAAAAGAAAAAAAGATAAAGGAAAAGCATTACATGAAGTGTTTTCTAAAACGACTGATTTAACAACTTCAGATACAGCAAATATAGTTGCTTTGGAATATGCAGAACAATATCCATCGATCTTATCTAATTTCGGAATGGGGTCTAAATTGATTAATTATTACAGAAAAGAAAGAGCAGATGATAATTCGAGACCAAAAGCACAAGTTGGAGAAACTCATGTCTTAGGTATTGAAGATAGATCACCATTTTGGAATTTTGGAGAAGTTGCTCCTGGTGATTTTGTACCTACATTATATAATAATTTGGTTCGAGCTCCAATATTTCGACATGAACCAAAAAATACAGATTTTTTATTAGTTAGATCTCAAGGTGCTGGTTCACATCAAAAATATTATATGAGACCAATTACATTTAATTTTGCTGTTGGAAATACATTTCCTGTTGAAGTTCCTGCTCCTCATTCAAGAAAAGTTACAAATATATCAAAAAATAGATTAAAAATGATTGTTTATAGAGTAATGAATGCTAAACAAGCACCACGTATTGCAGTTAAAGATGTTTCAAAACATTTTCCAGAACAAAGTGATATGCAAAGTAGACAAAGGTTGAAAGAGTTTATGGAATATCAAAGACTGGGAGATGATCAAGGTTATTGGAAAGTTAGAGGTATGAATGATATTATTCCTACAGAAGAAGATATACGAGCTATGATTACCCCAGAAGATTCAACATTAATGGATATAATGCAAACTGGCCAACAAATTTTAGATGATACTCAAACTTTATTTGGAGAAGAATCAAAGGAAAAAGAAAAAGAAAAAAAGAAAAAAGAAGAATCCGTTGAAGAAGAAGAGAGAAAAACCAATAGAAAAAAGGATCAAGAAGTTGAAATTGATGTTGAAGAAGAATTGGCTCCATGGAATTTATCAAGAAATTTTGTAATAGCAAATCAAACTAAATCTATGTTACAATTAAATGGTGAAGGTGATCCCACGGGTATTGGATTGGGGTTTTCAATGTTAAGAGCTACTCAAAAAAATGGGTTCAAACCATTATTTCCACAATCACAAAATGAAGCAATACCAAAAAGTAACGCAGCAGCACATCAACAAAAACTTTATGAACAAGAAATTAAAAGAATCTGGTATTCTCAAAGAAGTTCATTAGTAGATCATGGAGCTGATTTTGATTTAAATCAAATTTATAATGAATATAAACCAGCTAATCATGAACAAATTGAAGAAATTAAATTAAAAGATCAAGAAAAATTTGATGAAAATAAAATATTAAGAATTACAAGAAGAGTAAGAGATCAAAATGGTGTAGTACAAAGAAAAGTACAAGTTATAAATGATCCAAGATTAATTCGTGCTTATGTAAAAAGAAAGAAATTATTAGAAGATGAATTATTAAGAAGTGCAGATGTTGATGATATTTTACCAACTAATGATAAAGAATTAAATAAAATTCGTAAAAAGGCATTAGAAGAAAAATTAGCTAATTTAGAAAAAAGAGCAAAACAAAGTAAAGCTAAAAAACCACCAAATGATTCTATTCATGCTGCTGCTGCTGCTGGGGCTACTATAATAGATGCTAATACTGTTAGATTACCAGATGGTTCATATGTTATTGGAGGTAAAGGAATTGGGAAAGGTAATAGTACAACTAGAAGATGTAAATCTTGTGGTTCATTTGGTCATATTAGAACTAATAAAACATGTCCATTATATGATCAAATGATTAAAGGTTTATTACCTAAAAGACCAAACTTTGGAACTTCAAATGGAACAAGTGGTAATGCTGGATCACCACCTACAACAGAACAAGATACAGAAAATAATGTAAATATAAGTGGTGAAGCTACAGCTATACAATCACCAGCACCAGCTCCGCAAATATCAACACCTAATCCGACTGATATTCAAATGTCACCATCTTCGAATTAATGGCTAATTTAACCAGTTATTCGAATTGTTGTATATGTATCTTGTATATATATATTTAAACCTAAATTTACGAGCTTTCATGATAACCATAAAACTTTTTTATTCTAAATTGTAGATACGGCTCAATTTTTGGTTGATTTCATCCCACAACTCGAGCTCATCTTGAGCGTTTCATCGAAACACTTTCCCACAAGTAGTAAACTTCTTTCCATGAGGGATGCTTTTCTGATAGTTCGTTGAACTTGCGCTTGAAATAGAGGTCCAACTAAATATTAAGGGTATAAGGAATAAAAGTAAGTATTGCTCACAAGACAAGGCGATCTTAAATGGAAAAAGTAACCACAATTTTTATTACACAAAAAGTTTGATGATCTGAAATAAATTTTTAATTAGATACATACATAGATAATGGTTAATAGATTTCACCTACCGTATTTCAAAAATTTTTAATCAACAATATGAGAAGCTTTCATCCTTTTTCTTTCAAGTAGAGAAACACGTAATTTAGTTTACAGGTGGATTCAGTTGCTAAAGTTTTATTCTTTGAGTTAGACAAAATGGATCATGAAAAACAATCAGAAATAAAGACTTCAACTACTTTTAAAGATTCAAGTGCTATCTCCGTACATTCATCAGATAATAATCAATATCCATCGGAATTATCACCAAAATCATCCATCTTAGATTCAAATGACACATCACCTGCAACTCATTCAAGAAATAGAATTCAAAGATTTGTTGATTCATTTAAACCAATTCAAGTTGAAGATGATGGAATAGATACTAGTAAATTAACACCTATTGAAAAATCCAACTTAGCTTCTTCTCGTCAACCACTAGGTCGTCAATTGAAGAGTAGACATTTACAAATGATTGCAATTGGTGGTTCTATAGGAACAGGGTTATTTGTTGGTAGTGGTTATGCTTTAAGTCAAGGTGGACCAGGTTCATTATTATTAGGTTATTTTGTTGTTGGAGCTTCGTTATTAGTTGTAGTATTGAATTTGGGAGAATTATGTGTTCAATTTAAAAATAGGAATTTTAATGATTTTCATAGTAGATTGCTTGATCCATCTATTGCATATACACTTACAATCATGTATAGTGTTTCATGGATTATTTCATACCCATCTGAACTTATAGCTGCTGCAATGACAATTCAATTTTGGAATGATTCTATAAATCCAGCTTTATGGGTTGCAATAATTTGGATAGTTATAACTTTAATAAATTTATTTAATGTAAGAATTTATGGAGAATCAGAATTAATACTTTCAATTATTAAAGTTCTTGCAGTTATTGGATTTATAATACTTGGAATTTGTATAATCTGTGGAGTTGGTGATCAAGGTTATATTGGAACTAAATATTGGCATCCAATAGTAGCTAATGATTTTTCAGGAAGTTTTATTTCTTTTAAAAGTTTAGCATCTGTTTTTATTACATGTGCTTTTGGATTTGGTGGGATTGAACTAGCTGCTTTAGCTTCATCAGAAGCTGCAAATCCTAGAAAATCTCTTCCTAAAGCAACAAAGGGTGTATTTTGGAGAATTTTAATATTTTATGTATTAACTGCCGTTATTATAGGTTGTTTAGTTCCATATTCTAATAGTGATTTATTGGATGGTGAAGGTATAGCTGCAAGTCCATTTGTGATAGCTGTTAATTCTGCAGGAATCAATGTTGTTCCTCATATCATGAATGCTGTAATTGTGATAGCAGTTGTATCAGTTGGCTCATCTTCAGTTTATGGAGCATCTAGAACATTAGCTTCCTTAGCAGCACAAGGTTTAATTTGGGACTTTTTTGGATATATTGATAGACAAGGTAGACCAATTGTTTCTATAATTCTCACTTCTTTAATTGGTTTGTTAGGTTTTTTGGTTGTAAACAAGAATGAAGGTGAAGTATTTACTTGGTTTTTTTCAGTATGTTCATTAGCATCGTTTTTTATTTGGTCTTTTATTTGTGTTGCTCATATAAGATGGAGATGGGCGTTACATGCACAAGGGCGTTCAAGTGATGAAATTATTTTTAAATCCCCATTTGGTACGATTGGTTCATGGATTGCATTAGCCGTATTATTATTTATAATAGCAGTTATTATCTGGGTCGGTATTATGCCACTTGGAGAAGATGGTCCTGATGTAGTTACATTTTGGCAAAATTGTTTATCTTTACCTTTACTTATAGTTATTTGGGCAGCTCATAAAACATATTATAAGACTTGGAATCAATTTTGGATTAAATTGAAAGATATTGATTTAGATACAGGTAGAAGAGAAGTTGATTTAGATTTGTTAAAACAAGAATTATTAGAAGAGAAGGAAGCTCTTGCTCAAAGACCAATTTGGTATAGAATTTATCGTTTCCTATGCTAGCTTCTGAATAGACAATTTAATCCATTTTAATACAAACTCATCACTTCTTCATTGTAGTTTGTAGTATAGTCTATTAGTTAAAGCACTTAATATAGATTTTTTTACTGCAAAATTGGTAGTGCCGTTCTCATAAAATTTTAATTCAACGTTTCAAAATTTTAAAAAGAAAAACTTTTTTTTGAAGGTCATAGTCAACCAATAATCATATTATAAAAAACCACTGATAATACAATATTCAATACTTACTTATATCAACCATCCATCAATATTTTAAAATTTAAAACTAAATTAAGATTAATCACTATATATGTACTACTTCGTTTAAGAATTAATCTATACTTTTATACACATATATAACACAACTACAAGTAATTACTATAAGTTTTATTGACAACAACAAATTTTTAAAGTTATCAGTATTAACCAAATAATCAATTCAAAAATCAATCAGACTATTTCTATTCAATCATTAACTTAACTCAATCATGTCTGATAACAATTGGAAAGAAAATTTAAATATTCCTAAAAAGGACAATAGACCACAAACAGATGATGTTCTTAACACTCAAGGTAAATCATTTGAAGAATTTAATTTAAAAAGAGAATTATTAATGGGTATATTTGAAGCTGGTTTTGAAAAACCTTCACCTATTCAAGAAGAATCAATACCAATGGCATTAGCAGGAAGAGATATATTAGCAAGAGCTAAAAATGGTACTGGTAAAACAGCTTCATTTATAATTCCATGTTTACAATTAGTTAAACCCAAAGTTAATAAAATACAAGCTTTAATATTAGTTCCAACTAGAGAGTTGGCGTTACAAACTTCACAAGTAGTTCGAACTTTAGGCAAACATTTAGGAATACAATGTATGGTCACCACTGGTGGTACATCATTAAGAGATGATATAGTTAGATTAAATGATCCAGTTCATATATTAGTTGGTACTCCAGGTAGAGTATTAGATTTAGCATCAAGAAAACTTGCTGATTTATCAGAATGTCCAATATTTGTAATGGATGAAGCCGATAAAATGTTATCAAGAGAATTTAAAAATATTATAGAACAAATTTTAGAATTTTTTCCAAAAAATAGACAAGCTTTATTATTTTCTGCAACTTTCCCAATAACAGTTAAATATTTTATGCAAAATCATTTAAATAAACCTTATGAAATTAATCTTATGGATGAATTAACTTTAAAAGGTATTACACAATATTATGCATTTGTTGAAGAAAAACAAAAATTACATTGTTTAAATACTTTATTTTCAAAATTACAAATTAATCAATCAATTATATTTTGTAATTCAACAAATAGAGTTGAATTATTGGCTAAAAAAATTACAGAATTAGGTTATTCATGTTATTATTCTCATGCAAAAATGCCTCAACATGCAAGAAATAAAGTATTTCATGAATTTAGACAAGGTAAAGTTAGAAATTTAGTATGTTCAGATTTATTAACAAGAGGTATTGATATTCAAGCAGTTAATGTTGTTATAAATTTTGATTTTCCAAAAACTGCAGAAACTTATTTACATAGAATTGGTCGTTCAGGTAGATTTGGACATTTAGGTTTAGCAATTAATTTAATGTCTTGGAAAGATAGATTTGCTTTATATCAAATTGAACAAGAATTAGGAACAGAAATTAAACCAATTCCAGCACAAATTGATCAAAGTTTGTATGCTCCGTTACAAGATTAAATTTATAAATAAGTGTTTTTTCAAATACAAGTGAATAATTTATACTTCACAACATCAATCGAAGTCACAATTTAACAAGTAATTAATCTAAAATCGAAATAATTAATAATCAAACTAATCAAATGTTAATCTAAAACCAAAAATAATTAACAATCATGCCAACTTAAACTTAATATAAACTCAAAATATTTAAAAATCAAACCAATCAATCGTTAAACTAAATTCAAAAATACTTAACAATCAAACCAACATAAACATCAATATATACTTAAAACATTTAAAACTTATACTAATCGAGATTGATAAAACAATCAAATATAACCAATAATCCAAAATTATTGATCTAAACTCAAAATCAAATTAAATCAATTTTACATTAATCTAACATCAAAATCATTCAAAAATCAAACCAATTTTTCTCATTATATCTAACTTCAAAATTTTATCAATAATCAAACTAATTCAATCTTAATCTAATACCAAAATTACAAAATTAATCAAGTCAACCTTACAAATTAAATTCAAACCCAAAAACACAATTAACAATCATCCAAACCTCAAAATTAATTTTACCTTCAATCAAACAAATCACATTATTTTCAAAATTGATCTACAATCCAAAAAAAAATCAATAACCAAATCAACCAATCCATCAACCTTTTTTTTTTTTCTTTTTTTTTTTTTTTTGAACCATGAATGAAGAGGAAGAAGAAATCACTTTTTTTTTTTTTTTTTGCTCAATACAAACTATAAAACTATAATGAACAAGCATGAAAGAGAGCTAATTTGAAAATTCAATGAAATACGAAGAATTAATGAGTTTATAGTATGTATTAAAATAAATGAAATGCAAAAAATAAAACTATAATGAACAAGCATGAAAGAGAGCTAATTTGAAAATTGAATGAAATACGAAGAATTAATGAGTTTATAGTATGTATTAAAATAAATGAAATGAATAAAATTAAAGATTGGAAAAAATCAATCATAAAAGCAGTATTGATGATTCGTTTGATTTGTAGAATAAACGCTCTTGAAGTTAATTTACAACTGAGTTTGAGATGTTGAATTTAAAACTTAATTTTAGTTCGTCAATCCCTCGAGACGTTTCTCGACTTCTTACGTTTCAGATAAGAGTAGAACAAAATTCTACTGCAGACAAACATAAGATCATTGTAGACACTTAAATCACATATTCTTTCAATTAGAAACCCTTATATTATTTAATCTAACTTATTTCCACACTAAATATCACCGATTCAAACAAAAACGGATGTGTGCGGTACGAATGGATGTGTGCGGTACAGATAAACACATAAATACATGAATACATAGCATAAATACATAGCATAAACATAAACATGAGCATAACATCACAGTCATAATCATAATCAGTTCTTTCTTTCATTATTTCCCTTGAATCCCCTTTTTCCAAATCGATTCACTAATTTAATAAATTAATTTCTTGTAAAATATCATCAGTTTTAATCATTCTTTGATTTGCAATTAATTCAATTAATTGTAAAGCAATATCTTTTAAATCATTATATTTTTTTAATTCAATTATATGTTTTTTTATTATAATTTCAAATTTATTATTATTATTAGTATTATTGTTATTTTGATTATTATTGGAATCTTCTAAATCTAATTCTTTTATTAAATTTGAACATTGTTGTTTTATTTCTGTTAATTGGATTTCTTTTGTCTTTATTGATGATGGTGATGTTGATGAGGTGGTTGAGGTTGATGATGATGAGGAAGTGGTATTGGTTTCTGAAGTTGTTGATGATTCATTTATATCTTTGTTTGTTTTAGTTGTTGAATTCAATGGTTTAAAATTTGTTTTTGATATATTTTGAATAGTAATTGTCGAAGGTTTAAATTTATCTGATGGTTGTCTACTTAGTGTTTTGACAATTGCACTGGATTTTATAGCTTCATTACTTTGATCTGATAAGTCAATTGCATTATTTGATGTATCTATAGTTGTATTATTAATTGTAGATTCTGAAAGTTTTGAAGAATTACTTGATGATGATGAAGTTGGTGGTGGTGGTTGTTGTTGTTGTTGTTGTTGTAAAACTTCATGCGGTTTTGATTGAATTAATGATTGTGAGTATTCATTATCTTTTATATCATTCGGATTGATATGTGTTGACTGTGTGGTATTTAAAATTAATGAAGATGGTGAATAAATAAGTGAAGCATTCGTTTGATCTAAGATCCCAGGCATTATATTAAGTTGAGTTTTGAGACTTTAGTAAAATCTTGACAATTATGGGGAGTTCTAATTCAATTAAGTTAAAGTTAGTTTCAAAGTGACGATGATAAAGAATGTATTGAATAATTGATTGTTGTTGTAAAAACCTTTTTGTTGAAAATTAAGTGGTTGCAAAAAAATAAAATCTAAATTTCTTGATAATTTTAAATTAAGAAAATAAAGCTAAATAGTCTTGACTTGAAATCGACTTGAAAGTTTAAGTAATAAAGTTATAATAATGGATATAAGGATTGAAGTGTATCTCTTGGATTGATGAAAGGATTGGGAAGTTTAATAAATACCTATATTAAATGATTTATGATTTGATTAATGAAGATGAATGATTATAATGAGAGTTATAAAATAAATTCAAAAACTTTTATAAAAATGAACCTGATCAATCAAATCAAATCTATACTGAGTTATATCAATTTTTAAAAAATATGTCAAACTAAGACTTGATTGTTTTAGTAAATTAAGTAAATATACATTAGGAGTTAAATAATAATAACAGTGTTTAAGACAAATAAGGGTAAAACCGTTGATCAATACATCATCATTCAATAATTAATTATAATTCATACGTTTTATAAAACAAAATTAGTTGGAATAATGTGATGATTTCATCATTCAACTTGAACTCAAACCAATAACTTGAGACTTAACTTCAGTAGATTGTGTTCAATATTGAAATTGGTACTGGATATGTTCAATATATAAATTAGTTTTTGAAACTGCGTACTATTGTCGAAGAGATTTAGATAATCTAAGACAATATAATTCATTCTAAATAACTTCAAATATAATTACTTGAAGACTGATGTAATTTAACATGGTTAATTAATTTAGATCCTAATCTTGCATAATAAATTATTTTGTACCATATTCCATGATGATTTCGAATCCGAGGAAATTTTACATCTTTTAATTATTTCATCTATCATTAATGTGAAGTCTATATACATTTATTCACCTTCTAGTATTCAACTATTCAAAAATGGGAACGAGTTATAGCTGTATTTTGTCAATGATAATCTTTGTACATGTAAGAACTAAATTTAGAAGTTGTAATTATGTTCCAAAACCCGTTATTTTTTACATAATAAATACTTCAATTCTAAATACAATACACAAAACATTTAATATATGATGTAAGTATATTTTGAATAAGGAAAAAAAAAAAAAGTATATTCTTCAAAAGTTTATTGGTTAATCAATGATAAATTTCAGGAGATTAAACCTCCGATTCATCCAAGCTTTAGTCAACTTATGAAGTAAAATCTTATTCATATACATTCAAATTTTAGTGTGTGAATGAATCTAGATAGAACTTATATTGAAGGTTTTTTGATTAATGAAATAAAGCATACAAATTGCTATAAAAACAAATTTAAAAAAAACTGAAACAAATGCATCAACCAAAATCTTTTATATTATCAACAAGGAAATTGGGAAGGAATGAAATCTACTCATGAAATTGGATCAAATAAAAACAGAATCAGTTAAAATCTTTAATCTGTCTTATAGGATCAAAACGATCTAGTCATGTCAAAACTATCAAGAATTACATATTACAAGTTTAGATTGTAAACTTCGATTTCTTGGTCCTAACAATTGCCACATCGTCTCACATATCCAGAGTGTTTGATCGTTTGGTTTAAACTCATCAAAAAAATCCGAAAAGGGGAACTTTGCACTGAAACGAAATCCTTGGTAGAAATCAAAAGTATCAAAGAGAAGCAGCAGGGAGTCAAAGCTTACGGAGTCTGAATGGAACAAATCCTTTGTGCAGCTCAATAAAGCCAAAAATAAATAACCACATGAATTAAATTACTTCAATCGTCTCAATTTTTAGGGCATTATAGATTTTTAAAGATATGTAAGTTTGTCAGTTTTGTAAGGTTGAAGTTCCAAATAGCATCCTTGGGAAACCATATCTTTGGAAAATTGTTAGGACCACGAAATCGAAGTTTACAATTTGAAAAATTCATATGCAATACAAATTCAGACATTTTAGGAAATGACTAGATTTGAATGGTACATCAAAAAGTAGTTTCTGTCTAGAAAGGTACCAATGAACTCAATTGGAAAACACTGAGCTTTCCGATAACCAAATATGAAGGTGTCACCATCAATGTTACATAATTAAAGATATTTAAAGTAAGAGAATAATGATAAGATTTATAATACAAAATTGAATAAACAAATTGTAAGGGTATATATCTATATTATTTGATTCTATTAAATTTTATTTCATTTATCCCATTACTTTTTTGCATTATCTAAGGGTACTCTAGATTTTAAACAAATTTATACAAAAATAATTTAAAAAAATAACATAAACTGAACTGAAAATATAAAACCAATATTTCTTTTTCATACACTGAGTTGTAATGATACAATTATTAATACAATTCATTATCAGTAAATTTCATAATATGTTTGGATTATTGTAATACCATTGATGGAGTAGGAACAGCAGGTAATTCATTATTATTATTGTTGCTAGATCTATTAATTTGATTTTGAACATTTTTCATCGATTTTGAATTTACCTTGTAACCATTAGTTGAATCTCTATAATCTTTATTATTTACTTTATATCCATTATTTTGACTTGCATTATGATTGTTGTTACTATTACTATAATGTCTATAATTTTCCAGTCGATTTAGTTGTTGATCATAATTATAATTTGAACCTGATGGGTTTCTTGATGATGTATTTGATTTTATTCTTTGGTGAGGTTGATCTTGATAATATTGTTGATTTAATTGATTGTGAGGAAAGTTTTGTTGAGTTGGACTTATTGTATAATGTGAATTTTCATATTGTTGAGGTTGTTGATGTTGATGATGATGATGCTGCTGTTGTTGTGATTGTGGTTGCATCATAAATGCTTGTTCAAGATTTGTTTGATGATTAGATAACATTAGATTTTGAGCTTGATTTTGAGCTTGATGTTGTCTAAATTTCATTATTTGAGATGTTAAATCATAATCACCATTTGATTTACTTCTTTTCTTATTGTTGTTATTATTAGGTATATGATTTCCAGTAGAATATGATAAATTCAAATCATCAATTTTTGAAGAAGGTTGAGGTGGAGGTGTACTACTTATTCTATATTTTGGAATTTTCATTAAATTTATTTCATCATTTGGAAATTGTATTGGTGGTGAACCAGTACTAAAAATAGATTGTGGAGAAAGAAATTGTTGATTTTGATTATTATGATGTTGATGTTGTTGTTGATGTTGTTGTTGAGGTGAAAATTCAGAAGATATCGATGATGAAGATTTAGTACTTGAATTTGATCTTGAAGTTAATGAAGCAAATGAAGTAGATGAAGTTTGTTTTCTTATTTTTTTATTCAATTTTTTAGAATTTGAGTTTGAGTTGGGTGTAGTATTTGAATTCAATAATGATGATAGCAATTTCAAAATTGGTTTTATAAAATTTAAAATTTGTGAAACTACTAATTCATAATTAATTGAATAATTAGAATCAATTGGTATAGAATAATTTATACCAAATTGATTTAATTGATAATTCAAATCTCCAAACTTGTTGTTAATATTAAAATTTAATGAAATTTTATTTAAAACAGAATTAAAATAATTTTCAAATTTTTCAAAATTTTTATAAAATTTTCCAAATAATATATGATTTATAATTGTTATATTACTAAATTCAATATCTTTATATGAGGTATTTCCATAAAATAACCAAATTTTAGCTAGTTGAATTAAAAAATTTATAATTCCTAAATTATTAAATACCAAATATGAAAAATAATCTAAACTTATATAATATATCCAATAATTTAATAAAAATTGATATGAATATTTATTAAATTCAATTGATTTATCTAATGATTTTATTGTATAAATTAATGGTATAAAAGTTGTTAAAATATTAAAAATTAAATCTAGTAGATTAAACATATTAAAGTTTAACCTTGTTTTTCGAGGTTTTTGATTTGGAATGTGTCAATTCCTAGATAGGATTTCTATAAAGTTGTTGTTAAGTACTGAATCGACACCACTTTGAGTTATCTAATCTATATATAATTGATAGTTCAGTAGTAAATATAAATGAGATATATTCTGGTTGTAAAAATTATTTTTTGATGATATTATTTATTTTTTATATGAATATAGAACATTACACAAAATATAAAATAAATGATGTAAATATTAACATTAAACTACTTAACATTCTCTTCGCTCCATTCTCCGTTATTACTAAGTCGGATCTACGTAGATATTCTCTTTATTTAACTTTTAACTCCTTGATTTTGATTTTAAAATCATTAGCATAACAAAGTTTAATAATTTTGATTGAAAGTAAATGGCTGAGTTATACTTTAAAAGTTTAGTTGATGAGATGACTAGTTTTGGAATATAAGTAGTAACCTTCGCTTATAATGAGATTGTCAGAATCGTTCTGCAATTCAATCAATGTGCAAATATATCTGTTTACTACCTCGTTACACATTATAATTTTTGCTCTAATTTTATTATTGCTACAACTACAAATTCCTAATTCTTTGTTCAAAAAAAAAACAATAGAAAAAAACTTTAATTTTGTTTTATATTTTTCTAACAGAATTAAGGGGAATTTAAAAACTATAAGGGGGTAAAAATTCAGATTCAATTATTAAAATAAGGGGAGAAAACTCATGATTTATAATAGAAAGTTTGAGGTAATATCATCCTTTTCATTTCTAAAACCTTTATGTTAGAGCACATGTTTCACATCAAAATTCAATTGTTTCAATTAGGCTTTTTTCTTTGAGTTTTTGACATCTTTCAAGTAAAAAAAAAACCGAGTTTAATTTATCCGAAATCTAAATATCAAATACTTGTTTACTTTTCCCAAAATAGTAATTTTAAGCCGCAACATTCTTTATTTATAAAAAAAATATACAGATTTGTCGAATCTAGATTAATTCTATCATTCATCCGATTGAGTTGAATTTTGATTGTAATTTTCATATGTACGCAATTTTTACGGCAATCATAAGTTTAATCTACTAAGGTTATATCATACGTCAACGTATGATACTATAGACGAAAGATTGACATAAGACAAAAAAGATAAGGGATGAAGAGGTTTCAGCCATTAATGAAATCATTGAATATAAGAAATCAGTTCCTGATCACAAATAAAACAGGTTTAATCAATTTCCTACAAATACCGACCATATGTAATAACAAAAAAGGAGCGATATGGAAATGAGAATATTCTCATTACTGATGGTATCATTTTTCAAGTCGTTTTCAAGGCCTACTAATGTTTTGCTGTTATTTTTTCCTTTGTGTGGAGTCAATACAATTCACCCATGAGTCATTTGAAGTTATTTTCAAATTTGCTTACTAACATGGTCATGAATTTATGGTAAAAATATCTTGATTCCTTAAAATTTTAATTCATCATTTAGAATTCTACCCAAAATTCGGAAGTACGAAAATACAAAATTGGAAACATCCATATCATATCATCTAATGGTAATGAGAATAGTCTCATCTCCATATCGCTCCATTTTTATTATAACATTTGGTTTTCGTAGGAAGTTGAATAAACCTTCATTGGGTGATTTCAATTCGGTTTTTAAATCATTCAAAATAAATAATATTAAACCTCGAGAAATACTTGGAAAATTTGATATTATAATCAAAACAGCTTATTTAAAAATTATGCACACATAAAGTCATTATTATTTTTCTTCTTCTAATCTATGAACTCTATTTTCAAGATATAAAAATATATAATTGTCCTATTTTACTAATTGCTCTATCTTATAAAATTGTTTTTTGTTTTTAAGAAGAAGAATTTGAAAGTTTTTCATTACTTCTTGATATTATCCATTCCCAAACATCTCTTTCTGCATCACAATAAATTTTTGATTTATAATCATCTTCTTTATGGAAGAAAAATCCATTAATTTTATTATTTATAAAAACCAACAAGAAAAATCCAATCAATACAACTATAGTACCTACAATTGTACTATCAATCATTGGAATTGGAATTAATTCACCAATAGATTTAATTAATGTTAATGTTTGATCAGGTATACTCTTTGGTGCTTCTTCTTTTGGTTTAACTTCCGATTCTGATTTCTTTTCAGTATTTCTTCTACTTCTTGTTGATCTTCTTTTATTTGTTGAACCTGATTTTTTACCTGAACCACCACTACCACCTTCAGATATTATTTGATTTAAAGTTTCAATCATATCTTTCATACTATCTTTTTGACCATCAATTGTACCTTTTTCAATTGCTCCTTTTATCCAAGATTTCCCACTCCATTCAATTGATGTAACAACATAAATTTTAGTTTGATTTTTTTCAGCCCAACTTAAAAAGATTTTAGTTTTAACTTTAAATGAATTACCACTTGGTACATCAGGAGTTTGAGTTGTTTGTTCAACTTCATAATATTTTTCAGGATTATATTCAATAACTTGATCATCTATAATACATTTTGTTTGTTTTGGTCCAATACTACCACCTAAAGGTTTTATATAAGTATAATGTCTATCTTTATTTTCTTTATTTATACCATGAATTTCTGATTCATCAATATCAAAATTTTTTTGTTCTTTTAAAATTCTTATAAAATATGATGTATTTTGTCCAAATAATAATAAATATATAACTCCAGGTGGAGCTTTTAATATTTCTTCTGCTATAAATGTATCATCTGATGATTTTTCATATCCTGTTTCTGTTGGTGCATGAGTTGCTGGACCAAGTAATGGTAAACCATTAAATTCTCCATCCCCTCCGCTACTTCCACCACCTGCACCACCACCACCTGAAGCCCCTTTCTCTCCATCTTCTTCATTATCTTCATCATCATCATCCGATTCATCTCCCAGTGAATTATCATCATCTTCACCTGATCCACCAGTAGCATCATCATCTGATTCACTACCTTCAGAACTAATTTGCGAACCATTAGATGACATAGAATTCATAGTAGCCGCTCTTGATCTTGCAGCTTTTCTTAATTTTTTTGGATCAACATCTGAATTTTCTAATAAAACTCTATGCCAAACATTAGTAATTAATGAAAAAACAGAATCTCTACCAATTATACTTGCAAAAGTATATTTTTGATGTAAAGTTTTTATAACCATACCATTTGGAAATAAACCAGCAGTTGATCTTTTTTCAATTTGAATAACTTCTGATAATGGAATAACAATTTTTTTAATCCATCCTAAAATATTTGAATTAAAACAAACATAATGATCACTAAGATACATTTTACCTTGAACTAGAATATCTTTTGATAATGCACAACTTATTTCTTCTATTAATTTATCTTTTTTCGGTATTTTTTTAAAAGTACTATGAAATTCTTCATTACTTTTTTCAGTTGCATGTTTTATCTTTTTAGAATAATCAATTACATTATCTAAATCTTCTTTTTCTGATCCAGATGTATCTTCAGTTTCTTCCGTAGTTTTAGATTGAGTTGTATTTTTTGTATCTTCCGTAGTTGCATTACCATTCAGTGAAGTTGTTGCGTGTATATCTACTATTGAATTTCTTCCATTCGAAACTTGTCTTTCTGGTGCCAGACCATTTATCGACAATCTATGAACTCTTTTAACTTCTGTACCGTTTGACATAGCTTGTAATTGATTACCTTGGGGTAAAGATTTATTCACCAGATCTGGACTTACATTCCTTTGAATATCAGATGAAGTATTTGGTACTGTACTATTTGGTATAACTGTTTGTGCGTTAATTGGAGTAGGATTAATTTGTTGTGGATGAGCATTTTGAGTAGTAAAATGTTCAAAATCATCTAATGTTAGATCTCCATTTCCTAAAGTATTTAAAGGACTCTCTTTTATTGGTTCAAATTGAACATTTTGAGCTGAATGTAGTGATTTTAATTCTGTTGAATTTCTAATTTGTTTAGGAGTATTGGATTCACTATCAGCTGATTGACCTGTTGTTTTTGATGTATCTGGATTTTCTTCATGTTTTACAGATTTTATAAAACTATCAATTTTACTTGCAATTGAATGTTCTTTTTTTTTTTCTTTATCTTCAAATTGAATTGCTGTTGAAGACATTTTATTTGCTGCAGCTGTTAAAAAGGAAGATATTATACCACCAGATTCCTTTGGATTTTCAGGAGGGACCGTAGTTTGTGTAGTTTGAGAAGTATTATTCATTGATGAATTCGATGATGATGATTGATATTCTTTATTGGGAGCTTGTAAATATTGTCCTTGAGAATCTTTTGTTAAATTATTTGCAGTTTCTCTACTAGACTGTCGCATTATATTTATAGCTATACCAGGATCTTGAGTTAAAGATTGTTCAGTATCATTACCAAATTCATGAATTGCAAAATCATTTTGATCTAAAGTACCATTTGCTTCTGGTTCAATTATTCTTGGTGTTCTCATTTTATTATTTAAAGTTGTAGATTGAATTTGAGAATTATCATTATTAATTTCTTTTCGTGATTTATTTGTGGGTGAAACTATTCTATGAACTGTATTTGATTTAGGTCGTGACATATTTAATATAGATGGACCTGATGCAATTGATAAATCCTCAGATGGTCTTGATGTATAATTGGATGTAGATGATTGAAAAGATGTATCAATTCCTTCTTCTGATTGATGTTGATGATGATTAGAATTCTTACTCTTCTTCTTGGAATTTGATGATTTTGACTTTCTTCGTTTTAATAGCAAACCCATATTTTTTTAATTAGAATAAATTGGTAGTAATAGAATTAAAATTAGGTTAGGCTAATTCTTAGTTTTGCTATTTTTGTGATTTAATAATTTTAAATTTAATCTTGGTTAGAATTAAATTCATCAACTCTGTATCAATTCATTGATCAGTAGAGGAGATGATGAAAAATTTATTTAATTGATTAATTGAATATCGATAATCAATTTATTTTTCATAAAAAAAAAATATTGTATTAGATTAAATCTTTAAATTTCTACATAACTCTTTCTATTAAATTTACAAAATTACATAAAAGTAAAATTTACCACTTAATAAATCCGGACTTTCCAAAATTTTATTAGGTAATAATTTTTATTTAAACTTTGGGGTTATGTTAACTAGCCTTTTTTAAGTCTCGTAAGTAATTGATGTTTGCTACTTGAATTGATTGCACAGACTAATGATAGGACCAAACTGAATTTTACATAGAATTAATAGAGTCATCTTGAACAGATGTAGTCATTTTGTTGCCGCATATTTCTTAATGAAAGCAAGATTTTTACACTTTTAAAATTCGTATTTATTAACAGTTGAAAGATCAATATGTTTATTTTGTGTAAGGAAGTGATACTTGACGATAATTAATTTGGTTTCACAAATAAATGTTATGACGCTTTTTTTAAATGACATAAAAGCTTACTTTATGACACGATAATTCTGAAACATTTTACGGTTAGATAAGATTTCATTTTGTATGAACAAGTTTAACTAACTATTCTAAAAACCAATTTCACAACTTGATAAAACAGCATTTAAGTTAGGGAATCTACGGCCCGGTTACAACTTCCCAATGGATTCAAAATCTTGTGCTTTTTTCAATTTCTGTGTGAAGCTATTATTATGCAGACCAATTTCAAAACCTGATGAGGTGAAAAAACAGTTGGATTTAAATTAATAAGCATATAAATTCTATTTAACTATTTATTAAAAATTTTTTGGGAATAACGAGGAAGAACTGAAATAAAAACTTTTTTTTAAACATCTGAAATATTCTATTAAAATGATCAAAGAACCAAAATTAATGTTTAGCAAAAATTGGATCTAATAAACCTTCAACTTGATGAGTTAAACCTAAGTTAGCATCATAATCAGTTGAGAAAACTGAAACTGAACTTTGACAATCAGTATGACCAACAATAAAGTTTTCAGATGGTAATGAACAATCACCATTATTACAAACAGTTAAAGCTTTAAATTCATCTTGTGAATAATAAAATGAATTTGAAGTTTTATTGTATTTTAAATCTGAAGTTGAAGCATATTGACCAGTTAATCTAGTGAAAACCCATTTTGGATTTGTACAGTTTTCTTGTTCATAACCAACTTTTGGGAAATTAACATTTAAACCAACACCAATTGGTAATGCTCTTGAGTTATTACCTTGAGCTTTGAAAACTTGATTAACAAATTCAACAACTTTAGTAGCATAAATAGTTGATGGAGCTTTAGTATCATTTAAATCTAATGAATCTTTGAAGAATGAATTATTACCATTTGATCCACTAAAAGCAATAGCTGGGTAACCTCTGTATATAGCATTATAAGTAGCTCCAACAGTACCTGAAACAGTGAACATACCTGGTGACATATTAGTACCTTCATTTGGTCCGTTAACAACTAAATCAATTGAGATGTTGTTGAATTTTTCTGGAATAACATATTGTAAACCAAAGGCAACACTTGAACCAGGACTATTTGTAGGTTAGTAAATAAATTCAAATTGAAAGCTGATTAACTCTTAGAATTACATACGTTCCGTTAAAGTACCAAATATGATCGTCATTTTCTTCGTGACCCCATGATGGAGATCCTGCTGGTGGATATTTAAATTCACCATTAGTTTGTAATGTTGGTGAGGTTGGAATATCGAATTTACCACTCCATCCTGATCTTTGAGATACAGGAGCAACTAAAAATACATTATGACCAGCTTCTTTTAATTTATAATAAGTTGCTCTAATGTTTGTAGCAGACCAACTATCATCATTTGATAAGATAATGTTTTTAGCGATAACAGCAGTAGCAATGAATAATAAAATTGAAGTAGTTAAGAATTGCATTTTATGAGTTGTTGATGAAAATTTGAAACAGGTTGAAAATTGTTTTCAAGAAGAATCCCTACCCAATTTATACTATTCATCTCCTTTGGAATAAATTGATGTTATGCAAATCCTTTAATCTTTTTGTATTTGAGATATCTGAAAAATTAATTGTTGCAAATTAAATCCTGCATAGAATTGGTCCAAAACAATTAAAGCTAAATTTAAAACAATAAATTTATTAATCTATTCAATAAAATTAAATGAACGTGGTATTGAAAACGTAATCTACTGAAAAAATTTTCAATGTATTGTCTGAATAGAACTAAAGTAATTGGTTTTTGCTAAAATTTAGTCTCAAGGTCTATGGATAAACTATGTTGATAATCTGTATTACATCTATCATCATGTTTCAAAGTTGAATATTTTCTTGTCATTGTCAATTGATCGTTACCAAGACTTTTAATTTTAAGACAAAGTGAATCAATTGATCGGTTTAACTCAAAACGATGAATGTTTGAATAAACTTTTTCAAAATAGAAATCAATCGGATCGAAATATGATTATTCTAAATTATTTTTTCAAGACCTCATGGGCCAAAATATTTTAGTTTTTATTCTTTTCGTATAAATTTTAAAAAAGTTATGAACCATTGCTCTTACCTTGTAAATAAAAGGCACTGAAATGGTTGTTCTATAAGTACCAAATTTAAAATAACCGATATACCTTTAAAGATTTAACCCTTTTTACAATTTCGGCAATCAATTGATCCAATTTGGGAGTTAATAATTATTTACTTTAAAGACTAATGAAGTATACTAATTATTTGCATAATAATAGTTCTCTAAACATCTATTTTAGTGTTCAACTCAATTAAATTGTTTTATTTTAGTCAAATTAGTTCAAATTTTCTAAGTAGAATAACAACAACGTTTCTGACAATCCCAAAATTTTGCAATTAAAATTGATGGATTTTAGCATAAAATATTGGAAAACAAAAACTCATAATAAAATTAACCACGAGGTTATTGTTTACTTTCTCTTTTTGAAATCTTTCGTTTTCCGATCTTGAAACTAATTGTCATTTACGAGACTGAGCCTGATTAAAGATCGGTTATGAAAAATAAAGAATTCATTATTGACTATGAGCTTATTCGAAATTAAAAGTTCAAAATCATGATCCTTTTTCCTGATAGTCATAATCAATTATTTCTTGAAAGTGATAAATTTGTGATGATCATCTCCTTACAGACTAAGATTTCAATGTTTGAGAAAATTGAAATAATTTAGTTGCAAATAAATCTTATTTATCGCATTAAAAGATAAATCTACATTTGATCTAAACTCGACCTAAAAATCTTGCAAAAAAATGAAGATTTTACAACAGTCGTACCAATCAATAAAATAGCACAGCTAATTCAGAGCAGAATTTAAGGTCGGTGGAATCAAAATCACCTGAAAATTTCAATGGATTCTATTTATTGTTACGTAAGAAGTCTTGATCATTTTGCTTATGTTACAATAATATCATGGGGTAAAATTTTACAGAATACTTGGTAGCAGTTAACGACCAGAGCCACGGAAAAAAAAATACAACAATCAAAGCTCAATCAACACTTAAGTAAAGGAATGAGAGAGAAGCTCATTGCACATTCCTAATCACTATATTTCAATCAATCAATCTAATATTCAAACCAAACACCGCGATACCCAGCTATATTTTGAGCTACCTCCAACATAAAAATGGCAATCTTTTCATCATTAGCGGGGTTCTTTAAGAGAAATAAACGAAGAATCTTTATCACTAGTGCTGTAACTATATCAGTTTATTTATTAGTTAATGAATTTGTTATCAAAAAGTTTAAAAATTATCAAAATGCATTAAGGCAAGAGTTGATGTTCAAGCAACAAATCAAACAAAGATTTTTACAAACTCAACAAGATTGTTATTATACAATATTAGCTTTATTACCAGTCTTAGCAACACCAATCGTAGAATCATTACCAGTTGAATTCATAACACAAGCATTGAGATTGAAAAAAGGACAACCACAACAACCACAGCCTCAAATTACTAGTGGATCAAGTAGCGAGTTGACAGCTGATAATTTAAATTTATTAGACAATAATAACAACCCACAATCAAAACTTTCAATATATATGAATAAGAGCAAATTAGAGTTATGGAACTTATTAAAAATCAAAACAATTACAAGAACATTAACTTTAATTTATTCAATATCTGGATTATTATTGATTACGAGGTTACAATTGAATGTATTAGCAAGAAGATCATATTTGGAATCGGCCATATTAATGGCAGGTGTCAAAGCTATAAACAATGATTCAGATCCTCATGAAAATTATATGATTGAACAAAGTTATTTATCATTAAGTTGGTGGTTGTTAAACAAAGGATGGTTCAATTTAAGTTCATTAATTGAAAACATAGTAATTAAAAAATTTGAAAAAATTACACCTAAAACTGAATTAAGTGTTATAGAATTTGAAATTTTACTAAATGATATTATAAGTGAAATAAATACAAACAATAAAGAATTAATCTTATCAAACCTATTCCCAATAAATTATCAAGACTTATTGGACACTATTGTTAATACAAATCCTGATTTAATTCATTATTTGGACATACCGGACTCAAATTTGATTAAATTGATTAATGAAACAAACAATATAATGTTAGACGGTAACTTATACTTTTTTGATATTTTAAACTCATTAATATTAACAAATTTATCAACTTTATCATCTAATTTATCATTGAATCTATCAAATGTGTCAAATAGTTTGGTTATGAGTGGTAATTTACCCGACCAAAAGGGAGACAATCAAATCAATTCCAAAAGTCAAGACAATAATAACATCACTACATTATCAACATCTAAAATTGTTGAAATACCGGATAAATCATATAAATTAGCAAGTTTCTTAGCTCAATTATCGATACAAAATGGAATAATGATTAACAATAATGAACCACCGCAAGAGGAACAAGAACAAGATGAATTTGAAAATTTGATGAATAATTTAAATAATTTTTCAGGAAATGCTATTGAACTGGAAACTTTTCAACAATCTAATAATGATTTAAATGGTAATGTATATATTAACAATATGAATAATTTGGATGATTTAGACGATTTTAGTGCTGGAATTTATTCAAATTTTGAGTAATTAAAATAAAGAAAGTTATTGCTTTTGTTTTGAACTTACTAAGAAGTAGATAGATTATGGGATATAAGCTGTTTTGACAGCCTAGATCAAACGAATAAGCACTAAAACATGGTTTTAAGGAACTGGTCTTGTAAGTTCAATGCATGTGTGTGTGTGTGTTGGGCTTTTCAGTATGATTCACGAAACAGATTAACATCAAACAGACAATTTTAATCATATAATTCTCTTTAAATAGATCAAGAAATCTTAATTTTCTGTTATTGTATCTTTATTTTTTCGTGTTGACAAGTACTACTCCCTTGCAAAAATTCAAGGGAAAAATAAAATTTATTTAGTGAGATACGTAATAAATTATTTAGACTATAATAGTAAAATAAATTAATTTAAATTGAATCAAATCTGAAACAAATTCATAATTGAACAACACATTATTAACGCTTATCAAAACCATTATATATATTATTATTAAATTCCTATTAAATTAACGTTCAATTTTGCCACTCCAAATTTTCAACTTTTCATCCTCAAAATAATAAATTTTTGATAATATAACAAGTTTAAAATGTCAACTCCAAAAGTAATCATAGTATCATCAGATGATGAAAAATTCCTAGTTGAACAAAAAGTTGCTGAAAAATCAATTTTAATTAAAAATATGATCAATGATTTGAATCCAGATGGATTAACTGAAGATTTTGAAATTCCAACCCCAAATGTTAGAGCCAATGTATTATCAAAAGTTTTAGAATGGTGTGAACATCATAAAAATACAGTATTTCAAGATGATGAAGATGAAGATGCTAAAAAATCAGTTCCTGTTGAAGAATGGGATAGAAATTATTTAAAAGTAGATCAAGAAATGTTATATGAAATTATATTAGCTGCTAATTATTTAAATATTAAACCATTATTAGATTCTGGTTGTAAAATGGTTGCTGAAATGATTAAAAATAAAAGTCCTGAAGAATTAAGAAGAACTTTCAACATTGTAAATGATTTTAGTCCAGAAGAAGAAGCAGCAATTAGAAAAGAAAATGAATGGGCAGAAGATAGATAAGATGAAGGGAAGGTAAAGAATTCGAAAGATAAAGTTAGTCATACAATCGTATTGCTTTATAATAATTTCGGAATATATAATCTATGCTCAACATAACCTATAGTATATATGTCAAATTTCTATATTATGGTTTATAATTTTGGCTGTATACTAACAGCATTAAATAATTCATCTCTATCATTTATTTTTACTGCACCACTTTTTAATAAAGCTTTCGTTAAGTCATCAATTAAATCATCGGAATTTTCAATACCAATACATAACCTAATTAAATCTTCTGGAAATTCTCTTTCTTCTCTTGTTTTTTGATCTATTGAAGCATGTGACATTTTACATGGCATTGAAATCAAAGAATTTACACATCCAAATGATACTGCAATACCAAATATGTCAGTATTTTCCACTATTTTTTCACTCAACTTTATCGAACCTGTTTCAAAAGACAATACTGCACCAGAACCAGAACACATTGAGCTATGTAATGCATATTGAGGATGAGATTTTAATCCAGGGTACCTTACTCTGAATCCAATGTTCTCCAAAAATTTCGCAATCTTAAAGCAATTTTCTTGTTGTCTCTCTATTCTTATAGCTAATGTTTTTAAACCTCTACTCAATAACCAACAATCAAATGGTGATAATCCACATCCAGTTGAATTTATTACGTAATATATTTGTTCTGATAATTTTGGTGACCTAGTTGCTATTATTCCTGCCATAATGTCATGATGTCCATTTAAATATTTTGTAGCTGATTCATATTGTATATCTACTCCTAAGTCTAATGGAGTCATTAATATTGGTGACATCATAGTATTATCAAACACTACTATACAATCTGGATTTACCCTATGAGCATGATCTGTGATTGATTTAACATCTACTACTTTGATTAATGGATTTGTTGGTGATTCTAAAAAAATCATTTTTGTTTTTAAAGATATTTTTGATTTGATTAGTTCTGTATTTGTTGTATCATAATGATGTGCTATTATATCTCCTTTTTTACTTAAATAAGTTAATAATCTATGAGTTCCTCCATATAGGTCATCACCAGCAATAACTTCATCTCCAGGTTTTAATAATCTAGTTATAACATCTAAACATCCCATACCAGATGAGACTGCAAATGCATGTTTAGCTTTCATAATTCGTGCTATATGGTTTTGAAGATGAGTTCTTGTAGGATTACCTGATCTTGTATAATCATATTCTCCCATATTCGATAGTGATGGTTGTTTGAAAGTAGCTGATTGATATAAAGGTGGTACTGAAGCATTATATTGATCTCCAGAATTTGTTAAGACTAATTCCGTCTCAAGACTATATGACTTTTTTGGGGCCATCTTCAAATCTTATACTTGAATTTGTTGAAAATTTTGATATTAATGAAAAGATATACAAGTTCTGAAATAAATATATAAAGTGAGGGCGCTAACTATTAGTTTTTGATAAACTTATCGGTATTTGTTTCTTTTTCAAATTTATCACATAAATTTTCAGTTTGACTCAAAATTGCAAAAGTCATGTGACGCGTAAAATAAGTACCGAGAATTATAATGAAAAATATATATTCTAGCCTACTAATTCAGTTCTACGTGAAGTGACGTTTGATACTAAGATCATGTTCTGCTAAAGGTAACTAGATCAACACATAGTAAGTAAATAATCAAGAGTCAAAACATTTCAAGTACAAAATAAACTTTTATATTCTATTACATTACTTACAAATCTGATCTAGTAAACTTCCTTATATCAGTTGGTTCTTTACCTAGTAACACTTTTTGTCCACTAAATGGCTCACATGACTCTCTTTTATCCATAACAGGCCCAATAGTACTCAAGTCTTTTCCTTCTTGTAACTCCTTCAATACTTCAACTGTTGATTCAGGGGTCAAATCTTCAACATAATCATCATTTATGGCCATCATTGGGGCATTTACACAAGCACCCAAACATTCAACTTCTTGTAATGTGAATAAGTTATCTTTAGTAGTTTGGCCTGGTTTTATCTTAAGATATTCTGTGATTGCCTTCATTATTCCATCACTTCCACATAATTGACAAGGCGTGGTTGTACATACTTGTACATTGTATTTACCCATTGGTTTTCTATTGTACATGGTATAAAATGTAGCAACTTCGTATACTCTCATTGGTGGCATATCTAATAATTTTGCAACATAATTCATTACAGAAATAGAAGTGAAACCTAATTGACGTTGACCTAAATCCAATAGAGGCATAGTAGCCCCCTTTTTATATTGTGGTGGATATTTTGCAATTATTTCATCAGCTCTTTTTTTGTTTTCGGAATTGAATTCAAAAGGTATATTTTGATTGTCTTCTTTGGTTTCTCTATGAACTGCTATAATAGATGAGTATCTTTTGGTTGTGAGTGAAGTCAACAGTTGCTTGGATATAAATCGAGATATCATGGTGTATACTTTCAAATTAATTAAAATATGATGATGAAATAAATAAATGCAGATATGGAACTAACTAATGCAAAAGGGAAAATTTCGTTTAATATGTTGATGAATGACGAAATAGACTAATGTTTGTTTGAATTCAACTTTTGGGGATGAAATATTAGTAAATTGCTTTAACTATAATAAATTGAGTGACTAGCAGACTAGATGACAACAAATTCTTCACTTCACTTGATCTTAAATTTGATATTTTTTCTTTTTAGTAATAGAATTTTGATTTTTTTTGATTGGTTTAATAAGGACAAGATGCTACCAGAGTGAAAAATCATATTATTATATCGTATCACGAATGACATTTCATACATCAATCAGTTACAAAAGGTTTTTATTCGGTATCATTTCATATTGACTTGTGTCTTCACATTCTTAGATGAGCTTCATTATAATTGTTAATAATTAAAATAGTGAATAATTAATTGAATAAATGATGGAGATAGAGAATAAAAAATAAAGGTTTGTATCAAGCTATACAAGTGAGCGGAGAGTTGGCCTCAAGCAATACTAAAACTTTGTGAACGGTGAAGGGATCAAAATTTGTTGAGAAATATAAGATTAAATGAGGTAAGCATCGTTATGCAAAATTGTTAGGGGTTGCCTTGCATAAACTAACGGTTTATGAATGATTTATATCAGAATGTCATTCTAATTGAAAAGAATCCGCAAATTCATGTCTGATTTAGGAGCGGAGAGTTAGATTCTAGGAATAGAAAGATATAAATGTCAATGATGAATTCATGATATTTGTGAATTCTTGTTGGAAGTATAGTCAACATGTCAAAAAACAATAGATTGTTTAATCAAAAAGATTCAATGTCCGATCCAGACTTGTTCCGATTGGAAGATCCATTCATGACAGATGAATCAATACCACGGGAAATGAGTGAGACAAACGTGTCACAAAGCAAACAAGATCAGACCGCCCATAATCAAAATAATCAGAATTATAAATACTTAGGTACTATAGATGATGAAAAATTAAATACCTCGGCTGAGCATTTCAAATTTAGTGATGCTTTACATATATTCAATGTTCGCTTGAACGAAAACAAAGGTGTCAAGGAAAAATCCATGAATGAAGAAGTAGAACAAAAATCAAATGCTGATGATTTTATTAATTTTTTATGGTAACAAGAGTTATTTGACTTTTAATGAAGAGGAATTTGTTGAAACGAATTCAAAGATTGAATCATTTTGGGGATTTTTTACGTGATGACTAAGAAACAAATTATATAGTAAAAGATATATAGCATTTTAATAAAAAAAACATATAAAAAAATGAAATGACCTATTATGCTAACGCCTGAAAACAGATTGACAAAGACATAATATAACTCTTATGGAGTTGTGGTAGTTTGGCTATTACCTGGAAAAGTTTTTGGATTATTCAAAATTGAACTAGCTCCGGATATTGTTGTTTCCAAACTATTCAAATATCCAGTCGAGTAGGTATTTGATGGATCAGGTACAACAGTTGTAGAAACTGGTAACTGATCTCCACTTTTAGCTGCTCGATTTCCTTTACACCATTGCTTTTTTTGTTTGTATTTAGCAAAATAAATATGATGATTATCATAATCCCAAACTGAATAATAATGAGTGAGTAGTTTTGCAGGTAAGGTGATTTCATCTACGTTAATATCAATACCAACACTTTGTGAAATGATACCAGCATATTTTTTACCATTGACCGTAGTATAATTTTTAACAAAATCAACAACAGGTAACTCTAATTCATAGCCTTGAACATCTAATTTTAAACTAAGGTCTTTGATTGAATCAAACGCGAAGTAGTACATGTGCAAATCAATATCAGAATCAGATCTATAATAATAATCACTAGATGATTTATTCAACCCGGCAAATAAATTTCCTAGTATTGGATCCGGCAAAGCTAAAATGTCAGCACCAGTATCTATAATTGCTGCAACAGTTTGTGAAGAAACTACTGTCCCGTCATTCAATTTCATACCATTTATAGTGAAATAGGGCATATAATATTGTTTGCTTTTCCAACGTGGTAACAAGTCCACTTTAGTCAAAACACCATCATAAATATCAGCATAAACACCTCCAAATAAAACTGAACCTCCATCGGCTTGACCATCTATTGAAAATAATTTTCTTTCAATTTTTTGTTGATCTTTCATTGAATAAAGTAAATTAGGATAGTTTGGTCTAATGAATTGAGTAGTATTATATCCCATACCTAAAATTCCGTTATAACCACCAAGTAACAGTTGTGGAATATTTGTAATAGCTAATGTTTGATTCTGTAATTTTAAACCATTCCAAGATGTAATTATATCAGATCCTTGATATAAAGAAAATTGATCTATTGACCCATAAGAACCATAAAATGTTTTTGAGGTATTCTGAAATGTTTTTGAATATTGAGGTTTATAAGCTGACGTGATTATAACTGTATCTGAAGAACCAGTATCAAATTCAAATTTATCAATATTCTGAGGTGGAAAACCAATTTGTAAACCATGAATGAAATAAGTTTCATCTAATGTTAAGTCAAATTCATAAGAAGTTGGTAATTGAAATGGCCATGAATTGCCTAATTGAATCAAAAGACTGATTAGTAGTAAAATTTTGATAGAACTGTTAGACATGATTTGTAACATGATGATTTGAGACTTCAAAAATAATCAAAATCTTACGAAACTAAGTCCATTATATATTAATCATATAAAGTATGAGACCTTAAAATTGTTACATCATTATGTGCCGTCTTCTTCAAATATTTTAAGATGTAAATTAATCATTCATTAATTCTATTGTTTCATGTTAATTGCAAAAATTAAATTGTTGCAAAATTTTTGACAAAAATTTCCTAATTTGATCATGACAATGCGAAAATTAAAAAACAAGTAATTATATTAAGCAATAAATATTACCAACTCCACATTTCCGCCAACTTTTATTGAGTTACTACAAAGCTTGGAACATATTGAGGAATGAGATGTCAAAAATTATGTCACATGTGTCTAGTAGACAAACTTTTGTTTCATATCTGTGTATAGTAAACCGATATTTTGCGCTATAATCTCCTCTGTTTTGAATTGTTTTAGCTTAGAACTGAGTATAGACTTGAAGCATTTTTCCATTGTATATGCAATTTTAAATTAATAGCGTATTCTAATATCTATCAGTAATTTCTTGAACAGAGCTTGAAAGTTATCTTTTCAAGTCCATAATCTATTCTTTAACATTCAAATGTAACTCTTTTAACTTTAAGTATGCTTCAAAGGTCAAGTCAAGTGCATTGCATACTGTCATAAACTAACTATAATTCATATAGCCTTTCCTGACTCTTTCATCAACCCTTTGGATGATAACTATCGTTCATTGTAATTGGTATGGTTAAACAAAACTGAACCGTGATAAGTACTAATGTTTATAATTTGACACACAAAAAATTAAATTAATGCATACATATTACTTAATTTTTAACATTTGAAATATAGATAAACAATAAAACAAAGCTTATAATACATACAACATCATCACATATAGACACCTAAAACTACAAACACGACTGATAATATACAAGAAAGTATTGAAGGGTTGTTCATTGTTTTATATAATTCTACAAACAAAACTAGCAAACAATTAATCTAATTCAAGAGTTTAATGGACAATATAAGACGAAATACCCTACATCCATTCGAAACACCCAAATCACCATCAAAATCAACGAGAGTGAACGATCCACCACGATTAAATGAGGAACGACTACCGATTACAGCGTCATCATCACCTCCTAGGAAAAGAAACAATAACACCATATTCAGTGATAGATATATTCCGAATCGAACTGGTGTGGATCTACAAGCAGCCTTTAGTTTGACGAATGAAGAAATACTACCGGACTTGAGAAGTAATAGAAATGCGGATAATGAAATTGAAATTAGAAGAGAAGAAGAGGCAAACAGAACTTTTTCAACAGTTTTGAAAGCAGAGTTATTTGGAGATAACGTACCCATGGCAACCGCAAACTTATCAAATTCATCAAACTCATCGAATAATATCAACCATAGAAATACAAGTCTGCGACCCAATACTGGCGTAGCAGGAACTCCACCAAGATCATCAAATTCTATTCCAAATTCATTATATTCAACTTCCTCATCAATACAACAGGCAGGTTCAAATAATTCAATATCCACCTATGACTCAGATGACGTTACTTCAACGCCTAGACGTAAGACTAATTTATTCACATATCAATCTCCTAAAAAATCAAGACCAATATCTCGCGATCTACAACAAGAATTATATTCTTTATCACCTGTAAGACAAGAATCACAAAAATTACTACTATCTCCTCAAAAGAAACCTCGAAATATAGCAAAAGTTCCATATCGGGTTCTCGATGCACCTGAATTATCGGATGATTTTTATTTAAATTTAGTAGATTGGGGACAACAAGATGTTTTGGCTGTTGGATTAGGTGATAGTGTTTATTTATGGGATGGATCTACTCAATCTGTTGACAGATTATGTAATTTAACGAATAAGGATAAAGTAACAAGTTTGAATTGGATAGGTACTGGTACTCATCTAGCTATTGGAACTTCGAAAGGTTTAGTTGAAATTTGGGATGCCACGAAAATCAAATGTGTTAGAACAATGACGGGACATTCATTAAGGGTTAGTTCCTTGGCTTGGAATGAACATATTTTATCAAGTGGATCTCGAGATAGAACAATTTTGAATCGTGATGTTAGAATTGAGGATCATTATGTAAATAAATTTGAAAGTCATAAACAAGAAATTTGTGGTTTGAAATGGAATATTGAAGAAAACAAACTTGCAAGTGGTGGCAATGATAATAATCTATTTGTTTGGGACGGTTTAAACCCAAAGCCGTTGTATCAATTGAATGATCATACTGCCGCAGTGAAAGCAATTGCCTGGTCTCCTCATCAAAGAGGGATATTAGCATCTGGTGGAGGAACAGCTGACAAAACTATTAAAACATGGAACACTTTAACTGGTAATATGATACATGATGTTAACACAGGTTCACAAGTATGTAATTTGATTTGGTCAAAAAATTCTAATGAAATTGTATCAACTCATGGTTATTCGAGAAATCAAATCATCGTTTGGAAATACCCTTCTATGCAACAAATTGCTCAATTAACTGGTCACACTTATAGAGTTTTATATTTATCTTTATCACCAGATGGTGAAACAATTGTTACAGGAGCAGGTGACGAGACATTAAGATTTTGGAATGTCTTTGAGAAGAATAAAAATAATGAATCACCTTCATCAGTTTTACTAGGTGCTTTTCTGCAATTACGATAATTTATTTATTTATTATTTTAGTCATTAAATATTTAATTATTTTCATACATGAATAGATTTCGTGTCAAGTAGATTTTGATTTGCACTAATATTATTGAATTGTAGCCAATTTTTAAAATTTACTATAGAATGAACAACTTCATTTTTAGATGATGTAGCTAATATATTCATATGTTCCAATGTGTATAATATATCTTCTTTTCTAAATCCTGATACATTTGATAATTGATCCAAAGTATAACTTGTTTCCCCATTTATTTGCTCTTTCCAAATTATTGAAGCTAGTCGTCGTGACCAATACTTCAAATATACAATTTTACCATATGGTGATAAAGGAACTTCTGGTCCACTTTGTGGGTTACTTGCTAAATGATACAGAAGCTCAATTAAAAAAGATCCAATATGTCTATTTTGAAATGGAGGAAATACACAAATGCATGCTAAATTAATTGTTGGATCATAAGCTATCATTTCCTTTGAAAAAAAGCCCATTGGTATATACTTTGAACTTCTTCCATCTATCCCATAATAAATGTAAAAATTAAAATGATCTAAATTATAATAAACACTTTTGTCATCTAAAAATAATTTACCAAATAATGATAGACTTTGACAAAATAGTAAGTCTTTAAATCCTTGAACTTCTCTAACAATTATTCTATTTTCCTTATCATAATATACCAATTTGCCAACTTCGGGCTTGTCAGTATTATATTTACATGCTGAACTATGTTGAATAAGCTGTGATTCATTTGAACTATATTTGAAACAAAATTCACAAACAAATAAATGATCTACAAAACAATCATTCTTATCATAATTTTTTGGTCTTAAACGATTATTGGGATTTGCAGTCACTAAATTGGAATAAGAATAACCCAACATATCAAGTTTTCCTTCTGTTGGATAAAAGTAAGCAGGATTTCCGAACCATGGTTCGAATTCATAATTACCAAAAGTGATTTTACCTATATTAGGTTTGATCGATTGACCGTAATATGATGTTACTTTTGAGTTTGGTTCTTTGGCATTAGTATTTGTAGTTGTTAACAACATTCACGATCATGGAAGGTGATGAAGTTTAAATGTATAACAACATACAAGAAAGTAAATTTAATTATAATGTTTTTAAAATTTATGAAGACGCGATTTATTTTGTTTCAAATTAAACAAGTGATAATTCAAATAAATATCCAGTCAAATCAATCTTATATATTAGTGAATAGCAAATGCCACCTAAAGGATGGAAAAAGAATGCTGATCCAAGTCAACAACCCTCAAGAGACCTCGACCCGGTATCGATTGATGATATTTTATTCCCAAGATCAACAATACAAAAACTAGCTAAATCAATAATTTCAGATGAAGAAAATTCATATAATATGACAATAGCTAAAGACTCATTACTAGCTTTACAAAGATCAGCAACTGTTTTTGCTAGCTACATGTTATATCATGCCAAACAAATTTCAAAAGCATCAGGAAGAAAAACGATTAATGCTCAGGATATGTTACTAGCTTTAGAAAGAGCTGAATTTGGAGGATTTGTACCGGAAATCAAAGATAAATTAGCGTCTTATGAAGTTTTAATGAGTGCAAAGAAGCAAAAGAAATTAGAAGAAAAATCAGAAAATATAGGAAATATACCGAAAAAATCGAAAACTATAGATGGAACTGCGGTTAGTAAACTTGATGATGAGACTGATGAAGAAGAAATTGGAGATGGAGACGACGATCTGGTAGAAGATGTCAATGAGGACAATGATGACAAGGCGGATGAAGAAATAGACGAGTACGAGGAAGAAGAAGATGATGATGAAGAAACAGTTTCTGCAAATCCAATCTCCGAACTAAGTAAAGATGAAGAGGAATTGGAAGGTCGACAGATGGAAGAAGATACAGAAAACTTAGATGAAGAAGAGGAAGAAGAAGATGAAGAGTAGTTTAATCAAATCTAGCTTTTATGCAACTACTTGTATATACTAAAGAATACATAAAGACCAATTAGTAATATTCCTCCAATAATCGAAATAATGAATTTTGTCTTATGAAACCACATTCTACGTTTGATTTGTTGTGCTTTTTTTTGAAACATCAGTGAAGATGTATTCAATCTATCAGTTTGATCAACTAATGAATTTATTTTATCACCTCTATGTAACAATTTATTAATATTTTCTAACATCAATTGTCTCACCTCCCCTACTTCTTCATTCGCTAAAATTAATTGATTGGGGTTGATTTGACTTGAAGTTGATTCGTTACCATCATTCGTTGACCCGTAATTATAATTTTGTTGATTCAGATCGAAATTCATTTCTTCATACTTTATAATCTGATTCATTAGCAATTTGAACTCTCCAGGTTTAGCTTTGGCTGTTTGATCGGTTTTATCATCTTGTTTGAACTTGAAATCAATGTATTTGTCCATTATGTTCTTCAATACCATCAAAACGAAAGTTCTATTTACTCCAACATGAGCTATAACAACTACAGTAATCAAATCCCGACTTCCATCTAAGTTCAAGTATTTTTTCATGAAATATAAAGACAATTTTAAAGATGAACTCATTGATACTGGGATTGAGCCCACGAGAGTTTTGGATGAGTTTATCAAACCCAATTCTTGAGATATGATCTCTGAGCAGTTGATCTTTGGTAAACTGGATGTTAATTGATGATTTTCATATGTGTATAGCGTTGATGAATTGATGGTTAATGTACAATATATTACTGCCTGGTCGTTAGTAATTGCATAAAGTGAATAATGGAAACATCAGTACATACAATGCGTATAAAGATCCGACTGTGTCATGGTCGACTAATTTGGTAAGATGATTATAAGCGGAGTTTTGACTTATCAAATTAATCTTTGATTTTATGGAGAAATGCGAAACTGACACGACCAAAATTGATATATAGTGAAGCCATTAGAACGGCGTTCGCTTTAATAATAAGTGAACAAAAAACACTTTTACTTCTATCCCATCGAAGCAATAGTCAAGTGCAAACCCAAATTTGGAGAAGCTAATATCTTGAGAATCTCGTCGCTCTAGATTCATTACACTATAATAGAAGGATATCGGTTGTCTCAGATTATGCTACCAAATATTAAGATGATCATCACTATAAAAACCTCGATAACTTAGTAAGACTTTCATCTTAATCCTCCTCGAAGTATATATAAACCTAGCTTCCCATCATATCTCTAGCAATTACTTTCAAGTTTGAAGAGAAATAGTGTGTATTCTATTTGAAATTGTTTACTGTTTTGAAAGAAGTGTATTAAACTCTTCTCATACAAACAAAAATAAATTTACTATTACACTTTAAAAAACATTCAACAATACCAAATGAATTATAAGAATGGGGAAGTATAGGAAGAGATTCAATGAAAAAGCTAGATCTGGAATGCTAGCGAAGCAGGCAGCATTAAAGAAAGCACGAAATAAACAATTGTATGCTCAAGAAGACGAAAAAGAATCAGACACTGAAGGTACAAAATTATCATCATATGATATATCAACATTTAATACACAAGATTCCAATGCTGAAATACTAGCTCCGGTATCAGAGGAGGAACGACTAGCTCGGAAAAGAGCACTCGAAGAGAATCTATATTCACAAAATGCTAAGACTGAAAAATTGTCAAGATCGAAGAAGAAAAGACTCGATAAATATATTGAACATCAATTAAAACGTGAGGAAAAGAAAACATTACTTGCAAAACTAGCAGAAACAAAAGTAGATACATCGAAATACAGTGCATTGAAAGAGTTGGGGAAAGGTAAGTTGACAAAGAAAGAACAAATGATAGAGGCCTTAGAGCTAGAACGACAAGGTAGAGGTGATGATCATACTAAAGAAATACTATACGAAGAAAGAGACGTGGAAGAATTTGATGAAGAGAACATAATTGGAGCTAATGAAGATACATCGGCAAGTCCTGTCCATAATAAGTCTTCGTTCTTGGACAATAGGCCATCCAAATTTGGGGGATCAGGATTTGGGTTTGGTTTCAGTAATATACCTGTAATTAGAAGAGACAATAAAGAGTCGAAGAAAAAATACACATGGAGAAAAAGAGTAGAAGATGAAGAGAATAAAAAGCTCAAGATTGAAGCAGAAAAGGATTTTGAATCGGACTCGGATAGTGAAGTTGATGATGCAGAGGAAGAAGATGATGATGATGACGAAATTGAAGATGATGACGAAGATTCTGTAAATGATGAAAGAAATGGAGACGGGAATGAAGAAGAGGAAGAAGAAGAAGAAGAATTAGTGAATATCGTGGAAGACGAAGATGACGAAGACGTTATTAAAGAAACTGGAGGCAAGAAATTTGAGAAGAAAAAGAATAATAAAAAAGAAATTGATCATGAACAGGAAGAAGACGAGGTAGAAGATGAAGATGAAGAAGATGAAGATGAAGAAGAAGAAGATGAAGATGAAGAAGATGAAGATGAAGAAGATGAAGATGAAGATGATGATGATGAAGATGAGGAGGAGGAAGAGGAAATGACGACAAAGCTTGAACAAAATAAACCACGTCACTCAAATACGGCTACTTCTTTCAAAGAATGGGCAGAACAACAATTGAAAAAGAGCGAAGGTAGAGAAAACATTCCACTCATTGCTGAAATATCTGAGGAAACTAAACAAAAATATTCTAAACCTAGTGTCAGAGAAGAAGATTTCGAGCACAGTTCAGATGAAGAAGGTTATATTCAAATTGATAAAAACTTACAAAGAAAAGCATTTGTAGTCAATGTTCAGAGGTCAGATGAAATTCAAAAACAACGTCTTGAACTTCCAATATTTGCAGAAGAGCACAAAATAATGGAAGCAATTTATCACCATGACTGTGTAATATTATGTGGTGAAACTGGTTCTGGTAAAACAACTCAAATACCTCAATTTTTATATGAAGCAGGTTTCGGTAATAAAAGAAATGAACTATATCCAAATATGATTGGAATAACTCAGCCAAGAAGAGTAGCTGCAGTGTCGATGTCGGAAAGAGTAGGCAATGAATTGGGTGACCACAAACATAGGGTAGGTCATCAAATAAGATTTGATACTTCTATCAAAAATGAAGGCACCGAAAAGGGGACTGTTATGAAATTTATGACGGACGGTGTTCTATTAAGGGAGATGATGAAAGACTTTTTGTTGACAAAATATTCAGCGTTAATCATTGATGAAGCTCATGAAAGAAATATAAATACAGATATTTTGATTGGTATGCTAACTAGAGTTTTGAAATTGAGAAGAAAGTATCATGAAAAGGATCCTCAAAAATACAAACCTTTGAAGGTTATTATTATGTCTGCTACATTGCGAATCAAAGATTTTTCTGAAAATACGTCCTTGTTCAAGGTTCAGCCACCAATTATCAATGTGCAAGCTAGACAATATCCAGTCTCGATACATTTCAACAAAAAGACCGAATTTGATTATCAAGAAGAAGCCTTAAAGAAAGCATGTAAAATACACAGAAAACTTCCACCTGGTGGTATATTGATATTTATGACAGGACAGTCTGAGATTACAAATTTGGTAAAGAAACTCAAAGATTTGTTTCCTTCTAAAAAACAACTAAGGGGTAATGAAATAGAATCAGAAACTGATGTTAAACTTTCAAACAATGTTCAACAAGAGGCGGAAGATATTGATTTTAGTGTAAATCTAGCTGATCAAGCACATTATGATGATTTTGATGATAATGAATCAGAAGTAGAAGAAGAAGGATTTGAAGAAGCAATTGACGATCAAAAAGTTGGTCCACTTCATGTTTTACCGTTATATTCGCTTTTACCTACAAACCAGCAAATGAAAGTTTTCGAGGAACCTCCTAGGGGAAGTAGATTATGTATTGTATCGACAAATGTTGCTGAAACTTCTTTGACTATTCCTGGTATAAAATACGTGATTGATTGTGGTAGATCGAAAGAAAAGAAATATAATCAAGAAAATGGGGTTACTTCTTTTGAAATTGATTGGATTTCTAAAGCATCGGCGGATCAAAGGGCAGGTAGAGCAGGTAGAACAAGTGCTGGTCATTGCTACAGACTTTACTCTTCGGCAGTTTATGAAGAATTTTTTCCGCAATTTAGTGTACCTGAGATTTTGCGAACTCCATTTGAAAGTATCGTTTTAAGTATGAAGAGCATGGGTATAGATCAAATTGTGAATTTTCCATTTCCGACACCTCCAGATAGAACAGCTTTGAAACAAGCAGAAGAATTACTTGTCATTCTTGGTGCCCTTGATAATAAGGATCTTCAGATAACAGATTTGGGTAGGAAAATGTCATTATTCCCATTAAGTCCAAGATTCTCAAAAATTTTAATAATGGGTAATCAACAAGGTTGTCTTCAGTATATCATTGCTATAGTTGCTGCTTTATCTGTTGGTGATCCGTTCATTTCAGAAACTGAGTTAATTGGTAATATGGATGAAGATCAAAAGAAAAGCTTCAGAACTAAATTCTATCAATCAAAAGCTCTTTTTGCCAAGCTTGACTCATCTAGTGAATGTATGATATCATTATCTGCTGTATGTGCATTAGATCATATATCAAAAGATCAAATCAAAAGTTTCATTTCAAATCATTATTTAAGACAAAAGATAATTGAGGAGATACAAAAATTACGAAAGCAATTAAGCAGCATAGTGGAAAGATGCTTAGTCTCACCAGCTGGTGGTACATTTGAAATAGCAGATAAATTGGCCGTACCAAATAAGAAACAAGTTTCTGCATTGAAACAAATGATTGCATCTGGATTTATTGATCATGTGGCAATACGAGGAGATCTTATTTCTTCAGAAGTGAAAATTCCCAACAAATCTAGCATTACCAATGTTCCTTATTGCCCTGTGATGCCAATCGATCATGGACAATTTGTTTACATTCATGGGAATTCTGTCATGACAAAGACTGGTACTTCTCCTAATTATCTAGTATACAAAACATTAAGCACTAAGTCTAGAAACTCAAATTTAGAAGATGAACCTTCAAAAATCAGAATGACACCATTAGTTGATATATCCGGCAAACAATTAGCTAACATAGCTAAAAAATCTGTTTTATTGACATTTTCAAAACCTTTAGGTCATCCTTATGCACCTGTTAATATAACGCCCACCAAGAGAGAGTGTTATGTAGTACCTAGATTTGGTTCAGCTATAGGAAGTGGTGGTGTTGGATGGGATTTACCTGCTATGAAAGTCACTCAAATAAAAAGTAATGGTCAATGGATAACTTTATAGATTTTTGTTTATACAATACTTAATTTATGGGCTTCTTGTAAGCTACTGTTGCATTTTCAATAAAAGTTTATCATTTATTGTAGTTCGTTTTAGACTCAGATCTCTTTTTTGCAACTAAAATGAAATCACGAAAAAAAAAAAAATTTATGTATGCAACCAAAAGTTTTGTTTACTTTCTAGTTTCAATTAGTATTTTAAATACAAACAGCATATACTACTTACAAGTAACATTCGCTGACATCAATTTCAAGCCATATGGAGCAGCAAAATGGAAGGAATTGGGAAAATAGAACACGTAAGCGTGGGAAGACTGCGCCATTAATACCTAGCAGTATACTAGATCAAGCATCACAACGAATATTTATTGTCTCACTATTTATATTAATTCAGACTTTCAAATTATATGATCTAATCCTACTAAAAACGGAGTTACCCTTGTCGAATGAATCATCTACAAATCTTACTAGTTTTTCCTTTGTTTTAAAATACACATTAATCGATGGATTATTTTTATGGATCTTGCCAATTTTAAATATTCAATATCTTACTTTTTCACCATCAAAAACATTATTATTCACATTATTATTGAACTTGATATCTATTTTTTTGGTCAGTTCATATGCATTACCACTATTAACAAATTTTTTACTACCGATTTGGAAATTTATACTGCAAAAGAAAGAGCTTAATATTATTGGAGAATCAATTTCAAAGTCAAAAGTAATTGATATAGATTCTCATTTCAAGGGAAAATTAACAATTCATTATTTACCAGACTCATCAGCCAAAATGAATCCATTTAACTTTGATCACGATTGTTTGGGTTCAGCTAACAATTTTGATTTTGGAATGCCAATTGAATTCAACACAAGTGCTGGAATAGGTTTCCTTCAAGTTCAACAAACCACACCTCAAAATGATATCTTATTACATAATTACACAGGTCACACATTAAACAAACTATTCAAAAAAGATTATACTAAATTTAACAAATTAAAAAATGCTAAAAAAGATTATGGGAATGTTTTCTACCTAGAATTTCCAATCAAGGAGCCTGGGATGTATAAATTAAAAAGTGTTTTGGATAGAAAAGGTAATAGTATTAGGTTGTATAAATCAGAATTTGAAATATCAAATTGTCCACTGGCAAAATTTTTTTATCCACCACATTTTGAATTTGATGCTAACTACAAATGTTTATCAACTTTTGAACAAAAATCATTTCCTGTACCATGGTTGGAAGTGTATGGACCAACTCCCCTGTTTGTGAACATTGACGTGAAACTTGATGGGAGAAAATTCAAGTCATTTAATGTAACAATCAAACAAGATGTTGATAACAGGTCCAAATCTAGAACAACTGATTACAATTACCTAACTCCTGTGAAACTATTAAGAAATTCGTTAGAACAATCAATTGTAGAAAACATAAATGATTCGGAAATTAAATCGAACTCAATATTGGAATTTCAATTATTATCAATCCGTGATTCATTTGGAAATGTACATAGATATCAACCACTTTCAAAAGATAAGGACGTATGGTTTAAATTAAATTTGAAGAGTAGCCCGACAATAAGCTTAATAGACTATAGCAAAGAGAAAAAACTATTAGTGAACGGCACCAAGACATTGCAAATCACTAGGTCAGATGAATTTACAGATGAAGATTTCCCTGTTAAAGTGATATTATCGCATAACGGTAAAAACAGCACAAAAATTTTTGAACTGAAAAAGCAATTAAAAGAAGGTATACAAGTAAATGAACCAGGTTCATATCAAATAATCACAGCTGATACGAAATTTTGTCCGTGCAAGATTGCAGAAACAGAGCCTATAACTATTGTTCAAGCTGAAATACCACAATTGAAAATAGTTGCGGAACAAGAAAGTGATAGATGTTTAGGGGTAGTGGGTTATAATTTCGATTTTAATTTTACAGGTGAAGCCCCATTTAAAGTCCAATATCAAATTTATTCAAATAAATCGGGTGTATTGAAACCTGTGGCGACCGACACTGGTAAAATCAATAGAGACTTGATATCACAAGATCATTCACATTCATTCAAATTTAAACCACCTAGCGAAGGGAGTTTCACTATTGTGTTCAACAATTTGAAAGATGTCAATTACTACGAAAAAGGATTTCCCTTGAGCGAAAGATATCAAACATATTTCAGACAAGCATCGGAAATATCATTACAGTCTAAAAGTCCAACAATTTATACATGTTATGGAGATACGGCCAAAATATCCATGAAATTTAAAGGCAATGGTCCTTTCTCGTTCGACTATGAGTATGTTGATCCACAAAATAGAAAGAGATTTGGATCAGTTATTAAAGTGAAAAATGTGACTAGTTACCTCGTTGAAACTCCTAAAAGTTTGATTGGTAAAAATTATGAAATAGAATTAAGTAATGCAAAAGATATACTAGGTTGTGATGCGAAAATAGTAAATCAAGATCGGGCAGTTAGGGTAGTCAGTAGACCTGATATTCCTGAGCTCGAATTACCAAAAGATAAAAAACAAATAGTTGATGGAGCATTTGTTGTTATCCCATTGAAGTACAAATCGTCGATTGGCTTAAGTGGTAATGATATCATTTATTTAAAGCATTGGAATCTTAATGGTGAAGACATGAAAATCCAAAAGGCTGACCTTCGAGGCTCTTCACTTAAATTATCGAATGAAGGAATCTATGCTCTTGAATCATTTGAAAATTTTGGGTGTAAAGGTAAAGTAATACATGCTGAACATAAAGTCATAATTACTTATTATGAAAAACCATCATTAACAATATCATCAACTGCTATACAGCATAGAGATGAATCTACAATTCAGTTAAAACCTGTTTGTAATGGTAAAGTTGCTGAATTGGATCTAACCTTAAAGGGAACTGCACCATTTTTAGTTGATTACGAAATAAAATTGCCAAACGGTCGAATAGAGGCACATACGATGACCGTAGAAAATCATGACATTAAGATCAAATTACCTACTCGAGAAAACGGTCAATATGAGCATAAGTTCAAAAGAATATATGATGCAAAGTATACAAAACATAGCGGAACTCAAGTCAATTTATATTCACCTACTGTAATTTATAAGGTCAATCAACTACCATCTGCTCAATTTATATCAGGCAAGCATTTTTCACAAATCTGTGAGAATAAACTAAATGATGATGATTTAATCATTAAACTTCCTATCAAATTAATAGGTTCATATCCATTTGATGTAGATGTCACTATCAAAAATGAAGAAACTGGAAAATCATATTCATTAACATTTAACAAAATTTATGAACCATTTTTACCATTAAGTAATATAAAATTTTTCACACTTGGTGATTATAGTATAACTATAGATAAAATTTCAGACCATAATGGTTGTACAAATTATCTTAAACTAGACTCAATCAAATATATCTTATCTATAACGGAACCACCAAATATATTCAAAACTTTACCTCAAGAAAAACATTATTGTGTTGGTGATCATGTTTCTTACACATTAACAGGTGTTCCCCCAATAACTATATACTACGAATACAATAATATCAACAGGAAAGCAGAACTGTACAATATTTTTAAAAGATTGGCGTCTAAACCAGGAATATTAAACATTAAAGCTTTAAAAGATTCAGGAGGAAATCAATGTTTAGTAAACTTCACAAAGAATATTGAAAAATCAAATTCATTACAATTACAAGTTCATGATTTACCAAGTGTAGAAGTTAACAAAGGTGATTATATTGTTGAAGATATACATCAAGGTGATCAAACAGAATTAGTATTTACTTTCATTGGAGAACCGCCGTTCAAATTAACTTACGTAAGAACGATTGATGTAAAAGAAGGTCACAAAAAAGTACGTAGAGTTGTAGAAAAAGAAACGATTAAGGATATTTGGGACTATCAATACATTGTATTAGCTAGTCTCGAAGGTACTTATGAAGCCATCGAGGTGGAAGATAAATTCTGCCGGGCTATAAAAACTATATAGAACAGACATCTAATATAATCTTATTAATAGCTTTGCAGTTTGTGTGTTTTAACGTCTTTTCATTGGAATTTTAGATCTTAGATTTTGTGTCTAAAACCTTATTTTTGTTACTATTAATAATAATGTGGCGAAAATAAATAAAATATGATAGTTCTTCATCATCACCCAAACGCTTGTTTCTAATTATCTACTTACAATATATTGTTTTGCTAGAAGTAGACGCAAATAACTATAGACAAAGCATATTTTGTTTTACATTTGTAGAATATAGGAATACAACAAATGAGCGATGGTATTATGCATGGATTGTTTACGAGATCGAAAACCCCTTAAACTTAAATTAATATTTTGTGTCAAGTTTAATTTAATAGTTGGATCTTGAATTAAATTTCTGGGAAATGCATTCACCTTCTTTTGATGATGAATAATTAATCGAAAAATTTTTTAACAAAAAAAAACCCAATCATTTTGCAATTTGTATACTGACCATCATTCAATGCATAACTCAGGTTGAAAATCATAATGATATACCGTATTACTTGAAAAAAGAAAAATTTTAAGACATATATTTTCAAATTTCATAGTGATGTGTTTAATTTAAAATAATTATAATAATACTACTTAATGCATACACGATTTTATAAATATTTCATGAAAGATTATCGACTTTAATGAGGAGTTATCAAAGTTGACATTGCAACCAAAGTAGTCACATAGTTAAGCAATCACTGACAAATTTTTGGAATTGTTTGCTATCGGTTTGACTTTAAATCTACAAACACTTTTGTAACACTCCAAAAATCTATACATTCTCATGTTTAATATTTAAATTTCAAAAATTTTCTATCAAATTCAATCACATCCAATCAATCAAAATCAAAAATGAACTTCAATCATACCACATTAGGATATTCAAAACCATTAAAATCGATTTATGTGGACCAAACTGTTCGACGATCTATTTTGAAAGAACTTCAAAATCAAATGCCAACAGTTCACAATCACATTGAACATAAAGTCGGTGATCTGATTCTCGAAAATATTGAAGAACAAGCGCATATGATAATCAACCTCTTTTTATGAGTATTTACAAATAAATTTATCTGCTGAATTTTTTACAAATAATTTTTGTACACTGGAAGCCATTATGGGGGAAATATAAATATGTCTTCTTATCAGGTTTGAGCCCATATTATTTTTAAGGCATTATAATTTCGGCAATATTAAACTCTCATTCTGTCTTCAGCTAATCGACTTTTAAGAACTGTTATTTCATTATTGGTCGACTCCATAATAATGTGTTTACGTTTGTTTTTTAAAAATAAATTTGGTTTGTCCATTTTAATTTGCTCAGCATTGTTCATTTGGTTCCAAAATCGAATTTTGATCTTTCAAATTTTTGAGTTTAGCTTCAATATCTGTTCTTTTTTACTTGATCGTCTCCAACTTATCTGTACTCTTAATAAATCAGGATCATTGTATGCGTTTTTGTCAATATTAGTTGGAGGATTGTTTTGGTTGATTTTCTGATATTAAATTATAATATTCTTTATGTATAGCTTCAGCCAAAGTAATATCTTTGTCAGTTATTTTGTTACCAACATCATGAGTAGTCAATTCAATATCTATCTTGTTATATGTTGTTGTTATAGTCGGATGATGTTTTAATATATCTGCTTGTTTGGCAATTAAATTCAAAAAATTCCAGGTCCTTTTGAAATTCTTTAATTTATATTGAACAATTAAATTTTGAGATGGGGTAGTGGAACTATTTATTGTTTTCAATGACCAATGAGGTTGACCAAATGAATTAATCTTTGATAAAGCTGTTTGAATTTTACCATCCAGCAATTTAGTATATAGATTTTTAGACATTAATTGGTTTTAATGATGATTTCTCATACTCGGTAGAATTCATGAAAATGATTTCGTGATAGAATCTGACACAAACTCAATTTCATCAATCATCAAAGAAAAAATATTTACGAATAAGAAAACAGTGAAGTTTAAAATATAGTATCACTTAAATAAATACAAATCACAGTTCTGAGAGAATATTACTCGATTGAACCTTCAACTACATTTAAAAATCAAAAGCTGACTTAAGAAGCATATCAAATAAAACATATATCAGTCTCCATGATTCAAAAGAGCTGAAAGTTATGGTATCAGCTTTATATGTTTTACATATTCCAATAAACAATGATTATGTCATATCAGATTCATCAAATTTTCAATGTTTAATAAGTAGAAGATTTCATGAAGATCATATACCCGAGGATCTAATCATATTGAATATATTTTATAAAAAAATCATAAAGTCATTAAAAGAAGATCTTGCACCAGTTTTATTTATTGATAATTTATCATATATTTACATCAGATGCGATAATGATATTTGGATCTTGGCAACGACTAATAAAAATGAAAATGTAATGCTGGTCATTATGTTTTTAAGGAATTTTCAACTAATACTACAACATTATTTATGTAAAAATAAAGCTAAACATCATTCTCAACAAAGCCTAACAAGGGAAGTATTGTTAGACAATTCAGTATTGATATCGGAATTAATTGATGAATGTTTAGATTTTGGGGTTCTTCAAATAACAGATTACAAATTACTAGAGGAATATATAAAAGTTGAACCAAATTTACCAAAGATCGATCAAGGTGAAGAATCTGAAAGTGAAGATTCTAATTATAGTAGTGAAGATGAAAACATAAAATCAAATGGGAAGAGCAAAAATAAAAATAAAAAAGATCAGAACAAAAAGGATATAAAGTCTACTCACAATCAAGCTGTTAAAACGGACGTTCTAGAAAAACAACCGAATGTGATTAATAGTTCAATTCTACGTACTTATTCATCAGCTATAAATTGGAGACCAAAAGGTATATTTTATGCCAAAAATGAGATTTTCATAGATATCATTGAAGACTGTGAATTTATATATGATATACAGACTTCGACAATAAAGAGAAATGAAATATATGGAACTTGTATTGTGAAGTCTTTTTTGTCAGGTATACCAATATGCAGAGTTGGGTTCAATGAAAATTACATGTCATCAATTGGAAATGATGACGAAGCAGTTATTGAAGCTACAAGACATGATGAGGAAGAAGAATTACCTGAAAATCAGATTGGTGATGATAATACTTTGATTGATGAAGACGAAATGGATGATGTTGCACTGCAATCTTCACTGCAAGTTTCATTACTTTCAAATAAATCACAACCACGTCATAAAATACCCATAAGAAATATACAATTTCATCAATGTATTGAATTATCTAAGATATATCGAGAAAACATTGTCACATTCATACCACCTGATGATAAATTTGTTTTAATGACATATCATGTTGAACAACATAAAAATAAAAAAAAGTTACCTTTAATTTTGATTAAACCAATTTTTAAAATTGACAAGATCAATGAGAAGTTACAAGTCATGTGTACATTAACTACAAATTTCCCCAGAAGAAGACATTGTAGAAGTTTATTAATCAGAATTCCATTAAATCCTTTTTATTTTGATGTCAATCTTTCTGATACAGATTTGAAATATAAAACAGAAAATGGTGAAGTTTCTTTTAAATTTGATAGTATGGAAATAATTTGGAAAATTGAAAGTATTGATGGTAAAAAATCAGTTAGAATGATGTGTGAATTATCTTTATTAAATTCTAAATATATAAAATTGCAAAATATATCAGATTTTATATTTAGAAAAGTGGATAAAGAAAATTTGACAAAGATTAATGATGAAAATTCAGATATTGATGCAATGAATGAATTAGATGATTTTTATGGAGTTAATGGTAATGATAGATCAACTTCAAATAAACAAATGTTACAAAAAATTAAACATAAATTTACAAGTGATGATATTATTGTGACATTTAAAATTCCCATGTTTACATATTCTGGATTGAAGTTATCTTATCTATCTGTTAAAGAAGAACAACTAGAATATTCATGTTTTCCATGGATTAGATATTTGACTAAAAGCTCGGATAAGATTGGTGAAATAAATGATAATGAAGTTATAAATGGCTCAAATTGTATGTATAGATTTAAATTAGGGGTAGATTGTTTTATTATTGAGTAAATTTAATAGAGTTCAATAAAAAGTTTTAGGTGATTAGATAAAATCTCTTGAGCAAAGGGTTAGTAATTGTTTTGCTGCATGTGTTTGATATCTCTCTAAGTTTGACAAAATGTTTGAAGAAACATGAACTTTGTGTGTACTTTTAACTTATTATTATGCATTATATTTATCTCTCCTATTATATCTGGGAACTTTTTCCTAAAACGGTCACGATAAACGAATCTCTTATCTATTGAACATAACTTTGGAGTGCATTATCTATTGAGAACAGATAATGATAATAATATATCAGTCTCGTAATCCATTGATACTATCTCGTAATAATTTCCAAAATTTATTGTAATAATAATTACTAGATAAGTTATTAAACTATGAAATAGTAACGTCCGCCTGCATTTTCATTTTGAAACCGCTATAATTATACTTTTACAGTTATGAATTTACATCCCATTGAACCATATTCAATTTCATAATATTTACATCCTAAATATCATTCGATCAATTCCAATAATCCGTAAGACTTATGTCTTCAACAACTAGTTTAAAATCTAATGCTACAACTACTATATCTAATACATCAAATGGTACGAATAAAAAAATCCCCGCTTCAAATTTTAAACCAAGAACAAAATCAAGAAATGGATGTTTAACATGTAAAAAGAAAAGACTTAAATGTGATGAAACAAAACCAACATGTTTGAATTGTAAAAAAAAGAAAATAGAATGTGGTGGATATGCAACAAATTTTAAATGGAAACTGTTTAATGAAAAAGATAAATCAAATATAAATCAAAATTTTTTACAGAAACATTTAGAATTGGCTAGTTTTTCAGTTACTGGTAGATCAATTGATGAAATTACGAAAGAAAATGATTTGATTTCTAAAGGTTTCAATCCTGATTCAGCAAAGAGTATACCTACGGTGAATACCGACAGTCAAATTTCAACTCCCTCCAGTCTACCACACTCACAACAATTGCAACAACAACAACAACAACAACAACAACAACACTTGGGACAGCATCAACAAGCTCAACAAGATCAGATTCAACCAAATCATCATCAGCAGCTGCAACCACAACAACCACTGCATCAGCGAAGATATAGTTATGCAAACATACCAAATCAATCATCTCCTACATCATCCGTTTTACATAGATCATACTCAGATCTGTCTCCAAATTTTGATCTAAGATCTATTGGAAATAATGATTTAAAATCATTGGCAGATGCAGCAGTAGTTGAAATTGAAAAACTGCAAACACCAAAAGAAACTTTATTTTCATCAAATTTTGAAAATTTAATTAATCAACCTAATCAATCGATACCAAAGAAAAATTATAATAATAAAACTGATGATTTTGAAATTAATTTAACTCCTTCATTATCTGCTATTTTAAATTTTGCTTTTAATTCAGAAGAAATTGATGTTCAATCAATTGAAACATTAAGTCCTTTAAATTTAAATAATAAACCATTACTTATACAAGAATTTTCAAATCCATCAACTCCTGCTCCTCCTAATTTTGATAATAATAAATCATTAATTAAAACCGCTGAACAAGAACAAATAATATATCTTTATTCTGAATACACATCCGGATTAATGTCTATAAAAAATGGTATACATGAAAATCCATGGAGAAATATGATTTTACCATTAGCTACTAGATATAATTGTTTATATAATTCTATAGCATCAATGACTATGTTTCATTTAGCTGGTTCAAATGGAATTGTTTCATCAACAAAAGAATTAAAATCAAGAGGTTATAATTATATGAAACGTTGTATATTTGAATTAGCAAGTGGATTATCAAAAAAGGAAAATGATGGAGAAAAAGAATTACCAAGTGATATTGCATTAGTTACGTGTTTAAATTTATCAAATTGTGAAATTTGGGATACTCATATATCAAGTGGAATAGCTCATTTAAAAGGAGCTAAAAGTATTATTAATAAAATATTAACGTTATTAAAAGATGAACAAACAAGAATTAGAACAAATAAAATTGAAAATAATAATTCAATAAATAATGATTCATTTCAACTTAAAAATAAATTAGTATTAATTGATCAATTTGAATATGAAAAAATGTGTCATGATTGTATTACAAAGCCTGATATATTAGCAATACCAAAAAGTATACATTTTTTATTTAATATATGGATTTATTTTGAAGTATTAGCTCAAATGACAAATGATTCAAGTTGTGATGAAAAGGGAGTAGATTTGGTAGCTGTTATTACATCAATGTTAAATCATGAAAATAAGAATAAAATTGAAATTAAATCACCACTGGAAATAAGTGAATCATCAACTGATAAATTATATAATTTTTTTGATGAATTTGATGATTTTAATTATGATTCAGAAATGGTTGATCCTTTATTAGGATGTGGTCAATCATTATTTTCAATATTAGGTAAAGTTGCAACTTTAGTTTCTAAAATACGTAAAAATAAATCAACAACTGGTAAACACAGAAAAAGAAATACATTAAATACAATAACTCATGCAACAGATTTAAAACATTCATTAACTGAATGGAAACCAACAATAAATTCAAGAAAATTAGAAAATAATGAAGAAGATAATAATAATTCAAAAACTTGGGATTTAACTTCATGTTTAGCAACAGCTGAAGCATATAGATATGCAGCATTATTATTTTTACATCAAGCAGTTCCTGAAATTCCATCATTACTGTCTCATATATTAGCTGAAAAAATTTTTGTTTTATTAGCTTCAATACCAAAATCTTCAAATACTTATATTGTTCATATTTTCCCATTATTAGTTAGTTCATGTGAAGCAGAAATTGGAGAAGAAAGAGAATGGTGTAAATCAAGATGGAAAGTTTTATCAGATAAAATGTGGATTGGAAATGTTGATAGAACTTTTGAAGTTGTAAAAGAAGTTTGGAAAAGGAAAGATGAATTAAAAATTAAATCAAATAATAATAATAATAATGAAGATGTTAATAATATTAATAATAATAATAATCCTTTACATGGTTTAATGTCAATTATAAATAACGATCAACCTAATAATCATATAAATCCTGATTCTTGTGGATTTATAAATTCTAAAACTCATTGGTCAAATGTTATGAGAGAATGGGGTTGGGAAGTTTTGTTAGGATAAACAAAGAGTAGATGTTAATGAGTTACGAAATATAAAATATTTATTGAAGATTTTAATCTGTTTTTCAACTTTTCTCTTTTTAAAAAGATACCGTTCTGCCGTTTCAGATGTTCTGAAGAATTAAGTAATTTTGCATAACGAGTCAAGCGCAACTATGTAAGTTGACTCAAATATTGAAATATTATACCATGTCAATTTTGCAATTTGATAATCTGATTTCCTACTACTTGTCAGACCATTTTTCATATCATCCATGATTCAATTGACTAGAAACGGTATATTAAAATCTAATTTTAATCAATTTATAAGGAAAGTAACAACAAAATCACATTTAGCTTCAAATCCTTTCAATGTTGAAAATATGCAAATGATAAGAGAATCAAAAAATCAATTTCCAAAACCAAATTTTATTAGTTTTGATTTATTTGGTACATTATATTATCCTAAGAAATCAATACCTGAACAATATTATGATATACTGAAACATGAATTTGGTATATCATTACCTGCTCAAACAATAGCTGAAAAATTCCCTAAGATATATAAAGAAATGATGATTGAATATCCAAATTATGGTAAAGGTAATCCAAAATTTGAAAATACAGATTCTTGGTGGGAAGAACTTATAAAAAGAATTTATAAAACAAATGATTCCAAAATAGATGATGAAAAATTAAATGCTTTAGCTTATAGATTAATCCATCATTTTACAAGTAATGAAGCTTATTCATTATATCCTGATGTTTTGCCAACTTTAAAATTTTTAAAAAATAAAGGTGTAAGATTAGTTGCGTGTAGTAATTCAGATGAAAGAGCTTTAACAATATTAGAATCATTAGGTATAAAACAATTTTTCCATTGTAATGAAATTTTACATTGTGATAATGTATTTTTAAGTTATAATTTAGATCATTTAAAAGGTGAAAAAATATTTTATGATAAAGTTGCAATGATTGAATATAAATCTGAAATTAATTCAAATTATTCAAAAAAGCATGTACCAGTTGAATTTTTAACTGGTTGTTATCAAATTGGTGATAATTATAATGAGGATTTCATTGGATCAATAAAAGCTGGTTGGAATGGTGTATTATTAGATAGAAATGGTTCTCATAGTCTTAATTTAACAAAAAATAGAGAAAGTAATCCAAAATATGATGCTTGTGCTTTAAGTCTGCAAGAAAAAGAATTGAGTAATAATAATGATGAAGATGATAATGAACCATTAGTTTTAGCTAATAATAGAATAGTTATTACTAATTTGGAACAGTTATTGAAGTTATTTGATTGGAATTGATTTAATACGTGTATATAGATTATTGAAGTAAGCATAATATGTCAGTTCTTTACTTTTGGCCCTTTGACATCTCCATTTACCTATGTGTTCTAGTTGGGTCTCGAAAATATTAATTTTGTTTGGATAAGTTCTTCATCAAAACTATGTTGATTGATTCATTTTTCTCCTTATTAAGATCCTAATTTTAGATCTAACCTTTTGTTTACAATAATAAATAAATTTAAGTCATTATACATAATGTAAGATCTATATCATCAATCTATGATTCAAATTTACAGAAGTACAATTCAACTCTGTTTACAAAAGGTAGAGTTGGAGAAAGTAGTAATAAATTAAGTAATACTAGTCCATCAAAAGCAAAACTCGTCTATTTAACAATTACATGAATTTAATAAAATTTGACGTCATTGATCAAGAGAAACTAGCTTAGTTTCATATTTCTTAGATTATCGCTCTTTTCTTGTTGTTTTTGTATGTGCTTTAGTACAATTTAACAGGTGCTTGTTACCGTGCACCTCTTATATATTATAAAGTTACTTACGTAGGTTTGTTGGTTGGTCACTGTGATTATTTCTACTTACCATAGTTAATAGCATCATATTTATCAGTAGTTAATACTTTAATAGTCGTAGTTACTATAATTCATTAGTAAGTGATACTACCGAAAAAATAAAAATTTAAAATTATCAAGACATTTTAAAACAGTATAGAAAAATACAGAAACTCAGCCAACAAAGGGGAGAATTTTATAAAAATATTACCAAATCGTTACTTTACTTAAATTTGTCAACTGTTTAAAACCTTTTCAAGATTATATTTAAAAGCTTATGATAACTTGTTTTTGGAATAAAATTTAAATCAAATATCTACAGTACTATTCCTATACTTCCAATTAGGCAAATCCATTTAATTTATACAAAACTTTTCCTATACCAAAAAATTACACAACCAGTTGAATCTGGGACAATCACATATTCAAAATGCTTGTATCTCATAGACTAATATTTATACTAAATTTATTATTTATATCCCTTGTATCTTCCATTGATATAACAGTTCAAAGTACTGATTCAGTATGTTCTGCTGCAAAAATAGTTGCAGATGGTATGTGGAATTATTATGAAGGTTTTAAATATGGTGGAACTGTTGGTATGTTTGCACCACCCAATTATTGGTGGAATGCAGGTGAAGCATTTGGAGGTTTAGTTGATTATTTTACATTTTGTGATCCAGATAATTCTACTTTAAAAGGTTGGATTCACGATGCAATGTATCATCAAGCAGGTGATAAATATGATTATATTCCAGCTAATCAATCAATGACTGAAGGTAATGATGATCAAGGTGTTTGGGGTATGGCTATTATGCAAGCAGTCGAAAGAAATTTTACAAATCCAGATTCTCATTCATGGTTAGAAATGACTCAAGCAGTATTTAATACTATGAATGCAAGATGGGATGATGAACATTGTGGTGGAGGTTTAAGATGGCAAATTTTCACATGGAATTCAGGTTATAATTATAAAAATTCAATTTCAAATGGTTGTTTATTTCATCTTGCTGCAAGATTAGCAAGATATACAGGTAATACAACAGTATATGTTGAAGCAGCAGAAAGAGTTTGGAAATGGATGGATGATGTTAAATTTTTAACTGAAGAAGATAATGGTAATTTTAGAGTTTATGATGGTGCAAATATTGATGAAAATTGTACTAAAGTTACAGATTTAAGATGGTCATATACTTATGGAGTATTTATGAGTGGATGTGCTTATTTATATAATATAACTGGTGATGAAATTTGGAAAACTCGTACTGAAGAAATTATTGAAGCTTCATTATCATATTTTTTTAATAATCAAATTATGCAAGAAACTACTTGTCAACCTTCAAATTTATGTAATAATGATCAAAGATCTTTCCGTTCATTATTTGCTAGATGTTTAGGTTTAACAATGTTGATAATTCCAGAATTTGAAGATCAAATTAGACCTTATTTGGAAAAAAGTGCTGGAGGTGCAGCTCAATCTTGTTCAGGTGGGTCCGATGGTGTAACTTGTGGTGAAAATTGGTCACATTCTGGATGGGATGGTGTTTATGGATTAGGTGAACAAATGTCAGCATTAGAAACAATAATGTCATTAGTTGTTAAACATCCTTTAAGTGTTGAAACTGGTGGACAAAATAGAAGTAATTTTGCTGCTGGATTGGATTCAGAAGATAGTGAAAATAAAAATAAAATTGATGTTACTTCAAAAGATAGAGGAGGAGCTATTGCTCTTACAGTTATTGTTCTTGCAATACTACTTGGAGGTCTGATTTGGATGTTATTTTAAAACTTTGAAAGATTTTATATGTAAAATAGGTGAAATTGATGAAAATTTAAATTTTTATATTCTATTGAAAACTTGTAGATGTATTTGCGCAATAACATTACTAAATTCGTATTATCATTTAAGTCCGAGAATACTGAAAAATTCAACTTGGAACAAGCAATCCTTGTCTCACGACTCTTAATTCAAATATCAAGCATTATACCTCCAAACTAAATGGTTTTATTCACATCAATTAATAACCTAGCGAATGTTAATAATGGTGCAGCATTTAGGCGAAGGAAATTATTCATACCTCCTTCAACGAGGCAACCAATGTTTAAATATGGAGAAGATGAAGATGATAGATCATTTTTAAGTTTAATTGAAAATGGTTCAGTTTTTGAAGAAGAAGAAGATATAAGTGATACAGCAAGTGTTAGTACTTCAAGATCATTACCTGAATCATTAAGTAGTGCACATACAAATGAAGATCAAGAACTGTTTCATTCATGGTTAGTTGAAGAACATAATCGTAGAATTTCAGAAATTGAAGAAGAAGAAGATATGTTAAATGCAAATATATATGGTCATAGAGGTAGAAGGCGATCAAGTATAACATCTTCAAAATATTCACAAGGTTGGGAAGATTTTATGAAAATTAAAACAAATTATATTCATGAAAGTTATGTATTATTTCGTCATGCTACTCCATTAATTATTACATTTATATTAGAACATTTTTTTTCAATTGTTTGTTTAATTGTTGTTGGTAAATTGGGGACTGATGAATTAGCTGCTGTAAGTCTTGCAACAATGACTTCAACTATAACATTTGCAATATTTGAAGGAATTGCAACTTCTTTAGATACTTTATGTCCACAAGCTGTTGGAGCAAGAAATTATGAAATGATGAGTCTTTATGTTCAAAGATGTATAATGTTTTCATGGACTGTATTTATACCGTGTGGTTTATTTTGGTGGTTTAGTCCATATTTTTTAAAATATATTATTGATAATGAAAATGTAGTACATTTAACTTCAACATTTTTAAGAATTTTAATTTTAGGAGCTCCAGCTTATATATTTTTTGAAAATTCAAAAAGATTTTTACAAAGTCAAGGAATATTTGAAGCAGGTACTGGAGTTTTATTCATTAGTGCTCCTATTAATATTGGTTTATCTTGGTTTTTGGTATGGAATTCAAAATTTGGATTGGGATATATTGGATCACCAATTGCAACTGTTATAAATTTTTGGATTATGTCAATCTTGTTAGTATTATATGTAAGATTTATTGATGGTAAAAAATGTTGGTTTGGTATAGCTTCTATAAAAGATATATTTTCTGATTGGGGTCAAATTGGTCATTTAGCACTTCCAGGTGTCGTAATGATTGAATCAGAATATTTGGCTTATGAAATCATGACTTTATTTGCATCATATTTTGGAACTACAGCTTTAGCTGCTCAAAGTGCAGTTGCCAGTATAGCGTCTATTGCATATATGGTTCCATTTGCAGTGAGTATAGCTGCATCGACGAGAATTGCCAATTTTATAGGGGGTCAAAATCTAGCTGGATCATTAATATCAACAAAAGTTGCAATGTTGGGAGCTTTAGTTGCATCAAGTACAAATTGTTTAATTTTATTTACTTTTAGAACTCATTTAGCTCATATTTTTACAGATGATCCAAAAGTAGTTAATTTGATTGAAAATTTATTACATCCTTTAGTTGCGATTTTACAAATTTTTGATGGTATTGCATCTGTAAATAGTGGGATCTTAAGAGCTCAAGGATTACAAAAAATCGGGGGACTTATTAATTTTATAGCATATTATGCATTTGCATTACCTTTAGCATTAATTTTAAGTAAAGTAATGGGCTATAAATTATATGGATTATGGATTGGAGTAGGTTCAGGAATGTTGATTATTGCATTAAGTACATTTTTTGTTATTCTTTTCAGTGATTGGGATCAAATTTTTATGCAAGCTGGATTGTTGAATGAATCCGATGATGATGATGATAATGAGTTATAGCATATTTTTGTAAAAGTAGAATAGTCACTAAAATAAAAGTATATCTTGTCTGGTTTTACATCTCGTCTACTCCTGGAATTATCTTTAAAAACCTTGCTCGTTTATAATCAAACTGGCACTGATCTAATCTATCATGACACAAAAAAAGATCAATTTAGTGTAAAGTAAACTCCCTTAAATTATTTGCATTGTGTTACCCTTTTTAGACACAAGTTCCAGATCAAATTCTATTTTAAGTTGACCTTATCAGAAGTATAATATTGTCAATTAATGTAAGATGCACAAAATATTGTTATCTATATCACAAAATCAGGACAGTTGAGGGGATTGAAAGAACCGAATCTCATTATGATCGGTAAAGGGTTGGGCAAATGCAAATGTTCATGTTAATAAAGATTTGGAACTAAATCATTCGAAATTGAATACTTAACAGTGAGTTTCAGGTAGAAGTTTGGAAATAAAAATGAATATAAAGAAACATGGAACACAAGAATGTTTGACTTAAACTAGATATTAAATAATATTTTATTCTGTACCACAAGATAAGTAAATCCACATAAGGATTTGTAAAGCTTGGATTAACATTCATATAATAGATATAATATTGAAAGTGAAGGATGCAAAAATCATATATATAGTTCAACGATTTAATCGAAAATGACATTTAGTTGAATCTTGCTCAATTCTTAGAGACAACAATCAAATACTAAGTTGATAACTTATGTCATCATCATTGAACAAGAAAGAGTCCTCTGGCTCAGAAGATTTGGTTAAAGGTTCTGTCTATCAAATAACTTCAAACTCAATTCGTTTTCCAACTACAAGTGTTCGACATTTGGATTCAGTAGTGGATGAAAAAAATGCTTCAAAATTATTAAAAGAAGCTCAAGCTAATTTAAAATATTCTGCAAACACTGGTTATGCTCCTGAGTTAAGAAGAGATTTTAATGTACTTTCGTTACTAGGTATTGGATTTGGTATAACAAATTCATGGTATGGTATAAGTGGTATGTTTTTGACAATCAATTGACTGACTATAAGATAATGGTTTTACTAGTCATTCCTTGAATTTTAAATCGTGACATGATACTAACGTAGTAAAAGGTGCAATGATTGCAGGTATCTCTGGTGGGTCAACTTTGATTTTATATGGTATTATTATTTTGGCAATTGTTGGGATGTGCATTGCTGTTACGCTTTCAGAAATGTCTAGTATTATGCCTCACGCGCTGGCTCAAATATGTATGTTCAAAATTACAATTGGACTTTCTGTTTCAATCATATATAAAAAAGAAATGTAATACTAACAATTTCAAGATTGGGCAATGAAGTTGTCACCACCAAAGTACTCAAAGATAGTCGGATATGTTACAGGTATTTTAGCATGGTTAGGAAGTGTCTTCACTGGTGCTGCAGTTACAATGACTATGGCTTCTGCAGTGACTGGTATGTACGTTTTATACAATCCAACAACGGAAATTAAAAGCTGGCAAATATTTTTATGTTATGAAATTTTTCTTATCTTATTGATTCCTTTTAATCTTTGGGAAAGACCATTACCTGCTATAAGTACAGCCACATTATATATTTCCTTACTATCATTTTTTATCATAATAGTTGTTGTGCTTTCAATGCATAGTGGAGAATTTCAAGATGCAAAAGTGGTATTCACGGAGTTTAATAATTCCACTGGTTGGAACTCATCAGCAATTGCATTTATTATTGGTCTCGTTAATCCTAATTGGGCATTTTCGTGTCTTGATGCAGCTACACATATTGCGGAAGAAACTTTACATCCTGAAACTCAAATACCTATAGCTATAATTGGAACAGTTGTAGTTGGATTTATTACTGCTTTCTCCTATTGTGTTGCTATGTTCTTTAGTATAAATGATATTGAAGGAATCATGACTTCAAATACTGGAGTTCCTATAATGGATATTTTTTATCAAGCTACTAGTTCAAAAGCTGCAGCAGTTGGATTACAATGTTTAATCTTATTAACAGCATTTTCATGTAACATTGGTTGCCATACTTGGTCGTCACGTATTGCATACTCCTTTTCAAGAGATAATGGTTTACCCTTTTCAAAATATTGGGCTAAAGTGAACGAACGTACAGGTACAGTTGTCAATGCACATGTCATGAGTTGTGTCTTAAATGGTATAATCGGTTTGATCTACTTGGGTTCATCTTCAGCTTTCAATTCAATTTTAGTTTGTTGTGTTACATTCTTATTACTATCATATATGATTCCTACATTGTTTTTAATTCCTCAAAGAAATACAATCAAACATGGACCTTTTTGGATGAATAAGTTCGGTATCGGTTTAACTTGTAACTTTGTGACATGTGCTTGGGCTATTTTTGCATTTGTTTTTTATAATTTTCCTACTGTCATGCCAGTTTCAGGTGGAAATATGAATTATTCATCGGTTGTTGTTGGTATCGTCTTGATCATTTGTGTAGGTGACTGGTTTATCAGAGGTAGGAGAGAATTTGTTGATGTTAGAGAAAGAGAACAATACAAGGATGAATTAGCCGACCAATTATCAAATCAAATATCAAATATTGAAGTAGTGATGTCTCGTCAATAGAATTGGATTTATATTTATATTAGTATGTTTTATCTTTACTTATTAGCAATTTATGATGTTATTTACTATGTTATTAATCTACAATTATAACCACTTCATTCTCCTATTACAGAATGACAAACTCTATTTGAACTATCTTAACTGATGTTTGACTGAAAAACAATTTATTTACAGCTTCGAATTCCTTTGGGTCTTCCTGTTTTACCTTTGTTTAATATCAACAGATTTTGTGTATGTATTAAAAAATTTAGTTTTATTATTTTATATTTTTTTGCAACAAAAGTTAAGTGTTGCAAAACTTTTGGCACAACTTTTTAACAAAATAAACTTACCAACATGAGTAACACATCTACATCAAATTGGAGTTTTTCTTTTTACGAAGAAAGCTACGACGAAACATATGTCAATACTTCAGAGGAGATTGAAGATGCAGAGGATTTACAATTGAATCCTAACAACAAATTTATACCTAATGAATCTAGTGAAATTGACAACAACAAAATTTTAAGTCAATATAATCCATTTATTATTGCCAAACTCAACTCAATCAAAAGATTTGAATCAAAATGTAAATCTAATGTCTATAACAAGAAGTTGATTATTTCAGCCAAGGATGTGAAGGAAACTTTAAAAAATGCTAGTCTGAACAAAAAAGATATTTTACTATGGAAGGACTTAACAGACTGGATTAACAGAAAAGGCAATCCGTCTACTATATTAACCTCATTTTTCAAAGATAAAACAGGAGCAGATAATATTGTGCTTTCAAAAGAACATCAAAATAGTTGGACTACTTTTGGGGTCGTGCAAAATACAATTTAATGTTTGTAAACTCAAATATCATCAACTTAAATAAAAATACGAGTACGAAAACAAAAACAGATAAAATCAGAAAACTTATAAATTTCAAACTTGGTAAAAAAATAAAAATTTTGTCTCATGTCATCAGATTTAAGGAAAACTACTAAGGAGCAAGGTATGTTTATACAAAAAATAAAGATTGATACAAAAATACCAAATGCTAACTCTTTTCAAGACCACAAATCATTTGAGTCTATACTACCGGACTTATTCAAAGTTTATGAACAAACAAATGCTGCCATATTGCAGGAAAATGCTATACCAACAAAAATCAGAGATTTCAAAGATTATACAAGTATAAAGAGCAAATATGAGAATAATGAATATGCTTCATCACCGTACAAATTGTATAATGACATCAAAGAGGTTTCTTCAAATTTAATAAATAAGGACAACATTGGATCGAAAGAGTATACAGAAATTGATTTCTTCTATAAATTTGCAACCGAATTATTACTAAGAGAAGTAGGGAATATAGTAGAATCATATCTGTCCCAAGAGATCATCAAAAATGATCTCGAAAGTCAACTAGAAGAAGATTTTAATCAAATACTAAACTCATATACCCTAGATAATGGTGAAATAATAACCTTCATATCCAAATCAGAAGAGATCGATCAAAACGTGCAATCAAGCATATATAATCCACATCATCCACCACCAATAAAACAGAAAATCCAACCACTATTTTCATCAATAATCAAAAAATCGAGTCTAGATAATAAACCAACTTTTGTCAATGAGCCATTTTCGATATCCAAAATAACTCCATCTATAAAGGATATTAAAACCAATTCGTTGCTTGAATCTGTATCTCAACCAAGTCCAGCTTTGTATTCTCCTTTGAATGAAACACCTCAGATACTTGCAGGTTATTTTCATCCAACTTGGTATACAGTCGCAATGCCAACATGGTTGAACCACAAAGCACTTCAATTAAAGTCCAAGCAATTAGATGTTAGTAGCAATTTGCCACAATTGAGTATCTTCAATCAAAACCAACAAGATCAAATGATGTCATTGAATTCATCATCTAGAAACTTGCCTACCATCTGGGGATCGGGAGAAATATACAGATCATTTGCTCCTCATGTTGACAGCTCGAGCACGGCTGTAACTGACAGGCTTAGAAGCACCATATGGTTAAATCATATAGGAAAAGAAACTATTGCTCGATTGAAAAAGAGATTTATCAACCGTGTATCTGGCAAGTCTGCTATACCTTTACCTGCATCCGAATCTGAGGATGTTCAAATGAAAGAGTTAGAAACTGAAGAACATAACAATAAGGATGTTGGATTTAGGGATGTCGAAAGTCAGTCCACTGAAATTGATTTATCTAAAATTTACAAATGGGACCCATTAGAGATGGAAAATTTGAGGTTTTTGAAAGCTCATGAAAAGGATATAAGATCACCTTCCAAATTACAAAAACTTATATCCGACAATTTGTTGAAATTAAATGCATTACGTCAAGATAGATATCATAGAAGTGACCCAAGAAATCCCTTATCACCAAATGATGAAGAAAAGCAACTCCACAACAGGCTTCAGCGTTTATTTATAGTGGCAATAAAATTGTACAAAATTCAACCCAGTGATTTCAAAAGTAAAATCAGTAACAAACTTCCAGTCTTGGTTAGCGAATATGCTGGTTCTTTACCAGGTATACCCAATAGTAGTGCAATAAATGGATCCTTGGTGCAAACAAATAACATCGCAAAGCCAAGCAGTAGGTTACAAGGTTTAAGAACTCCAAGTGCTAAAGGTGGAAAAAGAATAAATTTTAGGCAATGAGAATGAAATGTATCAAAGAATCAAAAAAATAGTTATATTTAAAATCTATATGTCAGCTCCATTCGCGAATGCAATAATTAAATAAATGTTTAACGCTGTAATAATTAGCCAAGTTAATATACTTGAAATTCTTAAAAATCCACCATTGGCGAAATTGATTGGTTTTCCATTCAATTTGCTCACATCTCTATTTTGCTCTAGTAATGGACTGGTTTCTTCAGCCGTGTCTTTTTCATTATCATAAACTGTCATGTATTCTTTTTTGCAAGTGAAATATATCAATGGAGCACTAACTATTGGTAAAATAAAACTCAACACTACTTGAGAACTATTCATGACTTTTGAAACTCCTTCTCTCCCTAATATACCAATCACTATAATAACAGGTACAATGGCAATAATTCTTGTAATGATCCTTCTTTTCCATGGCTCAATTGTCCAATTGATAAAACCTTCTGCAATGATTTGACCTGCCATGGTACAAACAATACCAGCACTTTGACCAGAAAATAACATACTCAAGGCAAATAAAAGACCCGCTGCAGGTGAGATATAATATGACAACATCTCATAAATAGATAACAAATCAGCGTCGGCTGCATCTGGCTTACCATATAATGTTGCACCAGCTACAATTAAAATTGCAGAATTGACAAATACTGCTACAAAAAATAATGACAAATTTAATTCAATGTATGAGTAGTTCAAACAATATTTAATGGCAGAATACGAAGGTTTATATTTCTTCAATAACATGGACCCGTTTGATATTCTTCTTAATCTTGATAAGGGCACTGGGTTAGAATTAGATGATGAGTTTTCCAAGGACGACTCTATGGGCTCTAAACTTTGATTTGTGTTTGATTTAACCGGAGCTTCGTCGTACTTTCCATTTCTTACATCATAATCTTTTAATCTAGGTTGTACTAAAGCCGATCCTAAAAACAATGAGTGTGGCATAACTGTACTTCCCACAATCCCACAACTAATAAATAAAGCATTTTTGTCTTTAAAAACTTCCTTGTTTACAGGTAAAAATCCTTTGAAAATCCCCCATGCTGCACCTGGTTCAAAATTACATTTAAATAATTCAAGTATGAAGCAAGCACATGTAGCCATTACTAAGATTGAAACAATAATTTCAAACACCTTTGTTTGTTTCAAAGACCCGTCTTTATGATAGGCCATCAAAATTATCAAAACATCCAACACTGTTATTACCACACCATATAACAATGGGATACCAAACAAAATTTCTAATGATATTGCAGTCCCCACAACTTCAGCTAAATCAGTTGCTATTATCGCTATTTCTGCACAGATATACATAAACATGTTCAAATTTGGAGCCAAATTAAGTCGACACATTTCGGCTAGATCAAGTCCCGTAACAGTACCTAGTTTGATACATAAAGTTTGTAGCACTGCAGCAAATAAATTTGACATAAATATGACAAAACATAATTTGTATCTGTATGATGAGCCCGCTGAGACAGAAGTTGAGTAATTTCCAGGATCTAGGTATGCAACCGATACAACTAAGCCGGGACCTATGAACGATAGATATTTCTGAAATTTATGGTATAATGATTTTGAAGGTAGTGACATCTCCGGATCGGATAATGAATGCAACTCAATGGTATAATATTTTACTGCCTGTTTCTGATAAAATTTCAACCGATAAAACCTAGGATCTGAGTTATTTAATATGTTAATTGGTAAATATATTTCTGTTTAAATGTTACTACAAATCTTCAATTTTTTAATTATGTTAATTTACGTTTGACAATGCGGCTTCTCTTTAGGTGATTGAATTTTCAACTTTCAAAAGAAGGTCAAGTATTTTAAAGTCAAAATAGAGATTGAGTTATTGGTAATCATGGTAATAGATATTAACAATATTAAGGTAAAGCCGATAATAAGACGACTTATAGCAAACCATAGGTTGATGATGATATCTCTTGAACAAAAAATTTGGATTCCGAATTCTTCACCACATGTTTTTTTATACCACTCATACATTCAAAACATGCTGTGTTTAGACAAATCTTCAGAACATGCTGTGTATATACGAAAACCCTGTATGTTTGATTCTATATGTAGTTACCTATTAGTAAATTTATTAAAACTCTGGTTTCAATGCTTTGAGGTTTGAGAATTTGCATATCGTCTTGCTACCAAATTTAGTTTTCTATTCAAATCTTTTGACCCGTATAGTTGATCTTCTGTTTGAGACAGATCAAGAATAAATGCTACTACAACGCGAATTCCAATAAATGTTGATTACAGAAGTGAGGAGATACAATGTTGCTTTTCAATTATTACGAATAAGCTTCAAAAACCGGAATGTTAGATTCAATTCTAATTCAGTTAAACCCAACACACTACTATACAATTTAAGTAATTATCAAAGTACATTTCCAAATGATGAAACAATTAACAAAGCTATCTCGACGGTGAAAACTATAATAACAAAAAAGCCTCAACCTCAAGTGTTCAAGATTGGTGTACTATATGACTCGAAACAGGTTGAACAAAGCTCAAAATTAATTGAAGTACTATTGGCTGATCCATTAGCGTCCAATAATCAGATTTGGTTCGAAAAAATTGTTAAAAGACATGGGTTGGGAAAATTTCTTTTTGGTGAATTTAAAACAGAATTAATTGATGAAAACCCGGACTCAGATTGTTCAAATCAATTTGAATTACCATCTCCCATCTTGAGCGGGCTCTATAGACTCAGATATGGACTGGAACCTGATCTAACTCAAAACGATTTAATAATTGAAGAAATTGACGATTCAGAGCATGTTAATCAAATTGATAGTTTTACCTATTTTATTTACGTAACTAACCAATTCAAAACATCGAGATCCGAATTACAAGATCCTTTGAGAAATAGAATTCTTTTAAAAGTCATCGATAATGTTGAATATTCACCCAAAAGTTCGGAGTCTTCACCAATCTCGTTAGATCCCGCAGTTCATACTCATGTGATCAAAATCAATTCAAATTTAGCATACAATGGAATTACGAATTTTATTGACAATGATATCAGAGCCACTGATGATTATCTTGATAGCATGACTCAAAGTAATGTACATCAATTATTTAAATTTATTGATTATTTTGCCAGGACTGACAATATAATTACGTGGTATATGGAAAAAATAAAATCATTGATCCAAGATAAATTAGATGTATTCAACACATCGTTTGAAAACAACTTAACTACTACAAAATCTGACATAGATAATTATATGCAGTTGGTAAATACCGAATTACAATTTGATTTTGAGCCAAAGACTCGAAATTTTATTAAAAAGAATTTAACCTGGTGGAAACTTTATTATAAAAATGACAATGTAGAATATGACTTAAAGGACTTTTTTAACAAAAATTTCATGAATAAAAGTATAGAGAACTACAACTTTTTGAAAGGTAAAATCTTGGATACCAAGGAAGTAGATAATAATCCTTTATTGAATTTAAAAAATGATGTAATCAACAAGGTCATAGGTACAACCGTTCAGCCGGAGGTTGTTTCCATTTTGAGTAAAGCCTTCATCTATTATCAATTACCAATTAGCGTCATATCAGGATTGGCTTTTCAATTCTTTGATTTTAGCGCCAACTCATGTATAGCCTTATTAAGTTTGGGTTGGGTATTGGGATTCAATCAAGTATCTAAGCAATGGTTGGCTTTTATGAACAAATGGTGCAAAAATTTGAATGAAGACATACGATTGACTCTAACAAGAGATTGTATCGAAGGGCTATCAAAAGAAGCGAATGACCAAATTGATAAAGTAAAACAAGAAGCCAAAATACGTCAAAAAATATTGACAGAAATAGAATCCAATAAATAAATAAATAAATGTTTCATTATCTAATCAAATAAAACACTCTAATTCAAACACTATCCCTCAATATACAATCTTGTTAGCCTCACAAGCTTGGAGGTCCATCATCGAATGCTTGTGAACCACTTTTTTTGCCTAATTGAGCTTCCAATCTTTCGAATTCTTTCATCGCAATTTCTTCTTCAGGATCCAAGATTTGTTCAACCTCTTTAACTTCTTCAATATAATGTTTTAACATACTTTCTATACCGTTTTTCAAAGTGTCTTCACTTGCACTACACGACTTACAAGCTCCTTGTAATTTCAAAAACACCGTTCCTGTTTCTTCATCAAATCCTTTATATTCGATATCTCCTCCATCATCTTGAATAGCTGGTCGAATTCTAGTCTCGATCAATTCTTTGATCATTGATACTATCTCTGAATCATTTTCATCTTCAGTTAGTTTATCTTGCTCCAATTTGTCTATTAGCTCTTGTGTTATTACTGGTGTTTTGTCTTTCTTCTTATCTAAAAATTTGTTCATCGTGTCCATAACTTCTGATGTTAATTGATTCCAATCATAATTATCTAATTTATTAACTGTCAAAAAATCTGCTCCTAACATGATGGATTTAACACCTGGTATTTTGAATATTTGTAAAGCTAAGGGTGAATGGATGGCTTGCAAAGTGGAGGTGAACTCAAAAGTAGTATTTTCTAAAGGTAGGATAGGGCATTCTGGTGATATGAATTTTAAAGCATTTTCATTAGGAGTGGAAGCAGTTTTGAAATGTAGTAAACGTAGTGGTTTTATATTGAGTTGCGATATCTTCCTATTCATGAGAGTTCTCGATAACATTATAGGCTAAAGTTGTGAAATATCTTCTGGAGTAATATATTGATTATATTAGTAAGTAATTAGAATAAAGATAAAGTTATGTCTGTTTAAGAAAAAAAGTTTACTCTCCGCACTATCTAGATTTGATGTTACGAATCTTTTCTGCTTAACAATTCGACACATGCAATTGGCTTCAATAGAAATACACTACACTACAATGAAAAATCGTATTGAGATTGATCATATAATCGTGTTTGAAAAATGTAATTATGTCAAAAGTCTTCTCTGACCTTATTGCCCTTTGATTTTTACTTCAAATTTTATAATAAGTACATTAACCTATGTATTAACAAAAAAATTTCTATATCATTTCTACTCATCATGACAAAACCAAACACTTTATCATTCCCATACTGAGTATTGATTCCCTCCTATTATTCTCAATTAATACTAGATCGAATAAATGGAATTTATGTTAACGAGCATCTATGGAATTTTATGTTTAATGAGCATCTTCTTTTTTACTTAAATCAATGTATTTACCACCGTTTTTAAATCTAGGATGTCTTGGATCATTTATAAATTCATCTGAGTTCATTGATGCAACCGAAGCTTTGTAAATTAAGTAGTATGTTATTCCAGCTAATTTTAAAGTTAGTATTACATTATTCAATCTAAATTTGAATCAATTCCAGTGGATCTCCAGAAAACACAACTCGGCGGTTCAACTAACCCTCACAAAATTGAGATGTATGATTGAGTCATAAATCAAAAGGTAGATACTATCAGTCAAACTGTAGTTACTTGAGTAGTTTTTTCCACGATGTATGAACATATTGATCAACATTTCTAATTGAATTCACTCTTCTTCAATGTAAAAGCTTCAACATACCACCAATAGCGTATGGCCAGTAGGTTTTGGCAACTGGGAATGGAAATTTAGGAAGTGATGACATGTTGTTTTTTAGTATTGAATGTAATCTTATCACTATTACAACCTCTCGTTATTCTATTTTTTTTCATTTTCGGTTTAAATTTTCGTTTTATAAATGTAATTGGTTCAATACTATATACAGGTGTATATGCTAGCTACCAGTTGCTGTCTATAAATTTAGTTTACCTCATTGTTAAAACTAGTTTGCAACCAAATATCCATATTCAAGTTGATGGATCGTTTCAAAAGTCTTATAGATCAGAGAGTCCCCCTTAAATATATAAATATTGATCATGATATGACAAGTTATGACTGTCAAATGAGTTTGATAAATTTTATCAAGTCACAATCCAGTCAAAATCCATTTTATTTCAAAGGTTTATTGTCGAAATATATTAAAATACTAGAAAAATCAAATGAAGATGTTTTGGATGCACTTTATGATTTGTTTCTAAATCCAAATATCTTCAATGCCAAAGAAAACTCACCAGATACGCCTGACTTTATAAAGTACCATGTTAGTGGTTTTCAACAAATTTCAGAGAAAGACTCTGACAACATCATCATAAAAGAGCAACCAAGATTAATTTCTGGTAAAAATACTACAGGGCTTAGAACGTGGGAGGCGGCACTATATTTATCAAATGGTTTAAATGAAGAATCTTCTTTAATACCATTCAATCTTGATGATAAAACAATTTTAGAATTAGGATGTGGAACAGGCTTGTTAAGTCTTTCCTTAGCAAAAGTTTACCATAGGAAAACGAAATTGAAGAGGATCATAATGTCAGATGGATCAACAACAGTTTTTGAAAATTTTTCAGAAATCGTTAAGGTTAATAATATTAATGATGAAAATCTTATAAAGTGTCAGCAATTGATATGGGGAGAAGAAAACATGATCAAAGAGTCGATAGACCTAGTGATAGCTGCTGATGTAACTTATGACTCGACAGTTTTAGATCCTTTATGTCAAACAATTGACGATTTGTTCAAACAAAATGACCTTAAATTGACATTGATAGCTTGTACGATCAGGAACATAGATACTATCAATTCATGGGAAGAGAAATTGGACAAGTGGTTTCCAAATAGATGGAGCATTGCAAAGTCGGAGAAAAGTCCTGGTTTAATGAGATCAATGTGTTTCTTTAATCCAACTACCCCTGAAATTCGTATTTATTCTATAAAAAATTGATGTACTCACTTGGTTTAGCCTCTAACTCCAAATGCCCTAACTCTTTTAACACCACCATCTGGTATTATAGTGACTTTAATGTGAGTAAAAGTAATATCGTCAGTCTCAACTTTAAATAAGTGTTCTTTATCCGCACTAGTTTTAGAATCTGAAACGATTGGAATCCACTCAACATAATTGATATCATCTTCATTTTCGACATATGCTCCTTTAACATTAATTTTTTGTGGAAAATTACCTCTGAAATGAGCAGTATCAATAATAATTTCTTTTAGTTTTGCTGGAGCCCCTAATCTTATTATCACCCAATCAGTATGGCCCTTTTCTCTTGATCTTTTCGTCTCCCATCCATCACCCATATCATGCCCTCTGCCTGGCAATAATAAATTATCTGCAGTTCCAAAATGTTGATCACTTACTTTTATTGCAACACCTCCATTTTTTACAGATGCATAATCAATTACTTCTGACGCATTACTTTCCGATATAACTGGTATAACACTTCCATATAAACGAAATCTTGCAATTCCACCATCCGGATACATTCTGATCCTAGCATAATTATAATTTTTTTGAGTTATAGCATCTCTTACAAAGAAGTGTTTTTGACTTGGACCACATTCAGTTTTTGGAATAATTTCATCCCATTCACTATTCAATAAATCCTTGTCATTGTTAAAATCTTGCAATGCTTCCACTGAAATAAAAGGAGCGTGATTTCCATTAAAAAATGCAGTATCTACCTCACATCCAATTAATTTAGCTGAACTCACTCCCAATTTAAAAATAACCCAATCCGCTTCCTCAGTATTATGCCTTCTGGTTTCCCAACCATCATACCAAGCACCAGCATAAGTAAATTTTGTCGCATCTCTGATTGGGGCTTTTGGTTTGATTAAATTCTCCGCTTTTGCAAACCATTCGTCTGAAAATGAATGAATTTCTCCACCTAATTTTTCACCTATAACATCTGTATATTTTGAAACAATTTGTTCCTTGAACAGTTTTTCATCCAAAATTTTGACCATTTTTCAATTGAATTCGAATATTTGTAGTTGAATTAGGATTAAGGAAACAAGAACTCCAATTAATGAAAGAAAAATTGTTGGACAATTACTAGTTATGTTAAATATGTTTGAAACATTTATATTATCACGGATGTAACCGAGATCAGAGACTAACGTCTATTAGATTAGGCTTGAAGTAGTAATATAATTAGAGCCGCATTAAAATGCTAAAAAAGACTTGAATTATGCGAGATCGTGTTATTACCGATCTCGTTTGCGTCGAGATCCGAAGATTTTTAGCTTTGATGCTGGTAGGGTTTTTGTGTCGCAAAAACCATATTTTTTTTCTGTCAAAATACCTAATTACATTTACTAATTTATTTGATTATTCGCTTAATCGAATACACAAACAATAACATCGTTTGATGAATGAATGAATTAAATCAATATTATTAATCTTAAATCTACGTTTAATTATCCACTTCCCTTTGCAACAGGACTAGAATTCATATATTCAACTAGAATCCGTTTTTAATCAAATTCAATTCGTATGGTTCATGAAAAAGGTCCTGTTGAACCATCACAACCATCAGACCATCACACAGAACAGCAGAATCTAAACTCAGAACTGCCCGACTCACCGCATGATTATCATCCAAATAATGAAGATGACTCACTCACATCAATTTCATCCTCTGCAATTTCAAATGCATCGCCTACAAATTTGGAAGACCCCATAGCTTATAGAACAAACAACGTGGATCCAATTAATGATGACACGGTTTGCAATGAGTATTACCCGGCTGGTGACAATCGAAATTTGGCAAATACTCTTATTCTAGAAGAACCAACAAGAAAAATACCATGGTGGAGAAAAGCTTATGATATAGTTTATCCTGGTTACGTTATCAATCATTTAAATTATCAATCCTTTAAAGTTGTCGCTCAAAGTTGGCTCTATGTTTGGCCAGTTACCATTTTGACTATTGTTCCATCTACTAGTGAATGGTTAGGTGCTGCACCGTACTTGGTGTTAATTGTTGCATTTATTGCAATATCTGGTGGCTCATCTATAATCTTGAATGTTATATCTTCCTGTGCTATCATGATTGGAGTAATGATATCGTTCGTCCATCATATTGTAAGGTCAAAAATTATTAATGATATAAAAGGTGGTATCACACAACAACAATTGGTTCAACAATTGATCGATGAAGGAACATGTCAATTAGGACCTCAGCTAGAATTGTGCGTTCAAGACCAGATCTTTTCAGGTAGATATATTCAAACGAAAACTGTTGCTATAACTATTTTGTCCATGATTTCAAATACGTTAATTTTGGGAAACATTAGACTGATACATCCATTGTGGAACTTATCATACATTTTTGGACAAATAGGAAATGTTATTTTTTCATGCTATGGTCATTTCTCACCTTTATATGCACCATTGCAAGTTGGATTAACAGTCATTAAACCGGTAGGTGTTTCATTGGTGTTTAAAGTGGCAGCAGCTATATTCATATTTCCATCGACTTCCAACTTTAGATATATTTCGGCCGCTATCAAAAGTATAGGTGGTTTAAAAAAAGCTTGTTCAAACAATACTAGGCTATTCAATACAATGCGACCTTCCGCTCCTAATTTCGCTAATTATAAAAGTTTCAAGAAAGAAATAACTGCTATTAGAGCCAAAATGGCCCCTTTAGAGGTTCTTGCATCAACAATTTGGTTAGAGTATTCATATGGTCGATTCGATGTTGGAGATGTTGGTCAATTTAGATCATTATTTAAAAACTTAATAACATCGTCAGCTAGTTATGCTCATTTTTATCAACTATTGCAAGAAAGAACATTTTTCGCGAAAGATGATTTTTCCATAACAAGACGAAAATCCAGTGTTTCGTCTTTTGCTCACGGGCATGCAAAATTATTTAGTGCATTCCATGATTCTTACAAAAAAGTTGGGGAATATGAAAATAAGAAAAGAATAAAGATTTTGAGAAATAGAATTATGCAACATGGAGAAGGTCATAGAATTGGTGTTACTCAGATTGATATGATTGCCAAATATTTGACTGAACATTTTGGACCTGTTCTTGATACAGCTGATAAAGGATTTGATGTCATCATAGAATGGCTCACAGCGGCGAATGAGTTCAGACTTTACGCATTGATACCTGGAAAATGGGATAAACATGTTCGGAAACAAGAAGAGATGGCTTTAAAAGTCAAAGCAATCAAAAAAGAAATTGTTGATATGATAGCTAAGTACGATGATACTGAGACATTAAAAAGCCTAATGATTGATAACTCAAGAACAGAAGATGCTTTGCTTTTTTTGATAAGTCAAGGTGTATTATTTCTACAGATAGCACGGTTACAATGTCAAAATTTATTGGAACTTTTAGACTTTTGCACAGATCTTGATGAAAGAAGGCCAACACCAAAATTTATAACCACCTTCACCAAAACAAAATATTTCAAACCAAGACATTTATCTAGTGATTTAGATGAAGAATTACCTGATTATTTAAAAAGTAACGTTGAGAGGAGAAATGCTGATAACCTTCCTCCAGCGAATTGGTTCCAATTTTGCGGTCTTCATATTTTGAAATTTATCAAATTTTTACTTTCTGACAAACTTTGGTTTTGGATTCGAGCTGGTGGATTGATATGTATTGGAGCTATACCATACTTTGTAAGAACTACGGCTCATTGGTATTATGGGAGAAGAATGGTCTGGTTGGTGATTATGATTGCGGTATCAATCAGTGAGACTTCAGGGCAAACTATATATGTCTTTGTATCAAAGCTTGTATACACATTTTCAGGTTGTTTATTAGGATTAGTAGGTTGGTACATCTCATGTGGTAATGGTCACGGTAATTATTATGGTTTTGGTGCAGTTACAGCGGTGCTTTACTTATATTTGATATTTTTCAGACATTTTTCAATTCATCAAACACTTTTACCACAAATTTTGTTTGGTGTTACGACCGTCTTAGTTTTAGGAACTTCATGGTTAGATGTAACGGATGGACAACAAGCTAATGTTGGTTATGGATGGACTCCCGCGTATTTGAGGTTTTTGGGTGTGGTTATTGGACTTTGTATTGGATCATTGGCTGCAATTGTTCCTAAACCTAGATCATCAAAATCTTTAGTGAGAAGAACATTAGGTAATGCTTTATTTGAGATTGGTAATCTTCATTGTGATGTATCTAAGTTTGCTATGAGAAGATTAGATGATCCTACATTTCATATTCAAGAAAGACACGATTTATTAATCACAAGATTTAGGTATTTATTCATGAAAATTGCTGGATTGAACAAATTATTAGTTCCTTTAAAATTTGAATTACCAATAGCAGGCTATTGGCCAGAAAGTAAATATGTTAGACTTCAAGGTCTACTAACTGATACAGTACAATTATATTTGATGTTGTTAGTAGCATTCAATCAATTAGAAGATCCAAGAGCATGGATTCCCATAATTGTAAAACGTGCCGGTCTTTGCTATTCCGATCTTGATGCAGAAATATTTTCATTAGTTCATATGGCATCTGGTGCGTTGAAGAGTAAAGAAGCCTTACCCAAAATAACTGAAGCAAATATATCAGTTAAACACATGGAATTACTAAGAAATCAATGGGGAATTAATAAAATTTCATTAAGTGAAAGATTTTATAGTTCTCCTACAAAAGGAACTACAAATGATCATTCAAAATTAACTGAGCATTTAGATTATGATAAATTTTTGAGTAAAGATGGCCAATTAAATATTTTGTCATTGTTACTTGCCCATATGATATATAATAGACTTGATGAAATTATGATAGTAGTTAAAGGATTAGTAGGTGAAGTATTTGATTTAGATGAACAGATTTTAATAGATGAAATAGATTTAGATGGTGAGAAATTTCAAAATCAAGAAGAGGCGGTTTTATTGAAACATCTTTAATAGAGACAAATTTTACCTGTTATATATGTATGTATGTAATTGTGGACATTAATTTAATTTTACGATTTTTATGATTATTTCTGATGTCATTTTAGGGGAAACGTGCCTTGAATAAAGACAATAATCATCTGAATTGAACAACTTAAAAAGCATCACCTGGAAAAGGCGACCTCTTTATGATGCAATAACCTAATAGAGCTACAATGAATATAGATCAAAATTTGGTTGTTCAAGTACTCTAAAAATTTGTCTAGGTGTGGCACAATTTTGGCCAAAACAAACCCACATGGTTAGATAATGTGTTTGTGTGTCAATTTATAATAAGACTTCATTTCAGTTGGCCAGAACTATCTAATTATTTGGTCTATACATCATTTTCTTTTAATTTGTAAAATCTGCCTTCAATAGTGGATAACTTAGGTAAATATTTTGTTTGTACATATAATTTTTCGAATTTCAATTCAAATTTTTGTACATTTCATTATTGTCGTTATGTAAGTACTGTATATTATACTGCTCGTAAATTTATTTACAACAAAAACTGTTGCCAAGAATAAATAATTTACGAATTTTATTTTTTTTATTCTTAATTATTTTTCAATCAATTATTTCTTTTTTAATAGAGTTTCAAAAGAGAAGATGCAAAAATTATGTGTATTTGATATAATTGATAAACAACCACAGAGAAATTTGAAACAAACTAAAATGTTTTGACTATTTACCATGAAAAGTATGGGTATTTGAAATACAAACTTTAAATGCTTTTATATGTTCCTGAGTTAATCATATCTGAGCCTTTTTTTTCTAAAAATAGCACTTCCATCGACCTATGCCATAAATTGGAAAATGAGAAATTGGCTCAGCCAAAGTGTTAAAATTTTTGGGAAACGATTAGCTAAAAATAGATCAATCAAACTACAAATCGAATTGAGTATTTGCTGATGATGTGAATTAGCACTAAATTTGAATATCGAGTACGTATTCGGAAAGACCTTGAATGTAAAGTATGTATTGTATTATTCATTACTTCTAACCAAGGCGAATGTTATAAGGTAAAGTTAGCATTTCAAATTAAAATTACCGATCACTAATTTTTTTAAAGTCAAGACCGATTATTGGATGCAAGGTTTTTAATTGTGTTTTTTTGTGTAAAATTTAGCTTCCAGTGTGTGTTTTAAGTGTGAACTGTTTTAGATTTATTTAATTCAATTTATTAATAGATTTGAATACTCTTTATCTTTAATGTTATAAAATGGTTGTGATAATATCTAATTCATATAAAAGCTTAGCAAAATCTCTATATCTTTGAATTTGAAATTTAAAGCACAGTTCAAACAGTGAGATATTGAAATTTGAAACTTGTTCTCATGCACAAGAAATGATACCCATAATATTTTCAATAATAATTTTCTTCTCCTTTCAAACATTTGGAACTTCAATTCACAAGCACAAAGCTCCAATAAACAAAATAACGTATAACGGTCTTGGAGTTGGAAACAGCACAGATGGAGGGTTCGATTTACAAATTTACAGTAGTAATGTTCGTTATGCTGCCCCATTTTATAAGAGAAAAGCAGATGAATTACCTTGGAGTGATAGACAATACGGAGTAGTGGACGCGATTGTTAATAAATTGAATGACAACTTACCAATATTAATAGGTTTACAAGAATGTTTACATCACCAATTGGAAGATGTGTTGAATGGATTAAATTCAAAAACAACAGGTCAATGGACTCATTATGGGGTTGGTAGAGACAATGGTAAAAAAAAAGGAGAGTATGCTCCAATTGTTTATGATCAATCAGTTTGGAAATTCACGAACGGTTCATATAAATGGTTAAGTCATACCCCAAACAAACCTTCAAAATTTCCAGGTGCAGGCACTAAAAGGATGGTGACTATTGCAACTTTAACACACTTACAAACAAATCAATCGATAAATTTTATAAATACACATTTAGATGCAAGATCTCAAGCTGCAAGAGATTTTGGCACAGATTTAATTAATCAGTATATTCAAGAAATTCCTAATAATTTTCCCACATTTTTGAGTGGAGATTTTAATTCTAAAGATACTGATGAAGCTTATAAAACAATTCAAAAACAACTTAAAGATTCTGCAATTAGTTCATACCAAGATTTGAACAAAGAATTGAAAACTTATTCAGGCTGGGGTAACTCAAGTGGTTACAATATCGATTTTATTTGGTCACCCTTGAATACCAATTCTCAATCAGGTGTTACTGCTTTGACCCATGAAGTCATAGATAATTTATTTGATTCTGGTCACAGATTTTCTGACCATAGGCCAGTTATTGTTCATTTCACTATCAACGACCTTATTGTATAATGGTTCAATGGTGCAAATGGATTTATTATTGATTACTTAAACCAAAACGTGTGAAAAAATTTCATATGTGCTCGAAGCTGGATTTAAAAAAGTATTGCTGTAAGTTTTGTTTGCTTTATGAGTGTTGGAGTTAAATGTTTGAATTATTTGTAAAATTAGCATAAGATATACTGCTTGAGTTTAATATTGCTTTAAAAATAGACCCTGATTCATCCGATATTAAAATTTCCTACCTTCATTCTATCAAATCAAATATTCTATACTAAATTTCAGAAAGTAGTTTGTAAATTTTGCAAATTTTGCAACAACTGTTTTGTATATAACTCCCACACTTGGTAGTTTTTACGTGTACCGACCATCAATCATTTTACGTTTTTCCAAGTCGTAATCTAGGGCGAAAAAGGCAAATGAACTATAGTTTTGACAATAGTTTCAACAAAATCAAAATCCTTTAGTAACAAGTATCACTTAGTTAGTCAATTTAATTATGATATCTAGATTAGTTCCCCGCACAAGACGGAATCTAGTGGCGTCTCTTGTCAAAAAAAATACTCGAGTTACACCATGGATAACTAAAAGATCGTTCCACCAGTCATATTACCATCTACAAAATAAAAACGATGACAATAAGAGGAAACCATTCGAAGATTATCTGAAAGATTTGGAGAATTTGAGAAAAAAATACGAACAAGTATTCACGAACAGAGACGCACAACAGGTATCATTTCCGGAAATCGAGCTTCCTATAGATCCATTTGAAAGAAGATACCTTGATCGATTATCTCATGTCTACAAATTTATGTTAAAAGTTTTTAATGAAAAATGTACAGAGTTTGAAAAATTAGGTGGAGTCATGGTTTTAGATGACAAAATAGCCGACGTGATGATTAAAGACATACAAGAAGAATTTGCCAAACAATACCCATCATATTCCCCTTTGACAAAAGATGAGATACTAGAGTCAGTAAATATATATTATGTCTTATCTAATAGTTTGGGTTATTTGGATGAGTTGAAGTTCAGTAATACGGATGTTCAGAATTTGTTGACTGAATTTGATAGAGCAGTTACAGAAAATAAGGATATTGAATCAAGTGAAATAGCTAGAAATTTAAATCTTGATCCTAAAGCTGTTCAACTTTGGTTTAACATCTTTCAAACATTGTTATCAACTCCATTTGCAGTAAATGGGAAAAAAACTTTCCCATTATGTCCAAATGAATACAGAATTATAAATGATTTTAAAGATATACAACAAAAATTGTCAAAACAAAATTTTCAAAATGATATTTTTGCAAATTTTTTCAAACAAGCAGATAGCAAAAACAAGAAGAAGAATAAGAAGAAGAATAATAAAGGACCAATCAACATCGAAGTTGAATTCACTCCGAAACAGATAATGCAAGCTATTGCCTTATTAGCGCTTGTGGTATTATTTTTATCATTCACTAATAATGAAAACACAAGGGAGATTACATTTCAAGACTTCATAGCCAATTACCTAAGTAAAAATTTGGTGTCAAAAGTTGTGGTCGTAAACAATTCAGTAGCTTATGTTGAACTAAATGAAAATGGATTACGTCAACATGCTCAGAAATTATACTTCAACATAGGATCTGTTGAAACATTTGAACGTAACTTACGTGAAGCTCAAGATAAGTCCCATATTCCTTCACAATTAAGGGTACCAGTAACTTATACTTCCAGGGGAAGTACGACTAAATTTTTGATCAATTTCTTACCCACTGTTTTATTTTTAGGGGCTATTTATTGGATGACCAAAAAAGCAGCTTCATCAATGGGTGGTATGGGACCCATGGGTTTTGGGAAATCAACTGCCAAAAAGTTTAATCAAGAAACAGAAGTTAAAACCAAATTCAAAGATGTAGCAGGTATGGCAGAAGCTAAATTGGAAGTCACAGAATTTGTCAATTTTTTGCATAATCCAGCAAAATATGAAAAATTAGGAGCTAAAATTCCAAGAGGAGCTATATTATCAGGTCCTCCTGGTACAGGTAAAACTTTAATAGCAAAAGCTACAGCTGGAGAGGCTGGGGTTCCATTCTATTCAGTGTCAGGTTCAGAATTCGTTGAAATGTTTGTTGGGGTTGGTGCTTCAAGAGTTAGAGATTTATTCAAAACTGCCAGAGAGAATGCTCCATCAATTGTTTTTGTAGATGAAATTGATGCAATAGGTAAACAACGTTCGAAAGGAAATGCAACTGGAGCTAATGATGAAAGAGAAACTACTTTGAATCAACTATTGGTTGAAATGGACGGTTTTGACAGCACAGATCATGTGGTTGTGTTAGCTGGTACAAATAGAGCAGATATTTTAGATAAAGCATTAATGAGACCAGGAAGATTTGATAGGCACATTCATATTGATAATCCAGAATTACAAGGTAGAAAAGAAATTTTTGATGTTCATTTAAGAAAAATCACGTTAGAGAGAGATGTTGATAGAGACTTATCTGGAAGATTAGCGGCATTGACGCCAGGTTTTTCGGGAGCAGATATTGCAAATGTTTGTAATGAAGCTGCGTTGATTGCCGCTAGATATAATGCTACAGCTGTTACATTGAGACATTTTGAATTAGCTATTGAAAGGGTTATAGGAGGTGTTGAAAAGAAGTCGAAATTGTTGAATCCTGAAGAACAAAGAATTGTTGCATTTCATGAAGCAGGACATGCTATTTGTGGTTGGTTTTTAAAACATGCTCATCCTTTATTGAAAGTTTCAATTATACCAAGGGGCCAGGGAACTTTAGGTTATGCTCAATACTTACCACCTGATCAATTTTTGATGTCATCCTTACAATTATACGACAGAATGATTATGACTTTAGGTGGAAGAGTATCTGAGGAGTTACATTTTGCTTCAGTTACAAGTGGAGCGCATGATGATTTTAAGAAAGTAACAAACATTGCTCAATCCATGGTCTTGAGATTTGGTATGTCACCAAAAGTTGGTATGGTAAATTACTATGATACTAGGTCACAAGATGATTTGACCAAACCATTTAGTGATGAGACAAGTAAAGATATTGATGGTGAAGTTCAAAGAATTGTCAATGAATGTTATAATAAATGTAAAGAATTATTAACGGAAAAATCTAAAGAAGTCAATTTAGTTGCTCAGGAATTATTGAAAAAGGAATTTATTACTAGAGAAGACATGATTAGATTATTAGGTAAAAGACCTTTCCCAGAAAATAATGATGCATTTGATAAATATCTAGATGGTGATCAAGCTGCTTTTAAAAATGAACAACCTAAAAATGAGAAAAAAGATGATGAGAAAGACAATAAAACTGACGATAAGCAGTAAGGCTTCCCCGATTAATGACTTTATGACTTTTAATGAGATATAAAATATACTAATACATATCATATAGAAATACTTGTAAATAATAAATGATATCATAATTAAATACGTAAATTCGTATTTTTAATTGAAATCTCGATACCAATTTTGTGTCCGTAATTACAAATTTAAGACAAAATGTTTTTGCGTCATACTTTTCTTACATGATTATTCCAGACGCATTTTTTAAGTCAATCAGATCTGAAAAGTAAACAGATAATTAACCACTTAATCATTATTCAAACTCACAAACAAATAAATTAAACATAATGGCCAAAAGAAGAAAAGTCGTGAGAAGCAAAGACTCAGAAACCAAAGCTGATGAAGAAGAGATAGAATTTGTTGAAGAAGATACTAGTATCAATGATCCAGACGTTGAAGAAAATGATATAACGAATAAAGATGAAGAAGATGAATATGTAGATGATGATACAGAATTAAGTGAACCTCGAAGTAGAAAGAGAAAAGCATTAGTATTAAAAGATGATGAAGAAGACGAAGAAGAAGAGGAATTTATAGATGAAGAAGTTGAACCACCAGAAGATGAAGATGATGAAGAAGATGATGATGATGATGAAACTAATGTAGATGATGATGGAGAAAATGCAGAAGAAAAAAGAAAAAGAGGTAGAAGAAGAAAAGAAAAAAATTATGTATATAATGAAAATGATGTATTTGATGAAGATGGAAATCCTTTAAATACAGATAATGATGAAGTTAGAATACCAAATGAAGATCCAAAGGGAAAAGAAAAAATAGATGAATTAGGTTATTTAAAAGGTGATAGAGAATTTAGAATTAAAACTTTTAAAATATTAGGTCAAGGTGATAGATTATATATGATTTCAACAGTTCCTGCAAGAATAGTTGGATTTAGAGATTCTTATTTATTATTTAAAACTCATCGTACATTATTTAAAAGAGTTTGTGATAATAATCAAAAACAAGATTTAATTAATAGAGGTATTATACCAAATTCTTATAAAGGAAGAGCTGTAAATTTAGTTACTGCAAGATCAATTTTCAGAGAATTTGGTTCAAAAATGATTAAAGAAGGTAAAAAAGTTATTGATGATTTTTGGGAACAAAGAGCTATTGATAATGGTGATATACCTGGAGAATATGCTGATCCAGATGAAATTTATAAAAATAAATTATCAAATGTATTAGGTGAAGGAATAAATTCAACTAATTCTGGTATTGGATCTGGTGGTAATGCAACTCCTTCTGCTCCTGCACCAATTGTAAATTATAAAACTGATGAAACTTGGATGTATCAAATTGCTCAAAAGACATGTGAATATAATAATAAATTATTAGATTTAAGATTACAAGTTTCTCAAAATGGATTTAGAGATATTTTTACAAATATTGTACATTTTCCAACATTAACTCAACCTAAAAAAATGAAAATTAAAAAATTTAAAAAAGAAAATGAAAATAAAAATGATATATATTTAAAATATGATATAAATTATGAATCAAAAAATATAAAAAGACCAGTCACTGGTTTGGCTAGTATTTCTAAGGATATATTAAATGAAATTGATGATAATGAAATTAAAAAAGCTATAATTGATCAAATTAATTATGAAAAAGAAGCTGTGTTATAGATAAATTAATGCCCAACCTTTTACTATTGTATAATGAAAACGTTATTTTGTAGTTTCTTCTTCTCCAAATGTATAAATACATTTTAAATTTGCCTATTTGGATCATTAAATATAACTTCTTCATCACCTGATTCTAAATCACTTGTTTCTAAATATCCACCAAATGAATCACTACCTGTTCTTTCCATATGAGCTCTTAATTCAAAATCAACTTTAGTTTTTCTTCTACCAACATGAACAGTTATATCACCTTCTTCAACAACTTCTGCATGTTTTTTTGAATATGCAACTTCTGCTTTTGCTTCTTTACCAAATATTTCATGATTAACTCTTATATGTTTTGCTAAAGTATCATGACGAGTAAAAATTCTTGGTCCAACTCCTGGATTTTGTTTTACACATACATAACATTTAAATAATTTTTTCTTTTTTGAATGAACAGTTTCTTGATGACGAATTAATTCATATTTACGAGAAAATCTTCTTAAACATAATTTATGAGGAATTTCTGCTGAAGGTAATTGACATTCATGAACAACATCAGGATCATAATTTGAAGATTTTGCTGTAGATTTATCAGCTTGAGGTATTGGTTTTTTAATAATTTTATGATGTTGTAATTTAACATCTGGTCTAAAAGTTCTTTTTTGTTTATTTCTACCAGAAACAATATCAGCAATATATCTATCATGATCTGCAGTATCGGGATTTAATGAAAAAAATTTAGCAGTTCTTTCTTTTTCTTCAGCAGTTAAATCTAAATCATCAATAATTTTTTTAATTTTACGTTTTCTCATTCTAATTCTTGATCTTGGAAATGGTAAAGGTTGTTGAATTTTATTATATGAATAATTTTGATAATCATTTAAAAATTTTTGATAAATTTCATTAATATCTAAATTAATTAAATTTATAAAATGATAAATTGAAGGTTTCCATTGTAATAAATTATATAATTCCCAATAATTCAAATTAATCATTACTGTAGTTAAAAATCTTATAACTTTTGTTGAAATATCTAGGATTTTATAATTTGTACCAATTTGAATTAAAATATCAAAATTTCTTTCAATAATTAAATATAATTGAGATTTTAATGGATTTGAATAATTTACAAATTCTTCAATTATATCTAATAATTCTAAAAATTTTAAATGTAATTTTTCACCATATTTGGGATCATATTTTTCATCATATAAAATTTTTGCAAGTTTTTGAATATGACTTGCATATTCATTTGTATCTAAAGGTTGTGCCTTGATTAAGATGGGTATTTGTTCTTCTAAAGTTTTATTATCACCAATATTTTTAGCTATTGTGTTATTTTCTGCATACATTTTCGCTATATCACTCAAATCTTCAGATTTATCATTATTATCCTTATTAAAAGATTCTGATATATTATTAATATTTGTTGAATTTCGACGAGATGAATTAGGTGAAATTGATGGTGAAAAACCACCCATATCATGATCATTATCAATATCATCAAAAAAATCGGGAGAAGCTGTATCATCCCGTAAATCAACAATGGATTTAAGGTTTTCACTATTATCTTGATTTTTTTCCATTTTATTTTCATTTTGAGGAGTTGATGAATTTAAATTTGGATTTTTTTCTAAATTATTTGGATTGGGGGTTGATTCCTTTGTTGATGAATCCTTTGAAATTGATCTAATAGGTTTTGGTCTTCTCCGTATTGGTGATTTTGGAAAAAGGAGTTTAGTATCAATTTTTTGTTTTTTCAATATATTATGAGGATCAGCAGGTATTTGAGTGATTATTTTAGGTGGTGGTATTATAGGACGAGCTTTTGGTTTAGGTGAAGAATCTTGAAGTTTTGATTGTCCAAATTGTTTATTTAATGGAGTTGATTTGTTTGATTTTGAAGTAGAATTATTAGTTGTACTTGTACTTGTAGTTGTAGTTGTAGTTGTAGTATTACTTGAATCTTCATTATTTGAGTTTGATTGATTTATAAAAGTTTTCATTGGAGGTGGAGGAACAACCATTTGTTTATCACCAAAACCATTTCTTTTAATTATAATAACATCTTGAACTCTATTTTTAACTACTGCTGGTTTTGGTGGAAGATCATTAACTTCAACTTTTTGCATTTCCTTCGAATCAAATTTATGAAACAATTTTTACAAAAATATTATGATATGATTAAATGAATAATGTTAAATTTAATTATATAATGATGTTAAACAACATATAAAGTTGTAAAGATTTATGATATAATCAATTTATTGATTGATGTGTGGATGGTTGTGGTATGATGTATGTATATATTTTATATTAAATATAATTTTTTTTGCAACTTTTCGAATTAAATATTAAGTACTTAGATCCTTATACTGTAATAATAAAATTGATGACGATTAATTTTTAAAGTCGCGATAATTAAAATATTACTTAAAATTGAAATTAAAAAATATAATCTTAACTAATGAAAGGAATGTTAAAATTATACAATCAAATACTATACCTGTTTTATATTCTTAAGATAGAATAAGATGAATGAGTGGTACTATTACTGATTTGATGATTATGAACTTGAGGATGGTTATATTGTTGTTGTTAATATAGCTACTAGGTGCCACTACTATGAAATTAATTTTGGTTGTAAAATTTAAATTTTTCTATTTTTGTCTCACTTTCTATTGTTTTTTGGTTGTAAAAATTGTCAATTCAACTACTTATTATTTCAGATCACAATTGATTAAGTTTAAAAATCTACTGGGCTTAATTTGAAGTCGATGTTAGTTGAGTATGAAAATAAAATAATTGGAAATATAAATGGAAAAGAAACAATATTTATAGAATAGTCTAATCTAATATATATATTTATATATATAAATTTGTAAAGTACACTATAATACTTTATATAAATTTGTAAAAGAGTTATATCAATTTACACGACTCTCGTTTAAGTTGTAATACTGTATATAAAGCATATAATTATTAATTACACAAAATAGCGATTTTAAATAATTAAAAAACATACTAACGTAACTTCAATTTGCAATCGTTCATTAGAGACTATATATAAATTTTGATAATTAGTTATAAATGAATGAATAAAGGTTAATTTTCATGAAATTAGACCTAGTATCAAAGGTTTTCAAAATTATTATCACACTATAATCGAATGGTTAAAGCTTCTGAAACATATGAAGTTATTCCAATAATTAAAATACTATAGAACTATTCATCTAAACTAGATTCACTTAATGATTCATTTTTTGATTCAGTATCTTCAAAAACTGGTATATTAATAGGTTTTAATATTCGAGATGGTTGTTTAGTAGGATTTGATTCTTGATTTGATGAATTAGGACCCATATGAATTGAAAAAGGTTTTAAATTATTTTCATTATTTTCATTATTTTTTGAATTTATAATAGTTGGTTTATTAGAATCTTGTGATTTAATTTCATCTGAACTTAAATTCATTACAATCGAATTTTTATTTGATTTTCCTCTTGAATAAATAGGAATTTCATTTATTTGATCATTACTATTATTATTATTATCTTTACTTTGTTGTTTATCTTCAACTTGTGGTGATATTGATTTGTTTGGTTTACTTTTGCCAGTCAGATCATCGTGTTCGATTTGTTTACTTTTTTCAGTGTCATTTTGAGGTGACAAAGGAAAGGAAGATGAAGATGATCCTTCTATTGGATGTTGTTGTTGCTGATTTTGCTGTTGTAGTTGAGGCTGTTGTTGTTTCAATTGTTGTGGTTGCTCTACCAACGAATCTGAAGATGATTTTTTACTTTTAGATTCTGATGATTTACCTAAATTTCTTTTTCTAACTAAAGTTAAACTCATTTTTTGAATTTCACTTAATGGAATTTCACCAGGTTGTAATGCATTTGAAGAAGAATTTGTTTGATTTTTATTAACTATTGGAAATTTAATTTCATCAATAATTTCACAATGTTCTTTAGCATAATTTACTGCTTCTTTATTTTCTTTACCTGTTATACCATGTTTTCTTCTAATATGTCTAGCTAACGAATCATGACGAGGATAACTTTGAATTTTATGACCTTGTGTTTGACAATATATACATTTATAAATTTTTTTCTTAGTTGCATGAACAAATTCTTGATGTCTTAATAATTCATTTTTACCATAAAATATTTTAAAACATTTTGAATTTGTTGTTGGATCTTGTAAATGACATTGATGAATTATTCCTGTTCTTGGTATTCTTTTACCTCGTTCAGTAATTAAGAAATCTGGATTGCTTTCATCAATTCGTAAATTTTGTAAAGATTGATCAGTACCATCTTCCTCTAATAAAAAATCTGGAACTTTACCACCATTGTTGATAAAATGTTCTGCTGGTATTTGTTTACTAGTTATTTGAGCGTTGTTATCGTAGCTTTCACTACCTTTTAATATTGGTCTCTTGGCTGTTGACTTATTTTGTTTAGCCTGCGTTTCAGTTTTGTTTTTTTCGTTAGAATTAGTAGTATTTAATAAAGATGAACCTCGTTTCTTGGAAATTTGTGAAGTTGATGATTTTCTTTGACTTCCAGATCCTGAAATTAATTTTGAGTTAGCATTTAAGTTGTTTTTAGACTGAGTTTCAATCGTTGAAGTTGATGTTTTTCTACTAGGTCGGTTGACTTTAACAAATTCTTCATCATCTTCAGCATCAAATATTTCATCTTCTGTTTGATCGATCTCCGAATTAACCATTCCATGTACTTTAGAATCATCTTCAACATCTTCATCATCCAATGATTCTGAATTACTCATTGTCCCACTAAGATCGTTATCATCAGTTTCTTCACCAAAGTCGAGAATGCTTGGTGTATTCAGTTCTCTCAAATCAATATTTTCCGGCTCTAAGCTTGATGCTGTTGTTGAAGCTTTTCTTTTTCTACCTCTTTTACGTTTTACTCGTGGCTCATCATCATTATTTTCATCAAGATATATCTTCTTCAATTTTCTTCCTCTTTTTTTCCCATTCAATATAGGAGATTTTTTCAATCTTAAATCAATATATGGTTTTATATTTACATTCTCCCATTTATTATCTTCTGCCCTTGAATTAAAAGAATGGTAACTATAATTATAAAATGGGTATGGGAAAGGATATTGTAATCCTTGTAACATATCATCATTTAAATAATTTTCAGGTGGTTTTATAATTTTTCCAAATAAAGTTTCAATAATATCAAATCCAATTAATTTTAAAAAATTTGAAAATTGATCTTTTTTTAAATGAGTTAAATGAACTATTTCCCAATAATGTAATTGATATATTAATTCAACAAGATATTTTGTTACTTTTGAACTTAACGATAAATTAAAATAAGTAGTTGAAAACTTCATGATTAATTCGAAATTATCAATCACTATTCGTGATAAATAAGAATTTGGATAATTCATTAATGATGCTTGAGATGGTTTGGGAATATTTTGTTTTTGTTTACGTGACAAATCTTTTTTGGGTTTTGATAATGATTCTGGTACAAAATTTTCATCTTCAACGATGGGAAGGTATGAAATTATATCAACCAAAGACTGCTCGATATTCATTCTAACATGATCATCAATCTGCTTCTCTTCAACTAATAAATATAATAATTCTTGTAAACTTGCTGAATAATCAACCATGTCATCGTCATATGTTTCTTTAATTGTAAATTCTGCTTCATGAGGTTGTAATCTTGACAAATCATTCAATATAGGATCCCTTTGGTCTGATTCTGTGCTTGTTTGGCTGACACCAATCGGTTTTTCATTATTGATTGATCTTGGTATTTTAGACTTGACTTTACTTAACAATTCTAATAGCGGTTAGTATCCATGACATGAGATAGTAAAAGTTTAATCAACATACTACTTGGATGGAATTCATTTACCTCAAATGTATCATGATTCTAATTCATTTTTGTTAGTACCCATGATCTTTTGAATATGTTATCAATTAAATTCCCGACAACATTGTGATACTTGAAAATTTACGTACGCATGAGTGCCCAGTGATAGGCATACCTGTATTAGTTTGGATGTATCTTTTCTCCCAAACTCACAATGTTGTAGACCTCTATTCGTGAAAAACTTGAATTTAAAAAAATCTGGATCTTTTTCTGTAACTGTTCTTTCTTGAGACTCAAAATTCAGATCGTACGTCTAGTGATAAGCCCTCGAATACTAATGATGAAGGTAATAAGATTGTGATTGTTTTATTGACTGAATAGTTCTTGAGCCACCAAAGTGAATTAATAATGTACAATTTAAATGTTTTATTTTATATCTATTACTCAATTTGCAACACTACTTAATTACACGACTTTTAAGTTTAGGCTAAATAGTATTTTTTGCAGCTAAACGATTTAAAGAGTAAGAGTATAAGATATTACAATACAATTATGTTTTGATCTTGAATTTTGTTTCTATTTGCATTAAAACTCTAAACAAACACTGAGCTTGATCCACCAAAAGATTGATGTCCGTCTACAAATGTTGAGGAATTAGACCTTGTTTGTAATACATCATCATTTTTACCATTCAAACTTTCCTTTCTTATCCCGCTATTGTTATTTATTTGTTTTAGGTATGATTCAGAAGAGACAGGTTTTATCATCTTTCCGTCCACAACTACAGAAGTCTCACCGACTTCTCTGAAGTTATCAATATCAATAGAATTATCAATCATATCCTCAATGAATTTACTATCTGCATTTTGTCGGAATAATTTCAGATTAACTTCGTTCAAATCTTCCCCCAAGTATTTCAAAACTTGTTTAAAAACGACCTCATATACGTCAAATCCCCATAAGTTGTCCAAATGTTCATGATCAACTACTGCAAATGATGTAGTTGTTTTTGAAGGTAATTGATTTTTCATTACATCAATATCCACTAAGGAATCAGTTGTTCCATAAATTAAATGTATAGGAATATCAATATTTTTTAAAGGATAACTTATTGGATTTAAACCAGACAGTGTTACATCATGATACATTTGAAAATTTTTAGCTCTCATTACTTGAAACCAATGAACTACACATTTGACACTTGTTGTTGAGTATAAATGAGCATAACTACCTAATTTTTGTAATTTTGAAATATTATAAGCTTTCCAATTGAATAACATATAGTTGGATATATCAATCATTTTATCAAATAATGGAGGGTACATGATCTTTTGCCAAAATATACAAGATGGCATTAAAACTTTTCTACTGAACAACAAATATATAATATTGGGTGATGATTTTAACAATATATCTAAAAATTTTGAATATAATCCATGTGGAGTTGTTGCAGGTGATATTGCAATTAATTGATCTATTTTAGAATTTAATTCTGTATTTATTGAAACACTCGCAAACGCTTGTGCACTTCCTTGACTAAAACCAATATAAGTTAACTTTTCTTTGTTGGTTGCATTTAATATATAATCTATAGTATTTGGTATATCAAAAATAGCAAACTCGTCTAATGAAAAATTCCAATACTTGGTGGAGTTTAAATTGTAAAATAAATGTTTCTGACTATATTTATTACCTCTATTATTCCCCAACCAAACATCGTAACCCAAATCATACAATATGAAAGGTAAATTTTGGTATTTCTCAATCATGGTAACCCATATTTCACTGCACATTAATAGTCCATGATGTAAATAAATAACTTTACCATTTGGGACTCTCGAGCTCGATGGATTTGAGGATTTGATACGGTGTATTGTTAATAAGTAATCATCTTTTGTGGTAACTATTCTACTTTCAACATCATATCCAAATAATTTAACCATGTCTTGAATTTTGTCAGCATTCAACATCTCAATCATACTTTCATAATTTTTCTTGCTTATTGAACCTTTGGATAAGTCTTTTGCTTTGAGGTATTGATATTTGAAATTTTCTTTTTCGATTACATTGCTTTCATCCTTTACTTGTGGACCAATTATCAAATCTATTGGATTCGGAGTAAATCTGAATATTTGTTTAGTTATAAAGGTGAATAATTTAATTATTGGTATTGGTAATAAATTCGTTATAACTGATACTATAAATTCAAACCATGCTAAAGTGAAAGACACTATTATCACAGGCCAGTCGGATAGACTCAACCTTCCTATAAATGGTATTGGCATTTGATCTGGTATTTGGTCTTGATGAGGTTAAATCATGAGTAAAGTGTTAAAAAGAATCTCAAAAAATATAATTATTTACCGTAACACCTTATTTTTGTGGTCCAAATATTTGCTTGCCATTTTATTTCCTTTTTTGTTTAATTACCATGAATAAACTAAATATAGACGACGATTAAAAAAAACTCATTTAAAAGAACAAGAACTTAAATCTCAGGTGTATGTGTTTAAAAGAAAAAGATAAGTTATCACCTGAAATGAGGTCAAAATCAAAATTGAGTAGGATGTAAAATATTTGATTTTAAGAATTTCGCTGCAAAACTTTACCAAGTACTTATAACAATTTGTATTTGAGTACAAAACAAATTTCAAATTTTCTCCATCCTTACCTACATAATATTTATTGCACCTCCGTACCTCATTTTTTTTTTTATTCGAGCATGGATTTTAAATTGATTCTACTTGCAATCCAACACAGACTACAAACTTCCAGTCTTGAGTTGAAATACCTCTAACTCACCTTTTTTGTGGACTAAAGGACGAATAGTTGATCTATACATATCAGCAAGCACTTAATAATTAATGTTTCATGTGAACGCGTATTGTAGTGTGCCAACCAATCGATTTAAAACCAGTTGAAGAATTATAGCACACGATAATAAATGTTGGGACACAACTCCTTCCTTTATAAGTTAGTTTCATATGAGGTTTTGATCTTTTAAACACAAGTTTCATTTAGGAGATTAACAACCACCATATGCTTAATATCTTTTGCTGGCTGATCGCTCTTGATTTATACAGCATAATATGTACTTCGTTCGTAGATTGACAATTTAATGAGTGAAATTCAAATCGAGGGGTGATATTTAGAAAGAGTTTGACTTAGGGACAAAAAAGGAGATATACATCCTTGCTTTTTCGAAGTAAAGAATTAGTAATGGGACATTTCTATTAATTGTATAATCGGTTAAGCACAGAGACAAATTAAATGTATGACAAGCGTACTTCAAAATAGTCTTTTTGATACTATTATGATACTATCCATGTTACTACTATTTATGGTCTGCTTAAAAAAAACCAATCAAAGATTGTCGTGGTGGTGCGGGATAACATGAGGTAGGCAATAGATACTGCATTTTAATAATCAACTCATTCAATGTCAATACTAGTCAAACACAAAGTTTTAACTTTGTCTATAGTAGAAAGGTTTGTTGTGATGAAGAACATTTATGCAAGTCAATAGCAGATTAACACATGACAATCAAGTATGATACGTGACTAATGCTACTCATGAAATAGTCTTGAAAAAATAAAACATATCCATAGTTGCCAACTTGTGAGCAGGGGACAACGATCTAAGTAGACCTGGGAAGAATGTTAATACAAGCTTGATTGAACATTGAAATTTTCATTCAGACTCTCAAAAATCTAAATCATTACTTTTCTTCTGGAACATTTTAATCTGCGTAAAAGTCCATTTCGTTAATGACCAGGTTACTCGCTAATCCAATATATAGTCACAAGTAGACTATCAACTTTTTTATGATGATTCTCATTATTAATGTCAGGTTCTTGCTCAGAATTCGTACCTTGCTCTTCTCCTTTTTCAACATTTGGGTCGTTCAAATTAATCAGCACAGTAAAACATCCATCCTTTGAGGAGTCCCAATTGGCGGTAAAACCAGTATTAATATTTAAATCTGCTGTGTCTTTGTTTCCAGATATATTTGTGTATTGTATTATAAGTTTATACTTTGAAGTCAAATTGCCTAAATTTTCTGATAATTTTGTAATCAATTCATTTGGTGACTTGGTATCTATATTCGATATAATATCTAAAATCTTTTGCTCGGTGAATGGAGGTTTTTTATTGTTGGATCTATTTGTAACTGATACTTTAGTCATTGTGTACGATAGTATTTGTCTATACTTAACTTCAAATAGCTTTGACTATAGAGCTAAGTGCATCAATAAAAGTGGAAAATAATTTTGGAAGAGAATTGCTACCAAATTTAGACAGCTCGTAAATTTATTTATTACGATTATTATCGAGACTGCATTTTGGCGCTGATATTAATTTTTAGTGCTGTTATTATTCCCGATCATAGTAGCCGAATTTATTTTAAACGCGACTTAATTTAATTTTATAATTTTCAAATTACCACTGATGGACTCAACATCTTCTTCATTTATTTCTCCAAGATCACGTTCAAGCTAGATCTCTACCGTTTGTTGATTACTTTATAAAAATTAACAATGTTTTTTCTCAACAAAAAGAATGAAGAAATTGATGCCTCCACTCAAAATCTGGAATCTGACATATCAATACCTTCGAAGTCAACGTCAATTACAACCTTATCAAGTCAAACAGAAGATAAAGTCAAAACGAATTTAAAGAGGACCACAGAATCTCATCTACCTCCAGAATATCCTATCAAACCAGTGAGGAGAAGGAAATTTAATTTAACTAAAGAACAACTGAACAAATATAATGACATTCTTAAACATTTTGAAAGTTTTATTGAAAAAGATATACCTATAAATGAAAGTGTGAATGCTGAGAAGCATCCTATAACCAATCAAGAAAAGGCATGGCTAACAAAAGAGTGCTTTTTAAGATTTTTAAGAGCATCAAATTGGGATCTAAACGCAACTATAAAAAGAATGGAAGAAACAATAATATGGAGAAGAAGTTTTGGTTTAGTGTCGATTCCAAATGTAATAGACTCAGCAGATTTGATAACTTCGGACACCGTGAGTCATGAAAATTCATCAGGAAAACAACTAGTCTATGGGTATGATTCATTAGAAAGTAGACCAATATTGATTTTAAGAAATGGATATCAAAATACTAAATCAGGTCTAGGACAAGTGAAACACTTAGTATATATGTTGGAGTCAGTGATAAAATTCATGCCACCAGGTCAAGATCAAATTGCATTACTCATAGATTTTGGAGCAGCTCCAAAAGAATTAAACTTATCAGCTTCATTTCCATCATTGTCAATTACTAAACAATCTTTACATATTTTGCAAAAATCATACCCCGAAATATTAGGCGTAGGGCTATTTCATAACTTACCTTGGATAGCCAATGCATTTATGAAAATTTCAAGACCATTTGTTGATCCATATACAATGTCTAAGACCCATTTTGACCTGTTTCAGAACTTTGTCCCTAAAGAACAATTGTTTGCAGAATATGAGGGTGATGTTGAGTTCAAATATGACCACGAACTTTACTGGCCGAAAATGAATGAAATTGCAGACAAAAAATATAAGGTATATATGGAAAATTTTGAAAAGTTAGGTGGAACAATTGGATTAAGTGAATATGATTTAAGGCTAGACGAAACATATTTAAACGGACTTCTAGCTAGAGAAGAAGTAGAGTTATAGACATAGAATAATTTAAATAATAGAACTTGAGCTTGAAGTAGTTTATCGCGCGTAATTCGAAATTTTTCAAAACCTGATTTCTTTTTATGGTTCCAATTGAGTCATCTTCAAAGTCATGTCAGATGAGACTAAGTGTGTGATAACACTTATTGGCCACGACGATGAAATACCAGAGGATGTGTCAATACGAGTTCGAGAATTTTTGAGAGAAATCTCGAGTACGAATTGGTCCACGAAACAGTTGAGCTCAAGATGTTACGAATTCACATTCAATATAAAATCAGCGGAGTATGGAAATATTTTACAAAAAGTCAAATCAGAATGTCTAAATCAAACTTATGATCTAATTTTGCAAAAACTCATAGATCAGAAAGGTAAAAAATTATTTGTATTCGACATGGATTCAACTTTAATTTACCAAGAAGTTATAGAATTAATTGCAAGTTATGCCAACATAGAGGACAAAGTAGCAGAAATTACAGAAAGAGCAATGAATGGAGAATTGGATTTTAATGAAAGTTTGAGAGAAAGGGTTTTGTTATTGAAGGGAATTAACTCTACTAATATATGGAAAGAATTGGAACAGAAGATAGAAATAACGAATGGTGTGAAACCATTGACTAAAGCTTTGAAAAAACTTGGTTGTTATTTAGCTGTTTGTTCTGGAGGATTTATACCATTAGCTGAACACATTAAAAATGAATTGGGATTAGATTACGCTTATGCTAACACTTTAGGTGTAGATGAGGAAAACATTTTAAATGGTGAAACAATTGGAGAAATAGTGAATGGTGACAAAAAAGCTGAGCTATTATTGGAAATTGCAGCCAAGCATGGAATAGACCCAAAACAGGCAGTAGCAATAGGTGATGGAGCAAATGATTTGAAAATGATGTCAGTAGCTGGATTTGGTATAGCATGGAATGCAAAACCGAAAGTTCAATTAGAAGCTCCTTCTTGCTTGAACACAAAATCTTTGCTAGATGTTTTGTATATAATGGGGTATACCCAATCTGAGATAGAGGATTTAATTATATGAATAGAGCGTCGTTATAATTTGTCTAAACTTTATTGTTTTAAATTATCCAACTACTTTTCCCTTAACTACGCCGATTATTCCATTGAATAATAACAATTCTGTACCTAAATTGATTTGATCCAAAGTGATAGTATCTTCTTCAATATAGTTCTTTCTCAATAAAAAATGTCTTGTCACACCACATAAACATCCAGAACTTAGTAATGGAGTAACCCATTTCCCATCATAACTTCTTTTAATAGCAACATTTGTAATTGAGCCTTCCATTAACTGAGATTGGGAATTGAAAAGTAACACTTCTTCTTTTCCTGGTTTGTTTCCTGGTAAAATTAATCTTGCTTGATTATATACGTCTCTTTTTGTAGTTTTGAAAGAAGTGAATGGGGAAATTAAAGACAATTCTTTGTTTTTATAAATATCCCAATCATTTTCCAGATCTAATTGATCGAAATATAAATCAAATTCTGACACTTGAGGAAACAAGCCGAATAATAAGTTAGTAGTGTTTGGTGTTTCATAAATTTCAATTTTCACTGAACCATCGAGTTTGACTAGAACTCTAATTTTGTAAGGGATAAACATCAATTTTTCCAGTTTTTTCAAACTCAAAACCAACTGCAGTAGAAAGAAATCTTCAGTTATTTCAAAAGTCATTTTCTTACCAAGTAAATGATTGAAAAATTGTAATGTAAAATTCAATCTGTCCACATGCTCCTTCAAAAGAAAAAAATTCAAATTTGTTATATCTTCATATTCTATAGGGGGGCTCTCAGTTAAATTTGGATCATATCTAATTGTTGATAATATTTCAAAATCATCTTGTGGAAAATCTTTGGTGGGGAAATTTTTATCAAAATAATCATTATGTAAAGAAATTATGTCGTCATTCGTTGAAGCTGAGTCTAAAGTCATATTGTCGTTGAATTTTCATAAGTCAACTTTAAGTTGTCGTCATTGCTTCTTGATTTTTGGTGATATTGTTATTACAACTGATAAAGATGGACGTGTTTCAGATATTTTTTTTAGTGAGAGTTAGGGATAAGCAAATAATTTTGTTGTCGTCATTAGATATTACCATCGTTAATTATAACCTATATAATGAAATGAATCAACTAGTATGGCCTAAACCTTTTCTTTTCTTTCATTAATTTCACCTTCTCTTGATCAGCTCTAAATTTACTCAATAAATCGTTCATTTCCTCCTTCTTTTTTTGTCGTAATTGAAATCTATAAAAATCTTGTTTCTCTTTACTTTTCATTTTCTTTTGAGCTTTTTCATTTTCAACAGTATTGGCAATTTTTTGTTTACCCAATATACCTGCTTTAGTTTTTCTATGAGATCCCACAACTAGCGTAAACCCATCTTCATCGACTAACTTAGCATTGTTTTGTATACTATCAATATTATCCTTTTCAGCTTTATCAAACTCTATTAGCGACTTAGATACTTGTTCTGTCAATGTTTCTTTGTTATTTATTTCATTCTGGTATTGCTTGAGATAAAAGTTTGATGTAATTTCCCTTATGGGCCAAGTTGTTTCTGTAAAGTTTGATGATATTTTTTTCAATGAATTGAAAGCCAATTGAAATGATGATTTGTCAATAAACGTGAGTATAGCACAATTCTTGGGTAGTTTACTTGCAACTGGATCAACATTACTTACATCTAACTCGGATGTTAATTTACTTAAATCAAGCCAAGCATCTTCTGTACTGTTTGTGATGTACGACTGAGTAAATGATTCAATTGTTGAACCTAATGCTACAGTTTGGAAATACTTTTTTATTGTTTGTAAATCACTTAGTATTGGTAAATTATATATGAACAAGGATCTACTATCTGATGAGTTGTGTTTCGAATCATGTTTTTTAAAATATAAATATTGTATTGAATTTGTATTAGGTAATTTGACAGGTAGTATATGAAAACCTTTAATTTCAGATCTCATCGCTTTTGTTAAAACTTATATATTGATTATCTGATGATATGATAGTAAATATTGATTGAGGTAGGATGATAACCTAAGTTGTATGAGTAGTGTAAATTTGGTCATTTTAACGCACATAATTTTCTATTATGAAAATTTTTGAATGCATCTTTCTCGTAATTTTCATTATTATGATTCTATTTAACTAATAATATAATATAATTAATAGTGTATGCTATTAATATTAAGTAATAGTACAAGAGTATTTTATTAGTATCACTAAAATATATTTTTAGCAGCCAAATATCAATCCATATCATAAACTAACCATCAGATGGATAAAAACTCATTATTAGAGGCATTGAGTGGAACACTAGATTCCAATAGACAGCTACGAAAATCTAGTGAACAATCATTAAATGTTTATGAACAACAATCAGGTTTTACAAATTATTTATTAGATTTAATTATTGATGATAATATTCAACTAGGTATAAAGATTGCAGCAGCAATATTTTTTAAAAACAGAATAATAAATTATTGGGTCATATCAGATGATACAAAGCTGTCGACTTCATATTTTATATTAGAGGATGAAAAAGCTGCAATTAAAGATAATTTAATTAAAACCTTGATGAAAACCTATAAGATAAAACAGATTAAATTTTCGTTAGCTACTGCATTAAATAATATACTTAGTCATGATAAATGGGATGAAATGATTCCATTGATATATAAGTTAATAACATCTCAAGAGAAGGACAAAATATTTACAGGATTGATATGTTTGTATGAATATGTTAAGAATTATAGATGGGATGGAATAGAACTGATTACAAATCCCGTAATGGAAGATATTACAAAATCATTATTCCCATTGGTTGAACAATTGGCACAAAATCTAGTTGAAAGTAATAATGATCAAACAAATGATGAAATGTTATATTTGATTGTAAAAATTTTCAAAAACGCGACTTTTTCAAGTTTACCAACTTATTTCTTGGATGTTAATAAATTAGGATTATGGTGTCAACTACATATTTTGATCATAAATAAAGAGTTGCCAAAAGAAATTTTAGAGGAGGAGATAATTGAACAAAGGAATCTACATTTCAGAATTAAAACCGTCAAATGGTGTTTCGCAAATTTAAACAGATTATTAAATAGACATGGTGGAGGTTACTTAACCAAAGATCATAGTGAATTCACCTCGAATTTTTTAACAAACTTTGTACCGGAAATACTTAACGCATATTGGAAAATAATAGAAAAATGGTCTGCTCAAAAAATTTGGTTAAGTGAATCTTCATTGTATTACATGATATCATTTTTAGATAACGTCATTGAAACACCATGCTGGCCATTGGTAAATGACAAATTAGATGCTATCATTAGACATTTGATTTTACCCTCATTACAAGCAAATGATGCTAGTGTTGAACTATATGAAGATGACCCGTTAGAATATATCAGAAGGTATTTTGATGTTAACCGTGAACAGAAAACAAGTGACGTTGCTTCCATCAATTTTATTCATAGGCTAGCAAACAAAAAATTCGATGAAACAATTAATTTAATTTTTAATATAATAAATGAGATTTTTGCTCAAAGAATGAATGATCAAAGTAATACATCAATAGCTATGCAAACCGAGGGAGCGTTGCGAGTACTATCCACGATATCGAGTGAATTGGACAAGGACACCTCACCAGTTCGTGGTCAAATTGATAAAGTACTCGATACCTACCTAGGTCCAGAGTTGAAAAACTCAAGCAAGACCCCTTGGCTAACAGCAAGAACTTGTGATGCAATTGCGATGTTTCATAGTCATACGTACAAAGATACTAAAGTCTTGCAAAATATATTTCAAGGTGTTATTTCGTGCTTTCAAAATGAGGCTCAATTTCCAATACAATTAACAGCAGCTGATGCACTAGCCACTTTGATTCAAGAAGATTTGGTCGCACAACATGTGGCAGAACAAGCCCCTCAATTGATGGAAAATTTGTTGGAAAAATCAAAAAAGTATGAAAGTGACATTTTAACAAATGTGATGGACACATTTGTAGAAAGGTTTGCTAAAAACCTTGAGCCATATGCTGTAGAATTAGGTGCGAAATTATCAGAACAGTTTTTAAGATTGTGTAATGAAATTTTAGAGCAGAGCTCAAATGGGCACGTTGATACCGATAAAGAATATCAAGCAAACGGGTTACTAAGCACATTAACAACATTAGTTATATCAATGTCAAATGCATCTAAAGTCGGAGAAAGTTTAGAAAGAGTTTTACAAGAAGTCATTGTTTTCGTACTAGAAAATGCAATGGTCATGTTTTTACCAGATATTGTTGAAATCATGGAATCTTTATTGTATTTAAGGCAACAAGTTTCAGATGTAATGTGGTCAATCTTTCAAAGTGTGATTGATGCATTTGACACTTACGCTTATGAATATTTTGATTCATTTCAACCATTTTTTACAGCCATTATAAACAAAGGATTTTCCAATCCTCAAATATCAATGAGTCATTCTTATGTACAATCATTGCTAAAAATTTGTTTTGGAGTACTAAAACAGACAGATATGGAACCAATTTTTGCGCATTCAGCTTTTGAGGATATCGAATTGACCATATTAGCAATGAATTCACGTTTTATTGAATATCTACCAAAAGTTTTAGCAGAAATATTTGAAATATACAAGTCATTAGACGAGCAAGACTTATTTGATGGGTACATGTTGCATAGATTATCATTATTAAGGATATTATATGCTTCAATATATATTGATCCTATAACTTCGTTGTCATTCATTTCATCACAAGATTTTATTATCGAGTATTATAAATTGTGGATAAAGTATAGTGACGACTTTCAAAGTGTCTACGGTTGTAAATTGCAATTATTATGTGCTATTTCCATAATCGGGAGTAACGCGATCAAAAACATCCCAGAAGATTTGGTTGGTGAGACAGTAGATTTATTAATTGGAAACTTAGTTGCATTACCAGGAGCTATCAAGGCCAAAAATGCTATTTTATTGAATGAAACTAGTCAAAAACAAGTCAGAAATGAAGAAAATGAGGATATAAACCAAGCAGTTGAGGATGAATACGAGTTGGATGAAGCAGAAATGGAGGCATTGAAAGAAACACCAATTGATAAAATCAATGGATTTGAGGAATTTGTAAAAGTATTTTTATCTATACAACAAAATGATCAACAAAAATATCAAGTCTTATTTAGTGACTTGGATGACAACAGGAAGGAAATCATTCAAGAGCTTATCAGAGTAACTCAACAATCAAAGTGAGCTGCTCTAGTAATTTATAAATTTATGTAGATTTAATTTGAAAACTATAGTAGCATTTGTGTATATTATTTTGCATTTAATATTATGTAATACTGCGTATAAATTGATTAAAGTGTGATTAAATTATAAAAGGAAAGGCGATTTGAAACATGGAGCTTTTTTATCTTTAAATCATATTGAAATTAGCATTATCCATCCGATCATAAGTTATAGAATCAGCCAACAGCGTCAGTAGCTCACCATCTCCTTTCAGCAAACTTTTCCAGCACCATGTTTTCCAATTTTGGTTCGTCAGTATTTGGTGGCGGTATGCCAGGTTTTGGAATGCCCATGAACAATAAATTCGAAGAATACTTTCGAGTGTATCCAATATCAATGATGCCTGACTTGATTAGAAAAGATGATGCAAATTATGGAGGCAAGATCTTTTTACCTCCATCTTCATTAAATAAATTGACAATGTTACATATACGATATCCTATGTTATTTGAAATCAAAAATGAATTGAAAGGTTTAGTCAGTCATAGTGGGGTTTTGGAGTTCACAAGTGAGGAAGGAAGATGTTATATACCACAATGGATGATGAATACTTTAAAACTACAACCTGGGAATTTAATTCAAATAAGTAATTGTGATTTAAATTTGGGAAAATTTGTCAAAATTGAACCTCAAAGTGTTGATTTCTTAGATATTAGTGATCCAAAAGCAGTATTGGAAAACGTTTTGAGAAAATTTTCTACATTGACTGTGAATGATATAATTGAAATTAATTATAATGACTCAATTTATGGTATTAAAATATTGGAGGTAAAACCAGAAAGTAATAATCACGGTATATGTGTGGTTGAGACTGACTTGGAGACCGATTTTGCTCCACCGGTTGGGTATGTAGAACCAGAATATAAACCAAAATCCGTCACTCCATCCACAGGATCATTGACTCCAATAGACCCATCAAGTGTAAATAGAGGTGCAGGTGCAGCAACGATGGCAAAATCGATTAATTATGCAAATTTGGTCAATGATGCAAACAAAGAAAATAAGTTTGCTGGATCAGGTCAAAAACTATCTGGTAAAAAGATAGAGCCTAACAGTAGCAAATCAGGTAATCAAACAGTGAAAATAGAAGATCTAGACATAAATGCACCAGCTGTACCGTTAAATTTACCCGAGAATCAGTTATTTTTTGGGTTTCCAGTAATATTACCAACTCAAGAAGAAATCAACGAGGAAAAAGAAGAAGCTAAGAAGAAACAACAACAATCGTCATTCAATGGTTCTGGTCAATCATTAAGACAAAGTAAAAAAAGAAAAGACAAAAATTTAAATCATCCACCTTTGAAAAATCATGAACGAAGTCCAGACGTGATTGAAATTGATTGATCATGAAAACAATTACAGCATTAAATACAACATTAATGAAGGTTTCATTTATTCTAATCTATTATAATAACGTATGATAATGAACGAACTACTCCTTTGTGGTGGATGGTAAAAATACATCATTACCTTGCTCTTCAGCTCTTTTTTGATGATAAACGATATCAGTAGATTCCCAAGGATAAGCAATCCAACAATCAGGAACTGTTCTGGCAGCAAAATAATTACCAGTTTTCATAATATCATCAGGTAATTCTGCTCTTTTGGTTTTAATCTTATCGTGTAGAACGAATATACCAAATTTGGTTGAATTTGGATCTTTACCTTGAGCTTCACTTTGTTCCTTAACATCCTTTTTCAATTCACTGACTGCGTAATGTAAAGTGGTTCTAGTATCATCAACTTCATCAATAATTAAAATGTTTTTACCAACTAGATCAACTTTAGATTGATTATAATCTATCCATTGTGTTCTAACTACTTTAGTGCCCGGTTTTTCTTCAACTCCATCTGAATTTATGATTTCTTCGTACAATGATAATATGATAGCCATAATTCTAACATTTGGTTGACCTGGTTCTTTCAAAAATGATCGTAACATTCTAGCTGGTATAAACCCACCACCACCAATGGCAATGATTAAATCTGGCTTGAATTGTTTAATTTTATCAGCAGATTCTTGACATAATTGATGTACATTATTGTACGATATATACATTTTATCATCAGCCATTTTGTAAGATTATTTCACAAACGATTCCGATTGCTTGGTTGGTTCGGGGTATTAGTTAAAAATGGTTAAATACCCAAGAGAAAAAAGAAAAGAGAAGTAAATATTAAAAAGTGAATATTTTAGAGACCTTATATTTTTTTAATTTTTTTTTGTTTGACATGATGATGACCTCAATCCATACACATAAAAGCGCTTAGATATACTACAAATTTGGGTCCATGGCACTGCATTAAGCATTAAATTGGTCAAAGATATCATACTTGGTTAAGATAACCTCGATTTAAAGATGAAGCAGTTTCATAAATATCTGATTCGTATATTAATACAAAACAACTCCGACGGAACAAATCGTTAACAATTACACCATGTGTTTTAGAATTCTTTAATTTTTTGCATCCAAATATCAATTTACTCAGGAAACGGGATATTTTTTCTCCATTCCAATAAACTAGCAGCTATTACGTGTTTGTAAAACAATTCTCTATCGTAACTAACATCGTAAGTAAATTCTTTGGCTAAAGTTTGAGAAATTAATTTTCTGAATCTTTTTCCAAATCCGTTATACTCAAACTTATTTACTATCCAAATGATATAATTCGATTGAAATAAATCGTTAAATAAGATTTTCAATTGCAATAATAACTCTTGATTAACTGTTTCATTTGTCTTCAAGTCAAACCTGGTGAAGGGTAATTCAGAATGAACTTTGCTGAAATGGCTAGAAAAACTATGTTTTATGAATAAATAATTTTCATGCTTAGATCTCTCATTCAAAATCTCCAAATATTTTGAAAATTCTATTAATTCAACCACTGCACTTGTTAAAAGACTAAAATATTGCTTCTTAATCTTCATAGGCAATGTTTGAGATTTTGTTAAAATTCCAAACCCATTCTCTCTAGATCTATAATGTATTGGAATACTTGGTAACTCCGTCAATGAGTTTAGTTCAGCTTCATTCAAATCTTCTTCAATCACTTCATCAAAATCACAACCAACTTTCAAATCACTGTGCTTTACATTTTCACTGTCTCCCTTGTTAAGATGAAAGAACCATTGTTTAACGGACTTGAAGAAAAATCTCTTTCCTGTTTTGGAGTTTGTTGATTCCTTACTTGATACGAAACTCAATGGGGCACTTTCTCGAACAGGTTGATCCGGTTCATGATCATCCTCAACAATTATTTGATCGATTTTGTCATTCATTGATGAACTTTCAATGGCTTCAACTGACTCGGCAGTATTATTGATCGTTTTTTTTGGTACCTCCAGCAACGTATCTTGCTCATAACTATTTGCTTTCTTAAATTTCTTTAGTTTACCAATTGTTTCAGTAGCACTAGTCAAAGATGTCCTATTTGATTTTTCAGTACTGTTTGGACCACCGTTTTGTGTCTTAGGTTTTGCATCTGTTTTCGTGGGAGCTTCATCTCCATTTGTAGGTGAGACTTTTGTTAAAGTGTTAGTTCTTTTCAGGTCTGTGTCGATCTGATTATTGTTTGAAATTTCGTTTTTCAAAATCTTTTCAGCTACCAAAGTATCTTCAGTGTCATTGGAAGTATCCAGAACTTTCTTTGAACCAAGTTGGGAATCCTCAATCAGTGTTGATACTTTTTCCTTGTTATCTTGATCTGATGTATTCATATTTTCTTAAACACTCGATTAAAAATATCTATCAAGTAAAAATAAATACAAATTAGATAAAAAACCAAGAATTGATACTTTCAAAGTTAATGCGATGAGATATATATATGGTGTCATTTAATTAAAGTAATGCTGTTTTTGAAACGTGTTTAATAAATTAGTGTATCTTAATTTTTGCAGCCAAAATTCCAAGCTACCTGCCGCATATCAAAGTTTCATATTTTCATTTCTTAGTTAAAATCTTTTCGTGGAACTGATTATTACTCATATTTGGGCTAAATTTTAAATTTTTTGGTTATTAGTTCGGATCTGACGAGTTTCTTTATGTATTAATTGATTAGCAGATTTCAAATAGTAGAATTCCTCATAAAAATGTTTTTATTTACTTGTCCTTTTGTAATAATAGTACCGACTCTCTGCTGTTTTGTTCTTTTTTTTTGACACGTATTTATAAGAATGAATCAGATCTCTAAAGAATCTAGATAGAGTACGACCTAGACTGCTCCATTTCACGAGCTTATCAACCTATATTAAAATGGTTTAACAAACTATCAAAAACTGATTTGTTTTTGATGTAAATTAGATAGAATCAAATGGAAAATTAACTAATAGCACTGTTCTGGGAAATACGTCAAACAAAAGTAAAATATGCGTGGCAGTTTATAATGAAAATTCGAGTACTTACCAAATTTAAAATTGAAAAATTATTTTGAAACTTTACTACTATTTTCAAACATATCTTTCAATTAGACTTCATAAAGTAAGCAACAACATCTCAATTCATTGCAAAAGCATACGTTTTAATAAGAAGAATGAAATGTTTAGTTATCTTCACGTTAATTAATTGTATCATTGGAGCTATACTTGGTATAGATTATGGTGAAAAATTCACCAAGGCAGTATTATTAGCTCCAGGTATACTGTTTGAAATAGTTTTAACAGATGAAGGTAAAAGAAAAGATTTATCAGGAATAGCAATACGACCAGATTCCAAAAATGGGATAGAAAGAATTTATGGATCTCAAATGGGATCATTAATCACAAGATTTCCATCAAATTGTATACTAGATATAAAACAACTAATTGGTAAAAAATTCGATGATCCTATAGTTGAAAAGTACATGAAAACGCATTTTGGCTCAAAATTGGTTGAAGATAAAACAAGAGGAGGAAGTATAAAATTTGACTTGAATTTAAATAATTCAAGTTATGAATTTTCAGTTGAAGAATTATTAGCAATGACTTTGAATGATATAAAATTAAGAGCTTTAAATGACTTGGAGGAGAATCCCAACGCAGCAGCATTGGTTGAGGATGTTGCTATTAGTATTCCACCTTTTGCAACTCAAGCGACCAGACAAGCGTATTTGGACTCATTGTACTTAGCCAATTTTTCAAACGTCTTAGGATTAGTCGAAGAAGGAACGTCAGTTGCCTTGAATTTTGCTAGTAATAAAAAATTTGAAAATGCAGACTATAATGATGTAAAAGAATATTATCTTGTCTACGATGTTGGAGCAGGCTACACAACTGCAACTTTATTCTCAATCACTCCAACATCAAATGGTCAAATTGTATTAGAGATTGAAAGTGTTGGCTCTGATGAGTTATTTGGTGGTAAAACTTTAACAGATTCCATATTCACAATAGTATTTCAAAAATTCTTGAACCATTTCAATTTGGAAGAAGATAATGTGCCAACAAAAGTTCTCGCTAGATTATACGAGGCTGCTGAAAAAGCTAAAATTATTTTATCAGCCAATAATGAATTTCATACTACCTTAGAATCAATTTACGATGATAAAGATTTTAAATTTCAAGTAACTAGACAAGAGTTTGAAGATATTAATTCTGATTTGATGGATTGTATCACAAAACCGATTGAACAGGCTCTACAGAATGTTGATTTGAAAGTTGATGACATTAAGTCAGTAGTTTTAAATGGTGGTTCAACAAGAGTCCCATTTGTGCAAAAACACGTATCATTATTTGTCGGATATGATAAAATTTCGAAATCTGTAAATACGGATGAAAGTTCAGCTTTAGGAACTACTCAAATTGGGCTTAATTTGAAAACCAGAATTCAGAATTCTAAAGACATCAATTTAATTGAAAAAAGTCATCATAATTTCGAAATTAGTATTGATGAAAATGATGAGCAGATCCCGGTTTTCTCAAGAGGAACGATCGTTGGCACTAGCAGAAAGGTAAATTTGAATACAACTTCAAACAAAGATTTAGTCGTTTCATTATATGAAGATGGTTCATTAATAAAGTCGTACAAAATTGATGATCTTGCCTCTCAATTTAAAAGATCCAGTTGTAAATCGAAAGAGAAAAAGGAGCTTGTTGCTACTTTTGAATTGAATAAAAGCAAAATGTTTGACCTTACTAAATTAGAAGTTGAATGTTTACCAAAGCTTGAATCATTTTTCAATAAATTATTGAACAAAAACGATGACAATGAATCACAAGATGACAAGAACATTGAACTTCCATCTAATACCACTAATACAACAGCAGAACAGATTTTGAATATGATTGAAAAAAGATCCAAGTCAACATATGTTTCAATTCCATCACCAATTTATCCTCACATTCAACCAATAGACAAACACTCTCGTAAAAAATTATTGAATAAATTATCATACTTAAATGATTTAGACGATGCCAAAATAGAATTAACGGAAGTTAAAAATCAATTAGAAACTCAATTGTATAAATTAAGAGAATTTGTTGAAACGAATGAGTCAACTTTACAAAAAGAATTGGAAGAGTCTGAGATTTCAGGATATGTTGATTATGTTGCTGAAACTATTGAATGGTTAGATTTTGAGAGTGATGATACTTTAGTTGAAGAATTGAAATCTAAAATCAATGAAGTTCAAGACAAAGAAGCAGAGATCAAAACTTATATACAAATGTCGACTGCGGATTTGTCGAAAGAGGGAGTTCAAAAATTGTATGACGACGGTACACAATTGATGATGACAATTCAATCAAGTATGTTGAAGTTTGGACAAAAAATTTCTGAGATTAGAGCCAAATTTGAAGAATCTAATTTGGATTTTGATAAAGAGAACGATCGAATTAAAAACAAACTCAAGGCTTCCGATAAGGAGGAAAAATTGCTATCATTTGACAAAAATTTACAGGCTTATAAGGACACAATCACGAAAATTGGAGAATTATTATCGTACCCAGAAAAGAAATTTAACAAGATTTCCAAAAAAGAACTTTATTCATATCATGATCAATTAGCAAAGGGTGTAGCAGATATGGTATTAGATTTAATGGGAGTTGAGTCTAGTCATATGGAAAGAGTCAAATTATTTGATGAAACTTACGATAAATTAATTGAAAGACAAAAACAGAAAGAGTTTAGAAAGAAATTGAGGGAAGCAGCTAAAGCGCAAAAGAAACAACAAAAGGAGGAAGAACAACCAGAAGAAAAGGCGGAAGATGAAGAATTGGAAATCGTTGAAGATGAAGACGTTGAAAAGGTGGTCGAAGAGAAGGAAAGTTTAACTTCAACTTCAGTTCAATCCCAAAATTCCCATGAATCTAATGAATTAGATCACGACGAATTATAGAGTGCTTTTATGCATACAAGTAGCATCGAAATCTAGTTGAAGCGATATTAATTCATTTAGTGAATTCGGAAATAGAAAAAGTATAGATTTATTTTAACTTTTTTTCTTCTTTGGAAGGTTTTAATTATATCGTACGGAATCGTGACGATTCGGCTGTAGTACTCTCAACTCTTAGTCATCCGAGTTGTATCACCTGTAATTTTGTTGGCATTTTGAGCATTGTGGAATTCTGGCTGTTCTGTTTATTAATAGCAATTTGAAGGGAGAATTTAAAAATAATTTCCATTGCCACTACACATATTTTAGATCATTCACTTATGAAATCTACTTATTAATAATTATAAAATCAATTTCAATCAATTTCAATACAAACTTTGTAATCTTGTAAAAAGTTTATGAATTCATTCTTATTCAACATTCTTTTATTATTTGCAGTTTATTTACTTTATAAATTTGAAATTTTCCCAACACCACAATCCATACTTTTAAAAGACAATCAAGAATCAAGAATGTCAGTATCAAAAGAATCTCAAGAATCTCATAGAAATGAACCATTAGGCGCACGAAATCCTGAAGATATATTGGTTGATATTAATGGTAAGAAAGTTCCATTGTCAAGAATAAATAAACCCCATAATGTCGTTATTCCAAAAAGAGATGAATTTCCAAACATTGAATCGAAGGATCAGCAAAATAAAGAAGATTTGAAAGAATTTGGTCAAGCTAATTTGGGTGGTGAAGGTACCAGACAAAAGATCGATCCAAAAGATTTCCCACCAGTTGAACCAGAAGCCAAAGAAAGAGAAGCTAAATTGGAAGCAGAAAGAGCTAAGAATCAATAAATCAGTATTTTCGTTCAGATTAGAAATAAAGAGAGAGTGTTTTATTAGTTATGTCTAGGGAAAGTATGTTTGAATTTGTATTTATTTGGTTGATCATTCCCGATACGCCTCTCTATAATATTTTACGTGACTTCTAGGACTTAATTCATCCTGATTTCCTTTAAGAATGTTTATCGCTGATGAAGACGTTCCAATTTTATCTCTAATTTTGAATCTTTATCTACACTAGTTTCAGTTAGCTTAAATTTGAAATGTCAATTCAAAAGTTAACCCCTGAAAACTACCCCCTTTATTTTTTTTTTTTTTTTTTCGATTTGATATTTGAGATTTGGTGCCACAAAGAGAACTGGTCTCAATTTACGAACATTCAAAATTTCTAAATTTTATATTACGATTTTACTTGATAAGAAGCAAGAGATAAGTACATCGTCCGATCATTCAGTTCTTCATTTTCATTAGAATTCCGTTTTGATATTTTGTCATTATCTAATTAAATTCCAAGAGAACCTAGAGAAATAATACAAACTTGAATTTTCTTTCATGCTACCTAGACGAATATTCAGAGTTGTTTTATATGCAATAGCCTTTCTATCATTAGCCTATATTTTGTTGTTATTTGCAAATAAACATCAAATTATAGAGATAAATAAATTTATACCTTATGGAATATTTTCATCAACTGCTCCTTCGTTTTTTCAACCACCATCAGATCTGTTTATTTTAGATATTTCGATAAATCAATGCTACTTTTATAATTATAATAATCCAAATTGTGGTAAACCTGAACCGTCACAAGGTAATTTTGGTGATATAAGTCCATACGAAGGCGGTTGGGTTAGATTAAAGAAAGATTTATGTCTTGGTAAATGCTGGACCCATAAGGAATTCTTTGCAGTTAAAAAAATTAATCATGATAAATATCAAAAACTAATTGAAGATGAAAACTTGAAAGATGAAGTGATAGTAGACATTGCTATCGCTAATCTGGAAATAGACTCCAGTATCAAAGGAAATGAAAAATTGAAACTACCACGCTACATAATTGAAACTTATCATAATCTGCAACAATTTGATGACTCGGTTCATGCTAATTTGGTCGATCAAAATAAAAACGATAAAATCAATGTCAATGACAAGAGACTCAAAGTAACGGATAGAGACAATTTGGATAGGATGTTATACGTACCGACAATAAACGAATTAGAGAAGATAGGCTGGACGTATAAATCACATGGAATTTGGGTAAAATATGGCGAGCATGATTCAAAAACAGCAATAAATGCAATCGACTTTTTGTTTGGTCCAGAAGCTGTTGAACCACGACCAAATTGGAATCTTATCAAAAACCCAATAAAGGATATATCTAGTCCATTTGGTTTAAATGCATTTATTACATACCGTAGAGGACCCAAGTTAGACTATAAAAAAGAATACGGTACTGCGTTGAAAATGAATGCGAACGATGAATTTAAAATCTTGCAAGTTGCAGATCTACATTTCTCAACTGATTATGGAAAATGCCTAAATCCCGAACCACCAAAGTCTGCAATTAATTGTAAAGCAGATTCTAGAACTTTGAAATTTATAAATAAGGTTTTGGATATTGAAAAACCAGATTTGGTCGTGTTAACAGGTGACCAAATATTTGGGCAGACTTCGCCTGATTCTGAGACAGCCGCTTTCAAAGCTTTAGCACCATTTATTGAAAGAAAAATCCCATTCGCAATAGTCTTGGGTAATCATGATGCTGAAGGTTCATTAGACGCTCAAGAATTAATGGGATTGTATACCGATTTACCTCACAGTGTATCAGCAGTTGGACCAGTTGATATCGATGGATTCGGTAATTATATGGTAACTGTTGAAGGTAAAACATCTTCATCTGTGGCATTATCATTTTATTTTGTAGACTCTCATGCGTATAGTCCAAATCAAAAAGTTCATCCAGGTTATGATTGGATAAAGGAAAATCAATTAATGTATATGAGAGAAGAAGCTGCTTCAATCCAAGATGATATTAAAGCATTTGAGAAAGAAACTTTTACGGATCCTGACACAGGTATGAGTAGAACAAAGACTCATCTAGCAATGGCTTTCTTCCATATTCCAATACCAGAATTCAAAAATGTCAACAAACAAACATTTGTAGGTGAACATAGAGAAGGGGTTACCTCACCAGGTTATAATTCAGGAGCAAGGGATGTATTTCAAGAAATCGGTGTTAAAGCAATAAGTATAGGTCATGATCATTGTAATGATTATTGTTTATTAGATGAAAATCATACAACTAACGATGATGAGAATAAGATTTGGTTATGTTATGGAGGTGGAGTAGGATTGGGTGGTTACGGTGGTTATGGTGGTTATATTAGAAGGTTAAGAATTTTTAATTTGAATACGGCAAAGGGAGAAATCAAAACTTGGAAAAGAACTGAAGATGCACCAGATCAGAAGATTGATGAACAAGTTATTGTTACTAGCGGGAAATTGGTTAATTGGTAGATTATGAAATAAACTCAGCAAACTCATTGCTGTGTTCAATATTGCTCTTGTATAGTAAATATAAATATTGAGTAACAATTTCCTTGCGGGTAAGCGTGAGTATGAAAGCTTCTTATTTTGTACTTCGATATGCTGAGAAATTTGAAAAAGGTTTTGATCAATCTTCGATGTTGTCTCGTTTGGGTAATGAATCATTCTTTAAAGTTTATGTTGGACATAATTTGATGTCTTATAACAAGCTATAGACTACTTCTAAGTAATGTTATAAATATGTATTTTTAAAAAAAAAATCAGAAGATGAACTTACGAGATGCTCTCAGCAGGATTCGAACCTACGATCTCCTCATTACTAGTGAGGTGCCTTACCAACTTGGCCATAAGAGCAATTTTTAAAAAAAAATATTTTCTTGCCTGGACAGCTTTGTCAATTATGACCCAAAAATTTGAATGATGTGGTTGCTTGATGGGATGAAATTAGGCAGAAGAAAAAAAAAAAAAAATGCAAAGAGTTTAAAAAATTTCCCCTTAAGGATAAGTACTTTTGTGATATATTTTGATCTTATCAGTCGATTTTTAAAATGCAACTCCATGTTGCAAAATTTTTGAAATAATTGGATTACATTGACAATCAATGGTTCAAATTCGACGATTGCCTTTGACAAAGAAGAAACTAAATGTAAAGCTCATGATGTACTTACGAAACATTCAAGCACGACTACCAATGCATTTATACTTGATAGGCTTTAAGAATTTGAAAATGGTGTTCAAGTCAATATTTTATCAAAGATCCATAGTTATCGCTTTTTCCTTCCCATATATATGTGAAGTATTACCAAAAATTATCAAGACAGTAATAAAGAGTATATTTGACTTAAAATTTAATGATATTCATATTAAAATCTGGAAAATATTGAAAGACCCTTTCAAAGCTGACAGGTTGCCGATTTTTATGATCAAACTAATTGCCACTTTAAATGCCTTAAATCCATTGTTATTAAAGTTATTGGTACCCTATGTTGATGGAATGTACATTCAATTTCTATCCACTTTTTTAGCAGCACTCATTGCTTCCTTATTAAACTTTCCATATTTTCAAGAATTGAAAATTTCGCAAGATAGATTTTACACATTCGATTGGACTTTACTTTTAATAACCAAAGCTTCTGACACAATTTTATCTTCATTAGCTACTAATTATTGTGCATCGTCTCCGATTTCCGGTAGTAGCGTGGATTTATTATTGTCAATTGCTTCTACTTACCTCATCCTGGATGCTTTCTGGTTTCATCCAGAAAAATTAAATCCAAATTATGTTAGATGGATCAACAAAATATCCGTTATCGATCCAGAAGTAGTTGAAGGAATAAGATATTTGAAAGATGGGACGTTAGACTATCAACCATATCCTAATGAACAAGGCAAGTTGTGTCATCAAGATCATTACGAAAAATATGCTTTAAAAAACAATAAAGACCCAGCATTAGGCGATATAAAAATACAAAATAAATTACCATGCGAGGTTTTACATCAATTTCGCACCAAAAGTTGTAAAGAGAATACATTACTAGCATTCATGAGACAATTCAAAACAACCTTCAAATTCTACTCATACATCAACCTATTCATGTATATATTTGTGAGAAGATTCAGAGGAAAATTTGTGAATGTGATAAAGAAAACAATAAGATCGTCATTATTCATTAGTTCATTAAATGCTATCCAGTGGGGTTGTATATGTCTAATTAGAAATCATCACCCCGATTGGAGGAATCAAAAATATTGGGATATCATAGCTCCCAAAATCGGTTCAGCTTTTGCTGGTCTTAGTATTTTATTTGAAAATCCTCAAAGAAGAAACGATGTTTTGCTATTTGTAATACCCAAAGCCTTAGGGACTTTTATCGATTTGAAACCAACACCAATAAATAAATTGTTGGAAATATTTGGGTTTAGTTTAAGCTTTGCTGTATTGGTGGCTTTTGCCAGACTGAATCCTCATAGATTAAGGGGACTTGTTGGCAGGGGTCTAAGTTATATGGTCAAATAATAAATGCATTAACTACTTTTGACTTTGATAATCCCTATACAGGGTTTCGGCCATCTCCTCGATATCCTCTAAACTTAAGACTATCATTTCATCTTCTTGCTCCTCTTGCTCTTTCTTACCTTCTCGATCTATCTGAATCTCCTCTTCATCCACTTTTTCAAACGTAATATCAGACTTTTTCAATTCGTCTAGAACCTTCTTTAAATCATGTGCGATTGATCTTATTATCGACTCTGTCACGTTGTCGCTAATTAAGTACGAGCACAAATCTTCAATCCATATTTTGTCGTACACGTAGTAAATGTCATGATACCTAAATAATTCTTTCAAATCCAATAAAAATTGTAAAATCAATCTTTTCCCACCTCTTAGGCTGAAATAAACATCATTCCATACTTTTTCACACAATTTATAACTTCTATGAAGTGGAAAAGTTAAAGCCCTTCTAATACAAGTAATGACAGCTGATCTTAATAAATTGTCATTTGCATTTAAAGATAATTTAGAATCCAAGTACGAGAATTGAGGAGTTATTTTGCCTATAGTCCAAGCACTCTCAACATTGTGTTCTCCTTCTGTTTCCCTCAAATCAAAATGATATGCGAATAGTAAACTTATTACTGTTGCTAAAATCTGTGGTTTGTACGTTTCGTCAACCAAGTATGATTTTCTTGGTAAATTAATCATTTGTTCTTGCTCCTTTTTAGTGAATTCAACAGGCATAATGGACTGACGATCTTTTTCTTCCAAATGTTGTTGAGATTTATACCATTTCAAAAACTTCAAAATTTCGGGATTATTCCATTCAATTATTTCTTTAAAACTTTTATCATCATCAGGAGTAGGATATTTTTCCATTATATAATCAGCCGCATATATTTCTGGATCGAATTGAATATTTTCCTTTATCAATCTTTCAATTATTCTATCATTCTCTGGTGTTTGTTCAGGATTGTTAAGACCATTGATATCATTACCATTGGAAACACTCACTCCTACAATCCCTTCGTACTGATTATCAAAACCGTATTTCAATTTCGGTTTTAAATTATTGTCGTCCTGATCATTCAGTCCCAAAATTGGGTTTTTAGGTAAATCCTGTTCAACCTCCCAATTAAAGGTTTCTCCTTCATTTAAATCTCTCTCTGCTTGCCTGTTTATTATATCATCATTATTGACATCTAACTCTTCAATTAATGGTTTCTTAGGCTCAGCTGACCGTATCTCATCGTTTCCACTTCTTGCCAATAGTTTTGCAGTCAAATCCAAATCGGGAAAAAATTGACCCTTATTTGCCTTAGGTATTTTTATTTTAACACTTTCAGATTTCGAATCATATTCGGAATGAGCTCTTTCATCATCAATACAGGGGTATGGGAATCTTAGTCTTAAATAATATGGTGGTAATGAAAATATAAATAATTCATTCTCAACTATCATTTCAATGTTAGGTGCGCTGAACCGGATATGTGTGATTTTGATGTCAATATAAACAAATTCATCATCTTGGTTAATCGTGAAATATGGAGTAATCATGATAAATCATGAATTGATCTAAAAGGATGAAGTATTGCTTTCATGACTTAAGTTTAGATTGTACTTAGTATATGCATTCATCTCAATCATGTTCTTTAGTATGCAGGTTTTAAGATGCGTTATTCTTAGATTAGTAAACTATTTATTTTTTATCATTTATTTTCATGATCTTGTACTCAAACCTACCAATATTTTAAATGAGTCCCGTGGAGATATCACAGCCTCTAGCAAAACCCAAAGTTGCCAAAAGCAGATTTGTTGGAAAGAAAGGAACGAATGATGCGTCTATAATTAGAGCAAATGATCAACCATTAGCCAAGAAAGAGGTGAAACGTCACATAGGAAGAGTAATAAATCAAATACCTGAGGACATTTTGAACGATAAAGATTTAAACGAAGCAATCAAACTACTACCTTCAAATTACAATTTCGAAATTCACAAAACTGTATGGAATATACGGAAAAATAATGCTAAAAGAATAGCATTACAAATGCCCGAAGGACTATTAATATATTCATTAATAATATCAGACATACTAGAAGAATTCTGTCAAGTTGAAATTTTAGTAATGGGAGATGTCTCTTATGGTGCATGTTGTATAGATGACTATACAGCTAGATCACTAGATTGTGATTTCATTGTTCATTATGCTCACTCATGTCTCGTCCCAATAGATGTTACCGAAATTAAAGTTCTATACGTATTTGTCACTATAAATATTGATGAAAAACATCTAATAAACACGATAAAGAGGAACTTTGATCAAGGTTCTCAGATTGCAATTTTTGGAACTATTCAATTCAACCCAACGATACATAGTGTGAAATCAAAATTGGAAAATGATTTAGAGAAACCAATATATTTAATACCACCACAGACGAGACCATTATCAAAAGGAGAAGTTTTGGGCTGCACTTCTGCAAGGCTAAACAAGGAACATATAAAGGCAACTATTTATGTAGGCGATGGAAGATTTCATTTGGAGAGTTCATTGATTCACAATCCCGAGATACCAGCATATAGATATGACCCTTATGATAGAAAGTTTACACGAGAGTATTATGATCAAAAGCAATTGATCAGTGTCAGGAATGATGCTGTTTTAACAACAAGAAAGGCTAAAAAGATCGGTTTAATCTTGGGAGCGTTGGGAAGACAAGGAAATCCGGTAACTTTACAAAAATTAGAGACGCAGCTAGCTGGGAAGGGAATCCAAATAGTCAAGATAATTTTAAGTGAAATTTTTCCTCAAAAGTTGGCAATGTTTGATGATATTGATGCGTTCATACAAGTTGCATGTCCAAGATTATCGATAGATTGGGGTTATGCATTCAACAAACCTTTACTTACTCCTTACGAAGCCATGGTTATGCTCGAGGAGGATAAAATGGGGAACGAAAAATATTATCCGATGGACTATTATTCCAAGGAAGGTTATGGTAGGGGGCAATTACTTCGTCACGAAAACATAGATATTTGAAGTGATATAATTTATAACGACCTAAAGTACAATTTATTTATTATTTAATTATCTTGAAAAGATTTCTCGTATATCTCGTCAACTCCTAACATCGTAGCTAAATCAAAATCCGACCAAGTGAAGTAAAAATTTAAAACTTCTTGATTTATTTGGTTTATTTGGTAGTAAAATTTGATAAACTTTAAAAAAGATTCGGCTATTATATCATTCACAATTGTTGGAGAATTTAATTTCAATAATTGCTGCTGAACTTCAATCATTAAATTTGGCATATAATCTTGGAGTATCGTATTGACCTCTTTAAGTTTTTCAGAATTGATTAATTTATTTTCCTTTATCGGTTCATAAATCGATACATCGAAGTATTCATCAGATAAAGGACAGATCATATTTAAAATGTTAAAGTAATCATATAATTGAGTTTTCTTCAAAATGTTCTCAAATATTAGTGCTGTCAACTTTTGTGCTAATTCTGTCGCTAAATCATTGATTTCTAGAGCTTTATCTGACAATAAAGAAATGGGCATGATTTTAGATCGAACTAAGTCAAGAAAATTATATTCCATTATGTATGAATCCATTTTTGAAAAGTGTTTATTCCCGTCAGCATGCAGTTTGAAGATTGATATAGGCTGACTTATTATCAATTTTAGAAATCTCTGTTCTTCTTCCTCTGATAAGTTTAAAATGGTTTTAGTGTGCATCTGATCAATCATCGGTAAAATATCCAGATAAAACCCAATGATCCATTCAGGTGGTTGCAAATCATGGTTTAATTCCAATCTAGCCAGATTACTTGAACTTATTGTTGAAATTTTGTTGGAAATGATCATGAATATACGATCTTGACAGGTTGTAACTAAGTTCCTTATAGTTATAATTAGATTGTCAGATTCTCGTAATTGCTTCTGAAACATTATGGAATAAAGTTCAAGGAGGTTAAATATTTGATATATAGTACCAAGTTTTGACTCTATCGATATTACTTGTTCAATTTTAGACTTTATTGGCTTAGATAATGATTTTAAAACTTTGTTTGTAATAATTTGTATCGTTTCGTCAAATTCATGATCATCATCGTTTCCCATTGTAAAAATATTAGAAATTGTTTCTGACTCGTTAACTGCAATAGAATGGACGTAAGCTAAAAAATCACCGATAAACCGTATTGGATCATGAGCCGACATAAAGATTGGTCTTGCTTCAACCACGCCACTAGACAATGAGCTTTTTGTACTAGACCTTCGATCCATTGCTGGCCTGGACTCAAGTTCCAGTGGGCCATGAACTTGATGTTGAAATTCATCCAATAACAACTTTGACCTCGTATCAGAAAATTTATCAATTATTTGATGGAATTGTTCTTTTGTTTTAAGATATTGGAAACATTCATGCAATAATTTCAACCTTGTTTTTGAACTTAATGAGTACAAATTATCCAAAGTCTTATTACAATAACTTATTATTCTATCAATTGACTTATTCATTATATAATTCATCTTAGACATAATTTTCAAACCTAGTTGAGGGTTGTCTTCAGACAATAGTATTGAGCATTCATCAACTATTTTTTCAGCCTTTTTCAAAATATGAAAATATTCATCATTCATTTCCCCCTGAGTCAAAGTAAATTCTTCATATTCATTCAATGTAAACTTTTCTTTAAAAACTTTTAGTAAATTTTTTTTCAATTCAATTAACTGTTTATCATTATTCAATTTTCGCACCTTTGCATTGAATTCACTCAGACTTTTTGAATTTTTGTTTACCCTTTCATTTGTGGTAGTATTCAATTCATTTAACTTCGTTAATTTAGACTCCACTGTTTTTAATTGTTTAATCACTGGCTGGTGCTCTTTCAATATTGACATTTGATCCTTGATTAGTTCATGTTCTATTTTACTTTTCAAATTTTTTCTTGACATAGTACCTACGAATCCCGAATCCACTAACTTTTGAATGTATTGAGAATCGTAATGATCAAAATTCGCAAAAATTTCTCGTAGATTTGAATCACTTAAAGGGTCATTAAACACTCTTGATAGTCTCAAAGCCATGGAATCTGTCTTTGCAGTTGACTGAAGTTCTTCTTTCGTTGTTCCATTATTCACCAAATCTTTCACTAAATTTAATGATAACTCTGCATATTTGTTCATTAACTCATTTTCTGCACTGTTGTTTTCATCATCAACATTTATTCTTGTGTTTATTGGTTTAAAACTTTTTGATAAATTGAAATTTGAGATTTTTTTACTAAATGATTCTAAATTTGTCGATAGTGGTAATGATAATGCAGGCTGAGGCTGCGGCAAATTAACATCTTCATCCGCAGTGAAACTATCGAATTCTATGAAGTCCATTCAAGAATTTCTTCAAGTATGTGAAATTAAATGATTAATATGTAATTTTACTGATTTCCAGAATTTTAAGATTAATGGAGTTAATTTTGTCTCAGATCAAATACAGTAACGAAAATTTCAAGCGTTACTTCTAGCACTTGTACTTAGAAGGAGAGTATTTATTAAAAGAATCATCATTAATAACATTTATCTCATTACACATTTAAGTAGCATTATACACATAAAACTAATAATTAAGCTCGACTTACCACAATTGTACACAACAAATTTTAAAAAAATAATAAAATCAATATAAATACAACTTAAAATAAAAAAAATTCATGATTGTGATTTAATAAGGATAGAACTGAAAAATAATATGCAAATGGAAATGAAAGAGCAAAGCCCCTTCAAGTAATCTTCAATCTCCTGCTTTCCCTAATTGATGAAAGTTTTTGAGCTTGATTTATATGTTTTTGGTAATCTGGATTGAGCTCATTTTGCAATTGACTATTCAATTCAGCAGCTTTAAGGATGGAAGTTATTCCAGTATCATCAATAGCGTAGTTCTTAATAGATTGCGAGGTATTCTCATAATTGGTTTTACCATCATCTTCTAAATCTGTTTGATCCTCGTCGTTTGATTGTTGAAGCTGCTTTAAATCTGGTACATTTTCAATACTTGCGAGTGTTGCTTCTTTTGAAAATCTTAAACTATTACTCAATGATTGGAGACATTTCGATGCATTGACAATATCAATAAAATCCATGTAGGAGGATGAAGAAGATCCATTGGCAAAATTTGTAGCTTTATCAAAGCTTTGATACGTCAGTGTTGGAGTCTCTGGGACTTGATCTTTATGTGGTGCCCCATGTTTATCCTTGTTGTGTTGTTGGTTTGTCAATAAGTTCGATTCTAATTCACTGTTTTTCAAACTAGATTCTCCGTCATTTAATAATGGTGACACTAATTGACAGTTACTGATTGGTTTTTCGCCCTGAATTATTTTCTTTTGAGGTGATGGAGTGAAAGTTTCCTGTAACGGAATCGACTTATTGTTTTTATTTGCTTGAGCTGGAATGCCTAAAGATTTGAGTTCTTGTTGCTGTTGTTGACTTTGAAAGTTTACTTTTGATTTTTCGATTTTGATGTTCTTTGAAGCTGGTTCTACATTTGATTTCAATGGAGACTCTTGCATTAAATCTTCTTGAAGAGGAACTGGTTCTGGTAATTCTTCTTGTTTGAAATTTTCCAAATCATTTAATTTTAACTCCCCAAATCCCTTTTCATTTGGTTTTAAACAACTTTGAGGAAAATCTTCACCAAAAATGGGAACCAACTCAAATCTAATATGATAACAAAATCTTCTTGCTAATATTTTGCATAATTTGATTGGCAACCAGGTTCCTTGAATTTTTAAAAAACCTCCTCTTATGCGTTTTATATATGACTGATAATCTTTTGGTGTTGATTCTAATAATTTCACAATATCAGCTTTCAAATGATTTGGAGTTACTGCAGATGATGATGGAGAAGATGAAGTGGTTGTATAATCCCTGTCGTTGGATTTGGTACTAATGTTATCTCTTGCATTCAATGAAGCTTTCCAAATGCCAGTTAAATGAACAAATCCAGTTTCATAATCCCAAATAATCCAATGATCATTAACAGTATACTCATACACGGTTAAATAATTTCTGTTCGAATCAATTGCTGAAGTTGAGTACTTTTTTGTTTCAATTTTTGGATAGATAGTTGAATTTAAATATTTAAGAATTGGTTCTGGAATAAGTTTCATAGTTTCTGAAGTTAAATGATGAACTGGGTAATGTATATTACTGATGTCGACCAAAAGATTTTGCTTAGATTTTTTTTTACCTTTAGTGGACGCTTTAGTTTTAGATTGAGTTTTTGAATGACTATCAGGTTCAACTTTTGAATATGTCGGATTCTTTCTTCTTTTCTTTTGTTTTGGTTCGAACTCAGTTGGTAAAAATGATTGATTATTTGTTCGATGGTGTGAGATTGGTGAATTTGAAGCTGAAAATGGAAAAGTGACATAGTTAGATCGAGAAAAGGCTGGAAGTATTTGCTGGTGTGGTGATGGAATGGAAGAGGAAGATGATGATGAAATACTATGTTGATGATTTGAATAAGGGGATAAAACAGGCGATATTGGTGAATTTGAAAGATAGTTGTTGAATTGATTTATGCTTGGTAATTGCTGAGGCTCAGTATTATTGAATTTGTAGTATAATGGAGATGCCAACGTTGGTGGAAATGAACTTGGATTAGAATCAAATTGTGTTTGAAAGTGTGGACTATTATTTAAACTTGTCTTAGTTAAATATTCTATTGAAGGTAATTGAGTAGATGCTGTTTCGAAATTTTGATTCTGATGAATAGTTTTCAACGTGGTTTCAATCGAGGGTAAGATATTATGACTTTTTTCTGGAATAAATGGCGAGGATCGTAATTTGTTGGTTGATTCAAAAGGATCTTGACTATTAACGCTCCATTTTAATGTGTGTATACCTGGTACCATTATTGTTTCTTATTGAATAAATCGTGGGACAAAGAATGAAAATGGTTTAGGGGAATGATGTATAATATTTCTATGTTTGAGGTCAGACAGGAAAGTATATATTGATTTTGTTGAACCCAATCTTCCAATTATTCGAGATTTAAATGGAATGAATGAATATAATGAAAAAAAATTTAAATGAAAGTTGCAAAATTTCTAATCCCTAGTTTTGTGTAATATATTTATATTTTGTAAATTAATTTATAACAATAGTATTGTGTAAGTCAAATAATGTAAATCAATTCTAAATACTATAGACGCAATGTTTCTAAATATTTAATTTTAGTTGATTTAAATTGACTTTAATATTGATTGATTGTTATCGATTATAACGAGAAGAATTCCACTCTCAACCAACTTGAATATATTATCAATTATATGTATTTTAGTTATGGTTAAATTTAAAAAAATCAAAAGTTCCAATAATTTCAAGGGGGGGTGTAATATTATGGTTTGATCCTAACCTTATCTCTCGAATATTTAAGATTGGATCTTTATTTGGTTTGATCTTAATTTAAAAAAATATTATGGATTAAATTTATAATTTAAAGGATCGAACTAGGTTGAAAGGATACTTTAATTAAGTAATCTTTAAATTGTGGTCCTTACTTCTTCTAATATTCAATTCGTTTCGAAACAAGCTGTTTTAGCAAAACTTGATGAATCTAGTTCTCTCCAGAGATTCTAGTCTTAATTCACGCTATACTTGATTATTGTAGCAGATGGATCTGATTGAAAAGTAGGAAAAAGAATAATGCAGATTTGGTTTGAGAGTCTTGAAATCATCTATGAGCTTTGAAATTTTGGAAGTATATATATTTTATATAATTAACAATTTAGTATAAAACCATCATTAATTCGATATGGCAAAATATGTAATAAATTTAATATAATAAGGATTTGAGATCACAAGGTGTAAAATAAAATATTTGTTCGAGATTCGGTTCTATAAAAAAAAAAAGATAAAAATTATCTAAAAAATAACTTACGAACCACAAAACTTAACATTTGAAAAACCTGTCGAGGAACATATTGATATAATCAAATTTACTTACTTCGTTCTTACAATTCAACTCATTGAATTCCAAATTTTGCCCAATACCTGATTATTTTTATTACAGAAAGCTGATTTATGAATTCGGTATGGAATATTTGACATAACGTTTAGTCTAAATTTGGGGTGACATTTGAAAAATAAGTCAAATTATTCAAAAGTTTAATTCTTAATTTAGATTTGCTATCTTCCTACAAGAGCTAATCATGTTCTCACATAGATACTTCTTAAATTATTCACCCACTTCATCCTTTCCATTTTTTACCTACTATGACAATTGATAACAATATCATTATAGGTGTGCAAAACTTTAATCTTGAGCAAAAATTGTCATAGTTATTTTACACCAGCAAAATAAATGAAATGTCAAACATTACTGATATATAAGGGATTTATTTAGTTTCAAGTTTAAATACTTCAAAAGAAAGAATAATCGATTTTTTTTTTCTTTCAAATCATCACAAAAGTTAGAATAGCATTATTCCTCGATTGTATAGTTGGGAAACAAACTTAAAAAGCTAATTGTTTCGTGAATAAAGCTAATGAGTCCGTGGTTAATGCAAATAATAATTCAGAAGCTAACGATAACTAAAGCACTACTCGAGTATAAACTTTGGTAAAACATTTTTCCACATACTTGTTTATGATTTTTTTTTTCAATCCTTATGATTTTGATAAATGTCAATCGAAAACTTAATTAAGTCAATATTCTTGCATCATGTGGAATAAAAAGCGTATGCAGTTTAACACTTTCAGCATTTGACTCTTTATTTAATTAAAAAAGGCTTTGAATTTCGAGCCATAATGCTATTCATATAAGATTTTTTAGGAGAAAACGATTCATATCTCATTTTCACAATAATAAACTTTAGTCGAACAAAAATAGTGGAAAGATATCTTGTAGAATAATTTTAGCTATTCAATTTCATCGAATTTATCAAATTCCCGAGCCATTCGTTGAAATACCGAAAAATCTTAAATTAACAATCAATTTTAAAAAAACATAATTTGTATTATGCAACTTTATAATTAACTTTTTAAAATTCAATTCCATTTCTTTCTTTTTGCATTTTATTCGACAGACGGTTAAACCAATTGTTGCTGTTATTGAGTGAAGCAAAACACATAAAAGCTTGTAATTTGATAGGTTCGTAGGATATAATAAGTTTAAAACCGAAGGAAACTTTCCATCTATTTTGCAGGTGTCTCAGACCTAATAAGATAAATACAAACAGACCGCTCTACATAATTTAAATTTAAGAAATCAATAGAATCTAATTTCTCGAGATTTAAACAATAAGTAGTCCATGTTAATTTGTGTAGCAATCAAAAACAAATTAATTATAGACTATGAAACTTAATTTTTTTTTTTCAATTTTAATCGATATAACCCTATTCCGTCAACTCCATTAATTCCATTATTGTTCTATGTTTCACTGTAATTAATTCACGGAGTAAAATGATTTTCGTAAACTTTTATATGGTACTTTTCAATTTATTAGTATCAAGACAATTTGTTTTTTTTTTTAAGTTTGCACAAATCTAAACACCCCTTAAACCAAATGGCTCACAAAAATTACATTAAAGTTTATTTATTTAATAAAGCAAATCGACAATCTATATTTATTTCTTTTTGATTTGGTCTTCATTTGAAATTTCAGTGAATTTTGTCTCTTCCAAAATTCAGTTGATTTGTCCTCGTTATCAGATTTTAAAAATTAACTAATGAAACTTTTAGGAGATGTATTTAGACTAGAAGCCGTTCTTTTAGTTACTTTCACCCAATCAACTATTATTTAGGTATTGTTTAAAATTTTAAAGGTTCAATGCTTATTCTTTTTCTTTCCCTTCTAAATTACTTTTATAAGACAAAGGAAATTTAAACTTTGTATTATAATAACTTTAGTTTAGCAAACAGATATGATAATTAATCTAGATATGAAACTAGAGATAAGAGTTCTAGATTCAAGATTCGTCAGAAGAAATAAACATTATACGTATACGAATTTTTGAAATGAATCGAAGAGCAATATAATATTAATGATCACTACTATTATGGTTGATGATTAAACTTAAGCAAATATTTGTCCCCCCTTATAGTAGCGTGCATTAATTGCTTTATTATTCTCGAAGAGAATTTTCAGTTTCACCGGCAATTTTACAATAATTTAAAACACAGTTAAACGAAAAGGTGCATAAAAAATAAAACGATTAAGCATTGCATACTTTTTGGTTACTATAATATGATCCGTAACTGAGTTCGTTTTGCACCTGACTTCAAACTCGGTTTTGCGGTTACAAATGTTTTGCAATTCTACTTCATTATATTTTGGCAAAAATCGTTCGCTGTTTAATCATGATTTGAGTGAAGTATTTAATGGATTGAAAAAAAAAAAGAGAATACAACTCACTGCCAAAGCATCATAAATGGATCAATGAAACAAGAACCCAGGAAAGTTTTTCATAAAATGAATATAGTGAACAGAACTCTAACCCTGTTTTATCGAGTTTTCATACACATCTTGATTTTGTGTCATTGTTTCAGTTTGGTCTCAACTCAATTGAGCTTAAATATGATGCAGAAATTGATAGATTCGTAATATATTTTCAACAAGCTCTAAGTTCTTTTTGCAAAAGCATATTTCTCCATTCTTGAGGAGAAATCGGGTATTCTTGAGAGTAGTTGTTGTAAAAGATTATGAATCTCGAAAACTCGGATTAAAAAGTATCAAAAATCCAATAAATAATCGTACAAATAAAATTATCAGTTTTTCACTTGAACACATTCGTCATTTAGAAATTCAAAAAATCACTCAACGTGAGCTTCTAGGAAACAAGCTCTATCAAAACATACCAGCTATATCTGTCTCATATAGTTCACTACTTTGGTTCAGAATATTCCATACCAAACTTTGTTACCAACCATTAAATTATGAAATCAATTTCACCTAAAAGATTTTATTCCACACCAGTTCGAGAACTAAATCCTCACGTATGTTTTTCAGAACTTATATTATCATGAGTTATTAAAAATGTACTAACTTTGCTAACTTTTAAAGTCTGTATTTTATCGACAATTCTCAAAACCATTTATTAAGATCTGCTTATTATCAATTGGGACTTACTATGGCTTGATTTATACTTGGGAATATTTGGAAAAGAAGGAAAACGAAAAGTAGAATGAAATGATGGAAATGAGGATGAGGAAATAATTACTTATTAGAATAGCGAAATTTACAGATTTGTTGTGGAATCAAATTGACATGAATCAAACACTGTTTGATCTTGAGTTGTTTTTAAAAAATTAATGAATCAAATTTGGCATCGCATAAATCCACTTTTTCAGAATAGTTTTGTACCTACAACGTCTTCAGGTAAAGCGATTTCACAAACAACGCTGAAGAGATCGAATCGCTATCGAGGGTTTGAACTATAATGTCAACTGCATACATTCATAAAGACTATGTCTATAAATTCCGAAAAGGTTTCAAGTGGCAGCTAATATACAAATAATCCTTAAATAATCATATCATCTTAACCATCAATTCTTAAACTACTGTTTTAATCTGTTGGCAACAGCATCTAAAAATTCGGTAGTGGTAACATAACTTGATCTATCAGTTTTGCCCATTGCTAAAGCTAAATCCTTTGTCATTATTCTATCTTCTTGAACTGTATCAATAGTAGCTTTCTCTAATTTGTTGGCAAATTCAACAACTTCTGGAGTATTATCTAATTTACCTCTTTGAGCAATACCTCTTGACCACGCAAAAATAGAGGCTATTGAATTTGTAGATGTTTCTTTACCTTGTTGATGTTGTCTATAATGTCTTGTAACCGTTCCATGAGCAGCTTCCGATTCATAAGCTGATCCATCTGGGGTCATTAATGCTGAGGTCATTAAACCTAATGAACCAAATCCTTGAGCGACAATATCCGATTGAACGTCTCCATCATAATTCTTTAAAGCCATGACAAACCCACCTTTTGATTTGATCATTTGAGCAACCATATCATCAATTAATCTATGTTCATACCATAAACCTTGTTTTTCAAATTGTTGTTTATAGTCTGATTCATATATTTCTTGAAAAATGTCTTTGAATCTACCATCATATTTTTTCAAAATTGTGTTTTTAGTAGACATATATAATGGTAAATTTTTGGCTAATGCCATTTTAAATGAAGCATGAGCAAAACCAGTGATTGATTCATCAGTATTATACATGGCTAATCCAACACCTGGACCTTTATAATCATATACTGAGTAAGTTTCTGGTTCTCCACCATTTTCTGGAGTAAATCTTAATTCTAATTTACCAGGTTCTTTAATCACTAAATCTTTAGCTTTATATTGATCCCCAAATGCATGTCTACCTATTACAATAGGTTCTTTCCAACCTTGAACTAATCTTGGAATACATGGGATAATAATACTTTCTCTGAAAACAGTACCACCTAAAATATTTCTAATAGTACCATTTGGTGATAACCACATCTTTTTTAAATTAAATTCTTTAACTCTTGCTTCATCTGGAGTAATAGTTGCACATTTCACACCAACTCCATATTTTTGAATGGCATGAGCAGCATCTATTGTAATTTGATCATCAGTAGCATCTCTTGATTCAATTCCTAAATCATAATATTTTAAATCTACATCTAAATAAGGATGAATTAATTCATCTTTAATTTTAGCCCATATAATTCTAGTCATTTCATCCCCATCTAATTCAACAATTGGATTTTTGACTTTTATTTTATTTGACAATTTTGATGAAGTAGAAAATGCACGAAGATGATTCAGTAACATCCTTGTACGATTTATAGCTGTTGAACTAATCATTGTACTTGAATCTGGTTTATTTGATTGTAAAAGTTCGAGCCCAGATCCTTTTATTGAATTTGGTGACAGTATGATGAAATGAATTGAAATATCACCAATTTGAGATTAAATTATGAAAAATAGAAGTCAAAATTGATGTTTTATCTTATAATATTAAATTATACTTAGACTATTCGTATATTATGAATCAATTTTTCAATTCATTTTATTAATTTATTTTGAATGGAGAAATTATTATACCGGAGTTTAATTCGGCCCTGTAAAAATTTTAATCTATTACTTTATATGAGTAAATGGTACAAATTTTTATCAATTATATGTTTCATAAAAAGAGTAAGATGTCTAATGACTAATTGAATGATGATTACAGGTTATATTATATCACTATATAGAGCTCCAGGTCCTATCTATTTTTATTTACGTAAAATGAATTTGGGATGGATTGGTACTAAACCTGTTTCACAAGATTTCGAGAATTCATGAAAAATATAGATCTCCCTTTTATATTGATCTTTTGAATGTTTTTGCAGTTAAATTTAAGCAAAATCTTGGAAACCTTTGCAATTTTAAGTGCAGTTATTATTAGTAGCTTATATCTGAAAGCTCTTTTTTTGAGATTATGATCATGCAATTACTTCGAAGTTTACGTTAATGAATTGATTATTTTTACAAATACAAACTTTGTTGGGCTTAACCCACATCAGCTATAATTATTGATCATTCTAGTTATGTTTCGCACTAATAAAGATGTAAATGAGTTAGAGAGTCTTATCAGTTTACTAAATTTTTTGTATCACATTTAAATTATTTTGGTTGCAAATTTTAAAATTGAAAATATCATTTTTTTTACAACCAACATTAATGAATATCAATTCACCATTTATATGCTGTGGCGTATGCTATAAGGGCCATTTAGATTTGAAGCAAGTCAATGAACAGTTGTGTTTAACCTCATGTGCTCACATAACTTGTTCATCACATCTAAATAGTATGTTCATTTTTTAATGAAGACCATGGAATGATACTAACTAAACCTAATTTAACAGACCATTCATTGAACAATTCTTCAGGTATTGATTCATGTCCAATATGTCATTCTGAAAATATTTCAACCATTGTCATTGACCAATCAATACCATCTGATTTAAACCATTTTTTCACGCCAGTCACTCAACAATTGAATAACTTTTCAAATTCATGTCAACACCAATTCAATACCTTAATCAACAAGGTTGAACATTTGACTCAACTAAATAATAAATTAAATGATAAAATCAAAAAGCAAAAAGAATTCTTGTATGCTGCAAAGGAAGAAATTACTCATTTGAATAAATATAAATCACAAGTTGAAGATTTAAAACTAGAAATAAAGGAATTGAATAATAAATTGGATGATTGCAAACGACCTGAAACTTTTGATTTGAGCAATGTAAATGAAATTGAATTTGGAAGAAATATAGAACATCTTGAACCTATTGATGATGAATATGATAATTCCTTTTTAAGACCAGAAACGTACAAATCAGCTAATACCAAACCATTTAATTTTGCACTGAATACATTCATCAGTAAGATCAATCAAGAATCTAATAATCAATCCAAGAAAGTATTAGATTCAAACCAACTCCACCAATCCTCAACTGAAAGGGCTAGAAAATATACATCCAATCAAATGAACAAAAAAGTAGTTGCAGACGTTGGTGGCAATCATGGTAACGTGAACAAGAACTCAACTCTCAAAAGATCGTTTTTTGCTGAATCGACTAATATTGGTGAATTTAATAATCCCAACAGAAGACCTTCAATTTTTTCAGCCGGTACAACATCAATAACAAGTTCAAGATCAGGATTTCAAAAGTTAAATTCAAATAAATATGGTAAAGCAAGCAGAAGATCGGCAACCAGTCAATTAGCATCAAGACTAACAGCAAATATGAGGATTGGATCTTTGAACGGCGATAAAGTTAAGCTTAAAAATAATATGATACATGGAATCCAGGCTGCAAGTTATCGTTCCAATATGATTGATAAAGGTCCAGTTTTGAATAAAGTTTTGAATCCATTAGCAAGTAAAACGTCACACCCTTTTCGTTGAACTAAATCAAAATTGATAAATATCATTTCACCGACTTCGAGCAATATTTGATTTTGAAACAACACTCAAATAAAGTATTTATTGTCATTGGTTTCATTCCTCACTATCTAATTCCACTATTTTTGTAATAATAACCGTTATCATTTTATAGTCATGATCAAGTATTTTATCTTTATATTATGAAGTATTTTATCTTTGTATGATAGAGTAATTTATTCCTTATATGATCATATATTTTATCTAATTCTCTGTTTTCTCAAATTAAAACCAATCGACTGTATTGAACACGAGGGCATTGGCTACCCCTTTCATTTTTCTGTATCCGGTAGTTGAAAAGTTAATTTCGAGAGACTATAAATATTGATTTTAATTTTTTGAACAAAATAATTTTTCTATTTCATATCTTTGGAATAGTAAGTCTTCACAATCTTTCTTTTGATTAGCCTGGGCTTTAATCAAGACAAGATATTTAAGAATACTAATCTATATAAGTCAATAATAGTGAATAAAGTGGTGAAAGTTATCTTACCTTATTCTGTTGTCAAATATATAGGAGTTACTCATTTGTTTTCATATATATTCGACAATAGAGAGAAAGATAGTCCAATCAAAAATCCTCAGATATACATTTAAATAACAAAAAGTCAGCAAATTCTACTGATTTCTCTTTGTTATTTATACTGTCTAATTTTTGATTAAGACATCGACCAAGTTTTGATACTTTTTCAATCTTTTCTTTGCTTTTATTCAACTTCGTGAGCGATTTTTTAAATATTGAGTTTTACTTTGAATTTTCAACGAAGATCAAATTCTAGGTTCAACAATCTCAGCAGTCACAAATAACATTTGGTGAAGCTATAGGAGTGTTAAAGACGTATTTAGATACCCATTTTTTGAATATCTTTGGTTCATATCAAACTTGGTATTAGTATAAAAATTGAAAGCTTCACACTACCAAAAGATATCACAAAACACGTCACAAAATAGAATTTTTTTGGTTGCAAAATATAAGAAATACACCACCATAAAAGCATTCCAAATTTCAAATTATTTAAGGATTATTAAGCTTAGCTACAATATCAGTGATGAGCGCATCTTCCAGCAAATACGCTCCAGATGCTTTAGTTTTTCAAGAGGCGCTCGAAGAATTAACGTCTGCTAGAAGACCAATCATTGAAAAATTAAACAATTTGGCCGAAAAATATAGAGATACAGCTGCTAGGGATATTAGCGAAATCATATGCTCAAGAATTTACAACGTTCCCCCGCTCAAAAAATTGTACACATTATACTTAATTGACAGTATTTGCAAATACATAGGGAACCCCTATGATATTTTATTTGGCACAAAGATATATGAAATATTCAGATACATGTACACACAATCAGCCGAAGGTGATTTGAGAGATAAGCTCAAAGTTCTTTTCCGTACATGGAATACAGGGTTGTTTCCGGCTGAGCAATTGAAAAAAATAGAGGATTTCATAAATAAAGCTTCAAAAGTTAGTAGAGCTTCCAATTCCCCTGAATCTTTGATATATCGAGGGAGACAATTTTTAGGTTTTATCATTAGGTTGAATGCGGATCTTGATGCTGTTAGAATGGAAAAACAATTTTTAAATGATTCAGAAAAAACAAGAGTAGAAAGATTTGAGATACGACGAAACAATTTAATTTCTAAAATCAACGAAATAACTGATCAATTGGAAACTGATATTAAAGCAAAACGTTCCTTTGATAGCAATTATTTAAACTACTATGGGGCGTCTCTCAATGATATTCAAGGTAGCTTAGATACTCAATATCATGAACAACTCGCATTTTTGGAACAAACATGGCAAAATATCATTAAAGTGAAAAGGAAACGACATAAAACTAGACTAAAAGAAGAAAAATCACAAAGATACAAATTATTTTTAGATGCGAACAGAGTTGATATTGATCTTAAACCAAAAATAGAATTCTTTTCAGGCACTTTACCTCAACATGAATTTGATGAGATTATAAAAAACTTCGGTAAACCTATTGTGAATTATATTCAAAGAGATTTGAAGAATGTTGCTCAGGTCGAATCTATTAGTGACAAGACGAATGAAGCTCAAATAGGCGATCCTACAAAACCAATTGTGATAGATGATACCAGCGAAGATAGCCAAAATAGCTTAAGCAGTCTTTCCAAAAATATTCTTTCAGAAGAAAAAGGCAACAATTCAGAACAAAATTCATCTACTCAACAAACAAACCAGGCTTATGACATGCTCGGATTATTTGGAGGTGCTAGTAGTTCGATCTTATTTTCCGAATCTAATTTGGACAAACCAAAACCACCAAAATCAATTTCCACAAATAACGACTCACTCACATGTTCTGCTGACATAAAGCCAAGCAAAGATTCAGGTTCATACGAAAACAATGCAACAAGTTATTCATCAGCGGCAGAAAAAAATGATATTGTCATACACGAATCGAGTGGAACAAAAGGAGAGTCTTTTAAAACTAATTCCTCCATTGATGCATCAGATGAAGTTTATAGTTTAGCTTCGGATGAGGAGAGTCTAGATGATGATCTACAAAAAATAGAAGCTGGCCATACCACGTCAACAGGGTCTTTAATGAAAAAGAATAGTGCTGAAAATGAATTAACAAAACTGAGATCAAACTCGTCCGATAGAGAGGCAAGCCCACATATTTATAGACCACCCACACCTCCAAACCAAGGTCACAGCTCCAAACCGACCAGTCCATTGCAACCTAGTGCTAAGAATCAAAGAGTAGGTGAGACTGAATCACATTTTTCGCATTCCCCATTACCGGAAATCCATCGATCATCAGATAATTCTGCTACTTTAAAAGCTAATGACAGTGATTCAGGTTCGGATGAGGATGCTATGGAACAAACAAATCCCCCATCTGATAATTCAAACAAAGATAGACCAGCACAAGCCGCTAAAAAATTGAGTTTTTCAGCATACAGAACAGCTAGAAAGAATACGGATGTTCCCCTGCCACCACCACTTCGTTCAAGTCTTTCTGAACCTTTGTTTAAAAATTCATCAAATGATAATGCTCATGGTGTTGAATATGATATCAACGATTTATTTAATACAGTTTCAAGTACATTAATTGGTCTCAGGTCTATTTTGAAAAATGGTAAAAATTCAGATGATTCGAGGAAGAGACATCATAGTGTTGATGGTAATGAAGAAGAAGATCTGGGCTCAGCTAAAAAACGGGTTAGATTTTTAGTTGATTGATACAAGAAAGTATGACGCTATTGGTATCCAGTTTCTTCAAAAGATATATTTTTGCTAGCTTTGAAATTAAGTTCATTATAATTTTTCAATTGATAAGATTATGTATTAAAGTAAATTCATTATATCGTATACATCAATTTAATAAATCATTCAAACAGTCATCATTGTGAATTCTTTCAACAATGTTTTCTTCCTTCTTTCTTTCTCTTTCTTCTCTTATATTTGTTCTTTCATATTTATTTAAATATTTCGTACAGTCAATCCAAATTCGTACGAAATCAAACAAAAAGAAGTTCCAATTCAATTATTAATCTATTCAGGTGGAGGATTAAAAGCACCAGATTTATACATTTGCCAAGCTGTACTTAAAAATGGGAAAGCAAAAAAGAATCCTAAAACACCCCAATACCAAACTTGAAATGGAATAAATTTTCTATTTTTAACTTGGAATGGTAAATTTGAATAAACACCTTCTTTTGGTACACCATAAATTTGAGACATAACATCACCTTCACCTCCACTCATTAATTTTGATGATTGTTGAAAAGTTCTAATTTGAGATTGTTTAAAGATTGATGATGTTAATTGTTGAATTGGAGTTTTCGAACATCTTTGTAATAATGATCTTGCTAACATTTTGGATAGAATGACTTGGGTGATATATATTTGGTTGATTCAATTGACTTTAATTGATATGAACTTTATGTTATATTGTCAGATGTTTTTTCCCAAATATTAAAGGAGGTCGTGTATAGTTGTATAATTTTGTATACTAACTAGAGAAATAATAATTAGTATTTAATTGGTTCTAGTATAGTATTGTGGAAAGAGCTACCAATATAAGGTGATTTAATTTGTTACTGGAAAAAAATCAATTAAATGCAATGATAATTAACCAGGTATATATTCATATCAAAACAAATCAAATAACAATATACTAAAATGGCCATTGCACCAATTACAGGAGCTTTGAAAAGAAAGATTATAACTGATATAACAATCGGATTTGCAGCTGGTTTTGCATTAGCTACTTTATACTGGTACACTGAACATAAACCAATTGTTGCTAAAAGAGAAGCTTATTATGCTCAATTGAAAAAACAAAAAGAAGCTGAAAATACTGCTTAAATTGCAGATAATTTTTAGAAAAAGAAGAAAAAGGAGTTTTTTATCATGATTTAAGAGTGAAAAAGTGATGAAGCAATAATCTCACTAAAAGAAACAAAGTTTACACTTACACTAATCATGTGGTTTAATGGGTTCAATGATTGATATTTATATTGTTTATGAAATTTATATAACTTGATATATAATCAACAATTAATTTTATTTTTGCATATTTCATTAAAAATTTTGGAGCCAGGCACTATTGTTAATCATCATTGAATAATGTATTGCCATAACTTATGATGATTAACAATTCCATTTGATATTATTATTATTTCTTTATGATTACCCTTTTTATGTAATTTTTCTTCTAGATATTTCAAACAAGTTAATTCACTTCTTGTAATTCCACCTAAAAATACCACTATCATATATTTCAGTTTATCATTATTTATATTATGAATGTTTAAATCTAATGAAGATCCAGAAAACATTGTGTTTAAACCAAGATTATCCCAATTTGGTCTATGTTTGATATTATTTACTGGTCTATATTTTAAAAAATCTCTAAAGTATAGTGATTCAATGATTCTATATGTTAAAGGAACCGTATTTCCAGGTAATGTAAATGATGGATTAGGATAAATTTCAATCAAATTCCTCAGCTCTTGATTTGAAGATTTGTTTGTACTATCATCTTCGTCCTCCATAGGATGTAAATTCCAGAATTTATTTATCAATGTATAATTACTCTTAAAAACATCTTTTGCACCACTTATACCTCTTAAATTTTGATTATCTTCAACATTAGTTTGATGATGCTTTTTTTGACTACTCAAACCTAAAGATGTCAAAAAATCATTTGAGGAATCATTAATAACTCTAATTAATTTTAATTTGATCAATTTCTCTAATGCTAATGCTGCTTCTAATCCAAAATTATCTTGCAAATCAATTGAAATTTTTTCTAAATCCTTATTTAAAATTCCATCATTAATAAATCCAATTAATAAAATTGTTGGCCATATAAATTCAATATTATAATTACTATTTATAAAAAAATTTAAATTTGAAATTTGTAATTTATAATCCATTTCAAAAATATCATTTTGTAAAGTTAAAAATTTTTCATATTCATTATTTACTTTACTTAAAATAGCTTCACCAATTATTGTATGTTTTTTTATAAGTTCTTGTTGTAATGTTAAATTACCTAAACTTGAAACTAAATTTTTCATATCATTTAAATTTGATTCTCCAATTGATCCAGAATCTTTATATTTTTGTTGAATAAGTTTTGCTAATTTATTTAATCTTAATCCAATAGTTGAAAAATTTAAATTTTTTAAATCTTGAATATATAATTCATCAGTTAAATTTTGTTTTTCTAAATGAACAATATTTTCAAATTTAATTTCAAATAAATCATCAATAATACCTTGATAATTTAATTGATTGAAAATTAAAGGAAAATAATCTAAATTTCTTTCAATAACAATCAAATCTGTATTACTTTGAATTTTTTCATTATAATATTCAATCTCTATATTTGTCATATTTTCATTTAAATAATTTGGAATTAGCGACTTCATTAGGGTATTTATTAATAATTCAGAATGATCTCCCTTCCCATAAACATTTCGTAGTTTAAGTAAAGGATATGGTTTGTTGGTTCCATTATTTAGGAACAATAATTTAACTATTGCTTCTGATAATTCATTTATTTGTTTTATTGGTCTTTCAAAATAATCATCTAATCCACCATATTGATTTATGCTAGTTAATAGTATTCCATCCGTATAAATTGGATCTGTTTCCCAATTGAATACCTTAATTTTAGACGTTATATTTACTGATTTGATAGGATTGAGTAGACCTAAAATTTTTTCAAAATTGTTAATACCATTAAATGCTTTATTTAGTAGGTATAAATAATTTTTACTTAAATCTTTAACTATTATATTATATTTCAAATTATGAATATTATGTTGTATATATTGAATATATTTTTCTAATTTTTTCAAATTTTCATTAGATTCAGGTAGTATTATGATTAAACTTGAATATTTGGATAGCACATTAATAGGTAATTCCATTAATTCATCGTTCAACCATGTGACATTTTGGCATTTCCCATGTTCTTTTATATTCAGAAATGTTGTGAGACTATTTATAAATGGTGATAATATTGGATCTAGCACTAATAAATTATCAGATGAATATATCTTGTTAAGACAATTGTTTAGTAGATTGCTTGTTGAAGTCTCATTGAATTGTTTAAGGTTTAGAGACTGATCTTGTTCAATTACCATTGAACTTTAAAAATGTTTGATTTTTGATAGATTTGATTGTAGAAAATTGTATAGTAAATAATTGTAAACAATTACCGTTTTTGTTCACAACACAAAACGAATCGTCCTAGAGATCAACTTAGTACTAAACTAATATATCATGTACAAATCCTCTACCTATTGATGTATCAATTCTATTCAAAAGTATAAAATCTATAACTTTGCTCCTTTCTCTTTCCCTTCAAATTTCAACAATCCTTCTTGTATAACACTTGCAACATGAACACCTTTATCATTATATATTTCACCTTCAACTAAAATTCTATCATGAGAAAACCTTATAGTTTTAAAACTATAACCCATCCATTTAGTAACATCAAAATCATCATCATGTATATATAAAACATGATCTAGACTAACTCCAAAAAATGTTTTATGATAATCTTTTAAATCAACATTTTCAATACGTAAAACTCTTAAAATTACATTTAATAATAAAGAATCTGATAAATTACCTAATCCAACATATTTAAATTGTGAATCAACATTAATTAATGGTTGATCATATCCTTGTTCATTATCAATTCCCCATCTTACTAAAAATGCAAATTTTCTTTCTGCTACTGGTATATCATTTTCATATTCTGATTTATTTAAAAATAAAAAATCAGGAAAAAATTTAAAATATGATAACATATTTGATTCAATACCTGATACTGGTAATTCATTTAAATCATATTTTTGAAACCAATTATGTAATGGAGTTTGAAATCCAAAAGGTTTGATTGGTTTTTTTTCAACTTCTTCATCATCATCTTGATCATCATCTTCATTATCATTGTTTTCTTTTACTTGAAATTCTTTTTCTTTTAATTTCTTTTCATATTTTGCATTATATTCTTCATATTTTGCCATACTTTCTTTTAAAGCATTTTTTTTAGTTAATGATATATTTGCATAAAATACAATTTTATCATTTTGAAAAGCTTTTACTGATCTATTACAAAAATTATTTCCATTTGAAATTTCTTCAACTTCATAAATTAAAGGCAGATCAGTTGTAGCAGCTCTTACAAATGATGAATGTAATGAATGAGGTTTAAATTCAGGATCACATGATTTCATAGCTACAAGTAATGATTGTCCAACTATATTACCTCCATAAACTCCTCTACTATCTGATTTTGGTGTAACTAATGGCTTTTTTCCAATATATTTATCTTTATTGATTTCTATAACTCCGAATTCTTCAGCAACATCTACTTTTTCACCTCTTTTGTAATTGATTTCTTTCATTGTTGATTATTAAATTATGTCTCTTAGGAAAGTTGTTCGTGGTGAAGATGTAATGAAAGGTATGAGTTTTGTAGAATTGTTTATACTCGAGATCTTGATGGTGAGTCTATAGATTGTATAATTTTTAATAAGTCCGATTAAAATTTAAATTTTTACCCCGCGTAAATGTGATAAAATAAAGCCGAGCTTGAATCATTTAGTGAGGTTTAGTGAATGTCTAGCAAAGAAAGAGCACTCCGCTTTCTACTATATAACTGTTGGTATGTTTTAATATAAAATTTTAAAATCTATGAAGTTTCTATAAATTATCTTAAGTTTTATTCTATAAGTTAGCCTTTGGTTCAACTGGTTTAGTCACAAATAATCTTTCTTGAACAACACTTGCAACATGTTTACCCAGTTCATTATATAATTCACATATAATTAAACATCTATTGTGTAAATAAATAGGAGTTTTTAAACAAATACCAGTCCATTGAGTAGCATCAAAATCATCATCATGAAAATATATTGAATGATCTAATGAAACATTAAAATTTATTTGAACTTTTTGACCTCTAGATACAAATGCATAATTTAAACTCATCCAATCAGTAATCCATGTAAAAGCAACATATTTAAATTCAGGTGGTATTGGTAATACTTTTTCTTTATGATTTATTCCATATTTTATTATATATGAATAAATATCTTTTGATTCATATTCGTCAAAGTCTCGAATACTCAAATGAACATCAGGAACATCATAACCTTTTAATTGATCAACGTCGGTATAATTTTCCAATTCTGAGGTTCTTTGTCCTTGAAATGATAATGATTTTTCCGTTATAGAATCACCAGATGATTCATTTTTAGTTGTTAATGAAACATTTGCAGTAAATCTAACTTCACCATTTTGTATTGCTTGTATAGATCTATTTGCAAAAGTTTTACCAGTTGATATATTTTGTACTTTCCATGTAACTAATACATCAGGAAGACCCTTTTTTGCAAAAAATGTATGAATTGCATTTGGTTTAAAATTTGGAGGTGATGATCTTACTGCAACTAATATTGCTTGTGAAGCAAATGCTCCTCCGTATACTCCTCTTACTCTTGGACCTGGTTTTTTTAATGGTACTTTACTTCTATATTCCGTATCTGAAATTTTTATCACATCTAATTCTTCAACTATGTCCACTGTTACAGGTTCATTTTGAGTAGTATATTGCGATTCATTACCATTTATTATTCTTTGGTCTGCATCCATATTGAATTGTAATTATTATAAACGTTTTATTAATGATTTATAAATAGATCTTGATTTATTTAACTTTGATTATAAATTTGAGTTTTATTAAAATTGATTTTTGTGAAAAGTGTTTCTTCGGGTATAGTGATGTTATGAATAAGTAGATGTATATAAACAAAAATGTCTAAATTATACTTGAATATTTTAATTTGTAAGATTAAACAATATACTTATATTTTATTGATGTATTATTATTTATTTATTTATATTTTTTTAATAACCGGGGTTTGAAAATTTTTAGTTAGTGGCTTTTTTTTTTTACTTTAATTTAACAATTCTTAACGTCTTTTTTTTTTCTATTATCTTTAGGTCTAATCTAAATTGTATTGTTCCAATAATAACAATAGTAAGTACCTACTTACTTATCAATATTTTATAAGAAATATTTGATAAAAGTTGATAAAAACAATTCTGGACCAACGGAGTAGTAGCATGTATTATTATCACTGTTTGTCTGAGAGATTGAAAGTCTTAAGAATAAAGAAAAATGTAAGTAGAATATCAAACTCTTAACGGTAATCAATTAATACATCAAAATACTTTATAATTCCGCTTAAGACAGTACAAACTATAAAAAAAAAAAAAAAAAACAAAATTAGTGGGTTTAATTTCACAAGACTATAATACCCAAACCGAATAGCTAAATAACCAATTGAACCATCTGAGTTTCAAATTTGTGCATGCAAGAAACTATTTAACGTTTCTATGATATGTTGTGCTATATGTGTTTTAAAAATGAACCTATAATTTTGTGGTGACAAACAATCTCTCTTGAACAATACTAATAATTTGTTTTTTATCTTCTGTATAAATATCTCCTTTTATAACAGCTCTATTATGTCCAATCCATTTCAATTGTAAATTGTATATGAAATATTGATCTAATTTAAAATCATCATCATGATAATATACATTATGATCAATTGAAGTTTGAAGTCTGGCTTTAACATCAATATTTAATTTTGGTAAAAGAAGTTCCAATGTTATCCAATCTGTTAATGTTGTTACTCCAGCATATTTAAATTCCGTTATTTCGTGATTTGTTAATGGTTGATGAATTTTTGAATCTTTTGCTATTCCAAAACTTAGAATGTAAGAAGCACTTATTGTTTCACTATGATAGGATGAATGTTTTTGATAAGCAAATAAAGATTCAAATTTGTAGACTATTGGTGCTTCATATATTGAAATATCTAACTCACCTTTCAATGGGATTGAATAATTAATTTTACTACTATTTCTATGTGAAGTTTTTGATGTTGAATTTTTTGATGTTAACGATACATTTGCAGTATAAACTATTTTATCATATTGATATCCCTTTATAAATTTATTTACAAAAGTTCTACCAACAGATATATCTTCAATTTTCCAAGTTATTGGAATTTCATCAGTTACTGCTTTTATAAAAAATGAATGTAATGCATTTGGAACAAATCCCTCTGGTGATGATCGTATGGCTACAGCAACTGCAGATGCTGCAATATTACCTCCAAAGGCACCTCTACTTCTCTTTTTAGGTTTAGCTAATGGTTTTATTGTTTCATATGTATTTGAATCAATCTTAACTATATCAAATTCTGATTTAAGATCTATGGGTGGTAACTCTTCAATTCTATTGTTGGAAGCTTCCATCTTCGATCATGTATGTTTTTTTTTAGTCAGTTGGTGGTTATCAGTCAATCTTACTTGATAGATGTATGTTTTTTGTTCATTCTGTTAACTGTTCGAGTGTTTTCATGTCGCTTTCTTCTACCGAGGTTAATGCGGAGTTTGCATTTACTATGTATTGATAGCCGCGATACATTACGTATAGATCTAGAATGAATTTATATTTTTCACTAAACTGTGGAAATTTCACTAAAAGTCTAAGGAGATAGAGATCAAGAGTTAATGGTCGTAATACTAAATTAATCTAGCCAATTACTATCAATTTTTTTGTAATAATGGAAGTGAAATAAAAAATATACATATACCCAAAGTAAATCCAATCTATAATTCTATTAACATATCAATTCAAATTCTATGTTTATAATTTTGCAACTTCTCCCGAACTACCATTATATTTTTCATGTAATTTCTTACTTTCATCAACCATATATTTAGGTATAAATCCATAAGCTTCTTGAACAGTAGTAGCGATAGCTTTACCATCTAAAGTATAAAAATTAACTATTCCTAATATTCTATTATTCCCCATTGAAACAAATCTATAATCTAAATATAACCAATTACTTGAATCAAAATTTAAATCATGAAAATATAATATATGATCTAAACTTACTCTAAAAAAATCTGATTCATTTTTAGATAAAGGTAATCCTATTGCTTTTATTATAGTAGCTAACCATAATGCGTCTGATGCAAATGCTAATCCTAAAAATGATTGTTTTATTTTATCTTTACCTAATGAATAATCATCAAGAACTTTAACAAATAATCCTAATTCAACATCTCCAATTTTATTTATATCAAAATTTTTAGTTTTTGAAAAAAAATCTGGTGGTACGGCATGTGCAAGATTTCCATTTGTATGTTCAAAATATGGTAAATCATCAACTTCATCTTTATATTTAAAATATTTTTGATTAGGACTTCTTTTAAATTGAAATGGTACACTTTTTATATCTGCTCCACTTGCCACCAATTTTTGAAATTCTTCTTCTTTAATATTTAAATCATTATCTTTAGTAAATGATACTTGTATAGTAAATACTAAATTATTTGTATGTTCTTGATAAGCTAATGCAATTCTATTAGCAAAATTTCTTGAATCACTTATTTTTAAAACTTCCCATCTTAATAAACTTTCAATTGATCCAGCTTTTACAAAATATGAATGTAAAGAATGAGGTTGAAAATTATCTCTACCAACAGATTCCCATGCTGCATTTAATCCTTGTGATACAAAATCCCCACCATAAGTTCCTCTTGCTCCTTCTCTAAATGGTTCAACTGGATATATTCCTTGATATATTACTTTATTGCCTTCTTCTTTTATAAATTTAACTCTAGCTTTTGCTTCCATTTTACCAACTGATTCATCATTATATACTTCCAGGGTCAATCTTTCCATTGGTGTTAACGACATTGTGTGATATTGTTATTTGATGAATATGATTTGAACAGTTATTGTATAATTAATGATTTATATGGTTTTTTTGATAAATTTATGTGTTTTTCTATATGTAGATCTTTATATCATCTTTTGTTCTTTATATAGGGCTATACTATATTTAATTTTACCGAGGAACTTTTTTTTTATCTGTATACTAATTATGTCAAAAAAGAAAAAAAAATATTATTTTTTGACATCGTAAATAATTCGTTTGATTGTCTCGTTTTATCTCTAACGGTTGTACAAAAGACGTTTATTTATTTCGGACATAGGCTATTTACAGTAATATTCGAATGTGATATGTGATGATACTTTATCTTTTCTACAACATACTAAGCTTGACTTGGATTTCAAGGTATAGTCTTCATTCAAACCAATTAGCTCTCTAACTCTCAAGAAATTTACTATATAATGGGGAAATAGAGGATAGGAAAAGTGAAGGAATCATAAATGAACTATCAAATCTATACTGATTTTTGACAAAATTTCTGTAAGCTTTATAAATTATAAATGTGCTTGATCAACGCTACTCCCTACTCCATCAAATAAAATAGTCAAACCTTCTTGTACTATAGTTGCAATACATTTTTGATTCTCATTGAATATATATCCACGACATAATAATCGACTATTGTTCAATCTTTTCATTTGATAAGTCAAAGTTAACCAATCTTTACAAACATCAAATGCTGACCCATCCGTTGGATCATACTCATTATTATGAAAATAAATATGATGATCTAATGACATTGCATTATAATGAAATATATGCATTGCATTTAATGTTGAATTTATAATATGTGTAGCATCTCTTTGTTCATCATATGGTTCACCTTTTTCTAAAGCAGGTGCAAATGAAGTATGTAAGACTCTAGCTAATGTAGTAATAAATGCAGAATCTGAAATATCAGCTAATCCAACATAATTAAACATATGATTTTTCATTGATTGTGAATTTTTTGGTAATAAAATTAATTTATCAATTGAATGAGGTTGATCCATTGCATCAAAAAATTTCTCCGTTCTTAATTCAGGTTTAGTTCCTGGTTCAGGTATATTTTTTAAACCTGTAAATAATGTTATCCATCTATCAGATATTTTTAATTTTTTTTCTTCTGGAGTTCTTCTATAATCTAAAAAATCGTCATCATATGCATTTCTTACAAAATCAGTATGATGTGTTTGACGTAATTCATCTGGATTTGGATGTTTTATTATAAAATTTGGTGGTGACACAGACTCGTCATGATTATGTTGAGTTTTCGTACCTTGTTTTCTTAATGTTATAATACAATTAATTCTATTCTTACCCTTTTGATGAGCTAGCACAGCTCTTTTACTGATAATGCCGTCATCAAATAATTTAATTACTCTATATTCCATTGGAATTCTATAGTTTCCTGCATTAATGAAATGTGAATGATACAGATCAGGTATAAAATACTCTCCTGTTTCTTCATTTTTAGTTGATTCTATACCTACTAATAACGATTGTGCAATCATATGTCCTCCATATACACCTCTACCTCCTATAACTGGTAATCTTAACGCATGAGCTCCAATGTAGTTATTTTCATCAACTTTCTTCACTCTTAAGGCTTCTTCAAAATCTGGTATGGGATTCTCTCCGGCACTTAGTTGAAACATTTGCTTTCCTGAGTTTGTTTTTCTTGAATTATTTTCGAATTAAACTTTAGTTGAAATTGACTTTCCTATTTATTTTTCAAACAAGACTTTATCATATCATAGTATTTGAATCTAGTTATTCAAGACTATACTTTATATAAAAGTATGGAAACTAAAAACTGTTTAGATACTTGGCTTTCAAACGTTTTAGTAAATGGCAAACCCCACATTTTGTGTTTATTTTGAGTAAAGTAAAACAAATCCGATCAAATATTTTATCAGTTTAAAGTTTCGGAGTTGTACTTTAATTTACATGTGAAGAAATAACTATGTAGTCGAATACAAGTTTGAGTGATTCTTGTATGAGTAAAAGACATCTTCAGATTTCAATTTAAGCTTGTCAAAGAGTTCACCTACTAATGTGGTGACTTACATTATCTACCGAAGTATCATTGTAACAACCCCGCCTTTGGCTTTGCACTGCGAAAAATTATCCTCGCATCGCATTATTTAGTGAGAGTTGACGCGAGAAAAATTCTCATTACAATTGGGATCTTCGCAAGCAAAAGCGTCACTAATTATCAAAATCCTCTCTACTCAGAAAATGATATGAAAATAACACCGACCATCACTGCCTATAGAAGTGAAAGAGATCTAATACAATTGAAAAAATGGTTTTATGATTTTACAGCTAAGGATGATCATCGTCAAAAAGCTATTGATGCGGTTGGAGCTATGTTAACAAGAGGTAGATTACCACATGGAATAGAAGCAACATCATTATTATCATCAGTCATATTAACAGACATCAAAAATCCTAATTTGGAACCAAATGTTATACAATTATCATACACTATGGCTATTATACGATTTGTTAATGGAATTATTGATCCATTACAAAAATCAGTTTATGCTGTGCCAATGCAATTATTAGCTAGACAATTAAATTTACCTACATCTTTTATTGAATTGAGACATATGGGAACTCACGAAAATCTTCCGAGTTTAGAAATGTTACGATCAGCAAGTGAGAATGCATTAAATTGGTTATTCGATCATTATTGGTGCCATATACAAGAGGATATTGAGGATGAGAATCATCAAGAAGATGACGTATTTCTGGAAGTCGTTAACTTTAGATCTAATCAATTTGAAAGACTCATTGATGAGTATCTGATTTACGATAATCTCAAGTTTTTCAAAAAAGAACGTAAGGATGATTTGAACTCATCATTGGAGACAAATACTGATATTAAATTTAAAAAATGTTTGAAAGACATAATTGAGTTTGGGAATTCCGATCCAGTGCTATTCATCGATATATTGATTAGAAAATTTTATATCATATACCCGGATAATAAGTTGAAAGCCAAAAAAATTAAGTACAATCCATTATTGGAGAAACTATATACACCCTTGTTTGATAACTTAAAAGTTGAGTTTCATTGTAAATTCATTGATATTGTTTCAAATTTGGTTGATGGCAATGAGGTAAGTGAAGTCAGTAGAAAACTTTACAAAAAAATTGGACTTCGAATTATTTTAACCAAAAGCGAAACTGATCAGTTACTCGAGTGGACACCTTATTTCATTAAATTCATCTTCAAAACGCCATTCTCAATGATTCCCAAAACATTGTGCAAAACACCAACTGAACTTCTTGATGCCACGGTTAACAAAATAAGACTGATCTATAGACTGGACAAAGCTATGGAAAGATTGCTGAAGCAGATTTTGGAAGTAGCAACAGAGGAAAATCATGGCAAGGAGATGTTGAATCAATTATCAGAGTTGATAAGGACGTCTGAAGTTTCTGGAACGAATAAAAATATATTGGAATTACCTCCATCGATTGATGATATATTGGCTGAAAAATCTGCTACAAAGAGATCAGCCGATGACGATAGAGAGGATGAAATTAAAAATAAAAGACGTAAAAATGAAGTGAATGGTAAAAATGTTTATTTGTTAGAGCAGCACGATGATTGGAGACCGACTCCTTTCGGAATGAGTGTCTAGCTAAGTACGTTATTGTAATGATATATATTAAAGCGTAAGTAATTTTCTCTAGCTAGTCATTTTAGATCATTTTCGTATCTGAGCAGATAACATTAAATTTTGTATCACAATCTTAATATCTATTTACTCTCATATATTACATAATTGAAACACTAGGTTGTAAGGTATCAATCAATAGGTTTGGATTACCACCTGATGAAATCTTATTCATTCAGAAATTTGAAACTAATATAATAGAATTAAAAATAGATTATAAACTTAAGAAATTGGATTTATTTGTTTGAGCTTAAGAGGTCGGGAAAATCAAAAGCAAATGCCCTAACACAAAAATGTCCTAACACAAAGCGGTATCGTATTTTGAATTTCAAGCCGGTGAAAGCGCAAATTTTTGAACTTAAGGTACTAAGGCTTAAAATAATTCCACACTCAGTAAATCTATATAACATAACTTCAGCTCAAAATATTAACTGGTTTGACTTATTTAGTTAACGAGGTATCACTTTCTAAGCGCTTTTTTGTCGAGAGCTCCTACTCAAACCTCATAACAATCTCTTCCGTGTACCTCGGAAAGAATCAACACAAACTGAAGTGTCAAAATTATTTGATAGGAGTTGACCACAATTGGGCTTCTCAAAATACCCAGTTTGCTCCGTACGACAAATATGTAAAAATATCATGAGAGATAATCAAGAAAGAGTCTTCTGGCAAAGAGAAAGTCAAAAGAACAGATAGGCTACTCCAAGAACTTTGTAGATATCTATATTCAAAACAATCCTATAAAAATTGTGTTGGTACCACCTAAATAATAAGTTTGTTGAGTAAAGTCAGGTTGATCACCATAAAGATTATAATACCCCTCGTGAGAATTTACAGTATGCCAACCATTGATAGTAGCTGGTTCGTTACCCGATTGAACTAATACTCCAATTGCACCTTCAGGTCTTTGAAAATACTGACCTCTATCTATCTCATTTTCAGCTTCAAACTCTGGTTTACCTAATGTTGTTGTAATCAATTCTTTTGCATCATATATCCAACTAAATTTAACTCCTGTTAGTTTTTGAGTATTTGGGATTTTTTCTTTTGGCAATTCAATTTTGGATGGGTTTTCTGATGGTTTCCCCGTTTTCAAGTCAAGAACTACCATTATGATATTGTTTGCTTTCAGTGAGACTATTTATGGTTTAAGATGAAAAAAAAATCAACAATAAAGAAATGGAAGAAATAAGCTATCAACTTTATAATCCGTGTTTTAATTATGAACGTGCATTGGGCCTAATGAATGAAAGGCTTTATAAATTTTTCGAATTAAATCTGAGTTTGTAGCTAATATCTAACGATAATATGTAAAATCACAATTGAGTGTTTGTGATTAGTCTTATCTTACACCTTTAGTATCCGTCGCGTGATTCTTCTCCATTGTTCTTTATACCATTTTTGGAAAAAACCTCAACAACACGATATCATCTCATTGAAGCTCTATTCATAAATTCTTTAATAGTAATTTAAGTGTGGCTAGACTACTAATTTAATAAATAATTGATTTTGAAAAAAAAAAAAAAAAGTATGTTTTTACATTGAAGCAATTTGCGCTTTCATGGCTCAAATGATCTAAATTGAGTAGTATTAGATTTCAATATTTTAAATGGTTTTATGATTTTACAGCTAAGGATGATCATCGTCAAAAAGCTATTGATATGGTTGGAGCTATGATAACAAGAGGTAGATTACCACATGGAATAGAAGCAACATCATTATTATCATCAGTCATATTAACAGACATCAAAAATCCTAATTTGGAACCTAATGTTATACAATTATCATACACTATGGCTATTATTAGATTTGTTAATGAAATTATTGATCCATTGCCAAAATCAGTTTATGCTGTCCCAATGCAATTATTAGCAAGACAATTAAATTTACCTACATCTTTTATTGAATTGAGACATATGGGAACTCACGAAAATCTCCCCAGTTTAGAAATGTTACGATCAGCAAGTGAAAATGCATTGAATTGGTTATTCGATAATTGTTGGTGCCATATACAAGAGGACATAGAAGATGAGAACCATCAAGAAGACGATGTGTTTCTGGAAGTCGTTAACTTTAGATCCAATCAATTTGAAAGACTCATTGATGAATTTCTGATTTATGATAATCTCAAGTTTTTCAAAAAGGAACGTAAGGATGATTTGAACTCATAATTGGAGACAAATACTGAAATTAAATTTAAAAAATGTTTGAAGACATAATTGGATTTGGAAATTCCGACCCAGTGCTATTCATCGATATATTGATCAGAAAATTTTACATTATATACGCAGATAGTAAGTTGAAAGCCAAAAAAATCAAGTACAACCCATTATTTGAGAAACTATATACACCCTTGTTTGATAACTTGAAAGTTGAGTTTCATTGTAAACTCATTGATATTGTTTTAAACTTGATTGATGGCTGTGAGATTAGTGAAGTCAGTAGAAAACTTTACAAAAAAATTGGACTTCGAGTTACTTTGACCCAAAGCGAAACAGATCAGTTACTCGAATGGACACCTTATTTTAAAAAATTCATCTTCAAAACACCTTTCTCAATGATTCCCAAAACATTATGCAAAACACCAACTGAACTTCTTGATGCCATGATTAACAAGATAAGATTGATCTATAGACTGGACAAAGCTATGGAAAGATTGTTGAAGCAGATTTTGGAAGTAGCAACAGAGGAAAATTATGGCAAGGAGATGTTGAATCAATTATCAGAGTTGGTAAGGACGTCTGAAGTTTCTGCAACGAATAAAAAGATATTAGAATTTCCACCATCGATTGATGATATATTGGCTGAAAAATCTGCTACGAAGAGATCAGCCGATGACGATGTAGATGATGAAAACGAAAACAAAAGACGTAAAAATGAATTGGGTGGAAAAAAAGTGTATTTATTAGAGCAGCATGATGATTGGAGACCGACTCCTTTTGGAATGAGTGTCTAGCTAAGTACTTTATTGTAATGATATATATTAAAGCGTAAGTAATTTACTTTAGTCATTTTAGATCATTTTCTTATCTGAGCAGATAACATTAAATTTTGTGTCACAATCACAATATTTATTTATTCTCATATATTATTTGAAACACTAGGTAGTAAGGTATCAATCAAATACTCATTCTTCAGCTCCTCGAATTAGAACCACAACCACGCGAGTATTAGAATACCTGAAAGTTTAATAGAGGGATATAAACACGGCATTTTTTACTGTACCTACCGAAATTGTTAAAATATCAAAATCAAACAAGTAGACGTTACAGATTGAACCACATTTTTGCAATACAAGCAATTTGATTTGAGTCGAAAGCATATCATTTTCTATCAAAATCAAGTTCATCATCTTATAGAATTACACATGATTAATAAATGAGTCCTCAGTGGATACCACAAAATATTCAGAAGAGATTGCTACTATATGTGCTAAATCAACTATCTTTATTTTCAGAAGTTGATCTACCTAATCTTGAAGAAGTTTCATTAAATAATATTACGTTAAAAGATGTAACGATAGATCCAGAAAAATGTGGTAAAATACCTGGATTCAATCTTAGGTTTGGAAAATTAGGGGTGATGGAATTATCAACTGTGTCAGGTATTAGTGGAGTTAAAATTGACGTTAAGAATGCTGAGATAGTGATATCACCTGATTTTGATGATGAAAATACATCCCAATCGCAATTTTCTTTAGCTCGAAGTACAGCTGATCTAGCAAATACAATTATGTTGGACACAGATGAATTAAAAAATGAATCCGCCATTGATAGTGATGAGGATTTAGAGCTTGAAGAAACTGAAAAAGAAAAAGACATGAGACCTAACTCGAGGAGAAGAAGTTCCACTATGTCTAACAAGTCTGCTTTGGGTAATGTGATGCAAAAGGCAGTGGATATGGCTCTACTGAGATTACAAATAAATATTACAAATATAAGCATAAAGTTAATAACTGAACTGACTGACCTAGTGTTTGAGGTTGAGGAAATGAACATAAGTACGATAAACGGGACTAGAAAGATAACTGCTAAAGGGACTAAGTTGAAAACATTAAGACCAATTGTGGAGACAGGAGATTTGAAAACCGAAAAATCGAATTCAAATACGTCAAATGACGATGTGGACGATGGATATGAAGAAAATGACTATGGAGAAGAAGAATTGATGAATAGTATGGTATTCACTCACGAGGAGGCTAGTTCAATTTACATGAGTGCCACTTCACAATCTTTTGAAAAACCTATTGAAAATAATGGGTTACTAGATAACAAGCAACAAAACAATGGTAACAAACCACCGATTTTATTGTATATGAATCAATTTACTGTTGAATTCGAAGGTCTACAAGCTATTTCAAATTTGGATATTGAAATTGATGAAATAAATTTTGCATTTACACCTATTGCCCCGACTTTAATCAGTATTTTAAGTGGAATCGCTAAAACTTTGAAAGTTAAACATTACCAGCGAAGGCGATCATCAAAATTTTCAAAAAATAAGAATGAAAAATTCCCCCAATATTCAAATGAAGATGATTCACTTCCGGAAAGTGAAATATTTGAGGATAATGCATTTAATACTCAGCCATTTTTTAACGGTCTAAGTTTGGGTATCTTGAAAATCAACTCAACTTCAGCTATTGGATTAGATGGGTCATTCATTGTAAAAAGTGGTTTAACTATAAATTTTGAAAACATCATCATCAAACAGAAAAATGAATTGAGATTATTTGGTGGGGTAGAAACTATAACTATAGAAGATAAGGATTCCAAAGTGTTTTACTTTGAGACTTTAAATGAAATGAGCAACAGATCAGTCTCGCCTCTGAGTATTCTGTCAGGTGCATCAGTTACTTCAAAAGCAGACTTTAGATTTGAAGTATTTCAAAAAGAAGATTCAAGTGTGGAAACCACATTTCTATTAGCAAAAACTGCTTATCTTAATTTGGTTCCTGAATCATTGATTGAGATTGTAAACATTTTTAAAACATTGTCCTCAATATATGGTGAGTTTACCAAATTTCAAAACATATTAAACAACACACGGTCATTTAGAAATGACAGCAAAAAAGAAGAACTTAAACCAGAAAATCATCTTATATTTCAAACCGCTAGTATTGCAACCAATTTAAAGTTATCTATAGATACTTCTTTGCAATTAAGAATATTACCGATAAAATTTGCTTCAACAGAGGGAGAACTATCAATTCCATCAATATATTGTAATGGATTGATTGAAAATGTACCAGTGACCAACATAATCAACATCAACAGAATAAATATATGTTTAAAACCTCAAGACCTCAGATCCTATATTCAGCCTCCACCTACAAATACAATAGGATCAAATGAAAAACCTAAATTAGCAAACGTAAAGACAAAGTTGGTTGTATTGATAGATGAAGCAAGTTTTGCATTAGACAGTAAGCATTTAAAACTTATTATAAAAGAATTACAATCGATTGCTCAAAAGTTGAAAGATCCAATAACTTCGGCAAAAAAACAGGAACGTCAACCATTGGGCCTGTCTAGTGTCAACTTAAGAAGAGGTGTTCGAGTTGGAATAGGTATGGGTAATAGCGCTGTTGGAACAACTAAATATAATATAGCAGATTATTTTATAAACCTCAAAAAAGTTGAAGTTAAAATCAACAATATTCTACCTAAATTTGGTAGTATAGAGACGGAATTTACAAATATTGATGTATTCAAAGTAAGAAATGAAATTTTAGGTTCTGTACATGCACTTCAATTTACAAGATCTAATAAAGATGCGTTTTTACACCATTATCAAAATCTACCATCAAATGAATTAAAAATACCTTTGATTTTGTTTAGATATAAAGGATTTGAAGAACTCTTAGAAGTAAGTGCCAGAGATCTAATGTTAGAATATTATACAAATTGGTTATCATTATTTGGAAAAGACGAATCAATAATTGAACAAGTCGAAGAAGAATTGATTGATACAAGTCCTCCAAAAGCTAAAAATTCTACAAATAGATTTGACATTCGAATGACACTTTATAATTGTGCTATCGGTTTTTTACCAGGGAGGTTAAAATGTAAAAGTTATTTGACAATTTCGAAAGTTAATCTGGATTTTGTATTTACATCAAATCAATTTTATATAAAAAGTTCATTTCGAGATATCAATTTATTGTTGATTGATGATTTAAAAAATGTTTTGATTTCAAAATCTGATGGAGATACTACCGTTGATTATTTATTGAGCAAAGGTTATATACACATTGGAGCAATAAATATCGCACATCTTGGATTGACGTTTAATACCAATATTGAAGAAATTAAACGTAAAAATCAAGAATTGGGAATTAGAGACAGTTTATCAATTATTGATTTCAAAATAAATTCAGACGAATTACAACTAGATTTATGTCCTGATTCATTCAACGCATTAGTGCAATTAATTAATGATTTAAAACTACCTTATGATTTTGAGGACAAGGATAAAATGGAAATTAATATTAATAACGAAATTGATGTTTTAAAAGATATTGATGATGAGATGTTCAATGACTTATCGGATGCATTCACTGAAATGAATCTTGGGCCAGATAGTTTTTCTAATAGTGAGACTGGATCTACATCTAATTCTCAATCAAGCTCAGGTATAAATTTTCAAGATGAACATTTTGATTACACTTCTCAAATAGACAATGAAAAGATTGATCCATTGAAAATAAATATTAATTTGACTAGAGTTAAGTTTTATATGTATGATGGATTTGATTGGAGAGAAACTAGGAAAACTATTCGAGGTGTTGTAAAGAAATTAGAATCAAAACAAAAACTTAATGTAAACACGACAAACGCTCGAGATCATTTACCGATGGAGGAAGAACATTTTGATGAAAGTGAACCACCAACTATTGAAGAGAATTTGTTTCAATCAATCCATGTTAGTGCACCGAAAGGATCAAATATTGATCTTACAAAAAGTATCAACTTCGGCTTACAAAATGATGAATTTGAAGAGTTTAATGAAGATAAAGTGAATGCTAATATTGAAAAAGGTAAAAATTATAAAAATTTGAAATTAAAAAGATCAATGTTTCATAAATTATTATTTGATTTAAAAAATATCGATCTTGGTGTTTCAGTTTATTCAACTAGAGATCCGAGAAGAGATAAAACTGATCCTAATTTAAAATTTGAATTATTGAATCAAATTGAAATAAATTTAGATACTCTTGATATATATGATAACGTTGTTAGTTCCACATGGAATAAATTTTTATCATACATGAATGTTTTAGGAGAAAGAGAAATTGGTACAAGTATGTTAAGATTAAATATATTAAATGTTAGACCAAAACCAAGTTTAGTTGCTAGTGAAGCCATTATAAAGGTATCAATTTTACCATTAAGATTACATATTGATCAAGATACATTGGATTTTATGGTTAGATTTTTTGAATTTAAAGATAAAAGGTTTGAATTACCACCTGATGAAATTTTATATATTCAAAAATTTGAAATTAATATGATAAAATTAAAAATAGATTATAAACCTAAGAAATTGGATTATGTTGGATTAAGATCAGGTAAATCTGCTGAATTGGCAAATATTTTCATTTTGGATGGATCGAAATTAACTTTACCAGGAGTCAAGTTATTTGGTATGTCAGGAATGCCTGAATTAGGTCAAGGCTTGGGTAAAGCGTGGAATAGTGTTTTTCAATCAACTCAAGTTTTAGGATTAATATCAGGAGTTTCATCGTTGAGATCAATTGTTAATATAGGTAATGGTTTTAAGGACTTGATTTTGATTTCTAAAAAGGAATATAAAAAAGATGGTAGATTTTGGAGAAGTTTACAAAAGGGAACTACTTCACTTGCAAAAACTACAGGTTATGAATTAATTAATATTGGTGTTAAATTAGCTTCTGGAACACAAGTTTTATTGGAACAAGGTGAAGAAATGTTTGGAGGTGAAGGATCATCAGCACGAACCAATAAAGTAGTTAAACGAAGAAATTCTGATGCATCTGATGATTCTATTCCTGAAACTTCAAACATACCTAGTGGTGGTATGGGACCAAATGTTTTATTAAGTTCAGAAATATTGAATAGAAAAGCTATGAAAATGAAATATGGACAGAATAAAGAAAGTTATGAAGGTTTGAAATATTCAAATATTTTAGAAATTGATGATGATTATGGAAATTCATTAGGTTTGGATCAAGAATTTTTGAAGAAATCAATTTTTTTATTACCACCAACTGAAGAAGATGATGAAGATAATGGAGATAGTGGAGATAATTTAAAAGAAAAATCAAATAATAATATAGTTAAATCTAGAAGTAATTCAGCCAATACCAATAGTTCAGATGAATATGATATTTTTGCAATAAATGAAGAAGATGAAGAAGAATTTAAAGAAAAAATGATAAGTTTATATTCAAATCAACCACAATCGATTCAACAAGGTCTTTCAAGTGCTTATAAATCATTAGGTAAAAATTTTAAATTAACTGGAAAACAATTAAATAAAATAAAAAATGAATTAAATGATCAAAAAACTTATCAAGATTCAGTAGTTACAATATTAAAAAATTCACCAATTATATTAATTAGACCAATGATTGGTACAACTGAAGCTATATCTAAAACTTTAATGGGATTAGGAAATATGGTTGATTCTAAAAATATAATTGAAAATAAAGACAAATATAGATCAGATAAAGATGATGAAAAATAGTCATGTTAATTGAAATATCATGGGGAAGTTAATAGAAATAGTTTAAATTTAATTGAAAAAAAATAAAAGTTTAAGTAATGTGTCAATACCACTGAGTTTTAAAAATAAAATATTGTAGACCCCTTAAAGTAGAAAATCAGTTATACTTTCCTATTACCCTGTGAGTTTTCTTTTGGAATGTGGAGTAACGCATTGTCTGTTATTAATTAAAAGTACAACAATGTAATCCTTTTTCTCCTCGATAACTTTGTATTGTACCACAAGGCATTTTAAATTTAAATATTTTGCTCTTTTAACTTCTTTTTAAGAATCGTAATTGTAAATTTATTTTGTGTAATTTCTATTTTTTGATGTAAAAGTGGAAAATTAATTTTGACTAAAAAAAAAAGAAATTTTTCAAACTACATCTCACACGATCAGTAAGTAAAATTAATTATAATTTGGAAGCTCAGGGCGGTGATATAAGAGAACTTTGTTTGGGGCTAATTAAGAGATTGTCCTACAATCAACCATCAAAATGGCTCAAAAAAAAATTAAGGATACTTCTCAGTTTTTTTTTTCTTGACATCCGTAAGGTTAAAGTATCATTCATCCTTATCAGCTTCAAAAATTTGAGTTGAACTGGTTGGTACGGCTCAATCTTGGCATCAATTTCAATATTGTATACTTGATCCCTTGTTATCAGCTCCTCCTTATCTTTTGAAATTAACATGTTTATTTCAGATTTGCAATTGTAAATTTTTTCTTGAGTTGAAAAAATCATAAAAAAATTTGAAACATTATTCGTTTTTGTGTCAACAAAAAATGATGTAAGTTACACAAAAAATTAAAAAATGGAGAGAGATGAAACGGCAACAAAAAGATTTTTCCATTCTTAGTTGAAAGAGATCTTTAAAAATTAAGGGGAAGAAGGAGAAAAAGATGGGCGAAAAATGAGAATTTCATAATAATTTGTACTTTTGAGAATTAATCTATTTGTTGAATCTTCAAGATTTTAATTTAAACTTTATCTCATAGTATCAATTTTGAAAAAGTTTTAAATTATCGCAAAAAAGTTTGAGCCAGGCGGTGGAGATTGACATAACGGACCAGAAAAATAATTTAAAAAAGACTATCTTGGATTTCATTTGAATATTACTCTATTGTAGCAATAATTATCTATTGTACGTGTTTAAATTTCTGCACATTAGATTACTTACATGAATGAAAAAAAATTAAAGATAAGAAGTTAGTACAATAAACCTTTATATTTTAGTGATACAAAGCCACCTCAATAATGCTTTACATCTTCGGATTAATATTTAGTTTCTTTTGTTAGATTTTTTTTTTTATTTTAACTTTTGTTACATTTTCAAATTTTTCAGATTTTTAAAGTTTATATAAAATTAAATTGAAATGTTTCATTTCAAATCTAAAGATAACTTGTTTATTTGTTTACTCTTCCTTTTCTCTCTCTTCTTTATATATCATCATCTTTCTTTAGTTTCATCTAACTATACCACCCTTGGCACATGTCATATTATTTGTTAACTCATAACATAAAAACATATTTGCAATCAGTCCATTAACTTGATAATTGGACCTTAACAATTAACTTCAACTTTTTATAAAAATCAAACTCAAATTAATCAAATGACAAATTTTAAACAAAATAATGATCAAATATACCCAAGTGAACAATCAATAATTGAATTAAATTCTTCAAATATATCATCAGATGAAACTAATTCAATTTCCAAAAAAAATCAAATTCATGAGAAAGATTTAGAAATTGGATCAAATTCTGAAAAAACAGATGAATTAAATGTTAATAATTATAATAATGATTTATCAAAAAATTTATCTACATCAAATTCAAATTTATCAAATTGGCAAAAAATTAAAATTAAATATCCTTGGTATAGAATTGCAATTGATATATTTATTGGATGTTTTTTCACTTCTTGGTGGTTATCAATCGTTATTCAAGATAAACATAGACATCAATGGTTAATTCCAACTATTATATGGATGATGATAATGGTTAGATTAATAACTTGGCATTGTCGAATATTACCATTTTTATTATCAAAAGTTAAAATAATCTGGGATTTTGGTTGTGATATTGTATACAATAAACTTTTAACTAAACATTATCAAAGATTATTAGCTGGTGCTTCTATAACTATAGCTGTTATATTATTAGGAACTTTTATACCAAGTGAAACTGAATTTTCAAAAAGAAAAGATAGAGCTATATCATTTTTTGGTAATTTAGTTGCAATATTTGGTTTATTTATAACTTCAAAATATCCAAAAAAAATTCAATGGCAAACTTGTATTGGAGGATTTTTAATGCAATATATTGTCGCTTTATTTGTTTTAAGAACAAAATGTGGTTATGATGTCTTTAATTTTATTTCAACTTTAGCAAGAGAATTATTAGGTTTTTCAAAAATCGGTGTCGCTTTTTTGACAAATAATGACATTGCACATCTACCATATTTCTTTTTTGCGGTGCTACCATCTGTTGCGTTTTTTGTCGCGTTTGTTCATATTTGGTATTATTTTGGAGTTATTCAATGGGCAATCAAAAAATTTGCATACTTCTTCTTCTGGTCCCTCAGAGTATCAGGAGCAGAAGCCATTACCCTGGCGCTGTCACCCTTCATAGGTATTGGGGAATCGGCAATCTTAATCAAAGACCTCATAAAATTTCTTACACCTGCTGAGATTCATCAAATCATGACCTCAGGATTCTCAACAATCTCAGGAGCTGTTTTAGTTGGTTATATTGGGTTAGGTTTAAATCCTCAAGCTTTAGTTAGTTCCTGTGTTATGTCAATCCCTGCCTCATTAGCTATATCCAAACTAAGATATCCAGAGACTGATGTACCTATTACAGCTGGTAAAATAATAATCCCAAATGAAATAAAAAATGATGATGATCCTGATAAACCACAAAATGTTTTACAAGCTTTTTCAAATGGTGCTACTTTAGGTTTAAAAATTGCAGGAACAATGATGATTCAATGTTTATGTATTATTGGACTTGTTGCATTATGTAATGGTATATTAACATGGTTTGGAAATTATTGGAATATTAATGAATTAAGTTTAGAATTAATTTTTTCATATATTTTATATCCTGTTACATTTTTATTAGGAACTCCTCGTAATGAAATTTTAAAAGTTTCAAAATTATTAGCTTATAAATTTATTCAAAATGAATATGTTGCTTATAATTTATTAATGACTCAATCTCCATATACTGAATTATCATCAAGAGGTCATTTAATTGCAACTTATGCATGTTGTGGATTTGCAAATTTAGGAAGTTTAGGTATAACTTTGGGTGTATTGAATACTTTAACAAATAATAGTAGAGCTAAAGATATATCAGCTAGTATTATGTCTGCTTTAATATGTGGTGGTATTTCTACTTTAACAAGTGCAGCTATAGCAGGAATGGTTATGCATGATTTAGATAATTTTATTCAATAGATGTTATAGACTGTAATGTATTAGCATTCTTAAGTCTCTAATTAGTATGATGATGTTATGATGATGTTATGTTTTTTAATTGATTTGGATTGTAGTAGTTCTGGTTTCCTCTGATTCAATATCATTATTATTCATGACTCGATTGTGGATGTTTAATTTGTGTGCAAAGATATTTGAAATAAAATTTACGAAAAAAGGTCGTGTTGATATTTCAAATTCTAAAACATCACTAATTCTATAATCTATAAATAATATATTAAAGACTAAGGTCCAATACTATCCTCATAATACATAGTAGTATGCAAAATGATATGACACCAAAACCTAATTCAAATGAAACCATCCAAAACAAACTAGTATTGCCAGTAATAAATCCATCAAATAATCCAGAAGTCCTAATATTTAACTTAAATGATATAAAATCATTAAGAAAATTAAAAATTTTAGGTATATTAATTGGAACATTACAAAATTTCCCACAACAAAATTTATTTTTATCAATTCCTTTGAAAATTAATATATATGATGTTATATGGTTAATTAAATATAATTATGGAATTTTAGTTGATCAATTAGCGTATAGAAATGAAAGAAGAATTAAAATTGAATCATTAAATAAGAACGCATCAAATATATTTCAAAAAGATTCAATGATAATAACACCAGATTCTGAAAAAGATAGAGACTATGAATTATTGAACAAGAATCAAATTTCACTTCAAACATACTTGCAAAATTATTTATCTAATCAATCCAAGAAATCATCAATTATATCATATTATCATTATTATAATTTTTTAATAAATAAAGGATTTTTTATAAATCCAGGATTAAAATTTGGAGGAGATTTTGTAATATATCCTGGTGATCCTTTGCGATATCATTCTTATTCAACTGTTAAATTTGAATTATTAGATTGTTTTGATATTATAAGTGGTGGTAGATTAGCTACTGGTGTTAAAAAAAATTTAATTTTTATGGGTGAAAGAAGGGAGAAGAAGAAAATAGATAATGACGAAGATGAACAGAAGAGGGAAAAGGAGGATGTTATTGTTGATGATAAGTTTATTGAGGAATTGTTTGATGATGAAGTTCCTTTATGTTTTTCAATTGAATGGGCTGGATTTGGTTGAGCGATTGTGTTAGAATTTAAATAATTACTTTTTTAATGAAATCATGAATTTACGATCTAGTTTGATGATATATTTCTAAAAATTGTAGAGTACAATAGGTCCACTCATAAATTGTAGAGTACGACTGATTTATAATTTCAAAACTTTCATATATTACTTTACTATATATAAATATCAAGCAACTGTTTTTTTTTTTTTTTTATTTACCCAACAATGTTTTTAAAAATTTTTTAAATAAATCAAAATTTAATTTTGATTTCAAACTATTTGAATTTTAGATAATTGTAAAGCTAATTTTTCAACATTAATATTAAATGGATTATTATTATTTAAAATTTTGAATACTCTTTCAAATTTTTGTTCCACTGTTCTACGACCAACACCACAATGTTTAAAAATTTTATCTAAAATTGAAAATTTATGATGTTTTGTATTATCCTTAATTTTTTGTTCTTGTTTATCATGATGTTTTCCATGTTTTTCGTAATATTTACCATTTTGTTTTCCAAAATGATGTTTACCATTTCCTTGTTTCTTATGTGGATCAATAATTAAAGATTCATCAACAATAGTTCCATTAACAGCATCAACTCTTCTTTTTAAACCTTTTTCAAAAGGACCAAATCTAATAGATTCTTTAAATTTAGAAGTTAAACTACCAAATCCATGATTTCCTTTATTTGATAAAAAAAATTTTGAAGAACCATTTTGAGCTTTATTTATATTAATTTTACCTCTAAATCCATCAAATTTCATTGCTAATGTTTTAACATCTACAATGTTTACATCATATTCAATATCATATTCATTTTCATTTATTGATTTATCATTTATTTTTGATTTTAAAAGTAATGGATAACTTAATGAAGTGTTTACTGAATGAATAGTATTAAAAGGAAGTAAATGATGTTTATGATGATGTTTTCCATGTTTACCATGTTTTCCTTCTGGTTCTGGATGTTCTGGTAAATCATTGTCTTGAATAATAAATGAACTTGATGAATGACCAACATGAACTAAACCTTGAATATTACCATCTTGTAAATAACTTTGAATATTTGAAATCTCACCTTTTGAATAAGAACTAAAAGTTGTATTTAAAGTTTTATTTTTTAATTCAAATATTAAATTACTTTTAATTTCAGCACTGAATATACCATTTACAATTTGTTGGAATGCATGAGTAAAAGGAATAGCAATTGGTACAACACCTGCTCTACTTTGATGATCAATACTAATTAATTCACCAGATGAGCCAATAACTTCAGAATTTTCAAATCCTAATAAATTTGCAGAAGTTATCCAATTTGAATTTACAAAAGTATTATTAGATAAACCAACTTCTCCTAATCCATTACTAATTTCAATTTCTAAAATTTGATCATCTTTATATTGATGTTCCCAAATTAATGGTAAAATTGGAGTAACATCAACATCAATAGCTGGAACATCAAAAGCAGAATTAGAAACAACTGGATTCCATAATGCAGGAGAAATACCACCTGTAAATATAACTGGTTCCGGAGTTTGTGAAACAATTTTTTCACCATTAAGATAAACATTTAAAATTCTTATTGGACCTTTACCAATAAATTTAGTACCATTATCATCTTCAAAAATATCTTTAAATTCATCAATTACATTAGTATACCAAAATTCTTCAGCTGAATTTCCAGATGTGAAAACTGATAATTGTAAACGTGTTGTATTTTTTGGAACACTTGGTAATTTTACTTTAAGACTTTTTGATGAAAGATATTCAATTGCTGCTTCACCTTTTTTACTTGATACTAATGAATGAATTGAATCAGCAGGTCTTGCAATTTTAAATAAATGTCCATCTTTATGTGGTGGTTTATAATGATGTGGAGGAGGATGATGTGGAGGAGGATGGTATGGTGGTGGATGATGTGGTGGTTTATCATGAGGAGGTTTATGATGTGGTGGTTTATCATGAGGAGGTTTATGATGTGGTGGTTTATCATGAGGAGGTTTATGATGTGGTGGTTTATCATGAGGAGGTTTATGATGTGGTGGTTTATCATGAGGAGGTTTATGATGTGGTGGTTTATCATGAGGAGGTTTATGATGTGGTGGTTTATGATGTGGAGGTTTATGATGTGGAGGTTTTGGATGATGTGGTTTTTTAGGTATATCAGTTGGATGGGGTTTTTTATCATCATCATCTTTACCATCATTATAATGGATAACACCACCTTTTCTAATTCCAAAAGGTTTTCCATTTGATTTCTTATCTTCATCTTTATTATCATCATTATTATAATGAACAACACCACCTTTTCTAATTCCAAAAGGTTTTTTATCTGATTTCCAATTTTCATTAATTTCTGAATCAAATTCTAAATCTGAATCGTCTGAATCTGAATCTGAATCTGAATCTGAATCACTTTCATAATGTTCTGATCTTTTATAATTATTTTTTGGTTTATTTTCATTCCAACCAAGTAATTTTGCAAATTTATTAATAGATTTTAAAGCATGTTTTTGATTGTCTCCTCCACATCCTACTTTTTTATTTTCATGATCAATGTTTTGATGATGATTATAAAATTCATTCAAATTTAATTCATTTTCTTCATGCTCTCCTTTATGTTCTTTATGTTCTTTATGTTCTTTATGTTCTTTATGTTCTTTATGGTTTTTATGCTTTTTATGATGATCATCATGTTCAAAATTCAAAAATTCTGCTTCCAAAGTAACATTAAAACTACCAGTATATTTATCATTAACAATATTATTTAATTCAAATAAAATTTCATTATCATCACCTTTAAATAAATTGGAATATTTTGAAACATCTTTTTTAAAAAATGAAAAAACTTTATGTCCACCAGGTTCAATTGTTGAAGTTCTCCAAATTTGTACACCATTAACAAAGATATTAGCTAATCTATCATATTGAATTCCTTCAGCTTCAGTTAATAAACCTAATACTACAGAATTGAAAGTAATATTTTTGGGGATTGAAAATTTTACTACTTTTGGATGACCATAAGAATTTCCAAATGAATGTTGTAATAATTTAGTTCTATAAACTATCTTATCATAATTTTGACCTGGTCTAAAAGGATTAGATACTTCAATAATCTCTTTTCCTAATCCAAAATTTTGTTCTTCTTCATTTTCAATTTGATCTTGATCAATATTCATTAAATTAAGTAAATAAGAATGTGGATGACGAATCTTTTTACCATCCATTGATTCAATAATTGCTTGTGGAGTAGTAATGTATGATTTTTCATTTTTAAAAGGTAAAATTGAATCAAATACATTTGTAAATGAAAATAAAGCATAAATCAGAATACTTGAAATTAATACGAACTTGATGATTCTAATTGTTATTAAACATTTTTTAGATTTATTATCTTTTAATTTATTTGCTTCTAAATCAAGTCTATCTTTTTTTTCATCAAAATATTTATCATCATCATTGTCATCATCTTGAGAGACTTTTTCTTCAGTATAAATCAATGGTTGTTTTTCTTCATCTGTTTCTGTTGATACTTCTTCAGTTTCTGACTCTAATTCTTCTTCATGAATATCTAATGATGAAATATCTGAATATTGTGGTAAATTCAACAGTTGTTGTTCTGGCTCTTCTGGTGGTTGTTGTTGTGGCTGATTATCAATAAATGATAATAAAGGTTTATTAACCTCCTCATCAACTTGATTCCTTGACATGTTCAGTTTAAATCAAAATCTCCAATTGGATGTTTGAAATAAAAGAACTAAAAATACTTTTTGATGATTGATGTATTATTTTATATAAGAATTGGTTGTCAAACTGTGGTAAATTTCTTGATTAATATATTTCCTTACTGTATAGACTATCCCCTTTTCTCATAGAAATGAAGCAATAGAATATTCTTATAACACAAACTGCACGACTTATTAAACTATTCAGATATTACATAATATTATTTATTACTATGACATAATTATTATTATGCAGTACATTAAATCCACCTTTCAGTTGTTCGGCCAAGGATTTAAAACATCTCTACTACAATAATTATCTTATCATTTATTACATCCATACCTCAACTATATAAAAATAACTACAATACCGTGGTAGTTTTGTTTCAAAGTTCATCAGATTAATACTTTACATGTATGTCTTCACCAAAATATCTACATAACCGACTATCCGGATACTGAAGTTGTTGATAGTACTAACCATTCCCCTCTGTGGTCTAAGTCTCCATGGATGTAACAATATTGTAATGGATGGAGATATTGAAAAAAGGAGTAAACACACACAAGGCTTATATTTTTTATTTTACTTTTCTCACGAAAAATTAATAAAAGAAACAACCAATGGTTAAACTTCTTTAAAAGCAATTGTCTTTACTAAGCTTTTTAACTTTACATTTTCTATTTTATTTCTACTTACTATTTAACTCAGCTTTGTAGATTTTCTGACCTAAGCCAAGGATTAGTTTATTTTTTGTTTGAACGAATGTGATGGTGGTAACAAGAATTTAAGTTTATTATATAACTTAATAATTTCGTTTATTATTATTTTGACGGGTTTTCAATTTTGTAACAATTCGGGATTTGACTAGCATTTTTTATACTTAGTAGGTTTAACTATGTAGTGACAATTTAATATACTACCACGAATTGTTATAAGAGATTAAGATAGAAAGAAACATGAGGTATAACTTATATGCAAGGCTTTTATTTTATTTATTCAATCTATTTACTTTATTCAATGTATTCAATTTATTATAAAATTCCATTACCTTAGTTATTAGTACTAAAATGATGATTAATTTGTTGTAAAGTTTGATTAAAAAATGAAATAGTAGATTTAAAAATTTTAGATTCTTTATTATCATCATTTTCCTCATCTTTTTCTTCATTATTATTATTTGAATCATTTAAATTTTCAATATTTGTTTTAATTAAATTAATTAATCCATTAATATAATTTAAATTTATTAATTGATTACCATAAATATTAAAAACAAGACATTTATTTAAAATTTCAATAAATAAATGTAATGATAAATATGGATCAATTGATGAATCTGATATTCTTAATGATTTTTGTAAACATTCTAATACTCTTTTTGAATCTCTATATAATTGTGGTTTAATTTCGATTAGTTCTGTTTGCGGGTTTTCTTTTGATTCTTCTTTTGTTTTGTCATTTGTCTCTTTAGTGTCTTCTTGTGTTGATTTATCTTTTGAAGCGTTTTCCTCTTCATTCTCTTTAATCTTATCATCTCCATCTACTACATCATCATCTTCAACTATTGGTGATTTTTCATTTGGTAATAATAAATTTTCAGACCACCACCATAAATGAGCACATGAATAAATAGCTCTACATTGATCTTGCTTTTTTAATATTTTAGAACCATATAAAGTTAATTTTGTAATTAATTCATTATATTGATTTTTAGATAAAAATCTAATTTTAATTAAAGTATTTGCTATTGAAATGATAGATTGATAAGCAATTGATCCACTAGCTAGCGAATTATAAGGATTTAATTTTAAATATGGTTTATATTGATGCATGGACATTATTAAATTTTCTTCATATATTATAAATATTTGATTAAAAATTTCAAAAGTAATTGAATTTAATTTTAATTGATCTGATATTGATGCAATATTTAAATATAAAGATAAAATTAATTCTGAATTATATTCATAATGAATTTGATATAATTCATCAATTATAATTGATAAATTTTTAAAATTTGAAATTAATTTTGATTGGTTGTTTTCTTGTAATTCTTTATTTTCAATATTTAAATTTATATAACCTATAATTTTTAATTTGAATAAAATTTGTGAAATTAATGTTGGATAAGTATAAATTATATTTTCATGATTTTTATTCAAATATTTTTTTCTTATATAAAATAAATTATTTATTGATTTATTTAAATCATTTGGATCATTAATTAATTGTATTATTAAACTTAATTTTGATTGAATTTCTAAATATTCTGGTGTTATTAATTTTTCACCATTATTTATTTTAATAGTTTTTGTTATTCCTAAATCCTTTGCTGTATCTAGATCTGTTGATGGTGAATCTTTCACCAATATTAATAAATATTTAAAAATATTATCAATTTCATTAACATCGGAAAAAAATTCTTCTCCATTGAATAATTCCAAAATTTTATCTACTATAGATATTGATATTTCCTTTTGTAATGATTTATTTAATTTTTCATAAAATGGAAAAAAGTTATTAAATATAAAAATTGTTTTGATTGAAGTAAATTTTTTAATAGATTCCATTAAAAGCAGTAATAATAATTCTTGTTGTTCTTCTTCTTCAATTTTATCATTTTGGGGGGTTGTTAAATTTTCTGCAGCAAATTCATATATAATATCTAAATTTTTAAAATTTTTATCATCAAAAGTTAATGATAAATTTATAAAAGATTTTAATAATTTTGAATTTTCTTCAATACTTATATTTGATTCTTCATTTTTAATTAAATTTAAATAAAATTTCCAAAAAATTTCAAATAATTTATTAACATCAAGTCTTTTCTGAGGACTAGTATTCCCATTTATTGATAAATTTTCCATATCATTATTAAATTTATTATATGTAATAAATTTTTCAATTAATGTATTTACTAATTCACTTTTATTCAATAAAGGATGTAAATTTAAAAATACTTGATTTAATAAATCTTCTAATGTTGCAAAATGAAATTCATCTGGAAAAATTTGTATAATAACATCAATTAAATAAGTTTGAGCTAAATGATCTTTACATTGTATTATTTGTTCTGTTATAATTGGAAATACTTTATCTTTATAAAATTCAATTTGAGAAAATGAATCATCTATATCTGCATTATCTTTCTCATTATCTTCCTTACGTTTCTCATTATTCAAACTTTCATAATCATCCATAATTTGACTTAATCGAACTAAATTAGAACCAACTAAAATTTTTAATTCTTTTCTTTCTTTATATCTAATTTCTCTTTCAGATGAATGACCTTGATGTTGTAATCTTACCCATAATTTATTCATTTCAATAAAATTTTTAATTAAAAATTCAATAGTTTCATTAAAATCTTGTTTATTATCAAAAGGTAATAAATTTTTAATTCTTTGACTTAAATAATATCTTAAAAATAATCCTCTTATTGGATGTTGAACTCCATGACACATTTCAATCATATCTTTCATTAAATCTTTTATTGGAGAATTGTTGAATTTCATATATGTTGTTCCTATAACTATCATCATATATAATCTTGGTATAATATTTCCTGAATATTGAACAATTTCATATAGATCAGCTAAAAATGTATTTTGAGTTGAATCATTTGTGGTGGTGGTATTATTATTACTTAAATATAAACTTAAAATCTCCAAGGAATCAAAAATTAACATATAAATTTCATAATATTGTTTTGGAGTTAATTGATTAGTTCTTAATTCATTTAAAAAATTTGAACAATGTTTTAAAGCTTGTAATAATTTATTTTCTTCTAAATCATTTTTCATTAAATTCAGTTGATGTTTTATATTTGATATACTTGTATTTAAAATATTTGTTTGTTCTGATGATGATATTGCCATTTTTTAGGGTGAGTTATGAGTATGGTATCAATTGAAAAAGTTGAAAAGTACGAGCAAAGTATTTTAAATTGAATTTGGATTGGGAATTGACAATTGGTATTTGAGTCGGTATAACTTATGAGATTTTGGTTGTCAAATTGATGGAATCTTAATTTTTTTGTCGGATTTTTCATTATCGAGTAAAGTACGTAAAAACAAATACGACACGAAATTCGACAAACAGATCTTTCAACTTTATAGAATTACTTAAACTTCACACCAATAACCATGTTGTTTGCCAAAGGATTGCGTAAATTATCAGAATAATACCATTGAGTAGAAAAGAGGACTTCGTTAAGGATTTGTATAGTTTTCAAAATTTTTTGATTTTTCTTCAAAGAAAAGATGTTAATACGATGATTATTGATATTATAAATTAACAAATGAATAAAACATTATACAAGCTATTAATACTAATACAAATAAAACAAATTTTTTAAGTTAAATTGATTTTAATTTGGTCTTTTCTCTGAAAAAAAAATCGAAGATCCGAAAACTTTTATATTGTTAATTAAAGAATGATGACACATTTTGAATAAAATTAGGTGAACAAGAACAATCAATATTCTGTTGGTAAGATGAAATTAAAGTGATAAATTAACGATACTTTGATATTTTAATGATTTCTTAACACACTATCATTCTACTTCTCTTCTATGAAAATCATTTCATTGCAATCACAATGATTCAATTAATCAAGTAATGAAGAAACTGACATTTTCACTTTTGGAGCTTTTTCATTATTTTGAGATGAAGTAATGTCTTGAATTTCAGTTTCATGACTATTACTTCTATTCCCATCATCGTCATCATCATCATCATTATCATTGTCTTTATTACCATCATTATGCTTATTAATATTATTATTATTTTCTTCTTCATCTTTCCCTATATTTCTTTTTTCAAAACTTAAATTTTCTTCATTTAATTCTTTAACTTTATTAATAGATGTATTACTTGAATTAAATTCATTTTTATAATAAGAATGAGAAGGGGAAGTTAAAATTGATGAAGAAGTATTTGTTACTGAAAGATTTGGATTTAATATTGAATTTGTTGATGATACTGAAAATCGCGTGGAGGGAGTTAATGATGGAGAATTGAAAGATGAATTTTGTGAAAAATTTCTTTTATGTGTTGTTGTTGTTGCTGACGCTTGAGATTGATGGAAATGTTGATTATGTTGAGAATTTTGGTGTTGTTGTTGTAAATGATGTAAATGATGATCTGTAGATTTCATAGTATTCGGAAAAAATTCAGGTGCTATTGAACTTGATCTTCTTGAAGAATTATTTGTTGATAAATTATTATTATTATTATTAATTAATTCAAAGTGAGATATTGAATTATTTCTTGATTGTGAATTCCCCAACATTAATGGTGATCCATGATATGATGGAGATACATTACCACTTTGAGATTGTTGACTACCCGAAGAATGATTTAAATTTGAATGTGATCCATTTGAATGAGCTTGTATTAACATTGAATGAGCACTTGAATGTCTTCTATTGAATTGATCATCAATTAATCTTCGCTTGTTTGATTGTGATATTGGTGGTAAAGTATTTGAATTCATATCAAAACTTGCTGATCTGAAATTTGATGGTTTTAATGGTGAATGATTACTTAATATATTTGATGATGGTATGTTAGAAGAAGTATTACCTAATTTTGGTAAATTGTTTTCATTTTGATTACCAAACATTGATGTATTGAATGAAATTTGTGGTAAATGATGTGTATTGGGTATTTGTTGTTGTTGTTGAGATGGTGGCTGTGGAATTTGATGATTTAAACTTGAAGACGCACTCATTATAGTTGACCCAGATTGTGGTGGTTGTTGAGGTGGTTGAGGTAAATTCGAGGCAATTTTTAATTTTGAATCATCATCATCACTAAATTTTCTTTCATTATTTTCACTAATTATACTATTTTGACTAGTACTTGTTGCTAAACTTGCTCTTCTTCTTCTATTAGCTCCACCATTCCACCAATTTTTTATTGCATTATCTGATCTACCATTTAAATGTCTTGATATTTCTGCCCATTTTTTGCCATATTGAGCAACTAATTTTTCGATTAATTCACCTTCTTCTGGTGAAATTGGAGCTCTATTTAAACTCGGTTTTAAATTTTGATGATATCTTTCTCTACATTGTTTTGGAGTACGAGATTCTAATTTATTTGAAATTCTTACCCAATTTGTTGGTCCATATAATGATATTAACTCTAATAATTTCTTATCTTCTAATGGAGACCATGGGCCTCTTCTATTTGAATTTGAAGAATTTGGATTTGAAGTTGAATTTAAATTCATTGATGTTGATAAATTTTCTGATGATTGTAGTCCTTGTTGAGGAGGAATTGTTGTAGATTGCTGTTGCATTAAAGTCTGGGGATGAGATGATATACTAATATGATTATATTGAGTAGTTGGATGACTTAAAGGTTGAGGTAATGGATGATAATGTTGATGTTGATATGGAAGTTGATGCAGCAATGCCTGATGTAATGGTTGTTGTGGTTGTATATCATTTTGAGGAAGATGAATTGGTTGTCTAAAATGTAGATCTGATGATGGTATTTGTTGATTAGACTCAATTGGTGGTTGAGATTGATAATGTTGAGGTATAGATGATATATGTAGTGTTGAAGATGTATTTGGAGTATATTGATTAATTGAAGGTGGTTTATTAGATAAAGGTTGTTGATGATGATGATTCGTCGCGGGTAAATATTGAAAATGACTAGTTGTTTTATCGTACATCATTATTTTTAGTTTTGTATTATATTGTATATTAAATTAGTTTTGAATTAAATCACTTTCAAAATGATAAATTAGTTGATTATTTGGATATTATTGAACAACTACTATTTGAAATTACAATTAAATTAAACAATTGATCCTTATTGAAGTGTAAAAAATTATTATATAACGAATGTGTATGACTATATCTTGTAGTATGATGTATGAATTATTTAGTTAATGTAATTTACTTGAATAAGAGACCAGCTCTTTTAGGTGAATATTCAAATAAAATAAATGAATCCAATGTTTGAAGTATTACTTCTTCTTGAATAATAGTAATACAAGTGGATAACAATGCTATCTAGCACTCTAATCTTAAATCTTAATCTTTTTAAGTTCTTCTTGCTGATGTTATTGTAAGTAGAACTCTAACTTTTTTTTTTCAGTTGTCTTTCTCTGTCTTTTAAATTTAAGATTTTTTTTTTTTTTGTTTTTTTTTTTTATTTTTAAGGGACGGATTTATTATTACTTTTATATTGTTGTTATTAAGTTAATTAGTAATTAATTATTGGTATATGACCTTTTTAGATACACCCAATGTACGGATAAATTGAATCGTTGTCTTTCTAATCCTTTTGGAACTGTACAACGGATGAGTCTCAATATGTTTGTTTCAATTGACTTTCAATATGGTTTATATAAATTAAGAAAATTCTCAACAAAATAAGTTTGACTCTCTTTACTTCGGATTTGTCGTTCTTTTCACTAGATTAAAAATCTCTGTTTTCGCTACTCTTCGACCGATGACGTGTGTAGGATTAAATTCAGTTTTGACGAAATTGTTGAATGAATGGTTGAACGAATTGAAAAATTTGATGATATGATAGAAAAGAATATTGGAGGTTTAAAGAGTAGAATTTACCTAATTTTCTCTAATTTTTTTTTTTTAATCGAAAAGACGCAAATAAACATTTTGGATAAACTTGTATTTTTTTACCCTTGAGTACATACAAATACATACTATTACATACATACTTTCTATTTAATTTACATGGTTTTGATCATTTTTAAAATTAATGTTTTTCTGTTTATTGATGGAAAACGATTTTTATTTTTATTTTTTTTATTTTTATAATTTAAAGTTTTATTTCACTTAATGAACAATTTTTCAGACAGACATTTATCTTATACACGCTAACAAATGTCAATTACTTCACAAGCAACACATAACCTTAAATTGTATACACATATTGTGAACTGATCAACTTAACTTTGACAGAAACGTAAATAAGGCATTCAAGTTTATCAAATGTTCAATAGTGCATTTGATTCAAGAGATTCAACATTTTTTTACGTCATATTTTTTAACCCCCACCCTCCCCTCCAAAAAAAAGATAGTAGCCTAACATTCGGAATAACTCTTGGATTATCATAACTCAATTTGAATAGATCGAATGTTATATCGACAACCAACACATTGTCATGTATTGTAACACAAACCTGCTTTCTCTAACCTTTTTGTGTTTATTCTTATTTGAAAATATATATATAATCCAATCGAGTGGCACAATATTTTTTAATTGAATTTTTCATATAATTTCTAGGAAAGTAATTAAAAGAGATTATCAACTTGTTTTTTTTCACTTCATGCACTAAGCAATAATTGTTATTTTTTTATCAAATTGTTAAGATCTAGATTACTTGCCTACTCAATTTCATCAAGATTTTAATCGAAGGAGACAAAATAAAACACTTACTTTTACATACTTATTTCGCTTCTGACTATTCTTTAGAGCTAAACTTTAGTAATCTTTTTTTTTTTACCTTCCCCCTCCTCAACATCCTGGTACATAACCGTTTCAGTCTTGTTAAGTATAATCTAAAAATCGTTTAAAAAAATGTTGAATTCCAAAAACAGAGCAAAATCAAGAAACTGGAAAATAATAATAAAAAGAAAATGCAAAAAAACCAAAAACAGTAAAAACGTATGCGTTTATTTAAATTAAAGTAAAATATCAAACGTTTGAGAATTGTAAATTGAACACCAAATAAATTAATTACCAAATCTGAATAAATTTACCATTAAAAAGATAAATAAATAAAAGAAAAAGGATCATCAATTTTTTTTACTTCTGTTGAAAGAAAGAAAGGAAGAATTCGGATAAACGATATCCGTTATAAAACGTATGGTATTAGCATATACATTATTTATATGTTTCAAGATTTGATTTAAAACAAATTAATTACTTAATTAAAAATTACCCACCTAAATTTATTAAAATCTTAAAGCCGGTCTTTGAAATAAATGAAAAGAATAAAGAAATATAAAAAAGAACAAGAACAATTAATTAATATCATGTAACATAGCTATTAATAAGGTAATTTAAATCTAGTGTCTGATTTTTATTATGTGTAGATCTAAGCTTCATAGAAGGAAATTAAAATTAAAAAAAAAAAAGTTTAGATTCTCGGACTTAGCAAGCAGTAATAGTATTTCAATAAACCCGATCAATTGAAGAAATCTATACGATATACGATTATTACATGGTAAAAAGGTTTTATAAATTAAAATATTTATAAGGTTTATGGTTTTGAGAGTATCATCCATCATCTATGTAATCAATATGACGTTGAGAAAAGTATTATTAGAATCAACTCACTTTACATAAAATTATAATAAGTCCTTTTTAATAAATTAGAGTAAAAAATATCTTGTGTAATCAAACGAACTTAGAGATCTTCAATTTAATAATCCAATTAAACAAACGTTTTGAAGTTGAGGTCATTCTTCAAGTTTTCTTTTTGGATTCAATAGTGATACATTAGATACAAATATTCATGACCAGATTAAACTATTTTTAGAGTGTAGAGGAGACGGCAACTTGTGCATCAAAGCTCTTCGACTCAAGCCCCAAAATATTATTCCATCATCTCTTGCATTCAAAATTTCAAGTAAACATCAGCATTATTTTAAATGAGACTGAGCATCATCACATAATTATGTCATCATGTATACCTTCTCTGTCATGTTGAAGTTTTTTAATTACTAAAAAGAGCAAGTTCTTATGTATTTCAAAATTCCTTTATGAAACAAATTGATACTTTGTTTAAATATAGTAAGGAACAGACTGAATTTACATCATTATCTTACCGACTTGACCTTATATTATAGAATAATTCTGCAAAAGAATGCAAATTTACTTAAAGAGGATATTCTAAACTGATTTTTTTGGTGATCTTGACGTTTTATTACTGCATAATTTATATTTGCAATCAATTATCTTTGATCATGCTAAAGTTTGATGGGATTCAATTTAACAATTCCGTTTCTTTTAATAAATACGTCAAGTTTGATGATCTTGGATTTTGAAATTGTAATCAAAAAATTTCCGTTTTTATGTAACTCTAACCTGATTTTCTGTTTCAATGATAATCAAGTACATCAATTTCCAGATAAACGTGTTACAGGGAAGGCTATAACATTTAGAAAATTAGAATTCAAATCATGGGACATTTCCCCGAACAGATGTGATATCTTTTAGTCTAGTTTAGTTCTCCATAGAACAATAAATTTTTGACTTGTATTGTTTCAAATTGTACTTATCTATCAATGTAACAGCTAAACATTTTTTTAAAACAATAGTTTGATTGTTAATCAAAAAAATTGAAGTTTTGAAAAAGCCACCTTTTTCAGGTTAAATGAAATAAGTATAAACTAAAAATACTTTAAATTTGAAATTTTGACAGGCCCTGTCGTTTTTGCAAACTCTTTTTCTTCCTCAGCTTGGCTTAAAGTTATTGTCTTCTTTCTTTTGTGTTCATCGGTTTTATTCACATTCTATTTGATTATAACAGTAGATTAATAATTTATTCCTCTCCACAAAATATTTGATTTACTGTATAGAATCTATTGTTAATTTTTATTCTTTATTTAGTGTCATGGTGTTTTGTTAGAATTAAGCGAAACCTAGTTTCGGTTACTTCGATGAATACCCTTACAGAATACAAAGTTTTAAAGGCATGTGATTTGAATCCTTCTATATTTGTTCAAAATTCGATCGATTTTCCTCTGAGCCTAAATATTTCACAACCAATATGAAATTTAGTTTGCAAAAGAGCTAGCAAGTAGCATTAAATTTAAGATCCAAAATTTGAACTAGAATGTAATTTCATTTCTTGAAATTGCAAAAACTAAAAAAATTTGAAATTTTCACTTTCAAATTTAAGCAAATTGAATCCATTTCAAGATAATTTCAAAAACAACGTCAAAAAAGGGAAATAAGTTGAACAATCAATGCATCAAAAAAACGTTATCGATCGGTTCTTTCAGGTATTTTACTTCGTCGCTAAAGATTATGATGGACTAACTAATGAAAATGAGATTTCTTTACTATTTTACCCCGTTTTTAAATTTGAATCAAAGACTTACTAATATTTGTCTAGGCCATCTAATTTTTAATTCCTTTTGATCAACGTTTTAAGATTTACAGATCTTCAATTAATGATAGAAACATTTAAAAGGCATATGGGCTCACATGGATATTCAAGTAATAAATTATTTGAAAAGGTAAAAAATGTCTGAATGTCTGTTGTCCCCAATTTAACTTGATTAAGTAAAAACTTTTATTTTGTGTTACTGACACAAAAGCAAAATGTTTTATATTTATTTATTTTTGTTAAGGGGTATTCATAGTTTCAATTATTTATTTGTTCATTTAATGGATAAACCTTTGAATAATAGACTAAAAATTATTGTTAAAATAACTTGTTTCATATTGTCTTGAACTGGTCATATTGTTCGAACCCCGGTCATATTATGTTGAACTGGTTATAATATTTTCCGATAAGTTTTGAAAATGCTTAACCCATGGATGTTTCAACGAATTTTTATGGATGTTCCTCGAATTCTTTTATCGATGTTGGATCAAAATTGAAAGAAACGGAATGAGTAAAGAATTTTTCGAAGAAAGAAGGAAGGGTTTGGACCGAAATTGTGAAACAGCGAAAGAAACTGGTACTCTTTAGTACTATCATAAAAAATAATCGTTAATTGATTTTTTGGAACTACTAGATAATTTGTTATTATCTATAGTTTTTCTACTTTTATACACAAGTACTTTGGGTTTTTTGGAATTTGATTTCTGATCAGTTTCTGTTTCTTTATTGTCTTTTGAAATTTCAGGTTGTGGAGAAGAAGTTCTTGATGAGGTTGAAGAAGATATTGATTCTGATGAACCATTTGATTCAATAAAATTTCTTTTTCCAAATAATGTAGAAATATCTCGAATTTTATTTAATTTAAAATGATTTTTTGCTTCAAACATTATTTTTTTATCTTGATATTTATTCAATTCGATCATTATATCTTTTTTTTCCTTTCCTTCTTCATTTTCTTCATTCCAATTTTCAAAATCTGTAAATACTGGACAATGATCACTACCTTGAATAAAAGGTAATATATCAGCATTTGAAGTGTGTTTTATCATTTTTGTACAATTACATAAAATTAAATCAATTCTTGAACCATAATTAATTTGTCTTGAACTTGTTAATGTATTCCAAACAGTATACATTTTTTTTCTTCTACCTTGATAAATTCTTGTTGTATCATAAAATATTTGATAATTACTATAATTTATCTTCTGTTTATCTCGTAGCAAGTATATCATTGATTGAATAACATATTTATTCATTAGTTCTCTTGATTTTCTTGAAAATTTAAAATTTATACATTCTTTATAATTTTCAATTTCAAAATTCACACCATCTCTTATATCTTCTATAATTTTTAAACCTAATCTATCATTTATTCCTTCTGCACTATCAATTAAATCAAGACTTACATTTATATCACCCATTATAATAATTCTTTTACCCAAGTTATGTAAATTTTCACATCTTTTTAATAATTGTTGTAAAAATAGTAGTCTAAAAGTTTCACCTTCTTCTGTTCCTTGAGAATTTGCAGGACAATATAATGCAAATATTACAAGATTGTTAATCAATTCAACTATAACACATCTTCCTTCACTATCTAAATTTAAAGCTTCAGATTCACTCATATCATTAGTATATCCCCCAATTTTATCTTCTTGATCTCTATACCTTGTTCCTGACTTATCTGATAAATAACCAGTTAAACCTTCTTCAGCTTTGACAACAGTGTAAATTTGTTTTTCCTCATCATTTTCTGGTTTCTTTATAAATAATCCAACTCCACTATATCCCTTTTTCTTTGTTGGTAAACTTATAAAAGATCTATAATTTTTTAAATGACCAATATTTTTAATTTCATTTAATGTTGTATTTATAGTTAATTTTAATTCTTGTAAAGTTATAATATCACTTTTTAAAGATAAAAAAATATCATTAAATTCTTGTTTAAATTGATTCCATGGATGATAATTACATATAGTTTTGATACCATTTACATTAAATGTTAAAAATCTTATTGTTTTGTTTGATTTTTTGATTGGAATTTTAGTAAATGGTGGTTGTGATAGTATTTCTTCCATTCATGTGATGTGATATCTGGCCGAGAATCAGGTTATGATTGGTAAGTTTAGTTAAGTTTAGTTCCAGCTGTTGGTGATGTCAAAGTCCACTTTGAGTAATGAAATTGTTTTGTGATGCGTCCTATCGATTGTCGCGGTGTTTGGACGTAATCCGGTACAAACTTAAACGTAAATTTTTGGCGCATTTTTGCCCCTGCTACCAAATAGCACATATAAAAAAGATTTACAATAATGAGATCTTAATTGTTTTGAGTAAGAATTTTGAGATACAGAACGAAAATTCAGATCTCATTTATAAACTCACAAAGTTCATGATCTTTATCACTTGAAGATTCAAAAAGTAAATTGTTACCATTCATTCGTGATTGTATACTTGGTACAAATTTGTACTGTACCGCTCTTGAGTCAAAGACTCGTCTTATTGCCTTATAAATATGTCAATAAAAACGCGTCTTATTTTACATTAATAATAAAATTTGTTATTGAATAAAATTACACGAAAAAAATACTTTTAATTTCATTTGCTTTTATTTACTATTTTTTATCAATCAATTAATCGAATTTCATAATACTTTGTTTTTACAATACTTTATAACACAATCAATCCATTGGGTCACTGAGAACAAAGACATCACACATCTTTTCAATCAAATTTTTATCTCATATCAAACCGGTATCGAACTAAGATTTGGATCTAGATCTAAGAATCAAATACCAAGAGATCCAGACGATAGTTTAAAAATTAATTTTTCAACACTAAACCTAATTTTTGATTCATGCAACTTCATCAACCATCAACTTAGCATTCTTTAAACTCGACAAAATGATTGATAACGAATTATTCATAAGGGATTCACCTTTCAAACAAACACATACTGATTCATCAAATAATTTTAATTTATCTAACACAACTTCAGATTTAATTAAATTTCAATTACAAGAACAATATAGACATTCATTAACAAAAGTTAATGAAAATTTAAGTACCACTAAAGGTGATGATTTAAATTATAACAATCATAGAATATCATTTCAACAACCTTTTCATAATCATTTACAACAAAAATTAGATTCAAATCAAATTTCTTTAAATATACCAAGTTTATCGTCAACTCCAACATCAGGATCAACAGATGAAAGTGATAATGATGATGAAGATGATTGTAGTTTAGATTCATTTTTATCTCAAACTAACCCCAATGTTTATTTAAATTTGAAAGTACTTATTGAAAATTCAATATTTGAATCAACTTATGTAAATAAAAATTCTATTTTATCATTAAATGAAGTTAAAATTTTAAAAAATCATATTGAAGATAAAGAAGTAATTATAGGTTATTTAAAATCGAAAATTTTATTATCACAACAATTTATAAACAAAGTTATAACAAATGATACTGAATCATCTACATTAATTAGAATCATTAAAACCATTACATCTTTACAAGATCAATTGATTTTAAATACTCAAGATTTAGATGAATCACGTCAAAAATTAAACAATCATAATTTATCATGTTTATTATTAGGATATATTGAAGATATAAAACGAAGTCGAGAAGAAGATCAGTTTGAACAACCAACAATTTCAAATACAAATTCACCAGGTAAAATTTCAAATTCAACATTAACTTCTTCACCAAAAAAATTACAAAAATCACAAAAATTAATAGATTCAATATTTGCTCATATTGCTAATATTGCAGCACAACGAGGGATAAGTTTACCTTCTCCATCTTCATCAAATTCTGGGGAGGGAGAAGAAGAAGAAGTTGAAAATAAATTAAAATCAATTTGGTTGCAAGAATGTATTGATACAATTTTAATAAATACACCTTCAACAAAATCATCACCAACACCTGATACTACAACTCACAATGAAAGTTCATTTTCCAAATCTACAACCACCACCACCACAGAAAAACCTCGTGATTATAAAACTGCATTTAATGATTTAAGATTTTCATATGAATATTTAGCAAAAGAATATGAACTTTCCAAACTTTCAACTTCCAAATTAATACAAGAATATAAAAAAAAATTAGATAAAGTAGAAAGATTAAAAAGTATTGAAAATTTAAGTACTTCAACATTAACATCACCAACAAAATTATCATTAGAATCAAAAGAAAAAGAAATTTTAAAACTTCGTAAAGAATTATTAGCTTTAAAAATTGATAAAATTGGATCGAATACAATTTCTTCATCATCATCATCAAATTTAATTTCTCCTAATTTAGATTCTAATTTTTCAAATAATTTATCACCAATGAATAGTGGTTCTATATTTTTATCAACTGGTCAATCTTCAACTACTAGAGGTAGTACAACATCAAATACAGGTTCTACATTAAGTGATGAAGATGATTTAAATTCAATACATTCATTTAATAAACCTGTATCAAATTCTGGTGGTGGAGTAAGTAATGCAATGTTAAGAAAAGAATTTAAAAAAATTGTTAGTGAAATGCAAGATCAATACGAATTTGAATTAACAGAAGAAAGAATGAGGCGACAAAAATTAGAAGAAGAATTAGAATCGTTAAAAGAAAAAACAAAACTTGATTGAGAATTGAGTATAGAATCTTGACGAATCTTGCTAGGATAGATACTTTTTAATTCTTTTGTAGATAAATCTCTATAGATCTTTGTGTTAGTAATAAATAATTGGTCCCCATTTAATTTTGAAACACGATCCTTAATTTTAACGTTTAATTTTTTTTTTCTATTATATGCAGTATCTTCAATATTATAGATATCAAAAAATCATTCAAAATATTAAATATAAGTTTTACAACCACTTATTCATAACATTTATACCGCGTCAAATGTCAATATAATAAATGTCACCAGCAGATAGAGTCAATAATAGTGATCTGGGAACTCCAGATAATAATGCATACTACAATTATAGTCCACAAAGTCCTCTTACAGCAAATTCAGGAAGAATAGATAATAATTATCCAATAAATCATTCAAATAAAGATTTTTATAATGATGGTGAACACGCGTCCCCAAAGGAGTCAAATCCAGCTTTAGAATTATTAGCAAGATTGCAACGACCACAAAACAATGAATCATCAGAAAGTCGAAGATTTTCTTGGTCAAGTGATCATTCAAACAGTGGGAGAATTGAATTTTCGGGTCATACTTTATCAACTAATGATCATCAATCTCGTCAAAATATAAGTCTTTCAGATCGTATTACTCCTAATAATGCTCATGATCAAAGAATTTCAAGTGGTGTAAGCGTTCGTTCATCATCAAATCATATACCATCACAATCAAATCAAAATTCATCATTTTCTAGACATCCTACTACTGCTACAACATCGAGATCCTCAAAGCATCCAACTAGACCCAAATTTCATAATTCAAGAAAAGCACATTCTCCAACACCTCCACCTCCACCTCCTTTAAGAACAGATTCATCAGATACGCAGCAAAAACACGTTGCTGCAAGATCAACAGTAACATTAGCATCAGCAACTTTTAATAACCCATCAACAACAACACCAAGAGCAAGATCCCCAGTGCCTTCTTATAAACGTCGTTCTACACATGAGGGTCAAGAACCGCCTTATAAACGTAAAAAAGCTTTTGAAAGTTCAGCACCACGAAAACCTGTTGATACTTATAGACCAACTCAAAATACAACATCTTCTTCTTCATCATTATCACGGCCTACTACTTCAGGAAATCAAGAACCAACTGAATACAAGACTTTTGATAACGATTTTGATTATGTGGAATTTGAAAGAAATGCTAAAAAAAAAGAAAAATCATATGGTTTTAGAGACGTTAATAATTTTTTACATAATAATGCACATTATAAGTTGAAACTAGCTTATTACGCTACACAATCTGAAAAGTTTTTAAAATTAGCTCATGAAAGTATTGTAAAAGATCACACTGGAGAATATGAAAATAATTATAATAATCTCATTAAAGCTTCTATCAAATGTTTATTAGTTTTAATTAAAAAATATGATAATAATTTATATCCTAAATTAAAAGTTTCAACTTATTATAAATTGGCTAAAATTTTATTTGAAGAAACTCAATCATATGATTTAGCACAAACTTATATTAATAAAGCAATAAGTATAAGTAAAAAAGAAAAATATACAAGAGAAGCATTTTCTTGTGAAATTTTTTTAATTCAAATATATGAAAAAATTGATTTACAACAAGCTATAAATTTTATTCTGAGAAAAATTGAACAATATCAAAGAGATCCTCATAATATATATGGTCAATTATTTAAATTATTAAAAATCAAATACCTTTTTGTTAATGAAAGTTCTTTAGCATTTGTACAATTACAAAGATTAGCAAAAGAAAAAGATTTAAATCCAATAATTAAAAAAGTATCAACAATTTATATTGCTGGATTATTAATTCATAGAGGTGATCCATCAAAAGCTTTAGATATTTTGAAAGATAGCGATATTGATGAAGCAAAGGAAACAAAATATTCTGTTAAATGTTATATTTTAATAATAAAATTATTAGCTTATATGAGTTTGAATCTAAATAGAGATGCTAAACGAACTTGTAAAGCATTACAAGCTGTTTATAATTTAAATGATTCAAAAAGATGGGCTCATTGGTTACCTACTGGAGAAGTAAAATTTGGAATTCAACTGACTAATATGAGTGAAATAAAATTTTTTGTACCTTGGTTAACAGTTCGCGAATTTAAAATATTATATTATTTAATAACATCAGTATCATCAATGCATTCAAAATTAGAATTATCTAATATTGGATTTGAAAAAGCTTTAAAATATGTTAATAAAGCAGAAAAAGAAATTACTAATAATATTGATAATTCAAAATATATGACAAAACAATCTTATGAACAACAAATTATAAAATTAAAATATTATAAATTTTTAATTCAATTTTATCAACAATGGTATAGTTTTTTAACTAATGATTTTAAAATTCTGTATATTAAAGAATTTATGAATTTAAATAATAAAAATTTTACAAAACCAGAATATATAATTTTTAAAAATTTATATAGTAATATGTACTATATTATTGGGATGTATTATCATTCAAAAGCTGATATTCAAGCTGCTAAATATTTTTATATGAAAGTTCGTAATATGACAAAGTCAACAGATTTACAACAACAACCACAATTACAATCAATTCAAGATTCATTAATTCAAATTAATTCAGGTATTGGAAGTGATTTATGTAGACCAACAGGGAAATTTAATGAACTATATATTTATTCAACTGTTCAATTAGTTGTATTATTAAACTATGAAATTAATGAAATGATAGAACATGATAGGCTTAAAGAAATAAAAAATAATAAATTAATTGAAATAAATGGAGATATTAGAAATTCAATGAGTGATGAATTAGCAAATGCATTAGATATTCCAAATCATTCAGATATCTTTAGATCAAATTTTTTAACTAAAAATGAAATTATAAGAATTACAATAATTTTAATAATGAGCATATTACATGATTTCAACCCACCAGACGAAAATTATAAGTTTTATATGTCAAGATTAAATGAGAAAACTCATTTTTATTTTATTTATTTTTTATGTACTATGGCTTATTCATTAATGTCAATTGGTGAAGATAAAAGAAGAATTATTGATAGATGTTTAAAAATGTTACCAAATTCAAATTCACAAGAAATTAAAACAAAGACAAACGGGAAAATTTTAATATCAACATCTGAATCAGCTGATAGTTGTAGAATATCTTTATTAGAAAAATTAAGATCAAATTATGCTGATTTAGGTGATAGAAAACAAGTTGAAATGATTAATTTACAATTAGAAAGATTATTTAATTTATTAAAAGTTAAATATACTACTTTATCTAAAAATGTGATTTATGAAATTAATAATAATGAAGTCGCTACTAATTAGAGTTAAGATATGAAAGAGCTAATATTATACTATATTTTAATTTTTTAATTAATATACAACGAAATATAAGAGTGAACTAACAAACTTATCAATCCTTCTTTGATTTTTTCTTCTTTTCTGATTTTTCAGATCCATCATCATCAGCTTTTCTTTTTTTATCCTTTTTATCTTTCTTTTCCTTTTTATCTTTTTTATCTTTTTTCTCCTTTTTTGGTTTATCTTCATCTTTAACATCAACAGTTGTATCTATTTCTTCTATTAAAGTTTTATTTGGTAATTGAGGTGGTGGTGCAATTAATTTTGATTCAGGTACTGCAGGAGCTGGTTGTTCATCTAAATCTTTATATTCTTTTTTCCAATTTTCAGGAGTATTTTCATTAATTCTACCATATTTATCTAATTTACCATCAGCTTTCATTTGTTTTTTCTTTTGTGCAACTGGACCTAAACCCCATCTTCTTGGATAAGTATCTCTTTCCATTATACATCTTTTAACTTTTGCAACTACTCCATGATCACAACTTTGTAAATCTACTGTTGTCATTTGTGCAATACCAATTGCTATAGCTTCTCCCTTTGTTGTAATTAATACAACTTCATCATATAATTCAATACCTTCTTCATATCTTAATAAACCAGGTATCATTAATTTTGCACCATAACATACTGAATTTACTGCTGAATCTTTAACAACTATTCTTTTATAACCAACTAATAAAGTTTCTAAAGGTTGAATAATTTTTCTTAAATATGATTCATCTCTTGTATTATCATAAACATATTGAGCATCTAATACATCATGTAAAGTAACTAAATTATCTGATTCACTCATTGCTCCTGATCTAACTCTACGTAATTCTTGCATATGACCACCAACTCCTAATAACATACCTAAATGTACACATAATGTCCTCATATAAGTACCAGCTTCACATGAAGCCCAAAATACACCTAAACCCCTTTTATTATCAAATTCAATTAATTTTGAATCATATACAGTTCTTACTCTTAATTGTCTTTTAACAGCAGAAATTAATGGAGGTCTTTGAAATAATGCACCAGTTAAATTTTCTAATGCTCTATTTAATTCTTTTGGATCTTTTAATTGATCATGTAATCTTACTATACAAACATATTCTTTACCTGCTCCTTGTTGTGATTTGACTAATCTTGTTGCTCTATCAATACAAACAATTAAACATCCAGTAACTTTTGGATCTAAAGTACCTGAATGACCAGTTTTTTCAACTCTTAAAATTCTCTTAATCCATGCAACAACTTCATGTGATGATGGATTTGATGGTTTATCTAAATTTATTACACCTGATGATACATATGATTTTAAATCTCTATTATATGGTGATGAACCTGCTGGTATTGGTGTATAATGACTTGATCTGACTAATAATTTATCATAATTTTTTAATAATAATGGCCATTCAGATGTGTTATTAGCAGGGGTTACTGCCTCTGGTTTGATTTGAAACTCTTCTTTCACTTGTACCTCTTCCTTCGACATGTTTAATGGTGTTGGATTGTAGTTTGATAAGTTTATAGGATATTTTGATGATGAGCTTTTTTTTTCAAAGAGTTTTTTCTTTACTGTACAAAAAGAGAGAAAAGCCGCACAATATTCCTATTTGAGACTATCTATAATGTATGCATAACATCTTCATTTATTGTTTAAGATTCATTATATTAACAATTTCAATTTTAGTCAATTCTAACCAAAATAATTCTCTACCTAAATTTCTCATTATTTTTACACAATTATCACAGTTTTTGTCATTTATAAGTTCATTGTTGTTTAAAAAATTACCACTTATCAAATTCATTGTGTCTTTAATTGCTTTTATTTCTGAAACAGTTTGATATAACTGTTTAACTAATGGCAGGTCGGGAATAATTAAATCATCTAATAAGATCTCATTATTCGAATTCAAGTGAACTTTATCTTCTGCTTGAATGTTTTGTTGATTTAAAATATTTAATTCTTGATTCAATTTCGTTGAATTAGTTAACTGTGAAGTTAAATGATTCAAATGATCTTCCAAAATTATTGAATTTTGTTCTGCTTGTTGATAATGATGGTTTAATTGGTTGAATAGTGCATCAGCTTTAGAAAGATTTTCATTAGCAAATGTTATTTGTTTATTTATAGGATCATTTGTGAATATCTCGTTAAACTTACTAGATAGTATCTCTAATGAGCGCTTTCTCAATGGATCATCAATTGACATTTCATTGATTCTATCGACCAAGTCCTCGGGATTGGTTTGGCGTATATTTGATTGCAAAGTTTGTGGGCTTGAATTGGAGGATAGCTCATTCGAATATTCAACTCGAGGCTGAACCAGGGTACGTGTTTGTTCATGAACTGGTTGAGGCGATAGCACACTTGATTGTGAAACATATGTTGAGGTATTTCCCGTGTAGGATCTATTTTGAAGTGATGTTTGCTCTTGTGGTAATGGTAAAGGACTTTGATATTTCAAAGGTGTAGTATTTTGGGGTGATAATAATTTTGGAGGTTTAGTAGGTAATGGTGGACCCGTAGATTGAGCAGACGATGTTTCAGTTACAGGAGGTGATACCATCCTAGAAGGTGTAAAAGAAGTTCCATTCCGTATTGGAACTTCCAATTTGACACTATGGTATATAATATTGATTAATTCTATTAATTGAAAATGTACCAAATCTACGTTTCCATCCATGCAATGTCTATACCAACTAGCTAAATAAGGATGATAAAATTTTCCTTGAGAATCCACATAATTATTCGGATTCAAAAACCAATTTTTGGAGTGGTTGGGTACTATATAAACTAGTGGACAACTCTCATTTGGGTAATCTAATGGAATCCATATAACAATTGGTACACTAATTTGATCATTTATATAAATATCTCCAAATAAATTGATTAATAAATTTGATTCACCAGTATCTTCAGATGTGTAAACTTGTGTCCTTATCCTGAAATTCAAATTCTTTTTTAAATGTAATTGTAGAAATTGATAGACATGAGAATAAACTAATTGTTTAAATTTGTACAGTGGCTGTATGACATTAAATAACCAATTAGCAACTTGTTGAGGTAATTGTGACTGAGATTGTTGATACGGTGTTGGATTTGAGGTAGATATTGATGTCTGTTGAAAGGACATCAAGGTGACATATAGTTTTTTAACTTTTTGAATTGGTATGATCAAGCTTTAAAATCAATAAAAAATTAATAAATCAAATAAATAAAAAATTGAAACGATAACCTTTTTCAGAGTTTACAATCTTAGTTCATTCTCATATACACAAACATTCATACTCAAGAATCTAATGAGTGGGTATGTTGAATATATCTCTCGTTGGTTCAATGTATAGAAACATACTAACATGATTTATCTTAGTTACACAGTTATTGCTGTTTTGGTGGTTGTAATTGCTGTATCATGTTTAGCATGGGTCTTTGCACCAAAGGAAAATACAACAGTTTTTAGATCATCTGTGATATTGGGTTTAGCTATGTGTTATCTAATGTGGGCCATAACATATCTAGCTCAATTACATCCATTGGAGGCACCTAGAAGGTCAGACTTAAGACCAGAATTTGCTGAATAAAAATATACTACAGTTTATAAATGATATAATGAATTAAGATTATTCGAATGTACGATAGAAGAGTTAAAAATTGTCCAATTTCAGGGAATGTAGTGGTGCCGATCAGGTTCTCAAACATATCTATGTTTATCAAACCACTCTAAGGATACAAAGCGATCCACACGATCTTAAAAACAAATAAATTCGGAAGTATCAAATCAAAATCATCATTTTTAAGCTTAATCTTGTCCATCACCAGAATTCTCGAATCTATTGAAAAAAGAAACGGAAGCAGAAACAGGACATGCAAAGTTCTTGAAAGTTATATGCCATATTGACAAATATATTGAGCTATACCTTGATCCACAAATGACAAATATAGTAATCGTAAAAAACAGTTTCTGGTCTTATATATTGTGTATATATTAAAGATTAATTCTATACTCTCAATTAGTTAAAGTAGTGATTGAGTTGTTGAAGTTAATGATGGAAGAGAAAAAATTTTGATTTTTTAAATTGGTGAAACTGAAACCAAAATTCCAAAGCGCATTGACATCTCTGCGAAATTTTGAAGTTATATGTGAAAAGATAATATGTAATAACTTTCAAGCTTCAATGATAGAAGTATTCAACTTATTTGTTAATGAACTGATGTTTCATTTACATTAACTCATTACCATCGAGTAGATAAATTTGAAATAATCAAGGTTAAATTACCATTTTTTCATTCTACTAATGGCTTACAAAACTTTTGTATGTATGCACGGATGTTGTTTGAAATATTCTGAAACAACTGAACAGATTCACAGATGTCTCTTAATCTTGGATTGGACAAACGGAAGGTTCACAATCAAATAACAGTTGAGGCCTTATACTCATCACGGAGATCGAGGACCTACTCATTACCGAGATCGAAAAGAGGTGAATTTATTAAACTTAACTTTCGAAAATTTTATTTTAAATTTGAAACAAAAAAAATCAATTATAAGAAGATACATGTTTTGATTGACTTTATCGAGACATGTTGAACCTCGAAACCTGACGAAATACATTACTCCCGTTGTTCGTTAATGACGTAATTCGTGTAGATTTTATCTATTACTCTTTGTTAAACAGAAAAAAAAATAGGTTATCAGAGCCATTAATAAAGCGATTCACACCAAACTCACAAATTTGATCCAAACAATCGCAATCACAAGTTTGCATGAAATAGAGGTTTCATGAAAGACACTTAAGATCTGACTACTTGTATGGTAATTTGGTCAAAAGACCAACCTTCAATTAGTGTTTCCTGATCAATTTTAAATTATCGTGATAAATAGGTTAAAATATCAATGGGTTTAATAACCAATAGACTGTATTATTTGAAACTTATCTCCACATTAATCATCAAAGATCCTACATTTAGTAGAATCGCATATAATAAATAACTCAAGTGGAGTAATTCTTTACTATTGGTTATGTTCGTGAAAGAGTTATTATTGCATTTTATGTTTTCAACCAGACCTAATTCGGTGAATGAGTTTTACGAACTATATATCAAATGCAATATTAGATGCAACGCCAATTTTACATATACATAAAAATCAGAAGATGTGTGTCTTAGCCTACATAAAGATTCCAATTCTCGAAAATTATATCAAGAAAATTTCAATCACCGTTTACGAACCACCCCTTCTCCAAATATTGAAACATTGGCACGTCAAAAAAAATTGGAGATCGATCATTTATACGCCACGAATGGTTAGTTTGACAATGTTTTCAATGAATTTTGAAGCCTTAGATGACAATTTAGGTAATTGTTTAACTTTTTTTGAATTTCGTAAAGCATGAGTTTAATTATCTTTTATAAAGATGCTATTTTTAGATTTAATGTTTTATGTTCAAATTTACGAAATTTGCAACAATCCTGCTATATACAGAAGAAAGATCATATTCAAATGGGGTATGAGAATTACTTTCGTGACAACAATTAAACAAACCGTTTACGAAATTCACCATAATTTGAAAAACTTTTGGTTCTCGAGGTTTTATTTTCAAATGAATTTTCATAAAATTGAAGTATAAATATGGATCAAAAGGTATGATTTAATTCATTAATTTATTATTTTTACTTTTTAAATCATTAGACCAACTTCCTTACACTCGTTCAACTTCATAATTCAACGAAAATGAAATTATCAACTTTTGCAAACCTTGCCATTCTTTCAAAATTAGCTTTTGCTGCGGATGATGAAACTGATGTGCTTGGCCCTGGTAACACACTTATTAAACCATGGAATATTCCTTTATATTCAACTAAAACTGATATTGGTGATGATTACACTAGAGAATATTTAGTTAGTTTAAGTTATACCAGTGAACTCGGTGGTGGTGGTGCAGAAGAGTATGTTACTGTTTCAGCATTAGGTGGACTGAATAAACCAGAAACCACAACTACTGAAGACTTTTCTCCAGCTACATCTGCTGCTGCTGCTGGATCTGGATCTCAACAAGGTCCTGCCCCAACTGGTGGACTTGAAAATACACTTATTCAACCATGGAATCTTCCCTTATATTCAACTGAAACTTTAATTGGAAATGAATTCACTAGTTATTATGTTGTTAGTTTAAGTTATACAAGAGATATTGGTGGTGGTGGTGAAGAAGATTATGTTACTATTTCAACATTTGGTGCACTCAATAGACCAGACGTTACAACTGATGACTCTTCTTCTGCTACATCTGAAGTTGCTGCTCCAAGTGGTGAACTTCCAAATACACTTATTAAACCATGGAATCTTCCTTTATATTCAACTGAAACTTTAATTGGAAATGAATTCACTAGTTATTATGTTGTTAGTTTAAGTTATACAAGAGATATTGGTGGTGGTGGTGAAGAAGATTATGTTACTATATCAACATTTGGTGCTCTCAATGCCCCTCAAACTACTTCATCAGGAGAATCTGCTAAACCTTCAGGAGGAGTTGCCCCATCTTCTTCATTATCTGGTGCTTCTGTTGCTACTGAAACTGCTGCTGGATCTGAATCTGCTGTTGAATCTAAACCATCTGCTGCTGGATCTGAATCTGCTGTTGAATCTAAACCATCTGCTCCTTCATCTGCTTCATCAATTGTTTCAAAAGCTTCATCAATTTCATCAGGATCTGTTGTAACACCAATTGCAAGTGCTGGAACTGGTAAAAATCAAACTGGATCTGGAGTTGAATCAACAATCATTAAATCATCTACTACTGTTGTCACAATAACTTCATGTAGTGCTAATCATTGTACTCCAGTGTCATCATTTACTACGGGATTAACTGTCATAACAGAAAATGATACGGTTTATACAACATATTGTCCATTAACTGCTGCTACTGTTACTCAAAGTATTCCATCTACTGTCATTACATTAACCTCTGCAGGATCAACTTATGCTGTTACTACTGGTTGGACTATCATTGAAGAAGGAGAAACTTCGTATACAACTTGGTGCCCATTAACTGCTGCTACTGTTACTAAAAGTGTTGTCTCAGCTCCAGCTACCGTCATTACATTAACTTCAGAAGGCTCAACTTATGCTGTTACTACTGGGTGGACTGTCGTTGAAGAAGGAAAAACCTCATATACTACTTGGTGCCCATTGGTTGCTACTACAGAAGTTGCTGTTGTTGCATCATTTTCAGAATCAATTAGTCCTGGTCATGCTCCAACACTTTCTGCTTATGAAGGAAGTGCTAATCTTATTAGATCAATTCCAGTCTTAGCTGGTGCTTTTGCTTTATTAACTTATTTTATTTAATTGTTTCTTGAGATTTGAAATTTTTTATTTTCGATCACCAATTCAATTGTTATTTTATTGATTGGTTTTATACCATATATTGTGTTGTTTTTGTTTATTTTTATATTTTGTTTTTAGCTCAAATGTCACTCCATGATTATTTACTGAGCTTTTCTAAAAAAATTTAAGTAGATTTTGTATATTCGAATAAAAGTTTATATATTATTTTTCAAGTTTGAATCTGATTTCTCAAAACATCATTAGAGAATCCCTAACTTTATGAGAGAAATTTGAGAAGTAAATATCCTTTTAATTCATGTTCGGTTGCAAACTTCACTCTTTCAAAGTATTTTCACTAGATCTGGCTTATTTGTATTTCTACCAATTGCGAGAAAATTTATTCTGAAACAATTTAATTATATCACGTCAACTGCCTTGCGCTCATATAAAATTTATTCTTGGCCAGGTTTCTTAACTCAGTATCGTTTCTATATTTACATGATCGTTTCAAAACTCAAAAGCTTTAAGCGAGGTTCTTTTCCTGAGACTTGGCAGTATCAAGCTGATCAATGTACCTTTAAGAGCACAGAAAAATACATTAAACGAAGCTTTTTGATTTATCTGGTTACAAGTTTTTGAAGTAATAAATAGTATGTTTTACGAGATGCTAAAAGATCATCTAAGAATTCTACTACGTTTGGGAATAACCGACAAATTTGGAAAGGATATTTGTAAGTTCCACCGCATAGATAATATTTCCCCAAATTTTTTAGATCTAGTTCAATTTTTTAAGTTCACGCCATTTGGAGCCACAGTTGATTAAATTATGCATTAATTAATATGAAATTTTTAGTTAATGATAAACAAACAGGGTGAAAATAGAGAGATAAATTCTGACTCTACTAGAAAAGCAAATGGAATACACAAAACTTGATGATTTGACATTTGAGACAAAGGATAAGAATTGAATTATGGAAATCTGAGGTTCAAAGATAAGCGAAACATTATCATATTATTATTATTGATGATTGTTAACTTATTATTTTATTTAATGCTGCAAGGGGGGTTATTAAATGGGCTTTTTTTTTTCTTTTATTTTTCTCTATCAATTTATCTAGTTTGCCTTAAAATTTGAATTATATAAAAGATATGAAAAAGCACGAGATTTTCTATCAGATTATATAGAATTTTGAAATATTGTTATTCAAATCAGACCATCTCCACCATGAGTCAAGAGTTACATGAAACAAATTCTTCGTACCGAAGGAATTACAATAATGAGAAAAGTGCAAGGAATGAAGATGTGGTCATTCATAACTATGATAATGCAATAAATGATGATGATACCCCTGAATTTAAAGAAAAGAATAATATTGAACTGATTAATTCAAGACGTTACGTTGATGAAACATCAAGTTTTTCTGAAGATTCAAATGATGGGAAAGATAAATTTGAACTTAAACAAGGTCTTAAAGATAGACATTTATCGTTATTGGCTTTAGCAGGTATTATTGGACCAGGTATTATGGTTGGTGCAGCTTCTGCATTAGCTGAGGGACCAGCTGCAATTCTTATAGGTTTTATTGTTATGGGTATAATTGCGTTTACTATGATACAAAGTGCTGCTGAATTAGCTGTTCAATATCCCAAAGGTAATATTTTCATATCAATTGGTTCGAGATTTGTGGATCCCGCATATGGTGGTGCAGTTGGGTGGTATTATGTCATTATATGGGTTTGTGTTTTAGCAAATGAGTATAATTCTGTTAGTTCGCTTTTACAATATTGGAACCCCAATGTACCATTATATGGATTTATTTTAATTTTTTGGATGGGTTTTAATTTTATTTCTTTACTTCCAGTTGAATATTTTGGAGAAATAGAGTTTTGGTTAGCGTTATTCAAATTAGTAGGGCTTGTGGCTTTTTACATTTTTACAATTATTTATTGTGCTGGTGGAGTGAAAGGTCAAAAAGCATTTGGTTTTCATTATTGGAATGATCCTGGTCCTTTTGCTAGAGGCTTTGCTTCAGTTGCTTCATGTTTAACTTTTGCTTCTACTTTTTATAGTGGTACTGAAATTGTGGCTATTTGTGTTGGGGAAACTAAAAATCCTAAAAAGGCAGTTCCAACGGCAATTCGTCAAACTTTTTGGAGAATTTTAATTGTTTATATTGGTATTGCTTTAAGTTATGGAATTACAGTTCCTTATAATGATGAAAGGTTAAGTGCTGATTCGAAATCTTTGAAAAGTCCAATGAGTATTGCTCTTGCAAGAGCAGGTTGGTCTGGAGGAGTCAATCTCATCAATGCCTTTATCGTGGTAATTATCGTATCTGCTGCCAACAGTAGTATCTATACAGCTTCAAGAACTATACATGCACTTGCAAGACATGGTATGGCCCCAAGGTTTTTCAAAAAGTTGAATCGCTACCAAACGCCATATTTTGCTGTTTTATTTGCAAATGTTTTAGGTCTAATTTCATTGATCAACCAGGGTAAAGGAGCCAGGGAAGCATATGGTTATATTGTAAACCTACTGGGAGTGGCTCTATTTGTCGTGTACGCATCGGTGTGTTTCTATCATATCAGATTTCGTCTAGCTTTACGGGCTCAAAATAAATCGAAGGATGAAATTTATTATAAGGCTTGGCTTTATCCATTTTTACCAATTGCAGGTATTGTTTTGAATGTTATTGTGGCACTTATTCAAGGATGGTCATATTTCAAGCCGTTTGTCGCAGGTTGGTGGGTTGATTCCTATATATTACTTCCATTCTTTCCAATCTTATACTTTTTTTTGAAAATAGTTAAAAGAACTAAATGGGTTAATTTGAAGGATGTAGATTTAGAAGTTGACAAAAGGGAAGATGTTGATGAATATTATGAACCAGAAGAAGCAGAATTAGGTGAAAAGAAATTCAAAAGGTATTACAATTGGATATTTTGAGTAGTTTTATAGTAAAATAAATTGTTTGTATTCGTGAAAATTAAACAAGAAATTAATTATGCAAAAAAGGCGGTGCATTTAAGACGGATATGGTAGATTTGACTTATTTACTTCTATAGCTATACTGAATAATTATATCTAAAATTAACAGTCTCTATAAGTTTGTAACTATCTAAGATCTCGGAAAATTATTTTGGTAACTTGTAAGCTCGTATCTTAGATCTCGGAAAAACAAGGTCAAATACAAAATTTCGATTATCTTGTATTATCTTCATAGATCAAACACCATATCCTTATCTCTTATTTTCAGATCAAACGAAAAAACTTTGAGTTTATGTGATGTTTTTGAGATAGAAATATTACCAACACATCAATCGATGATCAAAAGATAAAAATGAGTAAGTTAAGAAAAGTTACCTGGAATCATAAATTGAAGTCAAATTATTCACACTTATTAGCATTGAAACTTCATATCTTTTAATAACAGTATTTAATGGTTTGAATCTAGTATTTGAAAGTTATAATGTACAAGGTTGATGGACTTAAAATATATCAACAATTACTTTTTTTATATGTGTTAATCCATCAAGTGTCATGAAAAAAGTAAATGTCTTACAAATCAGATAACATATAATACACAATTCAATAGGTTTGCTTTGATGTTATTTAAATCATCCAGGATTAGGGCTATTTTTTATACGAAGTTCGATGGTCAGATAATGAATGAGTCAAAATATATAAATTTTTAGAGTCCAAATATATATAAATTTTTAGAGTATTACAACATCATACCATATTTGAGTTCGCGACTTAACTTTAGCTGTCCAAACCATCTTTGAAAATATGGAATTGTTTGTTATAAATCATAATGACGAGGATAAAGTTATCTGAAGTTTTGAATTTAATGTCATGCCAAAATCATAATACACCGGTGATTATTATAGCTAAAAATAAATGAAAATATAATCATGTTTAGTTAGTCAAAAATGTTGACCAAATACTAAGGGATGTATTTAAGAACAAGCTAAAATAAATGAAAATATAATTATGTTAAACTAATCCGAATTAGTCATTATTGACTGAATACAAAGGGATTTATGTGAGAACAAGCTAGGATGAGTCTTCTATATTCGACAAATCATAATGATTCAATTTGAATTGAAACGGACTTGATGGTTGAGTTCAAAATACTAAAAAGGAATTTGAGTTATCAATTTTTTCAATATGAGCAGATTCTCTGAAGGATATTGAGATTCATGTAGCTTATTTGAGTTTTTTTCAAGAGATTTTATGGGAAAGGTATTGAATCCACACGAAGTATTCATAATTGGTGTGGATTTGAATTGTAAGGAGAATCTAGCCGGGAAGGCTTCAAAGATGGATGATAGTTTAAGACTTTATTAAATTTTATACAAACTTTTAATTTAGTTGATTTATTTCCAACAACCCATAAACAGAATTTTTCCACCAGTTAATTTCATTCAACTGGGGTAGAGCAGCAGATTTTATTTAATACAATTCACTAGAAATTTATGAATTTAATTTTTGTATTCACTCATGCAAAAATAGACATGAGGCTGATTCTTATACTACCATCAATAAAGGAGCATTAAAAGGCAAGTTTATTACTTGTCAAAGATCCTTTATTGATAATGATACAAAAATCAGCATTATGATGATGATCATCCATTTACCTTTCATACCAGTTCTTAATGTTCCTATCAACTTCTGATTTTGGCTCAATAGCAATTTGAAGTGGTTGGAGTGATAGCTTGCTTATTGAACTTAAATTTATTTTCGATTTTGCAGATGTTTATTGTTTAATCGAATTCGAAATACTTAAGCTTATCATGTTAAGAAATATAGTTCTGGTAATACCGATTTGATAATTAGAATTGTGAATTCTCGTAATACTAAACTGAAAATTGAAAATGACGAAAGTATAAGACTATATAGAATCAGTTCAGTTTAAATAAAAAAACTTGAAAGCAATACTTTGACATACTATAAGAATGGCATTTCATTTTCACACGAAATTAAACAAACCGAAACTGTCAAAATATTATCAGATTGTAAGATCCTATGTTGCTGCCAACCAGATTTAGTATGAAGTTGCTGTGAATATGAGCCAAACATTTGTTACCACATTAATTTGCTAGTGTTTTATTTATATCTTTGTTCTTTGCTTTCATTATTCTAAACTTTCTTCAACATCGTATTTTCTTCTTTCTCAATCGGTTACGTTTTGGAGCATGCAGATTCAGTCTATGTGGTAATCTTGGTAAGCTTCGAAACTCATAGTTTAATTTTCATTCAAAACCGACTAGCTTAACAGATTTTATTGCCTTCTTGGTTCAATAATCTTCAACTCAACTATCAACCATGATTTTTGTATCAAGGGTCTTTTTCTGCGATAGATAATATAAAGAAATATTGAAAATTATAAAAATTACTAAATTTGACGGCCGTTTTAATCTTCTTGTTATCATTGATTTTTCAATTTTAGAGATTCCTCACACAATCTTAATATATATCGATTTTGCTTAACCCTTCAAAATCTGACCTGAGTGATGAAAATTTTATCAAAAGTTTTAAATGGAAGAAAGAAAAATTCAAGTGAAGGACCTGATTTTGAAAATATAGTCTAAGCCAAAACTTTTAACCGAAAGTATTTAAGAACAAAAGAATCAAGAAGTTTAAAGCATAAATAAGAATAAATTTTAATGGCTTAAACTTAACTCACAATTCTTGTATTAAATACTTCGCTGCAGTCAAACGTATCATAACGGTTTTTATAAATTCGCTTGCAACATTAACTTGAATTTTACGAGCTACATTTACGAGATCAATTAAAAATACTGATCTATAGTCATCCATGTAAAACATTAGCTAATTTGAGTACCAAATTTACTCTTACTTTGTTCCATAACAAGACGTGAAATACCCAACATATTTCAATAGTGTAATTTAATTATTCATTTGTTAGTACTATTATTTATGATTTATAAATTAAACTTTTCTCTACACAAAATCAAGTATAAAAGATCTGTTTTTGTGTAATATTATATGTTTCAGAAATTAATTATAATTAAATCAAGGGGCTAATTACATTTTCATAAATTATGTATAATTGGGTACTACTAGTTATACAAATTTGAAAAATTTCCGAAAATACGTAGTTGTAGACCAACAGCTAATTTTATCACTAGGTTGAAGAAAATTTCAACTTATAATACATATATTTTTCTGTTGTTTAAGAACCTAAAATTTGAAAATGGAAAACTTTTTTATTTGTGTACAATTCAAATTTTCAAGTTATTAAATATTATCGAGCAAATTTTTTACCCCAGATTTCAAACATTATAAGATGATACCCCACTTTTCTATTGTAATTTTTGTATTTATATAATCATCAAAACTCTGATTTTGTATTAGATAGAAGAATTTGAATAATCATTCAAATTAAACAAAAATAAGAAACATCCCTTCATTAGTCTAAATTTACATATATACTCCTAAATCACAATCAAAAACTTTCAACAAATTAATGGCAAAAATTTAACACAGAAATGAATGATTTATTAGAATCATTAGAATTAAATAATTTAGACTTGACAACAACAACTCCATCAGCATTTAATTTTTCATCAGATATTGAAATAATTATACATCCAGAAACTCAAAAAACAGATGATATTGAAACTCCATATCAAGCACTTGATGAAGAATTAATGTCAAAGTCACCAATTAAATCAAATATTAACATTGATTTTTCATCATCAAACAAATCCAAAAGTACTTCAAGTTTACAAAATCTTTTTGAATTTTCATTATCATCATCATCAGACACAAACGATCCAACAACTATTCCAATACCAATAGTTTACAATGCTCAAGATGATTATATTATTCCAAGATCAAATATTGGGCTTAATTCATTAGTTACAGAATTTACAACTTCATTTCCTAAAAGAAATCTTTTAGATGAAATTCAAGCAATTTTTGATGCTGAAACAACTATTCCAGTTACTGATACTACAACTGCAACAAATTTAAATAATGATCCTTCTACAACATCTAAATTTTCACCAATATCATCAGAAGATAATTCCTTTAATATAGAAATTTTTGAAATGGATTCAACAGAATATATTTATTCAACAGAAGAATCAACAAATATTGAGTTAGATTCACCTTTTAATTATATAAGTTCAAAGTCTTTAACTCCATTAAATGAAATTCAATCACAATCAATATTTGAAGAAATTACACCAATTGAAGAAAATTCAATTACTCAATCAGATTCACAATCTAATTCTGAAGAAATCATTCCAATTGAAGAAGATTCAATTACTCAATTAGGATCACCTATTTCATCAGCTATCCCTAGTGCAAATTTAAATACTCCAATTGAAGATTCAATAACTGAAGTAGGATCACCTATATCATTATCACCTCCTATTGAATACTCGGCTACCCCAATTGAAGAAGATTCAATAACTCAATCAGGATCACCTAATTCATCATCAACTCCTATTGAAAACTCCACTATTCCAATTGAACAAATGAATTTTGATGAATTTAAATTTGAAGTATTAAAAAGATTTTCAGAAAGATCACTTGAAATTACTAAAGTAGCAGAATCAGATTTAGATAAAAATGATTCATATGCAGAAAATGATGATAATTATTATGATTTGCTTCAAGAATTAGATCTTTTAAAGGGTTTAAATTTTTTAAAAAAACGTAAATTTAAATGTCCAATAATTGAATGTCCTATAAATTATATTGGTGTAAAAAAATTAAATGATTTAAGACATCATATTCAACATCAACATCTTGTAAATAATGTTGTCTCAGATGAATTAGAAGAAAAATATGGTGATTTATTAAGAAATGAATTATTTGTTTGTGATTGTGGTAAAGCTTTTTATAGATCAGATTCAATGAAAAGACATGTTAAAATGATTCATTCTTTAAAATCTCGTGGTAGAGGTAAAAGAAAATTAAATGATAATGATGATGATGTTATTCATAAAAATGATGGAAAAAAGAGAAAATTTTAATGAAATTTGGGTAATTTGTGAGTGTTTGGGTGTTTAATGTTTGTTTTTTTCAATTCTTGATCATTGGTTGTTTTTTGGAGATAAAAAGTTAAAGTGGGTTGCATAAAAGTTTGATTGTTAATAAAAGTTTGAAATTTTAGATAGAATAAAATATATAGAACTGAAGTTATCGTATTATCGAGCTCAATTGTAGTCCTTGAAGATGCTTTACGATGTAGATAAGCCAGTGTTTATGATTACACTTGTGGTTGCAATTCATTTTTAACGATGTTTCAACACGTCTTGTAAATCAAATTTATTTTTCTCTGCCAAATAAATATTCACACAAAAGTTTACAACCTTTATTTTATCACCACCATCAACAAATGAGTTCAAAAGAAACAGTATGTCCCTATCAATTCACGTTTTAACTTGATCTAATTACTAACTTTTACCAAAGACTCCTTCGTTGGATGTTGAAGAAATTCTCAAAAATCGAGATCAAATAAAATTTACAAATAATCCAGATAAATATTTTATTAAAACAGAAAAGCAACAAGTTGATATAGAAAAAACATCAAATAGATTTAAATATTTATTAGGTTTAACTAGTCTATTTAGTCATTTTATCGAAGCTAAAGCAAATAAAGATCCAATTTTTAGAAAAATTGTTGATGATTTAAATAATAAAAATTCACAATCTCAATCACAAACAAATGAATCAATTAGAAGAAGAAAAACTGAAAAAGAAGAAGATGCAGAATTAATTAATGAACAAAATTCATCTGAACAACCATTTGAATTTTTTGAAAGTCCTGGTTATATAAATGGACAAATGAGACCTTATCAAATTCAAGGATTAAATTGGTTAATTTCATTATATGAAAATCATTTATCAGGTATATTAGCAGATGAAATGGGTTTAGGTAAAACTTTACAAACTATATCATTTTTGGGTTATTTAAGATTTATTCATAAAATTAATGGACCTCATTTAATTGTTACACCAAAATCTACATTAGATAATTGGCAAAGAGAATTTAATAGATGGATACCTGAAATAAATGTATTAGTATTACAAGGTGATAAAGAAGAAAGATCAAATATTATAAAAAATAGATTGTTAACTTGTGATTTTGATGTAGTTATTGCATCATATGAAATTGTTATTAGAGAAAAATCAACATTTAAAAAATTTGATTGGGAATATATTGTTATAGACGAAGCTCATAGAATCAAAAATGAAGAAAGTTTATTATCACAAATTATACGTATGTTTCATTCAAAAAATAGATTATTAATTACTGGAACTCCTTTACAAAATAATTTAAGAGAATTATGGGCATTATTAAATTTTATATTACCTGATGTATTTGCTGATAATGAATCATTTGATGAATGGTTTAATCAATCTGAATCAAAAAAAGAAGAAGAAGAAGATAAAGTTATATCACAATTACATAAAGTTTTAAAACCTTTTTTATTGAGAAGAATTAAAGCAGATGTTGAAAAATCATTATTACCAAAAAAGGAATTAAATATTTATACAAAAATGAGTCCAATGCAAAAAGATTTATATCAAAAAATTTTAGAAAAAGATATTGATGCAGTTAATGGAGCTAATAAAAAGGAATCTAAAACAAGATTATTAAATATAGTAATGCAATTAAGAAAATGTTGTAATCATCCTTATTTATTTGATGGAGTTGAACCTGGACCTCCATATACAACAGATGAACATTTAGTTTTTAATGCTCAAAAAATGATTATATTAGATCAATTATTAAAAAAATTTAAATCAGAAGGTTCAAGAGTCTTGATTTTCTCACAAATGAGTAGAATGTTGGATATTTTAGAAGATTATTGCTTTTTCAGAGAATATAAATATTGTAGAATTGATGGTCAAACTGAACATAGTGATAGAATTAATGCAATTGATGAATATAATGCACCAGGTAGTGAAAAATTTATATTTTTATTAACTACAAGAGCAGGAGGATTAGGTATAAATTTAACATCTGCTGATATTGTTATAATATTTGATTCAGATTGGAATCCTCAAGCTGATTTACAAGCAATGGACAGAGCTCATAGAATTGGTCAAACAAAACAAGTTAAAGTATTTAGATTTATTACAGAAAATGCAATTGAAGAAAAAGTTTTAGAAAGAGCTACTCAAAAATTAAGATTAGATCAATTAGTTATACAACAAGGTCGTAATACTAATGGATTAGATGGTCAACAAAGTAATAAAGCTGCATCTAAAAATGAATTATTAGATATGATTCAACATGGTGCTAGTGATATTTTTAAAAAAGATGAAGATACAACTAATGAAATAGATATAGAAGAAATTTTACAAAGATCAGAAACAAAAACTCAAGAATTAAATAATAAATATTCAAAATTAAATCTTAATGCATTACAAAATTTCACCAATGATGAAAGTGTTTATGAATGGAATGGAGAAAATTTTAAAAGAAAAGAACCAACAGCAATAACAAATATTGGCCATGCATGGATAAATCCAGGTAAAAGAGAACGTAAAGAAAATTATTCAATTGATACTTATTATAGAGATGTTTTAAATACAGGTAATAGAAATCAATCATCAAATATAAATAAATCTGGTCCAAAACCTCCAAAACAATTAAATTTATATGATCATCAATTTTATCCATCAAAAGTTTTTGAACTTCATGCATTGGATATAGCTTATTATAGAAAACAAACTAATCATCAAGTTCCATTGAAATCTGGTGATTCAACCACTGAAAGACAAAGAAAATTAGAACAAAAACTAGAACAAGAAGAAATTAATAATTCAAGACCATTAACTGAAGAAGAAAAAACATTGAAAGTTGAATTAATGAAAAAGGGTTTTGGTAATTGGAATAGAAAAGAATTTTATACATTTATTGGAGAATGTGCAAAATATGGTAGAAATTCAATACCATTAATATCATTAAAATTTCCAGATAAAACTATTGAAGAAATAAGAGAATATGCAAAAGCATTTTGGTTAAATTATGAAGAAATTGAAGGTTATGAAAAATATATTTCACAAATTGAACAAGGAGAAGATAAAATTTTAAAATTAAAATTACAAAAAGAAGCATTAAGAAGAAAAATTTCTCAATATAATTTCCCATTATTAGAATTAAAATTAAAATTTCCACCACAATCATCAAGTAGAAGAATTTTTACAGAAGAAGAAGATAAATTTTTATTAATTCAATTATATAGATTTGGAATTGATTCACCAAATTTATATGAAAGAATAAAAGATGCTATTAGAGATTCTCCATTATTTCAATTTGATTTTTTTTTACAAAGTAGAAATTCAAATGAAATTCAAAGAAGATGTCAAACTTTATTAGCTTGTGTTACAAAAGAAATTAATCCTGATGAACAAGCAAAAATTAATGGTTCTTCTTTAAATGGTAATAGTAATGGGAAAAAAAGATCATTAAATGATACTACTAATTCAACTAATAAAAAATCAAAAAAATAATTGTAAGCTGTTTTTATTATTAGTTCTAATCATTAATTCATATAAAAAATAACGAATAAGTAAGATCTTCTAGCACTCTCTGCTGTCATCTAATTCGTCACATTTTCTTTCTTTCATATCGATTCTTGTTTTTTTGTTTCATTCTCTGTTGATTCTTGCTTTTTTGTCTCATCTTCTACTGATTCTTTTTCTTTTGAATTATTTTCTATTGGTTTTTCTTCCACCGATTCATCTAATAATTGTTTTATATAATTTTCAAATTGTAAAGGAGTAATCCAAGAATCAAATCTTGCAACAACTTTACCTCGTTTATCTATAATAAATTTTTCAAAATTCCATCTAACCCCCTTGAATCCAAACATTCCAGATTTTTGATTTTTTAAATATTTATATATATCATCTTCATTTTCTCCATTTACTTTTATTTTTTTCATAATGGGGAAAGTTACTCCATAATCTTTTTTTGATTGTTTTGTTATTGTAATTTCATCATTTGGTTCTTGATTTCCAAATTGATTACATGGGAATCCTATAATTACCAACCCATTTGATTTATATTTATCATATAATTGTTGTAGTTCTAATAGTTGGATTGTAAATCCACACAATAAAGCAGTATTACAACATATTATTACTTTATTCTTGAAATTTACAAAATCTATTATATTATTTAATAAATCTTTATATTTAAAATCATATATTGAATTATAAACTGGGAGTTTTGGTTCTTGATGATGCTGTAGTTTCGGAGTTTTTTCTGTAATTTGAGTAGATGACATGATATATATATTTATTTGAACGCGTTTCTAGCAGCAAAAATTTGGTTTTAAAATTGACGTGTTTTATGTTTTGTTGATTAATCCAATTAGCCCTCAATAATAGTCTATGTATATCCAGATGACTGATAACAACGTTTGTTAATTTGTATTTGACTTTGCTTTATTTAAGATATTTAATCTCTCGTATTTATATCAAAACAATTTTTTATTTCTGTTTCTAAATTTTTGTGTTCTGGATTTTGAAACTTATTATTAATTTAAATCGAAATTTGGGGTAAGAAACAGAAGAACAATAAATGGTAAAGTTTTAAAATTACACATTACTAATAAAGTCCTTGATAGCTAGATTTATGTGCCATAATATAATTCACTTACCGATTTGAATTTACTTATTTCCATATGCAAGGTTAAGCAAAAGATTAATGAAAGAGGGAATGACTTTCAACAAACTTTCATGACTTTTTGCTAAAATCCAAATTTTAGTGATGGAGAGGTTATTTTAATTATTTCTCAATTCGAAGTCACGTTTGCAGCTTAGCATTTGTTGGTTTCACTATTGATACATGATTGAATGATCGAACTCAACATGAAGCTGATATAAAAATTTACATAACACTTGGTAGTACTCAGCCCTTGTTTTAAATGAAATGGCAAAGATGGCTAATTACGGAGTTTAAATATAATTTTATACAGCCATATGATCTATCAATCTTACGTCATACAATTTCCTCCATTTCTTCTTCCTTGATCAACTAGTTAATTCTTTCATACTTTCAGCAGTGAACGCAGTGATTCAGCATATTCAAGAATATTTCGGATTTAGCTGTATATTCATTGGTTAAATATAACTTCTTTAATACTTCATCACATCTTTCTCTGTATATCAGCTAACGGTAAATTAAAATTATAATCCCGGTATTTTACATACTTACTGACACTAAATAGGATAATATAACTGCGCGAAACAATGTACAAGCAATTACAATACAAAAAGAAAAAAACGCAATAAAGGGAAAAAAAAAGCAAAAAAAAAATTTTTAGAAGAATAGAAATATAAGAATGGTAATTATATCATCATACGATACTTAAGTTTTGAAAATCATACTAATTATATACATTTTTACGGTTGATAACAGAATTATCTACCATTAACATCACTCATTATCATTAATTATCATTCATTCATACATCATCACTATCTTTTAATTGTATCAAGTGAACTACTTAACTACTAAGCAATAAATTTAATATAATAATAATCACAAACCCCTATTACTTCATTTGTTTATTTTTTTTTTCTGATATACAACCAAACTACTATCAACTATCAATTTTTACAACACCTTTTAATCAAACATAACCAATTGAATCATTCTCAACAATGTCATTCAAAGTTAATTGGAATTCATTAGAAACTGAATCTTTATCTACTTGGACAAAAGATATATTAACAAATGCTTTAAATTCAGGTAAATCTCCAAATATTTTAGCATCAAATATTATTATAAAAGATTTAAATTTTGGTAAAACAGCACCAGATTTTGAAATTTTAGAAATTGGAGAATTAGATAAAGATAGATTTAGAGGAATATTTAAAATTAATTATTTTGGAGATTTTCATTTAACTTTACATACAAAAGTTCAAGCAAATCCTTTAAATATTTATTATTCAAATTCAATGTCTCAAGAAATTAATCAAGATTATGAATTTATAACTCCTCAATTTGTTTTATCAAATGAACAATTTGCTATACCATTAGATTTAAAATTATCAGATATTAAAATTAGTGGTATTGGTACTATAGTATTTTCAAAATCAAAAGGTTTAACATTAGTTTTTAAAAATGATCCATTAGATAGTATAAAAGTAAGTTCAACTTTTGATACTGTTCAAGTTTTAGCAAATTTTTTACAAAAACAAATTGAATCACAAATTAGAGATTTATTTAGAGAAACTTTACCAACTTTAATTCATCAATTAAGTTTAAAATATTTAAGTTTAGATAATAATATAAATGAATTAAAAAATAAATTTGCTTCAAATGTTACTGTTGATATTAATAATAATAACAGTAGTAATAACAGTAATAGCAGCAACAATGGAAATACATCTACCTTAAAATTATTAGAAGGTGAAGAAGATTTATCTTTAATTTATTCAACAAAAAATTTACAAAAAAATTTACAATATTATAAATCAAGAGAAACAATGAGTTTAAATATTCCAAAATTTAAATATATAATACAAAGAACTCATATGGATAAATTTAATAAAAATTATCCAAATTTATTAAATTCATTATCTATAAATAATTCAGATTTACAAAAATATATTACAGTTTCAAATCCAACCACTAATAATAATGGTATTCCAATAGATATATTAACAAATGAATCATATAAAAAAACAGATGGCTTATTAAAAGATATTTCAACTATTCAAGCTAATAGTTATTATAAATATACTAAAGATGCTCCAATAAAACCAAAAAGAAGAGTAATTAAATTTAATAAAAAGAAATCTACATCAGAATCATCATCTGTTAATAATAGTACCATAAGAGAATCAATGACTACACCAATGACACCATCAACATCAATAAGTTCAAATTCAACATTAATAGAATCAACAAATACATTTGAAACTCCAACAAAACAGCAAATACCAATTACTTCATTAAAACATCCAACACCAAGAAAAGCTTCAAAATTAGATGAACAAGAATTTAGTAGTAATGAACATAACATCAATCATCAACAACAATTACAACAAGAACATCAACAAAATTCACAATCATCACGTATATATCAAGAATTTTTAAAACAAACTCAATCACCATGTCTTTTAAATAAAACAACAACAACAGGAAATAATGGATTAGGTTTAGGAAATTCTGGTTATTTTAATTTTGTACCTCAAAGAACTTTAAGTACTTCACCTATAAGAAATAATAAATTATCATTAGTTGATTATAATGAGAAAAAGGATCAATTTGAAGAATTAAATAATAAAAAATCAATTAATCATATTGATATAACTAAAATTAACAATAAATTAAAAGAACAATTAAATTTAAAAGATTCAAATTCATTAGTTGATAAAAAATTAGATAAAATTGGAGGAAATGGATTTAATAACAACCAACAACAACAAAAACCAAATTTAATTCATCAAGATTCTTTAAATAATTATTCTGGATTATTTACTGTTCCTCCTCCTCCTTATTATCATTAAGAAAGGTATAAGTTGGAAAAGAAGTTCAATTTATGGTCTGACTAATAGGTGATTCCTCATTTGTGTTAAACTGGTGTTCACAAATGAAAATAGTTTTCAATTCTTTTATATATATTTACATGAAAATTTATATCTTTTAGGGTACAGTATATAATACTTCATTTTAATTTTTAATATATAGTTTTGTATATAGATTTTAATTGAAATATTTGTTAAATAAGATTACTATCTTGTAGTACTACCTTTATAATTGTTCTTTAAAAAGTTTGACATTTTGCAGTGATATTAGCTAAAGAAAAACCCAATCAATCTGATAACTTTTTTAAGTCCATAACGAGGTCTAATAATGAACTTTTGTTTCTCACTTCTGTAAGTGGAACTAATTCTTCCGTTGCATTCCTTTCTTTCAAGTTATTCAACTAGAAATTGTGAAGAACATAATTCATTTTTATGAAAAGCATGTATTGATTTTTCGACCAAACTGGAAGAACACCATCTTGATTGAAAGAAATGAATCATTTTGATCATAAATTCAATAAATTTTGATCATGTTCCTCCAATTTTCGAGAAATCAATAAAAGCATTTCATAAAATCGAAATGAATAAGATTCTGAGTTTTTTTTTTCCAATCAAAATCCTATCAAGTTCCTTGGTACTTTTGAGTTCAAAAATTAATGAAATTGTGTATAATAGGTCATCTTCTGGTAATTGAAAATAATTCCAGCTCCATCCTTCTCCATTGTAATGGTGGCATTTGATTTTTGTAAAATTTCATTGATGTTATTTGAGTAATAGTCTATTTTTGAAATTAGAAGCCAATTTTTTATTCTCAACGGCTTCACTGGAAACTGCAACCTCTTTATCCCATACTTTTTGTCCTTTTTTCTAAAAAAATCATACGTACAAGTATTTTTCTGTTTGAAAGTTTTTCATCCTTGCTTTTTTTTAAAAGTCATACCTTCACAATTCTTGATCGGCGTTTTAAATATTGATGTAGAATCCTAAGTAATAAAACACAGATCAAAAAATATGAAGGTGATTCTTTAATGAATACGAGAACAATGACACAGATCTTTCACACAGTTAAATACTGTATACCTATGATCCTATACTGCTTCATCAATGGCTCTTCGTGGTTAGGATGGAAATCCAATACGAATATCAAATACTTAATCTAATTTAGTATCTTTTCTCTTTGGAAGAAAAGAAAAACTTAAATGATTTATTCTTTGTGACTATGATCGACCTATTGGAAGTGTAAATTAGTGAGGATGAGAATTATTGTTATTTATCAATGTTGCTTGTTTTACCTGCTTTTAAATTAACTCTTCATTTTTCTTTAACTTGAGGCTGAGGAGTGTAATAAATGAGACGTGTTTGGTTGATTAATTTGAAAATCACTAAGCGAATGTCGTATTATGTTATTTTTTAACATCACACAAAACCAAAATAGACAATAAAATTTCAATGTTACTAAAAAAAGAATTTTTAAATCAGATCAATTTTTGTTTGATTTACGAATTTATCAAACACCAATATATCAACCAACCTTCATTCCATATAGCATATAAAATTACATCATCTCACACTCGTTTCTACTCATTATCTCATAGGATTTATCTATCTCATTTTTTGAACAAAACACTTCATACATCATATCCTATTACTCAGGTTTATCGAACACATCAAAGCATATTAAAAATTTTATAACAGATTTACAATAAACAATACAACAAATACTTTACACATCAACAAAATCCACTCACAACATCCACAAACAACTAATAGTTAAATATAATAATGTCATTTGGATCATTTGATAGTATATGTAATAAAACATCACTACCTTTATGTTCAGTAATAGGAGCAGTAAATCAAAGTGCAAGTTTTCAAAGAGGTATAGTACCACAATGTTATGCTCGTAGTGTTGAATTAGCAAATACAATGATTTTTCAAATTGGTAATGCATTTGTTCATTTTGGTGGTTTAATTATTTTCTTGATAATTATTTTCAATATGAGAGCAAAATATACAGCAATTGGTAGAATTGAAATGTTAAATTTTATGTATTTAATGATTGGATTAATTGTTAGTAGTTTAATTGTTGATTGTGGAGTTGCTCCTCCAAGTTCTTCAACTTATGCTTATTTCGTAAGTTTACAAATTGGTTTAGCAAGTAGTTGTTGTTTTGTTTTATTATATAATGGTTTATTATGTTTTCAATTTTGGGAAGATGGTACAAGAAAATCTATTTGGATTTTAAGAATTATAACTTTTTTATGGTTTGCTGTTAATTTTATTATAAGTTTAATTACTTTTAAACATTGGAATACTGCTTTAGATTTTAGAAAAACTACTACATTATTTGTTTTTAGTTATATTATAAATGCTATAATATTAGCTACATATGTTGTTTCACAAATTATATTAGTTGTATTTGCATTAGATTCTTGGTGGCCCTTGGGAGCAATATTATTAGGTATATTTTTCTTTGTTGCAGGACAAATTTTAACTTATGTATTTAGTATGCAAATATGTTCTGGAGCATCACATTATGTTGATGGATTATTTTTTGGTAGTGTTTGTAATGTATTTACAGTTATGATGATTTATAAATATTGGGATATGATTACAACTGATGATTTAGAATTTAGTGTTGCAAATGTTGAACAAGTTGTTAATGAATTTGGTAATAATAATAATGGAGGAATTGGAGTATTAAATTATGATGATGAAAAAAGATCAAGTAGTATGTTTTTTTAATGATATAAAGACAGGTTGGCTATGAAAAAAGTAAATAATAACACAAACATTTTTACATCTTTATAAATTTTAAACGATTGTAGACACCACTAAAAGAATATCAATGGAAAACTTTTATTTTTTAATAAATATCTAAACTAAACAAAAACTATAACTTTTGAACAAATGAATAAATTTCAAACCTTTTTTACTAACACAATTCGTGACTTAACAAACAAAATCAGATTTATTCCAATTTTTGTCTTTTTGATTCTGAAACTTCTACTTCAACTTCTTTAACTTCTTCATTATTTCCATTATTTACAGGTTTTAAAGCAGGAGTAGTTTGTTCAGCATGAAAATCTTTAATTATTGAATCAACATCATCAATATTTAATTGTCTTACATCACCTAATAATTTAATTTTTGCAGTAACTTCTTTAACTTGATCATCAGATAAATTTAAATTTAATTGATCAACTCTTGATTTAATTGCATTCCATCCTGTTAATCTATTTGCAAAATGAATATATCTTGTTAAACCAAAATCACTTGGATTTAAAATTTCATAAGTTGAAGGATTTGCTAATATAGCTTTTGCATGTATACCAGCTTTATGAGTAAAAGCACAAAATCCAGTAATTGGATTATTAAAAGGAATATTAACTTGAACAGCATCAGCAACTAAATTTTCTAAATCTCTTAATTTATGTAATTTATATTTAGACAAGACATAATCTCTATCAGCTGTTATCATTCTTGCCATTAATGCACCTAATGGAGTTATACCATTTCTTTCACCTATACCTAAAACACTTACATCAATAAATTTTGCACCAGCTTCTAAAGCAGTATAAGCATTTGCAACAGCACAACCAGTATCATCATGAAAATGACATTCAATATCACAACTTACTACTGATTTTAAAGTTTTAACTAATTCAAAAACTTGTCTTGGATTTGCACAACCAACAGTATCAGCAATACCAACTCTATTTACACCAATTTTATCAACTGTTCTATAAATATTTAATAAATCAACTATATCACTTCTAAAACTATCTTCACTTGAAAATCTAATTTCAATACCTTTTGATTTAACAAATTCAATAACTTCAATAGCACTTTGAGCAATATAATTCATATCTTTTCCATGACTATATTTTCTTAAAAATTGTGATGTACCAATAACAACATCAACTCCATCAACTCCAGTTTCAACAGCAACTCTTGCATCATCCATATGACATCTTATATGAGTTAATATTTTAGCTTTTAAACCTAACTTACATATAGCTTCACAATCTTTTCTACTTTGTTCACTTGCAACAGGAGAAGTTAATTCAATATAATCAACACCAAAATCATCTAATGCTTTTGCAATTTCTATTTTTTTTTCAGTTGTAAAAAATGCATTTGCAAATTGTTCACCTTCTCTTAATGTACTTTCTATTAATTCAAATTTATTTACATTTGATAAAAAATCTGAAGGATTTGGACCATATGGATTAGATTGTTGTGACATTTTTTTATTGTGTATTTGTATGTGTGAAAATTTATTTATATGATTTTATATGGGGAAATGATTGCAAAAAAAGTTGATTAAAATTTAGCAATTGGAATTTAAATTAATATATTTGATTCTATTTTGAATATAAATATAATTATGAAGTATTATATAATATTTTCTAATTGAAAATGATGTTCTAAAGAAAATGAAAAAAAAAAATGTGAAAAATATGAAAAATTTATATAATGATTCTCTCTATAAAAATTAAGTCATAATTAAGTCATAGAGTCTAGTACTTATCATTATATTAGGTAATACAGCGGTTAAGCAAAGAAACAAAAGAAAAAAAAAAAAAATTTATGACACACTCACAGAAAAAAAAATTTTTATCGCAAATGGTAGCATATGAGCCCCATATATCCGTATTAAGTATTACTCTAATTAAAGGATTATGACTCATAGTTTCATATTAAATTTTATATATACAAATCCATATTCTTCTATATTCTTTAGTTTGTTAAAAAATTTTAAAATTTTTTAAAAAATTACAACACTAGTTTGTTTTAATTATATTCTCAACTTGAAATTGTAATTGACTCAATTTATTACCTTAATAAGCTTCCTTTATTTATGACTAACTTCATTTAAATGACTTATTTGTTTCCTTAAATTAATTGTCTAGTTCTGTGTATTTTCGTTAAGTTTTGTATTTTATTTTATTTCATTTCTCTGTTTCAGATTTTATTTATTCGCTCTGTTTCAAAATTTTTATGGTTCGAATTGTAACTTTTCAGATAGCCTGTACCAGATCTAGCACTTTGCAACGTTGGGCGTTCTAGCGAAGGCTAAGTTTAATCATTAATCGTGTAATGTCGACAATCCAGTCCGTGTTCCTTATACAAGGAAGTGCAAATTTGGGCCAAAGTTACTTTAAATTTCGAGATCTCTCACATTAAAACTATAAAAATTAATTTACTACTCATTGTTTAACAAATCTATATAATTCATTTTTAATTCTAGCAACTTCAACATCTTTAATATTTAATTTCCCATTCATTCTTGCAACTAATTCATTAACAATTTTATTAATTTCTTGATTTTTTAATCCAGTAATTTTTTCCCAATTTAAATTCTTATAAATTCCTTCATTACCATTAAAAATTTTATATTGTTTTAAATTTTTTGATTTTTGAGCTTGGGTTTGTTTTAAAATCTTATTTTCTTTTAAAATAGTTAATTTAAAACATCCAATAATTAATTTTTTTAATTCAAATCCCATATCATTATAATTTACAAAATTATTTGTTTGATTTAAATATCTTAATAAATATATAATATCCATATATCTAAATAAATAAATTATAGATTTTAAAAATAAATTTAATGAAATTTTTAATCTACTTGTTAATAATAATAAAAATTTATCTAATGGTAATTCATTTGAATTTTTAGTTGGATTTGGTGGGAAAGTATTATAAATTTTTGTTGCAACATATTTAACTATTATAATCATTAATTGATTACGTTGATATTTAAATTGTTGTTGAGTTATTTGTTGAGTTTTTAAATTATTTAATGAATAATTTAAACTTTCATTGATTTCTTTCTTAATTTGTATTTCGTTCGTACTTGGAGGTACTACACTTCTAATTGCTTGTGGCTGTTGTGATTGTTGATGTTGTTGAGTTGGAGATGAAATTGAAGTTGGAGATGCAACTGATGATGTTTGAATTGTTGCTGGGGTTGGTTGTAAAGATCTTTGTTCATTCCAATAACTAATATCATAATTAGTAGAAACAGTTTTAATTTCATCTGATTCACTATCTGATATTAAATTAGGAATATCAATAAATTTGTCTAATTCATCATCATTTAATTCTTCATTATTTTGAGTTGACATAATATCAAGTGATGATGATGATGATGATTTTCTATCTACATTGTTCTTTTCATAGTTATTAGCTTTTTCAATTTCTTGACCTTCTTGTCTTCCTGATCCTTCTGCTGTAGCAACTTGTAAATTAACAAATTGAGATATATTTTTAAACTGTTCATCAAAATTTGAATGAACAGCATCCATCTCTTGTTTAATATATTTAAAAGTGATACTCTTCAAGCCAGCAGAAGATTCTTCTCCCACACCGCTTGAAGAAGCAGAAGGAGTAAATTGAACATTATTATGAATATTGTCATTAATCATTTCGAAAATTTAAAATAAAATTTTTAAAATACAATCTGAATAAAAACAATAATGAAACTCACAATTTTAAATAAAAAATTTCAGGAAGACAACAACCAAAACCTTGTTTATCTTTTCGAAATCAATTTGAAAAAAATGATGATGATAAAATTAATTCTTATAATGAACTTAAAATGAAGCTTTTAAAACTTCTTTGTTTGAAATAAAATGAAAAATATATTAAACCTTAACCAAATAATCACTAATAAAATCTATTACGCCTTTCTTTATAAAAAAAATTCGTAACTTAATATAAAAAAATTATAAAAACACTAATCGACTTTCTTCTCTGACTCCCTAAATGGAAATATAAATGAGTTGATACATTACTTGAGTTATTATTATATTGTAAAAAGTTATTGCTATATGAAAATTGAAAACAGTTTGGAAATTATTTTGTTATAAAAAATTCAACTAATGAATTTTGGAAGTGATTTGGTTATTAAGTTTAAATTCTTCAGTTGGAAAACGGATAAGATCTAAATTATTTGTCTATATATAATTCAGAACTGGAAAATGACTTAGATTTGTAGATTGTTTAAACAGATGTGTTTGTTTGTTTGTTTGTTTGTTTGTGTATTTATGTTGTTTGTAAATAAGATGATGATGTAAATGATAAGGATATATCTCCGTATTTTTTTCCTTTGATATTAACTATCATGATATTTTGTTGACTCATTGTAAAATAAATTCTTTTTTTAGTCAGAATTAATTGGTAGCATAAAGGTGTTTTTTACTTTTGTGTGTAATTTAGTTTTGTGTCATTATATGAATTTTCTTTTTGTATTTTTGCAGCTAAAATAATTTGTATCAGAATTTGAATTTAAATGAAATGAATAAGTCATACTTCATTGAATCCATCAACTTCAAATCATTCCAAGATAATAAAAACAACTTAGGATAATTTTTAGATGAAGATAAAATTCGATCGCGTTACATTTTCTCGAATCTGATACCGTTGTTGGCCCACTCTAAAACTGGTATAACTAGCAATTGGGTTCCTTATATCCCCTTTCACCATATCAGACTATTTCGAAACATTTGATTTGAATTGATGAAGTTACTGCTGGATTCTCAATCAATTTTAATCCAGTAACGCTTGAGCCTTTTCAATTTTTGACTTTTCAAACCCAGCTCAATCTCTCTATCCTATTTTTCAACAAAACATTGAGATCCTAATGTACTTAAATCATCCAATTAATCTTATAAGCAAAGAATTAAGATCATTGCTTGCAAATTGACTTCTAAAACGCGTAAACTTCTGCCTAATACAAAAATTTGATTAACTCAAAAACTTTCTTACCCCTCCTAAACAATTGTTTTAAGCAATCACATCAATTGTTCTGCTTGAGACTGATAGAGTTGAATGGATTGTCTGATATGGGTTTAATCCAAATTGACACTCATCGTTTGAAATAGTTTGGCGCGTTGTAAAATTATGCCATCACTCAAAACTCGATGATTTTCATTGTTTCATCCAAAATAATATACCAAGATAGCCTAATTAAGTCAATTGACGTCAAACATTAAGTTGTTTGATGGTTTCCTTCAATTATATGCTTCGTTGACGTTGTTCAATTTTTTTTGGTTGCAAAGAAAAGGTGTTCTTTAATAATTTTATATTTTATCTTTTGTAACTCTGTTAATAATTTATAAATTTAGGGAGTAATTTTTTGCCACTATCTTGATTAACTTATTTACTTTCTATAGATTCAACCAAATGGCATTAAATGCTAAGTATCTTTCTGAGTGTATTAAGAACTTTAGTCTAATCAATTTGAAATTGATTAAATTCAAACCTTGTTAATTTGAATAATGATTTTTATTTTTATTCTATTAAAATTATTGTTAAGATTCACACCAATTTCATTAAAATTCTTTCAAAATTATTTTGGTTTAAATATTCAAATAGTTTAGTTGAAGCTGGTTGCATTGTTTTGACCATATTCTATTGAATCAATGAGCAATTGGATTTAGCCAATTCAAATATTTGCAAACTCTTGGATTATAAATTATTTGCAGTGGATCAAAAATACTGCATATAGATGAACCTCCGGTATATCAATTCACTTACATGTTTAAATTTTCATACTAATGTTAATTGAAGAGCTTAAGCATACTTTCACCAATGTTATGAATATTAGGAAAATGAGTACAAGAACCTATAGAGATGCTATAAATGCACTAAACACATTACAATCAAATTTTGCATCAATTGAAGCTATGAAAAAATTGGGACCAAATGTAAATAGAAATGAATTATCAATTAATGAAGTTAGAGAATATACAAAAAGATTAGGTTATAAACCTTCAGATTTCAATAAATTGAATATAATTCATGTCACTGGAACCAAAGGTAAAGGATCAACTTGTGCATTTACAGAAAGTATATTAAAACAATATCAACTTCAATCTCAAGGTATAAATAAAATTGGTCTATATACATCACCACATTTAAAATCTGTACGTGAAAGAATTAGAATTGATGGAAAACCTATAGACAAAGATTTATTCACAAAATATTTTTTTCAAGTATGGGATAAATTAACAACGACTCAATCAGATCCTGAAGAATGGCCTACGTTACAACCAAGTAATGAAGTGAAACCAATGTATTTCAAATATTTGACCGTTTTATCATTCCACGTCTTTTTACAAGAAGGAGTTGATACTGCCATTTATGAGGTTGGTGTTGGAGGAACTTTTGATTCGACTAATATAGTAGAAAAACCAACAGTGACAGGAATTAGTGCATTAGGAATAGATCATACATTTATGTTAGGAAATACAATTGAAAGTATAACGGATAACAAAACAGGTATATTCAAACAAGATTCACCTGCATTTGTCAGTGAACAATTTGAATACCCTCAATCACATAAACAAATTGAAAAGAGAGCCAAAGAATTGAAAGTTAAATCATTAGAATTCGTGAATTCTAAACAACTTCCTGAGGTAGAACTTGGATTATCTGGAGATTTTCAAAAAGAAAATGCTACGTTAGCTGTAAGATTGGCTGATGCACATTTACAAGCGCTAGGTATAGACAGCGGATTGCAATTGGGAGAAAACATCGTCATCAAAACACTACCTGAGGCTTTCATCACTGGACTAAAAGATGTAGATTGGCCGGGAAGATGCCAAATAATTGATGACAAACCAAAAGGAATCACATGGTACATAGATGGAGCTCATACAATAGAATCTATAAATGCTTCATCAACTTGGTTCAAACAAGAACAAATTTTACAACCACCAAAGAAAAAAATCCTTTTATTTAATCAGCAAGGTAGAGACAATTATGAAGAACTTTTGACGAAATTACATCAAGTTATTTGCGTTAATGATCCACAAATAAAATTCGATGAAGTGATATTTACGACGAATACAACTTGGTCAACAGGTCAATATAATTCCGAATTAGTATCGAAAAATACTTCCGAAGATGCTGTAAAAAAACTTGAAATACAAAATAAATTTAGTGAACTATGGGAGAAATTAGATGGAGATCATTCAGAAAGACATGTTTTTCCTGATATTGAAACAGCGGTTGAGTATATAAAAAGACAAGATCAAGTTAATGTGTTTGTATGTGGTTCATTACATTTGGTTGGAGGGTTTTTAGTCGTATTGGATAATGAAAGGGATTAAAATATTTATTCCAAACCTACCCTTAATAACGTACATTATAATAAACTAATTAGATGAACTATTAACGATATTTTCTCTAGTAGCCTTTACAATTTCATCTATATTAGATATGGAGTTGGACCATTGTTGTAATACATTTTTAATTAAGTCCCATTTTTGTTCATTACTTTGATCATCACCTGCAATAACGAATCTATTAACTCTACTCAAATTGAAAGTTTCGTCTATTTGATTTATCTTACCTTCAATTACGCCCGCTTTAATTGATTCTACTAACAATTCTTCCGTCTCTGATGGTTTCAAATCGGAAATCTCACTATATTTAAATACAATATCATCATGATCTGGTGATAATGATTGTTCTGCAAGGAATTTGGTTAGGTTTAAAATTCTGGATTTTTGATGAACAAATTCGGCATTTAAAGATGATTCGTTGATTTCATTGACTGGAATTAATTCTCCCTTTACGTATTTTGTGAATGTTTTTGATAATTCAGTATTGGAATTTTTTAAAGCTAATGCCACGTTATTATTCACCAAAAATGAAACGTCAACAATTTTTGATGATAATGCAAATTTGATTAAATTTTCTAATTCTGAATTTGATAAGGTGAATGAGTTTGTGAATTCTTGAATCAACTCTAATGATTTTAAAGTATATCCAGAATCCAAAAGTATAAAATTCCAGAATATTTCTTTTGTTTCTTCATCTGAGGCATTGCTTTCTTTTAACCAAGTAATTAAATTATTAGCAATATTATCTTCAATTGAATTAAAATCAATTTCGGAAGTTTTCAAAATATTTAAGATGGATTTAATTAAAAAGATTCTGGTGTTTGAAGATCTAGGTATTAAGTTGAAAATGGTACTTAAGATGGATAAAATGGATGATGATTTAATGGATTTTCTATCTCTTAAACTTAATGGTTGTTGTGGATTTACTGATAAAATTAATTTATATACTGATGATGATGTATCGTTTAAAACTTGATCTATGCTAGATAATTGTGAAAGGATATGTATTAATAAGTAAATTGTTGGTTCAAATTCTCTATCAGTTAACTTTTTTAAAGTTTCTACTGTTGAATTTTCATTGATCTTCTGATATATATCTGATTGGTTTGTGATTTCTTGATCTTGTTGTGTAGGTAATAATGGTTGAAGTTGTTGTGTAAAATCCGTATTTCCATTTATTGTGTCAATAATTTGAGCATATTCTTGAATTGAATCTTTCAAACCATTATCAACCACGATTACAGATGCCATAGTAATGAAGTAGATGAATCAAGGTGCTATATCTACAACCGTTTGAATTTTTCACATCAAATTCAAAACGTAAAAAAAAAAAATTTTCTATACAAAATTGTACATGCAGGATTCGTTAAGTCGTGTATTTTTATTATTAAATTACATAGTTACTTGATAACATATCAGATAGGTTGATGCTAACTTTACGTAGCTAGTTGGTACAATATTGATGTTATAGTTCCTCACCTTCCTCTTCTTCATTAATCACGGAGCTGAACATAGCCTTATTAGAATAAGCACTAACACCTCCACCATTTTTTTGTGAATTATTGATCCAATCATTTACTTGCTTAGTATCTTGATAGCTTTTAGGTAAGGTGTTGGACTTACCTTGAAAAAAAGTTGGCGAAACTATCTTCTTTCCCGATTTTTGTTCTTTGACTAAGGCTTTATGGTTGAATTTGAATGAAACGGGAGGAGAAGGTGATCGTTGAAATGGTAAAGTAGCGTTATTATTGCCGTTTGTGAAATTCGCTGAATTGGTATTTGTATCGTTTGATAACAACCTAAACCTATTTTTCTCATCTGCAGCTCCAAGAGGGTTGTTTTCATCATTCATTTTTTTCAATTCGTCCTGACCACTCTCACCAGAAGAGTTACTATGTAGTTTAGATATTGACAATTTCTTCTTGACATTCACAGGTCCACTGTTTGATCCGGTTTGTATAGATAAATCTGACGATAATGTTCGTCTATAACTTGGTCTTTTTTTCATTGGAGCTCTACTTGAAGCACTTGATCTACCATCTACTTGGGATATGTTCAAACTTGATTCATATGCCTCATCTTCTTCATAATCATCATCCAACGTGTCTGTTTCATCTAAAATATCCAATTCTGACTCCGACAACATTGTTGACATTTGACTCAATCTACTTAGTTGACTAAACTGTGATATCATTGAAGATGGTCTTGTTCTTGCAAAACCTCTTCCTTCAGCTGAAGGAGGGGTTCTTGGTGATTCTAAAGAATTTGAAATCGTCAAAGCATTACCAACGAAAGAATTTTCCAGCTTGGGCTCTAAAAGAGGCTCTTCCACCATAATTTTTGGACCATTGACATTTTTATCTGAAATATTTTGATTTTGGATATGGTTAAGTCGCTCTGGACTTGGTTTTACATCAAGTTCCAAACCTTCATCTCCAGTTTCGATATCAATATCGGTTTTCTCACCCGAACCAGGATATAAAATCATATCATTCTCTTTGTCTTGCTCATCCTCAAGCTTATTTTTCTTCCAAAATTGTAGTTTGTTAAAAATTTTATTACTTTTATTCAGCTTTTTTAATGATTCTATTTGTGAAGATACATTAGACAATCTTCTCTCGTCTGGAACAAATGAAACTGTTCGATGTAAAGGAGCATCTATTTTAGTGGTTGTTGGTGATATTGCCAGGTCTCGTTGAGACTCCGCAGCTGAGTTTAAATGATTAGACTGGTCGGTATTGAATCGTTTCATTGGAGGAGATTTTGGCAGCGATTGTTGCTCCCCTGATTTTTTGGAATACGTCGACATTCTCGCCAAATTTGTCTTGCTAGAATTTCTATTGGATGCTAAACTTAATGAAGAAATTATTCTTTCCAATGGTTGAGAACCAATCGATTGATCGGATAATGAAAGAGCACTCTTGACTCTTTTTCTGGACTTTCTTAGTGAGCTTCTAGCTTCATTATATTTTCTTTTCTTTTCTCGTATATATCGCTTTTTCTTCTTGTTGAATTCTTGCGTTAGCAATAGCTCATAGAAAGCAGTTAATGAATTCATTTCATTATTGTAGATACTTGCTTGTAGTTCTTCAATATTAATATCTAATTTCTGCAATTTTCGAACCAACTCTCTTTCAATCCTGGTACTGAAAGGTTTGCTAACACAATTGTAATGCTGATTGATGGAAATTATGGATTCCGCATCGCCATGTGTTCTTCGCTGAGTTCTTTCTAAATGCTTGTTATACATATCCAATAGAAACGGCGAATTTAAAATTTCACCAATACTAGGTCGTTGACTAGCATCCTTGTTCAACATTTTGGCAATCAATACATTAATTTCAGCGGGAACTAAATCACTAAAATCAGGATTATCATTAAGTATTTTCATTTTAACTTTAAATTCATCTTCGTCATCAAACGGTAGTTGTCCATACAACATTGTGTACAATATAACTCCCAAAGACCAGACGTCAATAGCAAAACCCGAATATTTTTGGCCATTAATTAGTTCTGGTGCCATATATACTGAAGTTCCACATATAGTTGATAAAAATTTTCTTGATTGCGGGTTATACTCTCTAATCATCCCAAAGTCCGTTAATTTAACGATAGTTTTCCTACTGTCGGCTAGTAAAATATTTTCTAATTTTAAATCTCTATGACTCAAGTTCATTGAATGAACTTGCTTGACTCCAATAACTATTTGAAAGAATAAATTTTGACATTCTTTTACTGCTAACCTTTTCTTTTCATAAATTAAATAATACAATTCACCACCTTCGCAAAATTCCATAGCAATCCAAAGATGATTTTCAGTCTTTATTACCTCATACACACTGACAATGTTTTTATGTTTCAATTGCTTATGATAGTAAATTTCTCTGACTATATTTGGATCATCGATAAGACCACATTTTAAAACCACATCGACATCTAAAAGAACGTGCTTTGCTAAATACACTTTCCCAAATGTACCACCTCCAATTTCTTCGATTATTCTGTAGTTTCCAACTTGGCTTATTTTGGGTGACGTTATGGATGAATAAAAATCATTGAATTGTTCTGCTAATTGTGCTGTATTGTTTTGATCAGTCAAATATTTTATATTTGGCCCGCCGGTATCCATAAAGAAGATGACGGCTAATGCTTGAAAATCAAAGGATTATTCAATGTTTTACTCTTGCACCTTTAACTTTAATGATTTAAAAATTTTGATAAGGTTGAAATTTTGACAAAATTTTGTGAAAATATAATTACAAGAATGGATATCAAATAAACTGTTGCGACAAAATTTGATCAAAGCTCGATATATCAATAATAGGGATGAAGCTGTTTGATGAGTTTTTAAATTGTGAATTATGGATTGTAGTTTATAAAATTGGAAGAACCATACAAAGAAAAACCACTATATAGAAGGTTCTGCATATAATGAAATACCATCGATAATAGTAAATCTAAAACATGTTTCAGAAACTCTGATGCAACAATATATGTCATATTCACCAGAAATTCATGTGCATGAGTAGAATGCGTACAAGGAATGGGTTAAAATTAATACGACGAAGATCAAACTTATCGAACTATCTAATAATACGGCAGTCAAAGTTTTCTCCATCTCATGTTGAAACATTTAGATCATTTGCAACATCTCATTATCTATTTTCAAAGCCCATCACCAAATTTACGGAGCCTAAATCAGTTTTTAGATCAAGTGACGAGGACTCAGTGGAATTTCATAATCTGGGATCAAACTTGGTCAAACTGATACATGAACCTTTACAAAATTTGTCTAAGAAAATTGATAATAAATTATTCAAATATCCATATGAATTTTTGAATGAGGAAACACAACAACAAAGGGATATCTTCGAGAAGTTTGAAATCAGGTTGAAAGATAAGATTAAAAAGTTTGACGACTCGAATGTACAGAAGTTGACTTTGGTCGATTTTTTGAATCCAAACATAAATATTATACCAGATTTGCTCCATGCAATCATTCAGGATCATTATCCTGAACAAATATTAAAACACTATAACTTGAAGAACAAACAAGACTTGATCACACATCTTTTAACTCATTTACTACATAAGGAATACCTAGAATTCAAAACAATAACAACACCGTATGAGAGATCGTTAATCGATTTTTCTAACCCAGCACAATGGTTCCCTGAAGCTAGAAAAATGAAAAGAAAAATTATTATGCATGTTGGACCCACAAATAGTGGTAAAACCTATAATTCGTTACAAAAGTTATCACGATCTAGAACTGGATACTATGCTGGTCCATTAAGATTGTTAGCTCGTGAAATTTACGAAAGATTTAATCAACAAGGAATAGGTTGTAATTTGATCACAGGAGAAGAGGTTATCCCATCTATCGATGAATATGGTCAAGTGAGTGGAATTTCCGCTGGTACAATAGAGATGATTCCATTGCATAAAAAAATGGATCTATGTGTCATTGATGAGATCCAAATGATTGGTGACAGCCAAAGAGGATCTGTGTGGACAAATGCAGTGTTGGGGGTCTTAGCGCACGAAATCCATTTATGTGGTGAGGAAAGTGCAGTTCCTTTGATTGAAAAATTAGTTAAAATTACTGGAGATGAGTTAGTTGTTAAAAATTTTGATAGATTAGGGAAATTATCAGTGGAAAAGAAACCAGTTAAATTAAACGATTTGAAAAAAGGCGATTGTTTAGTCGTATTTTCAAAAAGGAAAATTTTGGATTATAAGTGTAGTATCGAGAGACAAACTAAATTGAAGGTGGGAATAATTTACGGTGCATTACCACCAGAGATTAGAGCACAAGAAGCCAATAGATTTAACAACGGTGAGTACGATGTTTTGGTGGCCTCTGATGCAATTGGAATGGGACTTAATCTCAAAATCAATAGAATTGTCTTCAGTGGTATAAATAAGTTTAATGGATCTGAAGTTGAGAATTTAACGGTGTCTCAAGTCAAACAAATCGCTGGTAGAGCAGGTAGATTCAGTGCAGAGCACGGCTCAAGAGAAGGGTTTGTGACAGCTTTACAAAGAGCCAGTTTGATTTACATAAAGGAATGTCTTGGTCAACCTGTCCTTGAATTAGAAAAAGCATGCTTATGGCCAACTGATTTAGTTTGGAAATACTATATGACCAATTATTCGACCAAAAATCCATTGTCAGACACTTTACAGCATTTTATAGCAAACACGATGAATTTCAAATCTGAATTGTATTTCATTGCCGATTTAGAAATTAAAACTGGGTTGTTAGATTTGATTTCAAAGGATAAGAACCTAAAGGATATGACAATAGATGATCAATTAAATTTGAGTGAAACTCCGATAAATCTTCACGGTCCGATGAATAAAAAAATGGTTGTTCCCATAGTTAAGAAATTTTTTAAAAATATTGTTCAAAGAAAATGTAAATCAGCTTTTGACTTTGATTTTTTAGATTTGAATTTGTTGGGAGCAAAACCAATAATATCAAAAAATATTCATGTACATTTAGATAATGTTGAGAAATTGGAGAGTATGCATAAGTTGCTTTTGTTATTTTTATGGTTAAGTCAAAGATTTCCTACGTTATTTATTGATAAACAGTCAGCCATGGAATTAAAAACCTTGGTAGAGAAAAGAATAAGTGAGGAATTAAATAATGTTAGAAAAATGAACAAGATGAAGATGAAGTAGACGTATATAGATGCTAAATTTAAAATGATATAATTACTTGTAGATAGATACTTAAAAATACACTTAATGATGGCATGAAACTTTTTTCTCCCCCAAACTCCCCCTCAAATCTAATTTTTTTTTTTAAGAATACTTATGCAGTCTTTCCCCTCCGATCGGATTAATTTAATACAATTATTACGTATTAGTGAAAAACTTAACGGTCATACTACAAAAAATAGTTATAGCGTTTCTATAAAATATTTCACGAGTATTTCAATCAAGTAATTTCCGATATCATCCATTCTCCAACAAATTCTTTAGCTTTAATCACAACAAATGCCAAGAGTGATAGTGGTAGGAGGACCAGCTGGTACAGGAAAGACAACACAGGGAGAATTGTTAGCCAAAAACTTCAATTGTCCATTCATAGAGGGTGATGCCCTTCATCCGAAAGAAAATATTGATAAAATGTCCCGAGGGGAACCTTTAACAGATGAAGATAGATGGGGTTGGCTCAAAAAATTATCACAAGTTGCAAGTGAAAAAGCGATAGAAGATGAATCCAAAATCGCAGTTGTATCATGTTCAATGTTGAAAAAAAGTTATCGAGATTTTATAAAACAGAATTCAATTGGTGAGAATTTGACATTTAGATTCGTTTTCCTTTATACCACTTTTGAAGAATTGATGAAAAGAGTAGGTAGTAGAAAGGGTCATTTCATGAAATCTGACATGGTTAAATCACAATATGATATAATGGAGATCCCAAAAACTAATGAACTATTGAAAAATGGGGGAGAATCTGCAAGTATTGATACTACCAATAAATCTCCTGATGTAATAGAAAAAGAAATATTGAGCAATTTGAATAGTTGATTGATAGTAAATGTAATAATATCTAGACCTTAAATCAATTTAATTTCTCTCAATTTGATAGTTGTGATCTTGATGATAACTCCGTTAGATAAAACAGAGGGCCTGAACATCAGTGCATCCTTGCATTTGAATTCTCTCTACCAAGGTCAGATCGGCACTAAATACTTCGAGGTTGAGTTGAATTGTCTTATTTTTCCTAAAAAAACCTTGTGCTCATTTGGTCTTTGAACACATGGTATGCTAAAACCTAATTTTCACATACACTGTCAGACTGTAAAATGGAAATTAAGTTTGAGATGCCCATGAGAACTTTGCGTTCCTTAAATTGACATTGAAGTACTAATTGTAGAAATCTAAGTGTTAAATAAATTTATTTTATTCTCGTATTACCATTTTAAGCTTAATTTAAATCGTTTCGAATTACTGAATGAATGATAGACATTTTCCTATTAAGAGGCATTCAAACTGAAAGATAAAACAAACACAGGAACTACTGAAAGCATTGTATACTATACACATATTAGATGAATAATTCAGAATATTTAAATGTTATTATCATAAATTATTATTGATCAAAGAGTTTTATTTCAATTCTAACTAGCAACCAGATTTATTTTAAATAGCTATGCCATCCATAGATACATTTACTTATCTAGACCCCTCAAAAGATCGAAGGGTTGCTATAATAACCGGTGGAAATAGTGGAATAGGATTCTATACGGTATTACAATTATATTTGCATGGTTATATCATATATATTGCTGGTAGATCTCGATCACGGTGCAATAAACTGATAAATGAATTAAAAGCTAAAGCAATTGAAATTATAGATGCAAAATTTAGTAATTCAAACACAAACATAAAAAACAATGATGAAATCATAGAATTTAATAAGTTGAAAAACAGGCAATTGGGGGAATTGCATTATCTTGAATTGGATCTTAGTAATTTGCAATCTGTATTAAAAGCTGTGGAGACATTCAAACAAAAAGAAGAATACTTACATTTGTTGATTAATAATGCTGGAGCAATGGCAGTTCCATATACATTAACCCAAGACAACTACGAAGTTCAATTACAGACCAACTTTATATCCCCATTTTTGTTAACTTTAAAATTATTGCCAATACTTGAAAAGACAAAAGATCAATTTCCAAATTTGATTGAAAATCCAAGAGTAATATATTTAAGTTCAATTGGTCATCAATTTGCATCCTTATATTTCAATCTCAAAAAGCAAATGAATTATAAACCTGACTTTATATTTACTTGGGTAAGATATGGAATAGCCAAAACGGCAGGGATACATTTTATGAAAATGATCGCATTGAGAAATCCGAAAGTACTTTGTATCATTGTTCATCCTGGATTTGTCATGAATCCAAATATTTTCACATACTGGACAAATTTGCCTATTGTGGGGATCTTATTTTGGTGTTTTTTCCAAATTTTTGCATATTTTTTTGGTGTAACTCCCGAGCAAGGAGCTGATGAAGTTACAAAAGAATCATTGAATTCAAATTTTACTATTGAGAAGAATAATGGAGAATCTTTTGGACCTGGCGGCAAAATAATTCAACCTTCCAAAGTTGCGAGTAACATGGATTATGCGGCTAGAACGTGGATATGGACTATCCGTGAATTAAACGAACGTGGTGTTGTTGTTGATTAAACGTAAATGAGGTGTGCTACGTGTTTCGAATTTGCATCAAAAACTTCAATTTCAATTCTTTATTAATTAATTTATACATTTCATACTTCTATAGGCATTATTGATTACATTTTATTTCTTTTTTAACAGCAGCTCTAGACTTTCATCTTCGCTCGTTCTAAGAGTGTGAAGACTTCTAGTTAATCTTTCCACTTCATCCTTAGTCAATCTTGTGTCGAGTACATTTTGCGAATCTTCGTCTATTACTTCAATTTGGGGTTTGGTTTCGAGATTTTCCTCAAAATTGTCATCATCATTCATTAAATCATTATCATAAGCATCGCCATCGTAAGCATCATTATCATTATCATTATCATCATTAACATCTTCCCATTCTTCATCTTCTTCTTCATCTTCATCTTGTTGGTGACCAACAACATCTTCGTCTTGTCTCATTTTTCTTCTTAATTTTATAAATTCACCATAAGCCATATCACCATGTATCTCATTTGTATCACTTTGATAATCGGAATCATCATTATAAATCTTATCAGTATCATTATTCTTACTATTCATCTCTAAAATGATTTCCAGTTCCATGAATTCAGGAAAATCATCAAATTCAGTATTTTTAAATTCATCTTTGAATTTGCTAGTCAATTTCAATATCGAATGTTTGAATTCCTGATATTTCGACGCTACAAATTCTTTTGGTATCCACCCCGAGGTGATATCATGATACTTCCATCTAAATTCATTTAATTCGTCATCAGAAAAATCACTTTCATCATCATCATCATCATCCACTTGTTCTTCATCTAGATTCAAGGTTTCTTCCAAATTGTTCATGTCAAACAAAGCTTTCAAATTTTTAGCATATTTTTCTTCATCATCCATTGATTCCGAAAGAGACAGTAAGATTTCAACAAGTTCCAAATCTTCAGACACTTTTGAATTTATAATACCTATACTAATCAACTCATCTTGTAAAACATCTCTTGAACTTTGCTTTATTGTGTCCGGAATTTTAGGATCAGGTTTGCCCTGGTAGAAATGCTGCAAGCCCGACAAATAAATCCCACTTAAATGTTGTTCTCCTCCATTTGCTAAAGCTATACCCAACATTACTCCCAAATTCATACTATTCATTGCCGTCTTTATTTCGACTCCCTCATCGAACTCGAGAGGTTTGACTTCATCTAATTTTGATAATCCTTCTAAAGCCTTTGCAGCAAACATGGTGTCATTTGAGACTAGTTTCGCTATGGGTACAGGTAATTTTAAGGTAACATCATGAACATGACTCAAACCTCTAATCAAGCTACATTTTTCTTTGATTTCTGTAGTTAGAACTTCATTAGGTGTATAATCTCCATCAAATATTTGTAGTACAGCACTATGTAGCGGTAGATAGTCTTCGAATTGATTCCGTTTATTCAAAACTACACAACCATCATCATGAATCCATACTCTATTTCGTGCCGTAGTAACATCATTTAATTCTTCAGCAAGTGTTTCATGACAAATTACTAGCACAGGTTCGATCTCCAAGGAATCGAATAGATGAATAAAACAATCTTCATATTTAGTAAAATTGATCAATATTGCAATTAATAGCTCCATATCTTCTGGATGTCCATGATACTTCATCTCCCCATATATGTACTCAATGCTCTTGGAAGTATGTGCTTGAAACTCAGGTCGTTCATAACTCCAAGGATACAATTCTATCCATGGTTGCATATATTTTATGAAATTCGATAATGTTTGATCAATATTTGGGGAAATTATTATGAATGTGACTGTTGATGTTGGAAATAAATCTTCAAGTTCATGAGGCTGTAATTCATCGTCTATCCATAAATAATCTACCTGTAACATGGTTGGTCAATGGATTGTTAAAGAATAGTATTATTTACACATGTTTCAAATTAAGGGTTCAGATAATTAAAAATTATATGGAGCGAGATAGAGATGATTTGAAACAAATATATTCTAAAAGAATCGAATTAAATGAAAGGAAAATTTAACTTTTCATTTTTATTCTTTAAAATCTACATAGCTATACTTGACCTGAAAGTTTATAATTTAGTTTCATGGTCAATTTTTTCAATAATAATTGATGATGCTCCACCTCCACCATTACAAATAGCAGCACAACCAACTTTACCACCTTCTTGACTCAACACTGACAATAAGGTAATTACAACTCTGGCACCCGAGCATCCTAATGGATGTCCCAATGCGACAGCTCCACCATATACATTAACTTTTTCTTCAGGAATACCCAAAAGTTTAGTATTGGCAACCCCAACAACTGAAAATGCTTCGTTAAATTCAAAGAAATCAACATTATCTTGTGAAATCTTAGCGTGTTTCAAAGCTTTTGGTACAGCTAAAACTGGGGCAATTGTAAAGTCAATTGGTTCTCTTGCAGCTTCACCCCAACCAACAATTTTAGCTAATGGTTTCAAACCTAATTCTTTCAATTTAGATTCCGACACTAAAACTAATGCGGCAGCACCATCATTTAAATTTGAGGCGTTTGAAGCAGTTACTGTACCATTTTCCTTTTGGAAAACAGTTCTAGCTGATCTAACTTTACCTTCATTAAAATTTTTGATTTCTTCATCCTGATTAATTGTAACATCCGGTTTACCTCTAGTACCTTTCACGGTGATTGGACTGATTTCGTTATCAAATTTACCCTTTGATGCCGCTTCACCAGCTTTTTTATAAGAATTGATAGCAAATTCATCTTGTTGATCTCTTGATATTGATTGATCGCTAGCACATTTTTCGGCTGCAACACCCATTAATTTCGAACTATAAACATCTAATAAACCATCTTTTTGTATACCATCAACCACAGTAGCATCACCGTATCTTGCACCCGATCTACCTGATGGTAAATAATATGGAGTATTTGACATGGATTCTGCACCACCAACAACAACAATATCACTGGTCCCACAAATAATATTTTGAGCTCCAATGATTGTAGCTTTCATACCTGAAGCACAAACTTTATTAATAGTAGTGGCAACGGTTTTATCACTTAAACCTGCTTTCAATGCAACTTGTCTTGCAGGGGCTTGACCAACATTTGCTTGTAAAACACCACCAAAAACAATTTCTTCTACTTCTTCTGGTTTAATTTGTGGAACTTTTGTTAAAGCTGATCTTACAGCATGAGCTCCTAAATCTGAATAACTTAATGATGATAAAGCACCTTGGAATGAGCCGATTGGAGTACGGGCAGTCGCTACAATATAAACTGGAGATACTGCCATTTTTGATGTTTCTAGTTTAGTAATGAACGTTGAAGTTTCGTTGACTAGATTTGTTGAATTTCGAATAAAAAGAAAGTTAAAAGTTAATGATATTTTCAAACAGTCGAATTTTAAATTTTCATGGCATAAATATATATTCTCGTTTAAGAATAATTAATTCTTATACGAGATTATTCACTTTCAATAAACCCATTAGATTATTCATTTAAAAATTTCCACTTAAGGTTGAATTGACTTGATGTAGCTCTTATTATACTGTACAAAGGGGCTTTTGTAGTACAATAAATGACTAACTAGTAGTTGTTTTCATTAACCTGTCTTTACCCCAAGGTTGAGAATCTCTAGGCAAGCTACCAAAATGTAATAAAAATTAGAACAACTTTATTTATGCTGAGTAGATTGTTAAATTCCATCAAGCACCTTCAAATAAAATTCTTTCACTTGAATCAATGTTTAGATCACTTCGACCTCAATTAAGCTTGAGCTCTGCTTTAATACGGCCTTCTATTACAAGTTCATTTCGTACTACAAGCCGGCAATTCAAGTCATCAACTATACAACTCAAGTTGTTTGGGAAAAGCAAACATGAATCTAAACCTATTGTAAATAACCATATAAATTCAGTTACTCAACCAGACGCAAATTCCACCACAATCGAACAACCAACGAGTGCCAGAGATGATACACAACAAAAGGGAGTCACCGAACAAGATTTCAAGACTCATCCAATATTGAAAAGAGTTCCCAAATTTCTTCGAAATTATGCTTCCAAATTTGTCAATGCTCCATTCTCACATTTAATAGCATTCATAGTGTTACATGAAATGACAGCTATAGTTCCGTTATTTGGAATATGGTATTATTTACATCAACATCCGGGATATATACCATTAGATTTACCACAATGGGCTATAAGTAAAGGAGCAAAGGTAATGGATTCAATGATGGGTAAAATTGATTGGAATCTAAATACTGCTGATAAATTCAGTGTTATTGTTGAAGGTGCATATGCATTCACAATTGTTAAATTTTTATTACCTATTAGAATAGTTATAAGTTTATACTTCATGCCATGGTTTGCAAGATGGTTTGTTTTACCAATTACAAACTTGTTTAAAAACATGAGAGAAATAAGAAAAACTAAAAAGCTACAAAAGAAAAGTAAAGGATTGAATGAGTCGGAGTTGAAGAAAATAGATAAGCCAAGATTATAACGAATTTTATCTTGTATATGTTTTTTAATACTGTGTAGAAATATTCTCTGAGTTGATTAACGTATCGGGAATTTTACTCTATTTGAAACACCACATATTTTGTATTGACAAAAATATTAATTCACTGCAACCAAAACAAGATCTACACTTAATGTCAAAAGATACATCAAGGATAGTCAACAATGCGTTAAATGTATTATCCAAACTAGTCGAATCTGATACCAATATATCAACAGTTGACTTAAATCTACTAGAAAATTTAAACACAAATCAAGCGTTAAATTATATAAAATTAGAGAATGACATGATTGAATTGGAGTCAAACGGCAAACAATTGGAAAATTTTAGTATGTATTGAATGATACGGGTACTGCAAATTATGCTTTATACTAACTAGATCAAGAGAATGAAATAGATCATCATTCGAAAGTCTTATTGGAAATTGAAGAAAATGTAAGTAAATTAGAGAACATCATCAATGAATTGGACTTGTGGTCTCTTGAATTAGAATCAGCCGCAAAGAAGTGAATGGAAAATTAACTTCGAGACAGACAATAGTACTCGAAAAAGATGTATATTCGTTGATGTAAAGGAATTATTGTGCCATCTAGCAAAATGTGGAATCTATCATTTCAGATTAATGCGGAGTTACATGAAACCATGTCAAGATACACATAAGTCATTAAATTATAAACAAGATGTCATTATCGTACCTAATCATCTTCCGCTATATAATTTATACATAGGATCAGTCTTGTAAGTTTGAATATTTGACCATTTTTTATTTGGGTTTGCATTCAATTTTGCAACATAATCAACCGGTTTTGGTTTATCCACCAAGTCTGTCATACTGACTCGAACTTTTGATTCTGGAGTTATTATTTCATACAAACCCGGCAATTTATCCGCAGCTTTTCTTAAAGCTTCTCTTGCTACTTTATCATGTATAGTTCCATCAATTTCGAATAATACTTTTCCTGTTGGCATTCTAGTGGCCCAATGATCAAATGGTCCTTTACCTTTACCCATTCTGGTTTGATTTCCTTTTATACAAACAGCTAAATCACATACAAATCTAGTAAACAATTTCGATTTCGTTGGTCTTAGCTCTCTTCTCAACACTTTATCAGCTGCTAATAATTGGTTGGCACTCATCCTCAATCCACACGATTTTAAACGTAATCCAATTTTACCAAACTCTAGTGTGTTACCTTTTATTGATCCACCGGTTCTTACTGAAACCCTTCCTTTTTGAGTTTTTTCCACTTCTCTAAATCTTGGAGCGTATTCATGTTTAAAACGATTAAATATTAGCTGTAGACTATTTTTGGATCTCGCTATGTTGTTGAACATTTTATACTTTATTGTTGACTTGATCTTAGTTTTCACACTTCACTTGACAAATTTTCATAATTTTTTAACATTTCAAATGGTAGTGTAATCACTTTTTAAAGCCGCAAATTTTCCGAATTCGTGTGCTCTGATCCCAAAATATGATTGCAAAATGGAAAGATGGAAAGCTAATGTACGACTAATTCTACATATATCCAGAATGAATTGATAATCTTTATTACAATTTCTGTATTAGACTCTAGCCCAAAACTATTTCCCTATATAATTAATTAAATTTTATGCAATTGTTTTATCATAACAGCGTTTCGTAAATATATTTTAATTCCCATCCTTAGACCACAGGAATCATACATGTTCTTGTTCAGCTTTATGGTACCCTGCGTAACCTGTTGAAGTAGCCATTTCTTCTTCTGATGGTGGAACCCATTCTGATGATTTCCAAGCTGGGATACCACTCTGATATAATTCATCAACTTCTTCCAAATTAAGGCCCTTTGTTTCATAAAGCATGAAATAAACAAAGAAAATTGAAAACAATAAACAGCCAAAAAATACAAATCCATAATAGAAATGAATTGCATCTGTGATGAATGAAGTAAAGAATGAGATAAGGAAACCAAAAATCCAATTTGCAGCACTAGCGACACCCATTGCTTTTGATCTTACCTTCAATGGATAAATTTCTGAAATAATTGAATAAACACCACCTGCCCAAGTTGAAGCAAAGAAAAAGATAAACAAACATGTTATAAAAATCAATGCTTTACCATCAGCATGTCTGGTTGGACCATCTGGACCATCGATATACAAATGTTGAGAACCAACTAATGAATAAATTAAGAAACAAACAGACATAGCACATGAACCTAATAATAAACATGATCTTCTTCCTAATTTATCAATCAAATAAATACCCAAGAAAGTTGATGCAAAGTTGATAACACCAATAATAATTGAAGTTTGAAAAGAATCATTCAATCCAATAGCTTTGAAAATTGTAGTACTATAGTAGAAGAAATAATTGTTACCTGTCAATTGTTGTAAAGCTTGACACATAGCACCTACTAGAACCCTTTCAAAAATTCTTGGTTTTCCTGTGATTAAAGTCATCCATCCTGCTTTACCTGCCATTCTTTCTCTATCTACACCTGCTTGAAGCAATCTTACCTCTTTTAATAATGCTGGATCATCTTCTGAAACTTTATTGGTCTTAGCCATTGATGCTTTAGCATCTTCAATCCTATCTTTACCAATAAGATATCTTGGTGATTCTGGCATTCTTACCATACCACCAACTAATAATAAAGCCCAAGCAAAACATAAACCTAATGGTATTCTCCATTGTCTAGAATCTGAGTAAGTTTTAGTACCATAAGTTGTACAGTATCCTAAGAATATACCCATGGTAATCATGAGTTGAAAACAACAAACTAAAGTACCTCTTAAATGTCTTGGGGATACTTCTGAAATAAACATCGGACATACAACTGATAATGTACCAACACCTAAACCAGTGATAATTCTACCAATCATAATTTGATACCATGCTTCTTGTGAAGAAATTTGTACAATAACACCAACAACATAAATGATCATGGCCAACATTATAGCTAATCTTCTACCTTTCAAATCAGCAGCTTTTGATACAAATAAAGCACCTATAGCACAACCTGCATTGAATAAACCGATAATACAACCTGTTCTAACATTTGAAAAGTAATGTCCTCCCGAACTATCAGATTGACCAAACCTTCTTTGAAAATCGGTCATATTTACAAAACCTGAGATAGTACCGGTATCGAATCCAAAGACAAACCCACCAAATGCAATCAAAATACACATAGTAATGATTCCTGCGTATGCAGACAATGGCTTGTTATTTAATTCATCCGCGGAATGATCTGCCTCGTCTTCTATTTTATCTTCTTGCTCAACATCGTCTGATTGTGGTTGTTCTTCGTCGCGATTATATTTTTCTGTTAGTGAATGAGATGGATCTTCGATAGTATTTGAGGAGGCTTGTGACATGTTTCAAGTTGAAAGCTTAAATATAGTACAGGAATTTTGTGAAAATCTTAAAAATTTAAATACATCTTTTAATAAGGAATAACTTTTATTTATATATCGTTTAAATCTAAGTCTTTATGACTTATAAATTGCATGCAAAGTCATTTCATCATTTTTTGTATTAAATTAGCAATAATAAGTATGTTTGTGTATCGAAAACAATTGTTGCAAAATTAAACTAAAACGAAAAAAAAAAAAAAAAAGAAAAAAGAAATCAACTTTTGATAGAATAATAGTGAAATTAAGACACTTTTTTCTTTTTCATCTCTTTCACCATTTTAGGTTCCTGTACATCACTACTGACTTGTTGAGTAATAATGGTAAGTAAATGCGTAATAGCCTAAGAAAAATTCGAAAATGACTTGGATAATATTATTTAAAAATTGTTATCAAAAATTATTATGTCATACCACTCCTCAAAATTTTTCCGAACTCTTTTTATAGCTATTTCGATTTGTAGTTTTTTGTTCTTTGTTGGATCCGTCAGAAAAGTTCGGATGTTAATAATCTCGTACTGCTAGTTTATCTGTTAGCTCAGTTGGCCCAGTTTTGAATATTGTTTGAATGGTGTTGATTAGCCTCACAGTGGAAAGCAATTTATTTTATCAGAAATCTAGATCTTTTCTCAGATCTCGGAAAGGCAGTATCTTTTCAGATCTCAAAAAAGTAAAGTTTAATTTACGAATAGCCTAATACGAAAATTATAAACATAAGTACACTATAGAAATCATGCTACTATTTTATCCGATACTTATACTTGTTTGTTGTAAAATGTGAAAAAGTTCATATACACTCAGTGTATTTTATAAAAAATACTATTACTCTATATTCAATTATTACTATTATTTTATTAAAGTCATTTTATATTTATATCATAAAATCGTTAAATTCATACTTCATTATCTATACATTTACATGTTCCTCCTCAGGCTTAGCATATCCCGCATAACCAGTGGAAGTAACCATTTCCTCTTCGGATGGAGGTTTCCAACTACCCGATTTCAAAGCAGGAACTCCACTAGCATATAATTCATCGACTTCTTCTAACGACAAACCTTTTGTTTCGTAGACCATAAAGTAAACAAAGAAAGCTGAAAAAACTAAACATCCCATGAATACAAAACCATAGTAGAAATGAATTGAGTCAGTAATGAATGAAGTGAAAAATGAAATAAGAAATCCCCAAATCCAATTTGAAGCATTTGCGACACCCATTGCTTTTGATCTAACTTTCAATGGGTAAATTTCTGAAATAATTGAATATACACCTCCTGCCCAAGTTGAAGCGAAGAAAAAAATGTAAAGTGAAGTAATGAATATCATAGCGTCTCCATCTGGATGTCTGGTAGGACCATTTGGGCCATTAATGTACAAGTGTTGAGAACCTACCAATGAATAAACCAAGAAACATAAGGACATTGCAACTGAACCAATCAACAAGCATGTTCTTCTACCTAATTTTTCAATTGCATAAATACCAACAAATGTGGATGCAAAATTGATGACTCCGATGACAATAGAAGTTTCAAATGAATCGTCTAAACCAACAGCCTTGAAAATTGTTGTACTGTAGTAAAAAAAATAGTTATCACCTGTCAATTGTTGTAAAGCTTGTAACATAGCTCCAACTAGAACTCTTTCAAAAATTCTTGGTTTACCTGTTATTAATGTTCCCCATCCAGCTTTTCCAGCTAATCTTTCTCTCTCAACACCTGCTTGTATTAATTGCAATTCACTGTACAAGGCAGGATCTTCTGGTGAGACTTTATTGACTCTAGATAACGCCACCTTTGCATCATCAATTTTATCCTTACCAATAAGATATCTTGGTGATTCTGGCATTCTTACCATACCTCCAACTAATAATAAAGCCCAAGCAAAACATAAACCTAAAGGTATTCTCCATTGCCTAGAATCTGAGTATGTTTTAGTACCGTATGTAGTACAATATCCTAAAAATATACCCAAAGTGATCATAAGCTGAAAGCAGCATACCAACGTACCTCTCAAATGTCTTGGGGAAACTTCTGAAATAAACATTGGACACAAAACTGATAAACAACCGACTGAAACACCAGTTATAATTCTGCCAACCATAACCTGGTACCATTTATGATTTGATGAGATTTGAACGATGATTCCAACAATATAAAGAACCATTGAAGTCATTATACCTACTCTTCTTCCATACAAATCACCAACCTTAGATAAAAATAATGCACCTAAAGCACAACCAGCATTGAATAAACCAATCATACATCCAGTTCTAACGTTGGAAAAATAATATTCACCTTGATCATTTAATTGACCAAATCTTCTCTGAAAATCAGTCATATTCACAAAACCTGAGATTGTACCAGTATCAAATCCAAAAACGAATCCTCCAAACGCTATCAAAATACACATAATTATTATTCCTGTGTAAGCACTTAATGGTTTATTCTTTAACCTTGAGGCAAGATCATGTTCTCCATTGTTATCACCTTGTATTGGTTTCTCCTCCTCGTATTTGGCTTGAATTTCATTCACATCATTTCCAGCAGTTGAAGCAGTTGAATGTTCCTCTGACATTTTTAATTTATTAAAAATTTGCTTTGTCTGTAAGATCTAAGACAGTAAGAATTAGTGATTAATTGAAATTTTCTTGACTATATAGGACAAGAAAAACCCTGAGCATAAATTATAAAACAATATGGAATTGTTTGTGATATTTATACTTAATTTTATTAGGTAAAACCTAAAGAAAATTTTTTAAGATCATGTTATTCACAACAATAACCCCCCAAATAATTACTCCAAATAGTCTCCAATATTCTCCAAACTCTCCAAATTATTGTTAATTAATTTTTTGTTACATGACTTTTTTATTGTTTTCGATTTTAAGTTGGTTTGAAGCACGCTAATAATTAACTTCCGATAAAAAATCTGTCGGTTACAAAATAAATTTCGCGAACACAAAAAGACTTTGAAGTCACAATTAAGCTCATAAAATTTTGTTTAAGAAGAAGAGGGCATGATGAATACTCTGAAAATAGAATTAGAGTTTAACAAAAAGAGTTTTGTCATCAATCGTAAAGTTTTATCAAGATTGACTTGTATATTAATTCATATGGGCTTCGTTATTTGGAAATAGGATGATTGAATGTTGTAGATAATACACAAACTCTAAATAGTTATTCCGAGCGTAGTTGAAAGACGTTTGAAAAATTTTTCCGAAGTTTTTTTTGTGTAACCAACTTCATAATCATACAAAAATTCATCTTAAATTCTCAAATCGCATGGATGAAACAAAAAACAATGACTAAGTGTTATGATATACCAGTAAAAGCTTAGTGGGCTTTGAAAGCATGTAACAAGTCATAAGTCTTACTCAGTTTACTAGAGAACCATCAAATTGAAGGCGTTGCGTGTTAAAATTCAAAATTCATATCAAAAGTTTTTCCGAGAAACCCAAAAACTGGTTACAAAACCATCAACATTAGACTACACGTTAATTAAAACATCATCATATTTCTTAAAATTTAAATTACAAATACGAAATTAATTGTGAGATCTTGAACAATTAGTTGTCTTTTTTCCAATTATAGAAACTTCCACAAAATGGTATGCTCGTTTAATTAAGTACTGCGATTTGAGTTCCAATTTAAGTTCCCATCATTCTCGGACTATACTGATTAGCTCAAAGTTAGGATTGTTGAGATCCGCAAACAGTTTTGAGCCTACATTTATAATTCATAGATCAGCAGTTTTACGGAGTAGGATTATGATGCCCTTTCATAACTTGTGGAAAAGTTGGAGTTGGCGCTATCAGATTGCAACGGACCATGAGGAAGTTCATCATAAATGATCATTTTAAAGCAAATCTCGAAACACGGCTATAAAATTTTTATATCGCACATCATAGAGCGATCAAAAATCCAGTATCTAGGTAAATCCGAATTCTAATTTTTGGTAGCGATAAAAACAGTGTCAAGAATCTTAGTTTCATGACTCCAATTGCGACTGGAAAATTGAAAATACTGTGTAAGATTTGATACCTTAATATTATATCGGTTCGAGACACCAATTCAAATTCAATACCTTGGTGGAAGCACTAATTACTAGATATTAAACAGGTCAATACTATCATTGATGTCAAAAACAATTGAGAAGCTTTGTGATTCAAGTTAATGGAAAGTATAAAAAATTGAGTTCAATTTATGAAAATTTGAATTGTTGAAGACGATTCGAAACTATTGCAAGTAGATCTGTTACATCGTTAAGTCTATCAAATAAATCACACTTTACATACTACATTTAAACTAGAAAAAGCTATTTCAAAGACTGATAAATGGCTATCTCCGAGGATTCTTTACCATATGGAGATGGTTCAACAAAAATATTTGGAATGGAAAATTTTGGAAACACATGCTATTGTAACTCAATTTTGCAATGTCTTTATTACACAGATACGTTTAGAAAGAAATTGATTCAACATAATCAGACTAAGCATGAACCCAAGTTGGACGTAAAAGGTATTAGATATCATGGTTTTACCGCTAAATATGATCAGTTATTGCAGAAAAAATTAAAAGATCAAGGTGGAGCTACTACTTCAAATAGTGATGAAAGGCCAAAAAGTAGTCGTAAAAGCTCTTTGTTTGGGATTAAGTTTAACAATCAAACGAATGTATCGACAACCGTATCTGAAATGAAAAATCAATACATTACCGAAGCAGGTAATTGTGATTCACTATCCTTGGAACAAAGAATATTAATAAGCAAAAGCCCTGAATTTTCAAAATTGGAAATGATGATTACAAAACCGAGTATGAATCCAGTTTCCAAATCCACAAACAACGGAAATATTTCAATTACGAATAATAATAATAGTGTCAATACAACAGACCATTCACAGAGTTCTTCAATGCTTTTAAATGATCAACCTCTACAAACAATACAAGAAGGATCAGTCAACACCAAATCAAGTGCAATAATTGTGGGTATACCTAAACCAGAAACAAATTTAGTCACACCAATCAATCCTTTCAATAACAACCCAAGTTCCGATCAAAGAAAACGATCAGCATTAATTAACGGTCCCATTATAAACTTAGATACGGCGTTGCAATTACCTAGTGAGCAGACTGAAGATACTTGTTTATTATACGCACTTAGGGATCTTTTTGAAACCATGATAGAAAACAAATCAACAATAGGAGTAGTATCTCCTAATTATTTCATAACTACTTTGAAGGAAAAAAACTATTTATTTCGACAAAATAATATGCATCATGATGCTCATGAGTTTTTTAATTACTTAACTAATGAAATCATTGAAAGCTTGAACAAGGAATTAGGTGAGGGACAAAATTGGTGTAATGACATTTTTCAAGGTTTAATAACTAATGAAACTAAATGTTTATCATGTGAAACAGTAACTTCTAAGCATGAAAATTTTTTGGACTTGTCCATTGATGTTCCACCTGGTGAGGGCTCGTACTCGTTAAATTTTGCTATAAACAATTTTTCAAAGTCTGAAACATTAACAAATCAAAACAAATTCCATTGTAACACCTGCTCATCATTGCAAGAGGCAGTAAAAAACATTAAAGTTAAAAAATTACCAGAAGTTTTAGTGATCAATTTAAAAAGGTTTAAATACGATGAACAAATTGATAAGATGGTTAAATTATTTGATTCAATAAGTTATCCATTCAAATTACGATTGTTTAATACCACAGATGATTTTAATCGAAATGTTTTATATGACTTATATGCACTAGTCATTCATATTGGTGGAGGTCCAATGCATGGTCATTACGTGTCTATTTGTAAAATCAAAGCAGGACTTTGGTTATTATTTGATGACGAGACTGTTGAATTAGTTGAAGACAACTATGTGATGAGGTTTTTTGGCAATGGTCCTGGATTAGCTAGCTCCTATATTTTGTTCTATCAAAAAATTGAATTCGATGAGAAATGTGAATATTTTGGTTTCGACCCTTCAAGTATTTATAGAGGAGATGATTACACATTAACTGCAAAAGAAGAACTCAAAGCTCCTGCAGCGGCAGAATCAGAAACCAAATCTGAAATGTCATCCATCAATTCATTCAATCCATTAGATACACCTTCAGCTGGAACTCAACTAAATGTACCACAACCTCCAAAGAAACCGCCATTAACAACTGGTGGAATGTTCAGATCTTTTAAATTTGAGAAAAATAATAATACCGAAGATAAACCACAACATTCATTATCCAGAAGCAGTAGTAATGGTACAATACCCAAGAAGGAAGTGGAACAACCTACAAAAGAGAAAAAATCATGGGTTGGTTCATTGAAAAGAACAGGACTAGAAAGAAAACTTTCATCCAAAACTACAGCTGGAACATCATATAACGATTTGAACGGAAATACCCCAAATTCTTCAGTTAATGACAGTTCCTCACCATCAATGCCTCCTCAACAACCTCCACCACCTTTAGAGAAAAGGAAAAGTTTATTTGGTTTCAAAAAGAAAAATTAGATGTCTTTTGTAAATGTAAGTGATTTCAATACATATTTTCGAATCACTATATCTTTTGTATTCGATCCAACTATTATTGATATAGTTTCTCTTTAAAATAAAATCCTTCTTAATTCTACAAATTTATCCGTCACCCGATATAAAGCCACAAATTTGAAACATGAGTAGTGCGCTTCGGATAAAAGTATAGCAATACTATTAAATAAAAGACGCTTCTATCCTACACAACTTCATTCCAAGGTAGTTAAGCAAACTCACTACTTATATATTTAAATTTAAATCATTTAATTTTCATTTTCAAACAATTCAGAAGAATTCAGTAATCATGTCAACCAGATCGATTGTACTTGGAGGTGGTTGTTTTTGGGGTTTGGATCATATATTCCGTAAACAACTAACAGGTAAAGGTTTAATTAATATAGCAGTCGGATATGCAAATGGTGATCCATCAGTTAAAAATGTAACTTACGAAAAAGTATGCAGTGGGAAGACTAATTTTGTTGAAGTTGCCAAACTAGAATATGATTCAAAAAAATTACCAACTTCAGAAATTTTAGATTTATTTTTCAAAATTCATGACCCTACAACAGTAAATTCACAAGGTCCTGATGTTGGAACTCAATACAAATCAGCTATTTTCACAACTGACGATGAGCAATTGAAGTTAGCTAAGGAAATTAAAGAAAAATTTCAGAAGGAATGGTATCCTAATCAAAAAATTGCCACCATTATTGAACCATTGAGAATATTTGTTGATGCTGAAGAATATCATCAAAATTATTTGAATAAAAACAAAGGAGGATATGAATGCCCTACTCATTTCATTAGGACAAAACCTAAGGTTTGAAATGTCTGCCCTTAATTAGATTTTGTCAATACAACTTATTAAAGTATTTTATGGTTAGTGTAGGTTGTAATGAACGAAACCTATGGTGAATAAGCACATTTGATTTTGCACAGTCTCCTTATTATATCATTTCTTCCTCTGTTCTCTTTAAAAGTCTGAATAAATCACATTAATTTTTGTTGCAAAAACGGTTGATACAAATATGCGACGCGTAATATTTTGAAAAACCATTTTTTCAAAATTGATAGATCAATTACAAAACAGATCTTCTACTCAATCTACAAGCACCACATAGTCACAATGTCTTTATGGGTAGATAAATATAGAGCCAAAACATTATCTCAATTATCCTATCATGAAAATGTTACCCAAAATTTAAAAGCGTTATCCAAATCAGGAGACTTTCCACATTTATTAGTTTATGGACCTAGTGGATCTGGTAAAAAGACTAGAATATATTGTACATTACAAGAAATTTTTGGAACTTCTGTTGAAAAATTGAAAATTGATGTTAAAAACTTTGTGACTTCATCAAATCGTAAATTAGAATTCAATGTTTTAAGTTCACCTCATCATTTGGAAATTACTCCTTCAGATATGGGAAATAATGATAGAGTAGTAATACAAGATTTATTGAAAGATGTTGCATCTACTGAACAAGTTGATTTTGGAAATCAAAGTAGCAGAAGACATAGATTTAAAGTTGTTATTATCAATGAAGCGGATTCATTAAGTAGAGATGCTCAAGCTGCATTAAGAAGAACCATGGAAAAATATTCATCAAATATTAGATTAATTTTAGTTTGTAATTCAATTTCAAATATTATTGCTCCTATCAAGTCAAGAACTTTATTAGTTAGAATTCCTAGTCCAACAGTCAATGATATAAGCTCAATTTTAAATCAAATTTCAAACAGGGAACAAGTCAAATTTTCATCTTCATCACAACAAGATATAAATCAATTTTATAATCAGATTGCAACCGTAAGTAATAGAAATTTAAGAAGATCCCTTTTAGCATTTGAAACAATATATATGCAAAATGAAACAATTGACGTAAAGAAAATTCACAATGTCATTGTGTTGGATTGGGAAACTATAATAAACAATATGGCCAAAACCATTATAAGTAATAGAAACGTTCCAACACTAGCAAAATTAAGAAGTACTAATTATGAATTATTATCTCATTGTATACCAGCTAAAATAATTTTGAAAACTTTATTATTTGAATTAATTAAATTATGCAAAAGTAATGTTAATTTGATTCAAGAAATTGTTAAAATTGCATCACTTTTTGATGAAAGGTTGTCTTTAGGGCAAAAGAGTATTTTTCATTTAGAAGGATTTATTGCCAAAAGTATGGTTGCAATAGATCAATTTATATAAATTTGATTTAAAATGATACGAAAATTTTTATATACTAATGAAATGACAAAACACTATTAACTTTATATTTAAATCTGTATTTTATTATCTCCCCCGCTTTTACCATCTTGATGATGATGTTTTTTACTTTTAGAATCGACAATGTCATCATAAGCAGGTAAATCACCCGCATTTAATAATGGAGCATTAGAATCATCATGGTCACCAACGGGAACATTATCTCTATAAGGTTTTTGTTTAGCTTGTTTATTTGATGAAGTTTGATTATGAACAATGCCTTGAACTTGTTCAGCTTCCTGACGGTGATGATGATTATGGTGTCTATCTCCCCCAACATTCCTGTCATGGTCATTCCCTCCTAATCTATGTTCCTCATCATCTCTTATGGTCGTATAACCATCAACTTCACCTCTTCTTTCTGGGAAATAAACACATAAAAGATAATATAAACTAAAAATTAATCCTGGTAAATGACCTAATAAAGTCAATAATAATCCAACTAAAAACTCTTTATTAAAAATTGATCTTTTTGCAAAACATATAGCTAATGGTGGTATGAATATAGCAAGTAATACTAATACAAATTGCTCTTGATTTGAAGGAGTCGTTACAGCTTGAATTGCCATTATTGTTTAGTTGTTGTAAATTGATCTAGTTATTTGTTGAAATTTTATAAACACTTATATATACAAATGGTTATCTCAAATATATTACTGATTTTGTCAATAATAAATGACTTGAATTCCGCTTCTATAGAATTTGTAGAATAAAGTGGTAAATATAATTTATATAGGGGGGTGGATTTTAATTTTACTTTTAGAAAATTTATTATGGAATTATTTTTTCAGGATTTAACACGGCTTTAAATATTTCAATTTACTTTAGTGATTGAATCATCAAATGAGTTAAAGATAGACAGTGTTTGAGATTTTTAAACACATATAATTTCTCATATATTGTTTCTATGAAGTTAAAATAGCCAAGTATTAGATAAAAATTTAGATTAATTGTAGTTGAACTATTGTTGTGGAAAGAACGCTTGGATCTCTTGATCATCATTAAACAACAATATTAAAGTAGAATGAATGCTTGTACATGAACTATAAAGACAAACTTCTTACTCATTTGAATACAGAGTAACCCAGATGAAACTAGAAGAAATTTAGAGAGGTGTTCCAGCAACTTGTAAGGTAGTAAATATTTGAACAAAGTGCCTATTATGACTGGAAATTTGACATTACTTAAGCCGCACAAGCTTCCAAATTTTCTTGTGTAATATTTTTGAACGTCTCCAGATATCAACAACCAAATTGAAGATAGATAGAAGATAGATTAAACATATAAACTCTTTGAGTAAAGAAAGCAGAGAATAACATGGACTATATAAAGAAACAAATATGGGGGCCAGATCCTAAAGAACAGGTATGTAAGTACAACGTAATGAGCACCATATTCTGAAATAGTACTAACCTTATTAGATGAGGAAGATCAATCAATTACTTAGGAAGAACAAAAGAGAGCTAGATAGATCAATCACTCAATTACAACCATTGAAGAAAAAAACAGAAGGATTGATTAGAAAATCAGCAAAAGAAAAAGATTACAAATCAGCAAAATTATATGCAAAGGAGTTGATAAATATCAATAGACAATATAATAAGTTATATACATCAAGAACAAGAATAGATAGCATCACAATGTCAATCAATGAACAATATTCTATGAATAAATTAACAAAATCCATCCACGCATCTACTTCAATAATGAAAGATGTCAATCAATTAATACACATAGGAGCTGTTTCTCAAACAATGCAAGAATTATCTAAAGAATTAACTAAAGCTGGTGTCATAAATGAAATGATGGATGATATGGTTGACTTAGAAATAGAAGACGAAGATTTAGAGCTGGAATCTGCTGAACAAGTAGATAAAATAATACAGAGTTTGACGGAAGAGAAATTAAATAAAATTGAAAATGAAGTACCAGTTACGAGTCACTTTGAAGAGCCTGAAGAAGAGGCACAACACGAAGAGAATGAGGAGTTAAACGAGGAAGACGAACTCGCTATTGATGAAATAAAACAAAGATTAAGAGCGCTTCAGTCTTAGAATACAACGTTTAATATTATTTCACTAAAAACTTTAAACCTCAACAATCATAATGTATTTTCCTCAAAGAAAGCACAAGATCCTCAAAGAAAGCACAAGACAGCTAACAATACCGTCCAAAAATATTCCAGTGGGAGTTGAATTGATGAACAATTATTTTCAGATGCACCAAATTCTTTACCATATCCAGAAATAATACCTTCACTCTTGGTTCCATGATGTTTTTGGTATTTCAATGTTACATTATTCATAATTCCATCAGTATCACCATCAAATAATTTGACATAATCAGTTATATTTTCAGCAAACAAATTTCGTGTATTTGGACTAGCTCTTGAGACAATTGCAGAACTAGGAATTCGGTGAACAACACTGCTATCATCTGGAGATTCATTACTTTCAACTCCATCACCGTTTTTGTAACTTTCCAAGGATTTTTTACCATTGGAATGATCAATATCAGTACTATTTGAAATAGACATCATTGAAAAATCTTTTAATTTGTTTTTTAACAACTTTTTGTTAACTTTATGCTCAAGATAAACTCCAGCACTTAATTGCCATTTAGGAATCAATTTTTTCTTTTTTTTAATAAGTGCTATAATCTCATCAGATGTTGAATCATTTGCATTTGAAAGTATATTGGAAATTTTATCTGTAGAATTTGAGCTTAACACTTCGTTTTGATAACTATCGTCTTGTAAAAATTTGATTATCATGTCTTCTGAATTGATTTCGTCCTTTTCAATCTTGAGACTTTTTAAGGAACTTGATGGATTTAAATTTTCACATGTGATATATCGAATTTGAACGAGTAAAGCTAAATAGGTAATCACAACTGACTTTAACATTCCACTTATACTGAATTTAAGATAATTTTTGATTTACGGTGATGTCTCTTTTTTGATCTGGTATAATTATTATTTTGTGCTAATTTTAAACAAAATTTGCAGCCAAATCTTGAGCACAAAAGAGTAAGATCTTACGAGAAACAATATCGGGAATATCAAAAAAGAGTTTGTTCATTAAAATTTAAACCAAATTAGATTATAGCAATGAGTAACCAAACCATTAGCAATAGATCAGTACTCAAGTTAACAGCTTTTGACGCTAGGTCTGCATTCTCATTTACAAAACTAGCATCATCATTTTCGAGCACAGTATCAGTATATTTGAACGTAGTAATGTTTGTAGAATTATCAACCACTTTAACCACTAATTTACTCAAAATATCATCTCCAAATTGAAATTCTTGAATTTCCTCGTCACTTTCTTCTACACCATAATCATCAAGTTTGTCAACATTAACTGAATCAACCAAATCATTAACACTAAATAAACTAAATTTTTTCTTCTTTCTTTTCAATAATTTTTTTTTAAGATCCTCTTCATCATCATCTGAAGATGAACCTGAACTAGAATAATCTTCAGTTTGCTTTTCTTCCTTAACTACTGTTGGTTGTTTAATTGGTTTTACTGGGATAAAAGTAGTTTCTTTAACAGTAGCACCTTTATTCACATCTTTATTCATATACATTCCAGCACCAAGATGCCATTTGGGTCCTTTAGCACTTTTATCTCCTTTAAATCCACCTTTTTTACCAAAAGTGGAACCTTGGGCTAAAAACTCTGGTTCTGCAACTGCTTGATTTGCTTGTTGATTGTGATCCATTATTAATTGTTGATTTTGAAATACTTCATTTCTTTTGGCTGTCTCTAATTTTGTTCGTTGATTTCTATCTTCATTCCAACTTAATACTTGAGTGGTAAATAATGTTGGTTCAGTTTCTTCAACTTCTTTATTTAAACTAAAAGCAATATGAGTATAGAATGCACATATGAGAAGTAGTTGCTTACGCATGATGTTGATGTTTTCAATGGTATTATGGATTTCGAAAATTAGGTGGCTGAAAAAATATATATTAACTTTTTGCAACCATTTTTATGTTATTCGCACTATTAACTGAAACTAACTAAATTTATAAGATACAATATAAACCAAATATACACAATTGTTTGAAACCTTTGCTCTCTTGATCGAAAGCCATTTTGGTGAAATTCTGAGAGGTTATACTTGCAGAGAATGTTTTGTGTCTTGTTTCAAAATTGGTTGTTCTCTTTTCTTTATCGTTTTCTTTATCATTTTCTGAATCATTTTCTGAATCAGAATCAGGTTCATCATCTTCCGGAACATTATCAACTATCTCATTTTCTAACTCTCTAAATTTAGCTTCCTGCTCCTTAAATTTCTGCTTCTGTTTCAAATACTCGGCTTTTTCTTTCATATAATCACTTCTCCAATAATATTTATCCTTAGCAAATTTCTTTCCACCATCGTAAAATTTAGTTGACTTAAGTTTTGAATATTTTTTATTTAAAAATCTACCTCTTTTGTCATGATTTGAAACTAAATTTGATTCCTTATCTGATGAACTTTCAAAATCTTCATTTGTCAGTATTTCGTCTTTTCTGAGCCAAGTTGCATGACTTCCATTTCCTTGTTTCGCAAATTCATTTCTTTGATCCATTAATAAATTAGGAAAATTTGGACTAACTTTAGTAACTAACAATTGATCAGGTATAATCGAGACTCTATTTTCTTTCATTAACTCTGTAGAATTTATATTCAAAAACCAAAATTTACCCCCATTTTTTCGTTTAAGTTTTTTGTCATATTCGTCATCATCACTTGAACTATCACTTTCACTCCATGTCCAATCACTTAAACTATCGTCCGAAATATCATCACTTGAAGAATCAAACATCCAATATGGAAACTTTGGCTTTCCACGAGTAGGAATTGAAGGTCTTTTCGGTTTAGGTTTTGGTTTAGGTCTTGGTGTCAGTTTTGCCTTAGTTTTTGAATTAGTCTTTTTCCTTGAGTTAACCGGACTTTCTTCTTCTACTTCATCTTCCTCGACAATTGCTTCTTCAGCAGGATTAATAACAGTTACTGGAGTAGTTATGAACTTCACATTCTTATCACAATCTTCTTCTTTTTCTTGTTCTTGTTTCTTATCTGCAAAAATCCCCGCAGTAAATGTCCATTTCGGCATCTTCTTCTTCTTGTTTTTCTTCACCTGAGCTGTAAAAATTACATCCTCAAAATCATTATTTCTAGAACTATTTTTCAGAATCGTGGAATGATTGTACTTTGGAGTCTCAGAATTTGTAGTCAATGATGATTTTGTATCATTTTTAATCTCCAACCTGTTTTTAAGTTTCCAATCAATTAATTGTTGCACTTGGGTATAAAAAGTATCTTCTTCAATAGTTGAGACAGTAGTAATGAGTAGTAGAATTGATAAAATAAAAGCTTTTAATTTTGCCATTGAATATTATCTATATAGTGCAATTAAATTTGTGTCAAATTCTATGTTATGTTTTGTATGTTAAGTGGTTTTTTTTTTTTTTTTTTATTGCAACAACCAACTTTTTTAATCTTGATCATACTTCAAACCATTTTCTTCTCTGATCTGATCCATTAAACCCATTACCAACAAAGATTCATCATGTGGCATGATTTCATTCTCTAATTTACCAGCTTTAATGTCATTCCCTACTGCATTGGCTTCATAAATAAAGCCATTATACCCTGAATCATCTTTATATTCAAAAATTTCTTTTCCACTTTTATCAAAGATTTTAAAATGTTTAGCTCTAGCTGGATTATCACTATACATTTCGACCCATCCTTTTGTACCTTCAAGTCTAACATATGCTTTTGGACCATCTACCAATTCCGATGAAGTCAATAAGGCTTGCCTACCATTTTCATATTTTATAATAATTGAACATAAATGATCAACCAAATCATCCTTATCAATGGTAAGAAAACTCTTCTGTTCAAATTTTGAAGCTTTTGAGCCAACTTTATCATCCAATAATATTCTACTATACGTTATAGGGTAAATACCAATATCTAATAATGATCCAGCTGCTAATTTCCTATCTCTAACTCTAGATGTAACTGGTAAAGACTTAACGTCACATTGATAACTTAAGTCTGCGAATAATCTATGAACGTCTCCAATAACATGTTCTTTGTATACTTTAGTTTTCAAGATTTCAATTGTTGGGAAAAATCTAGTCCAAACCGCTTCCATACAAAATTTGTTGTTCTTCTTAGCTGCTTCGAATATTTCTTCCGCCTCTTTCTTATTAACTGTTATTGGTTTTTCAACAAGTACATGTTTACCATTATTTAAACAATTGATGGCTTGTTCTTTATGAAAGGTATGAGGTGTTCCAATATATACAACATCAATATCCGGATTTTTGTAAATTTCCTCATATGTTTGAGTTGTAGGGGAAGTTAGATAATTATTTGCTAGGACAATGTTGTTGGATTTGATAAATTCTTCACCTTTTTCTTTTGATGAACACCCAATTGATTCGATAATATGATGATACCCAGTAGCTCTTTCATTATTTAGTAACAAATCAAACACAAATTGTGAAGATATATTTCCTGCCCCTAGTATGGCCCAATTGAGTGTAAATGTCATGTTAGACTGTGGTTGATGCAAATAAAGAAGTTGTAAGTTGGGTTTTGATTATAATTGGAAATATTTATAGAAATTTCGTATCATGTAGAACAGCTAAAATTTAAAAATGTAACGAAGTTACTTCGAGAGATTAAGACTAAATACGTCATTCTGAAAAAAAATTCGTCCTAGCAGTGTATAAGACTTATGTATTCAATATTCAGCTACTCTAGTTTGTATTATACATATGATACATTTAAAACATAACTGGCACATCAAAATTTCAAATATAGTGGTTCCAGCGTAGTCAATTTACAAGATTGTTTAATGCTTTCATTCAATTGTGAAGTTTTTTCAAGAACTTTCCTCCTATCTTCCTCTGTATAGAAATATGGAAATTGTTTTAGATCGTCATCTTTAAGACCAGCATTGCCTTCGTTTGTTTGATTAAGTTGTGGTAATAATCCACTGGTACTACCATTAATTTGATTTGCATTACTTGTACTTCCAACACCACCATTTATAAATGTAGCAACATCAATTAGTTTATCCGATAAGTCATTTACAATTGAGGATAATTCTTGTTGTCTTTGTTGTTGTTTTAATAATTCTTCTTCTTGTAAATAGTCAGATGTGTAATTTTGTTGTTGTTGATTTCTCCTTAGTAGTGAGGTATTTTCATCATATTCATCGGTGCTTCCAGTACCATTGAGACACGATAGACACACTCCCATTAATGATATAGCCTGATGATGAAAAGTTGGACTTTGTTAGTCGAAATATGTTTGAAAAGTCGATAGAGTTGTAGTTCTTATAAATATTAGATTTTTTTTCAGGTGAGTTTAGATTGATAAGATAAAGAAAAAATAAGAAATACATTAAAATATAATCAATTAAGGCAAGCAACAACTATGTCAAAGGCATTATGTTGTTATGCATTTGAAGCATTGGTCAACAAATTAAATAAAGGGTCAACAAAGATTCCATTAAGTACATTTCAAAAAGAATTAAACGAACAATCAAATGATATTCCTAGTAGTGCACCATTATTTATTACATGGAATAAGAATCTGAATTTAAGAGGATGTATTGGAACCTTTCAACCATTAAATATAGATCAAGGAGTTTCAAAATATTCATTAATTGCTGCATTTCAAGACCCAAGATTTCCTGAAATTTCAATAAAAGAATTATCTTCTTTATCAGTTAGTGTTACATTGTTAGATAATTTTAAACCAATTAAAAATCAATTGGATTGGGAAATTGGTAAAAATGGTCTTAAAATATCATTTTACTTACATAATGAACATTATTCTGGAACATTTTTACCATCTGTTGCTGAAGATGAAGGTTGGGATAAATTAACTACATTATATTATTTGTTAAAAAAAGCAGATTATTCAATTGATAAGAAATCCGTCAATGATTTTTATTCAAAAGGATTGAAAGAAGGTTGGTTGGTATTAACTAGGTATGATGGATTAAAATCCGGATTGAGTTATAAGGAGTTTAAAGAAATCAGGGATGATATAGAATAGGAGGTTCTGATTGAGGGTTTAATTTTGGTTCAAGGGAATGAAATTGAGGGTTGTTTTGATTTATTGGGTGATTTTTTTATACAGCTGATTTAAATATCTATATATAATATATATTGTTGATGTGCTTGACAGTTTGACAATTGCAACTGTTGTTCTAAGATCACATATGTCGGAATTACTTCGTACTTCTATTTCCTTATACTTGATCGGAATTTAGTTTTTCCCCCACATAATATAGTATAATATTGATTTTTCCGAAATATTATAAGATCAATTTTTCAATCTTAACCAATTTCATTACAATACCTATATAATATGATGCAAAACCCTTTCAAACCCTTATCGTGCTTTATGTATTCCAAAAACCAAATCAAGATAACATGTCATCATCAATTTTGAAGAAATCAGCAAAAGATATAGTAATCTTATCAGCATTACGTACACCAATAACAAAATCAATAAAAGGTGGATTATCACAATTGTATCCAGAAGAATTATTATATCAAATATTAAAAGGTTCAATTGAAAAATCAAAAGTTGATCCAAATTTAATTGATGATATTTTAGTTGGTGCAGTTTTACAAACATTAGGAGGTCAAAAAGCAAGTGCATTAGCTGCAAAAAAAGTTGGATTTCCAATAAAAACTACAATCAATACTGTTAATCGTCAATGTGGATCCTCAGCACAAGCCATAACTTACAGTGCTGGCTCATTATTAAGTGGTGAAAATCAATTTGCCATAGCAGCCGGTGTTGAATCAATGACTCATGATTATTTCCCACATAGAGGTATACCAACTAGAATTTATCAACCATTCATGGAAGATTCAAGCGATGAGGCTAAAAATGTATTAATGCCAATGGGCTTAACTAGTGAATTAGTTGCTGAAAAATTTGGTATTGGAAGAAAAGTACAAGATGAATTTGCTGTTCAATCGCATTTAAAAGCTGCTAAAGCTATAGAATCTGGTCATTTTGCTAAGGAAATAATCCCTGTACAAGCTAGAAATGAAGATGGCTCTTCTAAAGTTGTGGAAACAGATGATGGTGTTAGAGCAGGATCTACATTTGAAAAATTATCAACTTTAAAACCAGTTTTCAAAGAAGATGGGTTTACAACCGCTGGTAATTCTTCACAAATTTCTGATGGAGCATCGGCTGTTATCTTAACAACAAGAGAGAATGCTGAAAAACATGGATATAAACCAATAGCTAAATTTGTTGGATCAAGTGTTGCAGGTGTACCTTCTAATCTTATGGGAATTGGACCATCTGAAGCAATTCCTCAATTATTGAAAAGATTTGGTTTAACAAATTCAGATATTGATATTTTCGAATTAAATGAAGCATTTGCATCTCAATCAATATATTGTATTGATAAATTGAATTTAGATTATTCAAAAGTAAATCCATATGGTGGAGCAATTGCTATTGGTCATCCATTGGGTGCTACTGGTGGTAGAGTTACCGCTACATTATTGAATGGATTAAAAGCACAACAAAAAGACTTAGGTGTTATTTCAATGTGTACCTCTACTGGTCAAGGTTATGCTGGTTTATTTGTGAATGAACAAGATTAAAAATAGATTAAAAATAGATTAAAATTTTATAGTCTCAAAAATATCCATCAATGTAAATAAGAATAGAGCTTACCAATGATATATGCGTAAATGATTAATCGAAGTAATTAGTCTTTATTCTCTATAAAATTCCAAACAAAATAAGTAAATAAGTTTATAATTAGCTCTGAGCTATTTTTGTAATCCAATACAAACATGTACCACTCAATACAGGGATAGTAAAATTATCATCTAACCCCCATAAATCAATAAATTCCGAAACACTAGCAACTACTCCAACAATTAATGATAATATATGAATATTCAAAAAACTATGATTTGGTGACCAAAAAATTTCTCCAGGTTTGTTAACTGGATAATTTGGAATGAGACAACCATACCATAAATAAGATGATAATATACCAACGAAAAATGATCCTAAAGATCCAGCTAATGATTTATTTTTACCAATTTTTGGAGTATATTTACCAAATTGTCTACCAACAGTTGAAGCAGCAGTATCAGCCCAACTTAATAATAAAATACTTAATACACTAATATCTTTAGGATATAAATATAATACAATTAATACACCTGCCAAATAAAATAAAACTCCATTATAAGATTCTTTTTCATTTTCTCTAATTATAAACCACATCTTGGAAGTAATAAATTTATTTATTTCTGGATTATGTAATCTTATTAAATCATTTGCTAATACTAATACAAAAGCAGTCAATAATGGAGCAAATAATTGTGGTATAGTTGTACCTTTTGTATATAACCATAATGTTAATATACCAATTGATGAATGAAATACTTTTCTCGGTATTTCATGTTTAGTTATAAATTTCTCAAATTTAGTCTTTGTAAGATCAGTTTTTGGATTTGAGGTTGAAGATTGTTTTATATCCTTTTTAATAGTCGGTTCATCATCTTCCTCTATTTCCGTATCGTTACTTTCTTTGGATAATCTTTCCCTTATTTCATCTTCAAGATCTTGAATTACATTTTCTTCGTCATCATCATCATCTTCTTCTTCATAATTAGAAGATATATCATCCTCGATAGTTGTATTATAAATATAAGTTTTGTCTTCTTCTTCAATATAAGAAGAGTTGATTTTATTGTTATTTGGAGTTGAAATTGTTTTGTTATTAAAACTTAACATTGAATCTTCTATTTCATTTTTTATACCTTTTGCTTTGATTGGTGTACTAAATGCTGACATTATGGGAGTAAAGTAAGATGTAAATTGCAATTTGTTTTGCAAGCTACTCTTTTAATGAAGTTGGTTAGTTTCTCTTTATTTGGTTGTAAAAAAATTCTAATGATTTTGGTATAGAATAATTGTTTATATTTTTTAACTGTAGGCACTGTAAGTAATTACGTAATCTATTTTATTATGTATGAATCTTTTTTTTTTTTTTTTATTTTTAAATTTCCGTTGAGTAAAAATTGGAACCGGAGTTTTTTTTTTTTTTGAGACAAATATGTACATGTGACAAAGTAAAGTATGTGATTTGAAATATTCTATGTAAGTTATTCAAGCATATATATCTATATAGAGGGTACATTACAATTAGCTAAACAACACTTGCTTATATCATCGATATTAAAAATAACCAAAAATAAGTTATTATTGAACTTCTTTTTACAATTGCATTATCATTTTTAGAATTAGATTTGTCAAAATCAAATACATCGAAATCATAACTTTTATGATTTGGTTTATTACCAATTAATTTTTTTTTCCTTCTATTTCTTAGATAATTATTACTATGAATATCTTTTACATTCGTGGTTGTATCATAATTCATCACTCTATGATCCTTGAACTGATGTGTATGAGGTTTTTCATTTTTTGCAAAATTATTTAAATTATCATTTTCTATTTGATTTGATATCTTTTCGGGTATAATACTAGGAGTTCTCAAGACCTGTTCCCTGTTATGATCTTCCGAGTTATCATTGATTTGTAGCAAATCATCTTCATCAACAAACTGCAATGGTTCTTCCATTTTTAAAGGTTCATATCTAAAATCTCCATTTTCTGTACCAGTGTCAAATTGATTTATGTTAGTGCCATCTGATTTCGAATATTCACTTCCAACTTGATCCTTTCTGAGGGGTGCGTAATTGCTTGGAATTGTATCTTCAAGTGAGTGACCTGCATTTTGTAAAGATTCCAGCTCTATTCCATTTACCATGAGATTATCACTTGCAGGATTTACCTCTGGGTTATTATTGAATAAATAGTCATCATTTAAGTGTACAGACTGAAGAATATTATCATTCAACGACGGAAAATAATCATCGAAAGCTTGATTGATCTCAAACTCATCATCTTGATTTGACTCCATTGGTTTTTCTTCCTCGTGGTAATTTTCAGGACTAATATCATTTGATAATGATGAATCCGATGATAATTCATTCCATGCAATCTTGGGTTTATAATATTCTACTTTCTTATTTGGTATTGGTCTTTTATGATTTTGAAATTGAGGTTCAATGAACACTGAGTTTGGAGGATTTTTTTGACCCATTATTCGTTTACCATTCATTTTCTCGATAAATTCATAATCCATTTCATTATAATTTTTGCTGTTTTGAACTTCATCAAACAACGCAGTTGAACTTGGAGCTGGAGTTATTGTAGGTAAAGCAAATGTAGCAGAAATAGATGGATTTGAAATTGTTCTCTTCAATTGCAGAGCAAGATTTGTTTTTATTCCATGTAATGCCTGAAATCTTAAAAACTGTTTCTTAAAGTATAATTGTTGTTGAACCATTTGACTTTTTAATGATAAAAGTAACAGCTCCAATCTTTTTATTTCAGCAATTGCATCAAAATGTTTTGCATGCCCATGGTAATTCGTAAATTCAGTTGCAGTTGTGGTGGCCGGTGTGAATGTTTTTACTGGTACCATATTGAACAACGAACCCGAGGAAGGTAAAGCTTCTGCAATAGTGGAAGTCTCAATTGAGTCAGGTGATGTTAAGGTAATCTCTAATAGTGAGCTTTCATCAATCAATACGTCATCAAGTGGCCGAGGTATTTGCATTGCCGTTATCAATTGTGATTTATTAACAATTCGTTTCTTAGTGATTCCAAAACTAACATTGAAATGCCCGACATGTGTAATTTCCTCATTCATAGTCAAGTAAGTATTAAAATTCAATGGAACTCCAGCTTCTGTAATTAACACTAGAGGTCTAATTTCATTGACTCTAAATAAATCTTCGTGGGGCAAATTTTCTTTTAAATAATCGATATGAGCTTGAAACCTGCTTTCAACATTTGAATTGTTGGAGTATTGGAATTGATCATCAAGTGCTGCTATGGGTTGTGCAATTAGCAAAAGACATAATTTAAAAATTATTTTTATAATTTTCATAATGATAGTGTTAAATGATGAAAGTTTTCGACAGATCGGATTATATTTGATAATTTAAATTCAGTTTCAATACTAAATACTCATTGACCATTTTTTTGTGATATTTCAAAACTAATTATAGATCTTGCTATGTCATAATATTTCCTAGCGATCTCACCATCCGGATCTGAAACTACAATTGGTTTTCCTAGATCAGATTGTAAACAAATATTTTCATTCAATGGAATATCTGCTATTATTTTGACGTCATTATCATGAGCTAATTTTTCTGCACCATTACTTCTAAAGACATGAGATTCATGATTACAATTTGGGCAAATGTAGTAACTCATGTTTTGGACGATTCCAACTATTGGTATATGAACTTTATTATACATTGCTATACCTTTTACAGCATCGATTAAGGCAATATCTTGAGGAGTAGTGACAATAACCGCTCCTGATACTTTCAAAAGTTGACTTATTGATAATTGTGTATCTCCCGTACCTGGAGGCATATCTATTATTAAATAATCTACAGGAGCCCATTCAACATCAAATAATAATTGTTGTATTGCTTTCATTACCATTAAACCTCTCCATACTACTGCTTGTTCATCTTTAACTAAATAACCCATTGACATTGTTTGAATACCATAATTAATCATTGGCAATAGCTTACCAGTTGTTTGAGATATTCTAGGTTCACCTTTTAAATTCATTAATTTAGGAATTGAAGGACCAAATATATCAACATCCAAAAGTCCTACTCTTTTACCTAATTTTTGTAAAGCCAATGCTGTATTTGCTGAAACTGTAGATTTTCCTACTCCTCCTTTAGCAGAAGAGATTAATATTATGTTCTGAACATTTGGTATTTTTTGTCGAATTGGTAACCCTTTACTTCCGATTGATGCAGATCCTCCTCTTCTAGGTAAGTTTAATGGGTTCTCATGACTATAGAATCTTTTTGATTGCAAGAATCTTCTCACTGATAAAAACATTAAAGATCAATATTGGTGCATCGAAAATTGGTTTTGCATATTAAATCAGTTGCAAACTCAATTATTTTTTAATTTTGAAACACCAGGTTAGAGAGAATCTTGATGCTACGACAGATATGGTTAAGATCATATAGCACAAGTACGGTAATCCCAAAAGCATCAACTCAACCAACCATATATGCATTATCTACAAATTTTGCTAAATCAGCCATTGCTGTCGTGAGAATATCTGGTCCACAATCTTCATATATATACAACAAATTAACAAAAACAAAAGCAGAGCCAAAGAATAGAATTGCCAGTGTCCGAAAATTATACAATCCCAATGCTGAAGCATTTTCATCAACTCAAATATTGGACGAAGCCTTGACTATTTTTTTCAAAAAACCAAATACATATACTGGTCTAGATTTATTAGAATTGCATTTACATGGTGGAATAGCTATAATAAAATCAGTAATTGAATCAATACGGCAGTTACACGATCCTGACAGTGGCATTATCATTAGACAAGCGGAAAATGGTGAATTTTCAAAACAAGCTTTTTTAAATGGTAAATATGATTTAACGGCTTTAGAAGGTATAAGTGATATGATTAATGCTGAAACTGAACAACAAAGAATTGCTTCTTTGGCTTCAATGTCTGGTGAAACCAAAAGTATCTTCAGTAAATGGAGACAAGAAATTTTGGAGAATGCTGCTAATTTGACTACTATTATTGATTTTGGTGAGGATCAAGATATTGATGAAACATCTACCTTATTTGAGGAAGTAGGTTCCAAGATTTTAGAGATAGAAATGGACATACAAAAATATTTAAAGAAAGTCAAATCATCGGAAATTTTATTGAAAGGTATTCAATTGACATTGTTAGGTCCGCCAAATGCAGGAAAATCATCGATTTTAAATATTTTATCAAACAAAGAAGCAGCAATTGTAAGTAATATTGCAGGAACTACTCGTGATATATTGGATATACCTTTAGAGATTGGAGGTTATAAAGTTGTTTTAGGAGATACGGCAGGTATTCGATCATTGAAAGATGCCGATCAAATCGAAAAGGAAGGAATTAAACGAGCTAAAACTAAATCCACTACTGCAGATTTGATATTAATGGTAATAGACCCTACAGACCGTATAGACTCGATCGATATTGAAACGCATATTAAAGAATTGGTGTCATCTCACAATAAAAACGTTTTGGTAGTTTTAAACAAGCAAGATCTTTATGAGGACAATGATAAGAAGCTTGTATCAGAATACTCATCCAAGTTTGATATTCCAGAAAATAAATTTCATGTTGTGTCTTGTTCTACAGGATATGGCATGGATCAATTGAGAGAAAATTTGATTCAAGAATTTAAAACAATCACCTTAAGCGAATCTTCAAACCCTATAATTTTATCATCCAGAGTTCAGGACATACTTGAGCACGATGTTTTGTATGGATTTAAAGAGTTTCGTTATTGGCTAGAACAAGACGATGTTGTATTGGCTTCGGAAAGTTTAAGACAATCAATAGAAGGGATAGGTAAAATCACCGGTGAAGCTATTGGAGTTGAGGAAATATTAGGAGTTGTTTTCTCAAATTTTTGCATAGGTAAATAGATAACGATAAGTGTATATAGTAAATAATAATGATACAATTTTAATTTTGATTAGTACATACAATATACAAAGTAATAGTTTCCACATCCCAAGTCATTTTGATTTGCTGTAGTTGATGTCTTGTGTGCCTACTTCCACTCAATTCTTCAACCTGATCATGCTGAATAACGGTGTTCTTGATTTTTTTACTTAAGGATGGAGCAACTTTACATTCAAAAGTTAACACATTTAATCCATGTGCCAATTTGACATCGTATTGAACAGCAAGAACACTTTCTTTTTCTTTTTGCTCTTCAAAACAATCATTTGGTTGACCCATATCTTCATTGTTAATTGTTAACTTACATTGAAACTCATCATCAGAGGTCAGATTCAAGTAGCCATGACCATCGACCAAGTCTGATTCTTTAGCTTTATATAGTAAATGATGCAAAGAAGCTTTGAATGACACAAATGGCAGTACTTCCGGTTGGAATGATATCGTATATGATTGATCCACATATCCATTAGCTGGAATTTTGTATGAAACCAACGTAGCAGTTGGATGAATTGGATGAGTCGGAAACATAGATTCAATTATTTGAGCATCACGGGAAAGGAAATAGTTAGATGCTTTTTCTTCAATAAATTTAGTTATGTGAGGGATAATGGCTGGAGATGTAAAAATTGATGACTCTTGAATTATAGAATTACTTGGTAGTAACGTTGGTAAGGACTTACCTAATGTATTTTCAGTAGTTTTCTCTAATTGAATTTCGGGAGGTGGGTTTTTCTTTGGTGGTGATTGTTGTGTTGTTTCGATCTTAGGTAGTATTTCATCCTTGACAAGCTTTTCTTCCTCAACTTGCTCGGCTGCTTCCTCAATAAGCGATTCGTTTTCCTTGTCATTTGTTTCATCTCTTAAAGGTTTTCGTTTTTTCTTTTCCGGTTGTCCTCTATTCAAATTTATTTTTAATTTTGGAGTTTTCGGTTTCAAAGCATCTGCTGCCACTGCTTTTGATTTCAATTTACCATATTGTTCTTCAAAATAGGACTCGAGAGTTTCTGCATCTTGATAAATTTGTGAAGCTTCGTTATTGTAAGCCTTTGCATTGGAAAATATTAATGCAGCTGTGTCATGAAATTTTTGCAAGTTTTCAACTAAGGAAACTTTCGGCGTGAATAATTTTTTATGCTGCAACAAATTAATTATGGTGTTGAATGCCATAGGTTTGGATACGAAATTGGAATAATCTGTGTATACCTCTTGATCTACCTCGTCTAAAAATGGTCCACTAATGACTCCTATATCTTCAAATTCGTGGTCTCTTACATCTGTTATGACATCAATACACAATTCAGGTAATTTTCCATATGATATTTCCAGTTGTTCATCAGTTTCAGATTTATTTGTAGGCTTAGAAGCTGAAGCAGCTGCGTCATTTGACTTCGATAATGAGGACGGCTGCTTCAATTTTAATTTAATCTTGGGATGTTTTGGTTCACTTGATGCCGGTCCCACAATTCGATCAAATTCAGAAACTTGATCTTCGACAAATTCAACAATTTTGTTTGCAGTTTGAACAATCCAAGATTCCGAGTCATTATATGTGGCAGCATTTGTCAATAGTAATTTAAAATCATCTAAAAATTCTTGTGTTGATTCTCCAGTATACTTTGTATTAATTTTTTTCTGTATATCACTTATCGCAATTGGATTTTTTATAATTTCATAATAATCAGGATAAATTTTTTTCAGTGGTACTTTAATAAATTCCGTAGCTAATTTATAATCATCTTCACTCAAATTTAGTACTAGATTTATAGTTGATTTATAAAAATCTTTAGTTTCCTCCCTTGTATGAGTTGATAATTTTGGTTTTTTGGACTGAGTGGGAGAACTGGGATTGGCCTTCCTTTTCGGTGGCATTTATCAAATGATTTAAATGTTATGAATAAACTTGATTTGTTAGTCAAGTCTTTGATATTGTAATGATAGTCGTTAAATTCGATCAATATTGTTTGTGGAATACTACTTCAATCGCTTATGAGTTTTCCATAAACATGGTTTTTTTTTTGTTGTGATTTTAGCATAGAAGTCAATGTCGCAAATAAAACTTTCAGACACTGAAAACTTATACGATCAAGACAGATGAAACATGCGTTACATTTCGATTTCGGAGTAATAAAAGTGAAACAAATAACCATTCAATTATTTCGAGAGATTTCGCATATTTGCATTGTTAATGTTTGAGAATATAACGATACTTTATGGATCTGAAACAGGAAACGCCGAGGAATATGCTAAATATTTGAAGCTACGATTAAGGAATTACTCATTGAAATCAACTTTATCATCATTAGATTCGTTTGACTTAAAAAACTTAGTCACCACTACAGAATATCTCATTATAATATGTTCAACTACGGGCCAAGGAGAACTACCTAGAAATGCGAAATCTTTCATGAAATTCATTTTGAAAAAGAAACTCCCTTCTGATTTATTCCAACATATTCATTTGACTACATTAGGTTTGGGTGATTCATCTTATACTAAATACAATTATGCCATAAAGAAAATACATACTAGAATGACTCAGTTGGGATGTCAGATGTTATCGCCAAGGTGTGAAGCGGATGAGATGTCTCCAGAGGGAGTTGATGGTTATTATTTAGAATGGGAAACACAACTCATTGCATCTTTATTGAAACATTTCCCTAATGCAAAGAAAATTGATGATAATGTGGTGCCAATGCCTCAATACAGAGTGGCAGTGAACCAAAGATGTTCAAATTTGATCGAAAACTCAATGCTTCCAAAAATCTATAATAATCTACAGACAGGAGTTGTAATAGCGAATGAAAGAATCACCTCAGCTGACCATTTTCAAGACGTGAGACATATTAAAATAAAATCAAAAGATTTGAAGTATTATCCAGGTGACACTATATCACTATATCCATCGAATTTTGATCAAGACGTGGAGGACTTACTTGAACTGCAACTACAATGGCTTCAAATAGCAGATAAACCACTTAAAATAAAAAACCTTATTGATGGAGATCAATTTATTACACTTCGAAATTTACTCAAATACCATCTAGATATAATGTCTATCCCAAAAAGAAGCTTTTTTGCAATACTATGGCATTTTTGTGATTCTTCAACCGAAGATGGATTAAGAGAACAAGAAAAATTAAAAGAATTTGGGGCATTTGATGATCCTGAAGAATTATATAATTATGCAAATAGGCCAAGAAGACTGATTTTGGAAACTTTACAAGAATTCAAGAATAATTTGAATATTCCAGTATCTTACATTTTAGATTTGATTCCTTTAATTAAGCCAAGAATGTTTTCAATTGCTTCAAGACCGAAAGAAAATGAGATAGAAATAATAGTTGCAATAGTAGAATACAAAACTATCATAAGGCGAATAAGAAGAGGTTTATGCACTAGATGGCTAAAGTCATTAGAGCCGAATGATCAAATAAATTTCACGATTGACAAGTCCTCATTCAAATCAACTCAATCACCGATAATCATGGTTTCCCCCGGAACAGGTGTAGCACCAATGAAATCAATAATAGATGACATTTTACATAAAAATTCAACACAGGAGATGTATCTATACTTTGGTTGTAGATATGAAGAAAAGGATCATTTAATCAAATCATTTTGGGAAAAGTCGAGTAACTTGCATATTTGCAATAGTTTTTCTAGAGATCCAGGATCTTCGTTCAAATATGTACAAGATGCCTTATTTGGAAATTGGAAATTGATCGGTGATCTTTTGCTTAATCAAAATGCATCTATTTTTGTTTGTGGATCAAGTGGAAAGATGCCTAGAGAAGTGAAATTGACATTCATTGAAATTGTGAGAAAATACAAGGATATAACTGAAGAGGAAGCTAAGAAATACATATGTAGTATGGAGGACAAAGGACGGTACAAGGAAGATGCTTGGTGAGCAAGGTTTTTATTTCGTAGTTTTATTGTGATTTAATGTATTATGATGTAAAATATTGAATTAATGATTACGGTCGTAGTATGATGAGCTTTAAACAAATCCAAATTTTCTCGTGTTTCTGACCTAAGCTATAGTCATAAAGTCAATCGAGTGTAATTTTCGAACTTTCTGTACTTGTATCCAGCCAAAGTACTTCATTTTAATGACTTTGTGGTACTTATTATTATGACTGCTTCGTAAATATTTTGAAAATTTCAGTTTTTGATTCACAGTGATGGAATCACCAAAAATGATTAAAACTTGCATTCGACCTTCCAGACTACTACAGCACCGACAATTTATACGGTGTAATTCATCGAAAGACATAACAGTCGATGGCAAGACATATGAATCTGACAATTGGACAAACGTTCCACCTTTCATGTTGAAATTGATTGATCGAAAACTTCATAAAAACCCTAATCATCCTATTGGTATACTACAAGATTTAATAAAGACGAATGTCAAAGGTATGGGATACACCATATATGAAGATTTTCATCCAATTGTTACAAAATATCAAAATTTTGATAGTCTTGGATTTCCCGAGGATCATGTGGGTAGATCAAAATCAGATACTTATTATTTTAATAAAAATTATTTGTTGAGAACTCATACTTCGGCTCATGAACAAGAATGTTTTATCAATTCAAAAACACCAGGATATTTAATAACTGCCGATGTTTATAGAAGAGATGAAGTCGATAGAACTCATTATCCTGCATTTCATCAATTAGAAGGTGCTAGAGTCTGGAATAAAGGAGATTTGGAACAAATTCAAAAAGATATTGATTCAATACCAAAAACAAATATTGTTGTGGAGGATCCTTTTAGAAATGAACCTGTCACCAAGAATAATCCTGCTCAGCAATATATGACAAACGAGGAGATAAGATTAGTTTCAACTCATTTGAAAAAGACAGTGGAATATATTGTCAACCAAGTTTTTGAAAAGGCAAGAGAATCAGCAAAATTAGCAGGTTCAACTGAACCATATTTGAATGAACCATTAAAAATACGATGGGTTGAAGCTTATTTTCCATGGACAGGACCTAGTTGGGAAATTGAAGTATGGTGGAAAGGAGAATGGTTAGAATGTTGTGGGTGTGGTGTTGTACAAAAACAAGTTTTGCTTAACTCTGGATTGGGTGATCAAAAAATAAGTTGGGCTTTCGGTATAGGTCTAGATAGAATTGCTATGTTGTTGTTTGATATCCCTGATATTAGACTTTTCTGGACACAAGATGAAAGATTTCATAAACAATTCAAGCAAAATTCAATTAATACTTTTACACCATATTCAAAATATCCTGGTGTTAAAAGAGACGTATCATTCTGGTTGAATATAGATAATATTTTGCATTGTAATGATTTGATGGAAATAGTTCGAAATCATGCTGGTGATTTAGCTGAAAGTGTTGTTCTAGTAGATGAATTTACACATCCTAAGACTGGAAAGTCTTCACAATGTTATAGAATCAATTATCAATCAATGGACAGAAACTTAACAAACAACGAAATTAATGAAATCCATAACAAGGTTGAAAGTCAATTGATTGATGACTACAAAGTAGAAATTAGATAATTGATAAACAAATAGATTGAAAATTGATAACAATGCATGATTGAATGATGCATTTGCCTTTTCATGACGCTATTTAAATCTCCGTTTTTGCACGGGGTTATTGTTTAAAAATGGAGTTTGATTTGGTAGCTTCAATCCTGTTAAAGCCGTTTCAAAATATATAAATAAGACCTTATCCTTATTTGCATTTTTTTCACTCATACAACCATTCAACTAATCAAACTTTACTAATTACTAATTCATTTAATAAATATGAGAGGCTTTTACAGAGGTTATTACGGTCCACATCCATTTAGATTTGGAGGGTTTTTCTTATTCATAGGAGCATTTATGTTGGGTAGAATTACTGCTAATCATCATAATTACTATAATCATTGGGGTCAGCAAGGAACGTGTAACTCAAGAATCAATGGGGTGCAAAATCATCATTATGGCTGCCAATGTCCAACATGTATTCATAATGCACAATTCAAGGATATCGACGAGGATCAGTGGAAACAAAGAAAAATTATAAATCATGAGGTTGAGCACAACAAAAACTTTTCCTAAATTGCTACCTATTATTTTAAATTTTAAATACTTGTAGATAGATGGTTAATGACCAAAATATATTGTACATAGTAATGCATTGAATTACGAAAATAAATGAATTTGATGAACACTCATATCCTAAATTTTTATATATAATTAAGGGGTATAAAAGAAGTTTAAAAACCGCTTAAATTGCAAACATGGTTCCATCATCAATACGCCTTTTTAATTTTGGGTTCAGAGGCGTGAAGGATTGGCTTTTCTTCTCTAGTCCAGATGAAGTTCAAGGGTAGAGAAAATTTTGTGAGTAGCTGCAATTGTAACCTAATTTTTAAATCAAACGTTTAGTCTACATCACGGGCGTTAATAGTTCGACTTAAAGATGAAAAATACATTCTCTCGTACAAACGTCACATCATGAAAATTAACAGTCACTATACCATCTCAGATAACTTATTAAAATAAAAATGGCTCCTAAAATATCGGGCAACAACGTTAAATAGGTATAATAAACATAATCTCCATACAAGAAAATGTATTCACTCAAATGATTTAAATCTAATCCATCAAATGAACTTAAAACAACATTTACACATTTGAGTAATGTACAACATGAAGCCAATAATAGTTCCATTAAGGAAGTTCTTAAATTGTTAGCTTTTTTTGTCATGAAGTTTATAATAATATAAAGCAATGTGAATATTACTATGATGATTGACACTAAGAAGAGTACTGATGATGTTTTAAGTAGTGAATTGGATGTTTCCAGATGCTTATTTAATGCAAGACTTGAGCCAACTATACTTAATAAAAGAGCCAAAAACGATATTCCAGCAATCACCCAATATATGCATGCCCCAATCAATTTGCTTCTCAAGTTTTTCTCCTTGTCTTGTTTCTTTGGTGTTTCACTCCTTAAAGCTTGATCATAGTAAATATTTCTGACGGAATAAACACTGAGTCTATTTACTTTTTTCACTAATTCTCCATGATTTTGATGACTCAATAAACGAGTAACTAAAGTAGCTACACATTGTATCAATATTCCTAATCCAATTGTATTCAAAATACATATTGAAATAAAAAGACCTGGTTGAGAATTTTTATATGAAATAATGATGCAACTACAAATGAAAACATTAAAACTGAAAAACTAACTCTCTGTATAATTTCAACGATTCTCCAAGCATCATAATTTTTTATCAGTGATGAAGTTGAGACATCAAGTATCATTTGAGGTTGAGTCATTGATAATTGAGATAATAATTGGTTAAATTGTGTGACTTAAATAAATTAAAATTTATGAAACATTTTAGACTGATTATAAACTCAAATTATTCGTGAATGCTTTAAACATTTCTCCTTAATTGATTTCTAAAACTAAAACAAAATTGGGGGTTTCAACTTTATGGCGCAGTTTCAGAAATTGGACTCCGTAATTTTAGCTAATAATAGAAAATTGGATTCAGATACAAGCCCCTTCAATCAACCGAAGACCAAAATTGAGTTCATAACGAGAGATTTCATCCACACCGAATTTTTACACGTTTGTAGGAAAAATACTTATGATGAGACATTTGAATTTCCTACTGATTCAAATTAACAAATTCATAGAGCCAACACTAGTATCAAAAAAGATTCAAATCCATATAAAGCTTTGTACTCTTATCAGTTACTATATATGCATTAAGAATTAAATATCAACAAAATTTACGAGAGTAATTTTCTTATATCGGACTTATTATTGATATTTTCAACGTAAAATAATTCATCCGAATAATACAATTAAGTCAATAGTCTTATAATTTGTTGCAGTTCTAAATCTCACTTTTTGTTCTTAAACATTGATTTCATTATCACAACATGACTTTTATCAAATCAATATTTTAATCGTTGTATACTACAAAATTTTTGCAACAGCTACATGGATCTCAAAAATTCATGACTTTTCAAACACAAGTTCTCAGCCACCGATGTAATTTTTATAAACCGAAAAAAGATCCAACGCAGGTGATAAATAACTGTGGTTTTGTGTGAGCTGAAAGCTTGAAAACTACATAATTTTGAGAAAAAAATTAGATAATCACAGTATTTTGCAACAAAATCAATCTTAATATTCAAATTATACACAACACACATTAAGTTAGTTTCAACTTAATTTTTTTCCTTTAAAAACAACACGATTTATTCAATTCTACCAATGATAAAACAATATCATAACTAATATACCAGCAATTCCTTCAGGTAACAAAGCTAAACAACCATAATATTTTGGTTTTCCAAAAATTAACATATATTGATTAGGTTGATTGAAATTTATACCATTAAAACCACTAATTAATGAATAAATTGATCTTGTAATTAATATAAATAAAGTAATAATTAATATTTGACAACTTTTTCTATGTTCAGGTCTTGTAAAGATAACAAAAATTGAAGCAAAAATTAATAAAATCATACCAATTAAAAATAAAATTGCAGATACTTTTATTAAAGTTTTTGTTGTATCATCAGGTGTTGAATCACCTGCAAGATTTGACATAGCATAAATATTACAAATAACTGCTGCAAGTATAATGATAGTAATTAAATAAAATGGTGATTTTTTATTTATTTTAGTTTCATTAATTTTATAAATATTTTCATTAGTTTGATGATAATTATTATTGGATTCAAATTTTTGATTTTCCATATCATAAGTAGGTAAAGTACCATTTGAATTTATTGTTTGATTATCTTGATGATTTTTAAATTCTTGTTCAGGTTTTAACATATGTTGAACTAAAGAACTAATACTTCTAGTTATAAAACCATAACTTATTGAATCACAAATATAAGTTGCAATAAATACATTTTGATTAAATTTTGAAGAATCTAATAAAATTAAACCAGTTATACCACCAACTATTTTAGCTAATTGAAAAATTATTAAAAATATAACAAACCCTCTAATTGACAGAATTTTAATACCCTTTCTCAATTGTAAAATAGTGATAATAATAAATGCAATCATTAATAATATAAAAAATATTAATTGTACTATACTAACTGCTTTCCAATCTGTTGGTTGATTTATTGAAATATCCATTTTGAAGATTTGAAGATTATTGATTATTATAGTAATGTTACTGAACAAATATTATTGAATAAATCTAAGAAACAAATATTACAATCTGAAGGAAATTCAACACTTTATATATTTTTTGAGAAACTCTGAATTTCACTTTTATCTTTGGAATTCATTGTATTTTTCATTGATTTTAGAAACAAATACACATGAAACATCAGTCATCTTATCAGCCGTGCGGAATTAACAATTGTTGCAAAATAAATAGAAAAAAAAAAATTTGTAACAAAATTACGCTTACATAATCGTAATAAATTATATTGTTGTAAAAATTGCGCTTATGTAATTGTTTCTGTACGTATTATGTAATAATTATGTAAGCGCTATTTTTTATCAAAACTTCTCACAAATCAAAAAAGGATAATGTCTAAAAATAGATTGTTGAAGACTTATTCCGTTAGATTGTCACACCTTGATCATTAATCCGAATAGATGGCTTGAAAAGACTAATTAAGTAAACATGAATCAGGCGGATTTAATGTTTTAGATGCGTGTTCATCAAAATAGATGGAGTTAATGTTAAAGAATCTTGGGCTAGTTATGGTACTGATACTCGGAAAAATATATTGTTTCAAATTCTGAGATTTGCTTATAAAAATTTATTGCAGTACTTTATGTTCACTTTATGAAACAAAGAGAGTTATTATTAAGCATCTAATTACTAATCTATTTAATTAAATTAATTTTTAGGAACACTTGAAATTAAATTAAACAAGCAACAATTCCAGCAACAGCACCAATAACTAATCCTGTACCAGTTTCAAATTGTCCCATACCACCATTAACACTTTCAGTTACTGAAGCAGTTGAAGAACCAGAACCATTAGTTTTGTTATTAATTGAAGTAGATTCAACTGAAAATTCAGTAGTATTAGCACAATTTAATCTTGAATTATCTTTTGAATGAATAACAATTGATAAATCACCAATAAATGATTTTGATTTTGGATTTAAAGAAATATAATTATCGACATATTCAACTTTATAAGATGAACCTGATAAATCACCATGTCTTCCTGCTAAATCACCAACTTCTTTACCTTGAGGAGTAGTTGCATTAACTGAACCACCATAAGGATTTAAATGTAATTTTGTACCAGTACAATTACCATCTGATGGAACTGGTAATTCATGAACATGATAAGGAAATGGACCACCAGTTGATGGTAAACCTGAAATATCAACTGAAACTAAAACTGAACCATTCTTGGCTGGTTCAAAACTAATTGAACCTGAAATATCAGAATTTTTAGTTGGTTTAAATTTTGCAATATATGATTCTTGACCTTCTGAATCACTTGAGATTGGTGCATCTCCTGCGACAGTCAATGAAAGTAAACCTAATTTTGTTAAAATTGATTGTGAGACCATTATATAAATTCAATTTAGTTTTTAAAATATGTGTTCAGAAAATTTTTAAACTAATATTTGAAAACATTTTAAAATTTTGGGAATTTTTGCAAAATTTATATTAATTTTAATCTATTTCATCAATAGTTAAATTTTAGGAATGTAATTTGGAAACTATTAAAGTAGACAATAGAAAATTAATTTTCACTACCCGTGTGTTGATTTTTCATAATCTTTTAGATCTAACTGATTTAATTAATTAAGCATAAATTTTTAAAGATTTTCACAAATTAAGTAACAAATGATGAGTAAACTAATTGTATCAACTAAACATTTTAAAATTTTTTAGTAAATTGTACCTACTTATTACCCAAAATGAGGTTGGAGTAAGCAATTCTGAAATAATGTTCGAATAAAATCGTAATAAAATAATGTAGTACAAAGTCCCTTAATTGTCTTAAATTCTCCTGAAAATTCAAGATTCAGCGCATTAGATGCTATTCAAAATGTAAATTTTCTTATTTATTTTCATACTTTAATTCCCGAATGGATATTTATATGATTGGATGGATTCTAATTGTTGATTGACTTTTCTCTAACGAATATCAATTATCTTTGAAATACATATCCATCATTAAATGGCTTCAATCGGTTATTATTGAGCTATACTTATTGATCCAACATACTTGATACATAACTAGGTGAATCGAATAATTGAAGTCAAATTGTAAAGAGTTCACACATAGTAAACACATTCCCATTTGTCATAATTTCTATCCAATTACATGCCTTGATGCGTGAAATTATTCCAAAGAACAATAAAAATTAATTGTTTTTGATATCAAAGCATTTATTATTGCTGAATTTTGAATAGAGTTGAGTTAACATCAAATAATTTAGATCTGTAGAGAATCAAGATTGAGGAAATCTTGAGGTATTTATATTCGTATACTCTCTACACATTACTTTATCTTTATTAACTTATACTTTTGACCTAATTTAAACCTTCTTAATATGCTCATGAGAAACTTTTCTTCAAATTTGGTTGTTTAAAATTAACTCATTAATTTTGCTCTTGATTGGCATTCATTTGATTTGTTCATATTTTCTTTAATATAAAATTAAACTTTTATTATAATTAACTATGTATGTAATGTATAATGTATTAAATAATAAATTTTTATCTATTTGATCAATATTACACAAAATATAAGACTAATACAAACAATGGAATAATACAAATTGTAGAATTAGAATTTGGTAATACTTCCCACATTAGTCCTCATTCGACAATTTAAATTCATCTGATATTTATTCAAGACACTGCTTGTATATCCCATCTGGTAAGGTGATACCCATCCGTTCAAATGACCCCATTAGGTTGTAAACCTTCATGTAATACCAATTGAGCTTAATTAAATGCACAATAAAGTTTGATTGATAAGATGATTGTGGATTAAAAATTGAAATATAAAAATCATGCTTTCCCACAGTTAATCGTATTTAATTCAAAATTTAAAGTACTCAACAGGTTGAAATCTCGAGAGTACGATGAAACACAGATTTAAAGATTTTCAACTCAGTTGTCACATTTCAGTCTCAGCAGATTATCGATGAAATAGTCGAGGTCATAAATATGAAGCAAAATATTGAAAGAATTCAAAGGACCCGTGAAAATGTATCCTTTTGATTTTGAATTGATTCACTTATGCAGATTCATAATACTTTACCTGAATCCATAAACTACAACTGGAGCATTGCACAATTATATCAAATCCATCATTATCATCAGGTGTTCCATTCTCGAGATCCTCTTCAGTCAATATCATACTATTGGAATGTTCACATCTTGGACATGATTTTAAAAACATCCCATTCTCATAAGTAAAATCATCTAAACTGTAAAGGTCTAACCCTCCTCCATCAATATTAAACCCTTTCCCTTTATGATCATTCTGAATGTTCGAATCGTATTCATCTCTCCTTGTAAGATCTGACAATGTATTATATGCTTCAACTATTATAGGGATAAGTTGAGGATTTTGAGGAGTTGGTGTTTTATCTGGATGATTTTCTAATAATTTTGCCTTGTATGCTTTTTTTATATCCTCTAATGAGGCAGTGGAAGATATATTCAAAACTTCATAGTATGTTTTCATATCATATTTAGTTTGGTGGTTGATCTTTTAATATTGATTGTAAAAAAAAAATATGTTTCTCATCTTGTATTAATCTCATCTGTATGTAAATTCAATTTTTTTCCTAGATGTGCTAGATCAACCTTACAAAATCACCATTAAATCCAACAATGTCCTCCAAATCTTCTCAAATCAAAGTTAACTCATATACTAAAGAACCAGTAGCAGCTGTGGGGTCATTTTTCAATGGTTTATCCGTACCACCATCAACAGAATTTAATATTTACCAACACAAAAAGAAGCAAGATTATATAATACATGGAGAAAGTCAACATTTAGATTATGATGGAGATTCTCAAAATAATGATAATGATTATGTGCTAGCAATATATGATCCAAATACCAAATCTGTTGATTTATATCAAACTCCATATTTACCAACTAAAGTATCTGCAAAAAGAAATAAAATCTATAAAGGTCCATCAGTTAAATCAGCAGGTTTGAAAAATAATGTTCAACGTAATGCATTAGGTGAAGCATTTGGTACTAAAAAGGCAAAACAAGCAATTTCAAATTTGGAGAAAAATAGAATAGATTCAGAAAAATTACAAGATATGCAAATGGATATAGTAGATACCGTGCAAGAATCAACTGTTCCAACTACATCTACTGAAACTCAAACATTTAGCATTATGCCTAAACCAAACGTCTCCGCTAAAAATGTAGAAGATGTATATCCTATTAATAAAATTATACCAGATAAAGATTGGAATTATATACGAGTACAATCCTTTTTATCAGATTCAAATCCATTAGAACAATTCCCATCACAACCAGAATTTGTTAAATCAAGACTTTCAAGATTTATTGAACAACAAAACATTGAAAAATTACAAATGCTTTATTATGCATCATTATTATTTGGAGTTTATGAAAATAGAAAAGTCTCTAACAAGAATGCACTTTTAACAAGATTACAAAATAAACCATCTGAAGCTTTGATTGATGGAATATTAAGTAGATTTACAATAAATAGAGCTTCAAATTTTGGTAAATCAAAAGATAGATCTTTCACAATTGATCCAAATAATGAAGATAAAATTTTATGTTATTTAATTTTATTATTATTACATTTATCAAATTTTTCAGTTGAATTAAATCCTTTAGCAAAAGATTTAAAATTAAAACCAACAAAATTAGTTTCTTTATTTAGAGCTGTTGGAGCAACTATTAAAAGTGCAACTGTTGCTGAAGCTGAAGCTTTAGGTATACCGAAAAGTTCTGCAGGTACTTATAAAATTGCAAATATGAAAGTTCCATTTAAATTACCAGATTTAACAAGAAGAGGAGCAAGAAGATAGAAAAGCTTAAGTTTGTGTGATTAGAAATATGTAGCTATGAATATTAGTTAATAGTAAATAATTTTTTTGAAACTAATTTATAATCTTGTGGGTCAACAATGCAATTAAATTTAATTGATTCTTCAATAAATCCTTCTAAAACTGTGTGTGGTAATCCGTTTTTAAATTTTCCATTTCGAATTTCTAAATTATCATCAATTTCTCTTAATATTTCCCTGACTTTGAAGTTGGTTTTCTCTCTTTCTTTAATTTCATCTCTTCTAGAAACTACAATATATCCACAATTAATAAAATCTTCGGTAATGTTACCACCAAATCTTTGAATTCTTTCTTTAATGACTTGTGAAGATAATGAATCACCTAAAACATAAAAATCCATACCTTTGAAAAGATATAACAATGGTCTATTTGAATCAGACCATTCAAATTCAGATCTAAGCTTATCAAGTTCATATTTTTTTAATTTAGGAGTACTAATAGCATTAAGTGGAGTATGAATCATATAAGAATCTCCAAATTCATCAACTCTTTTTTCATACATATCCCAATTTTTAGTAGCATAAACAAAAAATGGTTCAATTTGAACAATTCTATTTCTTTTAATACATTCAAGTATCCATGATGGTTTTATTAAATCAATACCTTGTTCAAGATAATTTGTACCAACTGGTAAATCTTTTTCTGTTATAGCAACGATTTGACGATCAGAATTAGGATTTAAAGAATGAACATTATTTCCACCATATTTTTTAACAACTTCTTTTAAATCATCTTTAGTGGTGATTGAACCATCATAATCCTTTTTATCACTCATTATTAAAAATTCAAAATTTGAAAATAAATCAGATTCAATTTTCACTCTTTTCAATCCAATTGGATTATTAAATGATGTTAAAGCATCAAAATTACGTTTTTTAGAAAGTGCAGTTTGATTCTTTTCAATATTTCTGGTATGATCCTTTTTCAATTCTTGATAGTCTTGTAATGTAATACATTCATCAATTGATTTATCAAGTCTAATTCTTCTTGAGTATAAATTATGTAAAGTTGTTCCTACTGCATATGTCAACTCTGGTCTTACATCAATTGATCTTGCTCTTATTTCCAAGACTATTGAATCCTTTGGGTCAATCCAAAAATCAGGAACTTTTCTACCAAATTTAATCAATGAATCAGGAGGTTTTTCTTTTGCCAATTCTACCCATTTCCCATTTGTTAATCTTTCAATAGTTGCAAATTCATCAATTGTAAACCCATTACCACAAGTACAAAAACTATAATAAACATTATCATCAACACTTCGTAATCCCATCATATACGAGTTTTTAATACCAGGAGTTTTCCCAATAACAACCAAATCAAGATTTTCACCAAGACCTTCTAAATATTCTGGTTTAACTTTAATCCAATCTGGATTGCGATAACCATCAATAAAATATTTCGATTGAATATGTTTTAAAAGTAAACCTTCACCTCTTGATTGAACAACTTCTCTAATAGCTCTTTCAATATCTGCTGGAGTTGAACCAATTCTAGCTTCATGAATTTCAAATCTATGAGGAACTGGATTAATAATTTTTTTTAATATATGTTTTCTAAAAAATAATGGATAATTACTTAAATCTTTCCCATTTAAATATAAAATATCAAATACCAAATAATAAGGATAACTTTTTAATTGTTCATACAGATCAACTGTATTGAATTGACGGACATCTTCTTGAATCGCCAGCGATTTAAGAGTTCCAAATGGTAAAATTGCTTCTCTTTCATAATCCCATGCAACCATTTCTCCATCAAGAATAACTGATTCTACATTTTTAGCAAATGCATTTGCAAGATATTTTGTTAATGATCCAACATGAAGTTTTTCACCATAAAGATATGTATAATCTTTTAATCTTCTTGTAAAAAATTTAAAATGTTTTCCTTCTTTATGTAATAACATTCTATCACCATCCATTTTTTCTTCAATATAAAATTTATCTTCTAAATGCCATTCTTTTAATTTTGTTTCATAAGTCTCATCCATAGGAATGGTTTTATGTAATCTTTTAACTACAACATCATAATTTTTAGTTAATTTTGTTGCTAATTGAGGTTTAAATTTAAATCTTGGACGAATACTTAAATCTTGTCTAGTTAATCTTTTTTCTGGATCATATAAACTATTAAAAGTTAATTCCAAATTATTACAAAGACTAAACATTCTATAAGCATCTGGATGCCAACTATTAAAAAATAATTTTTCAATATTTTGTAATATTGGTTTTTTTAAAATAAAATGTATGAACCATCTTAATTCTTCTAATCTTAAATGATCAAAAAGTGGTTTCAATATTTGAACTTTTTCTTTCCCATTTTTACTATCACTTGATGCTAATTCATCTAATGCTTTATTAATATCCGCAACTGTATACTCTTCAAATTCAGATACATCTCTTCTATGTGCAATAATTTTTGAAGCTTGAATTGCTATATCTCTAAGCTTTTTTTCATCCAGTGAAAATCTTTTTGAAGCTTGATATTTTCTATTCCAAAAATTAAGTGTATTCCAATCTTCTGAATTTTTAGGTATATGATACATTTTGATAATTATTTGTGCTAATGTTTTCTCTTGCATGTAATATAATCGACCTGCTTTTTCAGGGAAGATCAATTTTGAACTTGGAAATATATCTAAACCAATATGTGTTTTGAAAGTATCAATAAATTGATTTATAATTTGAGCTTTTCTTTCAGTCATTGTAGAAGCTTCACCCATATTTTCTCTTGAAACACCATATATTTTATCAAATAATTCCTTCGTGAGTAAAGTCAATGTCGGTTCAACATTATTTGGTGGTGGTGGTTTAACCTCACCATTAAATGGTGACATCTTGAGGATCAATCTTTTGGTGGATGATACGTGTTTTAAAACTCGGTATCTTTAGTGTGTGATACGCGTTTCACGAATTTGGTTGTAAAAATAAATGATAGAATATTTAGAGGCAAATTATAAAACATGCTTAAGGGGCTTTAAACTTTAAATTAGGGGGCTAGTATATAAGGAGTATTAAGAAACAACATTTTCAACTTCACTATAATTCACAATCGAGAGTGCACCCGATTTTGCAGCCAATATTTATTTTAGATCATGACATTTTAAAGTATTACAATGACTTTGATGAAATTTACTAAATTAGAAATTTCCACCACAGAACGATTTAGTAAAGTACAAGAGATCTGTCATTTCTAACACTAATTCGGTCATATTATACTCAATTTCTCTGACCTAAGACAAACGTCAACAAGTCACTAATTTGTTATGCCATACACCTTACTTAAGCTAGCTTGTGAAATTTAACAGTCTCATTAAACTTAAGGAAACAACAAAGATAATACCAGCTACACTTTAATCTATACTTCATATATATAATATAACCCAATCAATGAAATTTCAATTTTTATTAATCGCAATTTTCGAATTTACAATCAAACAACAACGAATCATGGAATTAAAAATTTTAATTTTAACAATATTTTCATTAACATTAGTTTCTGCAATTAATAAAAAAGGTACTAAGGCAACCAATACTCATCATAATCATAATCATCATAATCATCATCCTAAAAATTCAACTTCAACTACTGCTGATAATGTTAAAGCAAATGCAAATGTAAATGGTAATATTCATGGAAATACAAATTCAAATTCAAATGGAAATGGAAATGCTACAAGTACTTTAACTAAAACTCAAGCTGGTGATGCTGTTAGAGGTATGCATATTGCTGGTGCTGTTGCTGTTGCTGCTGGGGCTATTTTATTGTAAGTTGTTCTGAGAATTGGGACGCTTAAAATGTTAGACTTTAATTATATAAAAGGCTTATTTATTTAATTTAATTATATTCTGATTTATTGTTGATGTGATAATCTTAAGAATGTTTCAGCCGTGTATGAAAATCTAAATTATTAAGACCATACTTTAATTTATGTAGAAAAAAGTACACGTACTTCTCCAGAAAATATGAAACTCTTATTAAACGATATCTAGTCGAAGCAAAGTCACTTATAACAAAGAGTGCATACACTCTATTTATAAGCTCAATCACAATGTCACTAAATAGTAATTCACCAGAAGTTATACCGCCAATAACAGAAAGTTCAAAACTAGAAGATCAACAAAAAGAAGAATCACCATCATCATCACCAAATAAACAAAAGAAAAAGACTAAATCATCCACATTATCAGACGAACAAAAAAAAGTATGTTCATTTCTTTTCATTATCTCCTTATAGTTTCCATACTAACAACCCCACCTAAAGGCTCATCATATAGCATCAGAACAAAAAAGAAGAGAAAATATAAGATCAGAATTTGATAAAATAGTATCATTAACTCCAAATTTAACAAAATCAGAAAATAGATCAGAATTAAATATTTTAACAAAATCTGCTGATTATATTGATCAATTAAAAGAAGAAAATTTAAAATTAATTGAAATGTGTAAACAAAGGGGAATTCAAGTACCTGATGAATTAATTTATAAAGGTCCTCAAAATGATGGTAGTGATATTGCCAAATAAAGTGTCATTCAAGCGTGAGGTGAATCTCACTACAAGTTTATGACTTAACGATATTTCTCAAATTTATCAGGCTATTCAGCATATTTGATTGATTAAATCGGAGGTATTCAAAGTTTGATACTAATCACGGAAATAGACAGTTCAAAATCTCAATTTGATGCTTTAGTCACAATCAAATAAACATTAAAAAGATAGATTTGATGCTTTAGTCACAATTAGATAAACCATAAAAAGATAGATCTAGAATAGATGTATATTGCATATATAATAAATAATCAATCATGATAATTCTTGTCTAATAATAATACAATAATTAAATTCATTACCTTCATAATTATATAATCTTCTTACAGGAATATATTCAGCATTTATTCCATCAATATTTTCAGTAGTTAATAATGTTATAAAAATTGATAATGATGAATTTGAAATTAATTTTGAAAAATTTTTTAATAAATTTGAATTTGATGTAAAAATTGTTATAAATTTATATGAATTATTTGATTTTGAAGATACGCTATAATATTCAAATTTTGATAACCATGAATCAATGTTAACATTTTCTTCTACTTCTATTTCTCCACTTGTGTTGACTTCCTCTTCTTCTTCAACTTTACCATTTACTTTCACCTCGTCTTCTTCATCATCATCATAATTTACAGTATTAATTTCTTCCATACTAAATCCACCCCATTCAACATAAGAACTTCTTGGTAATGCTCTAACTTCAGCAATAATTAAATTTTCTTTATAAGGACTTAAAGGTTCACATCTAACATTTATAAATTTATTCCAACATTCTCTTATTATTAAAACATAAGCACTATTTGTAATAAAACATAATATAGAAGCAGTTTTTATTACTCCCACCATATTTTTAACTCTTGATAAATGTTGTAATGATAATGCTGCATTATATGCTATATTATTTTCAGATATATCCATTGTTGAAGGAATTAATGGGATTTGACCTGATAAACTTGCAATTTTATATTTTGGTTGATGATCTATTATACTTTGAGAATATGGACCAATATTTTGAGGACCCCAATAAGATCTTGATTGAATATGTATCCCAGTTTTTGGATGAATATTTTTTAAAACAATACATGAAATTTGAATAGTTGTTGATATATCAGTTTCAAAACAAATTCTTGAAGGAGGTAAATAAATATTTTTAAAATAATTTGAATAAATTTTATTCATTCTTGCAAATAATGACATATCTGATAATAATACATTAACATGTTGTAAATCATTAAATGTTAAATCATATTGTAATAAAATTGTTTTTAAATTTTGAAATATTTCTTTTGTTTGATCTTCTATCGTTGCTCCATCATTTGATGTTAAATTATATATGAAAATTTTAGTTGGTGTGATTTTAATATTTTGTTTGGGGATATGATCAATTGTAAAATTTGATTTACTTTGAGCTGATACATCTTCATGTAATGATTCAGATTGTGCAATAATTAATAAATCAGGATCTAATAATGGTGGTGGTTCTAATAGCTTTAATTGTTTTGTAATTTCTTCTTTTTTTTTATCAACAATTTCAACTTTTAATTTTAAATAATATACATCATTTGAATGAGTTATAATTTCTTGATTAATAATTTTTAATTTTTGTTTTTTAAAAAATGGACAATCTAATACAATAGTTTCAAATTCTCCTCCTTCTCCACATATATGAACATCATACATTTCATTTAATTTTACTAAATGTGGATACATTTCTTTTAAATCTTTCCCCAAGTGTTTTTGATTTAAACCAATTGCTGCAACTTTTATAATTCTTGCATCTATTCCACTTGAACACATTTCTAACATTAAATCATTTTGATTTCTTTGCCATAAATAAGTTAAAGAAGTTAAATTTAATCTATTACAAACATTTTCAACTCTTGTTCTTTGATAATGAGATAGTATAGCTCCACAACTAACTGCTTCAATATTTGGATGTTTTGACTTTATAGTACTAATTAATTTATATAAATCTTCAATTTCATCATTTTCAGTATACAGATATTCCAAATTTTGATTTGATGAGCCACCAATAATTGGTTGTTTATATAATGGTACTTGTAATAATTGACTATAATAATCTATTATATCATAACCAACAGTTTGAAACATAAATGAATCTATTTCATCTTTTTTATCATTATTTGGTGGATATAAATTACCAATTGCTATTAATTCATGACCTTGTGATAAACAATGATATATATTAAAAAATGAATCTTTTCCTCCTGATATTAACGCAATAAACTTCATTAATTTAATTATAACATATGTGAGGGGTTAAAATGTATTTTAATTGTTAAATTTGATGGTAAATTGATTTGTAATGTATTTTCCTAGTTAGAATTTACCTTAGTTTAGTGATATGATACTTTGATAAGTGATTGATTAATAATGTATGTATAGTTTATGAAAAAAATTTAGTCTCTTGATTATATAAATTTAATAAATATTTTTATATTTTTAATAAATTGTGCATATAATAAAATAGAATACGAGTATCATCTTATATGTATGAAAAAAGAATTACTACCAATTGATCTATAAATATATCTAACTAAAATAGTCTACATCGATACATTCTATATGTAACAGCCTCTTGATGATATCTTAGATCTTGTGTAAAAAATAATTCTGATTTGTGATAGATACGACCTCACTACTCAAACAATGATTTGAAAGTATGTTAGATATAAGGACCAAAAAATTTTTGGTTTACAATTCAAGTCAAAAGGAAAGTTAAAAGAAACAAAAGTCAGATTACATCATTGATTTATAATTAGAGAACCTTTAAGACAAAAATCGGATTAATCCAACCCAACTTATTTAGGTTAATCTTTCACTTGTAGCGCTAGTAATATGCAAACATTATAAACCTAAGTTCGTTTCTTTGCTTATCGGTCCGAACTAAAAGCTTTGGTCAATTATGTTTCATAAATTCTCAGTATTGTGGTCTCAAATTATGTCTTCTTTGTGATGTAATTAATACTGATTTTTGTTCTCACTTTTGTAGAGTTTTGAAAAAATAATTAAATACACTGTCGTATCTTTCATACCAATCCTTCACATGGAAACGATGAAATGACCACTGTTTCAAATAAAAAAATCATTATAGATGGAGCATTAGGAACAGAATTAGAAAATTTAATTGATTCTAAAGTTTCATATTTACCAAGTAAGAGTCCTTTATGGTCAGGTCAAGTTTTAATAGATGCGCCGCATTTTGTTGAAAAAGTTCATCAATCATATATTGAATCAGGCTCAAATTTAATTATAACTTCAACTTATCAATTATCTTATAAAAGTTTACAAAAACATACCAAATTTAATGATGATGAAATAAAAAATTTATGGCAAAAATCAATAGATGTTATATATGAAGCTATATCGAAAGCTAGTTCAACAAACAAATTTAATAAAATCCAAGTTGCTGGTTCAATAGGTCCTTATGCTGCATTTCTGGCTAATGGATCTGAATATACTGGAGATTACGGTCTGATAAATATTTTAGAATTACAAGAGTTTCATAAACCTTTGGTAGAATTTTTTTCAATCAACAAAGGAATTGATTTCCTATTATTTGAAACAATACCGAATTTTTTAGAATTAAAAGCTGTTAATGAATATATGAAAGAATCAAAAATTAAAGATTATGTCCTAAGTATAACTTGTCAATCAAAAGATAAATTAACAGATGGAACACCACTAGAAGAAGTTAAAAATTATCTTGATTCAAATTATGATTCAAAATTATTAAGTATAAATTGTGTTGATTATACTTTGATAAATAATATAATTTCTCAATTTCCAGGATATAAATTTTATATATATCCAAATTTAGGATTTGAATATGATTCAAATTTACATCAATTTAAACCCAAAGATTATACAGGTGAAAATACATGGAAAAAATTTATTGAAAATTTAAATAAAGATGAAAGAATCTTGGGAATCGGTGGTTGTTGCAATACTGGACCAAAAGAAATTAAACAAATATATGATATAGTGAATTCCTAGGTATTGTTTTGTTGTTGTTGTTCTAGTTGCATTTGAATTACTTATACGGGTATCAGTCTAGATCCATTGCCATGACTTAATTCTCCCTAGATCTACTTATCGAGAGATTCAAAGATCATACGACTAAAGATTATTATAAAATTTCATGATTTGTTGAAGCATATTACGCTAACTAAAACTTTTATAACATGAAATGATTCAGGTACAACCAGAAAAAGAAAATAAAGTATTGTTAAGTCCGATATAATATCGTAAAATCCGAGACCTGCATAATATTTGAAAATTTGTTGGTTTACTATCAATGAAAAGTTCAAACAACTTTAATATGTATGTATCTTTGTAGATTAAGTCCTTTGAAGCCTCTTAATTTAAGTGTAATCAATTAATTCGTACTGGTTTTAAAACAATTTAGTCAAGTGGTTTGTTTTGTAAAAAGATCCGCTTTTTCACATTAAAAAATGTCAGGGAATCCAAAAATTTATCCGTAAAAGTACTTACAACTAAATTCAGCTGAAAAATCGGAAGCATGGCTCTTACTAAATCAACTAGTATCAACGCCTTATTTAACTATTGGTGTAATGTTTCTTTTATTTGGTTTGTGAGTGTAGCACAATACATGTTAAAACATCGTTTGATTTCAAGTTATTTAACACATGAAAAAAAACGGTAATTCTTTCAACTTTATTTTTGTGTCATATTCCCCACTTTAGTTAAAATTTATATCAACATCATTTACAATTTCATATTATAATTTGAAAATACTACTGATTTAACTACTTATAGATATATATATCGAGAGATCTGTCAAAAAAACTTTCTAATTCATTCAACATTATCTAAAAAACTTGTATAAACATTTCACCATCAATTCAATATGTCTTCAGTCACATTAACAAAAGAATCTCATAAAAATCCAACAAAATTTAGAATTAAATATGATGATTGTAAAGATGTTTTAGGACCAGAAGAAAAAGCTAAAAATCATATTAATGATTCATTACCAATACAACATTCATCATCAAAAGTTTCAATTATTGGAGCAGGTTTTGCAGGTATTGGAAGTGCAATAAAAACAATTAAAGATTTAAAAGTTGATGATATTACAATTTTTGAAAAACATGATAATTTTGGTGGAACTTGGTATGCAAATACTTATCCAGGTTGTGCTTCAGATATTCCTGCTTTATGGTATTCATATTCTTTTGAATTAACATCAAATTGGTCAAGAATTCAACCTCCTCAATATGAAATGGAAGAATATATATTAAGAGTAACTTCAAAATATAATTTAAAAGAAAAAGCAAAATTTCAAACTTTTATTGATAAATGTATTTTTAATAATAAAACTGGAATTTGGACATTATATGGTCATAATATAAAAACTGGACAAAAATTTGAACATACATCTCAAATATTATTAGGTTGTTCTGGTGGATTAGTTAATCCAAGTCAATTAAAAGTTGAAGGAATTGAAAATTTTAAGGGTAAATATATGCATTCAGCAATTTGGGATCATTCAGTTGATTTTAAAAATAAAGATGTTGTAGTTGTTGGTAATGGATGTTCTGCAAATCAAGTTGTACCTGCTTTATTAAATGATCCTCAATATAATGTTAAATCAATTTTTCAAATTGCAAGATCAAAACATTATATAATGCCCCCTGTCCCCAAAATTTTATTTTATTTATATCGATTATTAAGTTTTAATTATTTTACTTTATGGTTAGTAAGATTTTTAGTTATTTTCATTGCTGAATTAAGAGTTCCATTATATAAAGGTAATGGTATATTATCAAGAATTGTAAGATGGATAAATACAAAAGTTTCAGTAAATTATATGAAAAAAAATTCTCCAAAAAAATATCATGATATTATAATACCTGATTATAAAATTGGTTGTAAAAGATTAATTTTTGATTATAAATATGTTCCTGCATTAAATGATCCAAGAATTGATGTTACAAATCGTAATATACAAAAAGTTGTTGAAAATGGTATTATATTAGATAATGGAGAATTTATAAAAGCAGATATTATAGTTGCATGTACTGGATATGATATTTTTAAATCTTTTAAATTACCAGTAAGTACAACAGATGGATATTCAATGAATGAATTTTGGGATAAAGAAGGTCCAAGTGCTTATCGTACAATAATGGTTAAAAATATTCCAAATTTTTTTTTAATTGGTGGACCAAATTCAGCAACTGGTCATTCATCAGTTGTAATGGCTATTGAAAATGGTATTGATTATTATTTAAAAGTTGCAAAACCAATAATTGAAGGAAAAGATAAATCAGTTGTAGTTAAAACTGAAGCTTATGATAATTGGTTTAAAACAATTCAAGAAGAATTAAGAAAATCTGTTTTTGGTACTGCTTTTGGTGGTTGTATTTCATGGTATGCAAGTCAAGGAGTTAATCCAACTGCTTATGCTTGGAGTCAAATTCATTATTGGTATGTTACTCATTTTCCAAATTATAAAGATTTAATTTATAAACCTGAAGATAATAAAAAGATAATATAGACTATTAAATAGAATTAAATAAATTATAAAATTTTTAAATTTATGGTTCTTGATAATTTTGGAAAACATGTGTATAAATTTTATTCAAACAATTTTAATTTAAATTGGATATCAACCGTTGCTCCATTCAACGGAGTGTATCTATTAATTTTTAATCTACAACTTCAATCAAGACCCATTAATTACATCAATTAGATGATATCAGTCTCCTGAGTGGTAAGATCATCAATCTAGCAAATCAAATTGGGGTAATATCTATTTTCTTGGGTTTAATCATCATGAGAATCGTCATAAAAAGCTTTTTTAAAGATTTTGAAAAGCTTAAACTACGGAATTGATGTAATTACAAACTTTTTAAAAGGAGATTCAATATTATTTTTAATCTCCTTCACTATACAAAATTAATATGGATCTTTCTATTAGAATATATTTATATATATTTTTAATTTACCAAATTCAGACATATTATTTAAAATACCTTGAACGGCATGAAATTAAGCTTCTGAGCCTGAATCTTAGTTACAAAACTTTCCCTGAAACAAAACCAATTTAATCTGACCTCATGGCCGTTAACGGACTAAAGCTAGTCATGTCAAAGGTTGTTGACAGAATGACTGAGATACTTGTACTGTGCTTACAATTATTTTTGATCTACCTTATGGAAAGCGATTAATATTCTATCTACTTTACGCAAGACAATAATTTTTATAGATAACGTCAGTTCAATTGCATTGGCAAAAATTCAAATATGATAGCAAGTAAGAAATTATCAATCTATGATTTGCTAGTTTATTCATGTTTGCCTTAAACCGGCATGGGTCACAAATAAATCAAGAAAAATTTGTTGTTTCAAAATATGGTTGCAAAGCTTAATTATATTTTGCAACTATTTGACAATACCAACCAAAACATAAAAAAAAAAAAAAACATGAATTAATTCAACCAAAGTTTAATAAAGTAATTGAAATAGATAAACTTGATGAATTTGATAAAGAAAAACTTGCAAAATATGATATCCCTTAAGTGTGGATGTTATCTTGAAATTTTCTTGGGATCTTATTTTCTTTAATGGAATGTTATAAAAAGATAAAACTTTCACCAAACTGAAAAGAAATAATCCTGAACTCATCAACACAACTTTCATCAATCAAATAATACTTTGAGAAATTTGTATAAATTGCATAAACTAATAAATAATTAATAAAAATGTCAGCTTCTACATCACTTTTTAGTCAAAATCCAAGTCATGATTATGTAACTGAAGTAGTTGAATTAACAGAAACAACAGGTAATCAAGGTGGTAGAGGTTATGGAACAGTTAGTGGTCAAACTTTTGAAGTTGGTACTGGAGATATACCTTTAACTCAAAGTTTAGGTGCAGTTTATCAAATTGATATTTATGAAATTGCAGAGCATACTACGGATGGGAGAACAGTTCATCAATTACGAGGACCAGTTTATAGTTCAACATCTACTGTTCTTAGTGGAATTAGTGGAAATGATCAATCTAAATTGGGTGTAAGTGGATTCATTGTCTTTTTATTGGTTTTCATTAATACTTTGTTAGGAGTTTAAATATGTTTGATATGAATCAACTTTAAGATGTGATTTTCACCTAACGTTCAAATTTTTTATATTTTTATTTTGACTAATACTTCATTACTTTCAGACTTAATTTTAACAATTTTTTTTTCAAATATTTGGTCATTTTTTATTACATTTGCTTTAATTGATATTCATAAATCACTACCTTTTTTTTATTTAATTGATTTATTTCAATCAAAGTAACTTTTTAAATAAATTTTAATAAAAGATATGAAAAAAATAATTTGAATTCTGTAAGTAATTGAGTTAGTACTTGCTAACAGCTAACTATTATCTATTTATAAATAATATTTAGATCTCTCGTAAATGTTTCGTAAATGTTTCATCTCTTAAAATACCATGCTCAAGTGTCAAATTCAAGACCTCGGTGTCAATTCTCGAGATCGCATGGGAAAAAATTTTTGAGTGTTATTGGTCCTGAGTACATCAAATTTAAAATGATTATTGAACTGACGACCATTAATAATCATCATTTCAATAAATTGCTACTTTCATATGACTTTCGAGTTGATGGATCACAATTGTTCTTGGGTGGTCATTGTCATGAGTATTTACAAGATGATGGAATTTTGAAAATGCCTTGGTACAAATTCTAACAAAATGTTCAAAATTTCCTCAAATTGTAAAATCTCATGCCAACCACTATCCAATACAATGCTAAGTGTGATTTAGAAAAAGTTAATTGTTTAAATACTTCTAACACGTAATTAAAAATTCAATTAACACGAAATTAAAAATTCGAATGAATTGACTTTATAATTACGTGTTAGAAGTAATCAAGGAAGTAAGTCAATAAACTATCTCAATAACAACCACAAGAATAAAAGAAAAACATTTGCCCTAGTAACCCAAATGGAAATTATTCTTAGGAAAATTGTTTCATGAATCAAAACAAAAGGTCAGAAATCAAATAATTCTTCAAGTGAAAACAAAATCTATCTACAACAGCAATAATAAAATCTTTGAATCAACTTTTGATGAAGCACTTTCATCACAAAATTAAGTAAAACAGCAGGCCTGGTGAGCGGTTTTATGAAAACCTACTGAAATTGGGAGATAACTAAGACCAGGGAAGAACAAAAGAAATCACAGCAGCACTAGTGTTTAAAAATGCAAAAAATTTACAAATCCAATATTGAGATTTTAAATTTCAGGAAATGTTCTCGTTATAAATCACTATTAATTAGAGTATGGACAAATTGTTAAAAAAAAAATTGGAATTCAATAATAATTCCAAATAAAAATCAAGAGAATGATCAGTTGAGTTTGAAGGACTATTTTACAATTTGTCAATACTGTGTTGATACCTTTTATCAACATGAACATTATATTCATCAAATAGACCATTAATTTGCTTGTCTGAACGTATTTACTGGTTATCGCAATTGACCCTTTTTTAAACTTATTGACATCAACATTGTTTCTTTCACAATAGGCTAAGACAAAGTGAAACTGAAAGCTCTTTGTTGATCGAATCTACGAATTAAAAGCTTTGCCTAATTCACCAATTACTGGATCATCTATGCAAGATATTAAGGATACTATCCCTAGATTCGATCATCAATTAGGCGTAGCTGTTAAGGATACAATTCGTAGATTCGATCCATTGCGAGGTTTAAAACTGTTTTTTGAAAAGATTGCGCACTATTCAGATCATTTTACTAAGTAGTCGACAATAAATCATTCAACAATCTGGGGTAATATCGGGTTTTAAAATCCAAATACAAATTTTGCAATCTAAAAAGAAGTCAAATAATTAATTCTAATTTTAAGTAACACAAAGTTGTATTACTGTAGTAATTTAAATTTTAAACGTGTATTAAATCTGACAGCTTTTACTATAATAATAATACGTCAAGCTCTTGTTTCTTACGGAGTCAATCATTTTGCTCGTTAATAAATGAGAGTTAAAGTAAAAATTTAGGTCGACAAAAGAAGGCAAAATGTAAATTAAACTGTCCATACAAACCTAGAATTTGGTCCTAGTTTATTGCTAGTTGTTCTTTTGCTGAGAGGTATTAAAAGCTATCAACCCGGTCAAATAATGAGTTCACAACTTAGTTTGACTTCTTGTACTTTCGTGACACAAACATGTACTTCTTTATCTTAATATAAAAAAAAATATTTATTTTTTTTGATAAAAAGACGTTAAAAAGAAACGGCATTATTATTTTAAAAAAATGTAAATTTCCACTAATTATTACCATTACTACCACGAATTGTCGTTGTAATGATAATAGGATTGATGAGTGGAAGACATACAATGCCTCTTTAACCACATATCAAAATTTGAAGTAGTATTTCCTATAAATTGTGTTTTTCTAACTTCTTTTCAAATGTATGTGAATCTGAATCATAAATAAATTTATTTTTCAATTATTACATACTAAAATCACAGTTATAACATCATACATAGAAATTTTATTTTTAAATTTTTTAGAATTTATATATTCAATTTTACATTTCAAATTTTTCATTTCATTTCATTTCTACTCTTCTTAACTTTCTTATCATTAAAAACTTTACATTCTTTTCAATAGTATCAATAATAATAATAATAATAAGATGCTTAGAAGTTCAAGGTCTTTAATTAGATCATCAACAAAAACAAATTCATTTTTAAAAATCAAATCATTCAATTCAATTAAATCATCATCATCATGTTTTAAAATTACATCATCATCAACTATTCATTATAGATCATTAGCTACTTCAACTAATCAAGCAGATACTTCATCATTAAATTATTCAAAAGTTTTTAATCCAAATTCTGAAAAAGTTTCATTATTAAATTTAGATACTTTTGCAAGAAGACATATTGGACCAAATCCTGAAGAAGTTAAAAAAATGTTGGAAACTTTAGGTTATTCTGATCTAGATGAATTTTTATCAAGTGCTGTACCTGAACATATTTTATTTAAACGTAAATTACAAATTGAACCAAAACAAGGTTTTACTGAACAAGAAATGTTAAAACATTTACATGAAATAGCAGGAAAAAACAAGATATATAAATCTTTTATTGGTAAAGGATATGCTGGTACTATATTACCGCCTGTTATTCAAAGAAATTTATTAGAATCACCAGAATGGTATACTTCTTATACTCCTTATCAACCAGAAATATCTCAAGGTAGATTACAAAGTTTATTAAATTATCAAACTATGATAACTTCATTAACTGGATTAGATATGGCAAATGCTTCATTATTAGATGAAGGTACTGCTGCAGCTGAAGCAATGAGTTTATCTTTCAATAATGCAAAAGGTAAAAAAACCATATATGTTATAGATTCAGAATTACATCCACAAACTAAAGAAGTTATAAAATCAAGAGCTGAAAATATAAGTGTTGAAATTAAAGAATTAAATTTATCAACATCAGAAGGTATAGAAGAATTGAAAAACAATATAAAAAATGTTTGTGGTGCTTTAGTACAATATCCAACTACAAATGGTTCAATTCATAATTATACTGAAATAGGAGAGATTTTACATGAAAATAAAGTATTATTTGCAATGGCTACTGATTTATTAGCATTAACATTAATTAAACCACCAAGTTATTATGGTGCTGATATAGCATTAGGAACTTCACAAAGATTTGGTGTACCATTTGGTTATGGTGGACCTCATGCTGCATTTTTTGCTACATCACAAAAATATGCAAGAAAAATTCCTGGTAGAATTGTTGGTGTTTCAAAAGATAGATTAGGTAATCCTGCTTTAAGATTAGCTTTACAAACAAGAGAACAACATATTAAAAGAGAAAAAGCTACATCTAATATTTGTACTGCTCAAGCTTTATTGGCTAATATTGCTGCTAATTATGCTGTTTATCATGGACCTGAAGGTTTGAAAAATATAGCTAAAAGAGTTTATGGTTTTACTACATTATTAGCTAATGAAATTACCAAAAAGCATGAAATTTTAAATGATAAATGGTTTGATACATTAACTATTAAATTGAATGGAATATCATCTGATGAAATTTTAAAACAAGCTTTGGAAAAATATGGTATTAATTTATTCAAAGTAGATGATTCAACAGTATCATTACAATTAGATGAAACTGTTGAAAAACAAGATTTAATAAATTTAATAGAATTATTTACAGGTGAAATCATTGAACCATCAACTGACTTACCAGAATTGCCCCAAGACTTATTAAGAACTGATGAAATTTTAACTCATGATAATTTTAATACTCATCATTCAGAAACTGCTATGTTAAGATATTTACATCTTTTACAATCAAAAGATTTATCATTAGCAAATTCAATGATTCCATTAGGTTCATGTACAATGAAATTAAATGCAACAGTTGAAATGCAATCATTATCAATTCCAGGTTTTAGTTCAATACATCCTTTTGTTCCAATAGATCAAGCTCAAGGTTATAAAGAATTAGTTGATGAATTTGAAAAAGATTTAAATGATATTACAGGATTTGATGCAACAACATCAATGCCAAATTCTGGAGCTCAAGGTGAATATACTGGTTTATCGTTAATTAGACAATATCATAAATCAAAAGGTGAATATGAACAAAGAAATATATGTCTTATTCCTGTTTCTGCTCATGGTACAAATCCTGCATCTGCTGCTATGTGTGGTTTAAAAGTTGTACCAGTTAAATGTTTAGATAATGGATCCATAGATTTAAAAGATTTAAAAGAAAAAGCTGAAAAACATGCAAAAAATTTATGTTCTATAATGATTACTTATCCATCAACTTATGGATTATTTGAACCAGGTGTAAAAGAAGCTATAGATATTGTTCATGAAAATGGTGGATTAGTTTATTTAGATGGTGCAAATATGAATGCTCAAGTTGGTTTAACATCACCAGGAGATTTAGGAGCTGATGTTTGTCATTTAAATATTCATAAAACTTTTGCATTAAGTCATGGTGGTGGAGGACCAGGTCAAGCACCAGTATGTGTTAAAGATCATTTAAAACCATTTTTACCAAAACATCATTTTATTAAAACTCCACATTCAACTGAAGAAAGTATAAAATCTGTAAATTCTGCTCCTTATGGTAGTGCAGCTGTAATACCTGTATCATATTCATATATTAAAATGTTAGGATCAGATGCATTACCATATGCATCAACTATAGCAATGTTAAATGCTAATTATATTTTATCTAAACTTGAAAAATATTATAAAATTTTATTTGTTGATCATAAAGCATCATCAAATGAAGGTTTAAAACATTGTGCTCATGAATTTATATTAGATTTAAGAGAATTTCAAAAAATTGGTATTGAAGCAATTGATATTGCTAAAAGATTACAAGATTATGGTTTCCATGCTCCAACTATGTCATTCCCAGTAGCAGGAACTTTAATGATTGAACCAACAGAATCTGAAAATTTAGCAGAATTAGATAGATTTATTGATTCTTTTATTTCAATAAGAAAAGAAATTGATGCTTATGCTAATGGAGAACCATTAGGTCAAGTTTTAAAAAATGCTCCACATTCTCAACAAGATATAATAAGTTCAAAAGATTGGGATAAAAGAGGTTATACAAGAGAACAAGCTGCTTATCCATTAGAGTTTTTAAAAGAAAATAAATGTTGGCCAACTGTTTCAAGATTAGATGATACTTATGGTGATTTGAATTTAATATGTACTTGTCCATCAGTTGAAGAAGTAGCAGCTGATCAATAGGTATATTCAAAAGTACTGGGGTAGTTTGAATCAACTATTAATTACAAAATCATTATTCATTTCGTATTCAGCCTTTTAATAAAAAATATAAATTATTATTATTATAGAAGTAATTATATATAAAATATATAGACTTAAAATTCACATTTTTAATATCATTTCAATCTAATTTATCTCTTTAAATTGCAAGATAGTGTGCTTCAAGGCTCTTCCAATCTCTACTGCTGTGTGATAATAATCCATAGGTGGTGGTGTTAATAAAATTGATTACTCCATAACTTACACAAAGATAATCTTCTATTATAATTTAAAAATTAAATCTCTCCTTCAACTTTATTGTTTAAACAATCTATTCCCCAAAACACTATTTACAACCAACATTTAAATAGATTGTTTCCTTAATAAAACGATCCAGTCATACAAGCATTGAACCTACCATTACAAAGTAACTGTTGGCAATATATCTTTATATTTATCCTAGTTCTGGAGTACATTAAATGTCGTAAATATAATTATATCAACTAAATTCATATTTTTTCATCAACCACATCAAAATACATAATTTAAACTAATAAACAAATACCCCAACAATTTTTTATTTTAATCAACTAACTAGTCTATTTATTTAAACTTAGTAAATGGATTGGTATACAAATTCAAATCATAAAAAAAGAAATTCGTTAAATAATAACAATTTTGCAGGTTTAAATTTAAATTCAACAACAACAATTCAAAATAATAATAATAATAATTTTAATGGAAGATCAAGTGGTCAAAATTCACCTGCTACATCATATTCAAATTTAAACAATAATATAGATAATATAAATAATTCATATCATAATTATTCTATGAAACATCAACATCATAATCATCATCAACAAAGTCAACAGATTCCATATTCACAATACAATAATCAAAATTTACAACCTCCATATCATATAAATACAACAGGAAGGAGTCCTAGTCAAATATCTACATCACCATCAAATATGACAACACCAATTGGTTTCACGTCTTCAAATATTAATTCTTTATCTAATACTCCAATGATTAATGCATATACTTCATCTAATTCTAATTCATCTTCAATTCCAATTAATAATCCAATGTCTGCTATACCAAATTATATGACATCATCATCAAATAATACTCCAATTGGATCAAGTACAACTCCAGTTGAAAGAAATTCATATTATTTTAGTCAATTTCCTTTATTTACTTGTGATTGGACTACAATAAATAATAATTCATTAAATTGTATTGCTTTAGGATCATATAAAGAAGGTTTTACAAATAAGTTAGAAATTGTTCATGGTACAAATTATGATAATGAAAATCAATATTCACGATATCAACAACAACAACATCATCCACATCTTAATCCACAGATACCAAACTCCTCTTCATCTTCTTTACTTCCAGATGGATCTAGTCTACCGAACAATACAAACAATTATTATGATGATTATGATAATTCAGAATCAGATGGAATTTTATTTCAAAAAGTTGCAGAAACTAATTTAAATTATCCAATAACTCATTTAAAATGGGATCCATCAATGTTAAAATATAATAATTATGATTCTCAAAGATTAGCTGCTTCAAGTGAAGTTTTAAGGCTTTATAATGTTAAAGAATCAAATGACTCCAATTTTAATTTGATACAAACTCATATATTAGCTAATAATACTGCTACAAATACATCAAAATCATCAACATCAAATTTACATGATAATGATATTAATACTTTACCTCCAGTAACTTCATTTGATTGGAATACAACAGATCCAAATATTTTAATTACTTCAAGTGTTGATACAACTTGTACAGTATGGGATTTAAATCGATCTCATTCATATGATGAATTTACAGATACTGCAGTTGTAAAAACTCAATTAATTGCTCATGATTCAGAAGTTTTTGATGTTAAATTTATTCATAAATCAACAAATGTATTTGTATCAGTTGGAAATGATGGATCAATGAGAGTTTTTGATTTAAGATCATTAGAACATTCAACAATTATATATGAACCACAACCAGAACCTCCATCAACATCAACAACAAAAAAGAATATACAATCTCAAAGAATTCATTCATCAAATTTTAATTCAAAAGCATTATTAAAATTATCAGCTTCAAATATTGATCAACATCATTTAGCTACTATAGGAGTAAATTCAAATCAAATTATAATAATAGACATGAGAATGCCAGGTATACCAATGGCAACAATAGATGGTTCAATAAATTCAAATCCAAATTTCTCATCATCAGCTTCAATAAATTCAATATCATGGCATCCAACATCAAATTATTTATTATCTGGTGGTGATGATTGTCAAGCATTAGTATGGGATATAAATAATTTACATAACAACCATAACTCAAATTATACAAATTCTTCAAGTTCTTCAAGTTTATCAAATGGAGGAAATAATGGAAATAATGGAAATAATAATGGAAATGATTCAACAAGTAGTAGTATTAATGGAGGATCAGGACTTATAATTGATACTCCTGTATTAGCTTATGAAGAAGATTTAGAAGTTAACAATGTTTGTTGGAAACAAAATTCTGGTGATTATATGGGTGTTGTTAGTGGTAAAGGATTTCAAGCGGTTAAGATATAATACTTATCATTTAGGTTCATACTCGTAGTATTAATGTTTAATAAAACAATTTTCAATTCATCTTTAAGAGAGTCTTACTAATTTTTCATACTCTACAATAATAACAAAGATCTTTTTAAAAAAATTTATTTTGATAAAAAAAAATTTCTCTAAATATTACTATATATCGATAAATTAAAACTTAATAAAAAAACATGATGATGATGATTTTAAAACAATTATAAAATAAGATTAATCACTGATCAATTTATTTTTTAGCAGCTTTTTGAGCAGCTTTAGTAACTTTACCAGCTTTATCTGATTTTTCAACTGATTTAATAACACCAACAGCAACAGTTTGTCTCATATCTCTAACAGCAAATCTACCTAATGGTGGGTAATCAGTGAAAGCTTCAACACACATTGGTTTAGTTGGAACCATTTTAACAATAGCAGCATCACCTGATTTAACAAATTTTGGATTTTCTTCTAATTTTTTACCAGTTCTTCTATCAATTTTTTCAATTAATGTATCGAATTTACAAGCAATATGAGCAGTATGACAATCTAAAACTGGAGAGTAACCAGCTGAGATTTGACCTGGATGATTTAAAACAATAACTTGAGCATTGAATGAATCACAACCTTTTGGTGGATCATTTTTAGAATCACCACAAACGTTACCTCTTCTAATTTCTTTAACTGAAACGTTTTTAACATTGAAACCAACATTATCACCTGGAACACCTTCAGCTAATTGTTCATGATGCATTTCAACGGATTTAACTTCAGTAGTAACACCAGCTGGAGCAAAAGTAACAACCATACCAGCTTTGATAACACCGGTTTCAACTCTACCGACTGGCACAGTTCCAATACCACCAATTTTATAAACATCTTGTAATGGTAATCTTAATGGTTTATCAGTTGGTCTTGAAGGTGGTTCAATAGCATCAATAGCTTCTAATAAAGTTTTACCAGTTGATTTACCAGCTTTAGTTTCTTTTTCCCAACCTTTATACCATGGACAGTTAGTTGATGGTTCAATCATATTGTCACCATTCCAACCTGAAATTGGAACGAATGGAACTGTTTTTGGATTATAACCAACTTTTTTAACGAAATTTGAAGTTTCTTTTATAATTTCTTCAAATCTATTTTTATCCCATTTAACTGAATCCATTTTGTTAACAGCAACAATTAATTGTTTAACACCTAAAGTATAAGCTAATAAAGCATGTTCTCTGGTTTGACCATCTTTTGAAATACCAGCTTCGAATTCACCAGTACCACCAGCAATAATTAAAATAGCACAATCAGCTTGTGAAGTACCAGTAATCATATTCTTAATAAAATCTCTATGACCTGGAGCATCAATAACAGTAACATGATATTTTGGAGTTTCGAATTTCCATAAAGCGATATCAATGGTAATACCTCTTTCTCTTTCAGCTTTTAATTTATCTAAGACCCAAGCATATTTGAAAGAACCTTTACCTAATTCAGCAGCTTCTTTTTCGAATTTTTCAATGGTTCTTTTATCAATACCACCACATTTATAAATTAAATGTCCAGTAGTGGTTGATTTACCTGAATCGACGTGACCGATAACAACGACGTTAACGTGAGTTTTTTCTTTACCCATTGTGATTAATGATTAATTAAAGTTAAGTTGAAGAAGAAGGAAGGAAAGAAAGAAGAGAAATAAGAAGAGAAAATTTTTTCAATAAAAATTGGACAACTCATTTTTTTTTTTTCAGAGATAAATTTTTCAAGTTACAAAATTGAAGGAGACTTGTAATGAATACAAAAACAAAGAATTTTCAGACATTTAGTTTGAATCATAGTAATGATAGTAGTTATTTGACTCAATTGAAGAGATATACATCATTCAAATTGAACTATAAACAGTAAAAACAAAATAGACTAAATCAGTGACTCAATTGAATTCGATTTACTTACAATTGTACATATGACCAATAACAAGAATCAAATTCTCCCAGCTCCTTGTTATGACAACATTGCACTACCAAATGAATTATAGGAAGTTTTCAAACAGTTCAAAGTCAAATTGATCTAAACTTTGAAAACGAATGTTAACATTTTGTTAGATCCAAATATGAGTCATTAAAAGTTGTAGAGTAAAAAACAGGAAAATGCTTTTTTGGGTGGCAAATGAGAAGTGTTTCATGTGTTTTTAACGTAATAATATTATGATACTGGATAATGTCGGATTATAATAATTATAATGAAAAAATTCGTCTGAATAATAAATAATATCTATCTAAACTTTATTATATTTTATCTCCTCATCATCTCTGTCTTGTTTCATATTTCAGGGTGAAAAATTTGTAGAATAGTTTAATGAGCAATTGAACTATAAATAGAATTATAATCTACTCTACTATCTGTGACTAATACAATTGATTGAATGAATCCAAACATTTAATAGATTCACTTAACATACATAATTTGATTTGCCTTCTTGATTTGATTTTTAATTTATAAAAATAAATTAAGTGATAGCATCGTAAATAAAAAATGTCTGATTTGAAAAAGTGTCTGTAATTTTTCACCCCTCCGTTTAATTATTTAAAAGTTGATTGAAAACGGGCTAGTTTCAAGTTTGTTTCGAGTAGCTTTTAATCAGTTGATGCACAGTTAAAATCAGAATTATAATGTAAATCTGTTTGTAAATTGTAGCAAGATTATAATTAATATTTGAAGTTTGACGGAGAAAAGTATGTTTCATAATTTGCAGGTGAGTGCAATATTAAGCTCAATATTTTGCAAAAGATTCAATTACAATTGATATTCATAAAATCATGGATCTTTCAAAATTTCTCCGAAGACTTTAGTATCAAATGGATGAAGAAAAGTGAATTGATCAAGATGACTTTAAGAATATTGGTCAATTCGCTACTTCATAATAGTGATAATGTTGAATAGAAGTAAGTTCTTAGCATCACAAACCAAACTCAGTATAGATGTTGTACGTTATATATATTATTATTGTTTTACCTATATATAAGAACTCTCTTAATCTCTTTCCTGAATTATATATCAAAATGCTAACTAATAATAGATTTCTTAAAATTGAAACCAAACATATTTCTTCCACTTATATAACACTGTTATTACTATTATTATGAATACTTGCTTGACGTAAAGAAGTAGTATCAATACTATCCATTGAAGATCTTGTTGTACTTGTTGAAGATCTTCTTCTAAAATTTCTTGCAGATTGAGGATCAGTTCTACGACCTTTTGAATTTGCAAATAATCCTAATATATCAGTTAATGTTACAACACCAATTAATTTCCCAGTACCTCCAATATAACCTTGTTCTTGTTGTACTGCATTTGTTGCTAATGATACTCCACTGGTATTAACACTATTTGATGATGATGATTCACTACTTATTGAATTTGATCCATTAGGACGTTGATTATTACCACCACCATTATTATTATTACTCATTAAAGTTCCTTCAACACTTGCTGCTTTATCTAATACATTTGAATCAGCAGGTAATGGATATCCAGCAGTAACTCCATTATTATTAATTCCACTATTTGGAGCACTTGAAGATTGTGAACTTATACTACTTGCTTTTCTTGAAGTATCAACAACCCATAATCTATGAGATTCAGTAGCAACTAATTTTGCAATAACTCTACCTAAAGAACTTTGATTATTTACATGAAATATTGGAAATTGATCTTGACCTTCTTCAATACCCTTTTGTGATAAATTATAACTTATAAAATTTAATACTGGTTTATATAATAAATGAGAATTTTTTGAACTTGTTAAATTTCTAACATCAACTATTGATATATTACCAATTAAAGTTTTACCTCTATCTATAACAGCTAATGATGATACATTTTCATGAAACATCTTGTATAATGCATCTAAAACAGGTTGATCATCATAAATAGTTAAAGGATTATTTGAACCAATTTTTAAATCTTGTAAAGTTGAAGAAAGATAAAATTCTAATGAAGGAAATCTTCTAGCATTTTCCCACATATATTTAATTAATCTTCTTTGAGATAATATTCCAATAATTTTAGTTGATTCATTATTTGTTATAGCAATTCTATGAACTCCATTACCTAAAGTTTCCATTACAGAAAATAAAGTATCAATTTCAACAAATTTTATAAATGGATTTTTTGGATGTAATTTTATAATAAATTCAACTGGTACTTCTTCTCCTTTTTTAGCTTTATTTATATTAAATGTAATTAAATCATGTTTTTCTTTTAATGATGATTTTTCTTCACCAATTTCATCAACATTTAATTCAGAATAATCAATTTTATTCATAATTAATAATAAGTAAGTATTCAAATCACTATAATCAAATGTTAAACAATTTCTTAAATCTGTTGGATCATCTTTTGATATTGATACAGGAACACTTGTTAAATCATTTTTAACTAAAGTTTCAAATGCTGATTGAACTGAATGAGATGCATGAATACTTATTAATTTATTTGATTCAACAATTTCAGTCAATGGAATATCACTCCAATCTGGTGCTTGTGCTGTTGTTATAGATGCATTTCTTTCAGTTGAAGAATTTGAAGGATGATGATGTAAATGATGATTAAAAGGATTTATTGAACCTTGAGAAGTTCTTGATGAAATAGATGGATTTCTTGATAAACTTAAATGATGGATTGAATCATCTTGATCTATTGGTAATGGAGGTGGTGAACTTAATAATTCAACTATAGAAGGTTTACGTGATGGATGATTTGAACCATGACTTACACTATGAGAATGTGAATGATGATGATGTGGTTGCTGTTGTTGTTGAGAAGGTGCATGATGAAAATTAGATGAAGATTGTGAAGACACAGATGCATTTGAAGATTGTGATGAGTTAGTTGAAACATGATGTAAATGAGGATGAGTATGATGAGAAGGGTATTGTTGTTGTTGCAGTTGTTGATTATGTAATTGAGCATTCGCCATTGAAGGAGAAGGTTTTGATGAATTTGGATTATTTATTGATGAATGATTAGATGCAGCTGATAACAGCGATTGTGAAACTCTTGGTGATGAAGGTGGTTGATTTCTTGGTTGAGGAGGATTTACCATGATTTTTTAATATTGATATTGTTGAATGTGGTGTACAAATAAAAGGATTAAATGAAGTTTGAAATTGGTATTGTTAAATTATAATTGAACTTTATTGACAAAATTGAGATCAATTATGTAAATTTTGAAATAAGGCTGATAAATTGTTCAAGTAGTCTTAATGATAAATATTTTTTAAGCCTTGATAAATTCGAATTTTGACTTGATATAGAATTCTAGACTCCTTTTTCAAGCACTGAATGAATTGATTCTATTGTATTATTTGCTTATTATCAATATTGCCTTAATTAAAAGTTGGTTGTAAAACTAAAATAAATAAATAAGTTGTTGTTGTTGTAAAAAAAAAATCTGTTGATTAAATGTATAAAAAAAACTTTGATATTTTTTATTATGTAATTATTATGTTAATGTTAAGTATTTTGCTATTTAATATAATATATTAATTTTGTGTAATAAAAATGATAATGAGAAACGTAGTAATATTAAGCGGAGTAAAATTGAAATGAAAATCGAAGTAAAACAGTAGTTGTTGTGCTTGTATTCTGATCTTTAGGAACAATTGAGTCAAAGCAATAAAATACCAGCTTGAATCAAATTGTTTAATGAAATGCAAAACTGAATTAAAGATCGATTGATGAATACTTTAAAGGAGTAGGAAATGAAAATTTATTTTATGTAGAGGGAATGTACAATTATCAACAAAATTAATTTGAACGTTTTGTTTTCTGTTTGATCAATATCTTTAATCTTATGAAGTGTGTACTATTCTTAGTATTGAGGCTACAAAATTGAATTTAAGTCTGACTTTCAATTAAAATTGCGGGTAAGTATTGATGAATAAATAATTGGTTGAACTGATTAAATGAGATACTCTTAAAAGATTGGTAAATGTAGTATTAATAGTAATAAAGTAGAAGTGAAAATGAGGGGATAATTTCTTGAATTAAATGTATAAGTACCTAATAATCTTAATTAGATTAAAAACAATAAGATCGAAAACAATTAATTCTAATTGAATATTAAAATGAAAGCTACAATTGTTTTACTTTCTAATAGGTTTACAATATCATCAAAGTGATAATTTATTGATTAAAACCATTTTGAAAATAAATAGAATTTTAAAGAACAGATATTATTGAAACTAGATTTTGAAAAAGGCGATGAATTAAGTTATGTATACTTACTTACTAATTGAACATCTTTAGTATGTAATATAATATTACGTATATGTATATAGGGGTAAATATTTAGACTAATTATCTAAATAGGATCATTAAGTCATTCCTCTAACAATCTTTTAAATTCCGCTTTGATCAATTTCAATTTGATTAATTTGTCCCCCATTACGATAGCGTTTATGACGAGTCAGACCTCTTGAAGAGAAACGGAAACAAAATTGGAGAAATGGAAACAAAATTGCTAGCATTTAGACCATTGATGTAAAAGTGATGAATTGTATACAAATTAAAATAGGAGAGAGTTGTCTTACACAAAAACTATACATGTTGCAAAATTAATCAATTAAAATAAGATCAATCACAAAAGTTTAGATTTTATTATTTCAAATACTGATCTAGAATTTCTTGCATAATAGGAGTGACACCCTCGTTCAACTATGATTCTTCAGAACCTGATTTACACTTGTCGTATCCAAGAAAACCTAGAACTTTTAACGCCAATTGAAGTTGGAGAGACAAAGAGGAACATGATATCTAAAATTAGATAGGTTTATTTTCCACGAGCACGAACAAATAAAATGTTTGTGTTTCATATTTTCTCACATTAATCTCCTAAATTTACATTATATCCCTCGTCAAGATAACCAACTTCATAATCTATATTTTCACATGTCACTTTGTCAATTAAATTGAATCATTTATTCAAAAGCTTTTTAATTTGGTAATAGTGTGAAACAAGCAACAAGCCAAAACTCTCATAATATTATGTAATTATACGTTGATGCAACTCGGAAGGAAGAAAGGAAAAAAAAATTAACATTCGATTATTTTTTCTCATTTTCAAACATTTATGGTGTTAATTCTTTCAAGAAACAATGAGTGGACTTAGATTATTATTTTTCTTCTTATTTTCAATCAAAATCTCATGCCATATTTTTTGATTAAAGTAGTTTAGAAATATACTTCATATGATATATTATTTAATCGGACTTAATATCTCATTTTTGTTACTTTTTTTTTTTTGATTGCAAAATGTAAAATCTCATGAGTTTTAAAATATTATTTTGAGCCCAGTTCCTAGTCATGTTAGTCATATTTTCTATGTAAACCAATCAGTTAGGTTTTAAGACAATCCTATCACCTTGCATTGGAAGCCAATGTCTTTTAATAAGCCTGTGGATTTTCATTTCTAAGATCTAGAAAAACAGTATGCAGAATTTGAATTCACATTTTCAGAGCTTTTGCAATCGACTTTCAACATTAATCCCTTTAGATCAATTAAGTATTGGTTTAAGGACACATTCGTTTCTAAAATTATTTGATTTAATGCGTTAGTTTTTGAAAATTAACTTTTCGTTAAATTTTTTTAATTGCACAACGGCTGCTAATAATTTACCCACTTCATTTAAAAATGGTGCAAAATTAAACTAAATTTCAGCACATGTCAATCACCATTATTGAAATGTTGGAGATATCAACTACTAGAAAGTTATACTGATAAGACTATATTGTAAAATTTGGTTGAAGTTTTAGTGTCGAAGATCCCCTTAGTTTGTTCCAAAGTTTACTACATCTGAAACAATTTTTTTATATGTAGGAAAAAATGTAAGGATAAACATTTGATTTTAAAAGAACAGATAAAAAGTTAGAGTAAAGTAGAAATTTAGACGTCACCTTGGTAAAAACGACAACTCCTATATTCTTTCATCATCTCAAAAGCTCTAAACGTCATAAATTAAGTCTCTACACCTTAAGCATAACTATGTACATCCATAAATCAAATATCATAATTACTCTCACATCACATTAATAAATTTCCCAAACATCTTCACAACCATGACAAAATTTTGAACAAGCAACAGATGCAGATAAAGGATAATCAGATAAACCAATTTTTTCATCAACAAATTCATCAGCAAAATTATCTTTACCTCTTGCCATAGCACCAACAAATACACATATACTTTCATCATCATCTAATGTAGAAACATAATCTTGAACTTTTCTTATTTTAGCATCAAATGATAAAGTAATTTTTTTACATTTTGTAGGTAGATGATCAGTTATTGGATTTTTTATAACTTTTAATAAAACTTCCTTTGAATTTTCAGATCTTATACTTAATTTATGTAATAATTGTACCATTAATCCACTAAATCTTTTAAAAGTTCTTGGAATTCTAACACTTGGATTTACTTCAATTAAAACACCTCTTGCAGTTTGTATATAAACTTGTAATTTTCCTGCTTTATTTATTGGAGAATCTAATAAAGTTAATAAACATTGATGAGTTATATCTGGTCTTGCTTCTGCTATATCTCTTCCCATTTTTCTTAATAATCCTTGATGATCATCACAATTTAATAAAGCAAATCTATCTCCTCCTGGTCCATTTCCTGAATTCATTTTATAAGTTTCTAAACATGCTTGTGATAATACTACTATTAATCTTTTTGTGGTTTTGTCACGAGATGTTAAAGGAGTTGGTTGTACGGGTATTAAGGAAGCTGGTGGAACTGTACTTTTTGATGTGGTTGAATTGGTGTTTGATTTGTTTGAGGATGATGAGGAGGAGGAAGGTGATGATTTTCCATCATCGGTCTGTGATGACTTTGGTGAATTGGATATGTCTTTTGTAGAACTCCTTCTTCTAGGTTGTACATCAGTCATTATGTGAGACTTGTTTAACTATGTACGGTTGTAAAGTAATTTGATCTATTTTTCAATTTGTTAATAGATGCTGCAACGATAAGATGCAATTTTTTTTTTTTTTCACTTAATTTTTCAGACCCTTTGTTTTAGCAGAACAATTTTCTCAATTGATTTTAGCTTAACCAAAAACGAGTAGAATGTAATTTGGTATCGAGCTTAAACAGGTACATTACAACTACAATGACCTCTTATGCTGTTACTGTCAGAATTTTATTTGGTCTAAGTCTGTCAAAACCCCACTTAAAATGACCTGCGTGAAAAAACGAATCTTGTACATGGAATAAATATGACGCACCTTTTTATCAGATCTATGTAACTTTGCAACCGAACCAAAATTCAATCAACAAAACTATGTCACCAACGCGTAAGATATGACGAGTTCTGATAATGATTTTGATGATGAAGACGATGAATTACTACAAGAATTTTTAATTGGTAAAACACAAATTCCATCTACTAAAACTCAACAAGTTTCAAATACAACAATAACACCTCAAACAACAACAGTTCCATTAGCATCACAATATTCAAATATTCCATTAAATAATGAAATTCAAAATAAATTATTTCAAGCAGATGGAGAAATAGCAACATTAAAAGCTCAAATATTACAATTACAAAATTCAAAACGTGAAGAAATTTCACAATTAAAACAATCATTTGACGCGTTAAAAAGATCAAAAGAATCAGAAACTATTGCATTAAATGAAGCTATAAATAAATTAGAAGATGATAGAAAATTTTTAAAAAATGAATTAATAACTAGTAATGCTTTAAAAAAGAGAAAAATTACAAATGGATTTACACAAGTTCCACCTCAACAACAACAAATTAGAAGTAATACTCGTCAAAATAATGAGAAGGTTGGTGACAAAAAGGGTCAAGATGCCAGAGCTTCAACACCGGATCTGTCACTAGTTATAAAACCTATTCAACAAGTTCAACTAATTAATCCAACAAACGAGACGGCTAAATTAATTGAACAATTATGGAAATATAGTATAGTTGGAAGTCCTAGAAAATCATTTGATTACTTGAGTAAAATATGTTTTGATTTTGATATGGAAACATCATATGGATACAAGATCAAACGACGTCAATCTTTATCATCATCAATTATGGAAGTATTAATGACAATGAAAGATTTAAAAATAAATGAAATGATTGAAAAATTCACATTATTCTTGTTAGATATTATCATACAATCATTAGATAAAAAATCAGTAGTATCAATTCCCTATTTAATTTCATTAATCTTTTGTATTATTAATTTCAGTCCTGATTCAGTTTCCAAAACAGTTATTATAAAATTAATTCAACAATTTTCAAAATTATCTAAAAAATATTTATTTTTACTAAATCCAAATTTAGAAGAAGAAGTTGATTTTGAAAATTATCATGATGTTCCAAATCAAGTTATTGCAATTGAAAAATATATTTTAATTTGTTCATTTGATTTAATTGAAAAATTAATTTCAATAAGTTCAACTTATGATATTGAATTTATTAAAAAAATTTGGCTGAATCAAATTTTAACTAATGATTTAATTAAAACTTGTTTACCTCAAAATGAAGAAAGATTTAAAACTGTTGCTCAAATTAATATAATGTTTAATATTGTTGAAATGTTATCTTCATCAATTACTGAAGATACTTTTGGATTTAATGAACCTTATTCAGATGTATCTATGATAACATCTTTAATGAAAATTTTTACTATAGATATACCAATAAAAGATGGATTTAAATTTTTTGGATTAAATAGATTTTTGGGAAATAATTTTGATATGAAAATTATTGATTCAACAATTCCAATTGAACATGATAAATTAGGCAATTATTTAATTGTAATTCCTCAACCTATTTATAAAGTTTCAAAACAAATTATTATTCCATCAAATGATTTAGAATTTAATCATGAAAAACATCTACTTAATTTAAAAATTAAAGTTGCAGAATTATTAATATCAATTATAATTACAAAACAAACTATTGAATTTTTACATAATAAAGAATACTTTAAATCATTTATACGAATTTTATTGATTGAACAAATTTATATAACTAAAACACCAAGATCAAAATTAATTCATTATAGAATTCATTTAATTGGTTTAATAGTTAGAATTATAAATTATTTAACTCAAGATTTACATGAAGCAAACGATTTAATTTATAGTCAAACAATGTATGAAATTTTTGTTGTATTACTGAGAATTGCATTTGGATCAGATTCTTTATCAATTGATGCTCATAAATTATTAACAAAAATAAGATCAAAAGGTCATTATAATATTTCAATTTTTAATGAAAATTGTGAAAAAAATTCAAGACAAATGAATCATTTAACAATAAGAGATTTTGAAAAAAATGGGAAATTATTAGCTGATATTGAAAGTGATTATGCAAATGGATTTGAATTTCCTTATGAATCTGAAACTGTTGAATTATCAAGAGAAATTTTAAATAGATTTGTAAATCATGAAGAAGCTGATAATCTTTATTTTAATATGAATTATGAATCTGATAATGATGATGAAATGAATGATATGGATAAATATAATAGAGAAAGTGATGAAGAAATGGGTATATAGATTGTTTGATAAATATAATGCAAGAAGTGAAAGATAATGCAATCTCTACAATTCCTCATATGTGTTTTCTATTTTCACATTAATTTACAGTGTGTATTTTTGATGTCCAATCATGATGTATACGTAACTAACAACTTAATATTACTTAAAAAATATCTCAACTTTATAACAATTTGATGCAACATTAATCTTTAATTATACTAAACTCCTCTCCCATTTCTACTAAATTCAATTAATTTAAGCTGATTGAGTTTGTGGTTTAGCAACACCAGTTTGGAAATTGTTTTTAAATCTTCTAGTAACATGTTTTAAATAAGCCATTCTACCAGTACCAGTAGTTCTTCTTCTTTTAGCTTTTAAAGCCCAATTATGTGATCTCATTTTAGCAGCTGGATAACCACATGATGCACAAGTTTTTTTTTGAACATGAAAAGATCTTTTACCACATCTGTTACATAAAGTATGTGATTTGTTATGTCTTTTACCTAATGATGGTGTACCTTCTATAAAACGAAGTTAGTATTACTTGTACTTGAAACTTTCTTTATTGGAATAACAAGTGTTTTCGATATTGCCCTCTTCTATCTCATTTCCATTACTTCTTTTCTTCATATACCTCTTCTTGATTTAGATTTTGGTCTAATGTGACATGAATCATGAAACAGAATTCCTTCATGCTACTCGCTATATCTCAATCTCTGAATTACATTTTTCACATTGATCGACTTGGAATGTTGTTGGCGTGAAGATGTTTGTACTTCAAAATTTAAGCATGGGCTTGATGACTTCAATTTCATATTTCCATATTTCTTTCATTATTCATGATATGTTCATCTCATCGACAGTTTCCCTTGTTCTTCCCAATTTGATCTTAAATCTAGTATCTACATACTACCCATGTTTGATTATATTATTAGTTGATGGTGTATGAAAATTAAAAAATTATTAACAAATTTCAATCTGTATAGAAAGTTTTTTTTTCCTATACTTTTTTTGCCTAACTAAACTTTTGAAAAATTGTACGTATTACATAATAGTTATTAGTGAGAATTATGTAATCTTAACATATTGTATTTGGTAGCCACTTGCAAATAATTGGTAGTGCATTCAAAATAAATTTTAAGATGTAGAAGTAAGATAAATCATTAGGGCTATAGCCATTTTGTATTTGGTAGCCTTGGCATTCTGAAACGCGGTCAATCAATATTACACAATAAACTTGGTTCGAAATGTAAACAACACGAGATATTTGAATCTATAATGTAAACATTATTATAAACAGAATTTAACATGACAAAATATATTCGAGTGAAGAAACCTATAGTCAATTGATACAAGTGTATTAGATCTCAATTCAACCCATTCGATTCATTCAATTACAATGTCATATAATTATCAATTTCCACCATCTTCACCATTGCATGATAGTGTTGGTGATCAAGACTTTAAGAAAAATAATGATCCATTTGCAATTAAAGAGAAAAAGTTTCAGTCAATTTCGCAACAAAGAATAGGTCGTGATGAATACCCCACACCAAATCCATCATCATCATTGTTTCGTTCATCTTCACCAGCAAGAGATGATACATTTAATAGATCATGTGAGAAAGAGATTGATAAGGTACAAGAAGCAATTGAAACAAAAGAGAAGTGTAAAACATCAATCAGTATCAATAAAGATTTTAATATCTTAAATCCTGACAAACATATAACTAGAATCCCATTATTATCTGAAGAAAATCATTTTTCTATAGGTAGATCTTCCAATAGTTGTGATTATACATTAGATGCAAAAGATTCATTTATTTCAAGAGTTCATATTAAAATTGGTTATACAAAAGATCAAATTATTATTGAATGTAAAGGTTCAAATGGTGCTTCAGTAATTATTCCAAAATCATGTTTTGTTCATTCAACTATTAAAAAAAATACTTACCTTATTTCTGAATTTCAAAAAGATAATAAGCATTTGAATACATCAAATGTAAAATCAAAATCAATTAAATTGACATCAAATTATACTGAATTTTATATTCATAAAAATGAAAGTATTGTATTACCTAGATTTGAAAATATAATGTTGGAAATTTCAAAACAAATTATATTAATAAACCCATGTGATGTAGAAGAAAATTTGACTGAAGATGATGATGAATTAACAGATGATGAAAAACCAATCCTTAAAAATAATGAAGAGAAGGAGGCTAATAATCATAATCAAAAAGTTGAAGAGTCAACTCCAATAAATAAATTGTATTTAAGTAGTTCAATTCCAAACACACCATCAAAACCAAAGAATGAAATACTTATTGATGAAAACGATGATTATGAAACACCATCAAAACCAAAAAATGAAACAATCAGAGTTGAAAAAGACGAAACACCAAGTAAAGAACAGGAATTGGCAAGAAATGTACAATTTGAAAATCTCAATAAAGGACAGGCACCACTTCAACAAGAAGAAAAGAAACATATGGTTACAATTATGCATCCAAAACCAAATAAACTTACATCACAATTTAAAATATTTCAAAATAATAATGATTTAACTCAACAAAGATCATCATCTGTATCACCAAAATTGGTTTTGAAAGATAAAACAAATACAATCAGAAGAGCTTTATCTGAGGAACCAAAAATTAATAAATATGAAACTCACCCACCAATTGAAAATCATGATCAAGACCAAAATGAAAATGAAAATCATGATCAACAACCACCATTAAAAAAGAAAAAAAAATCAACCACTACAATATCTCATCAAGAACAACAAACAAATTCAGAAATTGAAGATCAATCAGTATTATCATTACCAAATATATCAGAAATTAAAAATATATTTATAAATCATTTAGCATTTTCAAGATTAAGTTCAACACCAATATCAATATTAAATTCAATAAGTCAATTAACTTCAAATTTAACAAATTCCGAAATTAAAATAATATTAAATAATATAAATTGTATTGGTATAATTTATAGAAAAGGTAAAGATGCAGCTGGAAAACCCCTTGAAGAAGAATATTATTATATTCATGAAAAAGATGAAGATTTAAATCGTAAAAATTTAGTTGAAAATATAAAGGGTAATGGTGGGTTAAGATCTTGTAGAAAAGTTCATAAACAATATTATTGGAAAAAACCAGCACCTATTAAGAAATAGTAGATAATATGTAGTCTATATATATAAATGAAAACATTGAGTGAGAATAATTTAATTATACAGGATATACACTTGAAGAAGTTTGAGGAAAATTTTTAATTAATAATGGATCAGATAAAGGATATTGATATTCTTTTTTTTGTTTTTCATTTAATGGTTTTGGTGAACTAATTCTAAATATTTTTAGGTTAATATTTTCAATATCTGATTTACTTTGTTTGAAAAATAATATCAATAAACCTATTATAAATTGTAATATCCAACACAATAAGAAACATAAGTTAATAATTAATTCAATTTTTAAACTTTTATAATAAAATTCAATAATTGATTTTAATTTCTTTAAGTAGTAATTTGAATTCAAAAATTTAATATTCTTTATATCCTTTTCTAAATTTTTTGAAATTAAAGGTAAATTAATCTTTAGGTTTTCATTTAACCAATTACAACCTTTTTCAATTTTTTCTAATTTTCTACCTATTGTACAATATACTACAGTATTTATAGCATCATAAATAAATGATTTACCAAATATTTCAGAAATTGCAAAATCTAAATTATCAACAAATTCTGATATTGTATTGTTAATTTTTGTTGATGTTTCTTTTATTTCTCCAAATAATTCTTCATTTAAATTTATTTCAGTTGTATTAATATAATTATTCATTGATTTTATATAATTTGAAGTTATATTTGATACAATTTGTTTTTTATCTATTTCTTTCATTTGATTTGAAATTTCCGATGAAACATATTTAATTAAAATGTATTGAAGAATAACTGTTAATATACCTAACAATCCAAACATTAAAACATTCAATGTAAATTTGTTCGTCATATAACTAATCGACCAAATAACTTTTGAGTTTAAGTTGAATCCCATTTTTTTAATAATTGTATATAATATAGCATTATTATATATATTATGTTGATTTCTAAATCCAATTTCATTAGTTTGATCAGTATCTCTTATAAAATTTGTAGATCTTTTCCATCTCCTTGATTCAATATATAATGCATAGGCAATAGATCCAATAATAATTAAAATCATTCCAATAAATAAATATTTACTTACTATTTTAACAAGTTTAACTAATTTGTCTTGGGTATCTTGAACTTCATCCACAGTTTTTAAACAACTACTTCTAACATTAATTGGTTCAATTGTAATATTAGCAGACAGATTTGATAATTTTACATTATCTAATTTTTTTATAATTAAATTAAAAGGAGTATCAATTAATGTTTGAGTTTCATTGTTTAAATCATTTATACCTTTCATACTTATATTTTTAGCATTATCAATTTTTTCTAATACTGTTCCAGGTATAGCTATCTTATCCTTTAAATTCCCCAAAGTTATATTGATTTTTTGTTCATATTTCTTACCTTCATCAGCTGATTTCCCATTAGTGAAAAAACTCTTTATTGCATTAAATCCAGTAACTAAATCATTTATAAATTTAGATAATCCTTGTAAACCTTCTTCTATTTCATTTGTTGCTTCAACTATTGTAACATTTACTGTTCTTATAACTGTTTCACCTGTATCAAATGCTACTTCTGTTGTTCCTTTTACAATTGCATTTAATAAACAAATATATGTACCTAATAATATATCAATATAAAAAATTGTTAATGCTTTTATAGTTTTTATAATAAGTATTATAAATACAATTCCAGTATACTTTAATTTTGTTAAATTTTCTATAATCATATTATGAATTCCATTAAGTAATGGTTGAATATTATCTTCATCACATATTGAAGTATCTATAACTTGTTTTGATATTGTATTTATTAATGAATTTCGTAGTAAAATTAATTTAACAAGGATTAAAAATAATAATATTGTATATTGATTTAAATAAATTTGAGTTGAAACTTCAGTGAAATTTAGGTAATTTCGAATCATAGTTGATTGATTAATGAAGAAATTGAAGTCATCTTGGATCAAATGTTATTTTGAAGAAATTTGGGAGGTATATGAATCAAAATAATTTGTCTCATAATTATTTAAATCTGAAACAAATCTGAAACAAAATAATAATTTTTTTCTAAACGTATTAAAATTAACTTTTTAGTTGAGTCGATTGTCAACATGATTGAAAAATGAATGACTAGTAAAGGAGTGATCATATATTGACTGCAGTTGAGTTGAAATGAAAGATTCAATGCATAATGTCTATGCTTAACATTCTCGTATCTTCAAACATTACCCTTGTTCAAATGCTAAAATGGAGAATTTAAGCTAACTATCGAATACTGAAAAGCTCATCAGTCGTCAGAATTATTCAAGGCACAGTGTTATGTACTGTTATTCAGTGAGATTTGCATTGTAGTATATAGATCATGTTGGTTGTAAATTGAAACTAATATTGATAACTCAACGATTAGATTACTATAGTTGGTGATAAAATTGTATGGTCGTGTAATACGTCACAAAAATTAATTATTTCGTGTTTCTTATAGAGGCAACACAAATAGAATAAAATAACTTTCAAAAAAGCATAATAAAAGAAGAATTAACAGAGTTAGATCAATTTGATCAATCAATCAATCAATCAAAGTATTATATATCCAATAATCACTAGATTTTATTTACCTCAACATGTCTGACGAATATCAAGATTCCCCAAATAATAACGACGCGTCAAATCCAAAAGATAATGAATCATCAACAAATAATAATGAACCAAAAGAAGAAAAATCAGAAACAGGAACAACTCATATAAATTTAAAAGTAAGTGATGGATCAGCAGAAATTTTTTTTAAAATTAAAAGAAATACTCCAATGAAAAGATTAATGGAAGCATTTTGTAAAAGACAAGGAAAAGATTTAAATAGTTTAAGATTTTTAATTGATGGTGTTAGAGTTGAACCAAATAATACTCCTGATGACTTAGATTTAGAAGATGGTGATACTATTGAAGCTCATAGATCACAAGTTGGTGGTGGTAATTAAGTTAACTTTTGAATATTTGGGCTGGTATAAATATATAAAACTAGAGAATGAATTATAAATTTATATTATGAAGTATGATTTCAATCTTGCTTATGTTGATGGAATATTAGTAAGTAAAGGTATTATGATATAACTATATATTTAACATTCAAGATATTACTATCTAATAAATGATTATTACGGAGTTTGATTTAAATTTAGTGTAGAGATACTTTGAATATTATTGTTTGCAGAATTAAAAGGGTCTTAGTTTCCCTAATTTCTCTGTCTTGAGATCAACAAAAATCTCTGTTTGTAAGGGTCTTGATAAGCTAGCAAGGAGTATTAAATCTTGATCAAATTGAAAATACAGATTTTTCGTTTCTTCTTCAGGTTATATGAAAAGTTTGAACTCGGTTGTTTAAAGTTGAGCCTCTTCTACAGTCACTTCGGAAACTAAAATACCTTACAAAGGAAATATTTCTTCAACAATTGGTATAAATGAAGTCAATGAAATCGAGATAAGGAAGGAAATATAATCTGGGGTTCAAGATTCATCATGTATTTTTCAAACTCGAGACGATGGAATGTTTATCGGTTATACCATAAAAGAAAGAAAGCAAAAAAAGCTGGGGTTATACGATAATGATGTTCACAGTGGTACGATTAAAATAATCCAAAATGTTAAACAAGTATGCTTCGGGGTTAATGTAAATTGAAATCAATGAAGATATAAGTCAGTCACTTGAAGTATATCGTAAATTTAGTAAGTATGTCACAGATTATCCGAAGTAAATCAATCAAAATCAGTCGTACTATATTTAAGCAATAGTGGTATGATCATTATTTAATCGACTGACTTTGAAGGAAAATAAAAAAAGATAATTAGAAAGATTGTTAAGGTTACGGAAAAAATCGTTTTAAATTAAGCGTTTTTTAACATAACGAGGTTAAAATTTAACCTGGATGAATGGAATTCGGACTTCAATGTCCAACTACCACTCTTAGTTAGCAATCTTCTTATCTTTTGTTAATTGTATTATAACTGATTACAAAAACGGTTAAATAAACATTGAAAAAATAAATCATTCTTTTATTACTTAATAATACATTATATTTACTGAAGTATTGTAACCATAATTACTAAGTAATTAATCATTCTTTCATATCTTGTGATATTTAAATTTTTAAAATATAAATAATCATTAAAAAGATTTAAACAAATTCGAAGGGTATAAATTTCTAATTCATCATTACTATCTTTCATTAACATATATAAATTACAAGCTTTTAACAACTATCATTAAATATTCAAATACTAGAAAATAGAATATTTCAATTCACTTTATAACAGAAAATTAGAATTCTATAAACTACAATTAAAACTCAATAAAAAACAAATAGAATAAAATGTGTACAGCAAGTGTTTGTGGAATATGTCAACATAAATCATGGTCAGGATGTTCAAATTCAGATCCAAATCATATTAAAAAAATAATGAATACAAGTTCAAAATCAGATTGGTGTTCATGTTTACCATTTGATGAAGATGATGCTGTTTTTATAGATGGTACTTCATATCCTCCAAGAGCTGGTTGTGGTTATAGAAGAGCAAGTGATTCAAGTATTAATAAATAGCCAATACGGAGAAAAGAAAAATGTATTGAGATTTGAAAGTTAAATCTTACTTTTTAAAGATTGATTTAAATAGAAGAGAGGGAGATAAAAAGTTAAAAATTGTCATTTATGATAAACAAGGATGAGAAGGGATTGATTTGAAATTTCAAAGGCGGGTGTTTAAACAGGTTTGGTTCACGTTGATTTAGATTATTTTGAAAGAAATATATCTCAATTGATAAATGTATAGTAGTATGTAGATTACAAATTAAAAGAATTAAGTTACACAACAAGTCATCTCCGTTTCATGAAACGGTATAATCATGTAATCATGTATCCTTATCTTGATGTTACTTTATTAAACTTTCTGATTACCCCATAAAAATAATAATAAATAATAAAATAATAAATCATCTTCGTAAAAAAACTCGGGGAAAATTTTGAAACAAAAAAAAAAAATAAAAATAAAAAATTTAGGGACCGAAAAATGATAGTGTAGATTAGGGAGAGATAAAGGTAGGCTTTTTGATTGAAGCTGTAGTGGTAGCCAAGTGGAGAAATAATAGAAAAGAAAAGTATAATTATAAATATTAGAAGATATAAAAGAAAGTGAGATTATAAAAGATATGATAAGGTTTTGAATAATCTTAGACTTTTAGCTTTACAAAATATTTTTATTTTTGTACTTAGTCTACTTCTTAAATCTGAAAATTTCAAATCTATGTTTGGAGGATAAGTGAAGTAAGACGAACGCAAGTTAATAGTTTCACTAAATCAAGCATCTCAGGAAATTTTCAATTTGTTAAAAATTAAAACCCAAACTTTAAGAGAGGTTGATTAAAATTCATAATTTGAGTGCTTTAACTTCCGTAAATAAATCAACTACGCCCGACAAGTATGATGAATTTTGCACCAAAATTGATTAAACTTTTCGAGAATTTTGATTCTTCGAAATGCTTCATTAATAATCAATAAGATTCTAATATTAATTGAATCTTTTAAGGTTACGACTGTTCTTTCTTGAACTTTATCTTTGGTGCTTGAAAGCCTTTTCCATCATAGAATTTGTTTTTAATATTGATTGGGAGGGAAGAAAATTTAAAATTTTCTATTCAAATATCCTTAATCTTCTAGTTCATATTCTTCCTTTCTCCTCTTGAAGTAATTAAAATCTTGAAGTTTATATCCTTAATTTAACTTATTTTTGTATTATCAAAATGAGATTACTCAGAGTAAGCTAATATATAGTAAATTCCGAATGAAACAAAATTTTGATTTTTTATTAAATTTCAACAGATATTAGTCTAGATTTATATATTTTCACAAGTCAATTTATGATGATGTAATACTTATTAAGTTTAATTGAAGATTTACAATATGTATGGGGGGTTTTAGTGTAAGATCAATCTTTTTTTAGTCAAATTAATTAATACGGCTTAGTATAAAATTTTTACCCCAGATTTTAAGACATAAAAAGTGAACCTGAAATTTTTAAAAATCTTTTAAGATCTTTTAAAGTTTGTTAAGTTTAATTAATAATTATCAATTTTAAGGATTAATATATGATATACGGTAGATTTTTAAGGTGGGGTGTTTCAAATGGTAAGGATATATTGGATTGAATGATATTAAGCTATTGTCTTTTGCGGGTTTTGGGGATTATACTAGGGGTTTTTTACATTAATACGTTTTTATCAAACTACTGTATCCCTTAAGGGTACTTTTTAAAGGTCCTACTTTGATATTAGGTCTTACTTCAATCTAACCCCTTCTTCTACTTCATTATTTATGCACCTTTTATACTCAAAGTGTTTTATTAAACAAAACAGGAAAAAAAAAAACTTGTGACTTCTTTAATTTTTTGTTTTTGTGTAACTTTATACAAAGTATTTACAATTTATGTTATTTAATAAACATTTTGACAACCAATTTTATCTTTTATTACAACTTCATTCATTATTTATAATTTTATAGAATAGAGTATAGAGAAAGAGAGAGTGTATACCCCAAATAGAGTATTAATATCATTAAATCAAAGAACACCAGCCTGAATTATACAAATAATAATTAGAGATCATATTTAACAGCAAACGAAATAGAAAAGAATCAAATAGAATCAATAAAAATTACAACAACAACAAATTATTGGAATGAATTTACCTGATTTCCTAAATGATAATCAATCATTAAATCTGAGGAATGGTATAAATAATAATACTAATGGCAATTCACTAAATCTGTATGATAATATGAATGGTAATAACAATCATAATATGCCAAATGGAAGTAGACGAGATAGTTTACCAATAAATGGAAACAACAATATTTCATCAATAAATAATGATGATCCTTTATCATCACAATCAAATTTCAATGATATTTTATTTAATAAATTAAATGATTTATCAATAAATTCACCAAACTTAGAATTTTTAAATAATTCTTATAGCAACAATATAAATCAAAACAACAATAACAATATAAGTTTGAAAGATTCATTTAATTTACCATTAGAGTTGCAAGGTGGAGTATCAAATATATCATCAAGAAGACCAAGTTATGCAGCAGAATCATTTACAAGATCTAATTTTTTTAATAATGGTCAATCATTAAATAATAATCCTCATCAATCTTCACCATTAAGTTCTCAAAATTCAAGTTATTTAAATAATGGAAATGGGAATGGGAATAGTAATGGTAATGAAAATTTGGGAAACAATTTTGAATTTAAAGGAATAAATTTTTCAAATGGTAATGGTAGTAGTAATAGTAACAATAATAATAGAGATTTATCATCTTATGCAATGATGAATAGTTTTCAATCAAGAAATTATCAATTTCGTAATAACACAAATAACAATAATGGTAATTTTGATTTAAATGATTCATTTAATGATATGAATTTTGGATTAGGATCAAAATTTAGTCAATTTCAATCAAGAAGACCAAGTCAGTTAGTTGATTATCCTTATCAATATGGAACACAACAACAACAACAACATTATCAACAATATCAACAGTTTAATGGCTTAAAACAACAATCTAATTTAAATAATACATTTGTACCATTTCAAGATGGTTTAAATTCGACACAATTTCAAAATCAAAATCAAAAAAATCAACATCAATCTCCAAAATCTCAACATCTTCAAAATTATCAAACATTTATTCCTTCGCAGCAAAATCAACAACAACAGCAACAACAATCACAGTCACAATATCAACCACAACTTACGACAGCTTTTAATTCTCAACAACAACAAATACCTGGTCAACCTATTAAATTAGAAAATGGTTTATTATTAAAAGATCAATATATCATAGCATCACAAGAATTAAAAGAATTATATTCAAAAACAATAAATTATTTTCAAAATCCAGAATTAACAAATGAAATAGTTCGTCAAATGAATGAATTATTAAATAATTCAATAATAATAAAATTAATAACATTTATAAAAAATTTAAATAATTTAACATTTAATCATAAAATTCTTTGTTTAATTATTAATAAAAATGGAAAATTTGATTTATTAAGTTACCCCAATAATTCGAATATTTTTTTACAAAAAAATGATTTAATTATAATTGATGGTGATAGAGGTAAAGATTTAGTTATGATTATTGAACCTTTAGTAAATTTAAATTTTGCTATATTATTTAATTTTTTAAAAAAATTAGAACATTTAAAAAGTTTAACTATTAATGATGAGAGTGGTGGTGGTGCTAATGGTGCTGGTAGTAGTAATGGAGTTACTGGAGTTACTGGTGGTACTCATCCAACTTCAATGAATGCTTCAACTATAATTAATTCAAGATCAAATCAAGACAATGAATTTATAATAACATTACCAACAAAACAGGTGTTACGATTTGCAACCCCCAAGGAAGTTCATAAATTAAGTGGGAAATTTCTTGAAGAGAAAAAAGCATTTATAACATGTTATAACAAGATAAAAGAACTTGGATTAGAAAATCAATTAAATTTAATTAATGTTGAATATCAATTTGATTTTAAAAAATTAATTTTTTATTATTTTGCTGGTTTTAATAGAATTGATTTTAGAAATTTAATTAAAGAATTATTTAAAATTTATAAAACTAGAATTTGGTTATGTGCTGTTTTACCTTTTAATCAACCTGAATTATATGTTACAAAAGGTGGGGAGGAGACTGATGATAATGAAGAAAAAGAAAAAGAAAAAGTTAGCAGTGATAAGGAAAAACAAGAATCAACTGAAACAAACGAAACAAATGAAACAATTGAAACAAATAATAATGAAGAATCAAAAACAATAATTAATGATAATTTAATACCAAAAGAATATAATTTAACAAATGATCAAATTTTAAATTTTTCAATAATTGAATTTTCAAATTTATTAAATTCAAATTATTTTCATCTGATAAATTTAAAAAATTTAATTCAATCTTTAAATATGGATTTGAAAACTGAATTTTATGGATTTAATAATGCTAAGACCACAGCTACTGCTAAGAATGGGATAATCAAAAATGGGATAAGTACTACATCAAATAAAAATGATTTAAAACTTATAATAAGGAATTAATAATTTAAAGACTACTACTAAGAGTGGTAAAGGTACCACAACAAACGCAACAAATAATACAACTAATTAATTAATAATGGGTTATAATTAATGAGATCAAAATATAATAAGGGGGAATATAAATAAAAAGTTAATCAAGGAATACAAAAATTTTCAAAACATTTTAATGATAATTACAAAACAAAAAGATATACAAAAAGATGATAAGTTATAGACTAATAAAAATTTTTAATGATACTACTAATTATGCTAATGCTATTTTTTTACTAATACTTGGTTTCACTTTTTTTTTCAATAATTAAAACTTTATGATTTTATACAATTTATGAGATTTTTTTTGGTTATACATACATATATATATATATATAAATATACACATATACGCACTATACACAATTACAGATTATACTTATATATTTCTTTATATGGTTCAATTGTTACAACTAGTTTTCTAATTTTGTATAATTTAATGATTAGTAGATGAATCAATCAATTTCAGAAAGCTTCAAAAAAATTTTAGACTTACTTGTATAAATTGTAGGTTTGAAAGTTTGAAAAGTCGGAAACTTACCTTTTAACCGAATTATGGTAACTGCTGATATATATATTTATCATACTATGACTCTTGACAAACTTAAATGCACACTATTTCAGACGGTACACACCAAAATTAAGGTATTTGTAAAGATTTTGAATTGATCCTATGGATCTAAGTATTCAAAAATTAAATATGTGAATCGGATATGAATTGAATAAGTTGAATAAATTATATTGATGTTACGAAATCACAATTTTTGACTTTTTCAAAGACCAAACAAGCTCTATCTTAGTATTTCTCCAACAAATTTATTACTCATTATGGAATTAAAACATTACATTCGATTCTCAAAAAATTGGAAATTATTTACTCCATATCATGTAATCTCTTAGGTTAGTTCATAAGTAGTTAACGAATTCTTAAGAAACTCATTAAAAAATAATGGTTGATTCAAATATTTGCTGAGACAGAATTAAATAACGATACGGATGATCGTGTTAGGTCCTAACTCATAAGATTTATCGTTAGCCTCGAACTCATCCATTTGGCATTTCTCAATCACTCCACTAATATATTTTGACATGTGAAACTATTAGAACTATCGATACATCAAATTCGATTTCAGCAAATACCTGAATCAGTATTCATACTTCTTCCATCTTCATAAGTTTCGCTTCACAAGTGCTATAGGTAACTAACTCGTAGACATAGCTAAAGTTTGACAAAAAAAAATAGAATTGAAATTAAAATAAAAATTAAATTTTTAAAACTCAGATATTTGCAACACTTTTTTATCTAATAAAACCAGTAAATGTCGAAAAGACCAATTTCAATTGATGAACTACTAAAAGATGATACGACTGTACCTACATATATTTCAAGATCAAAGAGAATAAAAGAAACTACCACAGAACCTCAACAACAAAAACTACCATTACCTAAAAGTCAATCATCAACCATATCAAACACAACCATATCAAACACAACCAAATTCAAATCACAAAGAAACGATACAAACTTAAATTTGGAACCAAAAATACGACATCATTCGTATGAACCAAGGACCAAAAGAAACAAATTCCAGTTTGACTGGGATGAATCAGAAGATACGTCAAAGGGATTTGATTCAAATTATTTAATTAATGATGAAGAAGATGATGATGAAAAACTTAAAGATCCTTTACTAAAAGATAGATCTATTGGTCATTGGACTAATAAGTCACTTGAACAAATGACAAATAGAGATTGGAGAATATTTAATGAAGATTATGGAATAATAATTAAAAATACTAATAATACGAAATCATCAATACCTAATCCAATTAGATCATGGAAAGAAAGTAAAATAAATCCTAAAATGATTGAAATTTTGACCGAATCAGGTTTTCAAAATCCAACACCTATACAAAGATCAAGTATACCTGTGGCAATTGAACATAAAGATGTAATAGGTATAGCAGAAACAGGAAGTGGTAAAACTCTTGCATTTTTAATACCAATTTTTAATTATTTATTATCAATTGATTCAAATTTTTTAAAATATGAAAAAATTAAAAATGAAAATCTAATATTAATATTGGCACCAACAAGAGAATTAGCATTACAAATTCAAAAACAAGCTGAAATATTTTGTAAAAAATTAAATTTTAATATAATTTCAATAATTGGAGGTCATAAATATCAAGATACAATTGATGAAATTGAAAAAAATGGTTGTGATATAATTGTTGGTACACCCGGTAGATTAATTGATTCTATTGAAAAAAAAATTTTTGAATTAAATAAATGTTATTATATTGTAATGGATGAAGCTGATAGAATGATTGATATGGGATTTGAAAAAGATTTAACTAAAATTTATGAATATTTACCAACAAATAATCAATTAGTTAATTCCATTGATTCAAAAATATTTGGAATTAAAAATAAAATTACAATGATGTATACTGCTACTATAACTCCAATAATTACAAAATTAACAAATACATATTTAATTGATCCTATTCATATAACAATAGGAGGAGCAGGAGAAGCATTAGATAGTATTGATCAAAAATTTGAATTAATAAATGATTCAGCTAATTTGGAACAAATTAAAATATCAAAATTAATAAAAATAATTCAATCTCATAATTATAAAAATCCACAAAGTTTAATTATAATTTTCGCAAATTTTAAAGATATAGTAGATCAAATTTCAGAAGAATTAAATTTAAAAAATTTTAAAACTACAACAATTCATGGTTCAAAATCTCAAGAATTAAGAGAAACATCATTACAACAATTCAAAAATCATGAAACACCAATTTTAGTAGCAACAGATGTAGCAGCAAGAGGTATTGATGTTCCAAATGTTAGTTTAGTTATAAATTATCAAATGCCAAAAGATTTTCAAGAATATATTCATAGAATTGGTAGAACTGGTAGAGCAGGAAATTTTGGTGAAAGTTTTTCATTTATTGTTGAAATTGATGATAAAGAAATTTATTTACCTTTGAAAAAATTTTTGAAAAAGGGTGATAAAAAATTACCTGATTGGTTATATCGATATCATCAATAATCGGATATATTGTCATCATAATGAAAAATGTTTAAGGTGGTAATAAATAATTTAATTTTATAGCCATTGATTCAATTAAATTTGGATCTTCTAAAAATCCTTCACCAATAAAAGCAATATCTAATTTATTTTTTTCAATATAATCATTTAATTTTGGAATATTCATATTTAATGCACCACTACAACCAATTAAACAATTTGTATTTGAGAATTCTTTTTTTAAAAAAGAACTAAAAATTATATGAGCTGGTATATTTGAATTTCGATTTAATGTATATCTTAATTTTGAATTGGGAGAAATCTTTCCAGAAGTTATATTTAAAATTGATATCTTTTTATCATATACTAAAATTTTTAACATTTTCATTATATCTTCTTCAATTGGATGAATTCCTGATGCTCGTTTTATATTATCATTTATTGAAAATTTTACACTTATTGGAACTTTTATACTATTGTCATTAGTTGAATTAAATTCATTATTTAAATCATCAATTATTTCACATAATAATTTAATTCTTGATTCAATTGTCTTTTTTCCATATTCATCTTCCCTATGATTTGTAATTTTACTTTGAAATTGATGTAATAAATTTCCATTACAACAAGCAATTTCAATGCCATCAAATCCACAAATATTTATACTTCTTTTAGCAGCTTCCAAATATTCAAATCTTATTTTTGCAATTTCTTTTAAATTTAATTCTTTTGGTACAATTGAATTTGAATCATATGGTATTGAAGAAGGAGCAACGATATTTAAACCTTTTGCCATTCTACCACCATGAAATAATTGTATAAAACAAATACATCCAAACAGATGAATTTCATCAACAATTTCTTTAATTTTAAAAGCTTGTTCATCATTCCATATACCTAATTCTTTATCATCAATTATTGAATTTGAATTTATAAATGTACCTTCAAACATTATAATACTTGGTTTTTGTGAAGCAAATGATTTATACCTTGAATGATGTAAATTTGCAATTTCATGGTTATTATCTGCTGCAAAACTACACATTGATGATACTGCTATATGATTTTTTAAATTTATTGAAGTATTTGATACTTTAAATGGTTTAAATAATGATGGAATTGGAGTTGATGTTAATGTTGGTTGTGTATTTGACGTTGAATTATATTGTTCACGAAATGGATTATAAGTCATTATTCTGTAGTTTTCTTTGAGAGCCGTTGATACTTATCAATGGTTTCGATATTTGATTGTTTGTGAGATTAATATTATTTGATGATATCATGCATAAAAATTGATATGTTGGTATGATAGCATGCATAATCATGCCAAATTAAATTAGAACTTTTTATATTCTCGAAAATTTTATCAATCTTACTTTCAATAATTTTAATTGGTGATAACGTTCTAGTTTTAAGTCTGATGAGTTGATGAGGTTTAACGGTTCGTTTTGTTATGATATTTATAATTTTCATCAAATTTGAATTATTTTGCAACCGGTAGCATCATAAATAATAAAGTTTGCAATTTCAATATTATTCCTACCAATTACAGATATAGACTAATTCAATAAATACCTTATTAATGCTATTATTAAATACTATTTGATGCTATACATGTTTTTTATACAATATTGTATATCATTTCCTCATTTCAATTCATTTCATTCATACTCGTTTCAAAAAAATTTTTCTCTTCAATCATCATCTTCATCACTTGAATAGTTAGATAATACACTAAGTAAACAAGGTTCATATTTTTTAAATTTTAATTTTTTTTTTAATTGTGAAATATTTTTAAATGTTGAATCATTTATAATTCCATTTCCATTAAAATATCCATTTCTTATATCTCTTGGATTTGTGATTGATTTTGAATCAGGTGAATCTTCATCTTCTATTGATGGTAATGTTGGTGATGCAGTATTTCTTCCGTTATTAATAACTCCACGATTAATTGATCCATATTTGTAATTCGGATTGTGTTTTGGTGAAAGTCTTCTTTTAGTTGACTTTATTGTGTTATCATTAATGTTATTGTGATGGTGATAATGACGATGATGATGATTATGATTCGAATTAATGCCATTATATGAAGTCGTATTAGTAGTTTGTACACCTTCAACCATTTTTCCATTTGTTTCTTCTTCATCTTCATCCTCATCCTCATCCTCAGCTTCATCATCCGAATCACCTTCATCGTCTTCGTCAAGGTCATCATCTAGCTCTTCTACCTCAACAACTTCAGTTGGAGATCGTATTTTACCATTTGAATCTTGACTATTTTCCTCACTTATTTTTATTCTTTTGGTAGTATCACTATTCAACATGCTTTTCACGGTATCCATCGCCAATTCTTCAAACTTTCTTTTCTCTTGAGCTTGAGCTTCTGGATTTCTATCTGGATTTGCCCACCGTATATGTAGCACCTCCTTACTACTTTTGATTTTGTTTGAAGAACCTAAACTTTTTTCTGAATTGCTGGTATTTGATGATGATGATGGTGTTGTTGTAGATGGCGAAGAATACTCGTAATGTATTAAACATTGTCTATCCATTGCTTCTTTAGCAAACTGTGCATCATTCTCTGTTTTCATAGTTATAAATGCAATGCTCTTGTTATAAATGACTTTGACTTTTTCAACATCTCCGAATTCTTCAAAATTTTTCAGTAATAATTCTTCAATATTCGGCTTCATGGTAAGTCCACCTACATACAAAGTTTTATTAATTTTGTTAAATGATCCAACTCCATCCATATCGTCATTGTAGTCTGACGTCTTGTTTCTTCCAAAACAATCAACGGCATAATTTGTGTTTACATTTTTCAATTTGTTTGGTGTACAATGATAATATTTACAATTTGATCCCATATAACAACAACCTCTACTGAAAAATAGACATATTGGTGAATTATTTCTTGCTTTAGTATAACCTTGATCTCTCTCTATATTTACTCTAAATTTAGATTTGACAAATGAATTTATTGCTGAAGAATCTCCACCCGAATATTTTAAAAACCATACATTAAATGTAGATGAACCAATTTGTTGTGGGGGTAAGTTTTCATGTTCTTGTAAAGAATTAATATCAACTTGTAGTCGTGCAGGCTTCGATAAAGGATCTGATGAAGTTATCGAACTTATCGATATATTTGTTGACATATGAGTTGTTCAAATATGATATGGTCGTCAATTGATCTTAGTGGTTCTGATTTTTACTTGATATTAATGGTAAATAGTATCACTATATTTCCAAATGTGTTTTATATTTTCTTTTTCAAATGTCTCAAATTTATTTTTTGTGAATTAGGCACAAAATAAATTTTGAGGTACACCAGTTACTTTCGAATATATGAACTGGAACTGATGATGTTGATTCGATAAGAGCTAAATTAGTAGAATTGACTTTCTGACTTTCCCGCTTTCTTATCTGTGCTATCTTTTTATCTCACTTCTGCTCAAAATTGGATTCTTATTTCCTTTAAGCTCTTGTATATATGACTTACTTTTAAATTTTCTTTCTTCAGTTGATATCTCTTCTACTAGATGTTAGATTCTTTTTCAAGTAAGTCATATATCTATTTGTACAGATTTTGGATGAAAATTATAAATATTTCGATTGGATATCTAACTGGAAAGGATTTCTTCTTAATTCAATAATGGGTCAAGTTAGGTCTTGTATTTGAGGGGGTAATATGATAAATATAAGAATTTTCGAGTTGAACAAAAAATTGAAATAAAATTGATTTGAATGGTTAATTCTTTATATATATATAATTACAATATTAGATTTAGTCTTATAGCTAATTAGATAAATGTTAGGCTAATGTTCATATTAAAAATAGTCTATAATAAAATTTTATTCTTTAAACATTAAGTGTATGCAAAATTTATTAAAGCAATTCAAAGATGATACAAAAATTTTTTTAACCTTTCATAGTATTTTTATTCTATTAACATAATTATTTTTTAAAGGTCACACCCCCATGAAGAGAATCTTAAATAATTATTAGTTTCATTTAAACTAAAAAGGCTTTCATATCTAATGTTTTTTCGCAGAAATTACCAATTCAAACTGGCTAATTTAGGAACGGACTTGAGAATTTTTCTGTAAGCAATCAATTTGCATTTAAATAGAAAAATTAAAGTTTTTAAAGTTTCAGATATATTTTGAGACAATTTTATTTTTACATTTAAAAATTTGTTTATTTATTTTGAAGAAATGGATGCAAAATTCGTAAATAAACAAATAAATATAATTTCTTTCTAATAATCATAGACTTGATATTATGCTTGGAAAACATAGTATAAAGTTGAGAAATTACACAAATATGGTAAATCACAATTTTTATACTTACAATCAGTACAGTAGGGTGTTAAAAAGTGATGATATTAAAATTTCATTTCTTACATCAATAGTTGTTATCTATACTTTTAATTTGGCTTAACAAGTTGAACTACAGGACAAACTCAGGCTCCAATAGGGTAGTTGAAAATATCTCTTTATAATATAGATTAAACCACGATCAGTTGGTTTAAACTAAAAGAATAAGAAAGTTATATGAAGTCTTGAAACGTAGAATAAAAAGAATACTTAGTAATTAGCAAGTCCGTTCCTAAGTATAAGAAATAATACTGAATTAGCTATGTAGTAGAAACATATTTTAAAGTTGCTACTTGTGAGCTCTGGTTGGTTAATCTTACCTCGAAGAATTTATCACAAAAATGAATTACATATGTAATAGAAAAAAAAAGTATTGTGCACCCAAGTTTGAGACCAATGTCTTAGACAATTCTAAAACCTTAAATTTTTAATACTGATCAAGTCTCAGGTTGATGATATACAACAATTCTTTGAAACAAAACTTCAATAAAAAAAAACCAATTTGATGATTGAAAAATACTCGTTGAAGAGGTGCTTTATTAGTAGATACCATTATGGGGTGTTTCTTCTTCGGTATTTTTGGATCACAAAATTGTTACTATTAATAAAAATTCCAAATGAGGAATTAGTATATGAAAGAAATGGAATTCATTGAGAAGGATACATACATTTAGCAAAAAAATAAACTAAAGTGTAAAACTCTTATAAAAAAATTGACCCTTGGAACGAAACTACACCCCATTAAGGTTATTAGGTACCTTCATCACTAAATTTATATAATCTAACCCTGGTATTCCTCCTGCAATCACGAGCATAGATTCCTCATTGGAATCAGTAAATATGAAAAGTCTTTCATGTTATTCTAGTTCAAAATTTAAAAATAATTGAAGCTACAGTAATACTGCCTCGTTTAATTTTTTAAAAAATGGGCAAGGTTTGAAGCTGAAGTTCCAACCGCCTTTTTTTTTCAACCCTTTTTGAATTTGTAGTCTGCCTTACCAAAGTGGAAATGTCTTAATGTGCAATTAAATACAACTATTCAGAAACAAAGTACTCATGAAAAATCAGTCCTATCAACAAACTCAGTAGGGCAACAGAGAAACTACCAAATTTTACGAATAATTTGATTTGGTGTTTGTTCACTCAAATTAGATCGAATATAAACTTCATTATTTTGAGGTTATTCCAATTTAAACTACAAGTTGATGTTAAACAATATCACGGACTTCAGTTTCTACATATCCATGGTGCCCTGTTATATCTTGTCTCTGTTGTAGATTATGCATTGGACGCATGTTGAACCAGTTTTTCCACAGGAAGAATTGATGGTATGCAATATAACTAAATCAAAAAGAAAAGCAAAACAAAATTCATATATCCATCTATTATAATTTATCATATATCCATACTACAAATTGTCATATATCCATATCTTCAATTTATTTTTTATACAGGAAAGATGCTGTTTTTTCGTTTGTTTTGATTTTTGTTTCGGATAAATACCGAATGTAAATACAAACAAACAAATTATTTAATAAATATTTTATTGGAACCAGTCAACTTTTAACGTACAGAAAACCTAATTGGCCACCAGTAATTTGCCACTTTTGCTTGATTATTAAGTTGAAGTACTAGGGCATTAAAGCAGAATGCCGTTGTAAAGCTGAGAAAGGCGTCGATAAGGTATTCACTTATCAAGAGAACAAAAAACTTGTTTCAAATTCATAGACTCAAAGTTTTATTTGAGAAGTAGAATTTTATGTGGGGTTCTTTTGAATAGTAGTATAGCATGTAAAATGCTAACTTTGTTTGAAGACCAAAATCTGTGCAGGCAATTATCCTGAAGGTATTGTTTGCTTCAAACAAATACTCTGGTTGGAGTAATTTTAGTTGAGTTCCCTTGCAAAATAAGGAAGTGTCGCTTATCTTATCTTTTTGACGTGTTCTCTATCTAATAAGAAAGCGTATTGTGATATATCCACGTACTTTTCTCTTTCCTCAGCTGTAAAGTCAAGGCTAATAACTCATAAAGGAGAGTGTTACTTTCAAGAAACAAAATTTTTGCATACATGCCTAATTCGCTACGTCAAATAAGGCTATTGCTAGCTCTCTAAGCTCGTGTCACGTTTTAGCTTTTTCATCAATAGAGAATCAAATCGTTCCTTTCAAGAAAGACATCAGAGTTTTAGGTAATTAAACTTTTACCATTACGTTAAACAGATTTTGCAAAATTAACAATGAAAGAACAATCTTTTAGACTAAACTTTTTGACATTATAATACAACAGACTATAAAGCAGTAAGAACAACTGAAGCACCAACAATTCCTATAATACCAATTGATTTTTTCCAATTCAAAGATTCAACATTTGAATAACCAGATGATCCACCTGTGGAACTTGATGATGAAGAACTTTGTGATCTTGATGAAGATGAACTTGCATCATTTGAGCTTGAGGAAGAGCCACTTCTGGTTGATGAAGCACCTGCTGCTCCATTGGATTCATTTGATCTTGAAGAAGTTTCAGAACTTGAATTAGAACCTGAACTTGAACTTGAACTTGCATCTGTTTCTGAACTAGCATCTGATTCGGAACTTGCATCTGATTCTGAACTTGCATCTGATTCTGAACTTGCATCTGATTCTGAAGATTCATCACTAGTTGATGCAATACTTGTTTCTGATGAGCCATTAGCTCCAACAACTGCACCTCCAGCTGAAGTTAAAGATTGACCAGCTTGATCACCTCTACTTGTAACGACTGAAAAATCAGAGACAACACCTTGAGTGATTGTTGAAAATCTACCTTGAGCATCCAGGGTAACTATTTGGAAAGCTGCTGCTCCACCTGAAGTAATGGAATCAAATTGGACAACAATCCCTGAAGTTGCGGTATGCCATGCTCCATCTGCTCCCGAGGTAACAGTTGCGAATATTCCTTCTGCTTTACTTGTAATTGTGTTAGCAATTCCAAGACCTGCTGAAACTATTCCTCCGATAGCTGATGCAATGTCTGCCATAACTGTAGAATATGATGATTTATAAAATTTATTTAAAGAAAGTAAGAATTTGTCTCCTAATTGAGATCACGCTTTATTAAATTGAAGGAAATGAATGGACCTGAATGGACTATGACCTATCAGTAGTTGTAATGAATGTAATTGAGGATTGGTTTTAAACCTTTTCAAATACCAATTGAAATTCTATTGATATATATATATGAAATTGAATGACTTTTGAGATAGTCTTAATGTTCTAGATTAAAGCGTCTACTGAATTTATTTATAACCGATTATGTTAAACCATTCAATTTTAGACATGATTGAACTTGAACTGTTAAATTGCTAAAAATAGTAATTTCCACAATTTTTAAACTAAGCCCTTGTGCATGATGAAAAATGTATGATTCAATTTTTTGCAAGACTATCAAAAAACATCTTCATTTTCAATTCAATTCTTTTCAAGCAGTGCCTAGATTGGGCTATGGCCCCTTTTAATCAACCATCCATGATTTGAAATTATAAAAGTTTGTAGAGCTAGTTGGATTGTTAAGTCAAAAAATTGATGGAACATTATTGTTTTAGTCTAATTGAGGCTTTGTAATTTCATCAAGAGACTTTAAGTTTTTCAATTTGTTTTTACGCGTATTTCGAGATTGTATGAGTGAATTTCTCAATATTTTGATTTATATAAAACTTTCCAACATTCGGACCGAAATTGACAGTGACTAGACAAAGCCTCTGAAGTCAAATGTTGGTTTCTCTAGAATTCTTTTGACCGATTCGAAGACCATGTTACAACTTCACCTCCAGCTTTCGAACTTTGAGACACAATATTTACGAAAAAGAAAAGTAAAAAAATAAACAAACATTGGATCATAATTGTTAGCTCACTAAAGGATGTCCCAAGCAGGTTTTTATGTCTTTCGTATTTTCCACTCCTATTAGACGATAATTACGGAAAATTTAGAGGTCGATAAACAGCCAATGAAGCTAAATTTGTTCATCGATAAAACTGATCTATCTTTCGGCTGTAAAATGTGTTTATAAAATTGTTTGAGTTTGGAATTGATCAGTAGAGCACGGTATCACGTAGTTAACACTCCTCTCATTACGGAAGTCTTTCATGTGTGAGTATCGACTGGATCTGCAGTTGTACTACATAGAAAGATATAGTCACATACTAGCTGAAGAGTTCATAGTAATAATTTTTTTAGCGGAAGATATTTACCAAATTGGGAAACTACATCCGTTATCAATATCATTTGATTAGATGGAGATCTTAAATAATAAAATATGAAAATTTTCGAAAATATAATTAAAAAGTCTTGAGTCAGCAGATGTTTTCACAAATACATAAAAGCTTTTGAATCCTCTTGCTTATAAACTGATATAATATAGGAGCATTTCAGTTTTTAAATCACAATTATACAGTTCAAATCATTTTAATTCAATTCAAATGTGCGGTCAATCATCAAATTCATGTTGTTCATCTAAATCAGCATCCGCTGTTACATGCACTAATACAACTAATACATTAGCATCATCTTCTCAAAATAAAGGAGGTAATTGTTGTTCAAGTATATGTAAATGTGGATCAGGTTGTTCATGTCCTTCTTGCAATACTACCAAACTTTAGTTCATTTACAGTCAATTTGTTTAATATAGTTCAAAGTATCAAAACTTTCAATTTGGATATATAAATTTATTTTTGGGTGGTAATATATATGGGGATGCCACTGGAACAGGATCCAGGTGATTAACAACTTTCTTTCAATAAGAAGTATATAGTCAAATATTTTCAATACATAAATTCAGGATTTCTTTCGATAATGATAAGACTCAAGTAGGAAAAGTCTATACTCTTACAAGATATCTAATTACTGAAGGTATCAGTAAAGAAATTAATGTGATTATACTTTTAGTCCAAATTTTAATCAAGTACAAAAAAAAATCATGAAATTTGACTAGTCCAAATTTTAGCGAAGAACTAATGAAACTTTTGAAATTAAACTAGACCAAATTAAACGTAATGTGTATGATTAATGTCTTAGTCGGGTACGTCAAAATGAAACATCTCGAGCATAAAAATAACTCAAAATATTTAACCTTTTACGTAACATATGAAGCTGACGTAGCTAAGAATTTTTTGGAGTGAATCTATAAGGTATATTACTTGTTTATAATTGACGAAACTGATTTTTCATAATCCTACAACCTGAAATACTCACGAGCGTAATTCATCAGAATTTACAATCAAAATATGATCAGCATATATGTGCCAATGCTAACTTATTAATGAAAAAGCTAAATATACTTAATTTTGAAATTTCAAACATGAAATTTCATATGCATAGTGTTTTTTGAAACAATATATTATAAGTAATATTTTTTTTTCCTGCACTTAACAATAGATCTAATTTTAATTTACGAAGATCTGAAACACTTTGGTCGTCAAAAATATACACTTATAAACTTCATATATCTTATATATTTACCAAAATCCACCTAATTTATTTTTGAATTTTGAGATAATGCAACAACAATGTCCACACATACATCAAAGAAAAAATTCATTATTGCAGTTTTAGAGTTTGAAGTTCCAAGGTTTATTCATATTTATTTCCACTTAACTAAGGACCAGATAGATTTTATTAGTGATATAATACTTGATAATATTCATGAAAAAGCTGACATTATTCATGATATGGTTGAAGCAGATTTAAATATTTCTTTGGGGATAGATGTTATTCGTGAAATTTTTAGAAGATATCGAGATTTAGCAAATGTTTATGATCATTTAAAAATACCACATGAAGAAGTTTGTCCATATGGAGATGCAGAATGTTGTCCTGATGATTTATGTTCACTTTGGCATCCAGCTAAGTCAACCTTAACTTTGGTACCAGAAAATAGAGTTCCAACTTTATGTTATGCTGATGATTCAACACTTCCAACTGTCTATCCAGATTTTTTGAGACAATGCACTTGTTTTGACTCGATGTGTATTAAACGTCACCAAACCTCAAATCACTTATGTAGAAACGGAGGTGAATGTCCAAGAATTAATTGCACTTACTATCATGATTATTCTCAAGATTGCAAATATGGAAGTTCTTGTAGATATGAAGATTGTCCATTTAATCATGAAAATTGTCCTCAATCTTGGATTGTTAATAATTATGAGGCTCAACCTTGGAATACTAATAGATATGAAACTCAATCTTGGAATGTTAATAGTTACGATGATGAAGATAGTTATAGTGGTAGGGCTAGCTTGTTATCAGACCCAATAGAAAAGTTCGTTCAGGAAGCTGTCAAGTCATGTAGATTGTCTTCTTAAATTCTCAGAATCTAAAATTTAAATAACGTATATAGTCTGATAATGAATTGTATACTTAATACAACAACTTCTTCATTATAACCCTCAAATGTGACTAATAGTGGATGGGATAATGCTCTGTTAATCTCTTGAATATTTACTCAAAACGATACACATAGTTATATAGAGATTTTAGTGTGGATTGGAAGTAATGTTGTATTTTTATAGATTCAGAAAATTTTTGCCTACATATGCAGCTCTAGCTTTGATTTACTACAATTTTTTGATTAAAACCTACAGAATTAAGTTTCAATACGATGACTTATTGAATATTTCAAATGCAAAAGTAATCTAATAATATTAATATATTACTTGAATTTTTTCCTGCATGCAGTAAAATCTGATACATAATCACGAAATACCCCAACTCAACTTTTTTTCAAGATTATATTATATTAAACCCATTCATCTTCTTAACATTCAAAGTCTTTTTTAAATATCAACCATGTCCTTTCATTCAATGAAAAAAGATTTCATCCTTACGGTGTTGAACATCGAGGTTCCTAAATTTATTCAAATTTATTTCCATATACCTAGACAAGAAATAATCAGTATTAGTCAAATTATTTTAGATAACATTCATGAAAATTCCATCAACATTACTGAATTAATAGAAGAAGAATTGGGTTTATATTTAGGGAAAGATATAGTAATTGAAATATTTAAAAGATATCGTGAATTAATTAATGTTTTCAATCATTTTAAAATACCTGGTGATATGGTTTGTCCAAATGGTGATAATTGTCCTGGAAATATTTGTACATTATGGCATCCATCTAAATCAAATTTAACTAGAGTTCCAGAATATAGAGCACCAACCCTTACATATTTTGATCCTTATGTTTATCCTCAATTTTTACAACAATGTTTAATGGTTACTTGCAATAATATGGATTGTGTAAAACGTCATCCAACTTCAAGTTATCTTTGTAGAAATGGTGCAGAATGTCCTAGAATCAATTGTTATTATTATCATGATTTTTCTCAAGATTGCAAATTTGGTGAAGATTGTAGTTTAAATAACTGTCCTTTTAATCATGAAGATTCGACAGAATCGACGGACACAGAATACGATCATGAAAAGTATCTTAGTGATTTTTAATATCAATCACCAAATATTTTTTAATTCATCAATATATGGTCCTGTCCCTGATTAATTCAAGTTAGTTAAGTATATTTAATGCTATAAGTAGTGGTAAAAGTAAATGTCAATGAATTTTATAAGTTTTGCATTAATCTCTGAACAAAATGTTCAATCAAATTTATAAAAGCATCTCTATCGTGTTAAACTTTTCTTAATTGAACCTATGCAATTACTTTAAAGCAATTGCTTAAAATAATCTTCATATACGTTCATGCCATGAGATTAATAGTCCAAAGTCTGGGTTCAAAAGATGTCGAGGTTCAAATCTAATTGACACAAAAATGTTCAGTATAGTACATCCGTAACTTCATACTAATTTTTTGGTGACAGCAGGTAAAATATCAAATAAATAACTCCACGATAAATCTTTATAACGAACAGCAAAACAACATTTTGAGTGAACATGATGTAAAATCTCAATTTATAGAGTCTAACGAAGATTTAAATGAATTATAAATTTTACATAATAATCTTACAAATTGTATATTAAATTAATGTTTTTAAAAAGAACTATAAATCTAGACATCCAAAACTCCTTCCTTTTGTAAAACTTTTTCAATTTCATTAAATAAAGTATCAGTAGTCAATTTAGAGCCCTTAACTCTAGTACATATGATTTCTGATTTTTGATTTGAATTTTTAGAAATTATTTTTATTCTAAATTTACAACTTTTTAAATTAAAAGAATTATATTTTGATATTGAACCTAAAATTATTGAACTTATTTGATCATGTTTTAAATCTTTTAATCCAAAATTTGACCAAGAATTTAATAAAGCAAATAATGCAGTTGACATTTCATCTTTTGGTAATATTGTATTAAATTTTTTTATTTCAAATTCTATTGATTGATTGTGTGAATTATTTGTTGAAGAAGAAAACCAACGTAAAAATGAAGATTTTGGTTTTTCATCATCTGAATCAGTTGGACTTGATGATTGACCATTTTCTGTTTGTTTTTTAGCTCCCCATGAAAGTTTTCTAAAAAATGATCCTTTTCTTTGTTGTTTTTGAATGTCTGAATAATTATTTGTTTTGTCATTTAATGGTTGTTTTGATTTACCGTGTGTTGGAGGTGTTGGTGCTACATTATTATTATTCCTAACTTTTGTCATTGGTTTTGAATTTTGTTTACCTCTTTGTTCTTCAGTTGTTGCAGATTTTGAAGGTTTTTCATTTAATCCACCATTGGCAAGTGTATCTATGGAAGATTTGGTTGATTTTCCATCAGGTAATTTTATTTTATCAAAAACATCATCAATCTCACTTGATTCATCTGATACCATTGATTTATATTGTTTTTTATGAATTTCATCACTTTTACTAACAAATGTATCATCATAATCTTGGGTGGTAGGTAATGCAGGTACTTTTGAAATTGGTTTACTATATCTTCTTGTAGTTGATGCTCTTGATGCTCTTTTATTGGCATCATGATATGAAAGTCTTTTGTTTGCTAAATGTTCTTCAAAATCTAAAACTGAATTATTATCATCACCTTCTTCATCCTCTTCAGGTAAACCAGCTTTATCCAATCTATCAGCAAAACTAGTTCTTAATCCCACTGTTTTACCATGACTATCAGGTACATGTGAATCTATTATTGAATTAAGATCTTTGTAAGATTCTTTAGTTGAATATATTGATAGTACTGACAATCTTTTATTTGAATTTGTGAAATTTCTTGATTTTCTTGTAACATTTGGTATTTTGACATTACCAATTAATGTAGGAACTCTTTCATTTCTCAATTCAGCTTTCTTATTTTCAGATTCAACTAATTTATTAATATTCAATTGACTATTTAATAATCTTGATTTTCTGATTTCGGTCATATAATCATCAGTTAAATTTGAGTTTTCAACATTAGGTTCAGGTAATTCATAATCTCTATCTTTTTCATAATAACTATCTCGAGACATTCTTTTCTTAAGTCCATTTCCTTCTTCAATTATATCATCCATAACTGATACCATAGATTCTCTATTAACTTTCTTTCTTGTTGTTGAATCTTTATTATCCTTCCATTCATTTTCCAAAGCTTCTTGAGCTCTATCAATTTGTTCATTATGATGAGCTTGCCATAATGGATCTAATCTCGAAACAGGTCGACGTGTTAAAATTGGTGTTTGTTTTCTTTTTGGAATTGGTTGACTAGCTGATCTTCTTTTCAAATCTTCTAATTCTTCTATTGTTAATTCTGCATTTCTACCACCATCACCTTCTGATAAAGCTCTTAATGTATTCACATTTTTAGATTGACGTTTTGGTTGTTTTATTTCATTTTTATTTAGGTCCATATCTTGTTCACTATTATTATTTGGATCATCATCTTTAACAATTATACTTAATTTTCTATTACTTAAAATGGATCTTCTCTTTTGTCTTTTCTTCTTCTTTTCCAACTCCTTTCTAGCTTTCAATTCGGCTTCATGTTTCTTTCTTTCAATTTCCATTAATCTTTCATATTCTCTAGCTTCTAATTCTTCTGGATCAACTAATTGTTCATCATCTTCATTATATTCTTCTTGATTAAATATTTTATCACATAATGCTGCAAATGTAGCTGAAGTTCTTTTAGTTTGTTTATCCATATATTCCCATTCATCATCACCAGCCAATTTAGCATAAGTTGACAACAATTTCATTGTTATGGAATTTCTTTTCAATCCATTTGTCATGGAAGCTCTTATTGATCTTCTTTTAGACATCCTCTTATTATTATTGTTACCACTTGGTTTCGTTATAATTGAAGATCTTTTAGATGGTGACAATTTTGCGGATTGTAATAAATTAGGAGATTCATCAACAACAGGATTTTCAGCAACGTTTGGAAGGATTGATAATTTATCCACATACATGGAGTCTTTTGATGGTAAAGATGGAGGTAAAGATTGATTACTTTGAGCATCAACAATTTCATTATAAATATTCCTTGGAGTTGCCTTAAAATTAGAAATTTCCTGAACTTGTTTTCTTTTATATGGAGATCTGTGTGGAGATGCTTGAATATGTGAATATCTTTTTTTAGGTGAAGATCTTCTTGGAGAATTATTTACCGATGAAGCTACTGAAACTCTTGAATACGTGGTTCGATTGTTATTTAATGTACTGATACCATTTTTATATTGAAATGAAGTTGGTCTTGAAACATTAATTTGACTAGCTCTTTTCTTTTTTGGTGTTGCATTTGAACTACTTCTACTCAATGATCTTTTTGGTATATTGGTTTGATCATCATTTGATGAATGTCTATATCTTAAAAGTAAAGCATAAAATGTCTTTTCTGGATTAGCACCATTTTGTAATAAACAATCAATAATTTCTTGTTCAGATCTCTCATTCCACAAAATCGTTAGATTTGATAATATTTGTTTATCTATATTTTTAGTTGATCCCAATGATTTATGAGCAGTTTCTGGATGTGGTAATGATTTTTCACTAATTAAATCTTCATTTGAACAAGGATATTTAGTTAATAATGAATGTTTTAAAATTTTTTCAGTTGATATTCTTTTAGTTGGATCAACTTCTAACATTTTTGAAATTAAGTTTTGAGCTTCCTTACTTATCTCATCAATTGGCATTTCATAATTACCAGCTTGAACTTTCAATAATAAATTTCTTATATTTTCATCATCAAATGGTAATCTACCAGTCAATAAAGCAAATAATATGACACCACATGACCAAACATCAGAAGCAGCACCATGATATTTTAATCCACTTACAATTTCAGGAGCAGCATAATGAGGTGAACCACAAGAAGTTTCTAATAATTTCCCATTACTTTCTAAAGCTGCCATACCAAAATCAGCTAATTTAACATTCAATTGAGCATCTAGTAATAAATTTTCTGGTTTCAAATCTCTATGACATATACCTAAAGCATGACAATAAGCAGTTCCTAAAATTATTTGACGAAAATATTTTATAGCTTCTGGTTCTTCTAATGGACCTCTTTCAACTAATAAATCAAATAATTCACCACCTTCAACATATTCTAATACTAAATATAAAGCTTTTGAAGTTTCCCAAACATCATATAATCTTAAAACATTTGGATGATTTAGTAATTTCATTATAATTATTTCTCTTTCAATACCATATGGTAAACCTTCACCATTTTGTTCATTTTCTTTATTTTCATTATTACTGCTATTGTTATTGTTGTTAACTTCTTCTTGTAAATCTGATTTTGATACTACTTTAACTGCTGCTTTTTGACCAGTTGTTTGATGAGTAGCTAATAATACTCTTCCAGTTGCTCCTCTTCCTAAAGTTTTACCTAATTTCCATGGTCCAATCTTTTGAGGATGATTATGAAGTGAACTAGACATTACAGATGAGCTCAAAGAACCCAGCCTAGAATGTGACATTTGTTTATGATGTAAATTCGAATTAATAATTAATGAACGTGAATAGTTTTTATTAAATGAATGAATAAATTTGTTTGTTTTGACTACCAATTAAAATTTAATAAAATTGTAACGAATGAATATAAGATGAATTGTTGTTTCTTTTAGTTAAAGATTGTAATGAATAAGTTGATGAATTTTGGTTCAAAGAAGTAATTGAAATGAAATGAAAATTTATCAAAATGAATCTTTTACAACATAAAATTTCATCTAATTATATTTTTATTAACAAAGCTTTGACGATAATAATATTTACAAAGAGAAAAAGTAAATAGAAACTAAAAATAAAAAAAATAAAAATTAATTAATACAAGACGCGACTAACGCGTAAAAATTATACTATGTAATTCTATATAATATAAATGCTACCACATCTCAGTACCCCTTTCATCATAAAGTTCTACAAGAAGAATCAATTATACCTAATTTAGAATAAATATTAATCTTTTAGTGTTATAACTAAACTATTATGAAATTTTCGAAAGGTCAACCGTTTTATATCAATCAAATTCATACACAAATAATCAAAAAAAAGTGTTCGTCTGACTGACCTAAGAATTTTCAACGGTGCTGTTTTAAAATGGATCTACTAGTTGTCTTTTTCTCATTTTGATGATTATCTTTCCTTGCTTCATTCCACCTACCTGATATTGAACATTCCAAGACTCTGATTTCGGATAAAAATCACCGAATTCACATAAGTTGAGCAGTTTCGTCCAAAAAGCATCCAAAAGTGGACCGACTTTCTCAAGTTTATTGATTTAGTAAAGGCTACTAAGAATCTGAATAAGTTAATGCTTCCCATCAATGTCGAAGTGGTTGTATGGTATATTTCACTTCCTTGTCTTGAATCTGATAAATGTAAATCAGCAAAGAATTTGAATTTAGCTTTTTTCTTATTTCATCTCATAAACCGACTTCTTTTAGTATATCTAATTGTTTATTCATCTCATCATTAGCTTTCTTATTTTTAATTTTATCTTCTTCAGCTTTATCGTAGTCTTCTTTTATATTTTTTAATGACTTTAAATTTTCTTTATTTAGCGAGGAGTTGTTATCTGAAGAATTATGTAGTATATTTGTAATCTCATTGAATTCATCTATGTTTGAATTTAATTTATCTAACTTTATTTTATTCGATTTTGATTTTGATCTTTGTGGTTTGTTTGATCTTGAGTTTGATGATGATTTCTGTATTTTGTTTGACTTTTGTATACTTCTTGGTTTAGAATTGTGACCCTTCTTATCTCTTGCCATCCTTTATTTGTTTGATTGTGTTTATGATGAGCTTTGGATTGCCTCAAAAAGGTGTTAAATTTTATATTTGTTGTTCTTGGTGCATCAATATTACAAACGAAAATTAATTTTGATAATTTTAAATATGATCTCATCTCTCACCATACGAATATATTATTCAACAAAATTAAACACATAATACATAAAATACAACAAAACAAACAGAATGCCATCAACACATAATCGTGATAAACCTTGGGATACTCCAGATATAGATAAATGGGCTTTGGAAGAGTTCAAACCTGAACATAATGCTTCTGGTCTACATTTTACAGAAGAATCATCATTCATGACATTATTTCCAAAATATAGAGAACAATATCTTAGAAGCATATGGAGTGATGTAACGAAAGCTTTAGATAAACATCATATTAAATGTGAATTGGATTTAGTCGAAGGTTCCATGACTGTTAAAACTACCACAAAGACATTTGATCCTGCTATAATTATAAAAGCAAGAGATTTAATCAAATTATTAGCAAGGTCAGTTCCATTCCCACAAGCTGTCAAAATTTTACAAGATGATATAGCTTGTGATGTGATTAAAATTGGAAATTTCGTAACAAACAAAGATAGATTTATAAAAAGAAGACAAAGATTAGTTGGACCAAATGGTAATACTTTAAAAGCATTAGAATTATTGACAAATTGTTATATTTTAGTTCAAGGTAATACAGTGAGTGCAATGGGACCATTCAAAGGTTTAAAAGAAGTAAGAAGAGTAGTTGAAGATTGTATGAAAAATATTCATCCTATATATTATATAAAAGAATTAATGATAAAACAAGAATTAAGTAAAAATCCAGAATTAGCAAATGAAGATTGGTCAAGATTTTTACCAAGTTTTAAAAAGAGAAATGTTGCAAGAAAGAAGAAATCAACTAAAAAAATTGAAAAGAAAATTTATACTCCATTTCCACCTGCTCAACAACCTCGTAAAGTTGATTTACAAATTGAAAGTGGTGAATATTTCCTTGGTAAAAGAGAACGTGAATTAAAAAAGAAACAAGAAAAGAGAGCATTACAAGAAGAAAATAGTGAATTAAGAAGGAAGGAAAGAGCAAAAGATTTCATCGCTCCCGAGGAGTAAATCTGTTAGCTTGAGCTCAAGAATTGGAAATTTTAAGAATCGGTATATAAATTCAAAGTTCGGGAAACGTATGATATCTAAAGGACTACAAGACCTAACAAGTTTTGATTTGCTAATGACTTATAAACACGCTGCTGAATTTAAAAGATCACAAGACCGCTAGGGAATTAAAGTTTTTAGTAATTTCGATTAAGATGTGCATTTTAAACCTTATATACTACTTGCAAATGGCTAAAAATTTGGTCCTTCTCTCTGCAATAATGTAACGAAATTCAAATAAATAAATATTTGTGTAATAATTGCGTGATTTAGTTTCATTAAAAGTTTTAAACTAGTCTTATTGATAGTTTAAACTCAAGAAATTCTTTATAGAAAAGAGGCACTATATATTTATTTAAATAACGCTCACAAGACCGAACTAAAATTCATCAAAACAATAAATTCTTCAACGAGCTTGTAAATTTCTAGACCAAAAAATTCTGATACTTCTCATTCAAATTGTAGTTTAAAGGGAAAAAGCAGATTCAAACAAGGGTTCTCATTCTTGTGTAATGATATTTGATTTCCACTAATTAATTCAATCGGTTAATTTTTTCGTAAATTTAACGTTATATGATGAGTATAAACTTTATTCTTAATCATACATTTGTCGTAAAGTGAAACTATTGACTATTTAACCCAAAATTGAAGAATTATTAATGTTAGTGGTTATGTAGCACAAAATTGATGTTAAATTTGGTAGCCCTATAACTACTTATTAAGTATTTATGTTTACCTATTTAGTGAAACACAAAACATTAACACAAAGTAATATTTCTAGAATGTAAATAAATTAATCAATTAATCAAATACAATAAGAAGAGACAAGATAATCTCATCAAAGAGAAGTCAAGAGCTTAATTTAATATTGAGGACAATTTAATTCACAATACATCAAAAAAACTGATTAGAAAATCAGTTAATCAAACTTTTTGATATAAAATTTGATTCATCACAAAACTCATCATACAAATCTTTAAACTATTTTGATTAAATAATTGGAGTTTAGACAGCCCTAAAATTACTACTCACAACACCCAAATTTAAGGTTTATCTTTAGTTTAGTTTGTAGTATCAAACAACTAAAAATTTTGGTCAAAAGCACAGAATAAACATTCATATAAATCTACTCATAATTGTCATAGATTAAGTAAACAACGATTTTTATGATATTACAAGCTAGGTCATTTTAATGTCAAATCCAAATACAATTGATCAATCAATATCATTACTTGATCAAAATGTCTTAAACTCAAATCCAAACCTAAATCAAATTAATTTAATAAATCAAATATCATTCATAAACCAGAAGATTTTACAATATGATAATAATATTCAAGAATTAATCAAATTAATGGAATTCAATAAGAGTTGTTTAGTAGAATTAAATACTTTGAACTTGAAATGTTTTCATTTAAATACGAACCTTCAAACGAGTGAAGATAGTTTGGCTATGAATAAAGAAAATTTTGAAAGTCTTTCTAATCAATACAATCATATATTGGAAAAGTTGGAGATTAATGACCAATTTAAAATACAAGACATCAAACAAGACAAACAAGACTGTAACATAAAAGAATCAATAGATATTGATATTGTCTCAGAGGAAGAAGATTATGAAGAATCAGATGAAGATGAACAAGATTCGATGAATGTATCGCAAGAAAAAGACTTATATTCATCAACTCCAACACCACCTGATTTGAAAAAAATGATTTCAATTTCAAATCTTAAATTAAAACCAATGAGATGTACTACTTCATCATCAACCTGCTCGTCTAATCCAGAAACGTTCAACAGAAAATGTTCAAAGCAAAAATCTAGATATAGACTATCAAGTATCTATAACTTAAACCCAATAGCATATGAAGAATCATCATTTTTATCTTCAACAACTCAAAATACAATAGAATCATCCATAGCATCATCAACTGTTTCTGAAGATAGTGAAAAATTAATGAAAAATAGTTTATCCAAATCTTATGATACAATTGATTCTCATTTAGCAAATACATTTGATACAAGTCAACAATTACAGGAACCAATAGATATAAAAAGAAATCTGAACACACCACCCCATTCGGTCGACCAAATTTCACAAGAGCATCAACAACAATTCAAACACAACAGATCAAATTCATTACCAACATCAACAACATCCGTAGATCAACATGATCTTTTCAAAGAATTTGATTGTCATCAAGACTATTTACAATTCAACAAACTAAAACATTTCATAAGTATGAGTAATTTACCAAGACATAATTTATCACCCCATGAAGATTTATTTTTTAAAGAAATTAATAAATCGTTAACTCCTCAACAAAACAATAATGACTGTGATGTTTGCTCTATTGTTTCTGATGTGTCATATTATTCACCATCCGATAAGGAGCAACAACAGTTACAACGAAATAAATCAATGAATCAAAATTATGATGATGAGATCCTAACCCATGAATTGAATTTTGATACTTATAATAACTTCTTAAGAAAATCGGCATTAAATTTGAGAGAACAATTTACAAATCAATCACAACTTGAAGGAAATGTTCAATCAGCAAGTACACCCAAAAAATTGTACAAATTCCAAAATCCATTCAATATTGTATCGTCGCAAAGATCAATACCGACAACAAATGTTGTTATACTGGAAGAACAACAACAAAGCCATTCAAACAAAAACTCATGCTCATCATCTAGAAAATTATTGAGTGAAGTGATTTCAAGAACTCCTGCTGTCCTCAACAAGGAACCTATTTCCCCCATTATGGATGCAAAGCGCAAGCTGAATTTACATGATAAGGAAAAAGTATCCACACCTCAATATTGGCCACATGATGAGCAAAATTTCCTATCACAAAATACAAAATCATCACCGTCATTATCAGCATCTTTAGATTCACAACCACAATCATTATTACTTCCCAATAAATTCATTACAAACTTCATGCTAAATAAAGAATCAAAAACAATTAAACCACCAACTCCACAAAAGATAAAAGATTTGAAAAAACAAAAAAGATTTAAAAATGTACCTATACTGATCCCCAATCAAACTCAACTCAAAAGAATTCCAACCACTAAACCAAATCAAAATGATTTTGGAACTGGTGGTGAACGAAAAATTTTAAGTGGATCATATTCTAATTTAACAATTCTTAAAAATAAAAAATATATAAATCATGGAAATACTTCAATTTTTAATAATCCAATTTTAAAAAATTATAATGAAGATGCAATTCGAGCGGCATTAAGTGAAAGTTTACTAGACTAATAAAAAATTAAAGAACACATACATTTTATTCGTAAAAGACATTAATTATATTATATAGACAATTTTTAATACATAATACTCATAATTTTAAAATTCAGAATTTGAAAAAATCAGTGAATGGTTACTGTTTGAAAATTGTTTTAAATTTTTTTCAATTTTTTGTTCTTTTAAACTCTTGAGTTTAGTATTATTTGAATTTTTTGACATATAAGTAATAGAAGCTTTTGAACCAGATACAACTTTATAAGATTTACTTATTGTAACACCTGAAAAATGTTGTTTACCATCTTTAACCATATCACCTTTTTCTTCATGAAATGATTTAAAAGATTTTGTAATTGATGGTCTTTTAAAAATTGGTAAAAATTCATTATCTTCTGAATCAATATCTGTTTCTTCATCTAAATTTCTCTTCTTAGAATTAGTGGTTTCATTGGAATCTGTAATTGAATTTATTTTATTTAATGAACTTTTTGATTTTAATGCATTTAAATCATCTATATCATCATCATCATCTGATATTCCATATTGAAAATTTGACATTTTTTGAATTCTTTGATAAGCTACTTCATCATCATCATCATAAACACTTTGATGTAAAAATGATAATTTATTTTGAACAAACGATTCTTTAATTTTAATTGATTTTTTTATAGGTTCTTCTTTTTCCAAGTCATCATCATTGTCTTCATTTTCTTTTTCATTTTCATCTTTGTCTTTGTTCTTTTCTTCATTAGATTTGAATGGATTTGCAATTTCTTCTACTTCATCATCATCATTTTCACTATCACTATCTATTTTAATAATTTCATGTTTATCTTGAATAGTATCAAAAAATGCTTTTGATTTTTCATTTTTACTTAATGCTTGTAATTTTTTATTTTGCATTAATCTAGCTTGTTGTTCAATTAATTTTTGTTTTCTATAAGCAGCTAATAATTGATCTTCTTCATCACTCAATTCAATGTCTAATCCATTATTTTGACCAACTCTTTTAATTAATTTATGATTTTTAATATCATCTAATAATTTTTCTAATTCCTTTTGATCTTTAATTTGATATTCTTCCATAAATTTTTTTCTAATTTCATCATTTTGTAAATCAATATTAAAATTATTATCAATCATTTTTTCATCATCTGAATTTGCAACATCACTAAATTCACCATCAATACCTCCTAATCCTTTCCATTCATCTTCAGATTCTTCTGCTTCTCCATCAAGTATGGTTTTTAAACCTTTTCTTTCCATTTCTTTTCTTCTTTTTCTAGCTTTTAATTCTTTTAATCTAATTTTTTGTTCATATTCTTTGACTTTACGTTGAACTACTTCTGGATCATCTTCATTTTCTACTTCATCTTCATCTTCTTCTTCTATATCCAGATAAGCTTCTTGTTTGATTTTGACCATTCTATTATGTAATGACTTACGACCTTTTTTAACATGAGCTGGAGTAATAACATCATCATCTTCGTCATCATAGTACTCTTTCTTTATTGTTTCTTGTTTGATAATTTGTGTTGCTGCAAGATCCGGTTTTCCATCATTATTTGAAAAAGAGGTATCAACTTGAGTTGGAGCATCAAATTGTGTTTCCTGTTGAGTTTGGGTTTGAGATTGAGTCAAGTCTTTGAAATCTGGTAATTGTCCAATAAGTCCCTTGTCGTTTTGAATTGAAATGAATGAGTCTTCTTGATCTTTTGGATGAGTTGCTTCAACATTATTACTACCAGCATCAAAAAGATCTTTATCCATTGAATCATCCGAATCGTCTAATTGTTGTTCTACGTTCACTTTTAATTCCTCTTCTTCATCTTCCAGTGGATCAGAATTCTCACCAGCCAGTGGCCCATCATAATTATTTGACTCGTAGTCACTTTCAGGAACATCTGAATCACCAACCTCATCCTCATCATCACTTTCAGTCATTTTCATTCCTAATTTCTTACCTAATAAAGCTAATTTAGCTCTTTCTTGTAATTTCTCTTTCTTCCTTATATTTCTATTTCTCTCCATTTCTCTTTCCAACAATGATGATAAAGATTCTTCTTCTTTTTCAAATTCTTCTAACACTTGATATTCATGATCGTTTAATCTATTGGTTTTCAATTGGTCAATATTCCTCTTTTGTAATTGTTTCAAGAATTCTTTATGCTGCCTGTTCTTTAATTCTAAATCCTTAGACTTTAATTGCTTTGTATTTTGATATTTCTTTCTCATAAATTTTTGTTTGATTAAGAACTTCTTCTCTTTACTAAGTTCAGGAATTGTTTTTAATTCTTTAGCATTATTTGAAAATTTTGATTTAAATTGAGTAGTTCTGATAGGTGAAGATGAATGACCAATTTCAATATCTGAATCTGAATCTAAATTGATCACTTTGGTATTTGACGTAGGTGAACTAGCCAATTCTCTTTTTAATTTTTGAGCATACATTTCTAATGGATTTTTAGGTTGTGTTTTAGATGGTATTTGAAATAAATCGTATAAATCATCTTTCATTGGTGAAGTAGTAGGGCTAGATCTAAGGTCGTCTTGAACTGGTGATGATGGCTTCAAATTGTCGGTGTTGGGATGGTCTTTTTTGAGATATCTTTTATTGAATTCTTCATCAGCATCATCTGAATCTGAGTCTGAAAATAAGTCCAAGAACTTATCCTTTGTAAAAGTTTGTTTTCTTTCAAAATCAGGCCTTATATCAATTTGTCTTTTTTGAATAATTAAAAATTCTTGTGCTTTTTCTAATTCTTTTGTTGATAATCCATCACTTCTCATATGCGATGAAATGACTGTGTCATTTGCTTCGTTATTTAAATCATCTTCCTCATCAGTTATAGAACCTTTAGTTAAATCTTTCTGTAAAAGTTCTTGTTCTTTTTCTTTTGCAAGTCTTTCTTGTTTCTTCTTTTCTGCTAATTCTGTAATTTTCCGAAGTCTTTCATCTTTAGATAATGGTAAGGTGTTAGTTTCACCAACATCTGATTCATCAGTGACGAATAGGTCATTCAAATTTGATTTATTGGTGGCAGTTTGATCATCTTTGGTGTTAACCGTATCTAAATCTCGAGTTTGATTATTCTCAACTGATTTTTGTGTAGTTTCATCCTTATCTGGAGCTGGTAATACTTGAGTTGGATCTAAATTTGAGATTTTTGATAGTTCTTGAGTTGGATCTAAATTTGAGACTTTCGGTACTTCTTGTGTTGTTAATTTAGTTTGATATTCACTTTCATCGACTTCTAATTGAGGTAATAATTGAAATTTAAAGGTTGATTGAGTTTGTGATTGAGTTTGTGATGGAAGTTTTTGAGTATCATCATTATTTATTACTTGGGTATCATTCAAACTTGAATTTTCATTATTTGTTGACCCTAATCTTTTTTTAATTCTCTCTAATACACTTAAATCTAAACCACTACTGGTAGATGTTGTTGTTGGTTCCGATATTTTACTCATGAAGTTATTACTCAAATTTAATCCCAACATCGATAAGAATCCTTTTTTCTCTTGTGAATCATTATTTGAGTCAGATTTAGTTACATCTTTTGGACTTTTATTCTCTTTATCTTGACTAGATTGAATATCTGGTATTATTTGAGTAGGTGAAGTCTCCGTCATATTCTCAATTGCTTCAGTTGTCTCAAAATTGATTCAGATGATGGAAAAACTCGACACCAATAGCTGAATTGAGTTGGTTGCTAAAAGATTTTATTTGATGAATATGTATCAAATTGTACTGTTAGTAAAATTATAGTACTTAGTATTCATGTTTACGCGTCTTAAAAATTAAGATCGCGTTTCATGTAAACAAAAATTTTCAAAAGAAGTGACGCAGATTTGAGTAAGCGACAATAAACTACACGACAGATATTTTGTTAGGAAAGGGACCAATTTTCGAGTTTACGGAAAAGAAAATCGATCTGAATCTAACCCGAGTCCATTACTGAGAAGTCGATCTAAAATAATAAACAGACGTAAATTTAACGATGAAAAGTAAAAGAATTAATAGACCCTGGCGGTAATATAATAAATTACCATATAAAGTAAGTCGACGACTTATAAAATAATTTAAATATCGACCAATAAATCTAATTTATCTGGTAGCCCATGTTTTTCAAAATCACATGAGCATCACGATACCTTTCGATGGAAAGTTCTCTAGATGTTATACGAGCTCAATTGATACTGCTAAGAAAGTACTTAGATATCGCCAACTTTCCAGCTGAATCTTCGTGTCGTTTTTCTCTCGAATGTCACTGTCAGTGAGGTCCAAATTATAAAATTTATAATAGCTGTGGCTCTTCGTTTGAAAAATTTTTAAATTTAGTGTCTCAAAAAATTTTCAACAAATTTTATTTTGAAAAATAAAAATAATATTGTACTTAGTCAATAGTTAAAAGAAATAAAGACAACGTTTTTATAAGTTTTTTTTTTCAATTGAATTTATATTTTCGAATTTATTAAATTGAATTCAATTGTTAACTTCTTTTTCTTTTCATAAGTCTTACAAGTAATCAATCTTTGTTTAACTTAACTTACTACTACTACTACTAATCAAATCATAAAACAATGTCAGGTAAAGAAACTTTCCTTTTCACTTCAGAGTCAGTTGGTGAAGGTCATCCAGATAAAATTTGTGATCAAGTTTCAGATGCTATTTTAGATGCTTGTTTAGCTGTTGATCCATTATCAAAAGTTGCTTGTGAAACTGCTGCTAAAACAGGTATGATTATGGTTTTTGGAGAAATTACAACTAAAGCTCAATTAGATTATCAAAAAATTATTAGAGATACTATTAAACATATTGGTTATGATCATTCAGAAAAAGGTTTTGATTTTAGTACTTGTAATGTTTTAGTTGCAATTGAACAACAATCACCAGATATTGCTCAAGGTTTACATTATGAAAAAGCTTTGGAAGATTTAGGTGCTGGTGATCAAGGTATTATGTTTGGTTATGCTACTGATGAAACTGATGAAAAATTACCATTAACTATTTTATTAGCTCATAAATTAAATGCCGCTTTAGCAGATGCTAGAAGATCAGGTGCTTTACCATGGTTAAGACCAGATACTAAAACTCAAGTTACTGTTGAATATGAAAAAGATGGTGGAGCTGTCATTCCAAAAAGAGTTGATACTGTTGTTATTTCAACTCAACATTCAGATGATATTTCAACTGAAAAATTAAGATCTGAAATCATTGATCATATTGTTAAAGAAGTTATTCCATCAAATTTATTAGATGATAAAACTATTTATCATATTCAACCATCAGGAAGATTCGTTATTGGTGGACCACAAGGTGATGCTGGTTTAACTGGTAGAAAAATCATTGTTGATACTTATGGTGGTTGGGGTGCTCATGGTGGTGGTGCTTTTTCAGGTAAAGATTTCTCAAAAGTTGATAGATCTGCTGCATATGCTGCTAGATGGGTTGCTAAATCATTAGTCAATGCTGGATTAGCAAGAAGAGCTTTAGTTCAATTCTCATATGCTATTGGTGTTGCTGAACCATTATCCATTTATGTTGATACTTATGGAACTTCTAAATATTCATCAGATGAATTAGTTGAAATTATTAAAAAGAATTTTGATTTAAGACCAGGTGTTATTGTTAAGGAATTAGATTTAGCAAGACCAATTTATTTCAAAACTGCTTCATATGGACACTTCACTAATCAAGAAAATCCATGGGAACAACCAAAAAAATTAAAATTTTAAATGAATTATGAAAAAAAGTTAAAAGTCAATTCAATTTTAGATTTTTGTTTCACATAGAATTTTAGATAAATTTAGAACGAGACATAATCATATGATTGAACATAGATCTAAATCATACAATTTTCATCCATTAAAAAAAAAATCAACGATATACAATACAAAAAAAATACATTCATGAACTTCACGTAAAAAATTTCAACAAATTTTTTCATTTTATTTCTTTAATTAGTTTTTATATATTTACAAATTTATTTATAGATTAGGGTCCTCAACGGATTGGGAAAATACATAGCATTAGAAAAATGTACAATTACCAAAAAAAAAAGAACGAAAGTTAGTAAGATCAAGCGTAGATATATTCTATAATTCTGATACTTGTCTTAGAGCTAAGAATTCATTTCATTTGTGCAAATCTGAATTGAGTTTTGAAAGGGTTCATGTACGATCCTAGTCAAGGTTAAAGAGTGAAATGGATTTACACCTTACCTTCGTTGAATCCAACTTGGAAATTCAATACTCGGAAGTTTTTAAATTAAATTTAATTTGGATATAAAAATGACAAGAGTTAATTTTTTTGAAAGAAAACGGTGAAAAGTAATCTAGTAAATAGACAAGGCAATTTGTTAAGTTTTGTAATTTGCCTAAATTTGAATAATTGTCTTAAATACTGCAGCGGGCTAAAGGTTTTTCTTTTAGGACCGCTCATTATAATTACGTTTCAGGCGTATAGAACTTAAGAATTTGTATTCAACAAATGAAACGATCTACATCTAAAATGAATTGAAAAACACTTTTCAAATTCAATATGTAAAACAAATAGTTGGGAAGATCTTATTTTAAGTAAAGTAACAGTAAGTGATATATCTTAGAATGAAATTTTAAAACGACCAAGATATATTATAGATTTAGTAAGAATTTGAAAATTATTTACGAAACATTTCAAATTTAAAACAATATTGTTTTATGTCAAAATTAATAAAATTCTTTATTGTAATTGTATCGTAATAACACAATAACGTATATATACTATGATTTCGGTATCGATTATGAAAATAAATAATAATACATTATGCCTTTCGTTTGAGTATAGTGATTCGAAAAATGTTTTAAAATTTCGTAGTAGTAACTACTGATTATTTTGCAACCATTCGTTTCAACTTTATCAAAATGAAATAAAGATAAAACAAATATTTAAGTTTATAAAACAATGTACAAAATCTTAAACTTACTTTTGTGTGATATTAATTTGTAGTGCAAAAAAATGTAGTACAATCGTAATAAGATATAGATTTAGTTTAGTACCTGACCACGTGGTAGGTTTTAAATTTTTATTTGGACTAAGGCTAATGATTAATTAATAATATAAAATTTATCCCCTTCGAATAAATTAAAAAGAAAGAATCGAGTAACAAATATATACAAATCAGGCGTACAATCTACGTAATTGAATGGAAAGCATGTCATTGACCTTGCTGGTAGTTCATGTGAAACTGGAATCATCAAAAGAATCTAGGATTATAATCAACATCGTGTGCTTTGCTTTTATATATTTGTAATTTTAATTTTATAATTGGATCTTTTGACCCCCCAACAAATTTTTAAATTCAAATTCCATTCAAAAAAGTTTAATAATATTACTAAGTCAAGTATAATAACGGAATCAAACTTAAATTATGTATGTTAAAGCTAGTCTAATCTTAAAATTTGTAAAGTTATAGAATCTGAAGATTTAATCAAAAATCGTTTAGCTTTCTTCACTATTAACTTATGCACATTAAAATAAAAACTATTGTTTAATATAATTAATTATGCATAATTAAATTATAGATGCATCAACAAATTAATTTAGTACAACTTACTTGCTGACCCACGTTTCTCATAAGGCTAATATTTTTTTTTTTTTCAATGCAAATAATTTGGAATAGACTTTACCCTGGAAACAAACCAACCGATCTTACAATAAGTTTTTGAGTTGTTGTTGAGTTATGGAATTAATTATATAGATGAATGTTTGAAAAAGAAACAAATATTTGATTGAATTGCCTTTTAATCAACTATTTGATTTCCAGCAAGACAAGAATGATATTTATATTTTTTAGGTGGTAGCTTGAGAAAATTGATTTTTTTCCAGTGGCTGCAAAACCCAAGATATTTGGATCAACTCCAACTACTCAAGTATCAGCTGAACATAAACAATCAAGATATGTCAAAACCCTTAGAATGTAATTGTTTTGCAGAAGGATCTCGTATGTTAATATTCTTGGTAAAAAATATCTCTTAACGAGAATGGGAAACCGGTGACAAGACTTTTTTTATTCAAAACGTTATCAATTGTTCCTGACAAGACAATTTATTATTTAATGAACAAGCTTTTTTCTTTGTTCGATCTAACGTATCGTCTTCGTAAGATTGACAGGTTAAGAAATATTATTCTACATTGATCTAGAAAGATGAAACATGAGATGAGATATGAGATGAGGGGGTTTTTGTAGGTTGACATTGATTGAAATTATTGCTTCAATTGTTAATTGATTTCATAAAATTGTAAAAATTAATGAAATCCTCAAAGTATGATGAAATTCAGATCAAAGGATTATTTCATAAATATTTTTAAGCGAAGAATAGAAATAATTCTTTAAAATTGAAAGGTATTGTCATAAATTTTCAAACAATTGCCAAAAGATCTGATACTCAAAACGAATTGAAGTTATTGAAGTCTAATTTTTACAATTCAAGATTAAGTAAATCAAAACATGAAATTACGAAACGAACATGTGGTCAACGTTTCTTTTTTCAACTCTTAAAAACTAGACTTTGATAAATTAAATCACCTTGACACCCATACGTTCATAATGAATTTATATTTAATTTTTTAAAAATATATGTATTATATTGTATAAATTTAAAACCCGCTAGTATCAAAGTATTCTAAATAAAGTACCCATGTTTTTGCAAAGGGTGAAAGAAAATATGAAGGGATATATGCGAAATCAAACAATACTCAATGATACAAAACTAGTGATAGAACAAAAGATCTAGGATTATTGTTCAAACTTAATGCCCTTTTAATTTAAGGCAAGGCAGAATGTTAGAAATGTATGCTCTTCTCTCTTTTAATTCTGATATTGTTTTACGGACAATAGGTAGGTATCCCACGATGATGAAAATACCTTTAATACTTTTTATTTTTAAAACAAGATGGAAAATTTAAGTTAATAAATTGTACAGTAATCTGGTTTTGAGTCTTAATATCTTTTTTTTTTCTAATAATTAAAGGCTTTAATGAAAATCTGAAAAAGGATTGTTAAACTTATGATAAATTGTCAGAGCTCAATAACTCTTCATCCTTGATTTTTCTTTTTAATTTGTTATCAGAATTTGGGATAGACCGAATGTAGCATTAAACGTTCTTTATCTCTAGTAGGAGTCTTTAAATTCCTATTGATATTCATTTTTTAGTCCAATTAATTTATAATATCTCAAAACTATATTGAATTCTATTTTATTTTTTTCCAATTGTTTTGAAACAACACAAAAACTAAATATGCATAATTTAATAATAAAATTAAAAATAAAAAAAAAAAAAAAAAAAAGATAAACGCCTAATAGAAAAATTTATTACTTTCAATATAACAAATTAATAAAAATGAATTCTCATATAAATTAAGATGAAATTTTCCAATTCAAAAATCATATCATCTTTCAATTGAAAAATTTACATTCGTCTTCTTTTTTCATTCTTTTCTTTAAGATCATTTGACAGTTTATCTCAATTTAAATTTTAGTCCAATCAACAATCTTCAACAAGAATTTTTCATATAGACTAAAGAGAATACAGAATATTATAGAGAAAAATGTCAACTAATCCAGAAATTGAACATCAAATTGCTACTGAAGTCAAGCAAACAGGTGGTAAAACCGCTTTCAAAGATTATATTGGAAAATATGCACATATTGAAGATCCATTAGAAAGAAGAAGATTAGCATTAGAAGATATTGATAAAGCAGGATTTGGATGGACTCAAGTTAAAATGATTATGATTGCAGGTGTTGGTTTTATGACTGATTCTTATGATATTTTTGCAATTAATTTATCAGTTAATATGTTACAATACGTTTATTGGTCAAAAGGTGTTATGCCATCATCAACTACAACTTTAATTAAAGTTTCAACTTCAGTTGGTACTGTTATTGGACAAGTTGGTTTTGGTTGTATGGCTGATAAAGTTGGTCGTAAAAAGATTTATGGTTTAGAATTAATTGTTATGATTTGTGCTACTATTGCTCAATGTTTTATTGGATCATCACCAGCTGTTAATTTTGTTGCATTATTTTCTACTTTACGTATTATTATGGGTATTGGTATTGGTGGTGATTATCCATTATCTTCAATCATTTCATCAGAATTTTCAACTACTAAATGGAGAGGTGCTATTATGGCTGCGGTTTTTTCAAATCAAGGTCTTGGTCAAATTTTTGCAGGTATTGTTGCTATGATTTGTGTTGCTGGTTATAAAAATGATTTAATTAATATAAAAGATGGTCCATCATGTCATGCTGATAGAAAATGTGTTAAAGCAGCTGATCAAATGTGGAGAATTATTATTGGTTTCGGTTGTGTTCCAGGATGTATTGCTTTATATTATAGATTAACAATTGCTGAATCACCAAGATATTCTCTTGATATTAATGAACATGATAATGTTCAAAAAGTTGCTGATGCAGAAGCTGTTATTGATGAAAAAGCTGGATTAATCAATCCACCAAAAGCTTCATTTGTTGATTTCTGGAGACATTTTGGTCAATGGAGATATGGTAAAATTTTAATTGGTACTGCAGGTTCATGGTTTATGTTAGATGTTGCTTTCTATGGTTTAGGTTTGAATACTACTACTATTTTACAAGTTATTGGATATGCAAGTAAAGATAATATTTATAAAAAATTATATGATTCATGTGCTGGTAATTTAATTTTAGTTTGTGCTGGTTCATTACCAGGTTATTGGGTTTCAGTTGCAACTGTTGATACATTAGGTAGAAAAACTATTCAATTAGGTGGTTTTATATTATTAACCATTATTTTATGTATTATGGGTTTCGGTTATCATAAAATTCATGAAAAAGGCGTTTTTGGTTTATTCGTTATTGCTCAATTTTTCCAAAATTTCGGACCAAATACTACTACTTTTATTATTCCTGGTGAAGTTTTCCCAACAAGATATAGATCAACTGCTCATGGTTTATCAGCTGCTTCAGGTAAAGTTGGTGCCATTATTGCTCAAACTTGTATTGGTACTTTAATTAATCATAATTGTGGATCAGACCCAAAAAATCAAGGTTGTTTCTTACCTCATGTTTTAGAAATTTTTGCTTTATTCATGTTGATTGGTATTTTCACTACTTTATTAGTTCCAGAAACTAAAAGACAAACTTTAGAAGCTATTTGTGAAAAACATCATGATGAAATTGATAATACTAAATTAGTAAGAGATAGATATGCTACTCAAGAAGAATCATATGATTCAGATGTTAAACAATAAGTTAATTAGATTTGAAAGATATTTTCATTAAAATTATTTTGAAAAATCTTCTTAACTTAGAATTCTTAATTTAATTTAATAATAATTTTTATTTAGTTCATTACATTTTATGCATTTAAATTTGCAATTTGATAGTTTACATAGTTTTTTTAATTAGATAGATACTTTCGTTGAAGTCATCAACAATCAACTATAGGGTTTTTAAAGTTTTGTTCATTTTAATGTTTAATATTTTCTTATCTTGCGATCTAATCATAAAGGGGGGTGATACAATTTGAAACATGTGCCCTCAATGTCGTAGATCTTATCAAAGTCGTGAGATTTGTGACATTAACCTGCTACCTGATGATAACGTACTAGCAAAGTATCTTCTAATTAGACTCTTTAGATTCTTCAATTAATTGATTGAAAATAAAGGGAGTCTCGAAGTATTGAAATCATACCTTTTTCCGAATGTATTATGACGATAAAAGACAGACGAGTTGAAAATATTTATTGATGCCGTATGAATTTAACACATTATTTTATGTGGCAGAAAATTATTATCGTAACAGATCATGAACAATAAAGATAACGAATTCTTCTTAACATATTTTAAGTTATGATCCCTTTGAGATCGGTTGATTATTCTTGTATGAAACAATCACAATAGAAATAAATAAAGCTCATAAAGTTTTACACAAAATCATTGACTTATTTATTTTGACGAGATTGAAAAACAAGACGTGTCTTGTGCGTCTCAAAACATCAATATTGACACAACATAAATCTTCATAAATTCCCATTATTTTTCGTTCTTATTACAATTCCATGCTGAAACTATATTTCACTTCATCAAAATTCAAATCATACATACCAGATTGGATTCTACTATTAATTTCCCTAATACTTTTTTTTAAATATTTTGAAATTTTAAAACCATTTAATAGACAATTTTATATTAATGATCCAAAATTATTACATCCATTTGCAACAATTGAAAGAGTTACTGATAATCAATTATATATTTATTCAACAATAATTCCAATTATAATTATCATCATCGTCTCAATATATTTACGAACTCAAAGAAAATTTAAATCATTTGAAAATATTAATTTTGAATTTTTACATTTTTTACAAGTTTCAATATTAGGATTATTATTAAGTGTTACTTTAGTTTCTATAATAACTGATATTTTGAAAGTTTGGATAGGTAATCCAAGACCAGATTTTATAGCAAGATGTGGTCCTAAATCAGGTACTCCAATAAATACATTAGTTGATGTTTTAGATGTATGTACTGCTCCAATTGGTGAAATATACTTATTAGATGGGATGAAATCTACTCCATCTGGTCATTCTTCAATGAGTTTTGCAGGATTAGGCTTTTTATCATTATGGTTGTTGGATGTATTTAATAATTTAAATTTTATTAATAACAGAGATATTGTTGATTTTAATAATAATAATCCCAATTCAAATAAAAAGTCAAGTAATTTTCAATTGATTTTCAAAATTATATGTATTTTACCATTGATTTTTGCAAGTTATATTGCATTAAGTAGAACTCAAGATTATAGACATCATTTTTTTGATATTATATTTGGTGGATTGTTAGGTTTAATATTATGTTATACTATATATAAAAAGTATTTTGGACAAAATGGAAATTATACAAAAGATATTCAAGAGAATAGTCAAAGTCCGTTGAGTAGTAGTAGTACTGGAAGTGAATTTTTTGCTAATGTATAATATGAAAATTTAGTGAAATAAATAAGTTTGCTAACTTTTGTTCTAGAATTTAGGAATAATCGGGTGCAGCTTTTAGACTGTAATTCGTTCGAAAGCCAAAGCTTAGGATATAATGGGAAAAGGTTTCTTCGGTTGCGAGTTGTGCAAAGAATGGGTTTGAAGTTTAAGATGGGATTAAGGAGCTAAAAGGAGAGTTTGTACATTGTGAATCAATTGTAAAGTAGTCAGTTGACGTTTATCATAAAAAAATAAAATCAACAAAAAAACTGACTTTCATAACCTGTCAACCACGAACTTTATTATTCAGTATAATTGTATATTGTTAGAATTTAGAATTTCAATCCGTAGATAGATTTAGTTCAACTTCTATTTGGAAAAGTTAGAAAAAATGTAATAAGTTTATCATTGTAATTTTTGTGATCTCTAGGTTCAGCTCAAAATAATAGAGATTAATAAGTTGTGGTCATATTTAACACGTTCACACATACTGACTACTTAAGCTATCAATGATATCGGAGTTCATTTCCATATAGCTTATCTAACCACGGGAAATGGATATTTCACCACTGAGATTAAATTTAAGTTGCAAATGCAATCAAAGAAATGTTCATAAACTCCGAAAATGCACAAAATGGAGATAGTTTATTTACTTCCGTCTACATCAACAATTATTTTTGCAATAGAAAATTTCTATCTCTGAAACACGTACTAAAACATCAACACAAAATGAAAATGACGACGGGCCCAACCGTATGAGGATAATATTGATGGTCGGACAAAATGTCTCTGACTTTCTGATCCTTGATTTTTTCAAACACATTAAAAGAGTTGATTAATATTGTTCACGCTAAGCTGTATTAAATATTTGAAAGGAAATTCTTCGAGAAATTGCAAAAGTTTTACTGCCACATTCTTCGCAAACAATCATGTTTGATTTAATTTAATCATGAGAAGAGTTGAATCAAGTATTTAAAAGAGTGATATAATAACAACGTTACAAAATTATTCAAACTGTCACTTACTATTTTAAACTCAGGAAGTATTGAAATTGTCGAGAAAAAATACAAATGGTTTGAACTTCTATCAAGGATAAAATTTACTGCAGTACCAAGATCATATAGAGCAACAGGTTAATAGAAATAAAAAAGAAGTTGTATATAAGTTGGGAGAAATGGTATTGTTACATAAAGATGCCTTTTATTCCTCTAGAAAATACAAGAAGAGGCTGGACTGCTATTTTGGACCACTTAAGTTAGTGAAGAAAATCAATGACAATGCTTACGAGATTGAATTACGGAGCATGTACATGAAAGACAGGGTTTTTGGTAGATGTGGTTTTATAATGGAAATATTCCATCACATATAGCATGAATGCATCTATGAATCTAATATCTTTGTCAATAATGATTATAGATAAAGATATTAGATTTATAAATGCTTTCATGATGTATGTTATTGAATATCTTCAAATTGATTATCGAACCACATCTACCAAATTTCAGAATCAATCATATAATTTTAAAGATGATTTCGGTATTTAATGTTTAAAATAATTTTCTAAAAAATCATATATCCAAACAATCTAAAATCAAACACTATAATAATCCCATGTACTTTTTTCCTCGTTGTATTGTTGATACTATCATGAACTTGTACTTGACTGAATACTTGCTTCATAATTTCAATAATACTTCAAGGAGAAAATTACACGGAATAATTCTTTGATGATATCTTGATTTGTGTGTTTAAGACAAAAATCTTTTGATAATGGACTAAGTGAAGGTTCCAAATTATGTGGATTTGGATCTATGGTCCTAAACATATTTAGAAGAAATTACAATGTACTCCGAGTAACATTTCTCAAATCTATAGATGATTGTGATAATGCTCTATCTCCGTTTTGTTATTCAACGCTTTCATTGAGAAGAAATAGTTGAATCACAAAAATCAGGAACATGTAAAATTCTACTCATTTGGTACAAAATTAAGATGAAATTTTAAGGATATTTAATAAAGCTCTAAAATTACGAGATATATTAGTAATGAATATGACTTTTGTAAATACTCCACTTATTGATTTATTTTTCGAAATCTCTTGATGATCAACTTAATTTCATCAATGCTTGCTACTCGAATCATAGTTCGTTGTAATGTCATTAAAACTTTGAATGTGGAGAATGAAAAATGACCAAACAAAAAAAAATAAGTCAATGGCGAGGCTTTGTAAACAACTTTAATTTTGTGTTATTTAAATGGGATCTAAAACATCTTGGATAACTTAAGATTTAACTTAGGTCCAGAATCGATTCCTTATCTTGAAAATTATATCGAGTGCTCCTTATGGAAGAAAGAAATCTCCTCCTTATTAATTTATCATTAAAAATACGATAATTTCATCAAAAGGAAGTTTCATTCGTATTCGGAGTTTCTTAATAACTGTTTAAATTATTGTTTAATCTACGAGAAAATAATATTTTATAAATTATAATACATCATACATTTGAAAAATCTTTTATTTTAGTTTAGATTTAGTAGATAGTAGTGTGACCAGATCTGTAACTACTATATCTAAGAAATTTAGATTTCAAAGGGATTAAGCTCTATAGATATCATCAAATTATTAAAGAGTGTTAGAGAATAAGCCATATTGTGGAACAGGAAAATGAAAAGCCATTATTCTATAATACGAATAACAAACATAAGAAAAGCGAACTATTAATGCAGCTAATAAAAATCTAATTTTATCGAATAAGAAGAATGCAAAATTCGTAGTAAAATACTGTTTAAATTTCTTTTCTACATTCTTTTGTATTACGGCAAAAATGGATTTTTTATTCTCTGTTTTATTGTTCAGTTCAATGATTATTGTGGGATGTAATTTATACATTAAGGAAGAGAATGGGATTCGGAGATAGTAGTGTACTAACACAAACCCTTTACCAATAATATTTTAATTAGATTTCCCTGTTTTTAGTGTCAAAAAAAATATAAAGAAGAACTAACCTTTAACCGATGGCAATGATAAAAAATTTTTTAAGGTAGTTTAAAGAATAGACTAGATACTAACCATGTAATTCTTAATATCTGGGAGGTTTTGAGAATAAATGATTTGGCGCATTATATTAATGAAGGCTATATCATTATTCTACTCTTCAATCTCTTCAATACATCTCTATCTTATACGTTTATTAGTAGTTATAGAGATAGTGGAACTCAATGAAATTGAGTCGAAGTAATTAATTAAAAAAATTACGAATAGCAAATCAAAATAATATTCTACTTATTTATTTACCTTTATTAATTTAGGTGTTTTATTTGTTATTGTCTTACAAAACTAAAATGTTTTTCGGAAAATTTTTATCAACTTTTATTTATCAAAATCAACATCCATCAGTAATACCTTATTACTTATCTCTCATCGTTACAAATTCCTACTTGTCAGATAAGAGTCCGTAGACTTTAGATTGTTTGTTCTTTGCATCTTTACTTTGTCATTTTCAAAATCGAATTAAAGAAAAAGTTTATTTTTATTTTTATTTTTTTATTTTTATTTTTATTTTAAAGTTTATTTTTATTTTTATTTTCCATTTTTATTATTTATATATTCATCACAATCTTATTATACTAAATTATCAACACATCTTTTGATTAGGTTGAAGAACTTTTGAGGATATATTTCATCACTTTCGGTATAAGATTTTATAGTTTTAAGACAATATCAATAATTCATTTTCAATTTCGTCATTTAACAATCATCAACCCCTTTCCCCGTATTTATTCTCCTTCTTTTGTCAAAATTCATCAACATTGAATTACATCACACGATCATTAAAATTTTTTTTAAGTTTACAATTAGCAACCACTTTAGTCACAACAATCATCACTCATCTCATTCACATTGTCTCATTACTGTCATATTCCATTATTCCATAATCAATCATAAATCATAAATAGCATATATAAAAAGAAAATATAATAATGATAAAAGATATTCTACTAAATATTATAAAACCAATTATTTTTTTATATCAATTCTTCCATAGAATTTTTTATTCAGGTTTAAATCAAAGATCAATTTGGGGGTTATGTTTAAATTTTTTTATAAATTTTAGTCCTATTTTTATATGGTTATTAATTTTTAAAAATGCTGGATTAATTCCTCATGAAATTAGACCTAAAATACATGTTTCTTTACCTTTTTATGTTGATCAATATATGTTTCATAGTTTAATTGGTAGTTTATTAACTATTATATTATTAATACCTATTTCAATTTTAATTTATATTGGAATTTTTAAATTTAAAAATTCAAATTTACAATTATTTGAAGAAAAAATTGAATATATACCGACCAGTTGTAATACAAATCAATTACAAGATGAAGGAGAAGAAGAAAAATATAATATATCATCTACATCCACATCATCATCATCTTCCTCCTCCTCATCCTCCAACTCATCATCATTTGATATAGAAATGGGTCTTTTAGATCAATATCTGACTGATGAAGAAGAACAAGAAAAAGAATCCACCATCACAAATCAAGAAGAAAATAAAATTAATAATTATTTATCAACAATTAAATTATCCACAACTAAAAATTTTCAAGATAGCGCATACTTCAAAGATATAACATTTTTCAAAACATTATCAACACAACAAATAAATCAAATGGCATTAAAAATAAATAAAAAAATATTAAAAAAAAATTTAAAAATTCCATCAAAAGCATGGGTAATGGCACCTTCATTTTTAATTTTAAGTTCATGGTTTATATTAAATTTTGATTATTGGTTAAAAGATCCAATAAGAACATGGAAAGATTTATTAGCTTGGACATCTTATGTATTAGGTCATATAACAGTTCCAATAATAACATCAGTATATTTATATGTATTTCATGCTCCAGGAGTTTTGAAATCTTATAGTATTGCATTAGGTTTACAAAATATTTGTGGTGTATTAACTCATTTATTATTTCCTTGTTCTCCTCCTTGGTTTATTCATTTATATGGTTTAAACTCAGAAGCAAATTATGAAATGCCTGGATATGCAGCTGGATTAATTAGAGTTGATGTTACTTTGGGAACTCATTTAAATTCAAAGGGGTTCCATGCTTCTCCAATTGTATTTGGTGCTATACCTTCATTACATTCAGCAATGGCATGTATGACATTTTATTTTATATCATTTTATTCAAATTTTTTAATTTTAAAAATTTTAGCTTTGGGTTTTGTTATATTACAATGGTGGGCAACTATTTATTTAGATCATCATTGGAGATTAGATTTATTTATTGGATTAATTTATTCAACAATTTGGTTTTCAATTATATATAAATTTATGTTAATTAAGTATAATAAAAAATTTTTGGAACTGAGATTAAATTTTAAATTTGAAAATGGTGGTAGTACTATGGGTATGAGAGTTTTTAGAAATACTTGTATACAATGGTTTTTTGATCCACTTTATTAATGAAATGAAATTGATAATGTTTGTTACATTTAATGAATCACACAACTATTTAGAAAGTCATTGTATAATATAATTTTAATAATATAGCTGTTATACATTTGTAATGATATATGTTTTCTTAATTTATGTATCAGACTCTACTTAGAGAATAAGCAAATGAAGTATATCTATGCCAATGAATAAACAAATGGAAGAAATTAGTAGAAACTTTATGGTGTGAGTAAAGTTAGTAAAAAATCTATGTTAGTGAACAAACAAATAGAGGGACTCAGTTGAAAAGAAGAACTTTATTTTCACCTTTTAACTTTTGCAACCAAATAATTAAAACTGAAAATGCATTTGAATACATCAAGTCGAGCATTTAAAGTTATGTGACGAAAAATTACTTTGAAAAACTTTAACTACAGCGTATTGAGTAATTCGAAGCTTTTGATCCAGCTCATTGAAGCACAAGAAATAATCATCTTATTTGAGTCAATGTAATATTAGATTCACTGTCCAAACTTCGAACATCTACTAAAGACTTTTAAAAAATATCGCGCGCGCAGTGATAAACTCAAAATTCGAAACAAACATTCTCTAAAATCAAGGCTCAGCCTCTCCGTAAATCTAAACACATTAGTCGTGTGTAGTTCAAATATAAGTTTAAATGTAGGCTTTAATAAAATATTAGCATAAAATATTATAAAGCATTGCCTAAATAATTATAATAAAAAATAAAAGGAATATGATCATTAAATTAGACGCGTTTTTGGACCTTGTTGTTAAAGTTCCCCTTTTTTTGCTGAATAATGGTCTCCTCTGTGACTGACATTGTTACTTCATGAGTAATTAGAACCCTTGATAGAATTTTTAGATCTTGTTGTATTGGAAAAATCTTTTTTTTTTTTATTTTAGTTTCTTTTTTAGTTTATTTTTTTTAGTGTGTTAAATAAGGCCGCTCGCCGTCCCCACTTTTAGTCGAATCTACTCCATAAAATTGATGAAATTAATGCAAAGAGATAAATTTTTAGCCCCAATCTCACTTTTTCTTGACAATAACTTAAAGATAGGTGATCGAATAATTTCATTGAGAGGGAGAGTTACACATATAGTGCGAGATTAGTATCGCTAATATTCTCATCAATGAGATCTCCAGTCATTTGTTAAAAATTTTTCTCTTCGATAATTTAATGTACCTTACTTTGAATAATAAAGTCTAATTTATTAGTATTTTGTGATTTGTTTACATTCATCATTTCGAGAAATTATCTAATAACTAAAAATTAATTAATAATGATACGAATCTTCAATTCAATACAGTATAAATTTATTGATATTGATACGAATGCCCAGCCCAATACTATATCTCAATTACGAACTATTTCAAGTACTAACATTAATTATGATCTAATTGTTATTGAACATTTTCCTCAAGGCAAATCAAAGTAGCCATGATTTGAAAAATCATATAGCCTCAATCTGAATATCGAAGACTAAAAAGTACAACTAACCAAATATTTTAAAACATTTCGACAATAACCAATTATTTTCACTTCAATAAATTCAAAATTTCACGAAAATCATGTACATTCAAAGAACAATAAGACTATGCGTTAATTCCGTATAAAATGCAATCAATATATATACCTTCTTTCTTGATCTTATAAGTTCCAATAAAAACCATGGAACTTGACCCTATGGTTGTGATTTGCTACGTTAGTTAGTCGATGATCATATCCCATCATCATCATCATCTCTCCAATGGTTGAAACGGAATTGATAGAATGAATCGAAAAAAATTGTTAGTTGAAATCACACGAGTAGCAATAAAATAATGTTACACAAAACCAAATTAGGTTGATTGATTATCATAACCTATTTTTTAGCTGAAATAGTAAAAAAAGAGATGATTTATGACGTTGTTGTAAATGACTGATAGACTTTGCCATAATAAAGTACATCAACTGATACGACTATCTTAGGCATTTTGGGTTTTACAATGATGAGGCATTCGCTACTCAGTACATTAACTTAATCAATTGTAGGAATAAAATTGGTAGTGATTAACTCGTAATAAATTTAATTTAATATTCTATAAAGAAAAAAAATAAATAAATTTTAAAACAGCAATATTTTTAAAGTACTACATTATGCATAATACTATAATACTATGATATTTAACATAATAATAATAATATATTATCATCATCATCATTTCTGACAACAAAAAAATTTTATGTAACTACTACTATTACTTCACCAACAACCACTTCCATTTTCACTTCAATTGTGTATTATTTTATCAACTCAAAAATCACTTCAAATAAATCAAATCTTACAACAAAATACTTATCTTTGTTTTACATTTTCATATTCACGTATTAATTTTAACTTTATCAAAAACTTTAAATAAAAAAACAATTTAAAATTTTTTGGCAACCAAAATTATCTTCAAAATTTAGCACAATCTTATCATCTTCAACCATTTCATTTCATATCATAACATAAATAACCACTACTACTCGATCATCATTCGGATCTCATTTCATTAACTAGCCTTATTTATTTATTTTATTTATTTATTTATTTATTCATCAATTTGTATTATATTTTTAATTTTTTTTAATAGCATATTTGCATTCAAGTCATTCTCATATTTCATAAACACACATCTACCATAGCTCCATAAAAACATATTATAATGAAAATGAGATTTAATAGTGAAACTAATCTAAATCATGTAAATCAACGTCATTTAAATTCATTACCATATTACTTCACAACAAAACTACAACAAAATTCAAATAACAATCCAAATTCAAACATAGCCCATTTTACAACAAATCCTTCATTAACTTCAATACCTAGATTTTATAATAAGAAATTAAAATTCATATTACCATTTTTAATAATTATACTATGTATCTACAAAACTTTTACAATATATTTAACAACTGAATTAGATCAACAATTATTAGAAAATCATGCATTAAATTTAAATAAAAATTCAAATTTTAATCCAAAAAATATAGCATTAGATTTATTTAATTATTTAATTGAATTAAATCATTCAATAAATTCTTCAAATTTAGGTACAAAAGATGGGATTTTTTTCCATTGGGATGATTGGGTAGATCTAAGTGGTGCAAATCATTTAATTAATAAAGCAAGGATTGCGTCACCTTCAGGAATATATTGTGATCATTCTTTAATACAATATGGTAATGTTAATGGTCATTGGTTAGAAAGTTATGATACAAAAATATTTAGAGGTGCAGTAAATTTATATTGTTCTTATGATATACCTGAAAAAGTTATAATAACAACTGATGAATCATTAATTGAAATACCAGTAATTGGAAAAAGAAGATTTGGTGGGAATGATAAAACTATACCTGTTAAATCTGATCAATTGATAAATAAGATGAAAATTTTAACAAATAAATTTAATAATATATCAAAAGATGATAACAAAAAAGAGTTAACAAATTTTAATATAAAATCTATAAAAAATTTACAAAAACAAGTTATGATTGAACCAGAAGATTTCATATTTAAACCAGATATTGAAATTTTCAGTTTACAAGAGAAATTAAATAATCAAACAATAACATCAAAAGAATTAAAATATTTAGAATTTTTAGAATATTCAAATAATCATTTAGTTGATTTTAGTGATAGATATTTTAAATATCCTTGGATTTATTCTGATATTTTTCAAGGAAATTCTCATCATATTGCTTATCCATTTTTTAAAAGATATATAAGTGATCGTGAAAGACAAAGTATATTACATCATATGATTAGAAATTGGTTTCAATTTGCTGAAGTTAATGGATTTGCAAGTTGGATTAATCATGGTTCATTATTAGGTTGGGCTTTTAATGGTTTAAATATGCCATGGGATACTGATATTGATATTCAAATGCCAATTGCTCAATTAGATCGTTTAGGTCGAAATTTTAATAGAACTTTAATTATGGAAAATCCAAGATATGGTAATGCAAGATATTGGTTAGAAATTGCTCCAACATATATAAGACAAGGAAATGGTAAAAATTTTATTGATGCAAGATTTATTGATATATCAAGTGGTTTATATATTGATATATCAGCATTATCACATACTGAAATTCCTCCACCAATTGATGAAAAAAATTTTAAAGATAATTTAAAAACAATGTCAGTTCATTGTAAAAATTGGAATTGGCATACATTAGATGAATTATTACCAATAAGACATACTTTTTTTGAAGGTTCTTCAGTTTATATACCAAATAAAGTTGAACAACCATTACGTAATAAATATGGCCAGAATGCATTAATTGAATATAATTATCATAATCATAATTATCAATCAGATATAAGTTTATGGGTAAACAACAAGATATGTAAATCTCCACCAAAAAATTTAAATAATAGATTTAATAAATGGAATCAATTAACTAAAAAGGGAGCATGTAATTCAAGAATTTTACAAGATGAATTTAATATAATAAAAGAATGTGTTGAAAGACATCATTTACTAAATTCAAATTTAGATAATTTTAATTTTTATAATATTGAAGAAATTGGTGATTTACCAATTTTTAGAAAAGATTCTTTTGATTATTATAATGATATTAATAATCAATTAGTTTTTAATGATGATTGGTATATAAGAAAAGAAATTATAAAATCAAATCAATTAATTTCAGATTCAAATGAAAATCAAGATTCAAATCAAGAACAGTTTTATTTAAAACAAGAAGATCAACAACAAGAAAAACAACATTCATCAATTAATAACGACCATTCTTCCTCAATTAGTAATGTTCAAACCTCATCATAATAAATCGTACCATTTTTTAATTTCATGATTTCCGATTTCCATAGCATATTTAAATTCACTTCAAAAGCATAACTACAATTACTATTTAATAAGTTTTTTCAAATTTCAAAATTTCATTTTATTTATCTACATAGATCTATATACTTTAATAATTAATAATAATAGCTAATAGAAGCTTAATCACTAAGCAAGATAATGATTTAAACTCTATTTTTACCGTATTCTACCTTTTCTTGTACGCTAGTGTTTTCTCAATCGTATCTTATGCCTAAACCGGTTTAAGATAGCGGGAAAAATTAGTGAGAAAAATAAATTATATGCAAAAGCGGAAAACTCGACCTAATTAAGCAAGTGTTTGGTATTATTTTTACAACCATCTTAAGATCATAAAAATTTCCATTATTTATCTCATTCTTTTCTCCAGTCATAGTTTTGAATCAATTGGATTGTTTGTATTTAACTTATCCCAATCATTAAACTCATATTGAAAAATATACAACAAATTTCAAAAAATATGGGTGAAAAAGTATTTATATCAGGAGCATCAGGATTTATAGCTCAACATATAGTTAAACTTCTATTAGAAACAGGTTATACAGTTATAGGAACAGTAAGAACAAAAGAAAAAGGAGAAAAATTAAAGAATTTAATAAACTTCAAAGAATTTAATTATGTTATTATTCCAGATATATCAGTACCAGGATCATTTGATGATGCATTCAAAAAACATAATGATATCGATTATGTAATTCATAGTGCTTCTCCATTTACTTATACTACATCAAATCCAGATAAAGATTTAATTGAACCAGCTCTTAAGGGATGTAAAGAAATTTTAAATTCATCTTACAAAAATTTAAAAAATTTAAAAAGATTTATAATAACATCAAGTGATGCAGCAATATATTCAAATTTTGATGAAAAAAATAATAAGTTAAAATTTGATGAAAATTCATGGAATTTAACACCAAGAGAATTAGGTAGTAATGATCCAGTTACTGCTTATTATATATCTAAATCATTAGCTGAATTAGAAACTGTTAACTTTAGAAAAACCCAAAATCCAAATTTTAAATTTATTTCAATTAATCCTTCTTATGTATTTGGTCCACAAGCTTATTTATGTGATCCAAATCAAATAAATGAATCAAATCAATTAATTAGTGAATTATTGAAAAAGACACAACCAAAAGATAATTTTGATAATGAAATTGGTGGTTTCATTGATGTTATTGATGTTGCAAAAACTCATGTTTTTGCAATTCAAAATAATGATGTTATAAACCAGCGATTATTTTTAAATAATGGACATTTTTCTACTCAAATGATTTTAGATATTATAAATTTAAATTTTCCAAAGCTTAATTTAATAAAAGGTAAACCTGGTACTGGGCAAGAAGACATTAAACAATTAGCTCAAGTTGATAATAACAAAACCAAATCTTTATTACCTTGGACTTTTACTAGTTTAAATCAAACTGTTATTGATGTTGTTAATCAGATCTTAGATGTTCAGAATAAAAATGATGATAACTCAAAATTGTGAATATGGTATTTGACGAATATTTTTAAATGTGGATATAGTTGTTATTGAGCTGAAGGGTGGCTTCATGATAAAAACTAGTTCTGTCTATATGAGATAGTGCCAATCATTTGACTTATAACTACTCGGTAAATCAAGGATGTACACATATATATTGAAAAATTAAAGTTTTACATATACCTATATTGAAAAATTAAAGTTTTGCGGATATAAAATATTTGATTATAATTTATCCGTTTCTAGAATTATTTTATAGAATTAATTGAAACAGTGTAACGAATTGAGGCTCAATTTTGTTTAAATTTGAGTTTGTTTACTCTGTTTGGATGTCCTCTCGATCAGATTGACCGTTGTGACACTTAATAGTGAAACATATTGATTATTTTTCTCTTTCGGAAAGGATTGAAAATTTTGAAACATTTAAACGAGTTTATAAAATATTAGGTTTATCGCTTACATAATAATTCGAAGTAAAAATTATTATGTATGAAGAAAAGTACCACAAAAGACACAATAAGAATAAGGTTTTGTAATAATTATTCCGATCAACTTTAATAACCATGGAATGAAATAATCGAGCACTGATGCGTTTGATTAGCTACTGTGAATAGGGGGCATTGAGAATAATATTAGTGTTATCAACTTTGTCGAAAATTCAATTTTCAAGTGGAATTGTAAATAGGCTTAATACTTATTGGAATTATTATGTATTGCGCATTTTATAAAGTATATGTAAGTGAACAATTGATGATGTAAATAATTTAATTCATGATGTTATTGTGTATTCTTCTTCTTTAATATAACAATTGTGTATTTTTTCATAAATAGTTATCCCCCTCCTTCTATTCCTCGTATATCAAAAATTTAGAACAATTACATTTTGAATAACCAAAAATTTTCATTTTCAACAAACCACAAAATTTCAACAGACCACAAAGAATTGGAATGTTGGAGCATTTCTCGTACTGAAAACTCTTCTATGAACCAAATCATGAAATTATTTCGTATTTGCGCTTTCTTCTTGTTAAGTTATTGTTCTCATTAAAAATCAAAAATATTTGATTATAGATGTATGGGGGATTAATAATCGTTTATACATAAATTTATATATATTACATACATTATATTCTATTATTTTTAAATTTTTTGGTCATGTTGTTATCGTACTCTTTTGCATTCACAGTTTACATATCATCATCATCATCAACATCATCATCAATACTTAAGCTTGATAGACAAATATAAAAAATGATATAATAAATTATTATAATTCTATTCCTTACCACATAAGAAAAAAAGTCTAAATATAAAAATGGATTTTAACGAATTTAATCAAAATTATGAAAATAATTCAAATATAACTAACCAAAATACAATAATCAATGACATAAATGATCAGAAAACTTATGAACATGGTTATCGTACAAATATCCAAGCATCACAATTTAATAATGTAGAAGAATTCATACAACAACCGATTCAAAATGATCAAATACAAGCGGAACAACTCGAAAGTTTATTTTCATTAAATCCGGAACAATTTTTACAACAACATATTTATCATAATCAACCTCAGAGTTCCTATCAACAATCTTCATACTCGGAATCGCCTAGTGTAGGACAACGAGTAGACTCAACACAAAATCAATTCTTATACAACAATTATAATCATACCAACCTACCTTTCTCATTACCTACAAATTATTCAACTCCAGTTCAATATAATACTCATCAGTCAAGTAACCAAGGGAACCATATAGATTATGACTCAAACTTTCAAATACAACACAACTTTAATCAAGAAACTGAAATACTACCGTTTTACCAATCTCTGCGACAAACATTCCCTAACATACAAATACCAGACCGACCTTCAACAGAACCAAAAAATGTAAATTTTACCAATGAAAAATTATCTTCAGATACCCCACGATCTTCCACAAAATCAACAACAACTTTAAAATCTCTGTCTTCCAGATCTTGTGACACATGTCGAAATAAAAAATTAAAATGTGATAAACAAAAACCGACATGTTCAAGATGTAAAGAAAAAGGAATAAATTGTGTATATACATTAAAATTACAATTTAAAGAAGATGTAGAAAGTCAAGGTAAAAGATTTGGCAGAGAAGGTATAAATTCATCAAATAAAATAACAACAACAGAATTTAACAAGAGAAGTAAAAAATCATATTATCAAATAATACAAAATCAAAATCAATTAAAATTTATAAATTTTTTTAATAATGATATATTAAATATAAATCAAAAAATTAAACCAATTTTAAATAATTCAATTATACCATCAGATATTTTATCATTAGATTTAGATTCTTCATTAGATTCTAATGTTATAAGTTTTGCAATAAGTTATTATATTGAATTTATATCACCAATTTTAAATCCTACTTCAAATAATAAATCAATTACATTACCAACAAAAGAAAATGATGTTAATAATATATCAATTGAATCAGGATTAAATTTAAATTCCTTAGTTCAATTATCAAATCAAAATAATTCAATATTTTATTTTATGTTAAGTTTAGGTTCATTATATTTATCAAGAACTTTTAATGAAATTGAAAATAAACAACAAAAGCAAATTTGGATAGATAGAGCTTTTCAATTTCAATCTTTGGGGCTTATTGAAATAAAACCAATTTTAAATGATATTAATGATTTAAAAGGTTATAAAACAAGTGATATTATAATTTCATTAGTATTATTAATACTTTTTGAGATTGCAAATAATTGTAATTTTAAATGGATTGAATATTTACAAATTTGTAAAAAAATTATGAAGTTAAATAAAATTAATATACCTCAAAATTCAAATGAATTTAATTTATTAAAATTTTCTTTAGAATTTTTATATTATCATGATTCTGTGGGGAGAACTGCTTGTAAAGATGATACTTTATATATTGTACAATTAGATGATGAAATAGAAGAAGAAGAATTTAATAATAATTTTTTTGATAAGCAAACTGAAAGCAAATCAAATAATTCAAATCTTATAAGTTGGATGGGTTGTGATAAAAAATTAATAAAAATTATTGCAAATATAACTGATTTATCATTTGAAAGATTTAAAAGAAATATAAATGAAAAACAATATTTAAATTTTTGTAATGAATTAATTTATAAAATAGATTTATTAAAAATTGATTATTTTGAATTTAATGAATTAATTACTGAAAATGATGATGAAAATATTTCCCAAATAAATCAATTAATTTCAAATAATGGTATAAAAGAAGAAGAATTTTTTTTCCTATTATCAAATGAAATTAAAAGATTATCTACTAAATTATATTTAAATTGTTGTTTATTAAATATGACACCAGAAGATGAAGAAGTAAGTGATTTAGTAAATATAATTTATAAATATTTAAACTTTTTATTGACAACCACCACAACAGCAAACACATATAATTGGTTTTCAACATTATTATGGTCAATTTTTATAACATCAACAGAAATTTCAGTATTATCAAAAAATTGTGAATCATACAGATATTTATCATTAAAATTTTTAAAAATTTTAACAACAAAATCTTTAAGTAATATTGAAAGAACTATTGAAATTATAAAAAAAATTTGGAAAAAAAGAGATTTAAATAATAGTGATTTACATTCTGTTGGTATAATTGATATAAATTCAAGAAAATTTAAAAAAAGGAAAAAATTTTTAGGTTTTGAAAATGATTGGGAAAAATTTGTTGTTGATGAATATGGAATTGCTTTGGGTTAGTTCTGTTTTGTCTGGGTTTATGTTTTTTTAGTTCTTTATTTATGTAAATAGACACTTTGTTAATTTAAACATTTGATGATAATTCGATCAAGCTCTTTTTGTTTGTGTTTTGATACTCAATATTGATAGTATGGCACCTTTTGTTAAGAGCCTTCTCTTTCTGTTGAGTCAATTCTTTGGAATTTTAAATCCCAAGATATAGTATGTTCTATGGAATTTTATATCTCAGGATATAGTATGTTACAATTAAAATTATTATGAAATAAGCGAATTTCAAGCATAAACGATAATGTTGTAAAACAATAATTTTATTGCTAGTTTTATTGCGTCCATCAACTGCTTCGTTTCCTTTAGCATCTTCTCCGGGGCCCAATAATTTCTGAAAATATGTTAATTCGATCGCAATTATACAGACATTGGCGGATCTTCCAAACTAGTCAACTAATAATGATGAAAGTTACTTTTCATGAGTCCTCCTGACATATCTTTCAAGTTATAAAACAATTTTTCCAGAATTACAAATATAATTAGAGTTTCTTCATACTTTGGTTGAGTGTTACTCCTCTTCTGTCTTTCTTTGTATTCAAATTGACCCTTTACCAATGTAGCTGGGTTTTCAATTTTGCACTTCCGCAAACACATCAAAGAAAAGGAACTTGATCGAGTCAAAGCATTCTCCTCTTCTTTGTTGTGCATGCGGAAGTGCAGAATTGGAAGACCAGTCTGTGAGTTAGTCTTGATGTTTTCAATAATATCTTCAGCTTATTAAAATGTTGTGTTCATGTTTTTAAAAACATTTTGACTCCTTGTTTAAATGCTTCAATTTTTTGGACCTAATCTTCAGTTTTGCCGACCAGTCAATTGAGAATAGAAGAATTGCTCAATGAGCAATGATTTATTGACCTATTCTTCTATTCTCAATTGATTGCTCTGGATCAGTTCTTTCTGTTTCAATTGATTGGCTTTCGCATCTGCTTGCTGCGCTTGTTGCTGGGTACTGATAATTGTTTCAGTTTTGATGATCAAAGTGTTTTTGCCATAATGCATATAAATCTGCATGATAAAAGTGATTTGGATCTAAAGCTGAAAGAAAATTAGTTTCTGATGTTCATCTGACCATTATATTATTTCCTCGTTACTTGTAATTGCCTTAGATTCAGTTAAAGTTGTTGCATCGAGTCTTCTAAAATCTCTTACAACTCTAAATTCATTACTACTTAAACAAATGTAGGAAAATAGCTGCCATCAAGAGCTTCATCAGTTTATATACCTGCTTCTAAATGATCATCAATAAATTTATCTTACCTTTCTCTATCTTCTTTATTTAATGGATACGTTTTACATGTAATTGGTTCTTCCGTACTAGTTCTAATGACGTGCTTTACTCTTGTTCCTTTGGACCTTTTAATGTTGTGTCGAAAATTGTTGCATATCCGTTGAAGTTCATTCAAATTTCTTGGTCTAACGCTGTCCAAGTGTCTAATCAAAACTAGTTTTGCTCTATGTCTGCTAGTCTTTAAAGTTGGTGTGAATTAAATTATATCATAAGGAAAATTGCAAATGTGGCAGAAGCAGCAGCTTATAACATACTTTTAACCTCTAATTCAGCATCATTAAAATTACCACCATCTTTAAATTACCACCATCTTTTTTCAACAACACAATTAGCGATAGGAGTGGATGATCTTGAACATTTATATATTGGAAAGCCTCAATCAAAGGAATGGTCCTATTCGTTGGAAAATGGGGCAGAAACTTCAATAATAAATAATCGGAAAACATTTCAATTCAACCCCATCATCTATCTCGACTAACTGACATAGATCGAGCAAAAGCAAAATTTGACTAAAGACTTAAACAATGTTAGACCAAGAAACTTCAAAATATTTCGTTGGATGTAACTTAACTCACTTCATCTTTTTGAATATCAATATCTATATTATAAGATAACCTTTTTATATTTTAATTCCGTTAATTCGCAAATTGAAAATCTAAATCGCACAACAATTCTTATCTAAATCATTTTAATTTATTATTCATATATTGATCTATTACTCCACAATTCATTAAATGTTATCAACCAACACTAAATACTCCAATAATTTAAAACGAATATGTTATTGTCAATGTAAAAGATATGCAACTTCAATACCACAAGATGATCATGATCACAATCAACCAATGGATCATCACAAAAGATTAAATTTACATGAATGGCCAAAAACAAAAAATCCAACACCTTATGAAATATTTGGATTATCTTCAAAAGATATTGGAATGTCTACAATAGAATTAAATAAAATTATAAAATTAAAATATATTAAATTTGTTAAAATATATCATCCAGATACAAGTTTAAAACATTTAGATTCTTCAACCTCTTTATTAACAGATGATATAAAAAGAAAAAGATATGAAATGATTCAAGAATCATATGATATATTAAGAGATGCAAGAAGAAGATCAGCTTATAATAGATTTAAAACAACATCATGGGATCAACAAGGTCCTTATAATCCAACAACAAATAATCCATGGTCAAAAGAAAATTTTGAAACTTATCGTAGAGCAAATGCTCATAGATCAAGATATGATTTTAAAAAAGATGAAGAATTTTGGACAGCTGGTACATGGAATGATTATTATCAAATGAAATATCAAAGATCTCCTCCAACAAAAGAAGAAATGGAAAAAAATAAATATAAAATTTTAATAGGAGTATTAGCTGTTGGTGCATTAGCATTTGGTTTACAATTTATGAATGCTATAGATAAAACTAATCAATATATTTTAGATACTCATAAACTTAATTTAAAATCAATGAAAGATTTAAATGAAAGTTATTCAAATGGTTATGGTAGTGATAAAATTGATGATTTCTCACAAGCAAGTACAATAAAGAGATTCTTATTATCAAGAAGAAGTACAATGCAACTGAAAAGAAGATCTGAAGGTGATGGTGATGATCCTTTTGAATTAAATAATAAAGAACCAAGTGATCATGAATTATTAGTTAAATATGCTAGAGGTAAAGTTAATAAATGGGACAAAGCTGAAAATGATTGGAATCAAAGTAGGATCAAACCTACAATGGGAGATAGATATTCACTTGATGATAAGTCTTCTTAAATTTTTTATTTTATAGACAATTTATATAGTAATGAAGTAATGAAAAGATGTTTTGGCATGAACCAAATCGCGTTTAGGTTGATCTGCATATAAGGCTCTATGATTCACATATTTTTAAAGCGCATCAAAATTTATCAAGTTTTGGAATTTCTTTAAATCTAATCACACAAAGAAAATGAAAAATTCGATTGAAATATTTGGCAACCTATTCAACAACATCGACAGCTAAAACTAATCAGACACTAATTTTCGAAAATAACAACTATCCCTGATCAAACACACTACAAAATTACATTCAAAAATGGATTTTATGAAACCTGAGACTGTACTAGATTTAAATAATATTCGTGAAGCATTAGTTAGAATGGAAGATACAATAGTATTTGATTTAATAGAAAGATCACAATATTTTAGTTCACCATCAGTATATATAAAAAATAAATTTGAAATTCCAAATTTTAATGGAAATTTTTTAGAATGGGCATTATTACAAATGGAAAAAGTTCATTCACAAATTAGAAGATATGAAGCACCAGATGAAACTCCATTTTTTCCACAAGAAATTTTAAAACCAATATTACCTTCAATAAATTATCCAAAAATTTTATCAAATTATTCAAATGATATAAATGTTAATAAAGAAATTATGAAATTTTATGTTGAAGATATTGTACCAAAAATAAGTTGTAAAAAAGGTGATCAATTAGAAAATTTAGGTAGTGCATCTACTTGTGATATTGAATGTTTACAAGCAATATCAAGAAGAATTCATTTTGGAAAATTTGTTGCAGAATCAAAATATATAAATGATAAAAAATTATATATAAATTTGATATTGAAAAAAGACGTTGAAGGTATTGAAAAATCAATAACTAATAGTGTAGTGGAACAAAAGATATTGGAGAGATTAATTGAAAAAGCTCGAAATTATGGTACTGATCCTTCTTTAAGATTTGGTACAACAATTCAAAGTAAAATAAATCCTGAAATTATTGCTCAATTATATAAACAATTTATTATACCATTAACAAAAAAAGTTGAAATTGATTATTTATTAAGAAGATTAGAAGATGAAGATGAAGAAATAATAGAAAAATATAGAGATTAAATAAAGAACAGTATATTTAATGAATGAATGAACTTTTATGATGTTTGAACTTTTGTATTTCTATAGTCTTCTGAAATTGTTTGAGTCAATTCAAATGAAAGTCGTTGTGCTGGATGAAGGATGGGGTATAAATCTCACTTTCGGTCTTTGCTCCTTCTCATACTTCAGAAGGTCCGTATTAAATACTAAGATGGCAGACTCTAATTAAGTACAACTTTTCTCTATTAAGCGTGTTATTCGGAGTTTTTTTGGGATTTCCAGATTCATATATAAATTTTATTTCAAATTCTATACCAAATTTAAAATTTCTAAAAATAGTACAAAATACTAAGAATCTGATGTATTGTTTTCGTAATGGGATATATCGAAATCTTTAGGGACTCAATTAATCAATTGACGTTAGCAGAGATGATAAATTACCGTTTATGGTAATTGACTTAGATCAACTTATAAAATATTTTTTAACCAAAAGTAGAGTACATCATAAGCTTAAAAATTTAAGGTTTAGAGTGTTCCCTATTTTTTCTTAACTACGTATTATAAAATCATAGATTTAATATCAATTGAACTATAACAAATCTTTTTTGCAATACTAGACATGAAGATGTAGATTGAATACGTTTGATTGTATAAAAAGGGATACGTTGAACGTTGATTTAATTCCAAACGTATGAGGAAATTTGTTAGTAAACTGTTTATAATTGTTCTTTTTCATACATTGTAATTCTATTGAGAAAATTTAGAAGAGTATGAAAACAGGGGGTATTTCATTAAAAATGTATGGGGTTTTAGTGTTTTTCATAATATCTATAATTAGATATTGTAATTTAGTACAAGGATTAAAATCCCAATTTTTTGAAGATTGACTATTGATAGTTGTATTTAATTGGAACTTATTTTGGTCAAATCTAACAACGTAAGATCAATTGCAATAATAAATAGAAAAATTGAAAATATGTTTTTAGAGTTTCAATCTTAAGAAAATTAATGATAGACAGTTCAAATAAGGTCTGACTACCTAATTGTTCAACAAAACTATATACTAAGATCAAATAGATTTAGTATTTTAACCACAATTAAGACTTATCATGTGCAAATTCAACAAATAGTCAGTGGTCAATTTTTATTTATATTGAATCAACGTTTGTTTTGTTTTTTTGTTGATTCAAAACGTGTGCCAAATTTTTAAGTATCGTCTTAGATTTAATAACTCTAGTCGTGTGGTTTCATGAAACAGTTGTAATGAGAAGAATAGAATATTTAAAAGCCATTCTATAGGACATATTCTTTGTTATCGGTTACTATTAGGTCTAATAATAATTATAATAATAATTATGAAACTCTAAAATTTTATAGTGCACGTTTTAAGTTTTTCATTTTCTTTCTCTCTTTACATTATTTTTCTTTTCTTTATAAACTTATTTTTAAACGTGGGGAGTAGAATGGATTATGTGATATTAACTAATTCGGTAGTTAATCATAGATAATTATTATTATGATTAACCATATTTATTAAGAAACACGTCTTGATTATTTTCTTTCAAACAATTGGAATTAAATGAAATTTTTCAAAACAATTTAAATATCATCAAATATTTCTTCTTCTTTTAATATTTGATTTTTAAATTTTCATTTGTCAATTATTTCATAACTTTTAAAAAAGACAAGACACAAGAGAAATCTGAGACATAGCCAATTTTTGTACAATATTAAATTGTTGCAAAATTTATATTTATATATCCTTTAATTTATTTCAACAAATAATTCAATTTAAATCGGCCAAAAGTTTACAGAAAACACCTCACTTTCATTAATCTTTATATTTCAACAATTATTTGTATATAACCATTTTTTATAATTTCAACATTTTATTTAAAAGTATAATCAAAAATCATTAAAAATGTCTGAAGTAATTGTTAATTTATTACCAACTGAATTTCCAATCAAATTTTTTACTTCAATTTCTTTAGTATGTGGAGTTGTAATATTAGCTAAATTAAATAAAACAATTAATTCAATCTTAGTATTTTGTTGGGCATGTTTTGTAAAACCTTTAATTCAAAAAAAATCAAAAAATTCAAATAATAAAAATCAACAACAAAATTTAGAATTATTTTATAAAAATCAAGCTCATATTTATGATACAACAAGAGAAATTCTATTAAAAGGAAGAAAAGAAACTTTAAGATTAGCTATATCTCATTTACAAAAGAAAAAAGATATAGTATGGATTGATATTGGAGGAGGTACAGGTTCAAATATTGAATTTATGAATAAAATTACTTCAATTTCAAAAAATTTTAAAGCTGTTTATTTAGTTGATCTTTCACCTTCATTATGTGAAGTTGCAAGAAATAGATTTGAATTAAATCAATGGAAAAATGTTCATGTATTAGTTGCTGATGCTTGTGATTTTCAAATAGATTATAAATCTGCTGATTTAATTACTTTTAGTTATTCATTATCAATGATTCCAACTTTTAATGCAGCAATTGATAATGCAGTTTCAAAATTAGATAAACAAGGTATTATTGCAACTGTTGATTTTGGTATTCAAAGTAATGATACTTCAATGGGTAGAATTAATACATTAGGTGGATTAGTTAATAGAAATATTCCTTGGATTTTAAGAAATTTTTGGAGAATTTGGTTTGAAGCTGATAAAGTATTTTTAGATTCTTCAAGAAGAAATTATTTAGAATATAAATTTGGTACAATAAAATCAATAAATTCATATAATAAAACTTTAGGTAAAATTCCTTATTATATTTGGATTGGTTGTGATAAATCAAAATCTTCACAAATTTTAAATAGATTAAATTGTTTAGCTACTGAATCCCCATATTTAGCTCCTGCTTCTGCATCATTAAAATTCCCAATTTCAAAAGGTCATGAAGCTGCTTTAGCAAATTTACAAAAAAATTTACCTTTCCCATCAATTTATTATCAAAAAGAAGTTTGGAGAGTTTATTATGATGAATTAAATCCTTTATATGAACAATTTAAAAATCAATATATTTATGCTTTTACTTGGGAAGATCCAAGAGAAGATCATAATATTTTAAATTTTTCATCAAATGATACTGTTTTAGCTATAACTTCTGCAGGTGATAATATTTTAAGTTATGCAACTTTACCTGATCCCCCAAAAAGAATTCATGCAGTTGATTTAAATCCTTGTCAAAATCATTTATTAGAATTAAAATTAGCATGTTTTAGAGTTTTGAATCAAGAACAAATTTGGAAAATGTTTGGTGAAGGTCATATTGCAAATTTTAGAGATTTATTAGTTGATAAATTAGCTCCTCATATGTCTTCAAATGCTTTTCAATATTGGATGGATAAAGGTCCAAATGCTTTTACTGGAAAAGGTCTTTATGATACTGGATCAACTAGATGGGCTTTAAGATTAGGTAGAATAATATTTAAAGTATGTGGTATATCAAAATATGTACGTGAAATGTGTACATCAACTACCATTGAAGAACAAAAAAGAGTTTGGAATAATCATGTTAAACCAGCTATGTTTAATCCAATTGTTGGTTCATTATTAGTTGGTAATCCAATTTTTCTTTGGAAAGCTTTAGGAGTTCCAGCAAATCAAGCAAATTTAATGGGTCCATCAATTATAAAATATGTTATTGATACTTTAGATCCATTAATTTCAAGATCATTAATTTCAGATGATAATTATTTTTATTATTTATGTTTAATGGGTACTTATACAAGAACTAATTGTCCTGATTATTTAACTACAAAAGGTTATAAAAGATTAACTGGTCAAAAATCAATAAATGGTGATGTACCATTAGATAATATTAGATTACATACAGATTTATTAAATGATGTATTTGCAAGATTAAGTACAAAATCAATTACAATTGCAATAATAATGGATCATATGGATTGGTTTGATCCAAATGGAGTTGATGCAATAAATGAAATTACTGCTATAAAACAATGTTTAGTAAAAGGTGGTAGAGTTATGTTTAGATCAGCTGCAACTCATCCTTGGTATGTTAAAACTTTTGAAAGTTTAGGTTTTAAATGTGAACCTGCAGCAATTAGAAAAAATGGTCATAGTATTGATAGAGTTAATATGTATGCTTCAACTTGGGTTTGTACAAGATTAGATGGTGATGATGAAATTGAAGATGAAATTATTATTAATGAAAATGATATTGGAAAATTAGATGCTGGTCGTCGTAGAATGAGTAGCTTGAAGATTTAAAAGCAGACTCAATGGTGAAATATTAGCTAAATAAGTGGATCATCACAATGTCTGTCATGATAAATTGTTTAAATTAATCACTTCTCACAATTTGTTTGAGTTTATAGATTTAAAATAGATGCAAAATGTAATTTCCTTTATTCTTCCATTCTCTACAAGAATATACCGACGAATTAGTGGTAAAATACAATTGGAGTATCTGCTAAATAGTTGTCTATAAATTACTATAAATTCTAATCGTAACTGTATTGTGACTTAAAAATATAAATCAAATGTTTATTGGTTTTGTATTACTAATTGAAATTTATTTTTATATATATCCACAGAAATTTCCAAACTATTCCTTTCCTTAATAACATACAAATCATCACTCACCTACTACTATTCCTTTGACAATGACAGCAAGTCCATTTGAAATAGTATTTGCAGTTCCAATGGAATGTAAATCATGTGTAGAATCAGTAGCAAATGCATTAAAACCTTTAGAAGGTATTCAAAAATTTGATATAAATTTAAATTCAAATTTAGTTACAACAGAAGGTTCCTTACCACCAAGTGAAATTGTAAAAGCTATACAATCAACTGGAAGAGATGCAATTATAAGAGGTACGGGAAAACCAAATTCTGCAGGAGTTTGTATATTAGAATCATTTGATCCAAAAGATATAAAACAACCAGTAAAAGGTTTAGCAAGAATTGTTCAAGTTTCACCAAATGATGCATTTATAGACTTAACAATTAATGGATTACCTAAAGGTATATATTATCCATCAATTCGAACTTCTGGAAATTTATCAAAAGGAGCATTATCAACAGGTGCATTATTTTATAAATTAGATTCAATAAATGTAGATAAACCATCAAATTCATCAACTATTATAGATTCTTTAGGTGCAGCAAATTCTTCTCAAGATTCATATTCTGGTCAATCTTATTTATATGCAAAATTAAATGTTAGTGATCTAATTGGTAGAAGTATTATATTATCAAAATTTTCAAATGAAATTAGTCCTGATTCATTATGTGGTGTTATAGCTAGATCAGCTGGTGCTTGGGAAAATGATAAACAAGTTTGTTCATGTAGTGGTAAAACTGTTTGGCAAGAAAGATCTGAAGCTAAAAATAAAGGTATAACTGTATAAATTTTAGAATAAAATAAGAATTAAGAAGTTCAAATTCCACTGGCTTAACTACTCTTCGTACTGTGCAATGTGGTCTCACCTAGTGAAGCTTCTCTTTGATTGCTTGATCAACATTGGGAGAACATAAGCACTCATCTTGTAAGTTTTTCTTTTTTTGTATTATCTTACATTATAAGTTGAAGTACCATTAAAGCGGTAGTACAAAAATTAATAGTAAACTTGATTTAATTTCTAACTTAAGTTTCAGACATTCAACCAAACAAATGAACAAAGCATATGTCATATCACTACTAAAGGATCAAAATGAATCAATAGTACATAAGCGAATACTCAAATTGACAGGACTCTCTATAAAACCATATGATTTATTCGAATATATAAATGAATATTTACAATCTTTTGAACCTCAACTAATTATAGAGAAATTATCATTACCATCAAACAACCTAAATGAAATACCGTCTAATTTTACAAAGATACTGAAGAATTTGAAATATTTGGACTTACATAATAATCAAATTTCATTTTTAAGTCATGATTTTATAAATAATTTACCAAATTTGGAAGCCTTGGACTTATCATCAAATAAATTGTCCTACTTACCAAGTAATATCTCATCACTACATCATTTAAAGGTTCTATCTATAAAAGACAATGAATTTGAATATATTACTCCGGAATTAGGAGAGTTAAAAAGTCTAAATTTGATTGAGTTATCAAATAATCCATTAATCTTGCCATCAATAGAATTAATTTCGAATTTACAATCTCAAGCATCCAATATTGAATGGGTGAGTGAATTAAAACACTACCTCATATCAAATCAAACAATCTTGCATCAAAAGATAGTAGAATTAAAAGAAGATAATCAATTTCAGACATTAGATCAATGGCAAAGTAGTGCTAACAATTCCATGCATATCACACCTCCAAGTATGAGAAGATCACATAGCATTAGCGAGCCAGGTAAATCTAAAATATCTACAAAAGCTTCCAAAAGAATGGGACTAATCATTAAAAAGACAGATGAAAATGGATCTAGTACAGAAGATTTGAATTCATCAACAATTCATTCATTTTCAAGAAGTTTCAATCAAGAAGATTTACCTCATTCTGCTTCAGCGGTTGAAACAACTTTTCAAATTTCAAGTCCACCTCCGCAACCTTTACATACGAACTTAACTGCTCCCAACTCAGCTTCAAATTCACCATCAACAACTCTCAATAAACCAACTTTAAGATCAAGATCAAATACAATGAAAGAAATTGATCAGATTTTAGAGAAAAATGATAACGTAGATACTGAGCATAAATCAAGTGCTTATTTTAAAAGATTATCGGTGTTGCAAGAACAGCCTTCGGATGAGGTTGAAAGTAATGTTTCAATTTCAAGACCTACTACTAGACAGACATTGGATCCGAATTTCAAACAAACTCAACAAGCAACATCTTCAGCCATAGCATCATCAACTCATCCATCATCTTCCTCAAATATACCAATCTCCACAGACGGCTCACCTAATAGAGTCTCACAACCTACAAAGAAACATACAAATGCTGTAATCATCAAAGTATCTAGAAAAGTTTTATTTTCATTTAGTGAATTACATTCATCAATTAGAAGATTTACAGCATTTTGTACCGATAAGAAAGTCACTATGAAAATGGTATCCTATTTATATGGAACAAAATCAAATATAGATAATCTTGTTGAGAATCTAGAAATAGTAGAAGAAAATGGAGGTAATACAGAACAAATTGCACAATCATTACAAACATGTATGATGTCATTTAAATCAATTATGAATTTGTTACATCAAAATATAAATAAATTTGTTTCCAAAATAGATGTTTGTTTTATAAGAATGTTATATTTATCAATTTTTGGATCAATTAGTGAATTACAAAATGCTTACAATTTACTTACGGTTAAAACATCCCCTGTGAAATCTTCAACCAATGAATTGAAACAAAAATTGAGTATTAATACAAATGTTGGATCTTCTTTCAATGAAGTAGACGAAAAATTATACGCAACAATTGAAGCCGCTATTTCGAATGCTCAATCTATATTTACAGATCTTAATAAAAATGTAAATAGAGGGGCTACTGCACATTCCGCTTCTGTACTGCCTAGTGTGACAGCTAAGATTAAAGATTTGTCAAATAATTGTGGACTGTCACTAGATATAATCAAGAGATTGAGTACAAGACTTATAACTATTAGAAATAATCCATCACAAACAACCAAAAAATTATTTGCTGAAGATATAAATCAATTTTTGAAGTCTATTGTACAAATCTTAGCTGCAGTGAAGGGAATTGTTGTGGATATACCCATACTTGATGATGTAAGAGCTTCTATGTCTAGTATTACAAAGACAGCTAAAGAAGTTACTTATATGCTAGAGATATCCTCATATAAGTCATTACTAGCTGAGTCTTCAAGTAGTTCCACATCAAATCAACCACCAAATTTTACACCATTATCAGCACATGCCCCCGCCTTACCATCTACTGCAACATTTAATAATGGGCCGGTTCCCATAAGAAATCCAATGATGCCTACAACTAATGCATCTACTACAAATATACAAGAACAAGAGACAACTTTACAATCAAATGGTCCATTAACTGCTCCTCCACAATCTTCAGGTCAAATATTTGCTAAAAATGGAATGAATCCATTCGATAAATTGATTATGACTAAGAGTGATGAACTATAGGTATATAACATGAATATGACGAATAATATTAAAATTTACTCTATGTACTATAAATCATTCTTTCCATAGTACTATAAGCCAAAACCGTTAAATAATATATTGTTGTACATCATCAAACATTTTTATTTCATTATTCCATGGTTGGTCTAACATCCGAACTTATCTGATTGGCAAAAAATTCCAAGTCTGGCATTGAAAAAGATTCTTGCAGATCATTAAATTCCAATTTTTCCTTGTATAGTTTTGCAATTAACATAAGATACTCTTTTTTTGTGACAGTATCATCTTCAAGACTTTGGTAAAGTTCGAAGTGTATGGCTCCAAGTTCAGACAAAAATTGATATAATGGATTATCACTTTCAATTAATTTTAACCAAAAATCGAATACTTCATTGAACGTTCTTGGTATTTTCATAAATTCTATTCTTGAATCAAAAAATAACTCAATATTTTCTGCGATGGTGAATATTGGATTTTCATCAAGATACTTGATGAACTCTTCTAATGAAGCATCATACCCAATTTTTATACTAAATATCTTGTACAAGTTATTTTCATCACCTTGTTCTCTTAAATGTTGTAAGAATGCATTTTTAATTTGATTTTTTATTTTATTAATTTCAGTTATATCAATACCATAATTATAATCAATTGGTCCATCATTCATCAAATTGTTATAGTGAATTAATAAAGTATTGACATATTCTTTCCATTCCTCAATATCTCCATCTTTTGGCAAATTGACATTAAAATATATTTTTCTAATGTCTTCTTTCATTGTATCAAAAGTGTGAATTAATTTGCTTGTATTATTCAAGTCTTTGAGGAAACTATTTGAAACCAGTTGGCCGATATCATTAATCTTATCCAATTCTGCATGATTATTATCCGGGTCTTCATCAACTGAATTGAAACTTGAATTAGCAGTTCTACTAGAATTTTCTTGTACAGCTTCTTCCAATAATTTTTGTAATTTTTTATGAATTAAATTTGGAGACAAGTTTTCTTGTTCACCAACTTCCAATAGTTCTTTTATACTTTGAATTAAATTTGAAGACATAATTGATTATGAAATTAAGATTTGTAGTATGTGAAATGAAATGATAAATTGAATGATTGAGTCTTAGTTAACAATTTGTAGTGAATTGAATTAAAAGTAAATAAATTAAAAAATTATTTAATATAAATGTCAAAAGATAATATGAATATATTCAAAACGTAGGGAATATTGGCTCTTATTTATAATTTTTGAATCAATGGCAAAAACTTTAATTTCTTGGGAATTATTAAAAATTTGTATCACATATGTTTCATATATGTTATACATCAAATTAAAGCATTTAAAATTAATAAAATTGAAGGATTATAATTGAAAATGAAGCTTGATATATTTACTGTCCAATATCAGGTCCAAATAACCTTTATATATCAAAATTGTCGTGCTTGTTGATTTTTTACTCCTAAAATTTGACTTATAGTGTATAATTTTAATTTGTATGAGTAACGTACGTTATCAAGACAAAAAAATTGTGGATCATTCTAAATCATTGTGTTGTTGAAATCATTTGTGGTTATGTTGATGATCGCAACGATATCAATAGATTGTTTTCATGACGATAATTAGTGTTTATCAAAAATTTATATACACATATCATAAGTATAACTTGTTCCTTCATGGTGATACTCGTAACTTTTTGGGTCGTGGAGTAACCATTGATAAACTTTTGAACGCTAAACTTCTTAAAGTTTTATTATGGAAATAATATGGTAAAAAAAGTATCATAAACATATATAAAACACATATAAAAAGCTGAAAATTTGTTAACTTCCGTATGGTTTGTTTAAAATTTATGTAGTATATGTTTAATGTCAATAGCTTTATGAATATTTTTGGATAAACTTCCAACCTGACTGTACCAGATTTGATAAATCTTTCTTTCATAAGCCAACTCACAAGGGGCTACCAAAGTTAACCGATAAAATTTCATATTATCAAACGTCAAACAAAGTTCATCTCTAAGTTGCAAAAGTAAATAAACAAACTCAAAAAAATTCATGTCATCAGATGGTCGGGAGACGGTGGACTATAGAACGAGTATCAACTCGTTATATATGTTATTCTGTACATCCCTATTACCTTTAGTTGTGATTGGGATAGCATTTTTTTATTCTGGATTAACTCAAAGAAGATCAGCAATGACTATGTTTGCGATTCCATTATTAATAACTCCTATGATTATCTTGGACTGGTACATATGGGGATATTCATTATGTTACGCTGCTACATCTAATGGATTCATTGGAAGTTTGAAATATGCAGTTTTAAGACAAATTAAAGGTACAATGAAACAAGAATTTACAAATAGAAGAGGAAATGTATTAGTTATAAATCATTTTTTATTTAATATGTTTTTTAAAATTATTTGTGCTGCATTAACTTTTCCTGGTTGTATTGCAGAAAGAGGTAGGATTTTACCCATGTTACTATTTTTATTTATTTGGTCAGTAATCATTTATAATCCGGTAACATATTGGTTTTGGAGTGATAATGGTTGGTTATTGAAGATGGATGTATTAGATTTTGCTGGTGGGAACTGTGTTCATATTGTTTCAGGTTTTACTGCCTTAGCGTATTCTTACATTTTGGGAATAAGAAATCCAAAAATATTATACAATTATCGTAATGCAAATACTGGTCATGTTATGATTGGGACATTTTTAGTGCTATGTGGATGGTGTGGATTTGTTGCAGGTTGTGATTTCAAGTTTTCTTATAATTCGATATTTATTGTATTTAGTACAATACTAGCGGCTAGTACAAGTGCTATAGTGTGGACAGCAATTGATTATTTAATTGGTGGTAAAAAATTTTCAATGATTTCATTTTCGTCAGGTTGTTTGACTGGTTTAGTAGTTTTCACACCAGGTGGTGGATATATTTCATCAGATGACGAATTTTGGAAACCAATTGTATTTGGAGTGATTGGAGCTATTGCTAGTAACTTTGCTACAAGATTAAAATACTATTTTGGAATTGATGATGCCCTAGACATTTTTGCAATACATGGGGTTGCTGGTATAGTTGGTTCATTGTTGACTGGTATTTTTGCTAATAAATTATACAACTCGAAAGGTGGTTGGGTCGTTGGTCATTGGAAACAATTTGGATATCAATTATTAGGTATTGTTGTGACAAGTGCCTATGTGTTCATTTTAACGTGTTTTTTCCTTTATATCATTGATTTCATACCTGGTTGTCATTTAAGAATTGACAAAAATTTCAATAGAAGGGAAAGAGAGAAGAGAAAAGCTAGAAGAGCTAGTGAGGTGGTGGAAACACAACAAGAAAAAGTATCTGATTCACTGGTTGATGACGAAGCAATGGATCCATACGAACAAATGGAGTTACTAGGCTCCGATCATTATGAATTCAACAATGAATATATGATGGATCATATAGAATTCATAAAAGTTCTACTGCCTGAGGATTACGACGAGTCAATTTTGAAAGAAGAAGTAATGCTTCTGCCAATAGAAAACCATTCTGGAAATAGTTTTCAAATACATCACGACAATAATTTAACTAAACGAGATTAGATAGAGTTTATATAAATATATAATGATTTCATGAACGTATGAATTAAATAAATGAATAATTAGTAAATTAAATGTCAAGTCTATAAATTTGTATCTCTATCTCTTATACCTTATTTAAAAGTCTCATTGTTATTTCAAATACTGCAAAAGTTGCACCATTAGCTGGAGCAGCTCTTAGTATCGTTGGTAAAAATCCTTTATAAAAACCTCGTATACCTTGTCTTTGAAAAACATCTCTGATCACACTTAATGTGCTCTTATATTTTGCACCTTTCAAAGCGTCAGTTTGTAATTTTGATTTTATAACATCTACTGGGTATATGGCAATCCACAAAGTGTATCCACTTAATCCTCCGTACAAACATAAAGTTAATGGTTTGATTTGCTCTCTTGTTAATCCAGGATGCCTTTTCAAATCATTAGCAATTAATGCTTCGTATGTGGCAAAGTATATACCTAATCCAATTGATTCTCTTATTAAAGTTGGACCTAAACCTTTATATATTCCTCGTAATCCATCAATTTCATAAATTTTTTTAGCACAATCTAAAGGACCATTAAATAGTTTGTTAGATCCTGTTTGAGTTTGTAATCTTATACGAATGTGTTCAATTGGGGAAGCTAGGAAACCATTAGCAAATCCAGCAACAGCACCACAATTAAAGTATTGTAATAAACTTAATGGTCTACCATGTAATTCTCGATCATAATACCTTTTCATAAATTCATTTACTGAAAATTGAACTGATACACAGGCACCTACACCTATCAATGGTGTCAAAGTTCCTTTGTAAAATCCAGAAAATCCTTCGTTTTTTATTAATTGTTTTATCACATCAAGTGCTCCTGTATATGTACCTTCTGGTGCAGATTGTAATCTTACTTTAACACAATCAAACGGCTGACCAACTAAAACTTGTGCTATACCACCCATTGTCCCAGCGAACAAATCTTTAAGAACTTGGGCATTACTCTCAATTGGAGGCTCCTCCAATTCGATGGCCATTGTATATAGGTGTGGAAAATATAATGGTTGAGATGACTAGTGTTTATAAATCCTAATTGCTTCTACACAAGATCAAGAGTCAAATATAATATTTTGTGTGTAGAATTTTTCACTCGTTTTGTGAAACATCTAGTAATCGATGAAAGCTGTACCAGTACAACTGATTATAGATATTTTACAATTTCAAATCGTTGATTTTAGTGAAATGTTTCTGGAGAAAAGTTTTTGTCAATCGTTTTTGATTTTTACAAAATTCTAATGTTGAATATTTTGTTCACCGGATTTACAACTAATTATGTTAATAATTTGGCTGCGAATGAATTTTGAAACAAAATAACATATTAGTGCAAAACACTCAAATACTAGAAAATTCGAATTTTTTGAAGGGTCTTAAAGCTAGTTTTTTATGATGAGGCGAAGTTACCACGTTATTATTCGCTTTACTTTCAGAGTATGAAACAACATAATTATCAAAGTCAGATTGATGCAAGTATCAAAAAGAGCTACCATGAGAGGTCTCGTAAATTTTTTTTAGTATCAACTAACTTTATTTTTATTTTATTATTTTGATTTTCTCATCAAGTAGACCCTTTTCAAAAAGTACAAACTACCCAACTAAAGTCGATATTATTCATAAAATAGGTTCTTGTAGATAGCATCAAACCTGGCAAATTCAATAGTCAATCAATGTCAACGCTATAATATTACTCATTAGAAAAAGACGTATAGAAAACTTCAAATAATAAATTAAATATGACCAAAAGATTAACCCCACAGGAAAAGTTGAATAGGAAGCCAACGAGCAGAGCTTGCACATTTTGTCATGAAAAACATTTACAATGTTCAAACGAAAGACCCTGTAAGAATTGTGTGAAAAGAAATATTGCTGATACTTGTCGAGATATCGTCAGAAAACGAGTTAAATATTTAACAGGCACTACAAAATCAACTTCAAAGAAGAAGAAAACAGAAACATCGAACGAACCACTGAGTAATTTACAATCATTTAGTAACTCACCAGAGAATGGGATTAAAATAGAAGCACATGAATCATCGAGAGCTTTGATCCCACACATACCTCAACAACAAGCTCAATTTTCACCTGAATTAAATCAACAGCTTTCAAACCAACTACCGCAGGCTGAGTTGATAGAACAAAATATTCCCATGCCATTAAATAATCATCTGAGCATTTTACCGAACCTACAACCTCAGCAACAGCATACTTTTGGATTACCCGTAGAAGATCCAAACGTTAATCAAATTAAAGATATCTTAAATGCACCTTCTTTTGATGCCGCTAATAAAGTCAACTCTTCGAACAAAATAGATTTAAGTCCCTCGAGGATATTAGAAACGGATCTGCTACAATATCACACCAACACAATGTTGAATACTACGACAGATGTGCTAAACAAACTTCTTACCGACTATTATGAAACTGACAGCTTATTGCTGCAACCAACACAGCCAGCAATTCATCAACAACAACCATCTCAAGAAAATCTAGGGACACCTTTAGGTGTGAGCCAGAGTAATAAATTCAATTCAAATTATCTCAATGAGGAATACATGATGTTAGGAGACATTCTACTTCAATCAAAACCAACTTCACCCTCCCCATCAAATACCAGTGCTTCAGAATTCAATGATGCTTTGAATTTCTCAAATATAGATTTTGACAACATCAATCAACCAAAGAAAAAAGTTGTACAAAAGTTGAAAGATTCTCGACCTTTCATTTCACTTGGTTTTCCAAAGGACTCATCATTAAGTTTGAACAATTTGGTGAATATGGCAGACCAAACTGATAACTTATTGGATAATAATGTTACGTCTAGAGGAAATAGCAAACCAGTAAGTTCATCAAATCCGATTATAGATTTCAAAACAAAATACAAGACAGATTATGTTTCACCATTAGCTACACATCAGATCTATCAAACTGTTTTGGATATATATTCCAAAGATGTCATTAATTTTGAATATCCAAATTCTTATCATGCATTGACTCATTTTTTGAAGACAAGATTTCTGGGAAATAATTTATCACCAGAGGAAAAATCTAGAAAGAGACAAAATTTGTTGGTTATTTTAAAATTAATTGCAAGTTATAGACCAACATTTATCAGTGCTCACAAATCATTATTGAAGCCACAAGATTTATTATTTCTTGAAATGAGTTTTCAAAGATGTTTAGTAGATTATGAAAAATTAAGTCAATTGAATTCATCACCAACTATAATTTGGAGAAGAACCGGAGAAATTGTAAGTATAACTGATGATCTTTTAAGTCTTTTAGGATACAAATTGACAGATATATTGTCAAAACGAACTTTCATTATGGAGATTATGTATGATGATGATTCAATTGTAAAATATTTTCAGTTATTTAAATCTGTTGCAGTTGGTAATTTACATTCTAGTATCAGTACAAAAATAAAATTAATAAAGAAAGAATCAAATACAAATAATAACTCAAACAATGAAATTTATGGTTCAAATGGCTCTGCTATCAACAACGTGGGAACTAATAGTTATATTGAATTCTGTTCTGTATGGACTGTGAAAAGAGACTTGTTTGATATCCCAATGTTGATCATTGGTCAATTTTTACCAATCTTACCAGCTGGTGATGGCGTAAGAATGTACTAGTAGGTAAAGCTTTTAAAGTATCTATTTATTAAGGTGCAAATTATTTTAGTTTAAAGCCTTTATTCAACATGACGACCCATTCTACAATATAGCGAAATGAATTATTACACATGTACTAGTTCCATATAAAAGAATACTCAGTATTAATGAAAAGTCTTACTTCGGAAAAACTATAAGTAAATCGGAAGAAAACTCAAAATATTACGATATTTACCGAAGTCTTTAGTCACACTAAAGCCTCGAGTATTAATAAATACACGAAATATTAATAATACAATCCCCCCTAATAATCAAATACTTATGAAATAGGTAAAAAATAAATAGATGTATAAATTTACGAATTGATGATTAAATCATGTTATTGTATGACTATGCAATATTTCTTAAATAATAATTATAAATTGATTAGGCTACAATAATAAGGTGATTTTTAAAAATTCAAATAAAAATTGGTAGCTTTTTTTCTTTTTTGCAGTCACCTGAAACAAGATATGAGGTGATTTAATTTAGGTTGCAAGAAAATATACAATTTTAGCTTGCAGAACAAAAACATATGTTGAGCTATAAAAATTAAAGTACTTGAGGCAGTTTAGTTAAAAAATATATAAGGAGGTCAATAAAACTATGAATATTGTTTCTTTTAAAATTATCAAATATTAATTATTCAACAACTATTCGTTAAAAACTAACTATCTTTAAAGCATAAAACAGTTAAAGTATACAATTATGTCAGCAATAGCTTCAACAATTACACCATTTAGAGCTTTACTAATTGGTGGTGGATGTTATGGTATTTTTACATTCATGATGTTTAAAAATTATTTCAAAAATTCATCAATGAGAAAAATATATACAACAGCTGATTCAAATTATACAAAAGTTCATCCAATGCATTATCCACAATATGAAGGAAATATCATTCAATCTGCTAAATAAGTTTGAGAGAGATAAAAAATTGCTGATTTTCCAAAAACTTTAAATCGCTCCACTTTCCGAGCTTGGTATTACTGGTGTTTCAATTCGATGTACTAAATTATTAGATATAATAAACATTTCTTGATTTTATTTATTAGACTCTTTGTTCTCTGAGACTTTCGTCATTAGTAGATTCGATAAGTTCGATGATCATCAGAATTTTGAGAGCTACCAAGTTTACAAAATGAATTTGTTTATTTACAACTACAGTACATTATGTCATAATTGTAAACCATATACTAATCTGTGATAAACAATGAAAATCTCACCAGAGACTGTCAATAAACTACAATCCGATGCTTCATGTATAAGGAACATCTGTATATTAGCTCATGTTGATCATGGTAAAACATCGCTAAGTGATTCACTTTTAGCAACCAATGGTATAATATCACAAAGAATGGCAGGAAAAGTACGATATTTAGATTCAAGAGAAGATGAACAATTAAGAGGTATTACAATGGAAGCATCTGCAATTTCATTATATTTCAAAACCATGAAGGTTCAAAAAGATGAAGAAAAAGCAGTAATAAAAGAGCATTTAATTAACTTAATAGATTCACCTGGTCACATAGATTTCTCATCAGAAGTCAGCACCTCATCTCGTTTATGTGATGGAGCTATTGTTTTAGTTGATGCTGTTGAGGGTGTATGTTCTCAAACCGTCAATGTCTTGCGTCAATGTTGGATAGATAAATTGAAACCAATCTTAGTCATAAATAAGATTGATAGATTAATCACTGAATGGAAACTAACGCCACTTGAGGCATATCAACATATATCAAGGGTAATAGAGCAAGTTAATTCTGTAATTGGATCTTTCTTTGCAGGAGATAGATTGGAAGATGATTTGATATGGAGAGAAGGAGGAGAAATTGGAGAATTTATAGAAAAAGATGATGAAAATTTATATTTTATGCCCGAAAAGAATAATGTGATATTTGCATCAGCAATAGATGGTTGGGCATTTTCAATTAATACATTTGCTAAAATATATCTGAAAAAATTAGGATTTTCACAACAAGCATTATTGAAAACTCTTTGGGGTGATTTTTATTTGGATATAAAAAATAAAAAGATTTTACCTGGTAAAAAATTAAAAAATGGTAATTCTAAACCTTTGTTTGTGTCATTAATACTAGACCAAATATGGGCCATTTATGAGAATTGTATAATTGATCGAAATCAAGACAAACTTGAAAAAATTATTGAAAAATTAGGAGCAAAGATTTCTCCAAGGGATTTGAGATCTAAAGATTTCAAAAACTTATTAAATCAAATAATGTCACAATGGATACCTTTAAGCCATGCAATACTAGGTGCTGTCATTGATTATTTACCAAGTCCGATTGTTGCGCAATCAGAAAGAATAGATAAGATCTTAAATGAAACTATATATAGCGTTGTGAAATCGGAACAGGATAAGAGTAAACTAATAGACCCAAGTTTTGTGAAAGCAATGCAAGATTGTGATAGTTCAAATGCTGATACTCATACTATGGCTTATGTCTCTAAACTTATATCTGTGCCAAATGAGGAATTACCCACTGAAACAGCTTTAGGAAGTGAAATTTCTGCTGAGGAATTAAAAGAAAGAGCTAGGATAGCTAGGGAATTAGCTAAAAAGGCATCGGAAGCAGCAGCAAAAGCACAAGAATCTAAAGCGAATGAAGATGAATTCGTTATAAAACCTAAGAAGGATCCATTTGAGTGGGAATTTGAGGAAGAAGATTTTGAAGAAGAACAGGAAGATGAGGAACCAGAAGAAACGGAATTTGAAACATTAGTTGGTTTTACAAGAATTTATTCAGGAACTTTATCGAAAGGACAGAAATTAACCATTGTTGGACCAAAATATGATCCATCATTACCAAGAGATCATGAAAAAAACATAAATCAAATTTCTAATGAAATTGAAATCAAAGATCTTTTTTTAATAATGGGAAGAGAATTTGTTAAAATGGAAAAAGTACCAGCTGGAAATATATGTGGTGTTGTTGGTTTAGATCAAGTAGTTTTGAAAAACGCTACAATTTGTTCCCCAATAGCCGAAGACAAACCATATGTTAATCTTGCATCAACCTCGACTTTAATACACAACAAACCAATCATGAAAATAGCAGTTGAGCCCACGAATCCAATGAAATTGGCAAAATTAGAAAGAGGATTAGATTTGTTAGCTAAAGCTGATCCAGTTTTGGAATGGTATATTGATGATGAATCTGGAGAATTGATTGTTTGTGTTGCAGGAGAATTACATTTAGAAAGGTGTTTAAAAGATTTGGAAGAAAGATTTGCAAGGGGTTGTGAAGTTACAGTAAAAGAACCGGTGATTCCGTTTAGAGAAAGTTTAGCTGACGATAAGATAAATCAGGATATGTTGGCTGTGATTGAAGAAAGTGATGAAGAGGAAGATGTTGACATCTTGGATTTGGATGTGGATGTTCGTCCTTTGCCTACTGAGATCACCAAATTCTTAGTAGACAATGATCTTGTAATAAATGAAATCGTAAAGAACAATGATGAAGAAGTAAAAAAAGAGTTCATTGAAAAATTCCAAACTGTCATTAGCGAGGAGAAGCAATTCTTTGGTTTTGCTGATGCCAAAGAGTTGATTGATAATATAGTTGCTTTTGGACCAAAAAGAGTAGGTCCTAACTTACTTATTGATAAAACTAACAAACTCAAACACATTTTTAGCAAATCTCAATCAGTTGAAAAATTTGAATATGAAAACAACATTTTAAATGGTACACAATTAGCATTAAATGAGGGTCCATTAGCATCTGAACCATTACATGGTATTGCCATAATAATCAAAAAAATCGATAAAAATGATCTTGGAGAAGATAAACTTATAAGTCCTGGTAAAATTATAACTCAAACTAAAAATTTAATCCATAAACAATTTTTAATCAAATCACCAAGATTACTATTAGCTATGTATACATGTGAAATTCAAGCAGCATCAGATGTACTTGGAAAAGTTTACGCTGTAGTACAAAAAAGAGAAGGTTCAATAATATCTGAAGAAATGAAAGAAGGTACTCCATTTTTCACTATTGTTGCAAGATTACCAGTTATTCAAGCTTTTGGATTTAGTGAAGATATTAGAAAAAAGACATCAGGTGCAGCAAGTCCTCAATTAATATTTGATGGATTTGATATTTTAGATATAGATCCATTTTGGGTACCTCATACAGAAGAAGAATTAGAAGAATTAGGTGAATTTGCAGAAAGAGAAAATGTAGCAAGAAGGTATATGAATAATATAAGAAGAAGAAAAGGATTATTTATTGACGAAAAAGTTGTAAATAAAGCTGAAAAGCAAAGAACTTTGAAAAAGGATTAGTTTGTGTAGAATTTAATGCATCATATATTTCATATTTGATTTAATGTAAGTAAGGTACTCTCTATACTTTTCGAAATCAAGAAGAGATTGTGTTAATTAATAGATCAAAAAAAAATAAAAAAAAAAAAAATAGAATCGAATTCTACTTACCATATCAATTTAATTAAAACTTACAAGAAAACAATCAGCGGGGCATTAAAAACTTGTTGAACGCATTTGATATTTAATAATTCTTAATGACTTACATATAGCATTTACATATTTTCAAATTAAATAATGTCAAAATCACTACCGATCAAAGGTAAAGAACAAATAAAATCTAAATCATCTACTACAACTCAAATCAATAATGTTGTTACAAATGGGAAATTGGAGAATAAAAGTACCCCAAAAACTTCAATTAGCAACGTAATAAAGTCTGAACATCCATCAATAAAGTCAACTAATGGGAATCTACCTCAAAAATCTAAAATTACATCATTTACGTCATCATCGAAAAAACCATCTTCAAATCCAGGACCAGAAGAATTATTTGAATTATTATCTAAAAATTATGAAAATTGGCTGCAAGCAATGACGAAACAGTTTGAAGATGAAGAAAATTTTTCACCATTTCCTAATGAAAATGATTCAAATACCTCGAATAAAGATAAAATGAATCCAATTTTTAATTATAGTTTATTGGAAGCTTTAGAAACTGCATCTAATGAAATTGGTGAAAATTTAAAAGATATATCTAATGATAAAGTACTTCATGATTATGTAGTGACATCTTCATTTAAGTCCTCCAATACTAATGGAAGTACTTCTACGAATAATGGATCAATTGCAAATAGACCTATAAAACATCCGAAAAGAAGAATACTACATCCATCTCATTCCTTATTAAATGAAAAAGAAATTGTATTCTTAAGGGATAAAATTACTCAAATTATAAAAGAAAGAGAAGAAGATAATTTACCTCAAGGATTTACATTGTACGATACAAAAGATGAAAAAGGACTTAATGATGATGATGAAATAGATGATAATGAAAGAGCAGAATTTTGTTCATGTTGTGATCATTCGGAATATGATTATGATGAAGAAGATGATGATGATTATAATAATCAAAATGATTATGATTTAAATGATTTTAATGATAATAATGATAAACGAACCCATTTTAATTCACATCGTACTCATTCAATAGAAATAGAATTAAATACAGCACCAGATTGTGATATACATGGTTCAAATGGTTGTGATTGTCCAATCTTTGAATCATCAAATAATAATGAATTAGAAAGAAGAATAAGAAGGAAAAGAAACTATATGGGATCACCAAGTGATAATGATTATGATAGTAATGAAGGACCTTCATGTGAATTTACTTTTGAATATGATCATAATGGACAATTGATTCCAACATATAGTAATATTGAAGAAAAATTAAGATTAATGAAATTAGAAACCTCGATGAAAAGTAATAGTAAACAAAGTATTAAAAATAATAAACTGACTAGCATAAAGACTAATAAAACTGTAAAACCAAAGCCACTAATAAAACAAGACATCAAACTAAAGCAAAATCAAAATCAAAACGCTGATGTAAAGACAAGCTCAAACTCAAACTCAAATACTAAGCCAACTCAGTCTAAGCAATCACAACAACCCAAACAATCACAACAACAAACAAAGACACAAGTACAATCAAAACCTAAAACAAAACCTAAAAAATCCAAATCTAAATCACCTTCAACAACAACCTCCTCAACAATTCCACAAATAAATCCATTAAATGATTTAAAAAAATTACAAAAATTAAATTTATCAAATGATATATTAAAAAAATATAGATTAAGAAATTTACAATCTACAACTCCAAAAAATTTTTATGGTTTAATACCAAATGATAAATGTTGTTTATTATGTCAATATGAAGCTATATTTGGTTGTAAACCTAAATATATATATAGTAAAAAGTAGTATTAAAAGCGGTTTGTTTGGGAATAAATTAGTGTAAATTCTTCGTTCTCTTGTTGTATGTGAACTAGTTAACGATGGCTCGTGCAAACCAACCAAGTTCAAAGATGTAATTACTAGTGGACAAAAATATAAAATAAAGAATAACGACGTAATCAAACTTTTCAATAATAAATATAAGATATATTTTAGAAAACTATATAGATTGAGTAGAAAAAAATATAAACTAACCTTTGAAATTATTTAATTAATCTCTAAAATTCAATTTATTTTCTTGGACTTAATTCTAATACTTCTTTTTTAATCCAACTTGATAATTCTGGTGAAACTTTATAAAAGTATTCAAAAACTTTATCTTGAATTCTATGATCTGCACCAGCAACATGAACAGCAACATTATGAGCTAAATGTTCTTGTTGATTTGGATATCTTGCTAAAGTTTTCCATAAAGCAGTAGCTTGAGTCCATTCAGCATCAGTAGCTTTCCAATGGAAAGGACAAGCAGCACCTTCCCAAACTTCTTGATCTTCTTGTAATGAATGAGATTTAAAATTAATTGGTTCATCAGAAGCTAAATAATTTGGTGTTGAACCTAAATTACCATTTACACACATAGCACCATCTCTAACATGAGGATTGAAAACAGTACCAGTAACTGGACAATTAACTGGAATTTGATAATAATTTGGTCCTAATCTATATCTTTGAGTATCAGTATAAGAAAATAATCTTGATTGTAAAACAGGATCAGCAGATGGTTCCATATAAGGAACAGTATGAGCTGGTGAAAAAGCAGCTTGTTCAACTTCAGCAAAATAATTTTTTGGATTTTCATTTAAAGTTAATTTACCAAATCTTCTTAATGGATAATCTTTATGAGGCCAAACTTTAGTTAAATCAAATACTGAAAATGGAGCATCTTTAGCTTGTTGTTCATTCATTGTTTGAACATATAAAGTCCAAGAAGGATAATTACCAGAAGCAATATTTTTAAATAAATCTTCTTGAGCATAATCAGGATTAGAACCAGCTAATTGACCAGCTTCTTCATTAGTTAAAGTTTTAATACCTTGATCTGAAATCATATGAACTTGAACATATAACCATTCACCTTTTTTATTTTGCCATTTATAAGTATGACCAGAATAACCATTCATTTCTCTATAAGAAGCAGGAGTACCTCTATCTGAAAATAAAATACAAACTTGATGAACAGATTCAGGATTTGAAGTTAAATAATCCCAAAACATATTTGGATCTTTTAAATGAGTTTCTGGATTTCTTTTTTGAGTATGAATAAAATGTGGGAATTTTGAAGGATCTCTTATAAAAAATACAGGAGTATTATTATAAACAAAATCTAAATTACCTTCTTCAGTATAAAATTTAGTTGAAAAACCTCTTGGATCTCTTGCAGTATCTGCAGAACCTGATTCTCCACCAACTGTTGAAAATCTTGTAAAAGTTCTTGTTTTTTTACCAACAGTATCTAAAAATGCAGAACCAACAATATCAGTAATATCATCAGTAACTTCAAAAACACCAAAAGCACCTGAACCTTTAGCATGAACAACCCTTTCTGGAATTCTTTCTCTATCAAAATGTGATAAAGAATCATATAAATTAAAATCTTGAATTAATAAAGGACCATGTTTACCAATTCTTTGAGTTGCAAATGGTTCTGGAATTGGATTACCATTTGAATTAGTAAAAGTTGGAGCCATCTTTGTATAACTTTTTAATTTATTTAATTGGTGGTGGATTTGATTAAAAATAAAAGTAATATAATAGGATGAAAAATAAAATGAAAAATTATTGAAACAAGAAGTAAGGGATATAAATTTATATTTATATAATAATGAATATTGTAGTGGTAAGTTTTTTTAATTAGTGGGGAAAAAAAATATTTAATTTTTAAATTTTGTTGATTATCAATCAATAATTAAAGTCCAGAACTATAAACTAATAAAAGTAAAACAATACTTAATTAGGGCGAAGACAAAGAATTATTACTGTGGTATTAGACGGATAAAAGTTTTAATTCTACTTACTATGCCAATGTGAGACAACTATTTAATTATGGTCCTCTTTACAGTTGCTATTAAAATTAGTTGTTTTAAAATATTAATAGCAATTACTAATATGATTTTATTTAAATATTATTGGTAAGTTTAAATTACATTTTAACCTGATTAACATGGTTTATACTTTAAGATATATATGTTTTATATTATCATCATTTTTGACTTACTTTTGGTTTGTCTTCCATCTGTTTACAATCCCTTTAATTCTTAACCCTTAATTATCTAAACTTCTTTAATTATATATTACATCTTACTTTAATCTTATTGGCTGATTTAAATCTGGGGTAATTAAACGTAATAATAATAATATTTACCTCGGGTTAAAGCTAAATTTGAAATCTTCTGATTAAGTAAATTATATAACGTGTTTTGTATTATTTGTATTGTTTATAATAAATTAAGGTTTGTCATAAAAACTAATTTTGTGCCACCGTTTTTACTCGAGTCAAATTATTTAGACACATCACACAATAATTTTTATGCGTTTAAAAATATTCAAGCGGCGCTACTAAAGTATGTTCTTTTATTACAAAATACCACGAGGTAAGTTATGTAAAAGAAGACCCCTAACGGACTTGAACTATAATAATACCATCAATCATTTGCTATAGCAATTCATTAATGTCTCATTCTTTTATGGCAAGTATAAATTTGCTGGCTTTTTTTTTAACTTCTCTTTTCCAAATTATGAAACAAACTTTAAACTTTAAAAAATTGCATTTGTGTAATACATGTTTTAGATAAAACCCGATATCGCCATTTTTTGATCTTATATAAACTTTATAGAAACATTAACAAAACTCTTCGTTGAAACAAATGATTTTCAAACAACGAATATATGAATTACTCAATCTCATGAATCTTTAAAGGGCTTTTACTAATGGGTGGAGTCAATCTTAAATGCAAAATCAATGATCAAATGAGAGGAATCAATTTCAATTGAATGAGATGTCGTTACATCCGTACAACCATATTAAAATAAAAAGTAAACGTATTCATGAAGGTGTTACAGTTTGACACTTTTGATATGAATAAAACATTTATTCATCTCTTCAACCTTGGAGCGTTAATGATGATACCCAGTGACAAACACTAAACTTCGTTTTACCACCTTTGTTTGTCCATCGTTATTTCAAAATAATTCTTTTGAATCATTAATCTCTTGTAAGAATTTTTAAACAGTTTTACTACAAAATTTTTATAAATTAAAATCTATTTTTCAATCTATACTACTCAAATTAAATAGAACTGTGTGTGAATTGATTAAAACCTGAAAACAAAATGGTTTTGATTTATAGAGACAATAAAATGTTACCTTTTATCAATTATTTCATCATAATTCAAAATACCTAAAATTATAATTTATATTTTCCCCTTACATTGGCCACATCTAGTAAACTGTAGGTAAGATCAAAGTATCTATCATAGACTACTTAATTTTAAAATAAATCAGACTGAAAATCATTTTAAAAGTCTCATCTTAACCAACCATGTCACACTCAAGTGCTAGTCATGGTGTTCTTCATGATAATCCAATTTCTCCAGCAATTCCACGTAAACCAAAATCTCCAGATAAAGACTTGAATCAAACATTTGATCAAAACCTTATCAACTCAACTGAAATCGATGGGCTCAACTCAAACTCAACAACTACAAATCAATTTTCACCGGAAGAAAATGCAAAAGCTACAGCAGAAGAAACAGAAAATGATGAGGTAGATATGGACTCATCTCAAGTTTCACAAACTCGACAAGAGATGAATATAGCATTGAATCAACCTTCGTTGATTTTTGTTGATGAACAAAACAATTTTTCCACTGGTCAAGACACGACCACCAACAACAATTTTTATACTACTACTATTAAAGAAAATAATCAAAAAACAAAAAAAAATTTATTATTAGAAAATCAAAAAGCACAAAAAAATTTATTATTAGAAAAAGAAAAAATTCAAAAAAAAAATAATACTATTAAGGATAAAACTCCGCTTATGTCCGAAATTTTATCAGGTCCAATAACCGGAAGTTCAAACAAAAACCCAATTATTGGTAAAATCGACTCCAGAAACAACAAATGGTATAATGAATACAAGACATTAGTACAAAAATTGAAACAAGGAGAAAATTTGACAATCGAGGAGGAAAGCACATATCAAACGTTATTAAATATCAATATTTATGTGAATACTATCGGTAAAGAAAAATGGTTATCTATGTTAGGTAGATTAAACAAGCCGAAAGACGATTTTATTCTTGATTGCGTTGAAGAATTAAGCAATAGAATAGATCGGAAATACAATTTAAAATTAGAAGTACAACAGGGTCTTGAATCAATTTCTGGTATTGAATTATATGAGGCTGCTAGAGAATATTTCGAAGAAAATCTTGCAAAACAATTAAAAGTTGAAAAAGAACAATTGAACATAGATCAAATTACCTTTGAGAAGGAAAAGGAATTAAATCAACAAAATACTTTGTCAATAAAAACTGAAATAGATTTAATTACACAAGAAGCTTACAAGACGAATGAATTGACAAAGAAACAAGAAATGACTGAAAAACTGAATAAGTTGAAACAAGATTTGGTAATTCTTTCACAAGAAAAGCAAGATATTATTAGAAAAATCAAAAATTTAATCAAATTACAAGAAGAAATTGAAATTTTTATTGAGTTATCAGACAATAAACTATTTTCAGTAAGTATTTCCTCCAAGGACTTTCTTTATTTGGAATTGAACCACCTGTATAACATGAAGTTAAATTTTATTCAAAAACAACCACTGTTTGATATTGTGGGTTATCTCGAAAACCTTGTGGAAAAATACAATGAAATTCCATATAAAACAGGGATAATTCCAATTAAGCCCATGAAATATGATTCCGATTGTGTCGCGATCTTTGAATTAAAACATAAGGCAACAAATAGAAATCCAGATGGATTATTAGACATCCATTTCAACAAACCTATCTTGTATTCTAAGACAGCTACAGAGAAAATTCAAGTTCAATTGAGAAACTCAACCAACAAAGGTATTAATCAGACTCCAATTGAATATAAAATTCTCAAAAGATCTGAGACTATCTCCCAAAGAAGTCCTTACAGAATAGAATCAGACAACATTGCAAGCTCTTATTATTTGATAGAATTCAAAGGAACTCAAATCCCAAATATCAGAAACCAACTTGATTGGTCAAGTAAATTAACAATAGTTTCTGATTTTAAATTTTGCACATATTGCAAAGCAATTGGTCACGTCATACATTCTTGTGAAAAACGTGGATGTAAAACTTGTCAACTGAAAACACATCTCACGTTTGAACACAACAAACACATACCATCTAAATATTTGAAGGAATCAAATAACTACAAACCGAATGCAACCACAACATTTTCAAATGATAATAAAGATCAAAATTCGGAAAAAGAATGGACACAGATAACTGGAACAAGGAAACATCAACCTCCACAAACAAAAACTTTTGATTTCCAAACCAACTCATTCGAAATATTAAAACACAAAGGTCTGCAAGACACAAATCAAGATGATAGTCTGGAATCCTCTTTTTCAGTAAAATCGTCAATTCAAGAAGGAATCTCACCTAAAAGGGTTGTTAAAACAAGACCATTTCAAAGACCAAATAAAAAGTCCAGACCCATGACCAATCAAGAAATTGATAAATTTTTAGATTCACACATCCAAAAAGTAAATCAAGAGAGAGAAGAATTACAACTTTCTTCCAATATCAATGAAGTAACTAAAACAAAAACAAATTCAGATGGAAACAAGACATTGAATAATAGAACTAACTCAAATATCAGCGTACAAAATCCTGAATTAAATAACACTTCCGCTTCAATACAAAACTCCGACCATTCAAGAGATTCAACCATTTCAAATAACAAAGTTTCAAATATAACAACTGACCAATCCAACAATTTAACTGATTCAAACACAAATGAAGAGGTAACACCACCAGATCCCGGGCGTGTCTCACAAACCCTGTCGAATCTGGTAATCAATAATTTATCATTATGATGAAACCATACTTTTATTATAATAACAAACTCATGACTAACACAACCAATGAGGTTGAACTTCAAACGTCAAACAATACAATTGACATACCACCTTCAATTAAAGACAAACAAAATATTACAAAAATACTCAACTCAATCAATTATCATAAAAATACACTAAGTATAACAACAAAAAATGTTCAAAACAATCTGGAAGCAATCAAGTTGTACAAATTATGTACAGGTTCTGATATAATCTGCCTCCAAGAAACAGTTAATGCAACATTCAAACCCTTAAATCAAGATCAATACACCTGTTACCATAAAACAAACTCCAGAGTAGGGATAGTAATCAACAATACATCCACACCGAAATTTGAAATCATAGATCACATGAATATCCAATCTATTATGACAGGATATCAAGATCGAGTGAGTGATATATTAATTAAAATGATACACAACAAAACATATATTAGAATAATCAACATATACGCTCCATGCAGCAATTTTAGTATTCAACAGAAATTCTGGCAAGAACTAAAACATGCAATGGACTATACGAACAACAACAGCATTACCAATAAAGAAATATCTACGGTTTTAGTTGGGGACTTTAACTGTATCCTAAACAAAATAGATTCAGAAAAGGGAGATGAAATATCTAGGACGGAGAAGAATGCAACTAAAGAACTAAAAGAAATATTAGAGCAAAATGAGTTGAAAGATGTATTCCGTCATATCAAACCAACAACAAAAATATTCACAAATAGAAACATGATAAATAAAAGACGATTAGATAGGTACTATATCAATATCAACTTACTACAACAGATTCTTTGTTATTATCAAAGCAATCATGAAGGTATGAAAAGCACTCATGAAACGTTAACAATAAAGATAATTTTAAATAAAACTCCGTCAATTAAAAAGGGGAAAAGAAGATATGTCTTTAACAGTGAATTACTAGAGCTTTCAAATTTTGAGCCAAAAATTTCATATGAGGATTTATTAAAGCAATTAAAAGAGTTACAGCTATCCCAAAAAAGTATTCTCAATACCACTATACCACAATTCAATCCCAATTCAACAATTTTTAAAGATTTAGCAATTCGATACAAGAAAAGTCGGTTTAATTTGGATAAAACAATTACTGCAATAACAGATGAGAATAAAACTGAAACCGGCACCACCACGCCACAAATTCTTCAAATCGCAACAAAATATTATAAAACATTATATACATCCCAACCAAATCAACTTCTACAACAACAACAGATGAACTACTTAAGTGATTTCCAAAAGTCTATCACGGAAGAAGAAAAATTACAATTAGATAGGCCCCTTGAATTAACAGAATTCACTCAATGTTTGGGCTCATGCTCAAATCAATCCTCACCAGGAAAAGATGGGATCTGCTACAGGACTTTAAAACTCATTTGGAAAGATATTGGACATACAGTAGTTGAGATTGGTAACCGAATGATGCTACAACAAACAGTTCCATCCGAAATCAACAAAGTAATCATCACCCTACTACCAAAAAAGTCACAAAATTCAATCAGATCAATAACGGAATTTCGTCCAATCTCATTGACGAATACAATATTGCGTCTAATATCAGCAGTGGCAAATGCTAGAATTCAACCACTATTATCACAAGTGATCTCACATAATCAGGTGGGCTTCTTAAGAGATAGATTGATGTCAAACAACATTCAAAAAATTAAACATGTATACCAACACATCAATAAGAATCATACCAGTTTGGAAGGACTATTTTTCATGGATTTGGAAAAGGCATTTGATAGGATCGATCACAAATATTTAAGAAACGTAATTAAACAAATTAATATTGGAGAAAAGTTTAGCAACCTTCTCATGGCAATGACTACAAATCAAACAGCCCATTTGGAAATAAACAATGTTTCAGGAGAAGAATTTGAATTTGGTTGTGGTGTCAGACAAGGTCTTCCCATTAGTCCTATTCTTTTTATTATCGCATTAGAACCATTATTACAAAAATTGGAAAACAAGTTGACAGGAATTGAAATGATGGAAGGGATTCATGCTAAAGTGATTGCATACGCTGATGATGTGGCCATATGTATCAAAGGAGATGATGATTCTAAAACACTTTTACATGAAATAGACAGTTTTTGTCAAGTCTCAAACTCTAAATTAAATCCACATAAATCATTGTTATTAACTAAAAATCCAGCTTACAAACTTACAGCCGAGTTCAGAACAGAGAATATATCCACATTCCCTTTCACATATCTCGGTATCCCCTTTAATCACTTCGAATGGAAAGAATTTTTTGATAAAATTACCAAACATCTAAATATAATCATGCTACGACAAACACCCCTCCATTTAAGAGCCACAGGATATAATACATATATCTTTTCAAAACTTTATCATTTGGACATTATGATTCCAATGAAAGAAAAACAAATCAAAGAAATCATGAAAAATATACATCAAAAATTCAAAGGCACAAGAATGGAGACAGTCACATCCTTGAAAAAACAAGGAGGTTATGGTTTATTGGACCTCAATCAGCAGCTTATAGGCTCAAGAGCCAAGATAATATATCAAGTTTTGTTTGAACCATATAATTGGCACAATATTATCTGGCGCAATAAAATACAACAACTAGTAGATGATCATTGGATAAGTAACTATGATGCCCAAAAAGACGAAATAACAACTCCTTATTGGTACGATTTTCTCACCACAGCAGTGGAGAATGATCCAACAACAAACATCAAACAAATCATAAACAAGTCAGACCATTTTGATCATTTTGAAAAGGAATGTTTACATGCTTGGTTTAAAATTACTAAACCATATAGAAAAGGGATTCTCAATAACGTAACAACTAATCTCGAAGAATCAAAATCACGCAAGCGAAATGCAATCACATTCCAACAAATTAACAATCCAACTTTAGAGGATCTCCAAACATACAAACAAAGATCCC